GGCAAGCACGGGGTTAAGCTTCATCTTGTGAATATCTAGCAATGCAAGTTTTCAAGGGGATGTTGTGCCGGGAACTAGCAAACTCCATGTCTGTGGTATCTGTTAGTTTCCCCAGTTGCTGCAAGATCTGACTCCCCGATGGGCCGCGGGATAGATGTGGTCTTCCCTTGCATGTGCCTCTCAAATCAAGAGACAGTAATCTGACCCTTTGGGTCTCTCCACATTGCTTATTCCATTTACTTTGGAGCTACAATGTATGTTATTACAGCGGTTGATCTTCCGATCTGCAAGGGAGATATCGTTCTGTTTACACAGATACATACTTCATGGAGTTGCGTAGTCCTAATTGACATCGTCGAGCACCCTCTCTGATTTCTGCATTTCCTGCAGATCTAGATCTGCGCACCTTTGTATCACCACTTTCAAGGTCATCTGTATGTAGGTAAGCGGTGTGGATTGGACACAGAAATCACACCGAATCATGTATTAGATGTATGTTCTGCATCGAAGACAGCATACGTACTAATGATAACTAGATGGCATGATAGAGTCAATTCCTTGTGGATACGAGCGATTTCCAATACATTATACCAAAGTCCACATAACTAGTACATGCACAATTTGATTCATGCAAGAAACATAGAAGCCCTAGAGATGAAAAATGAGCGATCTATTCATACATAAGAGATATCTGATATCGCAGACTGATACATTCCATGCGGAGTAACAACTTTCACCTGCAGTAGTCTATACCAAACACATTAATTTCATACAGCCCACAGGGATCCCGACAAAATAAGCCGAGAAAACGTAAGTGTGTGGGATTCAGTCTAATTTTTTCTGCTCACACAGATGGATCTGGTCCACTCTAAATTGATACTCTCCGACTGTACACGCCGTCAACCATGGAAACTTCACGTACATGGCCAAAACTCCACCCTCAACAACGGTTATCCTGGGCCGTGCCGGTATGTATCAACCATGGTACTATAAAAGATCAAACCCCGATTACTTCTTTGCCTGTTCGCCTAGGATGTTAGATCAATGTGTGTATGCAGTTCAAGTTCTTTTCATTCCACTCCGCTCTTTGACAGATCTTCGCTCCACTGTCCGTCTCGATATGAACCAAGGTGGCGGGATTGGGGCGGTTGTCGGATGGCGCGGATACCGTACGCACAAAGAGTAAGACTTGGAGTTCGGAATCGCGGCTTTCTTCGGATGTTTTTCTATCTTAAAAGGAGGAGAGACTTAAATGGCTAAACATATATATTGCTGCTCGTATGATCTTCAATTGTATCCGGTGGTAAAGTGACCGTTTGTCAAATGCATTCGATGTATGTATTAATAAATTGTTAAAAGACTGTGCGTGAAACGAAACACTTTATACAATGTACGTTATACATTGCAAATTCTGTGCGTACCGGGCAAATAGCTGTGTTCTTGACCGGTGAAAAATTGACGTTTCGTGGCCCCTCTGCGGGGAGTTATACAAATGTCACGAAGGGTTTTCTGCGCTTAGTGAAAAGAACTCCACTAAGTTGGTATTTTTGCTTCATCTACCTGTGCTTAAGCTGAGGAAATTTTTAGGTAGTTGACAAGGTGCATGAAGATCGTATATGATGCTTGCCATACTTGAATAGATCAGCCAAGATTTATGCCTGCAACGTAATTTCCGATATTAAGCCCGAGCTAGGATAGCCAACAATTACGTACATTCTAATTTTGTAGAAGAATATCTGCCATTTCATTTATTCACGAACTATATAATATTGTACAAAAAGTAGTTCTCCAAGTCAAGCTCAAAGAACTGCAGAGTCTTCACAAAGCTCCACCACGAATAAGGACGGTGCTAAATAGCAAAGCGAATCGGAGGTCTTGAGACAATTCTTAAAAGGGTAAGGGCCTATACACAGCTGCGGAGGCTCAAACCATGGTTGACCTGTTTTTTTCGCTGTTCCCCGCCCCTTTTTTTTAGAGCTTTGCTTCTTTCAAGTTGCCACATTGCCTATCAATTCTCTATAGTATACCAAGTTGCGTAAGCAATAAACTTGTATTGGATCAATTGAGCTCCTCTGTACTATTTTCTAGTCTAGTCTCTCCAATCGACATAGAAAAGGTCATCGGAATTGTAAGGCTGCGCAGTACGTCGCTAAGCCTGACGGGGTTTAGGGCACAAAACACAGTGGGGAATACCCGTAGCGTAAGGAAAGAAAAAACAAGAGAGGTCCACTTTGAAGCATTCAATTTCAATGCTGTATGGAGTACCGGTTACTTGTACTTACCTCTCCGAAAGAGGTTATATTGGTTTGCGTACGTTACTCCGTACTGTTTGTCAATTTTCAAATTTGACTTGAACTCAAACTGAAAGAAACACTCACGAACCAGCCTGCCGAATGCTATTTGCAATTGTGTGCTCCAAGTTTAGTACATCTTAAGGATTAGTTAATTAGTGGTATGGTACTCATGTCAATCAATTCAGTCTATGCCGTCATTGCCAGGCTCGCGTCCCACACTTCTCACTTTCACGATTGCGCGTTCGATGACAGTACAATATAGCCGACTTCTTGAAACCAGAACAAAGACATGATATAAGGCCCCGAAGATCTTAATTCAGGGACCAATATTAACTAGTACCTGCTTTTTGGATCAATACGGGCACCTCGATGACACGCACATGCAGTCGGCCGCTCGGCCTTTATCCGCCCTAAGGGTCAAATTTGGTTTCTGTTTTGGCGCGAATCCCAGCAAACTCTCATGCTCATCGCGTCAGATTGGCATTGCGTTTATTTTGCTGATCCAGTATCTTTCTGCTCCGACGGAAAACCCAAATACCGACCTAGACGAAAGCGGTCTTACTACGCGGTCTTAAAAAAGAAAGGACGGATTGCGGGATGAATGCCAAAATGGACACCATCGTGAACTATCCATGGATGAATTTATTGAACCCTGTCCTAAGCCAACGCCGAGGCAGCACGCGATCTCACAAAGTTGTGCACTCGGGGACGGGCTACTAGTTCAACAAATAATATCCCCCATATCGCCTACGGAGTATCGGATCGGCCGATGAGTTCCACCACGGAATTACCTCTTTAAAAGCTGGAGGTCCATCTCAGCTAGATTGGAACTTGAATGTGGATCCGACTTACACCAGTCGTTTACGATGGCGCAGGGAAGCAAATGAGAATCAACATAATTGAGTTCGAGCCCGATTGCGGCGACTTCTGAAGGCCAACCACAGCCCCAGATGTTAAATAGATGAAAGTTACTCGAGACAAGGCGAAGGTGAGCATTACTAACAAACTGAAAAGAACAAGTTCAATTAATATCAGCAAACCCAGCCGAACTATTGATTCCATGCGACCGGTGCTGCGTCCGAGCCCACGCTGACAGGGGTGTCACTAATCACTAATAGCCACCCCCGCAGCTGCTGCCTGTAACCCAGTGGAATCCCGCTCGGTCTCCGCAACAGAGGCTATTTTCCTTGAATTTCCAAGTCTCAGGATCGCATGGGCTCGACACTGGAAGCCCAGAGGCGATATAAGCCACTTGATCAGGCCTCCCAAAAAACGCCATACATCTTGTTCGAAGTCGTCTTACTGTCTGCCCCCTCCTTTCCCGCATGTTGATTATAGATCGTCCAATGACAACGCCCGGATTCAACTCAGCCTCTCTTGCTTTTTAGCTTGTCCATACTTGTCCAGTGATATATTGCAAAGGCGATTGCGCGTAAGTTGTCTAATGCAGAGCCAAGAATGCCGCAGCCTATAACAAACTTCATCTGCAAGCACCTCAGAAATATGATACATAAGCAAGCATAACAGAGTACGTCCAAGCCAGCCACAGTGGGCTATGGCAAGCTAAAATTGATGGTTGCTTCTGACGTGGCAGGCCGCTGATGGAAGACTTCATCCTTATGAAGAGATATCAGGAAATCTTCAGCCCCGCGACCGCTTGTGGCTACTGGATATTGGCGACTGTCGTAACACAATCAGACCGCTTGCGCTGACATCTTCGCCTGAGCCTGCATTTTGTGGCAGCCTCTCGACTGGCTCCCTTGCATCTGGGATGGTGATCTCCATCTACAATGACATCTAGCGGCACAACCTAGTTAAAACTGTCACGCCACCAAATATCTAATACTGAGCTGACAAAATTTGCTCTGGAGAGGTGCCGCCGAACACCCCTGATCCAGATTGTAACACAATCAGGTCTGAAGCTTGATTGACAGATGTCCAGAAATCCATATCTGGATGAGTGCGATAACTGATAGCCGCTTACTACTGTTTTTCAATCTGAAATTTGCCGTGCTTATGCCGTTAATCTGACTTCATAATACCGTGTCAAAGATATCGTATGGTACGTGATATTACAAAACTTCGCTGTCTCGGAACAATAATCTCTTTTCTTTGTGATCATGTATGTTGAGCCTCAATTACTGTTGGCCAATCCGAATCCATTTTTCACCAACCACTCTAGCAATATAAAAGTCGGTATACTTCAAGTTGGATCGAGTGCTCGATGTGAGCGACACAAATTATTCAACGCAAATTAGTAGCATACAGGACTGATATAATATATAGTAGGACACTCCGGGGCTGCAGTGACACTATGCTACCATTTCCTTGGTTTTCCCTCAGAAAATACGCATGAATGCTACCTATATATGTAGGTAAGAATAACAAAAGTTGATGCCTGAACTAGAAGGCAGAAAACAGTAAATATGATACACGTGATCTCGGGGAAACTTACCTGACAAGATAAGATATTCCGGCCGCTAAAAATTATCTACAGAAAAAAAAAGCGGCAGCGCATCAATCGCGAGAAAGCTCCGGCACCACGCTCTAACCACCCATTTGTGTTTAAGAAATGAGTGTCTAAATGCTGGACTTGCAGCCGAAGCTGAACATACTCTGAATTAATCTTCAGCACCCTCGTTTCAGAATTTCACGCCAATAAAACCCCGAACGAGCTATCTGGCTCCGAAGCCCATAACCTTAACAATGGATATCCACCGTTGCCGTTTCGTTTCCTACAACCCGCAGGCGATCAATGCACTTGCATTCTCGCATCCTCCGTCAGCAGACCTGGCTGGACGTGGCACTCCAACCCTCCGACTTGCGATCGGCCGTGCGAATGGCGATATCGAAATCTGGAACCCGATGCGCGGTGCCTGGTTCCAAGAAACTGTGATGCGTGGAGGCAAGGACCGCAGCATTGAAGGACTCGCATGGACCCTGGATCCCCAGGAGGACGGGCCCGAAAACGTCAAATTGCCGGGCAAGCTGCGTTTGTTCAGCATTGGATACTCCACCGCCGTCACCGAATGGGATCTCGAGAATGGTCGCCCGCTGCGCCATTCCAGTGGAAACTATGGCGAGATTTGGTGTCTTGCTGCGCAGCCGCGCTGGCAGGCACCCAAAGGCAAGACTGGACCCGCTGAGGGCGAGTACACGGGCCAGCACCTTGCTGCAGGATGTGCAGATGGTTCAATTGTGATCCTGTCTACTGCTGATAATGACCTTAAGTTCCAAAGATTGATGCGCCCTTCAACAAAACGAGCGCGGGTCTTGAGCGTAACCTTCCAGAACCGCAATACTATCGTCGCTGGATACGCTGATAGTTCTATTCGCCTCTTTGATATTCGCACTGGTTCACAGCTCCGCACGATCTCTCTGGGCAAGGGTCCCAGTGGTGGTCCCAAGGAGTTGCTGGTTTGGTCTGTCAAGTGTCTTCCGGATGGCACTATTGTCTCCGGTGACTCGGCAGGTGAAATTCGTTTTTGGGATGCAAAGAACTATTCTCTCATTCAACGGATACAAGGTCATCTTGCCGACACACTTGATGTGGCAGTAAGTTCCAACGGAGATACTGTCATTAGTGGAGGAGCCGACCAGAGGACGGTGGTCTACCGCAAGAAGGAAGGCGAGAAGGGCGATAAGAAGGGTCGCTGGGCCGAGATTATGCACCGTCGCTACCACACTCACGATGTCAAGACATTTGCTGTCTACGAGACAAAAGATATCAGTATTGCTGTATCTGGAGGTATGCCATCTCCCGCCCAAGTTCAGGCGTGTTTACCAGTACTATGCTAACTTATTATTTTCAAAGGTCCTGATGCGACACCTATCGTTCTTCCTCTGCGTGAATTCGGAAAGGAGCACCACCGCAAGCTCTCCAGCTTACCGCAAATCCCGCAACTTACCTCTGCTCCGTCCGCCCGTCTGGTTATGAGCTTCTGGGATAGAGAAGTGAGCCTGTGGCGTGTATCTCGAGGCCCTGCATCACCGCAAGAGAACATTGATGGTCAACGGCACAGACTTGTTGGAAAGGTTCTGATCCAAGGAGAGGAAAACATTTCCTCGGCGATGCTATCTCTGGACGGCAAAACCCTTGCTGTTGCAACCATTGGTGAAGTCAAGCTGTTTTCTCTGCGTCGGCGGAAGGGCGATGAGAAGGGTACTCTGCGTGTTCAGAAGATTGAAGTTCCCAAAGAGCTGTCCAACGAAGGTGCCCGCCTTGTGTCTATTTCTCCCGATGGCCGATGGCTGTCTATCGTCCGTCCAAACAGTGAAATATATATGGCACGAATTCAGCCCAACCCTGCATCCACCGAAAAAGCACAGGTGGTCCCACAATTCGCAAAGCTGAAGAGAGCTACACGGCATGTACGACACGAAAAGGCCTCCCACGGAACACTGGGCGACTATGAGAGAACGATACGATCAGTGGTATTTTCCGAAGATAGCCAGCTTCTGGCATGTGGTGATATTTCTGGTTGTGTCGACACATGGGTGTTGAATACAGAGACAGAATCAGCAAACCGTGCCGTCAAGCGTAATACAACCTCCGATTCCGACGACGACGACTCATCCGATGACGAAGACGAGGATATCGCGATTGAGGGAGAGCGCTGGACCACTGCTGCCGCTGATTCACCAATTCCCCGTATGAAGTCCGGCATCACTTTGTTGTCCTTCCGCCCTAAGGCCGCGCCCACACAAAAGCTTCTGGCCAACGGCACGCATCAGGCCGGCCAAGACCGCCTGATGGTCCTCACAAGTGAGCATCAGCTCGTCGAGTTCGACGCCCGAGATGGCACCTTGTCCGACTGGTCAAGACGCAACCCTAAGGCATATCTCCCTGCAGAATTCCGTGGCGTTAAAGACCGAGCTATGGGCTGTATGTGGGATCTCTTCGAAGGCCGCGAGCGTCTTTGGCTTTATGGAGCATCATGGTTGTGGATGTTCGATCTGCTCCAAGACTTCCCCTCCCCAGAGGAAGTTGAAGCCGGTGCCGCCGGCACCGAAGGAGGCAAGACAGCAGGCCAGCTTGCCAAGGCATCAAAGCGAAAGCGCGATACCATCGACGACGACGAGGACGAGCGAAGAAAACACAACACCGGTGCCGGAGACCGAATCCACGCGTCAAAGATGGACGTCCACTTTGGCACCAAGGTCCGCAAAATCGTCGGCAGCGACGAATCGCAAGGCGAATGGGTCGCGCTGGACAAGGAGCGCACTCGTGTTCCGGGTGAAGACGACGAAGCCTACGAGTATGACGATGCTTTCGCTGCCACCAACGAGACAGCCCTGGCCCGTCTACGACGTGGTGACGGAGCTGCGTCGGAAGCCGAAACTCCCAAGAAGGGCTCACAAAAACGCGTTGGTGCTAATGGCGCTAGCGAGACCCCAAAGAAGCAGCTGGCTGAGGTCAATGGCGCCTCGGCTCAGCCCACTCGTCGATGGTGGCACACCTACAAGTACCGTGATATCCTCGGCATTGCTCCTCTCAACACTTTGTCGGGCGATAGTTCTGACGAGGGCCCTGGTGGTAACCTGGAAGTCGCGGTGGTGGAACGCCCTATGTGGGATGTTGAGCTGCCTGGTCGTTATGTCAAGGACTACGAGTGAAGCAGATATATATGGAGTGAAGGCTTCTGTAAAAAAAAAAAGACTAGGATGCAGCTTTCAGACATGTAATTTGGTCATTTGAGCATATTTTTTTGAGGAGCGCATTTTCCCGGCGCCTTATGTACAGGGATTTTGAATTGATGATTGCCTAAAATGACTTGTCCATAAACAGCGAGCCTCGTATATTCTGCATTTCAACGAACACAGTGATAGGATATATGTAAGTACAATTAGTTGTTGTATGTAGATACATGTACATACATACGTATGTCGGCAGAGAAGCTCAGGGTTCGAGACCAACGATGATTCAGGGCTGGTGCGGGGCCTTAGGCAAAGGGATTAAGCCTTCGAACTCATCTCATCTGACTTCAATTCCTTTGTACACCCTGAACCCAGCCGATCCTCTCCGAGACATCCATAAATTCCATAAACTGCATAAATCCCGTTAAGCCAGCTTTGTTCTCCGTGAATCCCGAGTCGCCTCTTATCGGCTTATCGTCCACACGTCAGCTGTTCACGACAACCCAGGCATCATTCTAAACCTTGTACGAAGGCTCTGGTCTCTAAGGGATTTGAATTAGCCAAACAGGGCTTCAAGCTTGAAACTTCTTCCAAGAGGACTGGCAGCAGGACTGGGTCCTTCTGAGTCAAAACAAAGGCGGGGCGACTACTCCATATTCAAGCCCAAGCAGCCAAACACCCTGCCCCTTTTCAATAAACCGTCCGCATATCGCTTTAGGTTCAGTGCAAGCTCTCTACTCTTCGGACTCACTTCCCAGGATACTCTACTTCCCATATTACCAGAAATTCTTTATACACCCTTGTCCGCCAATAGCCGCAGCCACCATGGGTCTCTCATACAACGTCTACTTGACCGCCAACAAGATCTTTGGGTGCAAAGACTGCAAGACCCATCTGGCAGACTACAATGATATCATCAGTCGGGTATGGAGTTATCCTGCTGCGCCATCTACGTTTATGGTCGTTGCTAACCCATCATCACCTAGTCATTCCGAGGCCAACACGGGAAAGCATACCTCTTCAACAGTGTTGTCAACGTCACACAAGGCGAGGCTGTTGAGCGCAGCATGACGACCGGTCGACACATCGTGCGGGATATCTCCTGCAGACAGTGCAAGGAAATTGTAGGATGGAAGTACGACAAGGCATACGAGAGCGCAGAGAAATACAAAGAGGGCAAGTTTATCCTCGAAGAGGAGCTTCTATGCGTGGTGTGCTAGATGTGATATACGAGACGTCCAGGCATCGATGACATCGTTTCGAGATATTGATTTTCGGGGTTCTATTTTATTCATTCAGCGGGTTGCATTCTCTGGGCATTTATTTTTCTCGTCGCTTTTGCAGATTGATTTGCTTTTGCTTTTCAGCTATGGTTTTCGCGAAAGGCGTTGATTGGGGCATTTGATATGAATCGGTTATTCGGGCTTGATCGAAATGGGTTTCTCCTGTGGACATGGTCTGGTGTAAGAATCACTTCTTAGATATGTCCTTCGAATAATACCATTTCACGGCTCATCTCTCTTCCGCGTAGTATTACCGTAAGTTTCTAAGGCTCTCGAAGCATATTTCCATACTATGTTCTATACTATTTTCTATTGAATCTTTGTACTTGTTCAGGGATATTAAGACTACCTATGTATGTCTGCAGGCGTGGCCAACATCGATTCTACCGATATAATCATTCTTCTCTAGAGCATCTATATCCCCTTCCGGCCTCACTATCAGTGGAGACAACAGTGGTACCGCCCCACCAGATAATTCGCACAGAAGCCCGAGATGGAGAAATTACACCATAGAATTCTTTTTAAAGGCTTCGGATCCGAGTCTAACTTGATCGTTCGATATTCAGCAAATTTCGACATCTAAGAAACGGTTGGTTCCGAATCTCCCCCACCACTCCCCAAGTAAGTCTCTGCCGTGTGTCCCAACTATAAAGAAGAAAAAGAAAGACAAAAAAGACATTGACTAATTGTTACACGCAGAATGGCACCTGCTCCCTCGGACTCTGGTATGATGCAGGCCGTCGTGTTCCACGGGCCTTACAAGGTTGCCGTTGAGCAGCGGCCTATTCCTAAGGTGCAGAACCCGGAGGATATCGTGGTTAAGGTTGGATATACCGCACTGTGTGGAAGGTAACTTTAAAATTGACCATGCATTGACCCTATTGATTAATTCTATACAGTGAGTTGCATATGTTCCGTGGCGTGGAGCCTGCAGGGACTGGCTTCGTAATGGGCCACGAGTTCGTGGGAGAGATCGTTGAGATGGGTAGTGCTGTCAAGACTCTTCAGAAGGGTGACCGTGTTGTCACTGCTTTTACTACTTCATGGTTTGTTTCATGTCGACTGGATTTACTGGATGGGATTGCGCTGACATCATGATAGCGGGGAGTGCTTCTACTGCAAGCAAGGGTGGTCATCGCGCTGCGACAAGAACGGTCTCTTTGGTTGTGACAGCTTGGACGGTGGACAGGCTGAATATGTGAGTATCTATGGTATAACTCTTCATACGCTACTTGTATTGATATTGAACCAATATAGGCCCGGATCCCCAATGCCGAAGGTTCCGTCATGAAGGCCCCCGAGGGTGTTGACGAGAAATTCCTAGTGCTCATGGGAGACATCTTCCCCACTGGATGGTTTGCAGCGCATAATGCATTCAAGAACTCCACCCCGGAGCAGATTGCTGAGCAGACAGTAGTTTTGATTGGTTGTGGACCTGTTGGACTATGCGCACTCATCAATGCCCTCGAGTACAAACCCAAGCACATCCTAGCGGTTGACTCTGTCCCATCCCGTCTGGAACTTGCCAAGTCACTTGGTGCTGAGCCTTGGAACTTCCAGCTCGATCGTGCTGGCTTGGACAAGCGGGTGTTGGAGTTGACTAACGGACGTGGTGCTGATGCTGTTATTGAGGTTGTTGGATTGAGCCCTGCCTTGCGCACTGGGTTTGAATTGTTGAGACCTTTTGGAACTATCAGCAGTGTGGGTGTTCATAATGGAGAGGTAAGTAATATTTTTTGTCTCGGATATTGTGGTTGGCTAATGAGGGTTATTTGTAGATTCCTTGGGATGGCAATGATGCCTATTCCAAGAACTTGACTGTTCAAATGGGTCGATGCCCCGTTCGCTCTGTTTCTGCTCAAGCCCTTGACGTGCTTAAGAGAAACCAACATAAACTTAGGTAAGTTCATCATTTTGACATTCGGTAATTACTACATCATACCTGACACGAATAATAGCTTCATGGCCGATAAGATTATGCCACTCTCGCAGGCGGTGGAGGGCTATGAACTATTCAATGCAATGAAGGTGCAGAAGGTGATATTTCAAGCTGATCAATAGATATTAAATAGAATAGAAGTAGGGGAAAAAAGAGAAAGAAATACAAGAAAGATAGAAACCAACAGGAATATTGAAGTTGTAATCAGATATTTAACCAAAAGATTGAAGTTGGGTAAATCGTCTCCGCTTAATGCAAAACACCCACTCTCCCCATCGACTCTTCACTTCTTTCACATCTCATCCGTTTCTCTCACTTTCCCCCCATCTTGTCGCCCTCTTCCTATCCTCCTCCTCGTTTCCTTCTTTCCCCTCTTTCTCGTCCTCTTCCTCTTTTCTCCTTCCCACACGAAACTCTCCATCCCCCGTTTCCCCTCTATCTCTCCACATCTATCTCTTCGGTAAGTCGCCTCTTTCAATGAGATACTATTATCATAAACTCTTCACCTGCTAGATGTTTGCGCATGGATGCTTGTACCATGCGCACTTCATTTGCCTCTTAGATCGCAAAACTGACTATGCTGGTACTCAAGTGTGAAGTCTCTATCACCCACGTCTCGCGACCGTACGGTCTCAACGAACCCTTTATCCTATCTCACCTCGCTCTCGACCATATTCAACCATCCTCTTTCACTCCCACCAGATCTCGCCAACAATGGATTCCACTGAGATTCACCAAACCACCGTCGTGGACGAGCCCATGACTGATGCCTTCAACGACAACCTTGCCGATCAGGGTGACTTGGAAGCCCCGCTTAAGACTGAAGAGGAGTACTCTGTCTCTGAGCTCACTCTGCGTGCTATCGTCTCTTCCAAGGAGGCCGGTGTGATCATCGGAAAGGCCGGAAAGAATGTTGCCGACCTGCGCGATGAGACCGGTGTCAAGGCCGGCGTGAGCAAGGTAGTTCCGGGTGTCCATGACCGTGTCCTGACAGTCACCGGTCAACTGCGCTCGCTCGCTCGGGCCTATGCGATCGTGGCCAAGGGTCTCCTGGAAGGTGCCCCGCAGATGGGCATGGGCGGTATTGTCTCTAACAACGGAACCCACCGTAAGTGATACCATCTTTTTTTTTCGCCCTCTATATTATCTGGATTTGAGATTCTTGATATGGAGGGACTCGAAGCAACATATGCGAAAAGCGCAAAAACTCCATTTTGATACGAATTCGTGCTAACTATCTCCAGCCATTCGCCTTCTGATCTCCCACAACCAGATGGGTACCATCATCGGACGCCAGGGTCTGAAGATCAAGCACATCCAGGATGCGTCGGGTGTCCGCATGGTCGCACAGAAGGAAATGCTCCCCCAGTCCACAGAGCGCATTGTTGAGGTCCAGGGTACACCCGATGGCATCGAGAAGGCCGTCTGGGAAATCGGCAAGTGCCTGCTTGACGACTGGCAGCGCGGAACCGGTACCGTCCTTTACAACCCCGCTGTTCGCGCTTCTCTCAGCGGCTCCCAGCCGATCAGCAACAACCCCGCCCCCGGAAACGGTTACCCAACCAACAACAGCCGCCAGTACAACCGAACTGGCAACGGCGCCGACTTCAGCGATGGAAGCTACAACCGCCGATCCAACTCCGATGCCGGCTCTCGTGGCTACCCCCTCGTAACGGAAGATGGTGAAGAGGTTCAGACCCAGAACATCAGCATCCCTGCGGATATGGTCGGCTGCATCATCGGCCGGGGCGGAACTAAGATTACGGAGATCCGTCGAAGCTCTGGTGCTCGGATTTCCATCGCGAAGGCGCCTCATGACGAGACCGGTGAGCGCATGTTCACTATCATGGGCAGTGCCCAGGCCAACGAAAAGGCCTTGTACCTCCTTTACGAGAACCTCGAAGCCGAGAAGACCCGCCGCAGCCAACTCCCCCAGGAGTAATCTCCCTCTGAATTTTTCAGCGTATGGATGAGACGGTAGCGGTTCTCCTTTGTGTTTGACCTTACGACTTCCTTGGAGACTGTCGGTCACGATCAGCGGCGGTCATATGCTAGCGCTTCTTTTTCTTTTTTCTTCTTATTCCAAGTGCCTCAGTTCAAACTCAACTTTATCCTATGTCCCACGTCTCTTCGGCAAAAGTTCAATGGATCAGTATTAGATACCAAGTCTGGGTCTTTGACCAGCGTTTGACCAGCGTTTGACCTCGACCTTCGATGAATCGCAAATGTCCGATCCTACCTATCCCTCACCTCGTTACGTTAATGACAGACCCCTCTTGCTTCGCTTTGCTTACATCTTGCCTTTGCCTGGATGTACCTAATTCGTCCCCCTCCTCCCTTCCCTAGTTTCGTCCTCGTTCACCTTGTGCGCCGTCTAGGCGTATATTGATCCGTGTCTTTCTTCCCCTTATCTCTTATTCCTGTTCCTCCGCGATTCTCGTATCCTATCTTACCCTTTCTTTGTCGACGTGTACCTGGCCTTTGATAACTGAAATCTTGAAACAATAAAAAAAAAGCTTCTTATCTCTTATTCTTTATTCTACCTCGGGGATTCCAGGTTTGGTAATGTGGATGTTAATGTACCATGCAATTGCGATAGACCTAGAGACCACCATTTACATTGAGGGATCATAGAAAGTCCCCACTGTGCGTTTCAATATAATGGTGGCGCCAATAGACATCTGATCGACACAAGTAAAGGTGCCTGAGGGGTTCACCTCCTTAGTTATGCACCCAAGCTCACTAAGGTGAAGGGCCTTTATATAATGGGCTAACCTCTTATAGTCTGGTCATGATCTAGTACTTTCAAGTTTAATTTCTGCATTCGATGCCATCGGTATCAACCTCGCAAGATTCTAGGGTTTTCAGCCTCCAAGCTTATGGACACCCCTCTCCATACAACATACCTAGAACTTCATTATCACTATGAACACCACACCAGAAAAAATACTTGACATTGATGATGCTTTGGTTTCAGACACTAATCCAGTCCGGACTGACGGCCCTCTCGACTGTGAACGCTGCGCAAGGCTGCATAATTACCTAGTCGCGCAGGGCTGCATATATTCAGGATTTTTATAACACGTATATCTTTAGATATAAATCTAGTGAGTCCCCTAAACTACCACTTATCTCCCTTGATAACTTAATACGTTCATCGTTTGCAAGTGAACAATCGTATTGGTGGATCATTCGAAGTCAAACATTATGCCTCCGTCATATCCAACGGGCAGATTAGCACACGGGTCTCGGAGGATGTCCTCGTGGTTCAAGTCATGGAAATAGAGGCCACAGGTGTCGTTGCGGGTCCTGGGTGACCAGGTGGGTACAATAGACTGAAGATGTTCAAACCTAGGGCGTATTGGAGGTCCCACGACGCGTAGAAGAAATAGCGAGCGAGATCTATCGCCACGAGGAAGAGGCACCAGTTGAGCGCGGTTGTGGGAAGTATGAGCGGGAACATAGTATTGAAAATGAGAAGCAGGGGAGGCAGAAGCGCGGTGTCTTTTAGGTCCATGGTACCGTGAGATACATTTTTAATCTACAGCCCAGAAGATTAGGGTATGCGGGAACTTCGATTTCGAAGGATCGGGGCTCACCAACAGTTTGATTGTCACTTTGGAATAGGCTAGCCAAAGGAGATAAAGAAGGTGAAAGGTGCAGTGACAAGATTTCCGAAACAGATAGACCATACAGCAAGTTTGGTGAACGCTGCGGTAGGAATTAGAGGAAACCGTGTTCTCAGTCCTCGTCGTACTGGGATTTGAACACCTATCTTCTCTAGAGGGGTCTTTGCTCCAAGTACGGCAAGGTTCACGTTATGACATATTGCGGTAAGAAGCCCGCTAACGATGCCAAAAATCATGATGTGAACCATTGCCAGCGGCAAGCCTCCCAGGTTAATCAAGTGGATGTGCCATATTGACTGGCCAAAGCAGGCTGTGAGGAGATGGATAGCAATCAGAAGGAATTGACCTTCGGCCACATCTACCCGTCCAGAAATCATCTGCTGCTTGACGTGGCATAACCAGTGGGTGGAAAGAAAGCAAGATTCGGCATCAGGAAGCAAAGAAGGTTCAGTATTAGATACCGATCCAGCTGGAAAGCCACTGCGATTTCTAGAGTGACAAATATTGTTGAGATAGCGTCACATCCATGGTCATAGCTATATCCAATAGATTCAGCTTGGTTGATATGAATCTAAGGATCAATGAACTCACACTCCTTCAATTTGAGTATTCTGGTTAGCAATAGCAACCTTTCCATCGATGCCGTCCAGCGTTCGATAGAAAAAAAGACGCCAATTGCAGCAGCGAAAAAGGCCCAGGATGGAAGCTCACTGGTGTCCAGCGAGTCGTGGAGCAGGCATGTAAAGGTGTTGATCACAACCCTCCTACAGGTGAGGACACACGGGGCAATCCAAATGGAAACTAATCCACTGAGGTAGATCCAAAATTGCTGTAGAAAGAGGGCCTCCAGGTATGAGTCGTTAAAAGCGTGATATGTATAGGTCGTGCCACGAAAGAAGGCCATCTCATGCTCATTGAGGACCCGGCCGCTGATCTGACCGTTTTTGAGGCTGACAGCTCCACGTGAAGGGCTCATATCATGTGCTATCATGATGGGAGTTGGAATATTGTGGAATTGTAAAGGAGGAATAGAAATTGGTTCTGGGATTAGGGCTTTCTATCAATATTAGCCCCCATCTGGTATGTTTACGGTGGATCGAGGGATAGGGAAGGGTAGTATAGAGAGGCCCGCTTTGTTTACTGAAGATTTACTGAAGTGCCTAAGACAGGAATCTCTTGGGTTCACAGGTAAACACAGGATCTGCAGTTTTGCATATTATGTCAAGCGGTTTGGTCTAGATTAGCTACATAGTAGGACTGGGAGTTCAATAGTCTGAAATTAGAATTAATTGTTATAATATGCGTCAATTGAGTCAGGCTCGTGAATAACTAGTGGCATCGAACCCCCGAGATTGGACCAAGAGAGAGCGAGGGCAAGCTAGATAAAATTATTACAGGGAAGCAAGGAGAGGAGAAGGTTGTATCCTAATTACCGTCACAATTCGCGAAACAACAATGGCACAGTTTAAATGCACTATATGACACCCTATCTAAGTTACATACTGCAGATATCGCTGATTATTGGCTCTTGTCGCACTACTCCTTAGGCACACTACTTTGGGAGAGGCAAGTGGGAGCAATTGACTAATTAGGCGCATCAATTGGGGTTGAGATATCTTACTATGTTTTGAATTTAGTACAAGTGCCTCGCTTTGAAACTCAAAACATCCTCGGTGAATTGGCTAGACTGATCACCTTGTAAAATAGGTACAATGCGTGGACGTATAGCTTGCATATTATCAAGGTTTCTTTTATGTACGCCAGCGGAGCAAATGTACAAAGTGCTTTCACCAATATGCCTACATGTAGATAGGGTATATTTCGCACAATAAGTATCAATAATCTCATATTCCATTCCATCGTTACGTATGTAAATGCTCATCTAACAAAAGAAATCAGGAGTAGGTACAATATGCGCGCGGATAATTCAACAAAGAAAACAAAACAAAAAGACTGCCAGGGCGAGATGCAACGACAAAGCCAGCCTAAGTAAGAACAATAGTAAGAGTATATGGACAAAGAAAAGACGCCGCCAATGGTTTTTTACATGAAAGGGCATGGAGGTGTTCCAGCCGTAAGTAGTGAGTCGTAGCGAAGCGGGACACCGAGGTTGACGGGTGATGCATGGCCTTTCAAACGCCAATTGACAAGGCCAAAATGCGAAAGCAATGCAATGTAACAGGACGTTAATCAATACTATCATCCAGGTTGGTATTATTGGGTGTTGTTGTTGTTGTGGGGGCGCGATTGCGCAGGCCGAATCTGCGCGCGTCGAGACTATTCGTCCGCAATCGTGGTTGTTGGATAGGGGTGTAGCTCGTTGCCATTTTGTTTGAAGTTGAGATCCTCGTTTCCAGTGGTGTTCTGGGGGGTTCGTCGGCTTGGATGTTATTCGAGGAGAAGCTTGGTGTGAGGCCGTAGCGGCGGGATCCAGCTTGGATGTTTGAACGGGATGTAGTGGGTGTGTAGGTTGCTGGGCCGATGTAGCTTCTGCGGAAGGAGAGGTTGGATGAGAGGGTGGGTGTTCTGGGTTGGGGTTGTGGTTGCGGGACTTGGGATTGTTGGTATTGTGGGGAACGGGGAGATATGCCGATTGTTCCTTGGTCTGGCGTTGCGCCGGAGGAGAAGCGTTGGCGGTGGGTTCCTGGGGTCGAGAGTGGTGTTGCGATCTCTGTGTTTGCTCTGGATATTGAACGGCTATGCGGACTCGTTGCGTCACCGTTAACCTCGCCCAGTGTTAGTCTGCGGCTACGGAGAGAGGTTGACGCGCGATTCAGTCGGGTGGTTGGAGTAGGAATGCCGGGAGATTGAGTTGGGCTTTGCTTTATTTCCGCCAAGTTTCCGGGACTGGTGTTGACCATGGATGTTCGACGTGCATCAAGACGACTGGAAATGCGAGTTGTGCTATGACGTCGCTCGATTCCTTCCGGCTCTGGCTCCTGTGTCGCATTTCGTTTATGCGTTGGCATGGATATCCGAGAATTGGTATCCGTGCCATTCAACTGGGGCTGCGTGGCAGGTTCGCGGCTCGAAGATGGCCGATGATTCTTCAATTGCTCATCTGTCAAGGCCAGGCAAAGCTCTGTCAGGCTTCGACACACACTGTCGGCTTTGCGGCGGGCGTGCCTTTCGGGTGAGCTGTATCCCCCATTCACGACAGACATGCTACCCGATGTGGCGCCATTGGCGCCCAACGCAGAGGTGAGAGTCAAGGCATCTGTAATTGTTGCTTCGAGGGAAGTGTACACCTCACCGCTCAAGACCGCTCTTGCCTTAGCCAGCGCAGACTGCAGAATGGGCTGCACCTGGCTATGGCTGGAGTCGGTGTCTGCAGCCGAGATGCTTGCCTTGCGGTGGTACCTGGGCGAGGAGGATAGGGTGGTAATGGCAGTATTTGCAGTGCGCGGTCGCTCGTTGGAAGGACTGTACATCGCTGCGGAAGAAGATGGAGGCAGCTTCCCTGTCAATTCTAGTTTTTTGATGCGGTCTTTGAGATCGTCTAGCTCGTCCCAGACCGTGGATGGCGCTGTAGTCGACAATGTTGACTCGGTTCCATCTGGCCGCGATCGTTCAGTGTCAGCACGCGCTCGTTCTGTCGCTTCGGATGTAGATGGCTGGCGACTGCCTCTGATTGTAGAAATTCCGGAATGGCGGTGTCGCGGGTCATGCATGGAGGAGCGACGATCGTCAACAACGGAGGGTGCCCGCGGGGAAGTCTCAGGACTCGTACGGCTGAAGCGACTTCGTGGTACTCCGACGGTTGATCGCGCGCCAGATCCCAAACTATTATAGCGGAAACGATTCGCATCATCTAGCGGATGGGCGGATGACGCCGTGTGGGAGCTGTAGGGGGTAGTAGGAGAATCATGTTGAGAAAGCAAGGGGTTGTCGACATTGCTGTATCGCTGGTCGGGTGAGGGGGTTTGATCAATAGTTGGCGACCGTAGACTCTGGCTAGAATATCCCAGGCGTGACTAATTTTTCAATGATCTCCGTTAGCCGTAAGATCGCAAGACGGTTTTACCGGGGTGTGCTGTCGCGATGGAATGCCAGAGCGATCAGGAATGCGATCGGGCGCAAAGCTCTGTAATGTAGACTCACCCGTCTGAAATCAGAGCGACCGATAGAGTCACGATGACCAGAGCCACGATGATCAGGGTCTCTCGCTATGTTCAGGAATATATCCTCGTTTTTGGGGCGACCCTCATCCATTAGAGACTTGTTGTCAGTCCCCGGAGTGCCGTTGGTGTTCAGTGAGGGAGCATTTTCATTTCTATTTCTTCCAGAATATGCCAGACTTGATGGCATGGTTCTTTTCACATCAGGGCGATCTGGGAATCCGTTCTGCCTTCTCTTCGCATGAAACTGGGGGCTGGGAGGGTTGAAGCTTAGGCCGGGTCGCCCGTGCAATGAGGAGTGCTTTAGAGTGCCGGGCGTTTCAGTAGTGGGGCCATCGAAGCGAGCTTGAAGTGACAAAGAGCGAGAATTGTGATAGTTGTCTGGTTGGTGATAGGACTGGTTGGGCTGGAAATATTGGTCACGGGGACCTGCAGCCATCATACAAGAAGTTCACAGGTTCGCGGGTTGATTTTGACGTTTCTGGGGGAAGCTAGTTACGCATATTCCCGAAACATGTCAACATGTCAACAATTTAAGATGAGAAAAAGAAAAGTTAAGAGAAGTACTTTGGAAGAAATTGACCTGTCAAATGTTTGTGAATGAAAAGTTTTACATTGTGGGTATCCTTATATGCCCTATGTTTCTATGTTGATTTCTTGTTCTATTTCTATGTAGGCTAAGGTCTAGATAGGTATGGGATCATAGGATAGACTAAGGTATATGATGGTATGCTATAACCAGTGTACATAATTAGTGAAGTATTAAGGTCTGAGATGTATGATTGAGGAATTGACATGTTTATAGAAGCGAATAATAGAAAGAAACAGAACAGAAGAAAAAGAAGAGTAAAAGAAGGAAAACATGTTACCTAAAAGCCCATGCGATTTCCACCAGCAACCATGGTTCAGCCTCACCGGAGGACATGGGTTGAAACATATACCTAGGCAGATATTATATACTATAGTTCTATCCTATATCATTCAATTTACTTTAAACGCCTTGATAACTTACATACCTATAAATCAGCTAAATATACGGAGTAGAGTCCTGGGTAACCTGGCTAATTTTGACCTCGGCCATTTCTCTCGTTTCAGGTTATCTATAACCATAAGACACAGTTTCTGATTGATTAATGGTGAACTCCACTCAGCTAGATCATACAAATCATGTCCAACCTACTCTATGTATGTACATAGATAGGCTTCCCTAGACCTAGATCGGGGATAGGACTGCTACAACCAACTAGCTCACCTTCTATAACTATAATCTACACCCTATCTCAGAAAAAATCTTCAATATCGTCATAGGGCTTATGACATGCAAAGCCACCATACCCTGGATATGCAAACAATTGATAGTAGAAGCCACATCCTTAGAAAATAGAGCCCTAGGTTTGGAATTGATTATTGGTTGGAGCTATGTATGCAGTGATGGCTTGAGCAAGGCACTACCTTGGGAACGATATTGCCTTGTGAAATCACACTTACCTAGGTTGCAGGAGAATCAGCAAGGGAGACCATGAGTATCTACAATTAACGACATATGTACTCCGTATGTAGTAGAGAATTCTGCAGTTCCAAGAATCACCCATTGTGGACTCAAGGTCCTTGACAATATCGCTTAACCCGTAACCTCGTGAGGCGAAGCGGTCTAGCAGAGAGCGCCTCGCGTCGAGTTTAGCACTGGCTTGATCCCTTAACGACGCCACGATGACCCTGACAAATTCCTGTGAATGTAATATTCCACTTACTAAGTATAGCTGCGGACCCTCACATGGCATGTGACTCTACGATATTGTATATATTGTACTCTGGAGAAGAGTCTAGGCAACCATGGGTCAATCTGGGGATCGTACACAATGTTGTATAACTGCAACGAGTGAACCATGGTGCCAGCTCCAATTTATATCAAATCTAGTATCAAGTACGGGGTTAGTCCATGGTAGAGCCAGGTTTCTTATAAGATAGGACTAATAAAGCGTGATCAATAAGTCCGAAACGCAACAGCGATAATTCAGACGTTAGCCGATCGTATTGTCATTCGCTCTTATTTTTAGAAGAGGAGTTGTGCAAACGCCAGGGAAAGGGGATTAATTTATCTGGAACTTTGTTGGAGTATGCTTACATACGTGTTGTGCTTATATTATATATTGCACGGAAGATATGTGTGAGTCCGATATTCGTGATGATCATTATTGGTCAATTTGGCGGATGTCGATCGTACATACAATAGTGTACCATGTAAACAAGTCATAACCCTGGGCAAGGTTGAAGCTCTATAATGTATGGAGTACAGGAGTACGTATGTAGGAATATCCTCTCCAGACTCGGCAATTCATAACATGGAGAACTAGTTTCAGAATTGGACAATCCATGTGGCAAGAAGAAGATCGGTGTTGATCCTAAACCTCGTATGTTGTATGGCTATCAATATTGTAGGGCGAAGTAACTTTGAAACATACAATATTGTACGCAATATTGTATGGAGTAGCAGGATGCCAAGATGCACGTAACTACTAGCGTTAGACTGGCGTGTTTCACAACCCAAACCAGATCCATCGGGTTTCAGGACTTTCAAGGATTGAACAATTTTCTCCTCTTCAATTCTTCCAATCACAGTCTCGTATCCCACTTTGGTTCCTCATTTCATCGGTATTCACCAATCACGGGTATCGTGATGTTTCCCGTATCATCCATGGATCAGCCAGCCCACCGTTCACCCGCTAATTATTTGGGATTTGGATATATGTTCTTGAACAAGATAAATAACTACAACGTATAGTATACACCTAGGTAGTAGTAATGACAATATCCAAAATAGGTTCTGAGACGAATATACAATTTAATACTCCGTAGATACGTATACAACGTATACTATAGTACGCACCTACCTACATAGGTATATGTACTAGCAATCGAAGATCTCGAATTTGGAATTAAATCGAGCCGGGGTACTACGCAGCATCTCCACCATATCCCGTCTCAACCACTGTCTCGCCCCCTTGTCACCCTCGGCCTCAACCCGTGTATTATTATTTCTCGTAAAGGGAGCCTTGTCTTTGGTAACGTTGTTACAAGATTTGTGTATTGTTTATGGTACGGAGACCTCTGTACGAAGTCCTACAAAGTACACTATTGTACGGAGTAGTGTGTTAGAGGTTCACACTTTAAAGCTGAAATGTGGGACTCGGTGGGCCTATGCTGGAAATCTCGCTCATATTCGGTCGATATTGTACAATACTGGTACAATGTCAAGAACATAATCAAGAATAAATTAAGTACAATTCACACAGAGAATAGTTATACAGAGTATCAGGTAGTAAAGTAAAATAAAATACTTTTCAACTAAGGTGGGAGAGGCACACTCTCGAGCCTCTCATTTACGTGCGTTTGACGCCGACGCACATTCCAGGGCTAAAATTAGAGCAGCCAACGATGGTTGGTTTCAGCTGTACTCCGTATTGTCATTTTAGCATATTGAGTATGTGTTTAGTATGCGTTTAGTATGCGTTTAGTATGTGTTTACAGTATGTGTTTAGTACGTGGAGTACTAACTATGTGTAGTAATGTTTAGTTTGTATCAAATCTTCATCTAAATAAAAACAACTAAGGGTCCAAAATTGACGCTTTATGCCTTTTTTTCTTCCTCTTCCTTTTTCCTCCTCCCACCAGGCGCTTGTATCAACGCACATCAACATCCTTTCATCCCCTTTCCTCTTTGCATCTTTTCCTGGGGTACACTTCCCTTTGACTCTCCTTCAACCTTTTTCAAACTCCGTTCCCTGGTGGAACTGCCTTCAATACGCCTTTAGAAGAGAACCTCTTCACACCTTTTATTCTTTCCCTTTGATCCTTTGATCCTTTGATTATTCAAGATTTACCCTATCGATCTAGGTACGTCTACTTGACATGCATACGGATAATTTCATTGTGCATGATCGGATCATTAGTTCTATGCCTTGCGTCCCTCCTAGATCCAACACTAACGGTCTTTAGACCAATTTGCGCAGGTAGCAATTTGGATCCCCGGATGCTATTTTAGCCTCTCTTGAACGGAGCCAACCTCTTTCATATCTCGAACAATGCCAGTACAAACGAGTCCACTGTCCTTCTCGGATTCACTTCCATCTTTCATGTCCGTGTTTGGTGGTCCGCTTCCCCGATACAAAGAGGAAGATCCTATTCATCCTCTGCAATATCCACAAGTCCCTGTCGACACACACATTTTACCTTCTCCACACCGTGAGAGCGTGTCATCAATGCACTCGGCCTCAACGGAGTCCTCCCCGACTACCACAATCTCGCCTTTTGATTCACCCGGTGGGGGTGATATCTCTCCGAGCTCCTCCCCGGAATCACCCTCAGCCATGTCCGTCTCATACCCAAAGTTCACATCGCGCCCAGTGGAGTTTACGCACCCTGCACCCGACTTGCGCCATACGCGTCCAGACTTGCCAAATAACCGGGCGCGTAACCTCAAGAATTTGTCTCTGCGAATGCCACCGCCCTCGGGGGTCCCTCGTCAAACCATATCTACTGCTTCAATTGTGGAAACAACCCCAAAACACCATCATTTTGATCCTCCCTTATCCGCGGCCATTCCGCCGTCAAAGGGTTTAAAACGCCGCCCCGCCGCCAATCTAACAATCCAAACCCCCACCTTCAAAACATCGTTCAAGGGTGACGTGCCTTCAACTCCTTCTCTGCGCCATGCGGAATCCTCGCCCTCTCTTGCTGGTCCCTCTCTTGCGGGTCTCAAATCGCCTTCGTTCGCCCCAAAGGGAGGTATGCAGCTTCCGCGACCAATGTCCCACCACGACATGCGCCGTCTCTCTACCGACGCCTCCACTACCATATCGACACACGCTGATGGATCCGGCTTCTCTCATCGCGTACTCGACGGTTTAGAAGAAGAGGATGATCACTTGGATTCGCGGGAGTCGACTAGGAAGAAGGACCGCGGCTACCCCGATGGCCCAATTCGAATCCACGATGCTGGAGTTTATCTTTATCTGGAACCCACAGCCGAGGAAGCAGCCAATTTTGATGTAGTGATCAACGTTGCCAAGGAGGTGGCGAACCCTTTCAGTGTTATCAAGGAGGAAAAAAATGATACGGTGATGAGCACATGGCGGAACACCTCCATGACTTCGAAACGCTTCTCCCGCGACGATCCCCAAACTGCGATTTCGGAAATATCATTCAAGTCTGCCTGGGAGTTTCAGCCCTCGGATTCTGAATCGGGAACTCCCACGGTTCCCAGCCCTGTTATTTCCAGCCCTCAAACCTCCACACCCGAGTACCTCCACGTTGAATGGGACCACAACTCCGAGATCCTCGAAGATCTCTTGCCACTGTGTGAGCTTATCGATGACCGCATTGCCGAAGGAAAGAAGGTCCTCGTGCATTGTCAGCTCGGCGCCAGCCGCTCAGCATCCCTAGTGATTGCCTACGGATTGTACAAAAACCGACACCTTGATTTCAACTCGATGTACGAAGCCGTCAAGGGACGCAGCAAATGGGTTGGTCCGAACATGAGCCTCATCTACCAGCTTACAGACTTTCGCTCAAAACTGCTACGGGGATCCACTTCCAAGCCCCCTCCCCAGGAATGGTTCGTGCAAACCGGCCGCCGCTGCTCAGAGCCCCAAGTCGCCAGAGCCGAGCGTCCACCAACAACCGAATCCAACAAGCGCGGCCTCTCTCAAGCACCCTCAATGAGCTGTCTTTCCATTCCAGAGCGCAGCACTTCCACGCGCCCAACCACTAGCCACAGCAGCACCGAGTTCAAATCCTATTCTCCGAAGCGAAGCCTCTCCCCGCGTCCCCTTCCCTTCAGACAGAAATTCCAATCCATCGAACCAGCCTCAGCTCGTCCCCGCCGCTTCCCCCGCAGCGTAAGCAGCTGCGACCCCCTCGTACAAACGCATGTTTTCGTCCGGGACGCCCCAGACGCCACGGGTCTCCTATCCCCGCGCACAAATGAATTCCTCTCGCCCACCCGTCTGGCCCCGCCAATCTTCCACAAAATCGACCGCTCACCAGCTCTATCGCCTCAAACGCGGTTCAGCGCCGAGCCCGTCGACCCACGCTCGCCTCCTTCTGGCGGTGACGCGCTGATCATGAGATCCATCGATGAATTCCTGTGATTCCCAGACTTGAATGACTCACGACTTGACTTTTTTCATGTCTTCGCGCTTGAAGATCATGCCTACATCCATGCCCTCAGGGCAGACTTCTATTCTCTTATTAATTTCTTCCTTTCATCGTCTTCCCCGCGGAGAGATGACTGGCCTGATGATATTCATGACCAAAGCGGGCTTTGCTGTCGTTCATCGCCATTTTGCATACTTTGCCTTTTTTTTCATCTTCTCATTTTGCTGACACCTCACAGCCATCCATTGTGGGGTGTCTGTTTTGCCAGACTCTCATCAACTATGGCCTGGTATTTGTATTACTATTGAGGATCTCACACCTCGCATTACGGCTTCATCCTGCTCTCTTTTTTGTTTTTTTTCCCTATTTCCATCTCATCTTGTTCAGACAAGGCCTTCATTCTCTGGCTTTCCTGTGTTCGGCATTCGTTCTTTTCGCTGCTGGTCGTGGACCGGTGGCTTGACTTATGGGTGGAAGAGGCATGATAATACCCCCTTTGCGCAGTCTCATAATAGAGATTCTTCAAGTTTGACTCTTCTTTTGTATGCGTAGTTTGATTCCTTTGTAGAATTGTAATGGGTATTCGTAATTAGAGAGAAATCACTTCGATTCCTATAGTGTCAACATTGAAGCTGATGGATGCTGATAAGGATAGCGATAAGCAATATAATCCAACGTAAATTTTCCCCTCCATCGACCTCAACCCCCAACATTGAAATAATACAATGGCAGACTCAGACTCTCACCCGGCATACCTGTCGCCTAGCGAACTGGGCACAAAAGACTAGTAAGTCCTCAATCCAGGAACATCGTCAACAACCCAATCCATGAACCCCGCATTACCCCTCCAACCACAGATCCCAAGATACAGATACAACCACCCAAACAATTCCCAAATTCCAATCCCCACATAAATACCGTAAAAGCTAACAGCCTCAGCTGGGAAAACTACTACGCCCGCACGCTAGCGCACATCTCGCACGAAAAGCCCTCCGCAGAAGCCCCCGCCGAAGCAGAAGCCTCAGACTCCGATCTAAACGACGAAGACGACCCAGGCACATCATGGTTCAGCGAGCACAACGCCCCGCAGAAGGTTCTGAAATTCCTAACGCAGAAATCCTTTCCCTGTGCGCCGCGCAACACCGCCAGCGCCAGCGTTCTCGATCTCGGCACCGGGAACGGGAGCATGCTTGCGTTGCTGCAGAAGAGGGGCGGGTTCCGGGGGAGGCTAGTTGGCGTTGATTACTCAAGGCAGAGTGTTGAGTTGGCGAGGGAGTTGCAGCGGGGACGGGGCCATTCGGCTTATCGGAGTGATTCTGAAGATGAAGATGAAGATGAGGATGAGGAGGATGGCGCGGAGCCAGCAGTCCCGGAGTCAAAGGCGGAGGCAGACTCAGAAGTGGCGCCCATTCAATTCGAGGAATGGGATATCCTTGGGTCGGAGGCACCGCTCTCTGAAACTGGGCTCGCGAGCTCACCCGCCCATGCCCTCCCCTGGTTCCCGTACGACGATGGTGGCTTTGATGTCGTTCTTGATAAGGGGACTTTTGATGCTGTTTCGTTGGCTGGGGATGCGAAAAATGCGCGTGTTTGTGAGCGGTATCCTGATATTGCGAGGCGGCTGGTCAAGCGCGGTGGGTTCTTGGTTGTTACCACTTGCAATTGGACTGAGGAGGAGCTTGTGCGGTGGTTTACTGGGGATCGGGGGAGTGGGGATCGGCTGGTTGTTTGGGGGCGTGTTGAGTACCCTGTTTTTAGATTCGGGGGCATCAGGGACAGGGCGTGTGTACGGTTTGTTTCCAGAGGGTCGGGGATGAATAAAGTGTAGATATTCGGGTCATGAGTCTATTGTATAACCAGGATATCCATGCTAAATGCAAACATCACAAATCCTAGCTATGTTCAACCATTCAACTCTCTTTAAACTGCAACACACCGCCAACTCTGATCCCTCTCCTCCCTAAACAGCATCAACACCCTCCTAATCCCCTTTCGGCAACCTTTACCAAATCCCCGTCCACAAGGCGTAAGGATCTACCCCATCATCCTCGCAAGGTTCTCATGCTACTCTCTCATACATAAACATTTGGCCGTGATAATGCAGCGGAATGAAAGAGCTCTTATCCTGGACCGAGAACTCGTCATCTAAACAGCCCCATTCGTGTCTGGACGATGCCAGCCCATCGAGCAGTAGCGTTCAACGCGGGAGGTTGTGCTCAATGCTAAATGTTACAGCGCCGGCAAGCGATGGGTTACTGCTACACTGGAAGCTTGGGAAAGGGCCCCCATCAGCTAGCTCGACATCCTCCGCAACAACCATGCCTGGGCTCCAAAGGAGATTCGCGAGTAGCTTGCGTATTGCATCGAGGCTGCTCGTTTCTCCGGTAGCTACCACCTCGGGGCGATTGTTGCTTTGGTTTGGAGAGCTCGGGCCATAATATTTAGGTCTCTAGGGCGAGGAGTGCCGTGGAGGAGGTATTGGTTTCAATCGCCGTGGGAGGAGTGGGCATCATCTGGGAGGAGGTGGGCGAGGAGAGAGCCTATGATGTTTTACGGGGATTCGTCGGTTTCTTCGTCGGCTTCGTTCTAGAAATCAGGTGTTGGAGCACATGGGATAGGATTAGAGTGTCATGGAAAGATTTGAGGCATGATTGGAGCATTGTTCAATTTGTTAGTGTGAGGGGTAATTCTACAAGGATTGGTGTTGGAGCTCTGGATGACTGGAAAGTCAATTGGCCTCCAGGGCTGTTATCAATGTTAATCATCGAATCCATCTGAATAAATCGTTATCGATCCTTATCATGGTTTGCATAGTTTGTGCTGTTTGCATTTTGATCTCGGGTAGATTACAATAATTGTAAGTAACCCCAGGTATTTTTCAGCCCTGGGGGGTCCGACCACGTCATTGGGATTGGAATTGAAATTGAATTGATCCTGGATTTACTGTCTTAAAACAATATTTAACGATGAAGATAACCATATTGTTATAGCTCTTTTTTTTACAAGATCGACAGAACATCTTAGCCGCAAGGAATGACGGGCCAGGAACCTCGGGAATGTGCCAGAATCAAGTAAGACCAGGGGGACAATGCCCAAAAATAATTCCGCGCAAATGCTCGTGCGCAGGGTAGTGTGACGCTCGGAGTAATGATCCTCTGCATTCTGGCAACATGAAGCGACACTTTGCATAGCCCGCAGGATTAGGTAACAGTGCCCAACTTGGAATCAACCCTTGCCCAGATGGAATTTATATAACAATCACAATCTTTTAAGCGCCCACAAAGATATTCTTATCCTGGAAATTAGATCCATTTAAGTCCAAGTCCACTTTGATAATTTGGGAATATTAGTCAACGCGTTATCACCTGATATCTGACATCATTTGGCTCCACTGCCACCGACTAGACCGTTCTATAGTTGATGCAAGTGATACATGGTCGCTTTGTACTTGGAAAGTCACTTGGGGCCAAGTTTTTATTAGTCTCTCCTATCATTGATACACGCACTCGTCATGGTTCAGTGACCTGATTGGTACTTCCATTACTTTTCAGCTTTACCCATCTTGTGACCCTGTTTTGATCGACAGGCAACTGCTCTTTTTTTTTTTGTTTTTTCAAAAAAAAAAAAAGTGAAAGCTGTTCACTTTGATCAGTTTTTACATTCGAATTATTATAGATAACATGGTAACCCTCTATAATATAGAATTGAATACAATTGTATAAAATTCCAGTTCGAAAAAACATTCTATATTCTCTGAATCTCGAACCATGGCTATACCTCTTCCCCTATACGGAACACTATCCGCGAATTATAATTATTAACACACAAAGATTCGCAGTTCAAAGCACTGTCTTCTCTTCTCTTTTGTTCTTTTTATTCTTTTTCTCGTTTCTCTTGCGAATTCGGGTGACTAAGTGGATCCGCTGATATCGCATCACCCAGAGTCATAGTCCATTGCGATACACAATATCATTCTCTTATATAAATCCTATATACAATAGCAGTGTATAATAGTAGTATATGTTACTATCTAATAATATTGGAGAAACAGAATCACAATATATTAGCAATAAAATACCAAAGGTGTGACCGGTGATCGTTCCCACCCCCCGCATGCTCAAAGGGAAAGGCCCCCGCAAACCTGAGCGATTTTGGCTCATACCGGCCCTGACTCTTTCTCCTTCTTTCTCCTCTTTTTTCCCCTTCCACCTTTCTTTCTTTTTTTCCTTTCCTAACAACTTTTTTTCTATCTTCATCTTCTCCCATTCTCTCTCTATATTGGCTTCATTTGCATCCCTCGCTCTCAATCCTATTGGATCAACGTCCGCGTCATAACATCTGTGAAATTGAGGGCAACTCGTGTCCTAGAGGGCTTGGAATTTAATTGAAAGCTTCCTCATTTTTATCCCACCATGGCCTCTTTCAAAGTACGTGCTCAGCATTGCTACCTGATTCTATATCATACCCCTGCTAATACTTCGGCCCCTTCGGCCATTCACAGGAATTGTCCATGTCGCGTCCCCTCAACCCCAGTCAGCGGCACCACGCGCACTCCATCTCGCTGGGTGCCTCTAATTCAAACCACCGGGTAACCCGTCGAAAGAGTGTCACCACCGCCGCTGCCCACGCTGCCGCCGCGGTTGCTGCATCCATGGAGGGCGGCGAATCCACCTCGCTTCCCATGGGTGCCCACCGCCGGAGCCTCGCAGGCCGCAAGGGACAGGAATCAGGCTCTGTCGGAAACATCTCTGGCTTCAGTTCATACCTCTCTCGCAGCATCAACAGTCCTAGCCAGGAACCATCGCTCCCCCGCAAGGGCTCCCCCGGATCGGATCACTCCGATAGCAAGCTCAAGAACCGGAACCGCCGTGCCAGCGAGGGTGCCATACTCAAAACTGAAGGAAAGCGTGTTTCGGCAGCCATACGGTGCGATCGCTGCGGGAAAGGGTATAAGCATGGCAGCTGCTTGTCTAAGCATATGTGTGTATCCCCCCTACCGCTCGACCGTCTTCCTCTTGCTCGATCGGGGTTATGTACCATGTCGGCTCTGTGCAGGTCGCCCTCGTGGTCAACAACCTCCCCCTTCGTCACTGTCCCCCTTTTTTCCACTCCTTACCTCAGCATTTGATTGACGTGTTTTTTTTCGTGGTATCTTAGGTGGGAACACGACCCAGCATGGGCCGTGACTTCGAAACTTCTCATCTCCAAGCACCAGCAGGTTCAACTACTGGAGGCCGCCTCCGTCTTGGTTACGATGAACTATAATGATCCACCCGATGAGTCCGCCGAATTGGAGTCAGAAATGTCATCCGGATCACCCGGTGCCGAGTCAGCAGCAGACGCCGACGCCCTTTCAGAACTTCGGGATGGCATCAGTTCCGCCGAGACCACGCCACCCCCAATGGACGAGGAGGAGGAAGACGACGACTTCGAGATGTCGGACATGCCCACACAATGGGCCAAGCGACCCAGTGCGAGCAACGCCTCCGGCTTCTCCCGTTCTTACCAGTCGATTCCCTCCAGTTCGTACAACGACAGCGCCCCGCTGCATTCGCCCGCCTTCTCCCACTTCCGCAACTCGAGTATCGACACCCGTCCGTCGACTGCAGATACACGATTACACGAGGATGATGAGGCGGATCTGGCCGCGGCCATTGGTCTCTGCAATTTCGGCACTCCCCGCACAGGGCCGGTATCCATGACCCCCGATGTGCCACCAGTGCCCCCACTGCCCGCGCGCTATCTCGACTCGAGCAGCCACCCGAATTACCAGAGTCCCCACTCTGTTCAATCGCGCCCCACCGAGGAAGCCGCTCGTAGAGACTCCGAGGCCAATATCTTCATATCCAGGTCGCTCAACCCGTCGCTTTCATACAAGGTGTCGGATGAGCGGGAGGTCCGAACCGGTGGCAACGAGGCCCAGGAATCCCGTCAACGCCGCAACGCAGACGTGGACTTCAGCAACCGCTCAGCGCCGGATGACGACGATGACGGTGTCTTTGGTCGTATGGAAGAGTAATCTTCCAAACGCGAATTCTGTCCTTTCCCTCCGAGCCAGTCTAGGTCACAGCGGCTATGCCGAACGGCCTTCCCTACTTCACGATCTCATGTACGAGCTTGAGCGAATTTTTGAAACTTCTTGTTTACATGTTTCCGGCACTCCAGGAGACTAGACCCCGCTCTATCTCCCCGGAGTGCCTTCTCGGGACCTTTTATTACTTTCGAGATCCCATGTATCATGTCTCCTTGGCCCGCTTAGTGCTTTTATTGTTCAAGTTTTTTTTTTTGCTTTTCCAGGAAACCCCATAAATGGCCTACTCTGTATGGCCGGCGCATATTCATCATTCCAGACTCGAAAGAGTCTCGGCTCTCGTTTGTTTTTGTTTTCTTTATTATTTTGCTCTCTCCACGCACATATATACCAATCCACAACACACAAATTCCCCTCGTCCGATCTTTATCCCTTCTCTTTCGTTTGACTGTGGTCTACTCACTCTAATTGTGTACTGACTTGGCGGACATACTATGAATATATCATGAATCACTATTTTGAATTACGAAGTCTCTAGAAATCGAATAAACGAATGCTGCTCGAAATGTATATAAGCCCTTATAAAAAGGCTCTGGCATATTGCTTCGCAAAGTTGCCATCTACTATATGGTTTTCAAGCTCGGGATAATCGACACTCCAACTTTCATATCCACCTTGTTGTACATCATATGCGGGGGAATCAGACCCACCAGGATCCATTTGATAATCTCTCATCTCCATATATTTCGTCATAGCTTGGCTGTGAGATATCTTTAAGACATCGGTTTGAAGATTTCTGGGCCTTAAATACCCTGTTCAGTGCGGGCATGCTCAGTAGGAGGGGATTTGAGATGTATCCCACACCACAGGTTATTTACAGTAAACCAAGGGAAAATTTCCTGTATTCACTAAACAATGCCCCTAGTGTAGCTTTGAATCATGGCGCATTTTCCTAAGTCTCGAACACACTCTTTGACTGAGCTGGTGTAACAAGATTGGAAAAATGGACGTGGTAAGATGTAGTTAGTGGGATGCCGGTGGGAGGCCGGGAGGCTCGGAAACCATTGTTAAATCCCGCCATTACCACCCTGTCGTTTCTCCTCTCTGACTGAATACTCTTTAAGCAAATAAATATAAGGATAACTCAAACAGATATACTATCAAGAACTCCCTGGCTATGTTTACCTGCTCTTTTCCTGGCTGCAATGCTAGTTACCAGCGAAAAGAGCATCTACGTCGCCATCAGACAAAACACTCCCAAGACCAAGCCTTCCTATGCTCAAACTGCGATCGAGAATTCGCACGCCGGTATCTACCATAATCCCTTATCTAAATTCTAACAATAATAATGAATCCAGGGACACCCTTCGCCGACACATCTGGCAACACCATAAAATCAAAGAACCATCTTCTCGAGCCCGACAAGCCTGCGAAGGCTGCCGAGCAACCAAATCCCGCTGCAAAGGTCTACCATGCACGGAATGTGTACGTCGCGTGATAGAGTGCGTTTTCAAAGATCAAAACCAAGACCAAGACCAAAATCCAGATCAAACTACACAAAGTGAAGATAAAGGGACAACAATACACCCGACACCACTATCCAATAAAAGAGACCAGTATATCAATCTCTACTTTGAGAAATTCCACCCCAGATGGCCATTCATCCACGAAGGGTCTTTCGACGCTAAGCGCGAAACACCCCTCCTCGTGCAGTCGATGGTAGTCCTAGGTATGTGGGCGAGTGGCGAAGAGAGCGCGAGATCCGCAGCCGTGGATATCCACCATAATCTGGACTCAGCAGTTCGGGCACAGAAGGTCCGTTATTGTTATCTTCAGAGCTGTATTGTTCAAAACTGATCAGAGTAGGATAAATGGGACGCATCAGAAGCAGACCAAGCATGCAGTGATTGCCACTGGCCAATACCGACCTACCAGGCCATTCTACTACACATTATTTTCTCGATCATGCACCGAAGCACAGACTCCCTGGATTTGGATCTGCGGGTTTCTCTGCCCGCTGCGAAACTCGACTTACTAGCTGGTTTAGTAAGGAGTTGTCGAAAGCTAGGCATGTTCTATTATCCGAATGTGGTGGCTCGGTATCGAGATGAGGATCTTTCTACTTTTGTGTGGGTCTGCATTGAGGAGATTAAACGGTTTGATCTTGCTTTGTTCAAGGTTTGTGGAAAATTAACTGGCGCGGGCTTGGGCTTGGGGCAGGGGGATGAGATGGAGTTGTTCACAGCGGAGGAATTGCAGTTCCCTATGCCGCGTAATTGTCTTTTGTGGCATGCTGTTACGAAGGATCAATGGCGGCCTGCTGCTGAGGAGGGGGCACTTGTGGATTTGAGGGATTTGGCGGAGGATACTTGGATATCTAATTGTGCGGGATTGTTAAATTTCCTTTTTGGTATTTAATTGTTGGGCTTCTTGGGATTTTGGTGATGCATGGCTGGATACCTGGGATTGAATTGATGGGAAATATCATAATGAACTTACGTTGATATTCTATTGACGTAGTAGTAATACTTTTGAGATTTTCTCCATTATAATGTCTGTACAGCCGATCGGAAATGCATCTCTCGTTGTCTCTCTTGGTTGCCTTTATGAATGATTGATCGAAGGAAATGAGTATCATTTCTTTAACAACTCTGGACTGATGAAGTGTACACTGAAACAACGTAAATGAACGCAAATGAAGGGTATAAGCTACCAATCGCCGAGCATAGAGAGCCGGATTGTCCGGCCATTCCCATCTGGTTCCTTGAAGTGAGAGATGAACGGATGTGTTCCTGGTTACGTTCGTGTTTGGATGTATCTTCCGTGAGGTACAATATCTGGTTGAAAATTAGTTCTCTTTCAGTCACCTTGAAGCAAACATCCCTTTGTTAAGTTGGTCTTCGTCCAGTCACTTTCAGTCACTTTCAGGCATGCGACACGGGTCACCCACCACGTGTCTGGCACTCAACGCGATATGATACCTCACGTTGCAATTCATCGAGGCATTCAAGACCCTCATTGACCATGACTACTGCTCCTTCACTCTACTAAGTGAGAGAATCTTTCTCCTCTATACCACCACACAGTTTGGTGTTATCTCTACTTGTCAGATCACTGCTTCTCAACGAAACAATGGCCGCTGCTGCCCCGACTCCTCCTCCCTTTCCCACCAAAAGTCTCTACCTGCACAATATCGACATGATCACGGAGCCACAATTGAGAGTATGGCAGACCACACTATGTGCGGATGGACATACTGTACTCAAGACCAAGATGTTATCAGGAAGATAGCCGATGGCCTGGTCAAATCTCAGCTTCCGAGCTGGTGAATATCGGCCTGGAGACTAATTTCTCATCCCAGGAGGTTCTACAAATCGGGCTCGCCGATTTAGAAGGAGAGAGAGAACTTGACTGTCTTAGAAATTATAGTAAGGAAATCATCGCACCTTCTTCATCGCCATGCCCTCAATCAGACACCTGGAGACAAAAAGATCATGCAACGAAGGTTCGAAGCTCTTTACACAAGCCAGCACCCTTGTTTCGGCGGATTGTCGTTAAGCACCTTCGGGAAGCCGGAATCTCAGACAAAACTAATTTCCCCTCATGGGCAACGTGGCATTTTTGACGCGGCCTATTTGAGAGACTGGCTGAGGGAAGGTTTCCCGACCTTCTCCCCGCAGATGAGAATGTCATGTCTGGTTGTTCATCAAGGAGTTCCAGGTCAACATCAGCAAATGTCTCACCATATATTCACAACTTTCGCAGACGTTGCAGGAAATCAGTCATAATGCTGTTGGTAGTCATAAGAAAATATGTTTTTTTTGTTCATCCCAATAGAATCTGAGACACAGTTAGCCCATCTAAGACCTTGTCAAAGTAGCAGATCAGTATAATATGTTCCTACATATATGTAGTTTGTAGTCGTCAATGCGTTGAATTGTTGATAATCGATATCACGTGCAAAGTGTCAGGTGACGTGCCCCTCTCTCAGTTCATATCACGTGATATAGCGCTCACCGCGAATATCGAAAACGTTTGGGTTAGAAAGTGAGAGAGACGAAGGGAAAAAAAAGCAAGAGTCGAGTTCGCCCAAAAAATTCCACTAAATAATCGCTGAATTTTTCTGCCCGCGAACACGACCACAAAACACCTCTTACCGTGTCGAATCGAAATCTCGACGGACACACGTCATTCAGCCTGGCTTTTCTTGGGCGATCGAGCGGCATCGGAGAGGGTCAGGCCCAAGCTCTAGAACCGATTCTGAAATTTGATAATGCTTCTGCTGGTACCAGTCCCGTAATGGCGGGACTAAATCAGTTGCCTCGGTCACTTGCCGCCGACGGCATGCATGGGCGCAAACGAAATGTGGCCATTGCGGGGATCGACAGTTCTCCGGGGAGTATAGATGACATGGATGACCATGAGGCGCGCGAAGAGAAGAGACGCCAACCTGTGAAGCGCGCCTGCAACGAGTGCCGACAGCAGAAAGTAAGTCTCTGTGCTGCACTTTTAATCTCGTGGTCGAGTTTGGCTAATATTTGGATTGCGACAGCTCCGATGCGACGTCATTCAAGATCCCTGGGCCGATTGTTCACGATGCCGTCGGCTTAAGCTCGATTGTAAAATCGAGTCAAACTTCAAACGCGTGGGGAAGCGCAGTCGCAATGCGGAGATGGAACGAGAAATCCTTGAGCTCAGGAAGCAGATTGCTACGGGCCAACCCGTGCCTGGGATGTCTCAGCAACAGCAACAACAACAGTTGACGGCTGGGCAATTGACACCCAAGCAAGAATCGAATCAAGTCAGTCCTGCAGTTTATCAAACCCCATCCGCCATGTCCGCAGATCAGTATATGGGATCACAAGAAGCTGTTGCGTCCCTGCTGGACTTGCGCTCGGGCTTTGATGGCGCCAACTACATGCGAAGCGGGGGGCAAATCAAGCGCATTGAGGATATTATGGTGGCCCCCGAGAAGGTAGCGGAACTATTTAATCTGTAAGTTCTCAACTGCCAGTCCGTGATCGATCTAATGTATCCGCCAGCTTCTTCACATACTATCATCCTTTCCTACCATTTTTGGATCGAAAACAGTCTCCCGAGGATTATTATAATGCCTCTTCTCTGCTTTTCTGGACAATTGTTAGCGTTGGTGCACGACGCTACCAGGGCGACTCGAATTTGTTGAATTCTCTCGCTGGCCCTGTCAGCCGACTTGTTTGGAGTACTTTGGCAGACATCCCTCAAAGCTACCATGTTGTCAAAGCACTCGCGCTATTGTGCTCATGGCCGTTCCCGACAAGCAGTACCTCCACAGATCCAACATTCATGCTATGTGGGATGATGGTACAGGTTGCCATGCAGCTTGGTCTACATCGACCCTCTCACACCCAAGACTTCAGCAAGTTTCGGGTGGAGCTGATTGAGGAGGAGTTGAGAGATAAGGTGCGAACCTGGGCCATTTGCAATATTGTTGCTCAGAGGTATGTAATCCCCCAGACTTTGGCCAACTTTGTCTCACACTTTATTGCAGGGTATCCACTGGATATGGACAACCATCATCCACTCTTTACGACTGGACGCTGTCTTCCAGCGATTCGCTAGACCCAAACTTCAAACTTCCAGATGACTTAAGGTCAAGGTTAGAGATTGAAAAGTTTTGCGACAAAATCACCAGAGCACTCTACACAAATCGACGCGATCCCGTTGGCCTAACCAGTGACCATGAAAGGTCCACAATGATCTCCTTTTTGTCACGAGACTTTGATGAACTGGAAGAACAATTGAAAGCACACAACGACTGTAAGTCTCTCAGACTCGGTAGAGTATGGCCCTGGACTAACGAATCAGGTATAACCGACCTGTTCCTCCGTGCCGCCAATCTTCACTTGCATCTTTCCGCATTCTTTGACGAGCCAACTACGAAGAATTATCGTGAAAGGGTTTTATCTTTATATGTCGCGACGACATCGTTCCTCGAAGTTGTTTTGAATCTTGAGACCGAGGTCGGTCCAGTCCTCTCTTATACACCGTACTACGTCTACCAAATGATGGTAGCCGCTGGATGCACCCTTTTGAAGCTATGCAAAAGCTTTTTCGCCTCTCATATCGATATGGACTACACCAAACATCTATTTAATCGGACAATTTGGGCCATCCGTGGAGTATCAGCTTCCAGCAACGATCTGCCCGAACGGCTTGCGGAAGTATTGGCTCAGATGTGGAGATTGGGAGGAACAAGTCAACGATCCAACAATAATTCCGATGTTGATGACTCCCTGCGACTCAAAGTGCGCTGTCGGATGAGCATGTCTCTGCTTTTCGACTCCGTCTGGCGATGGCGGGAGGATGCACGGACCAAAGGCCGTAACATTGAAGGTAGGTTTTCGTTGCAGCTTCAGGTCTACACAGAGTCTAATTTGATTTATAGCGTATCTGAAAAACCCGACAAACCCAGACTCAGCAGCCGATTCTTCGGCCGCGTCATCTGTCGGGCCTGTACTCACATCTACAAACACACCCGGGATCTCTGGAAATGATCCAAGTCTTGCCCCAGCACCTCTACTCTCTCAAGCGAGTCTTGGAGTCCAACCACCTGCGAACCAGGTGAATGGTCTTCCAAGCAATTTCATGGAACCTAATTATGAGGTCTTTGATCCATTGAATTGGCTGCTTGATGGCTTGGTAGACTTGCCCTATTCATACTCAACAATGGGTGGAGTGGAGCCCCAGGGCATCGCATAGGCTGACTGTTACCTTCTTGGCGTTTTTCAGGCGTGGCTTGCGTGTCTGCTTGTATCATTATACCACACATTCGATCTCGATACCTCCCATGGAGTTTTTTTTTCTTGTTTCACTTTGTTTTGATGTCTGTTTATATTCGCTATGATTCTCTTGTACGAATTTCTGTCTTTAGCCAATCCAATGATATACTTGTCATACCAACATCCTTGTCTGGAAATTTGATGTTGACCCATGCAAATATAAAGTCCGACACAATTTGCCGGGGCATGCTGCAAAGCATATCACACGGAGTCATTCTTGTCACCGCGCTTTGAGGCACAGACTCATCCGCTTAGGACAGTAACGAGTCCCTTTGCTGTAATATTAGTTGATCTTATGACTGGTTTTTATTCTCCGCCTCGTACGTTTTGTTGGATGAAACTTGAGGTATATATTTTACCTTCTGTCCCGTTCATGCTTCTGTCACTGCCCTCTTCCCATGATCTTCAAAACATCATGTCCTGCGCAAATATGCTTAATTGGAACCAGGGCCCAGTAGGCACTCAGACTTCAGCTTTTACGCTGTGCTTAAGTCTTCTTCTTGTCTTTTGTTCCTTGGTTGCGGCGGCGTTATTCTTGACTTCCTATACATTGGCCAATGTTAGTGATCTCCTTGCTTTGAGAGTAGGCAAGAAATCTATCGATAAACCGAATATACTAACGTGATGTTTTACCTCACAGGACCACGTCTCCTTCCCTATATACAAACACTCTATCGCGATCTTATACCACCACTACCACTTTGTTATGGACGGACCCGGTATCATAAAGAAGGGCTATAACCAATTCAAAGATAGCTTGTTCGAAATTCCGCGGACATTCCGCTTCGGACAGGTCGTCTTGTGCGCCCCAGAATTAATCGAGGAGTTGAAGAACAAAAAGAGTACTCTTGTATCTCCCGAGCCGTGGATCGATCAGGTTGACTTGAGCGCTACAATCTACGTTTCCTGGCTAATGAAAAGGTTTCCGCAGCTCCTTCAGATATCTCATGTAATGCCGGGATATTTTCCTGCTGACATGGGATGGCCAAAAATCGCCAAAACAACACCCGGTATGATTCGCGGCACAGTATACAAGAACTTGGATCGGTATATACCCTCTATAAACGAGGCAATCATCTCCCAGTTAAAACTTCTGGAGTTCAAAGACGGAGGTAAAGCTTGTAAAGCATTGCCCTTTTCTTTACATATCTAATTTTCTGAATCAGAATGTGTGGTCGGCTCTTTTGATTTCGGATACTCGATCGTAGCACGCAGTGGCAGCATTTCTATGGTCGGTCCACGGCTCGCCCGGGATGAAGAATATCTCCATGCTGTAAAGGAGCATATTCTCGGAATGATAGTTACTACTCGAGTACAATTCCTTGTGCCAGATTGCTTGAAACGGTGAGATATGCCTTATTTTGAACTGTCTCTCTCATCTCGACTGATCCTATCAACACAGATACATCGGTGGATTTATCAGCCGTATTGTTAGTTTTGGAACTAAATGGGATATGTTGGCCTCGCGCAAAATTCTATTAAAGCATTTCAATGCACGCGCAGGTGAATATCACGCTGAGATATCCAATGGCAACGAAGTCAACAGTGAGGCTAGCCTCGACCAAGCAGGTGAGCCTGTATGTTATTTTGCTTTTTCTACAATCTGGTCTATTTGACCCAAAAAAAACACAAAGATTTCTAACAAATCATAGGTTGAGATTTTCCGCTGGCTGTATGAGAGCTCTGTGCTTCGAAATCGATGGACATATACAGAGGTGATAGGTGAACTATTGCTTCTACAATTTGCCTTTATCTATACTACATCCTATGTGAGTGGACGCAAAGTAACACCGCACCCCTGCAGTCTTGTGACTCGAACCCCAATAGGCGCTTTACGGAGCCCTAACCGAGCTAGCCCGCCGACCCGAATATATTGAGCCCATACGTGAAGAGATTGGGCGGACATTTTCCAAATTAGGACCAACCCTTCCAGCTTGTAATAATATGGTCTTGACGGATAGCTTTCTGAAAGAATGCCAACGGCTACATCCTCCTTCGGCGCGTGTGTTTATCCGCACTTGTCAACTACTCTTTTCTTTTGAGTCATGCATAGCTAACACACCAAACTGGTTATAGTATCTGCCCATAGGGTCTGTACAACCAATCTCAAGCTTTCTAACGGTTGGTTTCCCCGGGCAGACCATCAGGCTGCTAGGTGAACTGACAACATGGGACGAACAAACAGGTATCACACTCAAGCAGGGGTCCCACGTTGCAGTCCCAAGTGGAATTATCCAGCGTCTCAGCGAGCACTATGAAGACCCTGATGCTTTTGACGGCTTCCGTTTCGTAAAGCGTGCTGCAGCCGGAGCCAAGAACACCCAATTGGTCGATCTGAGTCCTGACTACCTTGTTTTTGGAATGGGAGTGCAAGCCTGGTAAGTAATTTTGTTCGCTCACTGAGCATGGCAATTTCATGGCTGTCAACATTTCTCTTGCCTTGGTTTGAAATCCAACCGCCCGAATTCCACTGGCTGACATTGGCTCGTGTTTTAGTCCTGGGCGATGGATGGCTGGCGCACTTATGAAGCTGGCCTTTGCACATATCCTGACTCGTTATGACATACGCCTGCCTGATTCGTCTCCTGGGGCCTTGACTGGCTCGCTTTCATTCGAGGAGTTTTATGTTCCTAACTTCAGGCTGAAGATTGCGCTTCGCCAGCGCAAGTAATCCTTCAAGGAATTGGGTCCCTTGATATTCAAATAGATGCGGGTGAACTTCTAATCCTATTTCGGCCGGCATATTCATGGATAGATCATGGAACCTTCCAAGGGCCTAGGAGGTATCGTACTTTTGAAGTAAAAGGAGTACAGATGATTTCTGCCTCGGTGCCTCACGCATTCACGATAAGCTGATAAGCTGATAAGGATATCCACTTTAACTGCGATGACGGTTATAACTTGCCTTCAAAAATCTTCTGTTCAGTGCGATCTAGAGTCTAGTAACAATGCCTAAAACCACCAAATCTTCACGGTCCCGTCTTATCCCAACCAAAAGATCCCTCCTGCCCCCAAAATCAAACCAACACAAAGTGTGCAAAGTGCTCAACCCTAGCGCGATCCCCGCAGAAACACGCATGAAACAATCCCACGAAGAGGCCACCCAAAAAAGAAATGAATTCAAGAACCAAAGTGTAAACAAAGACGAATTTGAAGACGAAGAAGACTACAAACCCATGGCCCCACGAATCGAAGTCTCATTCTCAATGCCGCCCCAGCCCTTTCTCGACCCACCAACCTGGGAAGCCATGCTCAAGCACAGTCAACAAAGATTAGCAGCGCAGTCAGACGAAAGCTCGCCTGAAAATATTGCGGAAACGGAGTCCTCTGAGCGACTGAGACAGCGGGTCGATCGTGAGACGGAGTATGGGTCTATGGCTATTCGCGGTCGGTCGAGTGTACGAGGGCGTGGGAAGGGGAGGGGTCATGGGAATGTTTATTGGGGAGGCAGAAATTGATCTTGATATCGATCTGGAGTTATGCTTTTGTTTTTTATACCCTGGTTTCAACTACCACTCATAGCAGATACATACTGTTTTACTAGGTAAATGCCTTAGCTTACATGCTATATCAAAGTTCGGTACCTGATGGTAACAAGAGCGAAATATACAAAGATCTACCTTAATCGTCTACCGATGGGCAAATGTAGATGACTACGGTCTTCAGCTAGACTGGTTGTTACATCGACCATCTATGCAAAACAATGTGGAAGCGAGGGGTTAATTTGGCATGGACAACGCTGATTTAGACTGAGACTGATAAACAGGCTGGAAAGAAGTCAAATACGTGTGCTATGGGAATTCACCAACTAAAAGTACATCTTTCAACAGTACAGCCAACGCGATATCAACAAAAGGTAAAAACAAGAGCATCATCATCATCATAAAAATCGTGGTCCGTGTTTCATAGTTCATAATCATCAAAAAGTTTCAGTTCATATCGATCAATCATCTCAGGCGTTGAATAGATTTCAAAATCAAAATGTCCCACTTGCATCGTGGAATCTTCGGGCGTGTACTGAAATGCGTGAAACATGCCCATTCATCAAGAGACATGGATGGCATGGGTAAGAAAAGAGGGAATCATTTATCATCGCGCAGCCACCCCGGCCGTGGCGCTGGAAGCTACATAAACAGGGCCACCGATACTCTGCTTGAGGGTTTCGCGACGAACAGCGCGCTTCCGCTCATCGCGCCGCTGGCGCATACGTCGTAGACGGTGGCGCATGTTACGCCAGGAGATCGACTGGAGGCGCAGGCCCCAGCGGGACAGAGACTGGAATCGTGCTGGGTGGAGTGGAGAGCCAGTTCGGAACATGCCTTGGTCGATTAAGCTGCCGTTGCTGGCCATGCCGTCGAAGATACGTTTCATTTCTGGGCTGCGGCGCGAGAGAGCCGGTGGGCCGTCGAATATTACACGGCGTTGGGGTAGGCCTAGGGTATTGTTGACTACCAGAGAGTCGTTGAGGCCTGAGGAATGCTGGCGCGTTGGCGATAGTTGTTTCTCCGGGGAGCTGGGGACGTCGTCCCAAAAACCGCGAGGGCGCCAGAAAGGATGGAGTCGGCTGTCTATTTCTTTTCCTGCTGTTCGATTCTTTGCAGTTTTCATGGAAAATGAGCGTGACAGGGCATTGAAGGATTCCGACCGTGGCCGAGCGCTCAGACTGCGGCGAACTGAGCTCCATCGACGGCCGAGACCTTTGCTTTCATCGTTGGCGTTGGTAGGGGGGGCCGTCTGGCGAGGGAAGCGGGGGGAGAGGTTTGCTGACAGGGGGTTTCGGTGGAGGGCGAGGATTCTTTAATGGAGAATCGACAGTGTAGATGGGTCTTTGTGGGACATTGTCAAATGTGCAGGGATGTACAAAGTCGTCGGGAATTCCAAGAGCCTGGAGAGGGCGTCTTGAGGCCTGTACTCGTGGATCGACAAGCAGCAGCGAGTGGTTATTATGTGCAAACAAGCTGACGGCTGTGGCTTCTTGGATTTCAATAGGGCCCGGGGAAGACGATGGAATGGAGCCCTGAGTGAAAGGCAAAGAGGGAGGTTGCAGCATTGCCATATCCTCCGAGCTGTCAAACAGGCCAGGCAATTTGGGCACTTGCAGTAGACTTTGGCGCTCTACCGAAGCTAGAACATTATGGCGAGGTGGAGATATCGGCTGATTCTCGCGGCGCTTTTGCATTTCGAGATCCATGGCCAGGGTATGGCTTCGCAGGCTGTCAGAGGTTAAGGAAGTTGCACGAGAGTTGTTGCGACTGGTTGGCGCAGAAAGCGATGAGCTTCGGGCTGGGATAACGGGCCGCTCTTTGGGTCGACTTCGCAGACTGTTTGAAGTAAGAGAACTTGTGCGAGAATTATTCCTACTAGTCGGTGCAGAAAGAGAGGAGCTTCGGGGTGGAACGACCGGTCGCTGCATGGAACGACTTCTGGAATCTGCATCGCGAGATTTTGACGAGTGCGAATCTGATACGGTGCGTTTCTTGTGCTGCAGAGTGTCTGTACGGCCAGATGATACTGTCGGAGGACGACGGCTCGATCGCTGGGAACCGGGTTTGGAGGAAGCATGACTGTTGGGACCTGACCTCAGAGACGAGTTTCTCTCGGGTATGACCACGACGTTGATGGTTTCAATATTTGGTTGTATGGCACTGCTGCTGGTTTTGGTTGAGAATGACATCTCCGACGATACGCTGCGATGGTCCTGACCAGAGATGCGAGCAACCTTGTGAACCAAACGGTGTTGTGATTCAGGAATGGATCCATTAGAGGTTCGCTCCGATCTTGTGATGGGAGAGCTGACAGACCGCAGAGAGCTTCGCTTTTCGGTATGCCGAAGCATTCGCTGCGCGCGTTTCGGGGACTCAATTATCATAGCCTCAATGGTGGACGTCGAAGAGATGACCGATAAAGGACGAGCCTCGGGGTCGTTGGTTTTGGCTGGACTCTCCGATGATGGCCACCCAATATTCTCCCGGAAGTGCTCCATCGATGGACTTTCCTTGACTTTATGCGCACCAGTGACTCGGTCCCGCAGAGATTTTTCCCGCCTCAAAGAGTCATCGAGACGCTTGACATCCAGTGAAGTTCTATGCGCAGCTGATTGATAATCCTCTTTGGTGTGGTCCCGTACAGACTTTCGTTTTCCAGCTAACACCGTTGGCGACCCGTCCATGGGGTTTGCGGCCCAATCCCCATCAAACGACTCAAATCCTGTGTCGTACTCGGTTTCGCTGTGTTGTTGCGATGCAGAAGACGATGACGATTTTGTATTTGCGAATTGTGAAAGGTATGCATTTGAGACGGGTGGCTTTGATGGCTCCTTCCTTTGTCTGGGTGTCTGCGTTGGTGTCTGAGACACGCGGACCGGTGTATCCATATCTTCTTCCGAAGAGATATTCTCATATGCCGTTTGGAATGAATCGGCTCGAGACGATGAAGAGAACTGCACAAACTGGTTCAAGCTAGGGCGCTTATTTGCGTTCGTTCGAGGGGGCGTCACATCGGGAGTCGGAGGCTTGGAGGGACGGCGAGGGGTCAACATCCCAGTTGCTGGAAGGTCTGTCAAAGATTCCATCTTTTGTTGTGTTTGTTCATCGACGAGAGCTTCTTGGCCTGCACCCGGGGGGTCAAAGGAAGCGCCGGTGTCGTATCATGTTTCCCATTCTGATCCGGGGATACCGGTTGGATAACTTCGATAGTTGGAACGATTACATCCCGTCGGGGAATGGTCTTGTGAGACCTTAGGAGTGGCCGCTCGAGTCCTTGCGAATCCTCCGATGACCCCATCAGTTCCACGCCCGGCATCTCGGAGACAGCGACGCCGATCTGGGAGACAAGTTTCCACGGTCGCTTGGGGTTCTATCGTAGTTTAGATATCTTTGGATATCATAACACTGTTTAAGATGTCTCGGTCGAAGATCGCAAGGGTCGCATCGCGCGCGAGCACTCTGCGACCAGAATGCGACCAATGATCAGAGTTGATGGATCTAACAGACGCAGAGACTTTGTTTCTGTACGATGCAGGGGGAGAGGGGTGCGGATCGTCCGAGGTGCATTCGAGTCCACGGCTGATAAGTACTGATTCGATTAGAGCAAAGGCCTGTCGGAACGAAGGCTCGACCTGTCTGTGCGATGTGAGTCGTAAGGGTGGGGAGGATGGTCAATATTGGCGAGTGGCTGGGCACACCAGTCAATCACTCTTATCCCCTGTGTTTCGACTAGTGATGTATGAGGTATGAGGCAAAAAAATATTGAAACAATTTAATAAAAGAACCAATGCAAGCAAAAGATAGAGCATCTAACACAATTTGGTTGTCCATCTTGTGCCTGGATTAAATTGTCGGTGCCTTGCTGCCTTGTTTTTCACACACCTTCACTACAAACCTACATGTTTACGTGTAGTACGCCGCAGCAGCTGGTATCCAAGATATATGAGGGCATTCAACCGAGTTTATATTGGTATTTAGCCGTTATCCATGGATCAATTCCTAAGTGGATTCATCCCAAATTTCCCCATACGATCCGGGCACGCCTGGATCTCAATAGTCAAGGCCATGTGGGGTTTCCGATTTGCATACAATGTATGTCAATGTTTCATAACCAGCAGAAATGATTGGAGTCTCATGCCGTCAGTATTCGAACTCCTTACTCCATATGCTTAGCCCTTGATGCAGGTCTCAGTCTAACATTCCAGGGGCAGGGCGACAATGTAGCTATAAATTTAATGCGCGCCATACGTGCTATTGCCAATGGAGGCTTGACTGGATAGTGGCAAACGATATATAATGCGGCACCTCTGCTCGTTTGTGGTGTGAGAGATTACTCATTGCAATTTAGGTCCTATCTCCGAGGTTTATAACCAAAGCGTAAACTGAGTAATCAACTTAGATATCCTTCTAATATAGATTAATATAAGCACCACCGAATGATACTGACTGTCAGCAAGATATGGCTGGATGCTTGGCTGGATGCTTAGCTTCTCATGACTATTCTATATGCTGCGATGGTGAAAATCGGGGTGTTCACTCAGACTGAGCCCTACGTACCAAGAGGTTATAAAGAACGGATCTAACGATATAGTCAGTACGAAAGGTAGCCCTGGAGTGGGTACCTACGTTATCTCAAATCTACTGGTCTCTCTTACCATCAAATATACAACTGTGCTATGGTTGCCGTGCCTGGAATCGGCTGAGGCTATATAACTTGGCTGGCAGATACCTGGGTAGATGCCTTCTGGTAATTCCCCTAGATGAACCATGTAAAAAGATTATCTAAGAAATGTATGCAGCCATGTTGTCATGGGTTAGACGGCTTCCTTGGCCTGCTTATGAATTACAGCATCTCTCTTGGTTTTTGAGCCCTGAAGCAAGCCCGGTGGTCAAAACTGAACTCCCCTCTTGAGATGAATAACAAGGTTTATGTGGTAGTCATACAATGAGGAATCTTGCCATTGTAATGCTTGTAATGCTTGTGATGCCTGAGGTTATACCAACAGAAGAAATCTGTTTGCGGGGAGTTCAGCCGCGATTCTTTCGAAGCTGGCACTCGGACCGCCATGGACCAGCCAGCCAAACAGTAGTATGTGCAGATGAAATCATTGCGTTCAGCCATGAAGTGGGGTATTACCTATGTAAGCAGCTCATTAATCATACATACAATATACCTAGGTACAATGCGACCACGCACTCGAACATTAGCTATACTCAATGTGATCTACAAAGTCGAGGCCATGTGGAGTCTGCAGCCAAATTTAGTCTGTCAAATCGTCCTGACATCAAAATATCGATATCTTGATGTATTTCATATTCATCATCTTTCTCCTTATCCTTGATATGTGTTTGCCCTGCAGGTCTTTTTAAAATTCAACAGTCTAGTCCAATAGAGGGTCGGATCTGGGTCTTGAGCTCCCGCATCAATTAAGACCGAAGTCTAGATTGGACAGACAATGCAACCTGAAATATTTTGAAGATGAGAAGAACAGTACAAGCTTGTAGCAATGTGAATCCGGAATTGGTTTAAATTCCAAGCATGTGGCGGCGGATGATGACGATATCAATCTCCACAGTCCGGGAGGCCAACCTTGGAAAAGATGAGGTCTTTGGAATCAGGTCTCGGAAACCAACATATTGTGAGAGGGGGGGGAAGACTGATTAGGATAATAAGAGACAGGGATCAGTCAAACAGAAGCATTTAACTAGAACCTTGGAATTGGAAGTATCTGTGACTTGTAAGAAAGGGTTAAATCACCACAAAGGAGGTATATATAGTATAATCGCCATGATAGCTGGTTGTATTATGTAGTATTGTAGTATAGGTAGTAGAAAGCAATTAATATAAAGACAATATGAGATATAGATTGATCGCATTTACCAGATTACCATTTGTGGACTGGTGGCGTAACATGACGTCCAAGGAGAAAGAAGAAATGAACAGGATGCTGATGATGAGTCTTGGCAGAAATGACATCGCACCGAAGATCACACATCGTCATAGCTGTTTTTCCCCCGCCATCATTTTCCTCCCCTTTTCTTCTTTTCTCAGTTTCCCTCTTTTTCTTGGTAGTTTTTGATTTTTAGTGGAGTACTAGACTCTCTTGCTCATCTTCCCCAAACTTCTCAAACTCATTTTGAATTCTCCCTGAAACACATCTGAAAATTCCTGCTTAGATTGCGAGATCTCTTCTCTTCTCTCTCTCTCTCCCCCCTCTCTATCTCCGGTGCAACAACCACTTCTTACAAATCACGACTCATTCCTGTTCCATCATGAGTACCATACAGAATATCAAGAATTTCATTAGGCATGGCAAGCAGGCCCGTCTTGTCACCCCTCATTCAGAACCCACAACCGATGTTTCCACCATCCATGCCGAGCAAGAACCTCAACCACCTGGCCAATACACACCTGCCCTTGAGGCTTTTGGTCCGGAAGGTCGAGAAAATGCGCTTCAGAAACCCGGTTCTCGCGTCAGGCAGGATCGCTCCCAAGAAATTGAACGTCTCGTGGCAGAGGAGAACCTCACTCGGTCGAAAATGCCTAAATACCCTGGTTTAGATCGTTGGATTCTGATGGAGAAGATGGGCGATGGCGCCTTCAGTAACGTCTATCGTGCCAAGGATACAACCACAGAATACGGCGAGGTGGCTATCAAAGTTGTTCGCAAATTTGAACTGAACAGCAACCAGGTAGGTTTTCGTCGCAATATGCCTTTTCTTTTCCTCTCTTTCCTTTTCTTTACTTCCCTTCCCTGTATCTCTCCCCTACCTATCTCCTTGGCTACATAGTCTGCAATCCACCCTGGTAGGAAACTTGGCCAATACGTTCTGTAGAGCGACCCTCGCTATCCAACGGTCAACAAAGTCCCCAAAGCATTGGAGGTGCGCAAAAAATTCCTTCATGGTTGACTTCCGTGGCAATGGTGACTCGCGTCTTATTGCCGATCTCTTTTCCTTGCGCTCGTTTCATATGCGATTGCGCATACGGTTTCGGAACCTTGCTAACATTGGGATTCGATAGCGAGCGAACATTCTCAAGGAGGTTCAGATTATGCGCAATCTCGACCACCCCAATATTGTCAAATTAATCGACTTCTCTGAATCTAAGCAATATTACTATATTGTCCTCGAACTTTGCCCTGGTGGTGAATTGTTCCACCAGATCGTGCGTTTGACATACTTCAGCGAAGATCTGAGCCGCCACGTCATCCGACAGGTAGCAGACTCGATTGAGTATCTACACGAAACATCTGGAGTTGTTCACCGGTTGGTTGCTCCTCAATCCCGAGATGTAATTTTGAACTAATATCTTGAAGTGACATCAAACCGGAAAACCTCTTGTTCTACCCCATTCCGCATGCTCCCAGCAAGAACCCCAAGCCCCAACAGCCTGGCGATGAAGATAAAGAAGATGAGGGAGAGTTCATTCCTGGTGTCGGTTCAGGTGGTATTGGCAGGATCAAGCTTGCAGATTTCGGTCTGTCCAAGGTGATTTGGGATAGCTCAACGATGACCCCTTGTGGCACTGTCGGATACACTGCCCCAGAAATTGTCAAGGATGAGCGGTACTCCAAGAGTGTAGACATGTGGGCCATGGGCTGTGTGCTCTACACTCTTCTCTGTGGTTTCCCTCCGTTCTACGATGAGAGTATTCAAGTCCTCACCGAAAAGGTTGCACGCGGTCAATACACCTTCTTGTCACCCTGGTGGGACGATATCTCCAAGTCGGCCCAGGATTTGATTTCACACCTTCTCACTGTCGACCCCGAGAAGCGTTACACCATCAAAGAGTTCCTCGACCATCCTTGGATCCGCGGATCAGACGAGGCAACGACTGCTGCGGCCGACGCACCCCCTCTAGCAACACCCTATTCCCGAAACGAAAACGGCACCCAACAACTCGACTCCCAGTCCGCCGAACACGGCCCCTACCAGCCCGCCAGCGCCCGCTTCCTCGACCAACCCTCTCAAGCCGCAGAACGCCGCATGGACTTCCGTTCACCAGGCGCCTTCAACCTGCGCGAAGTCTTCGACGTCGGCTACGCCGTGCACAGACAAGAAGAAGAGAGTAAGCGGCGTGCGCGCGCCGCCAATCGCAGTGGCGTAGCCGGCTTCCAATCCGCCCTGGGTGCGCTCAACGAGACATACGACAACGAAGCCGAATACAGCCACAACCTCGGCGGCGAGCCCCCGGCAAAGGTCGCCAAGTCCCAGGGCGAAATGGCCGGTATGGAAGCAAAGCTCCGTTCCACAAACCTGGGCCAGAGCAGCGCTGCACAAGCACGCGCACCACCCGCACAACAATCGAAGAATCAGGGCTACGGCATGCACGATGCGAACGTCGCCAATGCCGCGAAGAACAGTATCCGCAAGCCGAACCAGCCCTTCGAGCTTTCCCTCAACGGCTCGACCTTGCTGGAGAAGAGGGGCCGTCGTCACCAACCCGTCGTATAGACGCACATATGGACCTTTTTGCGAAAGGGCTGATGTCTTCATATCTTATGTGTCTTTGACTTGATGAGCGATTATTTTCCACGGATCCACTTTCTTTTCTTATGATCCCCATATCTCATTTTTCATTCTCATATTTTCGTTTATTTCTGTCTGGGCTGTTCGCGCGTTACTGGATCGGTCCCGGCGAGGATCTCGCATGCTACATATGGTCACGACTTGGAAAATGGGAACTTTGTTTTCTTTTCGTTTTCTCTTGTGTTATCGCGGAGCTTGCTGGGCTAGGATGGAGTTTGTTTTCTGTGCGCTTTCTGGCCTTGTTATATGCTGTCATAGGGTTCACATACTTGTTAAAGGATTAAGCATTGATTTTTGATTATTTTTTCCACGTTGTGTATCCTTGATTACTTATCCCCTAGCGGGAGATTGTGTGGCTGAAAGGGGTGATGGCCTGTATATCCAGCCCCTTCGTATCTTTGACGTTTCGAAGTTTCGCGAGTTGACGACCATCAAGAGCGGGAGGTCGATGCCACGAGTGGAATATACTGACATGTATGTGTTGATAAACGATAAACTATACATAGACAAGGTAGAGAATGAAGGTACTTGCATCATCTAAGGTAGTCGTGGGCAGTAAATAAGTTACGAGGATTGGTGGCCAGTTTGTCTATCGCGATGTCCCGACGACGTGGTTAAGGACCGTGAAGGGCGATTGAAAGCAAAACAGGGCAAGAGCAATATAGGACAGCTAGGTTAGCTTATTTATGTGAGCTCCTTGGAGTTTTGCTAAAAATTTATCATATAACAGCTTCTGTGAAGAGCTTAGTAGCTCCTCTCGACGTAGCAAACTAACTTCCTGCACCAGCGATTCTCCTACTATAAACCCTTACGTATTGCAATTCAGAGCACAAACATCACAATATTCACATTAAATACAACAAGGTCCGGACTTAGACGATGTGCGCAATGGAGACAACAAACAGGCTGACAAAAGCACAATATGGTATCTCAAAGTGTATGTTCAGCGGGATAAGACCCCGTCTCCAACGGTTTGTTGGAGAAAATATGCAGAACTCAGCATTCTATCCAGTTCTTTTATCTGGAATGGGCTGTAGACAAGCGTCAATCCTGATCTCAATGCTTTCCAATCACGGAAGGATGGAATGGATCTAGGGCATATGCAACTGGTGTCTATAATTTTGGGTGTATCTGTATTCACAGGTACGGTCAAACATGGCCAAGGAAGGTCATGTCTAATGGAAAAATGAAGCAGGCGTATTGACCTCTTTTATAGCGTTTGCTTTCCTCTCGTCTCAATGGGCAAGAAACACATAGCGACGAAGGACGCCAGAATCAAAGCACCCGATGCATAAATCGGAGCGTTGGGGTTTGAACTTCCAGCATAGATGGCAACTAGGGGCGCGCAGAGACCGGCGATACGATTCAGGCAGCTGGAGATGCCGGTACCGGTACCGCGGTTGGGAGCAGGGAAGGTCTCTGGAGTATATGCGTACAGGACACCATACATGATGTTCTGGAAGAAAGCCTCGAGACAACTACACAAGAGCTGGATATTGGAGCTGGTAGATGCGGTGAAGCAGAACAGTAGCACGCCGGTGATCAGCGTGGCGATTGCCATTGTGCCCTTTCGGCCGATGTACTTGATCTCGACGGTGTAGCAGGCCAGGATGGAGCCCGGGACGCCGACGATCGAGGTGATGGCGTAGTTGCGGTAGGTGGTGTAGTTGGAGTTTGTCTCGCCACCGGATTGGGAGAGATACTGAGGCAGGAAGGCGTTGAAGAGGGGGTAGCCCATGCCGATTGTGGTCCAGCAGAACCAGAGGAGAGCGGTGTTGATGCCCATGCGCTTGCTGGAAAATAAGGGAGCGATGCGCTCCATAGAGAACTTGGAGAAGAAACGACCCACAATTTGGACGTAGGTGAGCTCAGTCTTTTCCTCCTGTGCGTCCGGGTGGCCGCCGATTTCATTGAGGATCTCGGTGGTCAACCAGGTCTTGGCGCCGTTCTTATAAGCGATTCCGTGCACAGATGCAACGGCTTCGTCCTGGCGACCGCGAGAAAGCAGGAACTTGGGTGACTCGTACAAGTGGAAAAAAAGAAGCGCAGGACGAACATGACAAAGGTGATGGCACCTAGAGTCAGGACCAGGTAGCGCCATCCCATGTTCTTCTCCCTGGTGCAACCCTCGTAACCGGTACAACTGTAGTTGGGGATGTAAGCCCAAGCAAGCAGACTGCCAATCAGTTGGCCAATGGGCCACCAAACACTCAACATGGTCAGCATGTTACCGGAGACGAAGGGCAGGAACTCCAAAAAAAGAGCACCATCAACTGGCAAGTTGCCACCCACGCCGAGACCCAAGCAAGCAAACAAAGCACATGTTCTAAACTTTTGTCAGTGGAAAGGTTTAGTACAAAACCATGTAGGAAGTCCTTACCCAATCCACGAGGGACCACCACCGGCAGCCAGGCCAAAGGCACCAGCCAGGAACAAGGTGGTGTTGAAAGCAAGACGACGGCCAACGATATCAGAGGCAACACCCCAAAAGGAAGCACCCAGGCAAAGTCCCAAGAACAAAGCACAAGTTGTGAAACGAACCCATGTGCTAGAAATTCCAAATTCATAAGAAATCGGAGTCAAAGTCAAAGCAACTCCCTAGAAACGATTAGTTCCCATCCGAACGAATATCCCACAACATCTCTCACCTGAAGCCAAAGGCTGCAAGAAAGTTAGCTATCAAATCCAACAAAAACGCATAGAATTACTTACTTGTCCGCAGTCCAACCAAAACCACAAAGGAAAAACAATTGCCACTGATACCGGCCCATACCAATATCCTGCAAAGCCCTATTGATAACCTTTGCCTTGCCTAAATTAAAAAATTAGACCAAGAACCCCAACACCCATACCACAGGGCAGGGTCTAAATGCAATACCACAAGGGGGGGAAACATACGATCATAAGTCGAGTCATGAGAAGCAGTAGCGAGATCGGCCTCGATTTCCGCGCGGAGCGCTTCAAGTGTCAAATGCGTCGCGCTAGTATGCGAGCCCGCAACGCCATTCTCGGACGAAGACGCGTGGTCCAAGCTCTTACTGGACTCTTTATCATCTGTCTCTGACAATTTCGTGAGATGGGCGGGGGCGTCAGCGAGCGGGATGACAACGCCGGGGAAGTTCTGGCGGTCCTTTTTGAAGGGGTTAAATTGCGCGAGGCCCATTGTGGCGATTTTATTGGCGCTTTGGAATATGGGAGTTGCTGCTTTTTGGTATGGTCTATATCGAGTGTCGCAAGTCGAGTGGTTAGGGCAAGTCTACGGTGGAGCTGCAATCGGGTTTGGATGTGGGGAATCTGCTGTGGAGATTGGCGCAAGGATATCAGGATATGTATATGTGCTGCTGTTGTGGCTCGCAATGGGCTGGGCGCTATGCTTTGTCGCTATGGATATCGGCACGATCGCTTGTTACTGCGGTGGGGAGTTGGGGGTTCTGCTTGGTTGTGTTTGCTGTTGAAATGGGGTCTTTGGTATCATGAAAGGTAGAAATAAAACCAGAGCTTGAAACAATGATTCTGGCTGAAGGAAGAACAAGTTAGGGCAAGCTAGGATTAGCTATACCTCAAATTGATTGAGAAGATGTTGTAAGGAAAGAAGGAAAAAAAGGGAAAAGGGTGGGATTTTACAGTTGCTATATATGTACTTACATTTGGGTCCGAGGATGCGCCATATCCTCTTTCCAGTTTTTCGCGTCTTTTTTCAATAAAATTAAAATAAAATAAAATTACCGAGGGTATCGCGATGGTAAATGCGATGAGGTTTCAATTGGCCAAGGCGCAAAGCGGGACTACAGTGACATATGATATCTGACTGTTACTACATAACTACTCCGTATATTGTAAGTGCATATGTATACATACTATCACTGTAATACTTTCCCATATTTACACTTTTATGAATTCGAGTTTGCAATTATATCACATGGAAATGGTAATGTATCAAGTACTTGCTACGGAGTACTAAATCCTAGGTAGAGAGTAACTTGAAAATCTAAGCACTAAAAACGCCTCGCCGTGAGTGGCTGACGGCAGCCTTAAGCCGCTTTTAGCCTTTTGGAAATTAGCAAGGTCCTGTTAGTACAACGCGAGGATCTGCCCAGGGTTGAACGCCACTAAGGCAAACAAAAAAAGTCAACTTATACTGTTCAGCCTCAGGACCACAATAATTATACCAATGGTATACCAATGATATGCAAGAATACTAACCATACACTGAACATATGTTAAGTCATCTTAGGTCAAGAATCGGAAAGGGCCGAGACGGCCGGATGGCCAATCTCTCCACACTCAATGCTCATTGGCGCCCACGGTCCACCAGGAAAATTTTTTTGCAGAAAGGCCGCTACTCTTGTTTAGGGCAAAATATTGAACTCCGGATGCGATGTTACTTCGACTACATTTCATGTTATTTTACTTGGCTCTATGGTTTTTCCGATATTTTTTGGTTATTACCAATTGGCTACATATCTATTCAATTGTATCTTTACAACATACATACGTGCACATATCCATACTACTACTGCAATGTACTAGAATCGTGGCACAAACGAAAACGGTTGCAAAGACGTGGGTCTTGGCAGAGGCGTATCCATGCCGCATTCAGACCGATCGTTGGGACCATCATCGGCATGCTACATTACACCAATCACAATCGTTTAAGACAGCGTAATTTTGAAATCCACGGGCAAGTAAATTACCACACCTACTGCCTTTTCGACGACTCCTTTCTACTTGGTCTCGCCTTCTAACGGATAATGTATTTCGACCCGGGAATGACCTCTCGGCTATGGGTCTTTGTCTTGCGAGACGTACCGGTCGGTATCCAGCCAAGTTTTTCCGACTCTCCAGGCCTGATGGTCTGATGTCCGGTGTTTGACGTCTGTCCAATCTAGGGAATGGAAAGTTAAGCAATAGCGCAAACTTACCTAAGGATGTAATTTCCCCTTACCAATAATAATATCTGTTGGTCTAGCCTTTTCTGTTTTGATTTGTAGGGGAGGAATGTCTTTGCGCTTATAATTGTATAATCGTACATCTTGATAATTCGAGAAATCCAATAGGGCTTTGCGGTAGGGATCCGAAGAACCGGGGTCCGTGTTATGCGCGTGTAATGTGATTCTTTCTTTTGGTTGTCAATTTGCCACACGTGGACTTGTACTCAAGCATGTTAGATTGTATTGGGGGCAACACTGTGTACTACGTCTTAGGAACTGATTGCCTCAGGGTTGTTATCAAATTTCACTTAGTACTGACCGGTGCGTCCAAGCCAGTGGACTTAGGCTACATCGTATACACTGTAATATAGTTACTTTTTAGCGATACAAACATTATTTGGGCCTACACCTGTCCATTGTACAGATTCATAATCGACATGCGCTTAGCCACCAACCCTTGAAAAGACTTCGTACTATTTATGGGAAGAGAGCCTTCTATGCTGGAAGTCCTCTATACCTGGTACTATCTCTTACCATATAGTTACCATTCAAAACAAAGCAGCTATTTTCCCATTACATTCTAGACTCAAAGACCAGTTGTCTAACTATTTGATGGTACGTCCGATGCTGACTGATAGAGAAGCCGGTCACTGAGTCACTGACGGTCTGCCTTATCCCTTGGCGTCGTAGTCACCGACAATAGATGTCTTTACCAAGCGTCAGCAAAGGCTTGATTTCAACATAGTGGCCCTTGCACTATTACCAGGATCTAATCCAGACGATGAAACCAAGCATAATATAGCCTCCAAATAATCGTCGAACAGGCAAACAAATACTCTCATCGGCAGCCAAGTCCCGATGGTTGTGAAACTACATGATAATATTATGTTCAGTCGACCATTCCAATACATCAGCTACATGAGAGAAGAGGAAAACCCATCCACCTCTACCGAAACAGCCCCGGGGATCTACAGGCATATTTAATACCGGGAAGTCAGAGCCATATGGCTGCACGGCCACTAGTCCTATTCCCAAATCCGGGGTGATGCATAAACTCCATGTACACTTCCCAAACAAGCGGTCTGTCTTTCAAATACACATTGGTATCGTTGTCTCAATATATACTTTCTATATGTCATCATTTCTGGCTATATACCCCATCGGCTGTTGTCTCGTTCCCACGCAAGGACTACTCGCAGTCGGTCGCAGATCAAACTTCACCAGATACGCGGTCTAGATCCCTAGATCTCATCAGTCCGTCTGAGTAACCACTCAAGATGCCGGTAAGCCGCGCGCGGCTGGTACTGGGGCTGCATATGACCAGACTGGTACGTCTCGACCCACATCAGGCCACGCTCGTAGTGCTGCACGCCCATGATACCCTGGGGCCCATCGAGGGCCGAGGCGCCATTCTCAGCAAAGACGTCGGCGTACATGAGATCCGCAATCTTGATATCGATAGGAGTCTCGGGCTTCTCCTGGAACCCAAGGTGGCCGTTCCAGGTCATGTTCTGGATAGCCAGGAGGGTGCCGTTGGTGATGATGACCATGTCAAAGTCGCCGTTGCCGATGAGGACGCGGTTCGTGGCTTCGATGACCTGCGGCAGAACGTGCTCGATTGGATTCGCGGAGATGTCGCCTTCTTGCTGCGGGCCGGAGTTGCCACCGACGAATACCGGCTCGGCGGAGCACTCGCTCCATTTGATGTCTGGGGCGTGCAGGGCGCGCTTGACGTCTTTGCGGTCGAAGTATACGGTTGAGCCGGCGGCTTGGTAGTCGAGGGAGGTGGGGAAGGCGAGGACGTCCCAGAGGAGTGGGCACATCAGGTTGATTTCGTAGAGGTCGAAGCAAGGGTTTATCTTGAAGACTTCATTGTAGACGAGGTCAAACAGATCGCAGTCCGCCTCTGTGGTGTAGTTGAAGAACTTGGGGGGTTGGACTTCGGGGGTGGGAAAGTCAGGTATTTATCGATGAATTCCTCGTATCCGCAGGACTTGTGTTTTCTGTCGAGCTCGGCCATGAATGATTCATTGAAGTTGAACAGGTTGGCATTTTCCTGGACAAAAGGCACAACAGGCACTTCTTCTTGCACGTAGTCGAACTGTCCGATACATGGGTCGTATGCCAGTGCGCCTGGTGGTGATCAGCTGCTGTCCCTTCAGACTTTTAAGGTTTGAGCTACTTACCATCCAGATCAAAGTACTCTTTATCCTTCTCGTCCAGCATTGCAGCCGAAATGTAGGGAACATAACGGCCTGCATAACTCTCACCAGTGACATAGATCTTGAAGTTCTTAATCCCAAAGATCTTTTGGAAGTTCTTGAAGAACTTGACAAAGTCCTGTGCTGTCTCCTCCTGAGAAATGGCAGTCGGTGTACCGATTGAATAGCCCGTGCCGACGGGTTGGTCAACCCTGCGAGATATCAGCAACCAAATCACCATATTTACCGATATACGATACTCACCAAAGCACGTTAGTCAAATTCACCCAAGCATAGGGATTTTCAACTGGTGCAAAAGTACCGGGCTGCCACAAGAACCGACCAGTCTCTTGCAAGAAGCTCTCCATCGAACTACATCCCGGGCCACCGTTGAGCCAGATGGTGACTTCGTCAACCGGCTCATTGATAGTAGGCTGGAAAATGAAGAAGAGTGATCTGGAGCTATTGCTCATGTCAATTGGCACTAGGCCTGAGTACATCTCGCCTACATCGAAGGGAACATCAGGCAGAGAGTCCACCAGGTAAGCTAGTAAGTACTTCGTCAGTATTATTGTTGGTTTGACGAAGCAGCTCGACACTCACGTTTGGTCTTCTTGCTCAAAAAGCGGAAATCCTTGTGCGACCGCTCATGGTTCTGGTTCCGAGCCTCAATAGCTTTCTTTGCTTTTTCTTGTGGCGCTCGGGCTTTTTCTGCGAAACGTCCATGCTTAAAAGCTGCCGCAACATCCGATCCCAGAGAGAGGGCCAGGAGGGCGGATGTCAGAACCGATTTGAGTAGCATGTTGGGTCAAAGTAATATTCCGGGCCCAAAAGCCAAGGCAACGTTAGGATTTGCGACAATAATGTAGTAGCGGGGAGGGTAAGTGGCTATATACCCTGAGGGATCCATGAGTTGCTACCAGTAGCTCCAATTCGCGTAAGTTCGTTTAAATTGACGGGAAATTGACTCCTCACTGACTTGGCGAATTCAGATGATTGATTGGAAGAAACTCCTAGCTTTGGATGATGCTTCACGCCTCCACAACTCCTGTCGATACTAGTAAAGGCCCACTGCTATCGGGTTCAGCCATTGGATGGGTCAACCCCGGAAACGGCAGGCACCTGTTACTCTTTCTATTTCTTGTTTTGTTTTGTTTTTTGTCTACGGTCTATATTTCAATAATATCGTGCCTGTTCGACACACAATTAATACGTTGTGTGCAAAACATTCCATCATGCTTGCTGCGTGGCTCCGCGGCTCCGCGTGCACATGTAGGTGCTACCCGGACCGGACGAGCGACGGATTCCGGCGAGATCGACAGTTATCTTCCAATCTAGAATCACGGGGGCCGGTTATGGGGCACAGTCGCAGTGGCCAATTGGTCTGATGGATCTCTTATCCCCTCGCCTGAACAATAACTAAGCATTGCGGCCTCCACAAAATGCAAGCCCCGCTTGGATGCAGATAATGTTGCCTGGTGACATAAAGCCGGCTGCGACAGTAATTTTGGTTCAATGCTGCAATCAGACCTACTGCTCGGGCCCTCCGGCTCCGTTGTGCGATGAACGATATTGTACGCGATCTTCATGAAGCGGATGTACCTGGCTCCTGACTATCTTCTCCCATCACGGCATGGTTGAAATGCGGGGAGCGATAATAACCTGGTCGATTGTCGCAACATGGGATCGAGAACCTGGGTTCTTATAATCCTAAGCTACAAATAACAAGCACGCCAAGCTTTCCAATATGGTGCTTGTTTACGCGCAATTCTCCGACCCTGAGAAATAATTGGTCAACCACGATCCCAAATTGGATGATAAGGATGTTTCATATTGTGTTATCTTGATCTTTGCCGATATGATCGGTTACCACAAAGCATTATGAAATAATTTATCTAGCAATATTATACTGCATGTAAATAAATTAAAGCCGTGCCACGAAAAATCGTGGAACAAAAAAAAATGGACTCGCGGGGAATCGAACCCCGGACCACTCCCATGCTAAGGGAGTATTATACCACTAAACCACAAGCCCAATTTGATGGAAGAGGTCACCAATTAATGCATTATGAGACAAAACAACAGAATTGCTAGTTTTTGGCATATCAGACCATGTAGGCTGTGATCAACCTTTCGTCTTAGCGTGGACTATATACTATTACGGCTTAGATTGCATTTCTATGGCTCCCATGTATGTTTTCAGTCCGTCTACATGGTTTTTATTTGGTTCTACTGTAGCGGGCAAAACGAGGTGCTTGGTAGCAACGATATATATCTTAGTCCACTGGGACAATTCAACCTTTATAGTCACTTACATCTGAACACTAGTGTACAGCACTGATGCAGAATAAGACGCCGAAATAGGTCAAAATAACACAAGCGTATACGAGAGTGGGGTAGCTACATATGTATGTACGTAGATTACAAGGATCAAGATCCTATACTTGACTACAGATCCCAATTGGTCATAGATCAAGTCTGAAACCTAGAAAGCCAACGTTAACACAACGCCGAGATAGATAGAAGACAGATAAATCAAACATAGGCCCCGTACACCTGGAACTATTTGAATCATGTTTAGTCTGGATGGTCAATGTTGTTGTCTTTGATGTATACGCTTGGCGTTATTCGGCTAATGAGATCGGAGCCCCTCCGACCCTTGAACTAATTACTCCATTGGACCACATTTACATCCCATGACAAAGAGCACTGACAAATCCGTGCAGCATAGTCAGAGAGCAACTGGACAGCAAAAAGCGTGACACATTTCGCCTTGATTAGTGAAGCGTGATTGATATTTTACCTCAACTAAATCTCTCTGTAGCAAGCACCCATGATATTTAGCTTTTTTATCTCGGTGTATTGAGTAATGATCCAAAGCTGCAGTGGTCTAGACATATGTCATTTGTATATATGACCAATATATGTTGGGGGGACATCAAAAGAAGCGAATTTGTCGTAATAATATAAATCAACCTTGACCCTCCAATTTAAGGGATAGACAAATGACAAGTAACAAGACACTCTCCATGAATAACTGTCCCACGAGTAGCCCGTAAATATACCTTCACACATAGCCGATAGTATTGGCAAAGGTCTGTCAAGCTCGGGTATACAAACATGGCTGGACCACCCGATGTTGAAGCTCCACTTCCATCCACACTCACCAATGACCACACGCAACCAAATTTTCACGCCCTTCAAAAGGGCTAGACAGACCTAGGAACTAGTCAAACGCCAATGGGAATTATTCCGCGCAAAATTCTCAGGGCCACTTTTGCATATGACTCCATTTGGATTGCTAATCTGAAACCCCTCTCTAATATTATTATACTTTGAACTTCTCAGATTCCCCGGATCCTCAACTTCACCTTCAAACCAGTGGAGAATACCGCGGCTATCTCCGCACAGAATGTCCACCACTGTTGGGTCTGCCAGGGATATCAATCAGCCTAATACTTTGAACGTCGAGGGTGCCGCACCCCATGAGAAGTCCAATGTCGAAGTAGACAATGAAAAACTCGACACTGAGATGGGAACATCGAAAGAACTTGCACAAACAGGCTCCAAAGACCATCTCCCAGAGCAAGAACCAGAGGATGCATTCCACCGAACAGCATCAACAGTGGCTCCGTCGCAGAGATCGGCCAGAAGAGACCCTGTCAGCCGGGTGACGACAGATCCAGAAGGCAACACCTACCCCGAGGGTGGTCTCGAAGCCTGGCTTGTAGTACTGGGCAGCTTTCTCGGCTTGGTCGGCTCACTGGGCCTGGTAAACACCATCGCGACCTTCCAAGCCTATATCCAAACTCATCAGCTGAAAGAGTACAGCTCAGGAAGCATTGGTTGGATCTTCGGAATGTTTGCATTCTTGACTTTCTTTTGTGGAGTGCAAATCGGTCCTATTTTCGATGCACGAGGACCCCGTCTCCTTGTCTTTGCCGGCTCCATATTTGAAATGGCAATGATCGTTCTTCTCGGCTTCTGTACCCAATATTGGCACTTCATGCTGGTCATCGGAGTCTTGGGTGGAGTGGGAGCATCTCTTATTTTCACCCCGGCGATCTCAGCGATCGGTCACTATTTCTACGAGAAGCGCGGAGTCGCAACCGGCATTGCTGCCACTGGTGGTTCTGTTGGAGGCATTGCCTTCCCTCTTATATTGGAAAGCCTGTTCCCCAAAATTGGCTGGGCATGGGCCACTCGTGTCGTTGCATTGATTTGCTTGATAGTGCTGGGGCTTGCAAACCTCCTGATTCGATCCCGACTACCCCAGAAGCCATTCTCCAAGGAGAATGTGTTGCCTGATTTCCGAATTTTTCGAGATGTAAGATTCGCACTCACGACCGCCAGCGTCTTCTTCATTGAATGGGGTCTTTTCGTGCCGATCAGTTACATCTCAGTCTATGCCCTCGACCACGGCTTCTCAACCCAGATGTCCTATCAGATCATCGCCATCCTGAATGCCGGTTCATTCTTCGGTCGATGGCTCCCTGGATTCTTTGCCGATTTCTTGGGTCGCTTCAATACTTTAATTGCAACGGTCGCTCTTTGCCTGCTTTGCAATGCTTGTTTCTGGCTCCCTGCCGGAAACAGCTTGCCACTTCTTATTGTTTACTCCGCCTTCTTTGGTTTCTCGAGCGGCAGCAATATTAGCTTGACGCCTGTATGTGTTGGGCAGCTTTGCAAAACCGAAAACTATGGCCGGTACTACGCTACTGCCTATACCATCGTGAGCTTTGGGTGAGTGGTTATTCTCTTCATCTACATTGACACACTCAACTGACATACATGGCTACTAGTACTCTCACCGGAATTCCTATCGCAGGCGAGATCTTGGCGCGCTGCAATGGATCCTACTGGGGCCTTATCACATTCACCATTTGTTGTTATGCCGCCGGTCTGGCATGCTGTACCGCCGTGAAGGTCATCCATGTTGGTTGGCGCAACCCTCTCGCGATCTACTAATTTCTCACCACCACACGGCCTTCAAATTTGTGTTCAATCCAACCTAAACAGCCTTGTCACGGTTTCATGATTCAAAGAAGAGATTAGACTTGAAAGTTAAATTTCGGGCTTTATATTTTGTTAATTCCTGCCCCAATAGGCTTAAACGATAATACGACCAACTTGCATCTTCAAGTCAATATTTAGCGTTCATACAGAGCGCTAATTTTTATATTGTACATAGACAATGTCTATATTCATTTTTACACTTTCAACTGCCTGGGCCCATAAATTCAACCATGCGATGATATCAGTAGGTTGAGCTCGAGCGGATGACGTTTCCGAAGACTGTGTACCTAGGTAGGCTTTCTACCTAACTAACCCAAAATTAAGCTTAAATGAGGCGAGAAAAGGGAAAATAAGCAACATGAATCAAATGGGATAGAAAGAATATACTCAAAACTGCAGACTCCATTTGCCGCAGGGAAGCAATTCATCAATTTTCTGATAACTTCTCCAGGGCTGACATAGGGCTGAACAAGACAGATCGAACATGTCGCATAAGATATCCGCATTCCCCTTGCTATGTAAAAGTCCAGTCATAATGGCGTCCAGTACCTCATCGAGCCATGGATTTCAAACTGGGAATGTTTCCAATAGGTTGAAGACTTACTTCTCACCACGGAACCACCAGAAGCTCCAAATCTAAAATCCCCAAACAAACAGTGCGATGGCCCATTTCTAGACCCAGCTCTGATGACATCGAGCGTTCATTCATTCATCACCATGGAGCTTCTCGGATCTCGCTACATACATGTATACGATATCCTGACCATATCCTCCTTTTCATCCGCTGCCCTTTGCTTAATCCGGGACTTTGCTTTTTCGTCTCGATTCTGCATCCATTCCCAACTTCTCGTTTTCCATCTTGCTATTGTCCAATCTTGCTTTTCAGGAAATTTATACCAGAGTGACATCTCCATCGACTCTTTCGCGAGCAGGACGCCCAGAAACACCGGAAAAGTTGCACTGTCAATTGGCAGCGTTCCTTCAGGCACTGCTTGCCCAATTGCCCTGCATATACCCTCTTCGCTCGCATCATGTTTCCCGAAAGATCTCTGGTCCTACTGGTATGCTCCTGGGCTCTCTTGCAGCATGTTGTGGCTGCCCCGGATGTAGTTCCAGAGCCAGGTCTCGATGAACGTCAGCTAGAAGAACGTGGTTTTAATATTCAAGAGCGCCACAATCATCCTGCTTTGGAAAGTTCGCTCCTTTCGGTCTTGACCGAGGAGTTGGCGTCTTCTACCCATTCCCCACAGCCTGCACCAACTGAGAGTCCTTCCCCTGGTGTGAGTGTTTCTCCTAGTGTGAGTCCTGCTCCTAGTGAGAGCACTTCTCCTAGCGAGAGCCAAATATCAACTGGAAGCACCAGCAGTGAAAGTCCAACCGGTTCCTCGAATAGTGTTACAATCACATCTTCCCCAAGTGGAAGTGTTGGTCCCTCCACAGGCAGAGCTAGTCCCTCGGGTACTGCTAGCCCCCCGGGTAGTGTAAGCCCCTCGGGCAATACAAGTCCATCAGAAAGTGCCACTCGTACAGGCAGTGCTAGTTCCTCGGAAATTGCGAGTCCTGCGAGCAGTGCAAGCCCCTCGGGTAGTGTGAGCCCCTCAGGCAGTACGAGTCCATCAGAAAGTGCCACTCGTACAGGCAGTGCCAGCCCCTCAGGCAGTGCAAGCCCCTCGGGTAGTGCCAGCCCCTCAGGCAGTGCAAGCCCCTCGGGTAGTGTGAGCCCCTCAGGCAGTACGAGTCCATCAGAAAGTGCCACTCGTACAGGCAGTGCCAGCCCCTCAGGCAGTACGAGACCTTCAGGCAGTGCTAGTCCATCAGGCAGTGCTAGTCCATCAGGCAGTGCTAGTCCATCAGGCAGTGCTAGTCCATCAGGCAGTGCTAGTCCATCAGGCAGTGCTAGTCCATCAGGCAGTGCTAGTCCATCAGGCAGTGCTAGTCCATCAGGCAGTGCTAGTCCATCAGGCAGTGCCAGCCCCTCAGGTAGTGCGAGACCTTCAGGTAGTATCAGTCCATCGGAAAGTCCGAGTCATTCAGGCAATGCTAGTCCATCAGGCAGTATCAGTCCATCAGGCAGTATCAGTCCATCAGGCAGTATCAGTCCATCAGGCAGTATCAGTCCATCAGGCAGTATCAGTCCATCAGGCAGTATCAGTCCATCAGGCAGTATCAGTCCATCAGGCAGTATCAGTCCATCAGAAATTGCAACTCATACAAGCAGTGCCAGCCCCTCGGGTAGTGCTATACCTTCCACGGGAAATAACGCAAGTGGAACATCCCAGCCATCCTCACTCGGAGGAGGGGGAGGAGGAACCGTACCTTCCACCAGCGCTCAACCGTCCACCGGTGTAGGAGGTGTACAGCCCAGCAGCAGCCAGCCTTCCCCTTCAGGTGGAGGGGGTGGTGAGCAACCGAGCAGTGGCCATCCTGGTCCTACTGGTGGAGGTGGTGGCGGTGGTGGTCAACAGCCAAGCAGCAGTCAACTCTCTCCTACTGGAGGAGGTGGAGGTGGCGGAGGAGAAACACCGGGCTGTATCACTCCCAAGGAGACCGTTACAGTTTCTGTTACCGCTACCTGTCCTCCTGCTCAGGTGAGCACAGTCACCGTGACAACTGGCTCAGGCTCAAACACTGGATGTCCTTGTCCCTCTAGTGGAGGCGGAGGCGGAGGCCCAGGAGGTGGTAGTCCAGGAGGTGGCGGCGCAGGCGGAGGTGGAAGCAGCACTGGCCCAGCACGCCCCAGCGGGAGCATCACGCTCTCATCCAGCAGGGTGAAGATCACCAAAACAAGCACAAACACACATACGCTGACGCAGACGAAGACTTCGACGCCCTTCATCCCAAGCACGAAGTCCAAGACAGGCACGGCCACTCCACCGCCCACCCTCGTAACATTGCCTACTTCTGCGCCGCCTAAGCAGCCTACGCAGTCGCACGGTCCTGTCACCAAGCGAGCATATGTCCATCCTGATATCATTCGAAAGAACATGTTCAATAACACGACCACGACGGCGGTGTTTACCAACTCGACTACTAGTCTGAATCCCACAACCGGGGCATTGAATATCACTCGTGTTGCAACTAAGACTGCCACCGATCCCGCGCCTGTTTTCCTTCCTCGATTCAATCGTGAACGGTTCCGTGGTTAGATTGTGATTGGAGATGGAAAGTGAGATTGATTATTTGTTTTAGATGAGGAGTTTTGATTTTTGCTTGATTTTCGATAATTAACAGTTTAATATATTTGGTAGTAATATGATGGTTTTTGACGATGACAGCCCAATCTATCCTATTCACATTTCAATTCTATGACTCTGTTCCTATTCTGCCTTATGAACGCGTATAGACGCCAGGGTTAAATGCCTTATTGCAACATTTGCTGATGTGTTGGTGCCCTAATCCAGCCTTATAGATATCTCGAATTTTCTTTAGCTACCTAGGTATCTCTCGCTTCTATTTGTGATAGATCATATCACTGTCAGTCGAATCCGAATATGATCCCTTCTTGTTCCACCTCCATTGGTTCTTCTCTTTTTTCTTGTTCCTCCTCGAACCCACACCCAAACTCAGATGTCATAACTCTATACTTCTCTTCAATCTCCTTCCAGGGTGCGGAAGAAATTTTCTGTTCCGGTTATAAAGTTCGAAGTAACCATCAATGGGTCTTGTTCGACGGTTTATGTTCCGCTTTATGACAACAACAGCGCGAATATCTCCATTCCCACCGACTAACAAGAGGCTCATGCCACTCATCAAATAATTCCAAGACTCGCATCATCCTTGATAATGAAAGATGGACGGTTGTCGTTGGATAAGCGGAGGAACAGTTGGGCTCCTTGCGTGGCGAAGAGTAAACCGCCTCCTCGGAACTGAAGTGCTATAAAATTTAGTGAAAAGCAAGTCAAGGAAGCGAATTGTAACTTACTCTTGCCTATCCATATTCAAGTTATGCTTGTTCGCAAACCAGCATCTCGTAAGGTGATCTCTGAAATACGCCACCAGTCTTGTCAACACTCGCGTATCTCGGTAGGTAAGGTTTCTATTGGAAGGACTTTGATCAAGGAATTGTAACTGTTCTCAAGAAAATTTGTCATATCGAGATTGATAAGACAAGAGAGCATACCTACCTTGTGATGACTTACCAAATCGATTGTCTCTCAGTTTTTCATTGTATTCTTGTTCGGCATTATCCAGGTGATGGCGCAAATACAGACGCTGTGAGAAATGACTGAAGGGAATATGACGATACAGCAGTGTTTGCTTGTTTGTGCATTTGCTTGCTATCCATGTTGGTCACGCCTTCCCTCGCTACATGTATATAGAGGGCTTTACTCTTATCAGGACTCTTTCTATTCGACCTGAGCTTTGAATGTAATATGGGTAAAATGAGGAGACCAAAGGTATGAAAATATGCGTTGAAAGTTGTCTCCGTATCAGTCTTACCTCATTTTAAATTCCTATTGGAAGTGATACAATAGCACATACCTATTGATCTCGGGGATTTCATCAATGGTGGGATAGCCGGCTGTCACATAGGGAAGCAGAGCGGAACGGCCTTGAGCCTTGCTGATGGATCGACTATTGTCTGAGCTCAATCCTCAATAAATGGACCACAATAGTTCGTGATTCCGTCAGAAAGTCTTCATGAACCACCTGAATTTCCGGTCAGATATCTACATATGTACACATAGTCTATAGTAACCGTCAAGACGTTTGGTGGTGATGGTGGTGGATATAAAGTTCGGTGGCAGCGACAGACACCTTATTGCATCTAACTATTTCCGTTTTTCAGAAGTCCCAGACAACATATATGGAAAGCATATACTTGGGACGCTCGAGTGATCGAGTTGCTTGGAATTTTGCACAGTGGTTTTATAGAAATTTTCTTTGTACGTATGGAAATCAGCCTCATGTCGATCCGGGGTCTTCATGCTGATACGGGTGTCTTCGGAGATATTTCAAAAAGAACAACACCTTTGGACAATAGTCTTGCATTCGATATGTGACAGACAAATTTGTCCAAAAGGAAATATCGAAGGGTATTGAAGACCACGAGAGATCGGCGGAAATGGCAAAAAGAATTCTACATGACATTGCACTTTCCCCTTCGCTTACGGCCCCGCGCTTTAATTGTGTGATCGTTCCAATCCTGAATACGCCTTCGCCATTCCTCATTCTCAGGTGGCGGTAAGCTGGTAGGCTCGGTTGAGACACGCCGGCGGAAGGATCGCTGCCTTTGCGGTATGTCGCGGTCATCGTCTGCTGTAGTATCTGCATCTCCATAAGGTTGAGGGATGTGGAGGAGATTCGGTGATGATACAGAGTATGGGAAGTAGGCATCGCCTAATGCATCGCCCAATGCCGTGGCCCCCAGGTATGGAAGAGGCAGCGTGTTTCCATAATTTTGCTCAGCGGGATGGACTGCAAAGGTCGGCGGGGCTCGGTTTGTTGGTTGATGATGTACCGGAGATGCTTCTGTGTCTAGATGCGCAGCAGACTCGTGATTTGAATTGTTGATGAGCAAGTCTTGGGGGCCCGCAGATACCGCCGGAGTTACCCCAGATTGCTCTTGGCTGAACCAATCTTGACTGAACCAATCTTGGCCAATGGAGCTTCCTCTGCGCCTGGCACCAGTTATGGTACCCAATCTCTGTACGATGGCTGATTGTGGGCGTGGAAAGATTGATTGAGTTGACCGTGCGAGACGAGTGGTCTGCGCTTGTTCAAATCGATGGACAGAGTCGTTGAAAGAGTGGCTATTGACCGGGGCCCTTGGAAGAAGCGTTCTCTGTAGATCATCTGGCAAGGTCTCTTCTGTTTCACGCTTGTAAGGAGGAGGTGGTGGCACCCAGTTGTCGGAATCGCTCTCATGCGGTGTCTGTCGACGGTTGGGAACATTTCGATACCGGGGATCATATCGTCCACGCGTTGAAGCAGCTGCAGTGGCGGCTCGATGGAGTACGTCACTGGAGCGAGGTTGGGTATTGTCATAAGGCAAATCTAATAGATCACCTGAAGATGTCCCGGTTGGCGACGTTGGACTTGCAACGCTATTCCGACGGAAGTGGGATGGAAGGGCTCGCGATTCACGAGTGGTTGCCGATGAACGATGACCAAGGCCTGAAATTGTAGCGGTATCCCCACGATGTAATCGGGTACGTCTTCGTTCAAGCTCAACTTCTGTGTCCAAAGAAGAGGCTGGTTCCATGAGGATCTTGGGCTCTTTTTCTCCAACTTCGATGTCAAGCTCGTTTGTCTCGCCATTCATTGTAGAGCGCTCAAAGTCGAGAAGAAGAATTCGGCCTCCATCAACTGGAATGCCTTCTTCGCCAAATAGCTGAGGGCGCACACCACCGGGTGCTACCGCAACCAGTCGACGGCGATTCCGCCTTGCATCCAAAGTCGGGTCTATCGTGCGTACCCAATGAGCGGAGGTGATTCCATGCATGTCTGTAATCCGTCGTCCACGGACTAGAATTTTGGGTTGTTGGACAATCTTCTGAAGCTGGGCCAGATTGTCGCGAGGCGGGCGATCTCCACAATGATGGCCACCACCAATCCGGGTACCAGTGATCTGAACCTGAGAACCTGAAGTTGGACTCGTGATGGGAGCAAGATCCAAACGCCCAGGGACCCCATAGATCCACAACTCCGATTCTTGGAATCCCAAAGCAATGAGTTCCCCTGCATAATCTGTTGCGGGTCTCATGCTGGGTCGCATCTCTCGAGACTCGTCAGTTAAGAATGGGCTGGCAAAATATACGATGCCTTCACTGGCATTGTTCAATTTGAGCACTCTGAATGCTGCTAATTGATCGTCATATCCCACCACCCAGGTATCGTCAGCTTCTTCGTGACCATCGAGAAGACAGGCGTGGGAGAATCCAGGTGTTGTCTCGGGGAAGAGGATCTGGGTTGTCCACATTCGCATATGAAGTTCTTCAGGCGAAGCGTCCGTTCCAGTCTCAGTATAAAAGGGGGCAGTGATGTTGACAATACCATTTCTCAAGGACTCGGTAGAAGACCCAAGAAGCATAGATCCCTCAGGCGAAAATGAAAGTGCATCGACACGCAGACAACGAACCGCCCGGCGGTCAGTAGGTAGGGCTTCTTCGCCCACAGCGTATACCTCAATACTATCATCAAACGCTAAGGCTAGCACACTCCCCGTTGGGGAGAAAGTGATGTCTCTTGGGGCATCGTTTAGCGCGATAACTTGAATATGCTTAGCTTCATCACCTGAAAGCTCGTAGATGTGCACCCGATGAGTAGACGACAAGACAGCAATAAGGGATCCATCATCACGAATGGTCGCTCCCAACGGTCTCCTTCGAGTTTTGAGCTCATGTTTGACGGAGACCGGATCATTTGCCACATCTAATATGACAATTCGCGAAGAGCTAATACACAAAACCATATGTCCATTCGCTGAAAATGAAAATCGAAAGACTTCACCCTGTGGGAAAGCCGTAGAAGAACTCATAGAACTTGAGATCAGTCTGACCAGGGTTTGATGGGGTCGCAGAAATACATCGAATGCATTTTGTCTGACCTGCTTGACAAATTGACGTTTGAGGTCATCAAGACCTTCTGCCTCGGTTGGTGTTGATTTAGCGCCATGAGTCCAAGAGAATGATGGACAGCGGGATAAGTGGTAGGCATACAATGCCGCAGAATCGGATGCATGCTTCCATTTTTGATTCAACAAAGACAAAGATGCAAATGTGTTGGAATCAGCGGCATAAAGAATGCTACCAAATCAGTCAGAATTACAGATATGATAGATCGCAAAGTTACATTGTTCTGGATTGAAATCAACGACTCCCTTGGGAACTTACTGCTCAATCACGTTGACTGGTAGATCAAAGAACGCGTTCAAGCTGGGCGGTGTACCAGAGTCTTGATGAGACTCGTGGGAACCCTTGGGCAAGGAGGCATCCTCCATGATCACCTACATATACATTCAAATCGGCGCGCGACGGGCATTATTGAGAAGTCGGAAGTTGTTCTGTGGCTGTGCGGTTTCTCGCCCCATGAGGCAATGCGGGACAGCGTTACAACAATCAAGTGATGCCGATCTGGCCATTGTGCCAAGTGGATAAAAATAGCCCCTGACCCTTGTACGGTGTACATGAAGGGGGGTCCAATTTGACACCTGAGGCATGCACAAAGATCAACACTTATGTCAGCATATATCACGTGCATCCACCCCCACATGCCCCGGTGTAGTTTAGCTTCGATAAGAAAGATGAGATTTCTCCAGATTTTGACGATTGTCGGCGCAATAGACCAATTCATCATGCATAAATGATGAACATGTAAGCCTTGACTTATCTCCACAGTTTTATTCAACTATTGAGAGCTCTGAGCCTCGCATCTCGCCTCTCTCCTCTATATGACTATCGCATTCGGCCGTGTACCCGGACCCCTCACTCTGTCCAACCGCTAATCGGCCGTCTCCGAAAATCTCCCCGGACGGATCATTTGTCTCCAAATCGCCATCTTTCGTTTTCCCGTATTACAAGTCGGCATAACGTCTTACAAAGGCGTACATCATGTCGCCTGTGCCCGTTCCAGTTCAGGTCAATACCTCCTCCAAGCTTCCATCCCCCGGATTCAATGCCGGTGCGCGACCATATCGATCCCACAAAGTCCGCGCTTGCGACCTATGTCGCAAGCGCAAATCCCGATGCACCGTCGATATTCCGGGCCAATCCTGTCTTCTGTGTCGCGTGCAGGGTGCCGACTGCCACTATCAAGAAGAGGCCAATGCAGACACTTCGGTATTGAGTGCCCCGGACCAAAAGTCCTGGTCGGGACCCCCTCCGCTGTCGGCGATCCCAGCGGTGGAGGCCGCACCGGGACAAAAGCGTAAGCGCAGTCCCGATGGCCTTGTTCATTCAGTTCAGAATAACCCGCCCCGGCAGCCGCTCAATGGCCCTAGCCCTCATGGGACTAATTCGTCGAGTGGCCGCCGCGGAAGTGATTCGCGGCGCAAGGACATGGATGACCCTCAAAATGAATCTGTGCTTATTGTCGGTCCAATGGTTGCCGAAGATGCGCAAGTCATTGAGAAACATATGCCGCCTGAACAGAGGAGTCTGTCAGAAGAGCCTAAGAGCCAGCCGTATAACATCTACTCTAGCGATCCGCGCAAGCCAGTCCTCTACACCACAATCTCACGACGAAGAAAGGGTATGCGAAAAGGCACTCCCCCCGGTGAAAATCAGAAGGAAGTCCTGGAACAAATTCTTGGGCCTTTTAAACATGACCTAGTGAGATTGTACGTCCACGGGTTTTGTCCTCAATGTTCTTGTGGTTTGAAACTGACGATTGCTTTGTCTTTGCGGTAGATTTATTGATCGATTCAATGTCTCCTTTCCTATTTTTGATGGAGAATCCTTTTGGGAATCATACATTGCTGAGGATCTACAAGACCCTCCAGCTGCGCTCGTGTGCCAAGTATATTCCATGTCTTTAGTTTATTGGAAACATACACAAAAGCTCGCGTGTCATCCCAAACCCGATGTTCGATACGCGGTCAATATGACTGTCGCCGCGTTGCACGAAGAGTTCTCTGCTCCCGGATTGGACACAATAAGTGCCGCGCTGATTGATTTAACTGGCCGGCCCATCTTTTCCATGACTGGAAATGCCGTGAGTTGTGGCCGCATGCTATCATTGGCGAATTGTCTTGGTTTGAACCGCGATCCCAGCAACTGGAAGCTCTCTCAGGCAGAGAAAGATCAACGGATTCGTTTATGGTGGGGAGTTGTGATTCACGATAGATGGTAAGATCATCCTGATGATCTCAAATGTTAATTGCGCAGATGCTTATAACAAACAGGGGAAGCTTTGGCCATGGCGTACCGCCTCAAATTTCAAAAAATCAATACGACGTACCTCTACCCACTGTGGACGTGTTAGTCCCACCACACCTCCGCACCACGGAGCGTGTGAGAGCAGCACATTGTCATATCTATCTATGTCGATTAACCGAGACTTTGGGTGAGCTGTTGCCTCTGGTCTATGGCTTGCAACATAAACCAGCGCGAGAGACATCAAAGAAGCTCAGGCAGATCCGCACAGATCTAGATATGTGGGAGGATTCCCTGCCGGATTGGCTCAGGGGACCCGAAATACACCCAGGGGAACGAATTTACGGAGCAAGCAGCTTGCAATTGGCCTTCTTGGCTGTCAAAATGCTTGTCAGCCGAGTAGAACTTAATGTAAGCTAAACAACAATAGCTTCGCATGATTGTTTTCTGACAAAATACAGGAGGTCAACAACTCAGAAACGGATAACGCCGAGGCACGCCGATATTTCCAAACAGAATGCCGGAGGTCAGCAGAGGAAATTGTTGGATTCATAACCTCTCTGCGAACAGATAACTTCAAGGAGTTCTGGCTACCCTGTACGTTCAACCCCTTCAATGTACAATCTATTTTCTAACTGTTTCTCTAGACAGCGCTTTTCATCTCACGTCAACGGCCACATTACTCGTTCGCTGTGCATTTGAAACCACTGATAGCGACGTTGCACGATCATGTCTCCAAAATGTCGAAACCCTGCGCTCGGTCTTGCGCCGTGTCCAGGAAGAGGAAGATTGGGATGTAGCAAACATGTGTTTAGATCACTGTGAACGCATTATGCACCGACTTCCCGGAAACGGAGTGACAATGGACCAGGCCTTCACTACGACTATGGCAGACAGCGGGCTTGTTAACCCGGCCGCGATATCGCTACCCGAGACCCAAACCAATAACGACATTGTCGACGATATGATGTCAATATCCAATACCTTTGGAACCATGGACGGTTTTCCCTTCGATATGACGGGAATTTGGGATGTCTCTGTCTTCCAAGATGTGAACCTACATGAATAATATTTTGAAGTTGGTGGACGATGGACATGTACTTTTAGTTTCCTAAGCAATAAACCTCACATATACCCTGGGATCCAGAGGGAACCCAACCACCCACAGGAATGAACTTCTATCAATTTGAGTTTCTCTTATATTAAAAGCTTCTGACGAAAATTTTGTACATCGAGAAACAAGAAACGGACACCAAAAGCTATTTTACAATCGTTCATAAACAAATACTCAGAACGAACCCCCAAACCATCTAATGACGTACCTCTTGCCCGTGGATGAGAAATGAAAAGGAATTAGATACCGACGAAGATGAGTCGAAAGGTGATGGAAGCCCAGCAGCTTCACGTCATGAAGTTGGCTCGCGCCGATTACTTGGAGCCACCAGCACCAAAAATGCCGGTGAAAGAGCCTTTCATACTTTGCATCTGCTCCTGACGAGCCTTCTCCTCCTCGGCCGCCATCTCAGCGAGCCACTTCTCACCGTTCGCGCGGATCTCAGACTCAACCATCTCGTAGTTCTTCTGGCCACGCTCGCGGATCTGGTCCCAAAGCATCTTGCCTTGGGCCAAGCCCTCCGAGGGTGTCTGGTCACCGTTCAGAGTGGTGTTGGACTTCAAGCCAAGAGCAGAGGCAAAGTTGCCGATGCCGCGCGACGGCTTCTTCTTCTGCTCCTCTGCGAGTTCCTTCTCGAAGCGCTCGCGCATCGCCTTCTCGCGCTTGGCGAATTCGGCGGGGATGGGAGTGCCGTCAAATGACTTCAGCACGGTACGCACATCCTCGACACCCATGCCAGCGAGGTATTCGAGGAAGGGGATGAGGGCGACCAGCGTCTTATCCTTAGGGTCACCAGTCCACTTGTCCAGAATAATGGCGTTCTCGGGTTGGTGGCGAGCGTGCTCTTCCTTGGTGTCGATGAGGATAACCTTAGACAGATCACGGTTCAGGTATTCCAAGTCCTTGAAAACAGTCAGCATTGCAATATAGATATCGAGGCTGGCGGTCAGCTTACCTTAATGTACTCTCCATCCTTGTAGCGGGTAGCCTCGCGGAACAAGGGCCAGCGGATGATGCGGTAAGGATCAAGTTTGCGAAGGACCTGATCGGCCATCATGCTAGGCACGCTGGTGAAGAGGACAAGCTCGTAGTACTGGTTGAGGTAGCGGAGGAAGTAATCGACACCAGGCCGCTTAGCAACACGCCATCCGTGCTCACGGCTCCACTCGCTGTGAACAAGGAGATCCTCCAAACTGAGCACCAGGGTGTAAGGCTGACGCATCTCAGAGTCCTCGTCCGGAAGCAGCTTGGGGAACGCAGGGTCCTTGTAGTAGCTGGTGAGGTCACTCATACGGGCCTTCGTACGATTGTACCAGAGACCAAGACCCCATCCAGATGGGGTCTCGGTGTGAGATCGCTCTTCCTCCTCCGTTTCCCAGTTGCGGCCTAAGTAGCCCATTCCGGCAACACCAGCAAGTAGCATACCGGCGTACATGAAGTTGGCCATGCGAGCCTTGCGACGGTCGAGAGATGTCTCATATCCGCCCTTGGGGATATCGCCACCTCCTCGGCCTTCCTCGCTGTATTGTTCTGACTGGGTGGGATCTTCTGTGAGGTTCAATGGGCCCTTCTTCATACGACCCTCTAGTTCGGCGGCCAAAGTCGATGGGATACCTTGTGTCAGGTCAGGTAGAGGCTTCTGGGGAAACTCTTCTGTTTCAGGCTAATAAATATATTGTCAGAGGGATATCCTTGATGACATCTGGATGAAAGTATAGGCTCACAGTGCCGGAAGACTCGGTGGCCTTAGGCTCAGCTTTTGTGTCAAACTCGGGTTGCTCTGCAGCAAACTCATTCTTTTCAGGGGAAGCAGGAGTCTTCGGTGTCTCTTTTGGCTTGTTTGATTTAGTCGACTTCGCTCTTTGCTGGATACCCGGGGAAAGCTTGTACGCAGTGTAGGGTGAGGGCCGCGCCGACAAGGCCGATCGGCGGACGGCAGAGGCGAGGACGTTTGGCCTCGTCAGAGGTAGTACTGCACGACTCAGCATTATGATAATCAATGAAAGACAGAGAACAAAGCAATGTCCTATGAGATGCGATGGACAGACCAGTTTCCCGTTAAAAGTCGGCGCGACTCGGTACGGCGGGGGACACAGGACATTCACGCATTTCCTTTATAATGCTCGTCTTGGCTTCTCGTTTTCCTCCTCTTTTCTTTTTCTTCCTATAGAAAGTTCACCCAGCATAATTTGACCTTTCAAGCAGCTTCTCTGTGCCTGCCGGGTTGAAATTGCTGGGGAGACAAAGGAAGATCTTCTTCAATCCCACTTACCAAGAGCGCAGCAGATTCTCCAAGTGAAGCTGCGCTCCGATCGTGGGACACAAATATTCTTTTCTAGCATTCCTTTCCTTTACATCCGGCATTCGAAATCTACATCCGTTGAATATAATGGGATAAATATGACTTCCCTCTCCAAACATAGACCTCCTTGTACCTGCGCATAGAATTTGCCTGCATTTTCCATCATGGGACTCAAAAAGCAGATGCTCCAGTTTGAGGATCAACTCTCAGATGTTGAATCCGACTACGAATCAGAGCCCGAACCTGCCATCCTGAAGCCGTTTCGGCTGTTCGATCTCCCATCGGAGATCCGCCTGCGCATATACCATTTTGTCTTGTTCACGCCGACCCGAAAGAGTGCGTTGCAGCGCACTGGCAACGTGGGAACCTCTGCGAAGAAGAGCAAACCACTAGCATCGTCCTCGGTTCGAATTGCTCTGTTTCTTACTTCGAGGCAAATACACGATGAAGCAACGCATTATTTCTATTCAACCCAGACCTTTCGAGTGCTGCCCGTTCAAGATTTCTTAAAAATGCCCACCGTTCGGGGTTTGCCTCGTCGCCACCGCGCCTCCATCACAACAATTGAATTGATCGTGGGATCAAGCTGGACCGCACCACCAAAGTCATGGGTGATCAATCAGAGTTTGGGGTTACAAGACATGCACCTTGCCCGCACGTTGAAAGTTTTTGTGCAGTGCGACCCCTCACACCCTGTGTTCGAAGGCTTCCGCATTTCCAAAGATTTCTATACCAACTTCTGCGGTAATTTGTTACATCAGATCTTGGAGCGACTGCCTGCTCTTGTGCAAGTCGAATTTGATGCATGGCCCTCTGTTGAGAAGAATGGACCTCTAATGTGTCGCCTGATCAAGGAAACTCGGGCTGCCCAAAAGAAGGTTCTCTGGGGCCCTGAGAGGGGCTGGAGCGACAGCCAGGATGACCAGCACGAAAAACTCACAATCGGCGATATAGACGTTGCCTTTGGTGGAATGATGTCCCATCCCTCCGATATTGTCGAGGCCCTGGGCAACTCGCTTCAGAGAGTCACGCTAGGATCTTGATTTCGTTAATGTTAACATTGATTGAACCCTTTGTTGCGAATCGTTTATGAACATCGCACAGCGCATGGATAGAATTAGAACACATATATAGAGCCTATATATGTATATAGATATATGTATCCTTTTGCCATACCTAGGTATTTCGGCTTGCTCCTCGAAGCCCGGCCTGATAATTCATTCGAACCTATCTGCTCTTTCCATCCGAACAAAATGTTTGTTTTTTTTACGTCAAGCGCTTTAGATAGCCAGGTAGATTTCGTTTATTGGTAGTCTACACAGTGTATTGACCATATAGGCGATTTGATAATTCATACATGGTACCCACCAGTCATCCAAGGAAATCAAGATATCGTAATTAAAGCGTTTCTGGAGGATTCGTACAGTGTATAACCCTTTAGAGATCTTCATCCACTTCCATGACGGCACCATTCGTGTCCTCTTTGGGCGAAGATTGCCGTGCTACCGAGGCTTCCTTATCAATCATCTGCCGCGAGACAGCAACGATGTTATCCTCGATCAACTTTTGACTTAGGTCCTCGATGTCTACGAAATGTCAGTCTTGATAAAACGATCACTTGTGAGGCACTTGGGAACATACGCTTCTTGGGGTCAACCTTTCCAACATATCTTGTCTTAAGCTGATCCTTCGACAACTCAGTCTCCTCCTTGATACGCTTCTCGTATCCCTCGGCAAGCAGGACAAGTTGCTTCATCTGTTCCACGTTGTGCTGACCCTCCTCGTGGAAGTCACTCATCTCCAAGGCCTCGGTCCATACGTGCTTGTGAAGGTTCATCAACATGTTTTCTTCCAATCCGGTCTTGCGGTAATCGATCGCAATGCTGTAGTAGTGGCGGTTGAGACCGTGGATCAAGGCCTGGATCGAAGGCTTGTTGAGGTGGCCCAAGTTTGATGTGGTCTGGCGAGGCTCCTGGCCCATGACCACGGTTTGAGGCTGGATAAGACGGAATGCGTCAATGACGACCTTGCCCTTAACTGACTGAATGGGGTCAACGACAACTGCAACCGCGCGCGGCGTAAGCTGTTCGAAGGATTGTTGAGTGTTGATATCGACTGAAGAGAGCCAGCAACCGAAACCAGGGTGGGAGTGGTACCAGCCGACAACGGTTTCTGGCCTATGCAGATAATTCAGGTTAGCAGCACGAAGGCCTCAGTAGCAGCCGATGATGGCTTACCGTCCTGTCTGTCGGAGCATCTCCATCATCCTGGTCTGGAACACAGGGTCCACAGCTTCGACACTGACACCGGTACCACTCTGAGGCATAGCAAAGACGTCCACTACCCGAACTGTGTATTCATCAACGAACTCGCCCAGCATAAGGCCCATAACCTCCATCGGGACACCTGCGCGGCCGTGTCGTAGCATCTTCAGCAGAGCCAAAGAAGAGATGTGCACGGTTTCGGAGTTATCAATCAGGTTTGGGGTGTCCTAAATACATGCCTGTCAGTAAGTGATACCTGGGAGCCATTGCTGGTTGAAGATAAGATGTGCCATTGATACGTCCCAACCAGGAGCTTGAATAGGTAGACACATGGCGAAACCGGAGATGCAATCGTTCAACTTACACCACCAGGGGCAGCGCCTCCCATGCCCATGCCTTGGGCAGCTTGGAGCATCCGGTTAAGGCGATCCATGATTTCTAAGAGATGTCGGATAAGACTCGATGGAACGACGGAGTAAGAAGATAATAGCTTCCTAGTTGGAAGCTCTGGAACACTCGATTGTCTATGGCAACTTGTATTTGTCAAGTGTCCAAAAGCTGGTATGAAATGGAAATAACGAGAAGCTGACGGATGCAATAATTGCCAAAAGCCAATAAGATAGGAAAGTGTCGAAGACGTGTCTGTGATGAGCAAGCCGTGGGAGCTTTGCCTGACGAAGGCGGTGAGAGGGTTTCGCCCTTCCACGCGGTGATTCTCTCCAACTCTCTCCTCCACCCCATTCCGCTAAGTCTCGACTATGACACTGGCTTGTTTCTCCAATTAGTCCTGCTACCCAGTTTTCACCTCGCGGGATCCGGTGATTGGGTGCCTTGCTGCCTGCTACTCTCCTGGGAGTATCTCTGCATCGCGCCTTCAACTCTCCTATAACCGCATACTCCGGCCCTCACACCCCAAACCTCCCCCTCTCTTAAAACAAGCCCCTTAACCCGTTCATTATCCCTCGGATACCTTGCGATATGGCTGCAGAGCCCATCTCAAACACCCTTCTTGGCTCCAAGAACAAGAAGGTCGCCTACTTCTACGACTCTGATGTCGGCAACTATGCCTATGTCTCGGGCCACCCTATGAAGCCTCATCGCATACGTATGACACACAGTCTTGTGATGAACTATGGCCTCTACAAGAAAATGGAGATCTACGTGAGCACATTTCCGATACTCATTCGCATGGCCTGCTCTTGACTAACGCGCAAATTCTCCAGCGTGCAAAACCCGCTTCAAAGTATGAAATGACCCAATTCCACACCGACGAATACATCGATTTCCTATCCAAGGTGACACCAGACAATATGGATCACTTTTCAAAGGAACAGAGCCGCTACAATGTTGGCGACGACTGCCCCGTCTTCGACGGCCTTTTCGAATTCTGCGGAATTAGCGCCGGAGGCAGTATGGAAGGCGCCGCACGACTGAACCGCAACAAATGTGATGTTGCTGTTAACTGGGCTGGTGGTCTTCATCACGCTAAGAAGAGCGAAGCAAGTGGTTTCTGTTATGTCAATGGTAGGAATCCGGTTCTACATAATTTGAACGATAAGACTAACCTGTGTCAGATATTGTTCTCGGTATTCTTGAGCTTTTACGGTTCAAACAGCGAGTCCTTTACGTTGATATCGATGTTCACCACGGCGATGGCGTTGAAGAAGCTTTCTACACGACTGATCGCGTTATGACCGTCTCTTTCCACAAATACGGCGAGTACTTCCCCGGTACTGGTGAACTTCGCGACATCGGTGTTGGGCAGGGCAAGCACTACGCGGTCAATTTCCCTCTCCGCGATGGTATCAATGATGTCTCTTACAAGAGCATCTTCGAGCCCGTCATCAAGAGCGTGATGGAGTGGTATCGCCCAGAGGCTGTGGTCCTCCAGTGTGGTGGTGACAGTTTGTCTGGTGATCGTCTTGGCTGCTTCAATCTGAGCATGCGAGGACATGCCAACTGCGTCAACTTCATCAAGAGCTTTGATCTGCCTACCCTGATTCTTGGCGGCGGTGGCTATACTATGCGTAACGTTGCCCGAACTTGGGCTTACGAGACCGGTATCCTTGTGGGAGAGGGCCTCGAATCGGAACTGCCATATAACGACTACTATGAGGTATAATAACACTTTCTCTTGAAGGTGAGATGTGATGCTAACTGCTTCTAGTACTTCGCTCCTGATTACGAGCTTGATGTCCGCCCTTCCAACATGGACAATGCCAATACCAGAGAGTATCTGGACAAGATTCGCAACCAGGTTATTGAAAATCTCAAGCGCACGGCATTTGCTCCCTCGGTCCAGATGACAGATGTGCCACGCAATCCCATCTTAGACGGCATGGACGACGAGGCTGATGACGTTATGGATGACCTTGATGATGATGAAAACAAAGACAAGCGATTCACCCAACGACGCTTCGATCAATACACAGAAAAGGCCGGTGAGCTTAGTGACAGCGAAGACGAAGAAGAAAACGCCGCCAATGGTGTTCGTCGCCAGCCAGGTGCCATCCGTCGCCGCAACCAAGCCAACTATCGAAACCTCGAGCCGGACTCTGGGCTGGACAGTGGCATGGCCACGCCGCAAGATGCCTCATCTGCGGCTGATGGGGAAATGGATTCTACCACGGACGCTAAAATGGCCGATGCCCCACGCACTGAACCGGAAGCAGCTACTACCCCCGCCCCAAAGGCCTCGCTTATCGATGAAACCCTCGTTACTGATGCTGATCGTGGCGCCGTGGGAAGCGAAGAGCAGGCAGACTCTACAACATCGCAACGCCAGTCACTTCCTCACGATGAGGACACAACCATGGAGGATGCTGCTGTTGCTGCCGAGCCCACTGCACTGCAGCAAGCTACTCATCAAGACGAGATCACCAATTCAGCTGCAGAGGCTCCCCACGCCGAAAATTCCGCTGCCTCCCCTGCGCGAGTCAAGTCGCCCTTGAACGAAGCTGTCGTCAAGGATGTAGAACCCTCCGCGGAACTTGCTGCACCTGCTGCAGAGACTGACGCGATTACTGCCAAGGAGGAGAAACTGGAACACACCGAAGAGCCCAAGAAAGAGGCGTAATCGGCTGTGATACAAGAAGACGATCGGATCTGGCGCAACGGACAATGGCAGAAAGGTGTTATCGGTTTAACAGCGTGCTCGCATCATCCTTGACACTTGCATCGATACTTATGGCGGAATCGCAAAATGAGCTCCAGTCGAGAACATTCATCCCAAGTATCTATCAATTGTTTAGGATTTCGGTTGGCGGGCTGCTTTCATGGGGATTGCTTAACTTTGAGAAGGAATTGTTTTATCTTAAGTTTTGCCGCTTGCTTTCAATAATTTTCCCCAATTAGTTTTGATGACTGCCGTATGTACTATGCAATGAGATATACAAGTAAAACTATCAGTTTCCAACGTTTGATTGCGTAGTCTACATAACTACTAGCATACTTTAAAAACAAATTAGATGAAGATCTATGATATTGATGCCTTAGGCGTTGAGTTTGGTCTATCCCAAATAGGTTAGCATTAGGGCAAAGTCGATGGATCCAAGTCACCAATAAAAAGCCAATGCCAAGATTTTACGCACTTTGCCCACTAAGCGAGAAAGCACACCTCCAGTTTGGAACCTCGTCGTCCGGAACTCTCGACCTCTTGTCGCCAACCCTTTTCACCCAACTTTCCCGTGATACTCAGCCATCATGTCTAAGAGAGGGTGAGTTTATCAGCAATTCATTCCGTGGCTCATTCGATTCCGACCGACACAAGCGAACAAGAACTGGACGTCTCGAAAGAAATTCTTGAAACCGACAAGCAATACACACCACAATCTTGTGTCGAGAGGATAGAACAGGGCCCGGAATGGAAGATTCGAATCGACGACAAAGCACAGTTTCGCTAACCTTCACACAGTCGTGGCGGTGCCGCCGGCAACAAGCTGAAGATGACTCTCGGTCTGCCCGTGTACGTTTACAACCTCTTCATCGTTCCCGTCTAGTTTGTTTCGAATGCGCCTCCATGCCCGCCAAATTCCAAAGTCGTTTCCGGTCGATCAACCACTCCGAAAAACAATCATAATCGACATCGACGAAGCACCAAAGATTGGCGGGCAGGGAGAGAGAAGAAAAAAAATATATAGAGGAACCCCACCTTCTACCATGCGCAGACGAAACACGACGAAAGAATATGCAAATTGGAATAGCAAGAATACTAACGAATCGCTTTGAACAGTGGCGCCGTGATGAACTGCTGCGATAACTCCGGTGCTCGCAACCTGTACATCATCTCCGTCAAGGGTATCGGTGCCCGCTTGAACCGTCTCCCCGCTGCCGGTGTCGGAGACATGGTCATGGCCACCGTCAAGAAGGGAAAGCCCGAGCTCCGCAAGAAGGTTATGCCCGCTGTCGTTGTCCGCCAGAGCAAGCCTTGGCGCCGCCCCGACGGTATCTACCTGTACTTCGAGGACAACGCAGGTGTTATCGTCAACGCCAAGGGTGAGATGAAGGGTTCCGCCATCACTGGTCCCGTCGGAAAGGAGGCTGCTGAGCTCTGGCCCGTACGTTGCACTTCCCCTCCCCAAATAGGAAATTCGGCATTGATTCCATTTCCTTGTTGTCTCTCCACACGAAACTAACTCTGTTCCAGCGTATTGCCTCCAACTCCGGTGTCGTTATGTAAAGAGTTGAAAATCCGAATTTAAAGAAAAACGATACCAAACCTCAAATCTGCTTGGGACCTGGAACGCGGTGCATATGAGACCATAGGATTAAAATGGGAGCTGGACAGTGGTGTCCATTTGACGAAATCCAACTGTTTTATTTTTAAAGCCGGTTTTATCCTCCATATTCGTGTTTCTCCCTACCTTTACTGGCGACTCTCGGAAGTATTTTACTTTTGAAAAAAATTCACATCCTTTTCAAATAGTGAATGCTTCTGCAAATTCTCCGAGGGTAAACGGTCCTGGTGTCTGGTTGTCGTTCTGATCGGGCTGTGCTTATGAACTCTGATATGACTACCAATGGCTGCACCTATCCCTCCGTAGACCTGTAGCCTTTAAATGTCGTAGGTACCTTGCGAAGACCCAATGCATGGTCAGCTGTCAGGTAAAGCCTTATGTAATAACGTCATATATATCGAGCCCTAACAAAACTACAACAGACTCGTAACAATTCTTTACTTTGTAAGTATATATTTCTCAATGTTGTCGTTAAATATTTAAAATGTCGTTTATGCAAATCGCTCGTAATCTGATGACTATTGATACAATGCAAAGACAACTATACAACAACCCAACAAACCAATCATTTCTCTTGTACTCTCTGCGTCTTCTCTTGTTGGATCTTTGATGAATCGGGAGAGACCACCCGCTTCGTCCCATGTCCAGATCCAGTCAACGCAACAGCGAACCTAAGCAAAGCCACGCCTGCCGTTACAAGAACGAGAACATGAATCGCCCACCATATATGCTGCACTCCAGCAGGACACATGGTGATCTCATAGTCCCACTGTCCAGCAGCATCGTCAAACCAAGCAGACAAAAGACCGGCATTACCACCGAATTCTCCCATCATAGAACGAAGAGTCACCTCCCGGATTGAAGGGTCGTCAATACGGCTCCCATCAAAGCGCTTAGCAGCCCAGTGCCAATTCTTAGCAGGACTCTCATCATCCACCCGCTCTTCTTCCTCTCCGTGGACCGATTCCGTCCGGTTGACATAATGAACAGCATCACAGCCGGTGTGATCATGCCCCGTGAGAATGAGTCCATTGCGACCCCGCCCACCAGAAACCGCATTTTCATCACCGCTGAGACCGAAAATACCCTGCAAGACACCACCACCACTAATGAAATCACTAAGATGATTCTGCTCCTTCAGACCACCCTCCAGCCAGCGCGCCACACCCCCAGGTCCATCCTCATCGTCAGAATCCCAGAACGAGAAAAATGGCCCATCAACACAGATGCCTTCCTTCTTATGGAGCGGCAAATGAGTCAAGAGCAGCGTAAACACCGACCGATCCTCAACAGCCGAAAGCCGCTCCGAAATCAACTCATTCAAATAAGAATAAGAATCACCCTGCACCTCACCAGAAAGCGCCGGCGTATCAAACACAAGCGTATTGAGATTAATCATATGCAAAGAAGGAACTACACCCTCCGACCCAGACCCAGACTCATTACGCGAATATGCATCCGGATACTCAAACCGGACATCCCAATTCGCGCGCCCAAACTCACGCTCGAATCGTTCCATCCGCGCAGCGCTGATATCACCCGCGTACCCGATATCATGGTTGCCAGCGACGTTGATCAAGCGCGTGGCCCAGCGCGGATCCGCGTTCTTGCCGAGGAGTTCAACAGGCGGGGATTTGTCGGTGGTGTGCTGAGTTTTCGCACCTGTGCGAGTGATGTTGTCGCTGACGCGCTCGCTGCCCCGGAAAACTCGATCCCAGTACCTGTGGCTGCGTTTTGCGAATTCCTCATCGGAGATCCATTGGCTGCCGACTAGGTCGCCGAGGACGGTTGTGTGTGTCGGTTTAGTCCACCAGGAGAGGGTGCGGTAGATGTGGGCAAGGTAGAAGTCGTTTCCGAAGAGATCGAGGCGTTTTAGGGCTGCGTTGATGGCGCGGGGAATGTCTTCTTTTAGGAGGGCTTGGAGGGCTGTTGTTATGGTTGAGAGGACGGTGTCATTTAGTAGGGAGGAGGAAGGTGTTGAAGAGTTGCCGAGTGCTTCTTGGATAGTGCGCCAGTGGGTCTGGATGCGCGGATATAGTTCGTATTCGGGAAATGGGAGGGAGGTGTCGCCCTCTAGTTGGGGGTCTGCGAGGACTAGGAGTCTGAAGATTGCGGCTTGGCTTTGCGTGTCCGCGGCTGGGTTCGGGGCTATGCGGAGGTGTTGAAAGAGGGTATTTATGAAGGCATTGTGATGTGGTTTCCAAGATTGGAGTCCGGTTTGTGAGTGGGATTGTGGTAGGGGGAATGCGCAGCCTTTAAAGACGGGGTAGAAATAGAGGTAAACAGTGGCGGTGACTGCGAATGGAAGAAGAAGCGCAAATGTGCGGGATAGCAGCCGCTGGAGGAACATGAAGGAATAGGTTATAATGACAGAAATTGGTAAATGTTATAATAACGTATATTGCATACTGAATGTGGGTATCGGCGTGGATGCGAAGGAGAAAGGGAATCATTGAGATGAACTGCGGGTGATGTGACTAGCCTAACAAAAGATCTATTCTAGAAGCACCACAAGTTGGTTAAAGAGACTACAGTTGATAGACAGACCACTGCAGGTAAACCATATATTATTCTAGCTACCTCAAAATATTCAAATCCAAGGACAACACACCTCAGTAACGAAAGTAAATATATACTGCCGATATGCAAAGGCGGTAACATGGGCGGTGAGGCCAAGTATAAACAAGCCTATGTGAGCTTAAAAAGCAGCACAATATTGTATAAATTCATATAATTGTTTATCTACAAGATGTAATTAGTATAGGGGAAATGCTCGGCGTCAAACTAACAATCAACTTCAATCCATAAGCAAGTCAATCATACACCCACATAAATCCCTCGCAACCGAGAACCGGATCGAGTCCACAAACAAAGGGAAGAGGCTGAGCGAGGGGTATATCACATCAAACGCCAACAAGTGAAAAAAAAAGGGTACAGGAATCACAGCTGTGATCAATACATCAAGCGGGGAAGGTAATTAGCTAGAAGATGTTTGACAGATACTTCAAGCAAGAAGGGAAGAAAAAAAAGATAGAGTAGAAAATAGAAAGGTAGAAAGGTAAGAATCATGGATCACTTTGATTCCATCTTCGCCAGAGGATCAGGAAGCAAGACATGGTGTAGATCGCCATTGGTAATCGCCGCCGATCTTTCAGTGGCTGGCGACTCAGGGAGGCTGTCCTTGGCATTTTCGAAGGAGTTGGCGTCAGAAGGGGTGCTGGGGAGATTCAGGCCGTCGATCTGGAGACCGCCTTCCTCTTCCTCTTCGTTAATGGTTTGTTCGGTCTTAGTACTACCAGAAGCAGGCATCAAGTCTGGTGGTCGCTGGTTCATCAAGCGCGCTTGTTTGAGACTGATGGTTTTTTGCTTGTTGGTCATTTCAACAGCCTGGCCCATATCGCGCTCGATAGTCGCTTTCATCAGAGCTGCCATCCACAACCGGCCCTGTTGGACATTGTCGACTTGGAAGTAATGGGTTGCTGGTTTGGTGAACTGGACTGTGCGCGAGTTACCCATTTTCGGAGGGACGAGCTTGAAGAAGAATGGGCCGTTGCCGTCTTTGTTGGTGAGAGATTGGATGACGGAAGGTGTGGTGAGTTTTGTGTCGCCTGTGCTGTTGACGGTATTGTTGGCATTGGCTGGGAGAGCGGTTGAGCCGGTGATTGTTGCATGGAGGGCAATGATAGGGTCTTGATCCGCTCGGAGGACGCGATGAGCGGTGATATCAATCAAGCCTCTTTCTTCGGTGTCATCTTCAGAGTAGTAATAAGACAGGCGACGGCCGCGCAGAACAAATAGTCGAGGCTTCCAGGTCGTCATCAAATTGGAGGATCTCTTTTTCATCCATCCACTATAATCGCAGCCTTCCATCTGCTCTTGTGGCGACTTCTTCTCAAGACCACGGGTATAGGCACTTGTTTCTTTCTTTGATTTGACGGTTCGAGGACGGACAACGAATCCTTGACCATCGGCAGCCTTACCGGATCCATCCGTGCTATGGCGTTCCGAGCTCTTCGATGTCGCGGATGGAGTAGTAGACCCAGTGCGAGCGGAAGTGGGGTCGGATTCACGTGGCGAAACAGGAGCAGAGGTATCGAGTTTCTTTCCGACAACATCAGAGATAGCCCGAAGACCCATTGCCCGGCGGAACTTAGGGCCAGCATTCTTCAAGGGTTGGAATGGCGCTGAAGCACTGTCCGATTCGCCGCCTTTACCGACTCGGGAAAAGTTGGCGAAGAAACCGCTACCGGTCTTGACCTCGTTCGGGGACTGCAAGTTCTTTCCACTTCCGGAAACACGCGTGCTCAGACTGCGCAGTCGGCTCTTCGGTGGCGTCCCATGGTAGGCTTGGGCAGCAGGGGAGACATGCTTGGCTGCCTCACGGATCGAGTCAACACTACCGACACGGGATTGGCGCTTTGCCGATGATGGGAGTCTATATGGTTCCTCCGCATAGCTCGACTTTCGAGAATGATTCATGCTGCCTCCAGTAGAGCTGCGTTTCTGTAGGACCCGGCGGTTTCGGCGCGAGTCGACCTCGGTACCTGAGAAATAACCTCGATCAAGATCATCGGTTTGATCGGGAGTGGTGTTATAAGAAGGGGAATAGGTTTCAGACTCGGCAGTCAATGGTCCACGGAAGCCAGAAGTGGTTCCCAACGAGGTTCCTGGGCGGGCGGGCATCGTATGCGGGCCCGAATTGAGAGTCCAGGATCGGTCGAAGGAGGGCTTCTTTTGATGGAAACCCGAGTCGGGTATGCCCCGTTGGGTGGCGTCGATCGAGGAATGACGGCGTGTGTGGTTTAGATCGCGGATCGACGCGGCCGAAATCCTTCTTGGTGATTCATGGCTATAGGGAGGAGTCATGGGGGAACTATTGTTGCTAGCCAGCCGTGGGTGTTGTGCGGGTGCAGAGGACCGCGGATATTTCTGCCCATTCTTCTCGGACAGCGTGGGGATTCGAGGAAGCAGTGGTCCGGTATGCCCAGCGCGAGACAAGGAGCGTTCATCCGCAGGGGCCGAGAGACTCGAGATGGATCCCCGGGTTGGCTGGTTGGATCCTTTGATATCTTCTTGGAATGCTTTAATTTTGTGCCATGTTTTGAGCCGTTTGCCCATGACGCCAAAGTCGAATTCCTTCATAAAGATAAAGTCCTGGTCCATATCGAGAAGAACGTCACCAGTGATCTCCTGCTCCTCGAAGATGTCGCAGTGCTTGGAGTCGATGCCGAGCCCGCGCAAGCATCTGGATGTCTGTGTTTGGCTCCATTTGCGCACCTCCTGTTCGGTTGGAAGATTTCTCTCTTCGTCGTCGGTCTCATGTCCATTAATATAAGAAGCCCTGTGGCCGATGTGGCTGCTATACTCGCTGCCGGAGTCATTGATTGGTTTAGGCTCTTGGGTCGACACACTGCCACGCGGGGTATTCATATCCGTAATGTGTTCGTCGATGACGCTCAGCGTCTCATTCATAACCGGACTTTCTTCACCGTTCATATGATTGTCCATCGGACTACGGAAGGCATGTTGAATATCGGCTGCCAAGCTTGGCCGAGGCAGCGGGGACGATGTGGATCGCTGCTGTGGTGAACCGATTTGGGACGAATGCATGTCGACGTGGCGCGAGGCTTGAGGGGTACTCTGCCCGCTTCCCACCGATGCGAACGAGGAATCTGCGGGCGCGTCAAACTCTGCTGGTAAGGGCGATTCGAGGAGCACCGGCGACTCGGCGAGGGTCTTTCGTGGAGTAGCTTTGGTGAAATCTGTTGCGCGCATTAATTAGCGGTTCTCCAACCGGGGGTCATGGGGGGCGCATACTGGCTGGGAATAAGCCTGTTTGTCCAGTTCTCAGATTTTTGCCCAAGTACCAGGCGTCACCGAATTCATCATCTAGCTCAAGCAATTCAATCTTATCGCGCGGAAACATCACCAGTTCGTCTTCACCGCAGCTGCTGAATTCATCTGGGATTGGTTAACTAGAGCGCGCACAACGATCGAATTGTCGCACACGACGTCACTTACGAAGAACCTCAAGAACGTCACCTGGACGAACGCCCTGAGGTGGGCCCATGGTGACCATGTCGATAAGTTGGGGGAGTTTCCGATCGTTTGTAAAGGACAAAATAAGGGAAGAGGAGTTAAGAAAGCTTGTCGCAAGGCATGGGGCGCAAACTCCCTTTCGGGAAAACAAAAGGAATCTCTCGAGAACAATGTGATTTCACAGAAAGGGGGGGGGAAGAGAATGTAATGAGAGTTGCGGGAATCTAATGGGGAAGATTAGACCTTTGAAGTTCGAAGTTCGAAGTAATTAGGTTATTAATGTTCGCGGGGCTCGCACGTACCCTCAACAATCACCGAGGTGTGTTCTTCAAGATTGGGAAGAAGATAATAACCTCAATCAGGAGATGAACAACAATGAGAGATTAGACACCACACAAATAGCAAGGTACAACACTCAAGAAATTCAAAAATAATATGATGGCGAAAAAGTAGTGACGTGGGCGGGTCGTCAAAAAGCCCTGAGAGAGTCTGGACTTGGGTATATTCCGTGGTTAAGAAAAGAAGAAAAAGGGCAAAGGCGAACGAGGGCGATTAATAGATTGTAAAGTCGAGCGGCTGAAGGTGGTACGAAATGGGTTATAGTTATCGACTAGATATTATTTTAATCAGTACAGGATTATTTTAATTTAAAAACAAATTAGTTCCTGGCATTCTAACTATCTACTTACAATAATTAATTGGATTCGGCGCGTATGCATTCGTCAAAATGAACCCGGTCATTCCTAGAGACTAGGGCTAGCATTATGTGTTCTATTAGCAGTATGTGTTCTATTAGCAGTATGTGTTCTATTTGATAATAAATTATGTGAAAGATGAGTAGATGAAACATAAAATATATAAAATGTAGAGAGATATAAAAGAAGACATCTAAATATAAGATCAAACAAAGCCAGTCGAGTATAAAAGTACTCCAAAGTACCGTTTGCAAAGTAACCCCTCACTAAAAAGTACTCCTTTGTTTGCTAAGTACAAACAAAGTCTCGCTATAAAGGGCTGTCTCTGCCTCAATCCAAAATGGAACACCTTTAAAATGGTGTCAAATGCCCGAGACAATATTGATGAATCCAATACCACTGCCAACCTTTTCTTAGGTGGTGTGCGGAGGGACTGGATGGGATCTGCGGAGAAGAACAGCTCGAACCGCTCACGGGATTCTTCACGCGTTGAAATGCCTGCTCCAGCCAACTCAAATCCAGAAGCGACCCCCTTGTCCCCCGTTACGTCCGTTACCCCCTGTGAGACCCTCCAACCTTCCGCCAGTATTGCAAGGGCAAAAAATCCCGACACGCCAGAAACTGCCCTGCCCTCACCTGCGCTCAGCACAACATCGCGCCCGAGTCCCGTTAGTGTAGACTTTATCGCCTCAACTTCGAGGTTGCCGCCCGACTCGACTTCGACTGCGACGCAGATTCAGGAAAATAATGACCGGATGGCCGTTCAACCTCCTAAAGCGCCTGTCGCCGAACACATACCCAGTTCTCTAGCGGTCGCGCAGTCGCAAACCGATCTACCCTCCCGTCCACCGCCGGAATATCCCTCTTCCGACTCCAGGCCTCCACCACAAAGACAGAATGAGGCTGCACCAAGTCCAGTCGCCCCGGTCGTCCCGGGCGTCTCCGAAGAGACATGGAATGGATGGTCACTTCAGTTGAAAAGCATGCAAGAGGAGTGGACTCAGACTGGATTTTTACAAGCATCTGAGGGAGAAAGAAACGTCGTTCGACCTCGAATTAACCTGTTAGAGCAGGCAGTTGATCATAAGGATCTCTTCTATCTGGTGATCCATCAACTGTATTGCCAATATACCATTGACCCATTGACCCTTGAGCGAATTAGAGCACCTGCGAGAGGAATGGATATGCTTTTTCATCTTTTGGAAGATAATAGAAAGATGAACCCTTCTGTTACATTCAGATTTGCTCATTTCCCCTACTCCCCACAGCAATTGTCCCAGCAGGAATGGTACCTACGTACACTGCAGACCGTCCCTTTGTTTCTTATGCGGGTTGCAAATGAAATGGCCAAGTTCTACAACCAAGCCACTCACGCTCCGTTGGTGTCCACTCTTTCAGAACTATTTGGACATCCTTCTCCGGTATTGTTGAGTGTGATTTTCACATTTGTCTCCAATCGTCTTCATGAGACGGAATACATAAAACCACTACAACGTCTGCTTTGGAAAGATTGGGCGTCATTTATGCAGTGTCAGACATCTAATAAACCCGACACTGAGACAGCAACCCAGTCAAGGAATCGAAATTTGATACAAACATATCTTTCATTCCCACGAAAGTCCAGCGCTCCTTCCGAGCCTGGTTCCTTCCCAGATCATGAAAATATACGTCCGGTTGAGACCATTTCTCCCGTCCAAGGAATACTTTCAACCTCTTCTAGCTCTCCATTTGCTAGTGGCGCCCAAACTGCGATTTCACCTCCTATACGCTCACCTTCTGTTCATTCGGCCTCAAATCCAGTTGCGGGGCGATCTTCGGAACCTTTCTCTGGTCAGGCTCCTTCGCAGCCCCAATATAGTGGTAGAGACATGCCTATGCCTGCTTCGCCGGGTTATTATAGCCAGATACAGCAAGGGCAGACATTGGTATATAACCAGGGCCAGAGGGGTAATAATCAGATTCCACAGCCGGTGCAAATGCAGGTGCAGCGTTCTCAAATACAGAGTCCCAAGGGACAAAGGTCTCAGATCCAGCGTCCTCACGTTCAAACTTCCCAAACTCATAGTTTTCAAAGACAAAGTCCCCAGGTTCAGAATCCTCAAGCTCAAACCCCTCAATTTCAAAACTCCCAGATGCGGAACCCTCAGACGCAGAACCTTCATATACAATGGCAAAGGCAAATGAAAATGCCGATGCAGGCAGTGCGTCATGGACAAGTTGCCCCTGCTACAGCATATCAAAATGTGCAGATACAGAATTCACAGGGCCAGGGAGCAGCGAATAGATCGCGTTCTCATGGTCCTGTGAATTCTGCAAATGCTGCTAACTCTTCCAACTCTCCTACCCTCCCCTCGCAACTTGTCACATTCACGTCAAGTCTCCCTCAGACACCCAACCCTTTGTCAATGATCCCCACACCTACCTCTGCAAATTACGTACTCCAACTTCCCAACGGTCAGCTTGTGCCACAATATCCTCATATTCGACGCAATCATCAACTTCCGCCAAATTCTCTAACGGCTTCACCAGCCACTCACTTGTCTCACTTAGCTCATCAAGTTCAGGCTTATCATCAGTCAGCACCACATCGTCAGCCTATGACCACGCCTTTCTTCGCCGCAGCTGGGTACAAAGCACCAATCACTGTGAACGGAGATCCTCTACGAATCGGACTACACCTAGTGCACCCACGTGACCCGATGAAGCGACTGGTTGAGATAGGGCCTAATGGCGAGCCAATCGAAACTGATCTATTCTCTTACTTCAACGCATTTATCGTGCCACCCACTCTGATCGATCCCAAGGAACCGGACTACACATGGAATTTCAAACTCGCACAAGTTGACCTGCAAAGGTTCCCACGGGTTAGCAAGGCAAATGGTGGACACACATCAGTCTGGACATACCAGCCCGGCTCCTGTAACCTTCGATTGCGGTGCATTCGCCTTGGTGGCAAACCAGTTCCCGTTGAAGGCAATTTGAAATCAGTTCAGAACAATTTAGGCTCTGCTGATGGCACATCTGACTCCGTTGGTGGAAAGTATGGCTCCGGGAAAGGCAAACGAGGTTCCGTTGAAGAGATCAAGTGGGCTGTCTCTCCCACCTACTGGCCCAGTGTTTTCTACATCACCGTGAACGGCAAGGAACTCCAAGTACGCCGAAAAGTCCACAACGGCAAAGACCTCCCTTTGGACATAACCCAACACCTCAAGGCAGGCGACAACTCTATCCGTATCGACCTGCTTCTAGGAAAAGACGAGTGCAAAGACAACCAGTATCACTTCGGCGTGGAAATCATGGAAGTTACCGCCTTCGAAGACATCCTCCACCTAGTGCAGCCCATCCCTGCCGCAGATGCTCGCGCATCCATCCAGAAGCGCCTCACCCCCATCGCCAACGATGACGATCTAGCCGTCGTGACCGACAGCCTAACAATCAACCTCGTTGATCCCTTCATGGCGCGAATTTTCGATGTCCCCGTCCGTTCCAAAAACTGCACCCACGCCGAATGCTTCGACCGCGACACCTTTATCCGAACCCGAAAATCAGCCTCCGGCAGAGCTCCAATGGTCGATAGCTGGCGATGCCCGGTCTGCAAAGCCGATGCACGCCCCAAATCCCTGGTTGTCGATTACTTTCTGGCCGAGATCCACGCAGAACTCGCTCGCACCAATAGGCTGGACGGCGCGCAGGCCGTTCAGGTCAACGCTGATGGAACCTGGGTGCTTAGGACTAATACAGATGACACCTCACCTGCCCCTCAGGGAGGTTCTCACTCAGGCCCAACGTCACAAAAGCGCAAGTCTGTCTCGGATGATGCTTTGGAGCCTGCCGCGACCCGTCCTAGGCTTGACTATAAACCGGATGTGAGCCAGCCTTTGGTTTCCCGTCACTACCACGAGGTTATTGAATTGGACTGAGGGGGTTTTGACCCCTTGAGTCGCCTGTTTTTCTCATTTGGCTTGTCTTCTCCTTTCTTTGAGGACGGTCATTTGGAGTGATCTTTTTGTTCTCTCTGGGTTTCTTTGTTCTTTTGTTACTTTTCCTGTTCACACTTGTTTATTTGGTCCTTCGATGCCTTTCACTAAAATCTGTATGCGTTTGAAAAGGAAAGATACCCCCTACTGCGTGCTATCCATATGGTCGAAGACATTATTTTTTATCTGATATCATTATCATTATTGGCGTTAAGAAGACTTGGCCTGCTGGATATCCACTGTTTCTTTGGCCAGGCGCTTGAAAACAATTTGTTTTGAGACATGAATTAATGATCAATCTATCCTCAACTTCTGTTCATCTCATATTATCTTTCTTTCAAGGGTTTCCTACGCTGTAACCAAGGACCCTCTCCTCTGATCTCTTTCTACACCTCAAGTCCCGTACCTGCCTAGGTACGGAAATGCGAAGGAGGCCTTGCTGACCTGACACGCGCAGCAGAAGTGAACCAAGAGAAAATACGATTCATTCGTGAAGACCCCGCTATGAACATTAGATTATACAGAATATGTTATATTAGGGATTGAGATAAACCAAATATCCCAGAGAAGAAAAGAAACTATTTCCTAACTCTCCTGACATGACTAACGAGGTTCTCAATAACACCCTCGAAAGCCTCTTTTTCACCAATAAGCCCATCCCGCCTCTTGAGCCAATGCTCGAGAACCGAACTCGCTTGCTGAGCAGCAGTCTCCAGCTCCTTGACATGCAACTTCAACTCCGAATCCGTCAGACCATTCAGCGCAGCATCAGTAGTCGCGCACAGCCGGCGAACAGCGGAGAGATCCATTTCCGGCGCAGATGGAGCGCCACGACGAGTCTTTCGAGGGGGCGCTTGGCCCTTTTCAGAGTCTTGGGCATTGTCTTGTGGTTGGGGTGAGGGGGCAGGACTCTTCCTGCCGGAACCTTCTAGGTCGATGGAAGGCAGGACGAGCTTTTTCTGTTTTGAGGCGGGGAGGATCTCGTCGAGGTCGACGGGGACTCCTAGGGAGACGAGGAAGAGGCGGCGAATGCGGGATTTGACCCAATTTTGGGGTTGGAGGGGTGGGGGAGCGACGAGTTGGGACCAGAGGGAGAGGGAGCGCTCTGTGCTAAAGATTGCAGAAGAGTCTGGGATTGGCTCGACTGCTGGGAGAGAGGAGAGGTCTGTCGATGATGGGAAGAGGGTGTTGAGGGTATCCTGGAGGGAACTTAGGAGTTCAGTTGTTGAGGTGAAGGTGTTAAAATCGGTGAGTGGTGGCTAGTGAGGTTGGCTTGTTAGTTGATGGTTGAGGAAGGGTTGTGCTGGGTGTGAGCACGTACGACTGGAGGGGCGTTATGTTGGGACGCGATTCCATCTGCTGGTGGTTCGTCTGCGTCCTCTGTGCTGGGCTCTTGGAAGCCGTCATCGAAATCCCCAAAGTCATCGTCTTCCATGTCATCCTGCTCTTCTACAAATTCGTCAAAATCGTCCCCCGCTTCTCCTTCTTCTTGCTCGTCGTATTCGTCATATTCGTTCGCATTAATCTCCAGGGAGAGGTCCTGGACTGGCGGTTCCGGGTAATTTGATAAAGAGACATCGGGAACGGTTTCTACCGTATCGGGTAATGTGTCACTTGGTGAGCTCTGGTGAGCTTGTGGATGTGATGGCACGTCTTCGTCGGCGGGTAATGTATCCACTCGCTCAAGTCGTGTCTCAGGAATGACGGTTTCGGATATATTGAGTTGAGGTGATGTAGGGTCTAGCGCTGGCGGTGTTGGGCTGCCCTCCAAATCCGACGCTTTGGTCACCACATCGGGTACGGCATCGGCGAGGCGTTTTTCGTGTGCCTGCGTGCCTGGTACTTCGCCGTAGCTAGGCTCACTCGGGTCAACCTTTTCAACCACTGTCCGTGGAATAGGGGAGCCCCGGGGGCTCAAAGGTCGGTCCTCAGGCCCCGCGGCCGAGTAGTTCTGGCTGTGTGCACCTTCCGGAACCACTTCGATCTCGTCAGGCACTGCATCCTGTTCTCTCTTTTCAAATGCCGCTGTCCCTGGAACATCGCCATTTTGGGCGCTACTGTCGACCCTCTCGACTCGCGTGCGCGGGACAGGGGAAGTGCGACCGGATTGTGGGAGCGACTGGGGCTCTGGAATGCCTTCGCTGGCGTCTGAGAAGTGTTCATCTTCGCTTTCGGACTCTGCTAATAAACAAGGTCAGTTCGACTTTCCGAAAAATTTAACCAAAAGTAAACAATAGGCTCATACTATGGCTACCAGCTCCTGGATCTTGCATCTCAGTAGTCTTCCTGGGGGGCTCTAGATGCGAATTGGACAAATCGGACGGCCCCTCCGACATGATTGCAGCTTGATTTCAATATGTTAACATGCAAAAGGGGGTATTCAAAGGAAATAAATAAAATGTTATGGTGGTAGTGTGTGAGTGACGACAGTTGTTTCTCTATGATCGATGTGAGCCCAGAACATGTTGGCCCTAGAGCCTAGTTAATATAAATAATTGGCCACATTTTTCAGGCAATATATTTGCCCTGTTTCCAAGGCCACAACTTCTGCGCGTGCTGCCAAACTCCTTCCGACTATTATTGCTTCAACCTTGGTTTCTGTTGTCTTGTACATTCAACCCTCGGTCTCTTTCACCGGATTTATTCGATTAAGAGCAATTCTCTCTTATCGTTGGATCTCTGATCCACTCCGCAGGCTCCCTCTTCCCTGCTCTGTATCGCCGGCCCTCTCCCCGTCCAGCTTTTTTCCATCACCGCAAGCTTGCCTAACCACATTGATCGCGCCAACACATCACCATGTCATTCTTCAACACAACGCCCTCTAGCGGCGCATCCAGTGGAAGTCTGTTCGGAACAGCAGGCAATGCGTTTGGCGCCAACAAGGATAACAATGCATCTGGCGGTGGTGTCTTCGGAAATGTTGGAGCTTCGTCTGGCGGCAGCAGCGCAACACCATCTTTGTTTGGAGGAAATGCCGCTGGTCAAAACACTCCTAGCTTCGGAAATACAGGCACTGCCAATGCGACCACCGGTGGCAGCTCAGGCTTCAGCTTCGGCGGCCAGGCCAAAACCGGAGCTCCTACAGGGAACTCATTGTTCGGTGGTGCCGGCAGCCAAACACCTAACAAGCCCGCGGAATCGACTACACCTGGCCAACCTGCTAACAATGGACTATTCGGTGGTGCCGGTGCCCCCAAAGCTGGAGGCAGTATGTTCGGTTCGACAGCTACACCTGCTCCAGCGGGAGGGTCTTTGTTTGGCAATAACTCAACCACCCCTGCTGGTCCTCCACCAGGATTGAACCCTCCCAACAGCCTTTTCGCCGCCGCAAAGCCCGCTTCAGCCACCCCTTCTACCGCAGCGACATCTACCACGCCCACTACCTCACAGCCATCTAACAACCTTTTCGGTGGAGCTGCATCCAAGCCGTCTTTTGGTGGAGCTGCACCTACTCCAGCTGCACCAGCCGGTGGTCTGTTTAGTGCAAATAAACCGGCGGAGACCACCACTCCTGCAGCCACGGCTGATACCGGTGCTAAGCCACTGTTCGGCGCCGCTCCCGGCGGCCAGACACCTTCTCTCTTCAACAAGGCGCCAGCTCCTGGCGGCGACGCCGCTTCGAAGCCTGCATTCCCAGCCTTTGGTGGTGCTACTTCTGCCACACCTAGCACAACTCCTTCCCTTGGAGCCCCGGCCACGTCAAGTGCCACACCTCAAAAGCCTATGTTCTCCATCGGAGGCGCCACTTCCACAGCTGCTCCCTCGACTACCCCAGCGGCGGCTCCTTCTGGAGGTCTATTCGGAGGCGCTGGTAGCTCTGCGCCCTCCACAACCGCGGGGACAGCGGCCACTACCGCTCCCACTACTACATCAGCCGCTCCTGCGGGTGGCCTTTTCGGCCAAGGTGCAGCTGCTACACCTTCAACTAAACCTGCGACCACTTCTGCAGCGCCACTTGGGGGTCTTGGGGCTCAAACTACTGCCGCTCCGGCCCCTGCCACAGCTGCGCCTGCTGCTGGCGCCGCTCCAAGTGGTCCTTCTGCGCTTGGTCAATCTACCACTGGTCCTGCTCCCCCCGCTCAGTCACGCTTGAAAAACAAGACCATGGATGAGATCATCACTCGATGGGCCACAGATCTTGGCAAATATCAGAAGGACTTCCGTGAACAGGCGGAGAAGGTTTCCGAATGGGATCGTCTGCTCGTGGATAATGGAACCAAGGTCCAGAAGCTGTATGGTAGCACCGTTGATGCAGACCGCGCGACCCAGGAGGTTGAGCGCCAGTTGTCAGCAGTTGAGGGCCAACAGGACGAGCTAAGCTCATGGCTGGACCGATACGAGCGTGAAGTCGATGAGATGGTCACCAAGCAGGTTGGCCCAGGAGAGTCCCTCCAAGGACCTGACCAGGAGCGCGAGGCAACGTAAGTAGCAGTGCTTTCGCTTTTTCAGAATATACGCAGCTAACATATCGATAGCTACAAATTGGCCGAGAAGCTCTCAGAGCGCTTGGACGAGATGGGCAAGGACCTTACCAGCATGATCGAGGAGGTGAACAGTGCCTCATCCACCTTGAGCAAGACCAACAAGGCAGACGAGCCGGTATGTCGCCACATTCCCTTAACATCACGTCTGATATATTTGCTAACCCAGTCTTATAGATCTCCCAGATCGTTCGCATTCTCAACGCCCACCTGTCCCAACTGCAGGTCATCGACCAAGGCACCTCTGAACTGCAGGGTAAGGTCGCTGCTGCCCAAAAAGCGGGCCAATCGATCTCTGCCCGTCTCGGATACGGATACAACAACACAGGTATGGGCAATGACAGCACCGCCGATGATTTCTACCGCTCCTTCATGCAAGGGCGGTAAATTGTGGATGATGGTCTTTTTAATGATTTGAACTCGGAGTTAATGGCTACTTGGCACCTCGATGTGCTTGGAGGATGTACTATTGTAGTCAGGATATGCTAATAGTCGGTCACAATAAACTGTTTGCATGTTCTTTTCTGATAAAATTGATGCAGCACAATCGTAGAGTTCAATGTACCAAGTCCACATGTAGATTTTGGACATACATTAGGCATTGAGGTGTACCTTCAAGTCACGAAAATGTAAACCAGGCTTGATGGAACTGACAATGGAGTTTGAGAAACAATCGAAGATACCAAATTCGATCTACCGGTAATCAGGTTTGCGTGACTAGTATATCTATGTACACATGCAGGGATAGCAAATTGCTTGACTATAATACAAGCCCTATATAGTAACCTTGGAAGATATTATGGAGATGACTTGTTGATAAGCGATTTGCACACTTTAACTTCCATTAAACATCGGACTCTGTTCTAGAAGATCCATAACCTCCAAATGCCTAACCCGTTTCTCTTTCGACCGCCCTACCGTCTCCTGAACCGCCAGATCCACAGGCAGCTGCCCCTTGTTGTTTTTAGTGACCGGATCAGCACCCGCCTCAAGCAACAATTCAACTAATCCCGGAAAGCACCTTCGCGCCGCCAGATGAAGAGGAGTATTACCGTCCTCATCCCTCGGCTGGACACCAGCGCCCCAGTGCAACAAATACGCTGCCAATTGCAGAGAGCCACCGACTGGTATCTTATGTAGCGGTGTGATACCAGTCGAAGTTCTTGGCTCTGGATTGACACCGTGTTGCAGCAACATCTTGCACAGAACTGCGTGTCCCCTTGACACGGTAACGTGCAAAGGCGTGACGCCAGACTCGTTACCACGGGCAGGGTTGGCACCTCGTTCTAGCAGAAATGAAGTTATTTGGCCTAATGTCGAGTCTTTGACCTTAGACGCGCTGCTTTCCCAGAGGACTGCCATGAGAAGGGGCGTGTTCCCGGTTGAGGATATTGCCTCTAGATCTGCACCTCGGTCTAACAAGACATTTGCAATTTGTATTTGGCCATTGAAGCATGCCATATGGAGTGGTGTGTAACCATCAGCGTCTCTCGACTCCATAGCGGCGCCTTTGTCCAGTAATAATTCGGCAAACTCAATATGACCCTTAGAAGCAGCAAGGTGTAGTAAAGTCCTTCCCTCGCGAGTCCGTTTATCAAGATCGGCTCCACATTCAATGAGGCAACGAGCCACCTCCACAGAGTTTGACACACTAGCCACTTGCAATGGAGTGTCAGCGCACTGTGAAGTAGACTCCACATTGGCCCCTTTGTCAATCAAAACCCTTGTCAACGCCGCACGACTACTGGGATATTCTTCTGCAGCCAGATGCAAGAGACTGGACCCCCTCAAGTCCACGGAATTGGGATCAACGCCATTATCAAGCAAAAGACGAACTACTGCAGGTTTGTTGCGCTGAACAGCGAACGTGATTGCGTCTTTGGATCTGGAAGTGTCTTTCGCGTGGACATTGGCTCCATGCGCCACGAGGAGCGAGACAATATTTGCATGCCCGGATCGGGAAGCTTCAATCAACGGCCGGACCTTCGTTTCGCGGTCTTGTGACTCAATATCCGCGCCTTGTCGGAGCGACTCCTGGACTGCTTCTAGCTGGCCATGTTTTGCTGCCCAGTGCAGGGCGCTTCCGTTCTGGTGGCGGACATTGTATGCATAGAGGAAAGAGTTTAGGAGATTATAGCAGCGGCGGTTTGTTTTCGCTAGTGCATTTATGCTATTTTGGGAGTCTAGCGTTTCTGTTATGGAGAGCAGGAGCTCGTTTGGTAGGTTGAGGAGAGTCATGGCGGGGTAAGCATTGGGGGGTGACGGCCCCAGATAGAATGGTGTACCTTGATGTTTGGACGTGTTGAGGGTCGTACTTGAGTTATGAACAAGATGAATGGTAAGAGCTCTTCCAAGCTAGGATCCCGCTGCCAATAATGTGTGGAGAACCGCGATCTACTACATCAAGGGTGGATCTCTAGTTCAAGTTTGACGTCTCGGCCCTGAAACTAGGAAAATGACTTATAGGGAGTCTTTTCCCGACGCCCTTTCAATTGTGGATATATAGACAGTAACTGTCTTTGAGTGTTGTCATGGTGAACTACGACCAATACAAGCTGTGCTCTGACGGCACTATTTACTCTAGAGATATAGGTGCCAACAGCTAAAATAATTCCTACCATAGCCTGAGGGTGTACTGGTGGACCCAACAGGATCCCAAGACGATGTGCTTGGACACAATACATGGACATAAGGAGGGGTATATAAAACAACTCCAAAGATGCTATTGTGGGGATATGCCATGCTTAAGCACAGACGCTGGAAATCAGGGGATTTCAAGACAGTGAGCTACAATGGCTCACAGAGCGGAGATGATATTATACATAGCAGTTGAAGTGATTCTTTGCGTGGAACATGACATATTTAGGCGCACGAAATCTATTGCTTGGACAGGCCGTCGCTGTAAAGAGGTCAGTCAGGCCATTATTCAAATGCGGGGCAATGAAACGAATAAGAATAGCAAAAATGGGGGAATATTTGGGGGAATATTTGAGCTTACATATGGTTCTCAAGCTCATCTAGGTGCTTGCGCTGTTCGGAAATCTTCTTCTTGAGTTGAGCAAGCCTATCATTCAAGTTAGCTTCTAGCTCATTTGTCCAGTACTGATCATTCGGGTTTGCGGAACTTACTTCTCGAGCTCCTTCTCACGAATGTAAAGACTCTCCTGGGCGGCCTCACGGCGGGTGAAAGCATCACTGGGGATAGAGAGATTAGCGATGGTCATCGGTATATGATGTCATCCAACCGCAGCAAGGTGGGCAGTCAGGATTATGGACTCGTTGCAATTGAACGTTCAAGGTATATACCATATGCCACATGCCACAGTCAAGATGTGTCTCACTTACCCTGAGGAACCGCCGGCGCTGCTGCGGGGACCACCGGTGTCGCCCTCGCCCATGCGTGGGACAGCTGCGGAGAATGAACGGGTGAAAACAGCCCGGTTGGCAGTGTTGGCAGAACGGATGATGGATTGACGAAGCATTTTGAAGGTTGGAATGTTGAAAAGGCAAAGTTGATTCAGGGGAGTAGAGAAAAGTACAAGAGATGAGGAGAAGAAGCTAGGTACATATGTACTTTTGGAAGCTCCCAATGACGTTTGAGCGCCAAGAAATATCAGGTGAGAAGATTATGTCAGATTGCTTTTCAAATGTCAACCTTGGAAAGTCATGTGAGTGGAAATTTCTATTCGATAAGTCGACGGTCTCTCATTCGACTGTACTCCATACTCTATAACTCATTAATGTATGCTGGGTGTCCAGAGTACTACACTTTCTTGTATTATCATAGCCTATAATCAACATAAAGATGTATCTGATTCATGACTTGATCATGGGAACATGTTCGAAAGATCTGAGCCCTTTGAGTCTAGATCTATTCATGTTTCAAACAAATCATCCTGCACAATTTACTTCTATCTACTTCCACCTATAACTACATGTAATTAAGTTCTGCCTTGAAATATCGAATGAGGCGCAAAGTAAGGAATCGGGCGATTGGCGGGTGTGGAATGGGGGATGACGCTGTTAGAGGCCCACCGAACCACACAGAACAGATGAGGAGAATTGGATAACAAATTACAATTGATGTTAGAGAGGATAACGGAATAAATTGATCAAATCAAAATTATATCGAAAAAAAGAAAAGTCAAGTTAAAAAACTCGTAGTCTCTTGTGACCTAGGAAAGATATCCCGTTCTATTTGAACAATAACAGAAAGTGTGGGTTCCCAACAACAGAAGGCGGTGTTCAGACTGCCCCCCCCTCTTCCTCTCTCAACTTCCCTCAATCAACTAAACCTCCTATTCTCCCTGTCCATCTATTCTCATCAATTTCTTTTTTTCTCACCTCTATCTCCTTTAAATCAGGTCAGTGTCATCCTGTCTTTTTCCCCCCTTCCTCGATCTATCCCCCCTGTTTCTGTGCCCCTCCGCCCCAAATCCCACACACATCCAAACAACCCTGGTCATCCATGGAGAGAAAGAGAACAAGAGAATGAGATGGGTATTCCACTTCCCACAAAATATTACTCTGTTCGAAAAATCCTCGTGAAGATTTGCGTCATGAGTTATTTGGTGGAAATACATGTTCTGGCACTCCTTGTTTACCCGGTTGAACTTGTTTCCCGCGACCGCTTTCCTGCGATACCCAACTACACCCGGGTGTAAGCCAAGGCACTGTGGCCAACAAGGATCCTCATGATCGTCCATCTATCTGAATCAATGACTGGATTTGGACTTGATAGGGAAATTACAACCTGGACCCTTTTCTTCCAATATACTGGAGGGGTCCATGTTTACCCCTCGTCATCCGTTAGCACTGCGGAATGGCGTGCTTCCCGAACTCTTCAGCTCAAAAACATCAAAAAATATCAGGCGAACCACAAGGCTAACTTTGAATTGTAGAAAACACACTTTCACCATGGGTCAAGAAGACGCTGTTTACCTCGCTAAGCTCGCTGAGCAGGCTGAGCGCTATGAGGGTAAGTAATGGCAGCGTTTCCACAGCTTGCCCAGAGCTAACGAAACCCTTTAGAGATGGTCGAGAACATGAAGGTCGTTGCCTCGGCCAATGTTGAACTCACCGTTGAGGAGCGCAATCTCCTGTCCGTCGCTTACAAGAACGTCATTGGTGCCCGCCGTGCCTCTTGGAGAATCGTCACCTCGATCGAGCAGAAGGAGGAGTCTAAGGGCAACGAGTCCCAGGTCGCTCTCATCAAGGAGTACCGCCAAAAGATCGAGGCCGAGCTTGCCAAGATCTGCGACGACATCCTCGAGGTTCTCGATGAGCACCTCATCAAGTCCGCCCAGTCCGGCGAGTCCAAGGTCTTTTACCACAAGATGAAGGGTGACTACCACCGTTACCTCGCCGAGTTCGCCATTGGCGACCGCCGCAAGGGTGCTGCCGACTTCTCCCTGGAGGCCTACAAGGCTGCCACCGAGATCGCCTCCACTGACCTCGCCCCTACCCACCCCATCCGTCTCGGACTCGCCCTTAACTTCTCGGTCTTCTACTACGAAATCTTGAACTCCCCCGACCGGGCTTGCCACCTCGCCAAGCTTGCCTTCGACGATGCTATTGCTGGTAAGTCCCAGCAGATCACTTGGATACGACCGTAGATCCATACTAACGTTTATCTGCAGAGCTCGACACCCTCTCCGAGGAGAGCTACAAGGACTCCACTCTCATTATGCAGCTCCTCCGTGACAACCTCGTAAGTTGATTGTTGTACAGCAAAAAAGATATTCACACGCTAACCTACATTCTTTCATCAGACCCTCTGGACCTCGTCCGAGGCTGAGCCCGCCGCCGAGAGCGCTGCCCCTGCCGAGAAGGAGGAGGCACCCGCTACCGAGGGCGAGAAGCCCGCCGAGTAAACGAGTAACACATAAAAAGACCTTGTTGATGGACTCACGTCCTCGGGACGGATAGGACAGCCAAGAGAGAGAGCGCATGACGGGTCCTTCAGGGCAAGGACACATAGAATGGAGACGAAGGGGGAAGGATCATACGACGCATTGACTCAAATGACGGACTAGATTATCGCAGTGACTCGCAAGGGTTGGTGCGAGAAATATCCCGCCATTTCCAATGCTTCTTTGGACCATTTTGCTTCACTTCTCTACTTGACCCTTTGCTTTGTTTTCTTGGCCTGTCCTCTGCGTTGTCTGCCTGGGGATATCCTATCTCCTCTTTTCGTTTTTCATTCTCCCTGTTATTTTGTCTACTTTGCCTCCTAACTACCCAAAGAGTCCCCTGCGCGCACTCTCCCAGCCCCAACACATACACAACGGACCACAGAAGTTTTTTTCTAAATCAGTTCCTTATCAGGACTTCAACGAGGGTATCTTGCCGATCCCTGGCTTGGCTTTATTCCCATTTTCTTATTCCCTTTCGTATTTTTGCTTTAAGGCGTTGGATTTGCCCTAGATGTGCTTTAAAGAACAGCCCGTACATTCTCACCATGTAATCATTTTACCCAAGTAAATACTTCATGGAGGGCTAGAGTCTAGAGTCTGGGATAGATACATATATGGATGTATGCAGCTTCCAAGACACTTAGCATTTGCTTTAATAAGCTGTTTCTTGAAGGCACTGTTCTACAAGCCATAATGATGGTATACGCCCCGTCAACTATATTGGTATACTTTTCTTTCGCAGTGGTTCACAAAAGTTATCTAGCACAGCCTCACCCAGCATAGCCTCACCCAGCAGCTCAGAGGCAAGGATGTCCGCCAACGCACCCACGTGCTCATCATTCCAGAAACCCTATATCTAGCGCTTGCTGTTGACTAGGACGCCATGGCACATGCAGCATCAGCCTGATATAAGATGCGAAAGTATCTCAATCGGGTACCTAGGTACAAATCCAAATTACACATGTGTACTCCGTATCAAAAACCCATTGTGCCTGGAAGTCTGAAAGCCACGTACAATAAAGGTATCCCGCTGCAATGATATCAGCGATAGTCAGCCGCTCTATACGACGATTGAAAGTCAGCCAAGAAGGGAATCCGTGGACACCGACGAGTTTTCAGACTATAACTAGCAGAAGTATAGAGCGCGATAGGAAGACGGAAATCCAGGAGTGTCACCGGACTTTCCAGACGCAGTGTAATACGAATATGAACCAGTCGCCAAAGGTATAACTAGAAATTGAGTTATAACTAGCATATTAATCGCCCCGAACAGGGATGTCAAACGCGAAACCCATGTCTAGTAGCTGAGGAAGGCCTGATCATAGTCTCACGATAAGCTCGATGCCGTTTTTGTCGGAAGCATTCCCATAATTTCAATTTAATATACAGAGTTGTACGTTGATCTGTAGAAGTCGACACGTCCAAACCGCTTGATGTACCATTTCACAGGGCCGGGTGGAGCCAAATGATCGAATATACCAGGGTGCATGCACCCCCTTTCCCGCAAAGCCTCAATGATATCAGTGGCTGGATCGATTGGGCAAGGACGCGATATGCGGCGCCTAGGGAGTGTCATATCTCGGCTGATCGTCAATTGAGCGGATTGTTTTATTGGGCAGGACCAGTCTCTCATTTGGTTATCGTTTGTTTCAGTTACTCACTTGTGATGACGGAAAAGCTTAAAAGCTATGGGATGTGGATGTGGATGTGGATGTGGATGTGGAGGTGGATGTGGATCTTTCTGGCGGTGGACTCGAATTGCTCCTACTACTATTACGTTGCCAAAGAAATGGGATCTACAGGGTGGGTGGAATTGAATTCCATATTGAAATGATTTCCATTGAATATGGTTGAAACCACAATGCTACCAGCCAAGGCCCGATAAATGGGGTATGAGGACGAAGATGGGAAAGGGGGGACTTGAGACATGCACGGTTCTGGGGTGATGCAAGTAAGAAGCAGAAATGAGCTGCTTGTATCGGTGATACAAAGCGGCGTCTCTCTGTCTCTGGAGAACGATCTTTGAGATCGCTAGCCTAGGGGCAGAGAAGAAAATAATAGAAGAAAAGCCAAAAAATAACAACAAAAGGACAAAACGCACATGTACAGAGAGCCTCTCGAATTAACGAGAAGGCGGATGAGAGGAAAGATAGGAAGATAAATGGACTGTTCCGAAAGACCCCTAAAATGCTTTCCACTTTCCACGCCGTTCTGCTGTGACGAAGTCCCATGCAATGCCAATGTCCAGAAAACATTTCCAGTGAGGCTCCAGCAAGAGCCATCCAATCAAAACGAGTCTAGTCCCAGTCCCCGAAACGCCCAAGGTGCTATGCATCGAAAGAACAACAGATTAAGAAAAGGAAAAAAAAGTACACGTGAAGCATGTGTTCACAGAGCCGCCGCAGGGGTAAAACGCCAAATGAGAGAAGAGGATGACGAAACAAGAAAAAGAGGCCCAATGATATCGACAGAGTTGAAGAGAGGCGTGAGAAGTAAACAGGGTCGCACACCGACTTTGATGATGCAAGAGGATCATGGAAATCAAATGCCAAGAAGTCAGGTGGCCACTTGACGAATCATCAAGTATGCAATGATGTCACAAATGATCCCTTGAACTCTCCCTTGGGTAAAAAAAACATTCGAATTCAGCCTCATCACTGGTTCAGCGATAGCTCCCGGTTTGAACAGGGGTGAGCGGTGGAGACGAATGACAAGTTTGGTGGCGTTATGTCGAAAAAATGGGTTTTCCACGACCACTCGAACCAGTCGGAGTGGCACGTATGATGTGAGATAGTGGCGATAATAAGATGTTCGTCAGGTTGTGTGGGGAAAAAGGAACTGCTGACCCATGTCGGAAACTCGTGTCGCCAATAAACCCTCCAACCCTGTTCTGAGACCGTAACAAGCTAACCTTTGCATGTTACTCCTCGAGTGACCAGTTGGAGGGTGCGGTGAGTCAAGAGACATCCGGTTGGCCAGGTAATTTCGTAATGGGCAATGTGAAAATAAATCGAAACTCGCTATGAAAAAAACGGCGACCGTATGTAACGCATTGAATTGTACCCCTGTCGCAGAACACAGGTAATCAATCCTTCCCCAATTGACGTTCACGGGATCAGGATGTCCACCATGTTGACCTTCTATCAGGTAGCCAGTTTACTTCTGGGCTTTGCGTGCTTTCGTACTGCGGGTCATTTCGCTCTTGGTCATATTGCGAGTGAGGCCACCGATGTAGTCTTGTAGTATTTTGTTTTCGTTTTCTAGCTTGTCATGATCTGATTTGACAGCATCGATGCGTTCGGCGAGAGCCTGAAGGGATGATTGAAGTGATTTGGCTTGTCTAATTTTCCCCAGATGATTAGTTACCGGTAAATCAAAAGAGATTACTTTCAATCAGTAAACAAGTACACAACAGCTCAAAAACTCACTCCTGAAGGGTTTGTCGTGCCTCCTTGCCCAAACGCTCCAAATCGGCTGAATTGCGTCGTGGACTCATGGCACGGGCGTCATCGGGAGGAAACTCTTCCTCCTCGATCTCAATTTCGGGATGGTCCCTCGGGACCAGAATCGAAGCACTGGGTTTTCGGCTCGCCATTCGTGGACGTTCTGATCGGCCTCGCCGCTCTGTTTCTGCGTCGGATATAGATGAAGATGATGAAAGGGATGACATGTGCATGCGGCCACCGTCGTTCGGTTGCGGCAAGGTATCAACAGGACAGGCTTCAGTCATTTCTGCATCCGTTGCCATATGGGGTAAATCGCGACACGCAGGATCGAAAGGAGGTCCAGGATGGCGACGTGAAGAGATTTTCCAACGAGTGGTGTGTTGGAAAGGGCCGGAGGAAAAGCGGCTGATGAACGACCACGGATCTACCCCTAGCGATGTACCCCAGATGAGAAATCTGTGTTACGCCTGAGGTAGCTACCGGGGTCGGTAGAAGGTTGAAACGGAGAGGGAGATTGAAAATATAATATTTAAGACGACCGTCGACTTTTGCGAGCGAGTCGTTTTCGAGATGTTGTCAATGTCACACGTTGAGAGGGGAGGGGAAAGTGTTGATGATTTGACTTTTTTTTTTCGAAGGGAGAGACTGAGTTTTTTTTGGTCGTAAGAAGAGAGAGTGTGTATAAGTATAGAAGGATCGAGAGTGTTTTTCGAGAATAGATGTTGAAAGGGTTCAAAGAGAAGGAAGAGTCAGAAAAACCCGAAAAGAGCTGGGAAAAAGGAATAGGGTCGGTATCGGCGTTACGGCAGAGAGGAGTACATCTGAGTGACATTGATTATAGTGCGACGGGAGCGGTACACAATAGTACCTAAGGAGTTCCGGGTGGATTGTCTATCTTAACACCTTTTCAGTAGGTGGAGAGGAAAGTCCCTTGGTTTTGAAAGTGATCATCCCCTCCCAAAAGAGGTTTCTATCTTCTTTTTTCTCTCTTTCCTTTGTCCCTTGGTTTCGTTCTTTGGGTTTATACTGTCATTTTCGTTTTAATATGGGGACCCATTTAATAGTTGATTTTTCCTTAATTTGAATTTAAAAAGAGTGTTATTTTTTTCTAAACGAAAAATACAAAGCGCGTGGCAGCCACCATACTCGATTTAAAGTGTACGGAGTACGGAGTACAAAGAAAAAGAAAATTAGAATTATAACCGGTGAGAAATTGATTTTCATAAGGTTTCCAAAGGGGGGGGGGAAAAAGAGGGGATTTGTACAAATGAGAGGCGCTCAGGAACCCAACCTAACCAACTAACGGGTTTAGGGCCAACTGGCTCCTTAGATTCCCCTTTCCACACACACCTTTGGGATAGGTACCCGGTACACCGCTTGTCCATATCCGAGAGATAGTCCGATTATGTATGTGGTACTTCCATTTCATTCTCTCCACCGCTATTGTGGCATCTTAGATTTGACACGTATTGTAGTTTTCGTATTTCACTTTTGTATATATCCATAGTATTATTATTATCAATCATTAAAACCCGATGTTACTTACTACGATATTGTATTTGTTATGGATTGTGCCCGATCGGATTTTCCGACTACGATTATGAACAATATTCCAAAGTTTTATTCCAATCTACTCCAATGCTAATCCTACAATAACGATAAGTAACTGACTAGGTAAATGCACATGTAAAAAGAGTACCGTTTTCAGGGGGGCATGCAATGTCGATCGAGCCTCAGAATATAATGACGCCATATAATTGGTCCTCATTTATCATTCACAAGAACATTTCCTCTAGTAGCATAGTACCCTTCATATTATCCCGTCTACCGTGTACTATGTAGCATAGTATAAAATATTGTTATTGTAGATCTATATTTGCTTCCTTCCAAGGGTGATTCGGCAATCGTCATCGGAATTCCAGACACAAGATCGCATACTCCCGATCTTGTTTCTACGATATACGTTGTACTATAGCGTTAGGTTGTAACACGCTTAGTGTATGTAGATTGTGAGTGATATCTTAAATACCAATAAAACAGGGGATAGGATCCTTCTCTACGTTGTTCGTGATATCCAAATGGCCAGGAAAACGTATCCAAAGGCTGTAGTAGCCGCTTCCACCGCCACCAAAAGTATGTTAGTCGATGAATGATAGCAATGGGAAAAGATGAACGGAGACTCTTAGCTAGAGATGCCTCAAGTGGTGCAGACAGCTAAGTGGTACGCCGCAGTGTTTGCTCCGCACCAAGGTCGCCTGTGGTAATATCCCGCAACCAGTCATCTCCGCACCCAAGCCCACTCCCACACAGCCAATGTGCGCCCAACGCTTGGGCTTCAGAGGATCCATTCTTGTGGGATTTTTAACATCCCTGTTTATTATGTGATGGGGCAGTAGCCGGAAGAAAGTGTGACTGAGCCGTAGCCGCCGATCTTATGGAACTTCAATTCTATTATGCACAGTAATGTTATACGACATAGTTATAGGGCATGTCAAACGATAAAAAGGCTATATTGTAGAAGGTATCGTGTATAATAATGTACCAGCTGTTTTAATTACCGTCTTCAACTAAACCAATGATAGTTTCCAAAGTATGGCCAAAGCCCCTTCACGGTAGTATAGTAAGTGGTGGTGGTCAACGCCACTCCGTTTTGCACCCAGGTATGGATAGCCCTGGAGTAATTTTCCGCCTGGGAGGGTTGCACGAGGAATGACGGCATCCGAGATGTTTGCTTTTTGACTTTCCACTTCAGTTTACCGAGTAGTAAATATATATGTTTTTTTAAAAAAAAAATGAAACCGCGGTGAATTGAGAGGTTATTTATGCCGACTCACAGTCCTGGAGCGTGTATATACAGTACTTTTATGGTTGTGGGCTAAATTCCAATTATGATTGATCGTAAGCTAATCTCTCTGGTTAAGATCACGGGTCTTGGCTTTGCTTATGCCTTCTCAACAGCCCCTCTCCTATTGAGAACATCAAACAATATCAAACCAGTGGCGTACGTTCCTGAATCCTGCGAGTCAGACGAGATATTGTCTAAACAATGCACATTATAACTAGGTATTATTATCTATACGACATGATAACATAATAGACGCTCGGGCCTGATAGTAGGTATATGTCTGAACACAAGTGTAACTGCAAGCGTACAAGGACTTCACTGAAGGCATGTGACCACCTTCTTAGGCCGCAATCTAACCGTACCTAGGAATAATTTTTATTCAACGTAAATAGTTTACAACAAAGTACCATAGTATCATACATATCCAAAACAACTTTGATATCCTCGGCTCCGGGTCCCACTAAAAGGATGCAAAAACGTGGACAACTGGGGCAACTGAGACAATCAACATCAGACCATGACGCTTTATTGCGACTACAGTACATATACGGAGTACTATTATTACTTTGTCCATGAGACATCCACGCACAACATCAATGCAATGGCTTTTTTTTAAATCACAAAGCCACACAAAAGAAATGTACCCGCCGATCTGCAAGTACCTCCTCGTCTGGTTGATTCATTCTCTGCCGAACCCACCGATACGAATTTACGTCTCAATTCAATTATGGGGGCGTCAAGAGAAGTTTAGTCGCTTAAAGTGGAGTGGCGGATATTTATTATTTCATTTGATTTGCATTTGATTTGCATGAATTTAGTCGTCTTTCGTGGATATCCCTGCATCCAATCACAGTATTTCTTAATCTGTCTTTTTTTGGTTGTATTTTGTCGCACCCTACTCCGTATGTAGCTAAAGCTATTCTATATTGTACCTGGTATGTCGTGCTCCAATACTTGATTCGAATATGTAAGTGATGGAACCATTTAGAATCCTTCTAATCATTCTATGCCTTTAGTGATATGTAGGTAATATAGTATGTCCTCAACTAATTCTAATGCAGTTGGATTTGTATTATGTCTGTGCTACAAAAGAGCATCGGTTTATCAAGTAGTATTTCGAAGGACGTTTACATTTCACCCGAAGCCTAGTCAAATTGGACACGGATAAAGATTGTAGAACATGCTCACGAAGACCTAACGGGTTTCGCCGGCCGTGGAAGAAATTATATGAGATTCCGACTATCACCGCGTAGGTTTGTTTCACTCACCAGTACAAAGAGTGATTGTTCACCCGTCATAAGATAGGCCATACAGGGAGACTAATAATTATTGACTCGGACACAACAGACACAACATGAAGAAGCTCTAAGTGGAAAGACTCGATGACGTTCTGTTTAATTTTCCCTAAGACATGAACTACCATCTAACACATTAGCCTCAAAATGTCTCGGAATATCTCCCGCCAAACCCAAACAAGTAACACACAGCAAGAACGATTTTCGATCGCTGAGGGGCAAGTGTCCACTCCTGCAGATCTGGTGAATATCCTGTTTTCAGATCTATCACCTGTTTTGTGTGCCGTGTTTTCTGTGTGGATCGATCTGTCGGAATGGGACCTGGGGTTTTTTGCTTTTACCAATCATCCTACCTGGAAATTTGATCAGTGCGGGATATTCAATCTCGTCACAGAGCTAGTATTCAAGATTTCGGCCGGCTGTTTTGCCTTGACCGTATGGAAACTTGCCAACCTTGGAAGCATATATGGCTCTGAGACTCTATCACTTGGGTAAGTATAGGCGCCTAGTCTCAAGAACCTCATTTTGAATTTAAAAGGATATGATAAGGATTCCAGAGATAGTATACTGTACAGATCGTGTCACAAACCACACCAAAGCACAGGATGCATATAGGAGGCCTATTTACTACCGAAACACCAACCCGACCCAACCCAACCCAGCCCTTTAGTTGTAATCATGGCAGGGCATCATAGGATTGCCACTGGTACAAGGCTCTCAACACAGCAATACCACCAGATTGTGTCTCCACCGTGCGACCACGGCCACGATCATTGTAGTCGTTCGTTCTGAAGCTCGCAGCCAGAGACACCGAGCCACGATCGGCATTGCGGTAGTCAACAGCCCCATCCGGTATAGTGCTGCTATCCACAATCGCGTCTGCTTCAAGCCGACGGTATTTACGACCCCACCAGGACCCAAAATTTCCTTCACTATCCCGAGTCACCAGAGCGGCCTGCGCATTGTGCTCGATCCAAGGGCCGTAGGTGCGACAATGCTCCAGATGTCGCTCATAAACTGCGCTCCAGTCATCCTTTGCTGGGCTGCGGTCTGCGTCTGTCAGAAACCTTTTCTCCCGTGGCTGAAGGGGCTGACAGAATTCTGCCAAATGGTGGAAGAATATTCCCTTGAAGGTCTGTCCGTCTTGGGAACAAGTTGCGCTAGCATCGCACGCCTCTTCTAGCACGCCTCCGCGGCCAAGCCCCTGCCATTGCTGGCTGGAAATGTACGGCCACCCCGTGGCTTGTAGTACTTTGTCGATCAGCTCATAGCCATCGCGCAAATAGTCCCGTGAGTTGGTCGCAAGCCAGAGCCCCCTCAGCCCGCTGAGAATGACTCCTTGGTTGTAGGTATACACCATGGTGTTGAGCTGGTCGCATTTGCGCGAGCCAGGATTCGATGCACTTTGCCAGCCACTGATATGGAAGCCATCTGCATAGAGGCCGCCGATACCAGTCATGTTCGAATTCTTGAGCCAGGCATAGCCATCGACTGCAGCCTTGAGATGAGCAGGGTCGTGTGGGTTCTTTCGTGACGGTTGTCCGCCGTCTGAACTGACAATAAACGGGGCGTCGATGGGATCTCCCGGGAAGTACAAGTACATCTCAATACTTGCAGAGATATAGAGCTCGTTTGTAATAGCGTTTTTGTATGGCATCAGGTAGGGACTCCAGATCATGCCGCCATCACAGAGGACCTTGTCCCAGCCGGCGGAGGCAAGTTCATAGAAGACTCGTGCTCGGTGCGCAGCAGGCACACGGAACTGGGTGCCATACCACAGTTGTTCGGAGCTGGCATTTAAAGACATATAGTGGAGATCCGAGTGAAGCTCCTGGAACTTGATATTTTGCAACCATCCCAGCACGACCCAGAGCATGTCATCGTATGCCTGGTTTCTGATACTGAAAGCGTTTTCGCCAAAATAGAACGCAGAAGTCTGACTGAAGAATCGACTGACCGTGTTTTCAAGCGTGAAGAAGGACAGCCCTTCATGCAGTTCATTAGTGTCGGGGATATCAAGCGGCCCAGAGGTCAGAGATGACAACGCCGCGGAAACATGTGTTCCCAACACAGCGGCGGTCCAATCGATGCTGGTCGGCCATGTACCTTGCCAGAGCACAAAATACTTGTCTTGCATCACTTGCAATGCATCGACAAGATCTTTCAACGTATCAAGGATAGGTTCGCGAGTGGACTCTTCCGCCGTCGAGCCAACGGCGCCCAAAGTTGTCTCCTTTGAAGAATCATGAACCGGACTGGACAATTGAGACATTTTAGACGCAATTATTCCCAGAACATCCTGGGGCGGATACGCCAGCGCATTAACCACGGTTAAAACTGACAGGAAGCATAGAGTAAAGATACAATATAGAGAGCGTGGCCCCAAAGGGGTAAAACATGCATGTTGGGGAGCCATTCTGAGGAAGAAGATCCTATCAGAATCAGATCCCCAAACACAATGCAATGCCTTAAGTATATAAAGGGAGAGTCTGCAACGATAGAGTCAAAAAATAAAGAGCGATAACCTCATGCGCCATGCGGGGAAAAAAGGGCCGGCCCCGGAGTCCAGTGGACTTAAAATAGGCTTACTAAGTCACTAGACCCGCCCGGGTGGGCGCCCAGGTGAGTGTCTGAGTAGGGTATTTTTATATTCTAGAAAATAATAGCAGCCTTCTGACCCTTGGGGAATATCAATTCTACTCTGATCGTTATGCATTGGCTATGCTAGGGCGCCACATGGTTATCGCGTGATGCACCCTGCAAGGGATTATATACGACACTCGGGAAGTCAAGCGGCCACACCAGCAGATAGTAGAAATGCACACGGCATTATTTTTAGTCATGAAAAGAGTCGCAGGACTGGCAATTGTGCTGGTGTGTCACACTTCATGTGGTAGAGTGGCTTTCCAAAATGTATATTCCTTAAACAGAAAGAAAAGAGTTGGACTTCAGGGTCCAAGCCCTTGTCTTTGTTGGCCGGCCTTATACTCCAAACAACAATTTGATCGAAGGTGCTTTACATTTCTGAATTGAGGTTAGCATATTGATAGTAAGAGAAAAAGAGATATCAGATTCCCATACCATTATGGCAATCTATTGTGGCGCCGGCATGTACCCCCATGTGGGTGAGTTCCAACACCCACATTCAGCATATGAGCCCGTACAGGCTGTACTAAAGGGGAGGACATGCCAGCAAAGACCAGATGAGCGGTCAATCATCTGTACACACATGCGGGTTGAGGGTAGGAAGATGTTGAAAGGTAACATTTCGAAAGAGAGAGTATAGAAAAAAAAGGCGAAAATAAACCAAGAACCCAGGTATCAAGTGAAAAATCACAAGCAATGCATCCCCATCAAGTCTTTATCGTTGCGATCCATTAAAAGAGTTTATTCGCGGTCACCGCCAGCTTCAGGGCTGCGACTCCGGTTGGGGCTTCGGCTGCGATTCCGGCCAGCCCGGCCCTTTGGAGCTGCATTCTTGCCCTTGCCAGATGGAGGCGGGCGGACGAAAGCATAGTCAACATGAAGGGTCTGGTCGAGGAGCTTGTGGCCGTTAAGGTTCGCGATGGCTTCGCTGGCTTCGGGGAGAGTTGAGTATTCAATCAAGGCGTAGCCCTACAAAACAATTTGTCAGTGAAAGTTCCAGTATGTTGACTCAAAAGCCTGGAGACTAGATTTCCTGCCTCTGAATTCATTTTTAAGGCCAGGCTGAGCGGAACGAAGAGCGCACCTTGACATAACCCGTTCGACGATCAAGGTTCAGACTGAAGTTTTTGATCTCTCCGTATTCCGCAAAGAGCTCGGTAACATCCTCCTCTGATGATTCCTCGTGGATATTAGACGCGATGATGATCCATCCTTCGATACTGCGCACAGCGACCGCGTTTCCTTGGGTCCGGGGCTCGAAGCTGCGGTCAGATTGCTCGGGAGCATCGTCGTGGGCGACAGGAGGGTCGACTTCCATCTCGTTCGACATTTTGTGAAAGCGACCGGTGCGATTGCGTTGGTGTTATTTTGAGACCTTGGCGGTAGGATGATAGTATTCAATGAGTCTGAGTCTGGATCGCGATCTGAAGTCTGTAAGCGGTCTTGGAGAACATTCACGGAAGCTCACGATCACATGACCTAGCTGGCCCTTGAGAGTCTCGACGACTTCTAGTTCCAGAACATTATGTTCTTTTCTGTTGAGCTTTCAAAACTTGGAATCAGCCATGATTTAGACATCTAGATAAGGTTGTATTTGTGTGATCTGCTAAATTTGTCTTGGTTATGTCCGTCCATGGGTAGACGCAAAACACACTACTTATATGCCACTGTATTAGAAAAAAGCTGAATATTTTGTTTGGGCTTATATCAAACGTCACTCCGTGGTATCCTAAGACTTTCAATCCTCGAGATATCTCAAATATGAAGCTTTCCGTTGTCATCTCTCTTTTCGTTACCGCAGCTCTTGCTGTGCCGCTTGGTATGACGCCAAATTATAACTTCAAGGTCTATATCTACAATGACCAATGCAAGATGACTTCCAATTCAATGGTGTGTCAAAGCGATGCGGTTCTGGCAGGCAGCGTGAGATTTTCCATGCTGTGCGATCTGCTGTGGATACTGTCAAAGTCAGGCGAGGCCTCAATGAAGTCGACGTGGACGAGATGTTGGCGCTCTATATTCATTCTGGTGCACCCCGTGATCCGAAGCATGCCTCCCTCAGATGCGCGAACCCTCAAGGAGAAGAATATGCCGTGGATGACGACTTGACGTGTGGTTGCAACTGAACCTGTAATTAGAATATGTTGGAAGTTTGGTATCAATGGCGAGATATAGGTTCAACATGTTGTGATTTTCTTTGCTCTTCCTCCATTGCATACGTAATGAGATGCTCATCTTCGTTGAATCCTTACACATCTTATAACATAGTAACAAAGACGCATCGTATATAGTTTTCTAATGCTAAAAAGTTATATTTGGTTGACCTCAAAAATTTACGTTCAAATATTAGGTCTCTAGTCTATTTATTCACTTTGCTCAGTACACGACGTTTATGCAAGAATCGGTATATGTGCAATTGTATGCGTAGGTCTGTAGTCTCAAGCGTAGAATATATAACACAGCCTGCTACTCGTCATCAACTATCGAATAGAATGGAATCACTGCTTTAGTTGACAAATTTGGAAGACTCTGTGTCATGTCGGCTCCTATATCCCGAGTTAGTAGAGCATTATACGAGGCATTGGAAGGGATATACAGCCGCATCGGATAGCATATTTACTTATGAACAGCGGAGAGATGAATACAGAGCCCCTGTTTTGAGTAGGTATCTTCTATAGCAACATTGAAACTAGTGTCATACCCCTGACAGTTTTCGTAGCTTACCAATCTCCAAAATCTCCTTTGGCCTGTGGTTTTCTTATCTCGTCCAGTCAGCATGGCCAATTTAACAATTAACGCAAAGCCTAGGAAGAGTTCCTTTGTTTCTTGAGAAGTTGCAAGCCCCTCACCTTCGGCCGCTCCCTTAAACTGCGCACACAATATTTTCGAAAATCCAGCCATCTTTATATTCAAGTTCTTCAGACAAACACATCTCTCAAATATCTTCTCGCGTTCATCTCCAGTATGACATTCGCTCCCTATTTCCGGTACTCAACAGGCGAAATCGCGACTGCCGAGGCCGCTAAGTCGTTTTCATGGGAAGCGCCTGTCCCAGTGAACCGTTTCTGGGACAGCTTCAGTTACTGTATTGCCCGGAACTTTTTAGGCAACTTTTCAGATTCTGAACTGGAGCAGCTAGCCCTGGACCCAGCGGGAATAGATCCTGATAGTACCGCAGATCAGCAGACGAAGCTTTAGCTTATCTTACAACTACTTAAGAGAAAGCTAAAAGAAGAAGAAGAAGAAGCGGCCGCTTCACTACATCAGTCATTTTATGAAGTTGATTATAAGCGATGGTATGCGCTATGGCAGGGAATTTATTCCTTAGAGAATGAATTAGACCTCCCGCAAGCAGAGGAGACTGTCCGCATGCTAGTGGAGAAAAGGCCAGACAAGTCAGATATTGTTCCTCTACATATGCTAGCGGATCACCTTGTTAAGGTTGGGAAATACAAGGAGGCAGAGGAAATAGAGCGGCCGGTTTGTGAGTGGATGGATACTCGTCCACACCTGGGCAGAACCTCCCCGCAAGCTCTTAACGCTCGTCGAATTATTGCAAGAGCCTTATGGGGACAGGGTCCCTCGCGACAACCTGAGGCTGAGGAGCTAGTTGCTATGATCCATTCACTTGTCGATAGCATGGGTGAAAGCAAGTTTGGAATCTATCATGAAGAGGAGAGGAGGCTTAATAGGGATATGGTGGCTCATTTCAACTGAAGGATATAGACCTTGAAGTGTAATATCGGAAGAGAATGCTATCTTCATGGATTTAAGCGTAAACTTCTGCTAGACAATAGGAAAGCCCCACGCGGCAGAGGAAATATCGCTACAAGACATTTTGTTATATATTGCTACCGTTATTTGCGAATTCTTGATCATATCTTTTCTTTTATCAGAGGCAAAAGGCATTTGGGAAAAGACTGACACTATGTACCGATGTCAACTACGTGCAAATCTACAGCAGAAACGATTGGAGTGGAGATTTTTATTCGCTAACCCATTTGTTCTATGTTGAAAACAAGGACGAAATGTGGTGATCTTGTGCTTGCCTATGGGCAGAGGCATCAACATGCGACCAAAAAAAAAAATCAAAAAAGTCAATCGTGATAGAATCCGTGTTTTGATGTACAGGGGTGGTAAAAGGAGAAAAGAGAGCACCATCAATTAAATAATTGGTTGATGGGCATCATGTTGATCTTGGTAAATTGTTATAGATGGGAGGTGAAGTCGCTTAACGACGGTTGTTGCCCATGCCGAGGATCTGGACCATACGGATGAAGATGTTGATGAAGTCCAACTCAAGGCTGACAGACTCGTTTACCACATCACGCTTGATCAGGCCACGTTCCGCAAGGCGAGCGTGGTGCAGAATCTTCTGCACATCATAGAGGGTGAAGCCACCGAAGACAGCAAGACCACCGTACAGCCAGAGGCGCTCAGACCACATCAGGGTGCGGACGGCAGTAGCGGGGAGAACCAGAGGGGCGAATCCAGAGAGAGCAACAATAGTCACACCGGCGAGAAGAGGACCGCCGAGATACAGGTACTTCTCCTGCTTCGCGGTGGCACCGACAAATGCAATCGAACCCATCATACCGACGGTGTAAAGACCAGCGCGAGCGAGGATAGCAGGGTTCATGAACATCAACGGAGAGAGAAGAGCAGCCTGGGTCAGGTTGAAGAGAGTCCAGCAGCCGTATTTCACAACGTAGCTATTTGATAAGTCAATAATCGTTCTTTGTGCCGTTTCAATATAAAGAAGAGCAAAACTTACTTATCGGGAGAAGTGTAGAAAGTTCCGTACATGGAGCCGATGCTGCCAACGAGACCGACACCCATAACGAGCCATGGGTTCATGGCCATGAGGCGATAAGACCAACCACTCATGTGGAGAGCGCGAGCAGCAACACCAATGATACCGATACCCAGACCAGTGTGCATGAAGGTTTCGTTAAGGAAGCTCCGCTCGAAAGCGGGCATGCCGCCGTCCTCTCGAGTTTCGCGGTTGAAGATGAAGTTTGTTGCCAAAACTGTACCGCCAACAATGGCGGCGCCATAGACCAGCTTCTGGGTCATGTTGCTATCCTGGGATGTGTTGTAAGTTTGCTGCATGTATGTGCGGCGGAAGGCATTCTGGAAGTTCTGTCGGGACTTGGCGAAGATCGAGGATGAAACGCCCTGAGGCTTTGCCTGGGGCTTGATGGGGGAGTTGTGGATGAATCGAGCAGTATTCGAAAGCTTAGGTACCTGGCGCAAGGCCGAAGATACGGCGAACGGGCGCCTCAGAAAGAAAGCCATGTTTGAGATGGAAGTTGTCAATAATCAAGAGATGAAGAGATGTTTGAATGTCGGGGCCACGAGTGATATCACGATGGATTACTCATTATTCTGCCGGCGCCCGCTTAACTCCGGTCCCGGCGAAATTTCCAGAACTCACGTGAATCACAGATTCGGCTTCAATTTATTATTATCAGATTTGTTCCCATACGTCATTTCCTTCAATTCGACCTGAGTCATGGCTTCAATAGAGACAATTAATTTGCCTCATCTGCCGTCGTTGCCGGTGCATGTTGCTCTTTACCGCGATATTAAAAATGCCGCCTTCCTGAAGGCTCAACTTCTTGCTGGCCAGAAAGAATTCGAGTATGCATTTGTTGATGCAAGCATGGTATGTTAAGTGTATTCTATTATTCAGGATTAAATACAAACCCGTGGAAGTAATCATGGAAAAATGGAGATCACTGACATCTAGCAATAGGTTCTGTCAAGGGCCCATGTCACTGCTGCAGTGTTTAGAGCTCTCAATGATTACATGCACAGCCGCCTGAAGTCTCATAACGTGCATTCCGAAATTGTGTTTTCATTGAACCCCACGAATAATGTATATCTCCCCAATTCCAGAAGTATGTACGATTTGGATCGGGGACGGAGCTAACACGGACTTAGATCGCCGAATCATTCCGTAGATTCGGTATCACCGATTCAACTAAAGATCTGTTGGTGATCAAAGTCTCAGTTTCTCCAGAGATTACGCATGAATCTGTTATGGCTCACTTAGGCAGCTCTGTTGAGGGAACATCCGTACCTTTTGAGGACCAGACACTCTTCGAAACTGCAGACATCAATAAGATCAAGAAAACGTACAAGCTGGGAGCCTTGCCTTCACCAACCAAGGATGACCTTGAGGCTAAGCAGCGACTTGAAAACTCCTTGCTGGGAGCAATTGCCTTGAGGGGATCGTGAGAGGCTGTCGATATCAAAGATTCATTTCTCGTGGCTCGTGAACGTTGGAGACTGCCATGTACCGAGTGGGAGTATATCTGGATTTCAGCCACTTTGCAGTTGCACTGTATGGGATATATTCTGATGCCTTCTAAAGTTGTGCTTGAAATATCCTGCACCAGAAGACTGAAGATGTCGACTTGAAGATATATACCCGTGGCTAGTCAAGTATCGACATGGTCTCTCTCTGACGAGAAACAACGCAGGCCCGCGTTCAACTGTGAGAGCAACTTTTCTCTCTGCCGAGATGATAGCACGAAGTCAAGATAATTATGAATTGCACGAAATCATACATAAGCGCAAGCGTTGTTTTCTAGTTGACGTATCTGATTCTGGTGGCTTCCTTGATCTGTAAGTCGGTAAAATAAATTCAAAGGAATCAGTAAATAATATTGAATCAAGATTTTGCGATAGATTCATTGTTACTACGTGTGTACATACATATACTCAGGCTCTCAAAATGCTATTGGTTGCCCGGCCGAACTATGAAAACCACAACTTTGCCAAGACCGCGGTCTTGAACGTCCCTTTGCATTGAATCTCATCCAGTGCTTTCTCAAACAACTTACCCTCCATTGCTATGGTTTTATCTTTTGCTTTAGCTAGTACAGAAGTTGCATAGGAGATGTATGCTCCAGTGGACCCAATAAATACGCGCGACTCGCCGATTAAACCAAGTTTCGACGCGACTCGCCACAATGGCCAACACTGCAGACGTGATAATTCTGTCGTCCTCTCCAATTGCACCACATCCGCCAGGGCCAGACAGGAGAGATGAGAATGTGGCCTCTGAACTATCGCCACGAGACACAACACCAACACCAACGTCCTCCACCGTGACCAAATCTCAGACGCGTTCCCGGTTCTTTCCCACCCCAGTTGCAAGTGACAAGGACCCCAAGACCGCAAAGCAACATAAAAAGCGAACCACAAAAAAAACTGCGGTTTCAAAGACCGATGACCAGGATGTACCGAAGAAATCACAGGGAAAAGCGAAAAAGGGAACAACTGAGCCAGTTGCAATTGCGCAAAAGGATCCCTCAGTGGTGCCTGTGAACCCAAAAGGTGATGGGGCAAAGCCGACTAGAGGTCGTCCTCGAAAAACCGCGAAAGGCAAGGAACCAGTAAACAAGACATTGGCCGGTAAAATTACCAAGGCGAGTGGCGATCTACCACCAAAAAAGTCCGCCAAAAGCGCGAGGAAGGTGACCGGCACGAGATCACCACCACCAGAAGATGTTGCAAAGCAATCTGGTCTCAAGGAACCCATCGCTTTGGGTAAAGATGAAGTATTGCACTTGGATGAGGCAACGAGAAGAAGGCTTGATTGGACACCACCAAGGGATACTGCCTGCGAGGGAATTGCTCCCGTGGAAGCCGGCGACAATGTAAATGAGGGCTATGGTCTCGATACCACAGCTGGATTTGGAAAGCTGCTGTCCGATTACAACTACTTGGGAATAGCGTCAAACCCTCATGACCTTGTGCAGAATTCAAACGCCGGAGGACCAACAAAACGTCGACGGATAGATCTGGTAGATCATCAAGTTCAGTCAATGCCAAATGGGAAGTCCGGTTCAACAGAGCAGTCATCTGCCCAAGGCGAAGAGGATGCTGGGAAACCCAAAAAGACAACCAAGAGCAAACCTAAGAAGTTTACCACATTGACTGCTCGGATGACTGCGCAGTATGCAGCAAACGATGCAGAAGAGGATGGGTCGACAATCGACTGCACCCCAGACAAGAGAACAACGAAAAGCAGACGATCAAAGGCCAAAAAGCTCGCCGAAGAGCCTGCGTTTACCATCCTTTCACCAGAAGCTGCTGTGGATTTTGTGAATAACCAGGATCTCATGTTTGGGACCTGCAGTCAATTGGAAAGAGAGGATTCCCCGCAGACGCTGCGAGAAATGCAAGAAGCCATCCGCGCTTCGGAAAGCCTGTCGTACTCAGTGGGCACGCGCGACCCTAACAGCAACCCTGCAACACAGGAACCATCAATTCGATCTGTATCAAGGGTGGCAGGCACAAGGAATCTTTGGTGTATTGCTGCCAGAGATACTGAGGGGTCTTTGATTCAATCAAAGGCACTTAATGTGGTCGATTTGACGGATCTGGCCGAGTCTACACCACAGAAAAGTTCCGACAAAGTGGACAAAGCACTGCATAGACCTCTTCCGAAGGATTGGTTTGAGCATGAGTTCTCAGACATTGATTCGCCACCAGAAAAGAGACCGGTGTCGTCAATACTGAGTGGCAAGGCTTCGGTCTCAGCCCCGCAGTGTCCAGCTCCAGCTCCAGCTCCAGCTCAGGCTGTAGCACTGGAACCTGAGTCGACCATTACAGCTACAATCACAAAGCCTGTCAAGAAAGCTGCAAATCCTCCCATCGAGGTGGTCAATAACAAGCCAGCTGACTCGCAGGCGCTCCAGATGCCTCAATATACTGGGTTTACAGACGCAGAGCTGTCTAAACAGATTGCTGCCTTTGGTTTCAAGGCCGTCAGGGGCCGCAAGAAAATGATCGATCTCCTCCAACAATGCTGGGAGTCGAAACACGGCAGTAATGCTAGCCGTCAAATCGGTGAACAAGCCGCATCCGTTCCGGGAAAGAACGGTAATCCAAAATTGGCCTCAGATCCGATGCCAAAGGCGAAGGTGAAGCCCAAATATGGGGCAGCCACGAACGCCAAAAAGTCGGCCGAGACAATTAGCTCAACCTCTACTTTCCGAACGAACCTTCAGGCAAGCCCCTCAAAATCTTCGGGGGGTAAACCTACCACCAGAACCTCCACATCTTTAATCGATGTAGAAGAGATTCAAGACTCGGAAGAAGAAATAACACCGTCTCCAAGCCAAGTACAAAAGCATTACAACGCCATCTATTCGAAGAAAAAGGGAGGCAGCCGAGTGCCCGAGCACTCTTTGAACATACTCACCAAATCGCCGCCACCAAGCCCAACCAACCCCAAGGTCGTTTCATCTACAACTCGAGTCACAAAAGAATCATCTTCTGCATCTATCAAAACATCTCGCACGACCAAATTTCCAGAGCAAGTCAGTCTCGCAGATATTTCTGCGCAGATCACAAAAGCTGTTCGCGTTCAACCTCGACTCTCGCCGCTATCTTCATCACTTGGTAGCCGTCGCAAACTGACATGGCATGAGAGGATACTCATGTACGACCCCATCGTTCTAGAGGATTTCACAGCATGGCTCAATATCGAGGGGCTGGGGCTTGTCGGCGAAGATCGAGAAATTGGCACAGGGTCTGTCAGGGAGTGGTGCGAAAGCAAAGGGATATGTTGCTGTTGGAAGAAAAATGCAAGTTGGTAGCGGTGTCTATTTGCATTCGCGATTTGGAGTTTGTTTAGACTGTTTTGGATACCAGGTGCACATATCGGCGCTATACACTGTCATCACTGCATACATATACCCAAGAAGTAATTGTTCCCTACATGACGTCTGCTACATTACTGGCATAGAATACAACAAGGACGACACTATCCATAAACTTCTATTCTATTTGGTCAAACAACAAACTTCAATCATCACACATTGTGCTCTTCTCAAGCATACATCTCATCTCCCACTAACAGCAAGACATAACAAAAGATCAATGACGCGCGACATAAGGGAACCCGCAAGATAATCACAGTACACCATCTTGTTGAGGGACTCCAGTGTCAGAGTCATCCTAGTAATCGAATTAGCCAAGTCCAAAGGCAAAGAAGCGAACAACAAATAATGCAACTCGACCAACGAGTTCAACGAAAAGGAGAACATACCTCGTAGGCAAAATTGTCACTGAAAGGATCGGTCTTATAAAGCTTTCGCTCTCGCTCATCCCTCATTTGAAAGTACCGTACCTTGAGATCCTCGCACGACAATTCAAGCTGCTCATAGCGAAGGTCCTTCTGGGCAATCTCTTGCTTCAGAAGTCCATTCTCCCGCTTCAAGTCATAGTTCTCTTTATTGAGATCCTCAATCATGCGGCGCATTTTCCCAGCGGCACCGCGTACAAAGGTCTCACCGGTTACGCGGTCTGTGACTTTGCATGGGAGATTGAGGGCTCGACAGCAGGCGCAGCCCTCGTTTTCGGGTGTGCATTTCATCTTCTTGAGCTAGAAATATGATTGTGTTAGCATGCAGGTATAGCGATGATAGAGCTTTGTACCAGAAAGGTTCTAGAACACACCTTGCAACGATCACAAGCATGTCCCATTCGGCGGTGGGACTTGGAGATTTTCTCGCGCATCTGCGCCGACCAGTCCGGCTCAGGGTCGTGGCGGCTGCGACGATGCTTCTTAGGCTTAAAAGGCGCGGGGATATTGGTATTCTCGGTTGGGCGTTCGGTGGAGAGGTCCTGGGCAGGGCTGTTCATGATGTCTAGAGTATCCATGATGAAATGAATCGGGTGAGCTGTAACTGTAACTGTGAAAGTAGAAAATAGGATATGGCCATCTGGTGGTACCATCTCGACCATTTATCGCAACGCGCAGAAACACCTCTGATATGCGCGTTCAGAATCGGGGACGACTTCCTTTCATCTTCTGGTCAGCTCCAGGATTGTTCCAGTGAGAAGGGCCGTTTCCTGGTGGGATTTTCTATCCAGTTAGATGAGGGTTCAAATCAGACCTTCAGCTTAACACAAAGGCTTTGTTGTGCAGAAGGACTCCATTGTTTAGACAGGGCCCTTGCTATATACTATTGGCTCTCTGCCGCGCGGTTCTCCCGACGCTGTTGGGATATCTTTCATTGTCCTGGAATCGGCCTGAGACTAAGTCTTTTAGTTCTTTGGCCCTTGTCCTATGAATCTTGTTCTTTTTTCTCAATGGCTGCAATTTTTCTTTTGAATTCAGGTCATATATAAAGTTTGGCAGTCTGGAAACAGCCCTTGGTACGCTTCATTGGTATTAGAGGATGAATAAGCGCTCTGCATGCATGAGTCTAAAGAGCCTATGAAGAGAAATCAAAATGATATTCAAGAAGACAGGAAGGTAGACCCGACGAAAGAATGGTAAAAAGATATCCAGAAGAATTAGACTAGCATCAGTATACACACAGGTCAGAATTGGTGAGTGTTGGATAGAGGTCACTTGTTTTGTAGGGCTATTAAAACGTCCATTTTAGGAAGGCGCGTGGTCACTTGCTCTCTTCAAAGCTCATCTTCCCTATGAATGTTTCCTTCTCCTCTCCTCTCTTCTCTTCTTCTCTTCTTCTCTTCTTCTCTTCTTCTCTTCTTCTCTTCTTCTCTTCTTCTCTTCTTCCGCCACCTCTGCAAACTAAAAGTTGGTCAACCATGTGGGGAGGTATTCAGGACACTTGTTTCAGGAATTCAACCATCACTTGTGTTGTGGTCTCGACTTAAGTGTCCCAGATCAAACAATCCTGTACACGGTACGCAAGTGACCTGAGGAGTAGAGAGCAATCTCGAAACTCAATAGGCATGTGCGGCGGCATATAGGATACATCGGGGCAGTTGGGATAGGCGACGTAGGTACGGATCGTGGCTATCAGATCTTAACGTCTACATATGTTATGATATTTGCATCACGATCCCAAACAAAACACCACTTCTATGACAGGCAGTAACCCAAATGAGCTATGGCATTGTTTATGTTGTGCAGCCACCCGAGAAATACATCTAGCTTCAGAGTTCAGAGTTCAAAGTTCGTAGATTCAATAGTTGAATATGTTGAATATGCATTATAAAGACTAGGCTAATATCGATTAAATTTTGGAAGCTAGTCAATCCGACAAAGGCGGGAAGTTCCGAATATAGCTGGAACAGATCAGTAAAATGTTTCACACGAGAAATCAGGACCACATACTGAGCAGGGCATTCATATCCCATGGGGTTGTTCTGCAGGTAAAGCTGGTGATATTCCTCCGCATCCCACCATTTGCCCGCCGGCAGGACCTTAGTAGACAGCGGCACCTTATACCACTCCTTGCTGACCTTGTCCGTAATCTCCTCCGCAATCTTCTGCTGCTCGTCACCGTGCGTGAAGATCGCACTACGATATTGTGTGCCCACGTCCGGACCCTGCCGATTCTCTGTTGTAGGGTCGTGCATACGATAAAAGAACTCAATAAGCTGCCGGAAAGTCACAATCGAAGGATCGAATGTCATCTGGAGGGCTTCGGCATCTGTGCAAAATAAAAAAATGTCGCGATTAGCGCATGCGCTCGACACGATAAGCAAGCTTGCGCCTTGCGCCTTGCAAAAGCACTTGCAGGAACATAGACACTTGTACTTACGACCGGTTTTTCCCGTGCACACGGCACGGTAAGAGGGTGAGTCATCTACGCCGCCGCAGTATCCGACCTTAGAGTCGAGGAGGCCTTTGCCGTTTCCGAAATTCTTGCGGTAGAGGTGCTCGACGCCCCAGAAGCAGCCGGCTGCTATGGTGGCGGTTTGTGTGCCGGTCATTGTGCGCGCTTGTGTTTTGGAGACTGGCGACAAGGCTGTTGCAAAGGGACGGGTAAAACGTGAGAAAATCGTCGAGGCAAGTGGACCGGCAAGAGGCATCCGAATATTCCGTGGGGACGTTGATAAAGAAGTGGGGAGTTGGGCGGGTTTTGTGTGTGTGAATGAATGTGGATAAATGCTATGCCCTATTAATATTATTATTATTTTTGAAGAATGGGCACTGAGAATATTTGAAAATGGAGATGGATTCTTTTGAGTGAAAGAATGTATCGGAGTAAGAGAGTGATACGGAAATATGGTTGAGAGACCGATGATATTGACGCAATGACCGCTTTTCGAGGAAACGCCCTTGCCACTCCTAATTTTGTACACACAAGCCGAGCTCTAGTTGGACAATATGGTATTCATACTATGTGGATGTTATCATCTCGATACTTGTTTCGATTAATATCTGGATCCTGTCTGTCAAGTGTCTATCATGCACTGGTCTACCTGCCAATGGTCGTGCCCCTTCCATAGCTCCAGGGCTTTCGTGCACAATGAGTGAAGAGCTCACACCCGAAGCAGCCTGAATGGCCTTTTCCACCACAACCGGTCTGATCTGGGTCCCTCATTCTACATATGTTGTGTAACAGATGGCGTCATCCATCTTACCAAGCAGCGCGGGGGAACTCGGCATTTGACAAATTATTGTTTGGTTGAATTCGGCAATGAAAAAGACCCTTGATGAACAACGTGTAATACGAAGAGCGGCTTTATTTGTGAGATCTCGCGAAGATCGAAGCATCAAACACAGGCTGTACGATAATTCAATCTCTACTTCGTTCTATACAGGGTATCTGTTGTAGCTGAGGCACCTAGCAAGTGAAATAATCAGCGCTCTGATATTCGAGTAGAACCGCCAATTTTCGCCGAAATCAAACTTATGGATGGTCTTTGCCGCTAAAGGCAGTTAGACGAATACTCAACTGTCCGACCTGAGAAGTCTAGGACTTACCTTCACCGAGACATCTTTTTAGCTCTTCGCGGTTATCCCGAGCATATTTCTCCTCCTGGAGGAGTTGGTCCAAAGACCGAGAATCGATTTTCTGCAGGAATGCCTCCCAGGCGTTGAGATCATTCCGTGTATATTTCCTAAAGTCCGCCATCTCAACGAAATCGTACAAATAGCAAGAATCATTTGATCGGCGGGATGGTTCCCAGAACTTGAGGTAGTTCTTGTTGCTGGGGACGAGTATGAGTTTGTCAAATAATATTTTGTACTCTGAGTATAAAACCGAGAGAGATGCAAGAGAAATCGAAGGAGACGCCATAACGACGAGCTAGGGGAAAGCGTTAGTAGGCTTCAATATTAGTCAAGAGTCTGTAAGTTTGGCCACTATGAAGTGCGTTGATTGGGAAATTTATATGTCGACAAGGAAATAACAGGTCACAGCCATAGCATGGTGACCTTGAAAGTTTCAGACTGAATCAATGAGCACTTTGTACAGTTTGTGTGTTGGATTCACACACTCATGCCGGCAGTTACTAGCCGCTTCTGCAAAAATTTAGTGGGAAGATTAGGGTTGGATTCGGCAGTGAAAATCATATTGTACAACTATACTCCAGAACAAAGGTAATAACATAGAAATGACAGCCGAAAAATCCCATTTCAATGCAATAAAAAAAAGAGGTGGTATCTGCTACGCCGCAACGCCAATCAGAAAAAAAGCACTTCGTGATATAGTCATTTATCGCAGTCCATTGGAAGACCACGAATCCGAGTTGTGATCAGAAGGAGGCGCCGCCATCGCACTGAGACGAATCGCATCTCTACTGGAAAGACTGACATTTCGAGGCCGACCGTCTCCACCCAATGTGGTGCGACGGCCGGTATGCTTCATGACAGGTAGCGTATGAGGACTGAACACGCGAGGCTTCGCGTCGTGTTCTTTCTCGCTTTTGACCATGCGCCGTGCTTGGGATGCAGTGAACATATGGTTGTCACTTGGCGAGGAGTTGTAGGTGTTGGAGGTGGGACTGCGACGACGGTGAATGCGAAGTGAATTGGCGGATGAGGGGTTAAATTGACCGCTGATGATTCGCCCACTGGACATACGGCGCATAGCCGAGTTGATCTTCAGTGCTTCTTCCTTGTCTGACTTCCAGTTGTCCCTGTTTTCAGACACGGGACTGCTCAAGAGGTTGCCACTGGGACTGCGGACTGCAATTCGCGATGGACGCTCCACCAAAGGGCGATTCATGAAACTGCTTCCTTCTATGTCGCGAAGAGGGGAACTATCTCTGCGAGAGAGAGGGAGAGAGGATGTAGGTGGTGGTGCTAGCGGTGAGCTACCGTTCTTCTTCGATAGGAAGCCCGCCTTGAATCGGCTACTGTTCTTTTGGATATTCAGAGTTGGTTCGGCGGGTTCAGCGGGCTCATCAGGGGTGGGAGAGACAGAACCCGACGGGCTGATGACTCTTGGGAAATTTCGTGGGACCGGAGATCCTGACCGAGGAGGTAATGATGGTTCATCCAAGCCAGATTCATCCGAAGATTCGATCTTTTTGGGTGTCTTTTGGAACTCAATGAGGTCGCCTTCTTGCTCGTTGTCCTTCCAACGGACAGATCTCTTTGAAGCCTTTGCCTGGGATTTCTTCGGCGTGAAGCTGACGCTCTTACGACCAGCAGTAGCCTTTCGGCGACGCGGAGAGCCTTTTGTTGGTGAAGGTGGCGCAACAGGGGCCATTGTAACTGGAGGGTTGACGGTAGATACTGGTGGCAAGCTCACCAAGCTGAATCTCTTCCTTGGCTTCATGGGGCTAGGCGGCCTGGCCGAGCCGACGGTTGGAGCAAAGGCGTTGATACCTTCAGGCTTAACAAGGTTGGTTGCTACATTCGAACAATCTTCCAGCATCTTAGACAGAATTGTCCGTCCCTTTTTGATGGCTTCGCTTGCATTCAATTGCATGATGTCCTCGATCGATCCCATCATCTCAAATTGTGCTTCTAGCAACATTTGCACAGCAGCGGCTTCCCCAGCTTTATCCTGGTCCACCACGGCTGTCAATGCTTCGCGCTCTGCACTAGACCTCAGAAGATCTGCTTCTCGGTTCAAGTTGGCATAGTCGCTGTTGTCGGTAATGTCGAATTCTTGCAGCTGCTTGGCGGCATTTTCAACAGCGGAGTTCACAGCTCGGTCCCAGGTACTCTTCGATAATCTTTGTTTATAATGGTGTCTGCTGCCTTCCAGCTCGAGGAGGATCCCTTGGGCAGTTTTGCGGACGGCATGGAGGTTTGCTAATCCCTCCTCGTTTTCACGCGCAGCGCAGATGTTATCAAATGCTGCAATCCATGATGACAATATGGCAATTCGGCGGCTGATTTGTCGTGATTTCAGCATGTTGTTTATCCTCTCTTGCCTTTCGGGCAAAGTATGCTCGTAAGCATTGCGAATCCGGGCCACGCCTTCGCGCAACACAGCGTCTTTCTTTTCGCCCTGTTTGCGGAACTTGGCAAAGGCCGCCTTTTCGTGGTCCTTTGCTTGTGCTTTAAGTTCGTTGATCATGTTCATTTGCTCATCAATCTTGACTAAGAAGTCCTTGACGTGTCGGTTGACATTGAACACGTTTCGTGTGACCTTAGTCTGGATATTCTTTGCTCTGTTCGCATATCGAAGAGTATTTTGAGTTTCGTCAAAGTGTTGGCTGGAGGGGCTGACACAGACAATCATAACAGTCTTGCAATTTCCACCAAGCGCAAATTTAAGAAGACGAGTGAGCTTTGAATTGCGGTAGGGAATGTGATTGCGCTTTCGAGGGTCGCAAAGTGCATTGATGCAGCTTCCTAAAGACAACAGGGACTTGTTAATGTTGGCGCCTTCGAACAAGCGTGCTCCTCGGTTCTGTGTGGCACTGGCACGTTCACTACCCGCAAGGTCGATAATGCTTAAAGTGGCCATCGTATGAGGCTCATTGACATCTGCGTTTCGGTCTTTTTGGGCGATATTGATCTGAAGAACGGCATGCGATCGAGAAGAAGTGGCGTTTGCTTCGGTGGGGGACATGGTGCGGCGCTCGTTTCCTTGCATGATCATATCCATGACCTGACTGACGTTATGTGGGTGATGGCTTGACAGGCCAGCGACAGAGACCGACTGGTTGGAGTCCTCCCGCAGCATCAAACCGCCTTTGCCGCTGCTACCACTGGGGACAAGCAAATCACGGATAGTTTCGTTATAGATCTCGAGATAGGAAAGTGTGACTTCGGTCGATTTTTCGCTTGCTCGTTCGTCAATCCGCTCAAACAACTCCTGCATGGTAAGGAAAATTATACCAGGCTGCTGGGCGGTTCCAGTGATTGTATGGGTTTTTCCACATCCAGTTGCACCGTATGCAAACACCGTTGCATTGTATCCGTCGAGTACATTGTCGAGAAGGCTGCGGGTTGTCGATTCGTAAACCTCTCCTTGAGAGGCATTTTGGTCGAACACGCGATCGAAGGCAAAGGTCTGGTCTTTAACGCGCTTGCCGTTGGGCACCACGCTCCTGGAGAATTTCTGGACGGGATTGTCCTCTGGAGGGTCAAACACCCTACACAAATTAGGATGCTAGACCCGGTGTTTAAAAGCCGGAGATACTTACAAGCATCGGTCATCAATTACTTTGACAATCGATCTTATACCCTTCTGGTTAAGCTTCGGTGTTGGCGCTCCGGCGAGGGAGCCGTCACCGAGAAACAGGGGACCATCATCACACCGAGTGATTTGGGCTGCCTCCCTAATAGTAAATGGGCGGACTCGGACTGCAACGCTAATTGAAGAAGCACCGTCGGAGGCAGCCATGTTGAAGATTGTGTCGAATTATCCCCTCGCAAATGCTGTTCTGCGGGGCCGGTACGTCAGGCAGTTGGCGACACCCTGCACAAGGCCAAGGGGGAGCTAGCTTGTATGTCGAAGATAAGGAATGTAGAAAGGTCGAAGAATGGATCTAAAAGTGTATGGGGTAGGAGATGCAGTATTCTCCGAGGGGGTCTCCTGGGAGCGATTTCATTTGTTGATCCGTTTACGTGTTGTCCTTGCGGTTGCTCCGAGCAACGATTTTATAGTGGCAATTAAGGCATCAGGCTGTGGCAATTGCAACTGTCCCATGCTGAGCCACTTCAGCCCCATGGTGACAGTTGCGCTTCATAATTCAGATACGTTCTTTCGGCTTTATTCACACGCACTGTTACCTTGTCCCATCAGTAGCTACGGTCAAGATCGCCGATGACCTAGTAGATGTGGTCGATAAAGTTGCGGGAGTTGATCTTGATTGTTGTATGCAGTTTTTACCCTTGCAGCCCTCGGAGCACATGCTATGTAACCCATATTTACACCCTGGATTGGCTTTGAGGTATACACAAATTGCTATTGAGTTATATATGTGTTTGAAGCATATGAACAATAAATTTCAAGAGCAAACCATCAGATATGTTTGTTTAATGTAATCCTTTAATGTAATCCCAGTCCCTAAAGCAACACTCAACGCCATGCAATCGTGGAAATCACTCTAGCCTCCGGAGCCATAGGCCAACCGTCTGTCCTTTGGTACATATGATATCTTCAATCATAGTTCCTCGTCGTCAAGGCTTGGTATAATCACATCCCAGCCGGGTTCCTCAATATCAAGAGCCGCGTCAACCTCATTATTCTGGACTTCATCAATTTTGCGAAAGCGGAATGCAATCACATGCGCATTGTCGATTCCGGAGTCCCGCAGTGTGGGCGAATCCTTCTTTGATTTGCCCTTGTTCTTTTTAGGTGCGCCCTCGTCGTCTAGTTCTGATGCATCTGCCTCAAGGCGTCTCCAGCCTTTCTCGGGATGGGCTCGATCGATCGGCACACCAAGCTCGATATCGAAGGCGTCATCGGGAATCGGGTCACCGTTGATGTCGGTGTAAGCTCGTGACTTTAAAGCATACAGCAGCTTTTCTTTGGTGGAATCGAGTGTTTCGTGCAGTTGAATCAATAGAAGAACTGTGGTTTTATGCTTTTTGAAGAAGAGGGTGGCAGCGCGCGAGTCGATCTTGGCTTGTGTTGGTGCCTGCGCCATTGTTAGTCATTTTGATTGCAAATTATTATAGAAACGAGATAGAAAACTCAAAACACATACCATTTTGGGGAGCAATGAACGGTTTAGGGTTGGTGATGCGGCGCAACTGGAGTGAGAGAGTGACGAAGGCGGAGAATCCGGCGGGACTCCGCCTCCCGCGCTCCGAATTTCTGAGCTTTGCCAGCATCAGTTGCCCATTTTCAAGCTCTCCAGTGACCTTTTGCGCCACCTATTCCTTCTCTTTTTCTCGCTGATCAACATGGAGGCCAGTCACCCCTCCGCCGCTGACCCGACGCGTGAGAATTCTACGCTACTCAAAATCATCCACTGGGACAAGTTGTTCGAATCCGACAGCCCTCCCCGGTTGGGCATTGAGGTCGGCAAGCGCATACCATACGCGGCAATGTCAGCGTTCTCAACGGGATTGGCACTGGGATACTATCACGGCAGCAAAAAGGCCGGCCTCGTGTTTCGGGCGGAAAATGCGCATCGCTTCCCGACTTCGTCAACAGGCTGGTTCCAATATCATAAAACAAAGAACTACATTGGTATAGTTGGAGGTGCAAAAGATGGAGCGAGAATGGGATTCAAGTTGGGTGCTGGTGCACTTGCCTTCTGTCTGTTTGAGGAGACAGTGGACTATGCTCGGCACGACAAGAGAGACTTTTTATCCACGGTCACTGCTGGGTTATCTTTCTCTGGAATCTACAGTTTGTTAGGTATGCACGCTCTTCGTAATCGATGGTGAAATCAAGACTGACAATCTGCCCTTTCTAGCTCGCCACGATGTGTACACTGCCGCCCGCACAGCGAAACTTGGTTTGAAACTGAGCTTGGCATATGGACTTTTGCAAGACGGCCTTGAAACTTTGAAAGGAAACCACCCTAAATATCTCGATTTCGTCATGGGCGGCCGTCGATTGAAACTTGAAAAAAACGAGAATGAACGCTCCATCTGATCATTGGTGTATATCAATGGTTTCCCTGTACATTCTGTGCGGGACATCGCCTTATGACAGTTTAACAGGCCTGAATGGTCTTTTAGGACGAGACAACACTTCCTTCAAGGTCTCCGATCTTGCTCACCAGGGACACTCTGTCACCCGATCGAGAAATGGTTGGATATGCGCTGATGCAGACGGCTGCAATCAATCATGACAACCACAGTCAATGCCACATCTCTGGCCCACGGTCCCCACTTCACCATGCATGGGCTCCCACTGAGCTTGTCGATGTCTCATGGCGTAGATTGATTATGCATATCCGGCTTCTCTTTTATCCCATTGTGTCGATCTCATCATGTTTCTGGGCCCATTCCAGAATCTCAATTTCCTACATCAATCACCTCTCCTATTCCTTTCTACTATATTTTGATACCCTGTCTAATTAGCATCAAACATGAACATTTCCGCTTTTGGGCTGCTATATGTACACGTGACCCCCGGATATCCAAGGTTCTCCATTCGGATTATTCTCTACGCCCAAAAGCCTACTAAAAACGCCATCCCTAGTGACGAAGCTAAATCGATTAGTATTTATTATACGGATTACGGGGTATTATTTGGCTAATTCTATTCTCATTATGATTTGTTAAGCCAAAAAGTGACTAGTAATGTTGAAGTAGTTAGCTAAGTCTATTAGATCATCATCATATTATTAGGAATCTATTCATGACTACCTAGGTTGGAAAATGACGTTTCCAAGATAAGAGAGGAACGGGAGACTTATTACCTATTGAAATGCCCAGTGATCCCTAAATTTTCTTTGTTTCATAGTAATAAATAGTAACTCTAGTATAGAGTAAAGAGATCATCCCGGATGCAGGTTCAAAGGGACGCTGATTGACCGCTCAAGTGCTGACATTCTCCCCACCAAAGCAACTCTGGGCTACTTCTTTGAATAATTTTTTTGTTCACAACACAAAAATAAAAAGTGGAGGTTCTCATAGAGTTTCCGAAGGATCCCAGGTGATCGGTGGAGAAAAACCACTTTTGACATTTGGATTCCCTCACCTTTGAGCTCCTCTTCATCTATTGTTCCTCCCTTTCAAATAAAAAAGGCCATAGATGCTTGTTACCTAGGTAAACCCCGCCATGCACTAATTGAAGTGTCAAAAAAGATGCCGCGAAGCTCGACACGGATTTCGTCGACGTCATCGCCTTATTGACCTATGGGAAACAAATTGATCCCATCTTATCTTCTTCAAATATCACAATGCGTCGTCATGGCAGGTCCAGCGGGCCAACCAAGGCTGTTTCGCCCTTGTCCGACACTGTCTCTCTCATCCGTTCCTTCGATTCAGTCCTAAATCCAAACCGACCCGCGCGCCCCTCGCCTTTGGCTTCCTCCCACATCAAAGCTCTCCCATTAGAATTGATCGACCGATTGCGATCGTTCCCGTTATTCCAAGCCACCCCAGAGTCCTTCTTGATCGAAGTCGGACAGCATTTGCGCCCGCAGCTTCACGCCCCCAATGATTACATTTTGACTGAAGGCGATGAGGCAAAGGCCATATACTGGTTGGTGCGGGGTGCAGTCTCGGTCACTTCCCGAGATGGCGAGAGTATATACGCCGAGCTCCAGCCGGGTGCCTTCTTCGGCGAGATTGGTCTACTCATGGACCGGCCTCGTACCGCAACCATTATAGCCCGGACGCGATGCATGCTGGTCGTGCTGACAAAAGACGATTTTCGGAATATATTGCCCCGCTTTCCAGAGGTTGAACAAGCTATTCGGGAGGAGGCCCAGGAGCGATTGATGATTTTGGAAAAGAAAAAGAAAGAAACGTCTGCGCCTGTATTAGATCCGCCGAGCCCCGCGCGAAGAGGTTCGAAACGACTGCGCGAAAGCTTCTCGAAAGATCTAGCTGTCCTAGAGGACGAGGACCTAAGTACCAATTCCGTGTACAAAAAGCGGAAGTCACCGAGCCCCGGCCGGCGGGATGGCTCCAGCGCATTGGCAAATGGATTGGTTAATGTCCGCCTCCTACTCAAAGAGCTACCACTGTTCTCTGGGCTACCCGCCGATATCCTCCATTTCCTCGGTCTCAACGCCCAACCACGATCTTTCCCTCCATTCACCGACATCATAAAACAAGACTCCCAAGGCCGCGAGCTCTATTTCATCGTGCGCGGCGAGGTGGAAGTCCTCACCGAGAAGCCGGAGATGAACCACTCAGCTTCGAACAATCGATCCAACGGGTTAGATCGGTCAGGGGTGGAAGTCAGAGCGAGGCTCAAGCAGGGCCAGTATTTTGGCGAGGTAGTCAGTCTGGCCCTGGCACCCCGCCGGACCGCTACAGTCCGATCTGTGACTTCCGTCGAATGTTTGATGCTGGGTGGTGATGTCCTGGCTGAGTTTTGGGAGAAATGCCCGAGTGGCGTGCGAGACCAAGTCGAGCGCACTGCTCAGGAAAGACTTCAGGCGGCCGCCGATGGTGACGTGGTCATGTCCGATGAGGTAGATCCCCAAACCTCCATGGGCGATCTCGCTCTTGACGACAGGGTAAAGATCACATCGTCTCGGCGTCGGTCAATGCCACTTCTGACTCTCACTGAGACCGAGCTGGACGGGCCACATCAGTCTACTCCTGTTGAAGATCAAGACCAGGCCGTGCTACGGCCATCTGATCCTGATCCTTACCTCAGCTTGGGTCTGGATAAAGTGCGGCTGCGGAGTCGACGGGGCTCCGTGGCACCACTAACCCCCGAGGAGGTATCAGGAGAAACACAACGGTCCTCTCCTACCGAGCCACGCTCTGCTAGCTCTTCAAATTTGGCCCTTCCCGAACTTGCCGGCCCCTCGAAGCCACACCAGATTGATCGACCCCGGGTAGATGGATCCAATGGTGTTCTTCCAGACAGTGTACTGCTCAATGTTTTCCAATTCTTGGAACTCCACCACCTTCTTCGGATTAGAGCAGTGTCGTCCCATTGGTCAGAGCTTTTGACAAGATCGGCAGAAGTGGTTCAAGATCTAGACCTGAGTGTTTACAACCGCACAATGACGGATGATGTTCTCACTAAGATTATCTGTCCATTTGTCGGTCATCGAGCCCGGTCCGTAAATATTAACAACTGTTTTCACATCACCGATGAAGGCTTCACGGCATTGGCCACTACTTGCGCACCAAATATCACTGTATGGAAGATGAAGAGCGTATGGGATGTCACAGCCTCGGCCATCCTCGACATGTCCAGCAAAGCTACTAATATTGAAGAAGTGGACTTGAGCAACTGCCGAAAGGTCGGAGATACACTCTTGGCCCGGATAATCGGGTGGGTCGTGCCTGCCGATCAGAGGAATGAGAACAAATCATCCATCAAACCTACAATCCAGACAGCAGAACGTACAGTATACGGCTGTCCAAAGCTGAAGAAGCTCACACTCTCATATTGCAAACACGTCACTGATCGATCCATGCATCACATTGCATCTCACGCTGCTGGGCGGATTGAGGAAATGGATTTGACGCGCTGTACCACCATCACCGACCAAGGCTTCAAATACTGGGGGAACACTCAATTCACCAACCTGCGCAAGCTCTGCTTGGCAGACTGCACTTATTTGACCGACCAGGCCATTGTGCACCTCACCAACGCAGCCAAGAACCTAGAGGAATTAGATTTGGTAAGTCAACTCTGCCAACTCCCCACAGTCCCAGCTCTAACAAACAACAGACATTCTGCTGCGCATTATCCGACACAGCCACGGAAGTTCTGGCTCTTCAATGCTCCAAACTGAAATATCTCAACATGGCATTCTGCGGCTCTGCAATCTCCGACCCCTCTCTAAGAAGCATCGGTCTTCACCTCCTCTCACTCGAGCATCTATCGGTACGCGGCTGCGTGCGCGTCACCGGCACCGGCGTCGAAGCGGTATCAGAAGGCTGCCACCAGCTCAAAATTTTCGACGTCAGTCAATGCAAGAATCTCGGTCCCTGGCTCGAAGACGGCGGTGCGATTCGGTACCAGCCCAGAGTCGAGTTCAAGACTGTTGCTCCTAACAAGAAAGTTCGCTGATGAGCATTGATTCAATGCTCAGCAATTCGGGAAAACAAGCCTCCGGCTTTGGAGCCTCACTCCAACCTGGATGGCTGATGCCTGCTTCTCCAACTCGCATAATACATTTATTGGCACATAATGTATGTTTCACCGGGTCCCCTTTCATTTTGATCCCAGCTCATCTTATCTAGTTCTGCTTTACCATGGTGAATCGATGGCGTTCGGATCAGGACAAATTTCTTTCACGTTGGATTACGTTCGTTTTGCGTCTGCTGGTTTTTGTTTTGTGTTTTTGTGGGGGGTTCGGCTCTCTAGCCCGCGGGCAGGTCGTGCATGGCCGGAGTTCACAGACTGAAGGCATATATGACTTTCATGAGGTTTTTTTTCTTCTATTCCTTAATTCTGGGCTTGGGTTTCTTGTTCTTGTTTTCTTGTTTTCTGTTTCTATTGACGAGATAATGTTGCACATCTGTTTGGTCTGGGATTCAGGTTTTTTCTATTGTATTCTAAATTATGCTCTCTTTTCGTGTATCCAACTCTCAATCTGAGGAACTTCCAAATAGTCTTTGTGCTATCTTTCTGTTTCTTTGTCCTTTGTCGCTATTCATGGGGCCTTGTTTCAGGTCTTTTGACGCTACGTCTTGAAGTTCAATAAGGGAAGCACAAAGGGTTCAACAAGTTCTTATACTCCGTCTAGTAATACGGTAATCTTTATCGTTGTATACACCCTCTCTGCTTGTTGGAATTGCAGTTGCCTTGATATACCCTACAAGCTCATAGAGTGAAAGAGATACTACACTCCATCTTACAGGTCCCCAATCTTCTTCTTGTGCCTATCCTCTTGATTCAACACGGCTCTACTTCTTAGTGTTGCAACTTCCTTCGTGCTTACCGAACTCTTCATCTTGGAATTGAGAACCATTCCTCCTGTCTTGGTAATTGGGTACCGTCTTCAGAAATCTAAATCGCTAAAAACCAACGAAACAACACTCTCCTAATTTCATATACCCCAACCACCTCTTCCCAGCCAAGCATGATCAACTCTAGTCTTATATCTTATGCCCTCAGCATCCTCTCTCTGATTGGTCTTCGGATTCTATGCGTATCCCATGGCCTGGACTTCTTCTCTCTATGTCCATCTTATACCATCAATGGTGATCGTCTCACGTTATTTACTCTCTTGAACCACATTGTTTACGGGATATTTCCCGTTTCAGAGATTGCTGCGCTAGGCAGTCTTCAGATATCATACTCGTCAAGCATTGAGACTGTTGATTTCTAGCTAGCCGTTCTCTCTGTTCGTTCTTTTCTTTCCCCAACCTACATTAGGCTTAATTCTACAAACAAGCTAGGTGAGGATAATTGCAGATCTTCTGCTCTCTTTCTCTTTCTCTCTCGACATCTTTCAAGCTTTGCAGAACTCACTCGATCCAACCTGCATCTTACTGTCTGCTCATGTTTGTTGTTATTTTCTGCTTTGTTATGTTTTCTTACATAGGATTTTGGGCCCTGATTTCATACCAATCAATGGTCGTATGATCCAGGAAGTATTTCTTTGATAGCCCTACAATATACAAAGGATATAGACCAGCAAGTATGATATTGGATATAGCGGGCTCTATATTTAACCCTAAATACAAGGCTATTCTAGGGTAATAGGGACAAGCAAACAATTACTCTTTAGGCCTATAGAGTAACCACCTAAGAAGTTTGTTTGTTGATCTGTATCAGCTGTTGGTATTGTATGTAGTAGGTTGGGCACGGAGCTAACCCAGAAAAGGCACGTAAACAAGCTCACAGTGATTCAGCATCAATGAGCCACGTCAGAATCCAAAGAAGAGAACGTACCTTGCATATTTCTTATCAGACCGTCATTCGTCACACAATGCAAAGTTTACCGAAAACCAGTTTATCAACGAACGCAACCAATGAACAATTCCCCCTTGCATTCCACCGTGACACATTCCTAGGCGTTAACGGTAACCAGATTCACCACCTACGTATATCAGCCGATCGCACATTCCTTCTAGAAGAATACCAAACCCGCGTTCGGTTGCTAAGTCGCCTACCCTACGGAATACAAAAAGTACATAGACAACTTATACGTAACACTCCGTACACTGTCTGTAATGTGGCCACGCTTATCCGTTATCACCCCTTAATACCGCCTGCATGGCCGGAACCCAAGATCTCCGTGCTCAGCGCTAGTGATCTGCGGACCTGCCCAGTGCTTGGTGTGTCCACTGGCCACTGCTGACTGGTTGGGAACTAGCTTGGATAAGGTTGGAGTACTTTTGATTACCGTTCCTTATAGGTTTGTTGGTTTACTGTACAGGTGTATCATTAAAACCGACGCCTAACCAATAGATATAATTTTTTTTTTAAGACTTCGCCAGGCCGCCGGTTATTTTCGTTAAATTGATCTTACTTCTATTTATAATATTAAAAGTTTTCTTAGTTAACAGAATAACTAGTATCAACCTACATGAACTTCGTACTCCCACCAGCCCAATGATCGATTACTTCTTTCTCTTTTTATTCGGGCAGACTCCATAAACAGCAGCGACTCTGCGGCGTCGTCCTGCTCATCCTCTAGCGCTATCAATGGACCTTTTTTTTGTAAAAAGCCCACTTAAAGTTTTCAGGAAAGAATTCGGCGTACTCCCAGTCGACAATAGCCCGTATTCTCAGTGTTCCAGGATCGACAATGATGTTATGCTGGGCAAGATCATTATGGCAGAAGACATATTCCTCCCTATCTTTGAACCCTTTTCGTGGCCATGCATTCGTGTCTGAGAGCCGCATCACTAGATAGAGCGGGAGCACTATCCGCGAAGGACCACTGATAGTTTCAATTTGAGCCCACGGAAGATGGTTAGGTAGTGCTCGACTTCAGTACGAACAATGTCTTTTTGATCGTCCGATAAATCCGACAGGGGTACGCCGTCGACGTGCTCTGAGCCAACATGAACGAGCCGTCAACTTCCAAAGCTCCGTACAGTGTTGAAAAGGGATATTGGTAGAGCGTCGAATGAAGCGCAACATTGCCGCCTCATTTTGGAGTCGCTCCTTTCCTAGTCGGGGGATGTGCTTCGTGCCTCGAATGGTGGGTGTGTATTCGCTCAGCCGACGACCTCGTTTAATGAATTTATCACCGAAATGATAGTAGGCTCTTCGGCCCCGATCACAATAGGAGAGGTAAGCAGAAAATCTACCCCTGATAAGTCTTCCATATTTCTAGGTGCGCTAGGATCGAGGGTTTTCTAGCTATGGCAGATTTCTGTCATGATTGAGGGGGATACTGCACTTTAGTCGAGGACTCGAAATCCATCTGAAGAAGTCCATTTCTTTGGGCAGTCACGATCTGGAGAGAAAATGCAAGTTCACTGAGCAATGAGTTCAGGGACAAAGAATATTTTACGGTGTAGGCCAAGGAAGCGGTGCACAGTACATGCGGTGCATAGCGACCAGGGATTCACATTTGGAGGCGAAGTTGAGCTTTCCTCCGGACTCCGTACGTTGGTTGTACTGTGGAATACGGGTGTTTGGTGCCGAGGCCGAGCGCCGAGAAAATTGGGGTTAGTGTGGTTTTTTGGGGGGCGATTTGGAAGCTCATTTGGTAGCCTAATGAGTAGAGCCTCGCGTAAATTGAATTAGCTCGAAATTTGGGGCTGATTTCTTTGTTGGCCAGTCTCATTTGTTCTTCTTTTTTTAACTAGGAATACTAGCTTCGTGATGGGGTTTGGTTCCAGTGGAGGGGGTATCATCCGATTCATTGTCATAAAGTATAAACACATCACAATGAACAAAAACATTGAGCGACATACAAAGTAGATAGAATATTGTAATGCAGCTAAACAGCAAATAGACATGGCATGTCGATCAACTTGATTAGGAAGCTCTCTCTCCGCAGATCGACTCGGCAGGATAGGCAAGTGCGACTGACGATGTATTATATACCCCCGTGAACTAGCCTAGGGTGTAATAATACCATAAATACCAGTTATCACAAACACCTGGGGGATGTCTCACTTTTAACGGTTTAACGCTTGGACTTGAGTCTTTTTTTTTTTTGTCTTTGATTAATTTGGCTAATTAGACTAAGTGGATTAGATTGAACTTATAAGCTTGGCTTATTTTGAGAAGGGTATCACATATTGTATGATGTTTCTAGGGATTTATTATTGTAGATAGCCCTGGCATTTTGATATTCATACCACAAGAAACCTTACAGTATTGTATAGCACAGGTCACCGCACAGACAGAATTCCCCACAAAAAAAACACAAAAAGAGACCCTTGACCTTCTTTGTCATGAACCCTTTTAATGACCCTGACGGAGTGGCCCCTGATTGGGTTAGGCCATCTAAATCCCTCTGATTTTCCTTGGTTATTTGATTGGCATTTTCACGTTTTCATTATGATACTAGCCCTGGAGGTACCTAGTTATCTATCCTTGGGAGAATTATATTAATAAACTATTCGCCCCCCCGTTCTCAGTCTTCCTTTTGATTTTTTTGATTTCCAGAGAAAACTGCATTCGTTCTGTTTCCCTCTCCTGCAGTGATAGAAAAGGTTATTCTTCACTTGCTTCCTCTCGTTCACCGTATCTATTATATACCCCCCTTTTTTATACATATATATCAAACCCCACACTTCCCTCGTTCCTGTGGCTTGGATTCAAATTCTTCGATATTCTTTCATTTCCCGTTGTACATACCATACATTAATCATGGTTCGTTTTGTGACACCTTTGATCCTGGCTTCGCTGTCAGCGACCGCTCTTGCTGCTCAGTCCTGCAGCACCAGCAGCCAGTGTAAGGATGAGACTTACCCCTGTTGCTCCCGTGAGTTGAGGATCGCATGTCCCTCAATTGACTATCCCCAACTAATCAATGCGCATAGAATATGGTGAGTGTGGTACCGGTGCCTACTGTCTCGGTGGTTGCGACCCTCTCGCTTCTTTCTCTCTCGACTCGTGTGCCCCCATGCCCGTCTGTGAGAGCAAGACTTACACCTGGGAGAACCTCGACAACGCTGTCTCCCAGGACAAGTACCTCGGTAACGCTTCCGCCGCCGACTGGACTTACTCCGGAAAGCCCAAGACCGAGGATGGCAACTTGATCATGACCATGCCCGCCAAGAGTGTCGGTACTCTTTTCGCCAACAACCACTACATCTGGTACGGCAAGGTCTCTGGAAAGATTAAGAGCTCCCGCGGCAAGGGTGTCGTGACTGCTTTCATTCTGCTGTCCGATGTCAAGGATGAGATCGACTACGAGTGGGTCGGTGCCGACTTGACCAACGTCCAGACCAACTACTACTGGCAGGGTGTCCTTGACTGTAAGTTGAAAACAAGAGTGACCCGACCACAACTGAGAACATCCAATACTGACCATCAACCAGGGCACAACAGCGGCAACATCTCCGTGGATGGTGGTGACACCTTCGACGATTGGCACACTTACGAGATCGACTGGACCCCCGAGAAGGTCGACTGGATCGTCGATGGCTCCGTCCAGCGCACCCTGAAGAAGTCCGACACCTACAACGCCACCTCCAAGCAGTACCAGTTCCCCCAGACCCCGTCCCGCCTGCAGATGTCTCTCTGGCCCGCCGGCCAGGCCTCTAACGCCCAGGGCACCATCGACTGGGCTGGCGGTGAAATCGACTGGAACAGCGAGGACATCAAGAACGTCGGCTACGACTTCGCCACCGTTGGCGAGGTCAGCGTCCAGTGCTACGACCCTCCTTCCGATGCCAAGAACAACGGCAAGAAGGCTTACCTTTACACCAACTCCGCCGCCATGGAATCCGACATCGAGATCACCAACAACTCCACCGTTCTCGCTTCCCTCGGTGCTACTGGCCTCGACATGGATCTCGGCGCCAAGTCTGCCTCTTCCAGCGGCTCTTCCACCACCACTGCGGCTAACAGCATCCCCTCCTCCAACGGTGGCTCCGGCGGCATGGCTTCCAACAGCACTACCGAGGCCTCTGGCTCTACCACTGGTACTTCTACCAGCAACGACGCCCAGTCTACCACCTCCACTGGTTTCAGCCAGGGTGCTACCACCAAGGACAGCGGTGCTGCCGGACAGAACGAGCGCGTTCTCCGTGGCTCGCTCTTCGGTGTCCTGGTGGCCCTTGTTGTCCTCGTGACGCTGTAAATGTACATCGATTTGATACATATTGTCGACCTCGTATATTCTTGTTTTCTTCCTTCTTGCCATGCTTCACTGCACCGCATTGAGTACATTTTTCTGTTGCCTATGCAACTTGTTTTGTGTCTGTCTCTTGACTGAACCTTGAACAAATCACCTAATGAATTACTTTGATCCTTGTATTTTCTTCCACGTCTTCCTATGAGTCCTAATTGTGCATTCGCCCTTGCGGGTTCGTTATATATCCCTGTTCTGCGTGGCCGATTATGGCCTGGTTGTGTACCACTGGAGATAGCTACAAACCTTTCCGTACTATATGTGGGTTAATGTTATTCTCTTTATTGCAATCAAACGTAACTGCTTATTGTTACAGTGTACTATCCTGGAAAACATAAAGTGCCATTCTAATAACTTGATATCTCGCAAAGTTCTATTTGCAGCCACGGATCCACCTAGCCCTAAGTCCTCTTTAAGCCTCATTAACAGGACCATAAGGCCTGCCCGACCTCTTCCCATAAACTTCATCAAACGAATCCGCCTCCCCCACGCAAACCAAGTAATTCAACCTCGCATACCGATCCGCCATCCCCGCCAACCTAGGCGCAACCTTCGAAAAGGCAAGATAAAGCACCACCCAAGCATCAACCACCTCATCAACCACAACCCCCCACTCTCTAACAACAACCTCCTCCCCCCCTCGGCCAAACCCCATCAACTACAAACTCCACCGCCTTCTCCTCCTCCCCACCCCTCAAAAACAACCTCGCAACAGCAAAACACAAATCCCAAACCCCAAACCTCACCCCCCGGCCCCTGTTATAAAGCTCCTCCAAATCCCCAATCCTCTCAATCATCAGCCCCCTCTCAAGCGACGCATCCCCATTCACAAACCCCCAAATCTGCCCCCGCAACAAACCCCTCATCTTAAGCACCCACCGTTCCTTATTTCTAACATCAGCACACAAAGCACACCCACACTCGAACCCCCAGTGCGCGGTATCCTTAACGCCCTCCTTCGACGGGAACTTATACCACCATGTCAGCACCGCGCCAGCAGGCAGATCCGCCGTCGCTCTTACAATCATCATATTGCCGATGAAGGCGCGGCGCGTGTTGCTGTCGCATGCGTGGTTGATGAACGATGCCAACGGCCATATCCCGCAGCAGGCGAACTTCGCCATTGTTCTTCTGTGTGCGGGTGCGTGCGCATGCAGCGCTTGGGAGGTCATTGGGCTGCCGAAGCTGTTGAGGGTTGTAATCTGGGAGAGGAGGAAGCTGAGTGGGAGTGTTAGTTTGGCGTTGTTGGATGGAGGGCCGGGTGGGGAGGGAAGGGACTTACGTGTCTATGAGTGGGTTGTTGGCTTTGTCGATTGTTATGGCTTCTGGGAAGGTGCCGCGGTGGAGGGCTGTTAGTTGGGGGATTTTGGAGGGGTATGCTTGCAGCTTGGTTATTGTTGCTGTTGTGAGGTCGATGGTGGAGCCACGGGCGACGAATTTCGTTTCTGGGTTGACTTGGATGGTGCTGCTGGTGTCTTTCGCGCTGAAGGTGTAGGAGAAGGCTTTCTCGCAGAGGAGGAGGTCGCCTGCTTTGACTGCTTTTGTGGTGAAGAGGCCTCGACCGTGCATTTTGCTTTCGCCCAGGACTACTGGGCCCTGGTATGTTGCGTGGTCTAGCAGGAGTGTTCTGCTGTGGATTGCGTTGTCTTGCATTTTCTTGAAGTTGTAGCTGCCGTGCTGTTGCTCTGCAAGACGGGCAATGGCATCGTTCAGGCGATCGTTGTCGGATTGACGGCCTGGGTGATTGTTCAGAAGCTCGTTGTATGCTTCGCAGCACTCTTGATACTGCTGGAGATGGTACAAGACCTGTGCTTTGCGGCGCAGGAGGTGCTCTGATATCTCTAGGCATCCGGTGGCTTTTTCGAGATCACGCAGAGCTGTTTCATACTGGTGAGTCTGGAAGTACCCATCGGAACGAGAGAATAAAAGAAGAGCAGCAATATCGGCAGGCGGGGAGCACTCCAAGGCTTTCGTATACCTATCATGGTCAGATCTTTTGCGTCTCCGGTAATGTCTCCGAGTTCCATACCATTCAACGGCAAAGCGATGTTCGCCCTTCTTGGAAGCTTCGTCGCCAATCTTTGCCCAATTATCATATGACCATTCTGAAATATCGTTCAGGCTTTCATCTCTCCAGGACAAGGGAACCCGCCCATCAAACAGCGGAATAATCACGATATCAGAAACATGATCAATCTTGATTTCGTATTCCTTGTCTGAAATCCACTGCAAACACGGCTGCTTCACAAGCAAAACCATATTTTCATCAAGACGGCTACCATGATAAAGAAGCCATTCATGCAAGATCCGCATTAAAACAACATTCCCCTCTTCATCTTCCACTAGCGCCACCACAGCATCCATCTTGACTGCGGGGTTAACCGTTCTGGCGAGAATATAAGAGTTCAGGCTGCGAATCTCGCAACGCAGGTCTTTGATCATGGTCTTCTTCAAGTCATAGATGGAAATCGTGCAAGGCGGATACATGGGCGGCGTAAACAACACTTCTGTTTTCTTTCGACGAATCCGATACTCGTGTCTCTTCTGTTCGGATTCCAAGCGTCTCAGGAGTCTGCGTCGAGAGCCTTTTTCGGGCCGGTTGCCCTCGTGTATCTTTGCTCTTTCGAGGACTTCGTTGTGCTCACTCAGGAGCTGCTCATTTCCTGGCTCCTCGAGCCACTCGTCTAGTGACATAGTGAGCGTTCTGTTTTCTTTGGGGTGTTTGGTCCTGCCTATCGATTGGATGGTTAGAGGTTGTCTTCTGCGATGTGTGTTCGAGAGATTCGAGGATACGTTTGCTTCAGTAATGAAGCTGTGTAAGTGTGTATGTGCAGGTATGTAGTTGTATGACAGCGGATTGCACAGTAAGTAAATTGACTCAGGGAGTGGTGTAGCAAATAGCCAGAAGGCTACTCACATGACATGGTTGTATTCTTTCTTTAGGGTTTGGTAATGCCGCAAGTGTGAATGAGCTCTTTTATATCAATGCATTGTATTAAATGTCAGCTTGAAGCCTAGAATTAGCACAGCCTAAGAAATATCCACATTTCTCTTCTCTCTTTCTGTTCGTCTTTTTTCAGGTCTTCTTTGAACATTCTTTGGACTCTCTCTTTGGCTCATGAATTTCGAGCGACTGGTTGATCTCCAGGCAAACTAGTGGAATTAGGGCTTTTGCTAAGGTGCATAGATGGTAGGGGATATGCCGTCATTTTGGTGAAGAGTGTAAAATTGGAAGCATGGTGCATTTAGGGCAAAGTGGACATTTCGTATCTGCGGCGATTTCCAATTTGTATAAATGCAAGCTCTCCTTTATTCAACCCGCTCTGAATACAACCACTTTCTTCTTTCTTTCACTATGCTGACTTTCATCTGAGGAGTTTCATTCTCGCTGGCCTTGACTGTCGGCAAAGCAACCTTAGAAGTGAACTGAAGTAAAGGAACAGCGCTAGTAGTACCGAGGTAACCATTGTCTTCCCCTTTTAGAAGATAATCATCTGCGATGAGTGGATAGGATAGTCGCATACAATGCCTTGTATTGGGTCACTTTAACTCTTGTTTACTATCACCACCTAAGTGTTTATCATTGCGCAATGGCGACCCTTCATATAGATATCTCTAGCATCCCAATCTCTAGCCATTTCTCAGCCCATCTACCACACTACAAAGAAGTTATCTCACCTCTGTCTCCAGTTTGATTAAACCACAGTCATCAAAATCAAATCATCCCACTAGCAAGCCTATTCCAAGAATATACCGCCAACAAGAAACAACCCCATGAGCCCAACAACATAAGGTATGACAACCAACATGGTAAATACCTCGATCTATATCAACAAATAATCACATACAGGCAAATCCCCGAGACAAACAACGAAAACGTTCAATCCATACTACCGCCACTCACCCTCCCAAAGCATGTGTCTATTTGTAGAAACCCAGTACCAGTGCAAACACATATGCTTCGAGCTCTACCTCTTCTGCCGTGAGGTTCTGCATGAACTGAATCGGATAAATGATCCAGACCAGAGTGCCATATATGCCTTGCCATTCGACCCTTTTTGTCCTGCCTGTGAGCCGTATACCTTCCCAGTAGGATCAACTGGGTATCTTGGTCTGGATGGACAATGGCGCGAAGAAATCTTAGAAACCAATGTTGTGCAGTGGGTGGTTGATTTGTTGGAGTTGTGTCCATTCTGTGAGAAACATGGGTTGTGATGGGGGACCCGTGTTAGTGTTAGTGTAGGGATGATGCTTATATTGATGTTCATGACAATTAATTCATCTAGCCTTTAGGTTGCACGATTAATGTTGGATGATAAAACTCAAAATACATTCCGGCTTCGGGTTCAGCTGGAGAACACCTGAACTATGTAGTTTAAACGAAAAAAAATATGAATGTTGATAAGAAATCCCGAAATGCACGCCGGAGTCATGATACAAAACACCTGCAATATTTAAAGGCCGAAGGCATATTTAAGTGTGACCTTGCCATACATCAGTGAGTAGCACCGCATCCACAGTCGTCAACAGATCGCTTTCTGAAGTCTCCGTGGTAGGCATCCAATCCATCAGAATGGAAATTCAAGCCAAGACGATCGCCCATCCAGTCAAATGATTGGAAGATGCCAGTCTTGGTATCCCGAAGCATTTTTGTGACGTTGTTGACATCAAGATCGAGGTAATCCGCGAGGAAAGCACCGACATCGGTGTTCTCGTTGTTACCGACCAACGGCCAAGCATCCTTGGAAGAGGAAGCATAAATGTTGACGTCGACGCCTACATCGAAATTAGCATGTTATAACAAAGTAATGGCAAGGGATGCCTTACCGGAATGTCCATGAGTACTCCAACCAACCTGGGCACGGCGGCTGATCATATCAGCGAACACGTAGGACGGGCCGACTCCTGGATCTGGGTAGAGCAGAGCCTTGACCTCAGCATCTGTAGAATCATCGATGCCAAGGCCGTTCTCGATAAGATTCTTCCGAACCCACGATTCTTTGGCCGAATCCTTCTCGTCCTTGCCTGATCCGGAAAGATACTCGTTCAACTGGACTGCAAGGTATTCACCAGAGTGGCTTGCCTTTTCTAAGACACCTGGAAGCCACAAATACTCGGGGTAAGACTTGTGCAGCTGGCGCGCAGCGGCCAATCCACCGGTCTCGTGGTCAGACGTGCTGACAATCACACCTGGAGTAGAGTCATTCTCCAAAAACTCCAACGCAGCAGCAAATGCCCTGTCATACGCCAAAACCTCGTGCACCTGCGCAGCAGGATCATTACCGTGGCCGGCATGATCAATACGAGAGCCCTCGATCATAATGAAGAAACCTTGCTCGCTGTCCTCGGTAGCCTTGCTCAAGGCCTTCAGTGCAGTGCGGGCCATTTCTTCCAAAGATGGGTAGACATCATTCTGAGTACGGCGGTCGATCTCATATGGGATATCTCCGTTGGCGAAAAGACCAAGGAGAGGCAGACTGACATTGTCTCCGCCCCTGAGGCTATCGAAGCCAGCACGATCATCGATATAACCAAAACCGTTTTTAGCAGCAACATCAATCATATCGCGATTATCACCCCGACAGCTTCCTTGCTGCGAGTTGGGCAGGAAATGGCACCGTCCACCACCAAGCATGAGATCCACCACCCGGCCAAGAGGATGTTCTCCGACCTCCTGGGCGGCGATCAAGTCTTCGTAGCTCCGCAGGTTAGCATGAGCAGCAAAACAAGCAGGCGTCGCATCCGTCAGACGGGTCGTCACAACCAGTCCGGTCTTGTAGCCAGCCAACGCAGCTGCCTCAAGCACAGTCCCGCAAGGCGCGTGGTCAGGAGTCACCGAGATAGCAGAGTTATAACTTTTGCGGCCGCACGAGAAAGCCGTCGCTCCAGCCGCGGAATCAGTAACCAAGCTAGAGCTTGATCGTGTCCGCGACGTGCCGATGTAATGCTGATCCAAAACCAAAATGTCGTCGATCGGCAGGTTCTCCGTGTATTGTCGGAAACCCCGGGTAAGCGAGAGACTCGTGGGTCCCATGCCGTCGGAAACCATGAAAATAACATTCCGCTTGCCTGTCGGCTTGCCGCCAGGGCCCCAGGTTATTTTTCTTGTGTTGTGGCTAGGACCGTGGATTTCAACGGGCTTGTGCTGGTAGACCACGGCCAACACAATCACTAGAGTTGTAGCAAGCAGGGCCCAGGCAAACAGTCCGATCTCCCGCCAGAACTTCCAGCTCCGTTGTTTCTCGGCCCGGGGAGCAGTCCGCTCGCCGGTCAGGAGGGCGTATTCCTCCTCTTCGTTTCGAATCGACGAGCCGTCGGAGGATGGGCGGGGAGCCAAAAGTGGCTCTTCCCCTGCCATGGCTGTGAAGACGGTATAGGGTCAAGATATATGTTGTATGAATCGAATGAACTGCGGTGAGGAGAGATTGTGGAGAGATCCAAGGGTCACGATCTTCGGCTGCGATCTTGAGTTGCCGCCCAAGTGGACCCTGAGGCGCAGGTGATAAGATAGCTCAGGGCGGCTCACATGATACATCGGACAAATTTACCCAGGTAGGCCTGAGAGGATATCTGAAGAATATCTACTTTTCTGTACTACATCAAAAAACGTGAGTGGAGAATTGACTTAATTTACATCGGCTGAACCCATAAGGAAAATCTTTTTATATTGTACATATCATCAAAACAAATGAAAGCCTAGAGAGGCCTAGCTTTCCACCCGATGGGAATCATGGCAGCAGCAATTTCAGTGACACCACGCTCAGTGGCGAGCAAATTGAACTGCGCGGCCGCATTTCGAGTATCCAGGATATCGACCCGAATGCCCAACGAGTTGATATGGCGCTTAGTTTCAGGTGAAAGCGGGAACATCGAGCCACCAAGGCCGAGAATAAGCATATCTAAAACCACATTAGTTAGTTGGTACTTTGCCCAGTAGCTCCCATTGTGAATGAGAGTATTTATGCACAAAGCCTAGATATAAAAACAAGTAAAAGACATACCAGGTTTCGGCCACACAAGGTTCAACAACCCCCAAACAGACTCATCGAGCTCAAATTGGCCCTTAGAATTGATCATAGTGTCCCTCGCCGTATTATCATTCTCGGCGCCCTCAACAGCCTTCCACGGCCGCCACGCAAACGCCTCACCACCAACGAGCAACACCCCATCGCCGTTGCTCACTTTGACGCCATTATTGAGATGAAATCCAGAGTCGAGGCATGCATCGATGGCAGTCGTAGGCGCGGGGATGTTGCCCAGGACATTCAGCGCATTGAAGTCTGTCTGGGTGTCTTCTTTGGACTCTGGGCCGCGGTCGTGGCTGGTGGGCTTGTGGGAGTGAGAACGTGGGATCATGCGTGTTGGTCGGACTGCTGAGCTATTGTTGCGGCGTGTTGAGGGAAGGATAACGCTGGGGGATGAGATGGATTGGCATGGTGAGGCTGAGGCTGTTGATGGGAAGGAGGGAAGTCGAGTGAGGTTGGTGCGCTGGGCGTGCGCTAACGAAGTGCGCAGCGCGCGGAGGAGTTGAGTTGATGGTGATTGCATGGTTTCAAGTGTGAAGTTACAGATTTAATGCATGCATGGACCAGGGCAGTTTTGGATGTGAGCCTGATGCAATACTGAGGTGAAGGTAAAGCTTTCCGCCTCCAGGTCTTGGCAAAGAGAGTGGACCTTGGCTTATCGACACTCACTAACTGTGGGCTTGTAAGTTACTTTGTTTACTAACTAGAAGTAAAAACTATAACTAGTTATAACTTATGTACTATATGGATAAGCCTATATAATCTTAAGGCGGATATCGATTTGAAAATTATATTAATATTGAGCCTAGCAATTAATCTATTTTGATTTTGCAGGAGTCCCAAACCTGACCCTCTGCGCCTGGATTCATATGAAACAAGGACAAGAGGAAAGACGATGACATCGTACGCGTCGTAGACCCAAAACTCCAAACAGAACGAATGAACGAGACAACCCTGGGAAATGAACGAACCGAAAACAAAAAAGCAAGAGGCATTCAACCCTTGAACTGGGTCACCCCAATTCCATGCTAGTACCTCCGATCATTACCGCCTCGCGGAACTTTTCTCGGCTGGAAACAAAAGTATGAAAAAGTAACATATGCACACGGTGAAAGATAGAAAAAGAGTCATTCTTTGGGCCTAGATTAGCGGTCTAGGTAATGGTGATTTAGTTTGATCGACGAGTGACTTTGCGATCTTCATCTGATTGGCTCGAGCTGTCATCACTGGTGGTTGCAGTGCGGATTCGCTCAGCTCGGTCCTGAAGGACCTGTGCTTCTGCTGCGGCCTTTTGGGCGCGGATTTGCTTCCGCCACATACTGGCGTAGCGACCCTTCATGGCTAGAAGCTCTTCATGGGTGCCGCTTTCGGCCACTTGACCTTCTGCCAGAACCAAAATGCGGTCTGCAGTGGTGATGGTGCTGAGACGGTGAGCAATTACCAGCATAGTGCGGCCACGTGAGAGGGTGGAGAGGGCTCCCTGGATATGCTCCTCTGTGTCCGTGTCCAAGGCGGCGGTGGCCTCGTCTAAAAGAATGACACGAGGGTTCTTGAGGATTGTGCGGGCAATAGCCACACGTTGCTTCTCACCTCCACTGAGTCGCAGACCACGCTCTCCAACCTTGGTATTGTAGCCATCGGGGAACGCCAGGATCTTATCATGAATGCTGGCCGCGCGACAGGCCTCATAAACCTCTTCGTCAGAAACCCCCTGGTTGGCGTACTTCAGGTTGTACATCAAAGTCTCGTTGAAAAGTACAGTATCCTGGGGGACCACACCGATATGCTTGCGAAGTGAATCAATCGTAATGTCCTGAACGTCATGCCCATCAATACGAATACGGCCGCCCTGGGAGTTGTAGAAGCGGAACAAGAGGCGGAACACAGTAGACTTTCCTCCGCCAGATTCACCAACCAAGGCAGTAGTCGTTCCTGGCTGGCAGTGGAATGTAAGACCATTCAACGCGGGCTTTCGTGCATCGTAGGCAAACTCAACATCCTCGAACTTGATATCACCCTTGCACGTCGCCAATGTAGTAGCGTGGCTGCTATCTACCACAGTTGGCTGCTCACGGAACAACTCCAAGAGGCGCTCGGCATTGATCAATGCCGACTGGATGGATCGATAGAAGGTGCCAAAGAAGTTCAGTGGACCCTGAAGTTGTACCATGTAGGTCAAAAGACTTACAAACTTGCCCACGGAGCGTTGACCGATAGACACCTGGTATGCGCAGATGAAGCACATGACCAAAAGACCCATCATGAACACAGTGTTTTGACAGGTGTTAAGAAGTGTCAGAGAGAAAAGGACGTGGTATTCAGCCTTCTGGTAATCACCCACGGCGCCACGGTACCTGTTAAATTCATATTGCTCCGCATTGAAATACTTGACTGTTTCATATGAAACCATCGAGTCGTTCCTAACCGGGAATTATGTTAGTACTGATTGACTCACGGGGATATCGAGTAGCTTCTTTCCAAACTCACTTGACAGCATCCTCCTGTCTTGAGGCATTAACCATTTGTCTTCTAATTTCTGCTCTCCATTGGGCCATACGGATAGTGACATAGAGATAGCCGAATGTGGAGATGCCGACAGCCAAAGCATAGTACGCATCGAATGCAATCAAAAAGTATACAAACGCAATGACAAGATCGACGAGCATTGGAACCACCTGGAATGTGACCTGTTCGAGGAACGTGTTGATCGAGCTGCCCTTACTCAACGCAGACAGGACTTCACCTGTCTTTTTGCCGAGATGGAAATCCAAGCTGAGACCGTGCACATGCTCAAATGCGGCAGTAGAAAGTTCCATGTAAGAATACTGACTCACGGGAATCCAGAGGCTAGAGCGCAGAGAGCTGAGCAAGCCCTGATTACCCTGCAACCAGCGGTAAATTATGTAGAGGCAAATCTGAAGCCATGGCACTTGGAATTCCTTGCCTTCATTTTGTGTAAGAGATTTTGTGATGACTTCCACTTGGTGTGGTACCAAAAGGTTGACGACTCGCTGGAGCATGAGGAGCACAAAACAGAAAGTGACAACAATTTGCAGGCGGCGGGACTTGGATGGCCACAGGTATGGGAAGAAGAGTGAGTACCCAGCCAGATATTCCCACCAGCTGGTGGAAGGCATCGTAGTAGGACGCACCCACGGATCGGGCTTGGAGGTCTGGGTTTTGGGGGCACCATTTGTTGAGCCGTAAGTCTGACCGTTCGTGCCGTTGCCGTTTCCGTTGCCGTTTGCATGGCCGTGGCCATTGCCAGTTTCGGCTCTAGCAGAATCCAGGAGTCCTGTGGCTTCTGTGGCTTCATTCGCCCGTTGGTTGGCCTTTTCGTGACTCTTCATGCTCATGATTTGGCAAATATAGAGAATCACCAAAGCGAACAGAATCAGAATACGCAGACAATTGGAAACCATTTCCAGGGATTCCCAAATTGTGATATTCTTGCGAATCCGGCCGCCCTCCGGGTTTCCAACCATTGGCTCATGGTGAGCCGAGGTATAGAGCGAGAAAGACGTGCTAACAATAACCACTTCGATCGGGATGGCGACCGACCAACAGACGAATTGAGCGATAGTAGGAGAGGGAGATGTGTCTAGCAATGCCATGAGCAGCACTGCATAAACGAAGAAGGAGCCGACGATGTAGACCTTTCACAGAAATGACCATTAGCCACTGCTCAACGGAAACTTCCCGGCAATCTATAAGACATACCACTGAAGACTGGCCTCGCCACCAATTCTCTGACCTGGCGGTCATAACATGTAGGATATAGATAGTTGCATCGGCAATGAAAGTGAAAGCAATGGCCACGGAGAGCCAGATGAAAAGTCGTTTAACGTTCCGGGAGAACTCTTGTGGCTTGGAAGGGACATCTCTAGATCGTTGAGGTAGTAATCTGCCGCCAGGACCGAAGCGCTGAGCATCACTTTTGCGAGCTTTCTTCGCAGTGACGACAGTATTGGCTATGAAGGTCACAACAAAGAGGAGTAGAAGAAGAATTGGGTAACCAGTGCGCAAGTACTCCAGCAGCTCGATGGCTGCATGAGAATCCATTGCCAACGAAAGAATATGGAAGAGACCGTTTAAACCACCATGACAGAGATATGTGGAGGGAAAAGGTAGAAGCCGGGTTCGGATCGGAAAGGACTGGACGGGTATGGCGAAGGATCGACGCGAGGAATGGGGATAATGTGACGCGGGGAGAAACCTCAACAAGTTTTCCACGTGGATTTGAAGCTTGAGAGGGGGGAACCAAATAGTAAATTATGATGATTCGAATGATTCCAATAGATGCAAAGAGGATGAGAAAAAGAAAAGAAACAGTATAGGAAAAAAAAAACAGAAATAGTTCACAAATTATATCAAATTCCTCTTACTGGTTAAACGACTCTCTTTTTTCTTCCCTTTTTTTTCTTCCAGCTTTTTTTTGGCTTCTCGGAATGCAAAATCTCGAACCTTTGCAAATAAGTTATAATAATTAGAAAGAAACAAAAGAGAAAGAAAGAGAGAGGAGGATGAAAATATTATATCAAATCATCAAGAGGTTTTTAAAGGAATGACGGTGTGGATTGCAGATGCTGCAGCTAAGGAAAAGAGTATCCACACTGTCGGAGTTACAAGGAATAGGGAAGAAATATCTCTCAATCACTCACCTCTTCCGACTTTTTTCTAGTGAACACTTTCTCTTCTTCTTCTTCTCTTTTCTCCGAGATCTCTTTTAGGATGTTTGTCCCTTTTTCTCGGGTCTTCACTTTTCAGATTCGTGCCCGATGAGTCGAAGTTTAAATCGTCCTGGGAAGAGCAGGGCGAACAAGGCGAGAATAAAAATTGACGATCGATAGATCGAGACTCAATCCACGTATTATGATGACTTCACAGTTGCCAACAAAACAACGACAAAAAAAAGTTAATGGCATATAGAATTTCGGGTCATAAAGGTAGATAGATATATTTATATGCATGTTTCTTTCACATGTACACCGTATAATGTACATCTAATATATATAGGTAATATGTAGTATCTATCCCCTATATATCGATATATCGACAAATCTAGACCCGGGAATTCCCAAGGTTGGTGTGACCAAACTACGCCGGTCGTCTGAGCTTTCCCTTTAGATATATCTGATTAGTTGTTGACCTAAAGGTGTCTCATTACGCCTTCTCTTTTTTCTCTTTTTTCTTTTTCCCCATTCCGCGGCACTTTCAAAGGGGCGAAGTTTGATTTGGCCACTCGATCTATGAATATCTCTCCATGTGTTTCGTGTCCCACCTCCCGATCCCCCGGTTTGAGGTGAGACAATCAAAATCGCATTCTTGCTTTATAGTTGGTCCTTAATCCTTAACCCTATTACCCTTGTAAAGGGTACTTTGTTTCTTTTTTGGACACGTTCCCGGAGAAATAAGATATACTCGAGATCCAAATCTGATCTCTCTCATGTGTTGTTCTTCTAGACCGCTCTTAACATGTGTTTCGGCCCGATGGCTGTAATCCGGATATTGAAAAATGGGGGGTGAACAATCAAAATGTTTGAGATAGAACTTTTTGAATCTGTTCATAGGGGTAGATAATGGCGTGAAGAAGGTAAATGTAAATCGTTAAGGTACATTTGTGAGGCATAGGTACATATGTACATCTGTACGGAGTACTCCGTACTCTGTAGGCAAATAACAAGGTTAGTTGGGTGCCTTAGGGATCCGATATCCCTTCACCGCTTGCGCCCTTGACGATCTCCAACTCTCCGCTTCTTTACATCTAATTAGGTCACTGGTCGTGTGCCAGAATGGAGAGACTGTAAATGATGTCGGACCTCTCAGGTTCGCGCTCTTCGGTCCCCCCTCCACCTTCATCACAGAAATACTCGAACCGCGCCGCCAATGCCTTAGCCAGATTTGCCCAACCTTTCTTTTCGGGCTCAAGGCCACCCAGCCCTCAAAGCAGTCGTGTGGATGGGCCCCGGTCGATTAGGTCTAAATCGCTGTAAGTGTTGCAGCTCTCACCGCTATGCTTCTTCCATGGTCCCCCCCCTACCTTGTTTTATTTTGTTATCTTTGGGACTTGATGCAATGGCCACCCCCGCGATTTATGTGATCGGGGCTAGTGTGATCGGGGAACGGCATCAAGTTCAACCAATTGGAAATTCTGGTTTCTAATGATATTTGTATGTAAAGCCCAGGGGAACCGCAGACCGTCACCCATAAAACAGGCATCGCTATCTCGGCCTTGGACATCTCGCCCGACCGGACACATGCTGTTATCGGAGGCAAGGAGATCCTCAAAACCATTCGGGTCTCGCCAGATCACTCCTCGGAGGAATATAATATTAGAAATGCTGTCGTCAGCTATGCTTCTACCCACCATAATACGGGCGTCTCCATGCCACACAAGGACCAATTGAATGTGAACGATGTCAAATGGTCACATGGCAATTATGATCGGATAATCGCAACTGCAGTCGCTAATGGTCGGATTGTCGTCTACGACCTACAGCGGCCCGGCCTCCAATTATGTCGTTTCCAAGGGCATAATCGCCAGGTTCACAAGCTTGCTTTCAACCCCCATCTTCCTTCTTGGCTCTTGTCTGGTAGCCAAGATGGCACAATTCGAATGTGGGATCTGCGATCCGCTTCTGCGAATCGGGGCACTTCCACATGCGGCAGCAAGCATTCGTACCAGGGCAATAGTGATTCCATCCGGGACGTCCGGTGGTCTCCCACCGATGGTGTCGTTTTTGCGACCGCTTCGGACAGCGGCGCTATTCAGATGTGGGATTACCGAAAGGTCAACGCCCCTCTGATGAGAATTGCTGCGCATGATCGCCCATGTTTCGCAGTCGACTGGCACCCGGACGGGAAGCATATCGTCAGCGGTGGCACGGATCGCCAAGTAAAGGTCTGGGATTTTTCGTCGTCTGCAGAGCGACGGCAGAAACCTGCGTTTCAGTTCCGAACCCCCCAGGCGGTCACTAATGTACGATGGCGACCTCCGTCTTGGGTTGGCGAGTCACCTGCTTCTGGAGAATGGCAATCATCACAGGTTGTCACCTCTTACGATAAGGAAGATCCACGCATCCATCTTTGGGATCTCCGTCGCCCATACGTTCCATTTCGTGAGTTTGATCGGTACGACACCCCCTCGTCCGATCTCCTCTGGCGCTCCAAGGACCTGCTATGGACAGTCGGTGAAGCCGGGGCCTTCACGCAAACCGATGTTCGGTATGCGCCAACGGTGGTTACTCGCCGACCGATGTGCTCGGTGGCCTGGAGCCCCAATGGCGAATTCGCTGCGTTCGGTCAACAAAGACCTAAGCGACGTGCCCGGGGAGTCAATGCCGCTGAGTTCCTCCTTACCGAACTTACCGAAGAAGGCGAGAACAGCAACGGGGAGCAATCATTGAGTCAAAGCCCCGCAGATGATATTCTTGATGAAGCTGTTTTGGCTACTTCCTTTCGGCAAATAAATCCCAAGTCGGCTGCGATTCGGCCTTCCAAATCACTGGGCAGCACTCCTCCCGGAGCGGTAGACTTCATTCCGGTGCTTCCTCTTGACCAAGGCTTGGCCAAGATTATGACCCCGGGGCCCTGTCAGGTTGGGACCATTGCCAGTATCCCGGGTGCTACCAATGACCCATCGGTCTTTCGGTATTTAGCGAGCCACTACACACCATTGATGGACGAGCACCGTGAATCGAGAACGCAGGCCGATGTTCTCAATTCTTTGTTAGAGTCACTAGATCACAATGCCGGATGTGCAGACGAGGTTTCTCTAGATAAGTTGGCTCAGACCTGGAGAATTGTTAAGTTCGCAATTCTTCAAGAACTCCAACAAAGAACAAGGGACCACCCAAAAAGTGGTTTAAGAAATAAAGCATCCAAGGATGGATCCTTGACAGACAGATCACGACTCGAGGATGGTCGACACGACCGGGTCAAAAGTCGGTTGTTCAAAGGAGTCATGGAGGCGGTCCCAGAAGCCGAGAGCACATCCAACATGCCCACACCACTTGCACAACCCTTGCCAGATTCCCCAATGGACTCATGGTCTAGTAGCTCTGATTCTCAAATTCCTTCCCAGCTCCCCTCGCTGAGCGATGGCGCGATCGACATTGAGCCTCTCCCACCGTCGGTCTTGAGCGATCATAATGGCTGGGGCTCTGGTCCTGATACCCGTCGTATACCCTTATTGCGTGGGCGGCTATCATCAATGGATGATGCGCATCAGTCAGACTACCTAAGAGATCCAACGCAAGATGATCTGGACAACCCTCAAAGGTCTGCCCCGCGAGCGATTGCTGGAAAAGCAGATTGGCGCCGCCATGGACATCCTGACTTTGCCCGAGAGAACTCTGAAGACGATTATGATCAAAAGTTGGAGGATAAGCGCGCAGCAATTCGTGATTATAAGCAATACCCCAAAAAGGTTCTGACTCTTGAATCACCAATGGAGTCCAACCGACCTCCACCCGCCGACCGCTATGGTCGTCGTGACTCTTCAGAAAGCTTTCCCATGTTCTCTACATCCACTGACAGCTCTCATCCTTCCAAGTCTGTGGGTGCATCATATTCGTCCACTGGCCAGCTTGAGGCATCTAAATTCCAGGATGCTGGACAATCTACCACTCGACCCACCACTTCATTGCGAAGGGAATCGAATTTGGCACCTACACGTGAGGAACCCGAAGAAGAGGTGCTTGTTGATCTCTCATCAGAGACGGACCGGCTTCATTTAGAACGCCCATCCAGCCCTCCTCCTTTGATCAAGGAATCATCGCCACTCGAAGAGCAGGAAGAAATGTTCGCGCCAGGCGATACACCTTACATGGGTACCAGACCTTACCCTCCAATCGACAGTGTCTCACGAGTTCAAATACCACTTTCGCCGCATGGCACAGATTTGAAGCCGTGGGGCATTGAGGCGATTCTTAAAGAAGCAGTTCGATATTACCACAGCAGCAGTAGCTCTGTCGACATCCAAACTGCAGCTCATCTTCTCCACAAACTTCACGTACTTTTCCGCGAGTGCGAAGAAATCCTCCCTTATGAAGAGTGTGAAATGGTCTTCAAGACCTACAATGAGCACCTCATTCGCCACTCAATGGACCTAGAAGCAGCAGAACTCCGCCTGTCTTGTGTATCAACCTACCCAGCCGTCTATGACTACGCCCAGAGCGACACCTTCATCAATGTCTACTGCTACTCCTGTCAACGGCCATTCGAAAATCCCACACAGGACAACACTCGCTGCCATCGCTGCAGCACTCCCCAAGCGCCATGCTCCATTTGTATGTGTCTTGATCCACCCTCAGAATGGGTACAGCAAAAGCCACATATCACATTATCTACCCTTACCAGTCCCGACTCAGGCACCGATGGCGACTCATCCATATCAGCCCAGTCCTCAGTCTCCACTGAGCCAGTCCCAGCATCAGAGATTGACTTCAACCCCTTCACCGCACCTCGACCCCAAGGCTCCGCCCTCTGGACCTGGTGCCAGGGCTGCGGCCACGGTGGCCATCTAGCCTGCATCACAACCTGGTTAGGCGACATCTCAACTAGCGAAGGCGGGTGTGCAACAGCCGGCTGCTCACATGATTGTGGGCCCGGTCCACGTCGCGAACACAACCGCCAAGCCCTGCAATCCGAATCCAGGCGTCGTGACTCCTCAAGTCGCTCTGCCGGCGCCGGCTTGGTCAAACGTGACCCGTGGACAAAAGGCGAAAGCAAGGCCGTCGAGAAGGTCCGCGGCATGCTCGGTGTAGCCGGTGTTGCCGCTGCTTCCGGTGGTAGTGGTGCTGGCCCAATCACTTCGACTCATAATACGTCCTCCCCGGCACCCGTTTCACCGGGCGCTATGTCGCCCAAGCGTGTGCGGCTGGTTACCCCCAATGAGCAGGAAGAAGAAAACGATGCTTCTGTGAGACTGGCTGCTCCTTGAGTTGGATTGTGGCTTTGATTCACGTCCCGGCCACTGCGTCCGTGCGTGGGCCTTTTAACATTTTTAATATGGTTTCCACCTTTTCTTTGCCTTTTTTTTGTTCTATTTGATTCCCCAATCGCGATACCTTCAATGAACCCCGCTTTGATCAGATGGGACACGATTCCTCGTAGTAAACCTAAAACTCTTATAGCTACAGTAGAAGACGTGTCGCTTGAAACAAACACGCCGTAGTGTTTCACATCGAACTCATGCCAAAAAACAATATATTCTGATTTCCCATCACACATTCTAAAATCTCCTCTTCTTCTTCGCAGGCGCTTTACTTTTAGCCTCAAGCGCCCTCTTCAGTTCCTCGCGCCTCCGATCAGCGCGCTGGTCTTCGGTCTCCGGCTCTGCAGGTGGCTCGGGGTCAGATTTCCCCATTGCTGGTGGTGCAGGTAAAGGAGATTCTTTCTTTTTAGCAATTTGCTTTGTAGTGTCCTGCGTGTGCTTTGGTTTGGCAGGAGACTCTTGATCGGGAGACGCAGCCTTAGTCTCCGATATAGGGACAGAACCGTCATCTACGATAGGATCTTTGGCTTTGGCTTTGGATATTCCACCTATCATGCCAAGCTTGCCGAGCCGCTTAGACTTGATTGCTGCCGGTGGTGCCGGGGATGGCGGAGGAGGAGAATCATTGGGGGGGCCCTCTTTTTCTGATGATTTTGGAGGATGCTGGGGCTTTAGCGAACTTGGGCCTTGCATGGGAGAAGGCTCTTTTTCTTTCTTTTTCTTGCCACCAATGGTACCCAGTCCGCCCTTTGGTCTTTTAGGTCCCTTCTGAGGCTGTGGGACAGGAGGCTCTGGGGTTTTTGATCTAGTTGGGGTGCGGTTCCGGGGCAGTTTTTGCTCTGGCTCTGGCTCTGAATCCGATGCGGTGGCTTCGTCATCCGACTTCGATGGCAGTGGCAGCGGAGAATGGCTTTTCGTTTCGGCTGTTCGCCTAGGGGGTGTCTTGCTTTTCACAGGCTCCGACTTCAGTCGCGGAGGTGTTTCTTGTCGCTAGTTGGACCGGTCAGTCGAACCATGAGATAGATATACTTGGAGATGTTGCTCGCAGCGTACCTGAAATTCATCATTATCACCATCATCATTATTATCGTGAATTGCCGTTGATTCTTCTTCGGGCTTAGTATGTTTCAGCAGAGCTATGTCATCATGCTTGTTGTCAAATTTGGGGGTTTCCTCTCTGGCCGAGGAAGATTCTTTAGCACTGCTTTCAGGGCGTTTTGTAAGATCACGCCACCATTCATCTCTTGGCTGGATGAAAGAGAAGTCATGGAAGTCCCCAGAACCTGAAATCTCCTGGAGTAGGTGGGTGGCTAACCCTGCTCCGGATGATTCTGTCTCGGCGAGCCAGGCTTCTTCCTCGAATGGCTCAATGCCTTTGATGAACCTGGCAGCCTCGGACCGAGTGATAGATTTGTGAGACTTGCGCGATCCTGCAGCGCTAGGAAAGACAGACCCAAGATCAACTCCAATATTCTCGATCTTGTCAAACAACTTGTTGAGCACATAGTCTTTCTGTTTTAATTGACGTAAGAGGGAACGCTGGCGGTCCTCCCGATTAGTCTCCTCTTTGAGAAGTGGAAATAGTATTTTGCTTGTCAAGTACGACGATGGCTCCCTTGACAACTTCAGAATCCATCGCAGGGGTTTTAATGGTGCGGGCAGTTTGGTGGTTGTTGTGATTTCAAGTGAATCGGCTTGTGCTCCTCTGCTAAGGTTGACGCTATCTTTGCCCTTTTTCAGAGCTTCTCCGATCTTTTCTAGGAGCACATTAAGTTGCTCTGGATCCTCTTCGGGGTCAATGGTTGTGGCATTCTCCTCTGCTCGCTTGGTAATTTGCCGTTGAGGCAGCCGTTCCGACCAGATATAGGTGAGGTCTGTTATGTAGATTTCATAGTCTTGTCTAGTCCACGTATATTGAAAGAGCAAAGGGGGCAGACTCTGATCGGATAGATGGAGCCTGTGCCATTTGGAAGACATGACTTGTGAGGGTTGTATTTAGAACAAGAAGTGAAGTTGTCTCATATAGCTGCCTGAGCCGCAAGGGAAGGTTTGCCGCCGCTTAACTTTCCGCCTATCTCCCGAACCTCTGACCTTCGCTCGTTTCAACAAAATTACGTATCGAGTTTATCTTTACGTTAACTCTTATCGCAACTTGTATTCTTTAAACCTTTTACGATGTCTGCGCGACTCCCAGATCGTTCAGATTCAAAGCGAGACCGGTCGCGATCACCACCGTGGCGTGAGCAGAAACAGCCCCGTCGGGACGACAGAGAATGGCGCGACCGAGCAGACTCGGATCGCAGACGTGATAATAATAGGTCTGGTCCGCCGCAGTCTCGCAATATGCGCGACCAAGTGCGACTCAACATGCTCCAGGAAGACCAGCAAGAGCGTGAATGGGTCGCGCAGGAGGATATCTTCGTGTTGAAGCAAGCTAAAAAGAAGGCCGAGATTCGAGTCAAAGAAGGGCGCGCAAAGCCCATCGATTGGCTGACAGTCACTCTCCGTGTCATAGATCCTACTCGTGACCCTTTGGATGATGAAATCGCAGATGGCGATTTGGACATCGTGAACCCGGACGGTGTGTTTGAGGGACTGTCGCAGGCCCAGTTGCAGGATTTGGAGAAGGATATAGATACGTTTGTGAACCTCGAAACAAATGCGCAGAACCGTGACTTCTGGCAGGTATGGTTTCCCCCTCCCACTTCTGGGTCCCGGAGCTTTGCTGATTATCATTCATATTGCAGACCATGAAAGTTATTTGCCGAGATCGTCAGAAGACTGCTACGCCCGAAGGTCGTTATTTAAGCTCTGTGGCTGCCGATATCAACAAACTTTTAAGGCCAAAGTCTTACGAGCAACTCCAGAATCTCGAAACACAAGTGAAGCGAAAGTTGAACTCGAACGAGCCGATCGATACGGACTACTGGGAAGAGTTATTGCGCAGTCTGACTGTCTGGAAAGCCAGGGCAAGACTGAGAAATGTGTACCAATCCATCATTGATGAGCGTGTTCGTGACTTGAGGAAACAGCAAAAAGAGGAGGCTGAATCAATCCGGGCGAAACTGGCGCCTCTTGCTGCAGCCATCACCGCGGAGAATACAGCAAATACTGTGGAATTCGAAGGCCTGGACCCAGAACCATTACTAAAAGTTCGCCCGGAGGACAAGGTGTTGGAAATCATGGACGAGTCAGCACTCCTTGACCAAGTGGTATGTCCTAAGTTCCTGCTAGTAATACACAGGTCGAAATTTAACCGATTTTACAGGCTCGTGAACGCCAGAAAATTATCCGTATGGGCTTTGTCCCACTGCGACAAAGACCAACGGAAAAATCCTCCGTGGTTGTATCAAATCCTACATCTACAAATGCTCCAGCTGCCTCTACATCCACTCGGTTTTCTTCAATCCCGAACGAAGACTTTTCACAAGCGACCAAAGCGCTCTATGAGAGAGAGCTCGCCAAGGGTGTCAGCGAGAACGAGGAAATCTTTACTGGCGAAGAGGCCGTTAACACAGGCTCGCAACCTCAATGGGCTGGCAAGCATCGGCCTAGAAAACCACGGTACTTCAATCGAGTTCAAATGGGTTACGAATGGAACAAATACAACCAAACCCATTACGACCATGATAATCCGCCACCTAAGGTTGTACAAGGTTACAAATTCAACATCTTTTACCCCGACTTGATCGACAAAACGAAAGCTCCGACGTACCGAATCGAACGTGAGAATGGTCGCAAGAGGGGTGAATCCTCTGCCGAGGCGGGTGAAGAAGACACATGTCTCATTCGTTTTATGGCTGGACCACCGTACGAAGACCTCGCCTTTCGAATTGTCGACAAAGAATGGGATTATAGTGCAAAACGAGAGAGGGGCTTCAAGAGTACATTTGACAAGGTATGTTGTGTTACTAAATGTTCCATGCTCTACGTTCCTCGACTGACTCAACTCTTTCCTTTCAGGGAATTCTCCAACTTCATTTCCAATTCAAAAGGGTAAGTCGCTCTCCGTGTTTTTCATTTATATGAATCTACAGGTATACTAATGGATTGTCTTAGATCTATTATCGGAAGTAACACCAACGATTCCCACATGGGCGTCATATGTCAGAAGGGAGAAAGATAGTGGATTGCTGTGTTTATGCGGGGAGATTTCGGGGTGTATTTTCCAATTAGTTGATATCCAGTTAATACAGCCAACCCTAGATTGATTGGGCTGGAAACATTTCCCCCATTCAAAGTTTCAACGATCGAAGTAAGCCAGACTTGATATGTTTTTAAGGTAGATCTATAAAAAAGATATCAATTGCTTGATTAGACGTCTGGATATCTCCATCTATACCATATTTTTGCCACTTTTTGGGGTGAAATAATTGGAACTCTCTGTACTTGTCATGGCCATGACTAGCGCACATATATGGGGGTTTTCTTTTTTCTTCATTTCTATTTCTTTTAATTTTTTACCGTACCTATGTATCGCTTTACAGGGTTCAGGAAAGGAAATGGACGTTAGAGCCCTTTTTGGTGACACTAAACTGCACTGCACATTCCTGCACACATTCAAGGACGACTTCCGGCTGGCTGGATACAGGCTCCACGAGAAAGAAGAAGAAAAAAAAAGGAACATCTAACTAGACATAACCCAGAGAAGCGGGGACATTTTCTACGGCGCTACAAAAGAAAATACCTCGCGGCTAGCTTCCAGAAGGTCCGCTCCAAGCTGCGAATGAATGCCGACCAATTATGCAACTTATCTGCAAGTGTCCATGGCCTTTTGGCTATTCCGTTCAGCTAGGAGACCTGTCGGTCCCTCATGTCCATTCGTTTTAGTCGGCTGTTGCACACCAAGTTCAGCCACCTTGACCACCCCGGTGAAATCATTGGCCACTGTTTGTATGAATCTCCGTTTCACGACTTAGGCATCTAGGGAGGCGTTTCCCGCAGAGAGTGAAGTTGTTTAGCTGTATCTTTTCCCTTTAAATTTTTTTTTTCATGCAATATTGTATTGTTGAATAAAATATTAAATAAATAAAAAAGCTGAGGACTTCGGGCCAGACCGTCTTTTGTCGGTATGTATCTCTCAAGGCTATTTGCAGCAGAATGAATAGATACCATGTGCCTCATGAGTGTGTTGGCAGGGGAAGATCTTGAATCGTACAGCTCTGACTATTGAAGGGACCTAGTTGGGACCATTTTAGGAATACTTCTACCTCTTTAAGGTCATCCCTACTTTCTCTTTCTTTTTCAATTTGTATTCATAAATCTTTCACTTTTCCTTTATCTCTCTACTTCTTTTACTTCTTCATTTCATCAACCTATCTAGGGATTCAATACTTTTCATCTCTCTGAGGTTTCTCTGAGAAAAGAGAGTCATGGATATCTCAATTCATCCTTCGAATTTCAACTCAGCTCAGATGGCAACTGACCAGCGAGAGGGCGGCCCTGATGACCTCTCAGTACAAACTGTCACTATCACTTCATCTCCAGCTGGTATTTACCAGAACTCGCCTCCGCATTACAACCCCTGCACCCTGGAGAACTGGCCGAGACACATATCCCAACCAGGCTTTATGCCTTCCTTTCAAACTTCTCAATACGCTTACCCTGTCGTTGGTACTGATCCATACAACATGGCCCCGTCACATCAAGATCTTAGCATCGACCAAACCAACTACATCGACGCTTATACCCCATCCCACGTCAACCCAATCATGGATTCCCCAGATATGAGTATGGTAGCGGACGTCAAAGAGCAATTTCTCCATGACGACAACCTAAACTGGAAACCTTCTACTTTCAAGACAGAGGAGTACTATCCTCACCAGGTTCAATATGGTACCCTCCAGCCAATTCAAAATTCCCCACCTTCGCCGCTGTCTACAATCTCATCGTACCCTTCGCCGCAATCATTTGCCGCTGGTAGCCCCGCGCGGACAGGCCGTACGACTGAGCAGAGCGGTGGAGATACCAAAGAAGATCGTGCTGGAAACCCTCCATACTCAATTCTCATCTACCAGGCCTTGAAGAACGCTGAAGGAAACAAGCTCTCCCTTCAAGGCATCTACAGATGGTTCGAGGAGAACACCGAAAAAGCCAGGGACTCGAGTCACAAAGGATGGCAAAACAGCATCCGTCATAACCTCTCGATGAATGCAGTAAGTGATACATGTTTCACGATGGAGTTTCTTGCTGCGTCATTACCACTGCACTTTTTATCATTGTATTGCTCATACACTAACGCTTCATTTAGGGCTTTGAGGCTGTGAAAGAAGATATGGGCCCAGGAAAGAAGACGATTAATTTCTGGAGGTTGACCCCAGATGCTATCAAGGAAGGGACAATTCAATCAACAACCAGATACCGCAGGGGCTCACGAAAAGCAAACGGTCGTGTCTCTCGGCGTGATTCGGGTTCTCGTGAGAGGCACGCCTCCAAGAAGGTGAAAACGTCCAACGCCAGCAAGGATTGCCCGCAGGCCCATATCGAAACCGACTACCTTCCTATGGAGTTCTCATCAATGCCTTACATGCACAATCCAATTCCCTCGGGTCTCCCTAATCTCAACAATACGATGGCTATGCCGCGATTCGGTATGGGCCATGTCACCGGCTGCACATCCCAGTTCCCAGAGAACAACGGAGTCTTCGTTGATGGCGGCCTGGAGCCAGACTTTGCACCACCATTTGCCATGGGCCATAGCTGGTATGCACCGGGTCCACACGATAGGGCCGCCACAGGCTCGAACACTACAGTCGATCTCCATGCTACAATTTGAAAAGAAAACAAACAAAAAAGGGGGTGTGGTATGGAACGAGATTTGGTGACGAAAAAGCCCGCTGGCGCTGACATGCATGAAACCTTTTTTTTTTTTTTTTTTTCTTTCTTTTCCCCATTTTTTCAGATTAGTCTGCTTTTTTTTACCACGTTCTATCAATTTCTAATTTTCTGGCTGAGCCATCTTGGTCAGTGAATACACTAGAAGCCCATGGTACATTGGACTGCATATCAGCTTTTATTCGGATTGGGAATTTGTTTAATGGGAGTTCCGTGGAGTGAGCCTCACAATCTTTTGCCTTCTTTGCCTCGTTTTTCATTGCTTTTTCTCATTGCATTTTTCCTCTTGGTTTCTCAAAGATTTTCCCTATTTCGGTCATTCTGACATTGGCACACGTTCTTGCTTTTTTGTACCATAAATTTTGTGGCGTTTGTGGTTCTTGGATTTTGGCGCCTCCTATCGAGATCTATCAATCAATAAGGCAGATGACGCGGTGCCGATCAGCGTTCTCTGTCGCGTTCGTCAAGCAAAATAATGGATCTTCAATGACCCGCCGGGTGTACGCATTTACGGAATTTAGTTGTGCGTCTCGCTTCTCTTAAGTCCCACCTCGTGTCCATTACCAATAAATGTATGTCATGTTGGGCACGAATGATTGCCAAGAAGTGAGAATGTTCAAAACCGTAGTATCTTGACTCGCAGTTTTTTTGGTAAGATTCGGAGTTAGAGACTGATTTCCCCGTGACAACGTATTGGCCTTGTTCTTGGCTGCAGCATTGACCATATGCTGTATCTCTGGAATGGCTTCATAAATATGCACATAACAGCGGTGTCTCGACTGACAGGCATTACATCAAACTATAATAAAAGGGAAACAAAAAAAAAACGTTGATCTGCAGGATGCTTTGACATATTACTACCTACATGAGCATACACTAGGGTTACATGGACCTCGCAATGGAAGGTATTTCCCGCCCTCTTTTCGTGCTAGGCTTGTCTTTAGTCCATTTTGACACCCGGGTTTCTTGTCACTTCCCTGACAGGCTAGGCGACCACCCCCACCACCCCGCTCTATCACTATGTATCAACTGCTGTAGCCTCCCACCATGCTAGGTCACCCAGGCAGACGGCCTTGGTGACCGTGTACTTGCTTTGTGATCGTCTTCGCCTTTCTGTCTTTCCCCGGTCCCCACCCTCCCCCCCTTGTAAAGGGTCCCAAGAAGAGGGTATGAATCTGACATCTTCCTTGCAACTGGGGATACCAGATCGTTGGGACAGTTTGACTCCTTGTCATTTTATGCATTCTTAGGTGGAAACCACACTGTCCACTCCGTATGCTACAAAAACGGACATCTTGGAACGATATATATACTATAAACATCATAGTAAATGCTAACCTCGGTGCTCGGTTTTCTTTGAATCACGCAACTAATCTCTCACAAACTCCGTTACCCATGCATGAGTCATAATGGCAGTGCGTGTTATATTATTGGCAGACTTGCGTGATCAACATGATTCACAATGGCACCAACGACAGACCGACATTAGCTTAGGGGCTCGCAACCTTCGCCGAATATAGTACAATGACGCCAGAAATAAAACAAGGAATTTTTCTGATGTACCGTAGATCTATAATGATCGATGCCATTTAATAGGTTTACCCATTTAACAGGTTTATTCCGGTGTTGTGACAATCAATAGTTGACAGGTAAACCGTTCCGCTCAAATTTAAGCAGTGATCATACCAGATTCTTCCGATATCCACCTGGGGTCAATGCACCATGGATCCGCGGGTTGTGGGGCTAGTATTGAATACTTGACAGTATGTAAATGTACGCTGTCATACAGGTGACAGCTGCAATGTCATTCACAGCACGGGCGAAAATATTAATCTGGTACTTGCAGTGAGTCTCGGAGACCCTGTCGGACCGTACCAGTATTAGTTGAGGAGTACGTACTCCGTACAATTTGTTGGGCGGAAAATCAATTTCCGGTTTCTCTTGGGATTGGATATTGGGCTTGATAACTGAGTTTGGGGTATATTGCTGTCAATATAACCCTAACAAGTATACAAAGACCTTGGAAATGGGGGCTATAGTACGTAATGAACTTGACTGATACGGCGTATATATCTTTGATTTCGTTAATACCTGTATGGATCCTCTCTGTTCTAGATTGAGTATTGGTTCCTCGTGACCTTCGGTAGTGTTATGCACCTACATCCGGTCCGTGGTTGATCCTATACTGTAGTGACAGTGCTAACTTCTTTTGTCCAGTATAGCGGAGCTTGATGGCGTATCTTATCTCTGTACGCTAGTCATTGATGCTCAACTGTTCGATAGATCGATTAGAGGAAAAGATCGAGGTCTCTTCGTGATTGTGACGATGCACCTTAGAAGTGGTATCCTCAAATCCAATAGTACTTTTTTCTTATTCTTTTTTACTACCTCGTGTTCAATTTGGCCCTTATTCCGACATGCATAATTAGACATCATTCGTTGGGGAAGATCTTCGCTCTCCGCTGCATTTCAGAGGGGTTATATTAGTCTTCGGTATCTCATCAATGCAGGACAAAAACATCCCGGCACCAATAGTCTTGACTTCCCAAACGAGCGCCATCATACATCGCCCCACCTTAGACCCCAAAAGTCCATATTTCTTGTCTAAATCTATTCTAGCCTGGTTTATCCCAGATCCGATCCATTCGATCTATCCATTTTTTGAATGCCCAAGAAAGGGAATTGGAAAAAAGAAAAAGGGGTAGATCCTCTCAAATTTCGATCTGCATGACACCGCGGGTACGAGAAAAGCCCGTGTACTTGATGCCTGTCATTTTTTTACATGATCTGGAGCCGATAGGCTGCCCACCTGTAGGGAGCCGGGTATCCGGACGTATAAGCTCCGGGATCTTTGCTTTTTCTCCTCAAGGTATTGAAAAGCTGATGGGTGTAACATAACAAATTCAATTGTATTGTTGTATTTTGGGGTTATGTCTCTTGCTTTGTAAAGACCGCACGAACCTCGCCGTTAGGTGTTTGTGGGATGGAACGGGCCGGTTAGACAGCTGTCGACTTTTGCATAGTCTGTGCCTATCACACTTGGTAGGTACTCAGCCCTCGGAGATGTTAGCGCCGGGGAGCAAATACCCTACAGGACCATCGGGTGACCGCTTCTTGTATATTGTGTGTGTCGTAGGTAGATCTCATTGTGCGATCCCGCATCCCCGGCTTCATGGTGGGGGTAACGGCGAAATTGCGCGCCTTTGCTTTTCACTGTGGACAACAAGTGGATAGACGCCATGATTGCTATTGGTCTAATAGAACCCGAGGGTTTGGACAAATTGCAGCGGAGGTTCATTGGTTGCCACGTAGCATACCTGAGGTATACTACATGGGTACTTATGTATGCGCTAGGTACATGAAAACGATGGAAATAGAAGGATTGATCTTTACTGGTACTTATCCAGTTCCAACTATTTTGGTGTATTCTTTAAATCGAGATCGAGTTAGTGTAGACCAAGGAATACGGGGGATATTCTCTTTTTGGAAGGTCGGATTGTCGCGCTCGTGTTGTCTGTTCATTCGTTCGATGGTTGAAATGAATGCTGCGGTTGTTTTCTTGAACCTAGAAAGCTATTATTGACATGTGGTACACTCAGAATGACTGACATGATCATGAGTCGGTCCTTTATTTGGTCTATCTTCAACCAATCCCATCTGTGGTCTCATGCAAGGCAAAGCGCGAAGACCTGCAGGCATACTACATAATAGATATACTCTGGCCGGAAAAGGTGGCTCAAGGATTGATTCACAGCCGAGGAACATTATGCCGAGATATTAATTGTTTGGAGATCGATTTCCGATACGATGCCGCACAAAAGTGTTCTGTGCGGCTCTTGCACGTTAAATATGTCATGACCACAACAGCACATTATGTCTATTCTCACATTCCATTTCAAAGTACCGTACCAGCTTTGGTGTTATATAATTTGGAACACTCCATGACAACCGGGTGGAATTATTCGAAGTGAAGGCCTTGAAAGTATCCTAATCCTGACAACAAGCGGTGTCTCTAAACCCTAAGCCCGACTGCATAGCTGGTCGAAATCCCAATTTACTAAGACCCAATCTCCTCGGACAACAATTCCACACAATAGCATACATAGCCTACAGGGCTTGTTAATAATATAGAGTGGTATACCTCCGCCCCCATTCTCCTATTGTAGCTGTGGCCCGAGGCTTTTTAGCAATATGCAGCCACAGGGGTCAAACTTACTGCTGCGCTGTGCTGGTCGATCCTCGACCTGGTCTTTGAACAAGGAATACCTAAAAGCTCGCGTCATAGGAGGCTCTAGAATATGTATCATTGGCCTTTGATGACGTGAATTAGCCATCACCTGGCCATGGTTGCGGTGAAGATATTTACAGTAAATTGGAGGCCTAGTTTAATTGGGCCCCCATGTGCGCTTTGAATCCCACGGCAACAATGAACACTAACACGTATTTATGGCTAGAACATATGTCCGAAAAGTGGCGGGTTACCTAGTTGCATTTGACAGGCATTACCAATGCAAAGAGCGTCATTGTTCTACCCGGCGATTACCTCGTGTTTGAGGCCGACAGCGTCCTATAGTTGCATGCCACGACAAGGGCGATCTCAACGAACCGAGAAGTATGACCCAACCTGATGAAATCTAGACTTATCGAATGCGCAATGATACCAACCCGGAGAGAAAGCGAGATAATTGACCGCTACGATACTTTCCTGGCAGTGAGCAAGAGGCTTTGCCTGGAACTCAAGACATCATGATAATTGTTTCAGACAACTCGATTCGACATATCACGGAATTTTTCATGAAGGTAAATGAAATTGATTCATTTGCTTAGCCACGAGCCCCTTTTTTGGACTCGCATGCTAGCTGTTCGTGTTCATCTTTAAGATTCTAAGAGAACCATTCCCAGCGTTTTTCCCGTAACATTCGCTCCACCGAAAAAGAACAACACCGACAAAATGCACGCTTAGCGCTTGCCGGCCTTCTGCTGGGACTCCTTGAGGACCTTCTTGACGATCTTCTGCTCCTCAATCAGGAAGGCACGGACAATGCGGTCCTTGACGCAGCCAGCGCAGCGAGAGCCACCGTAGGCACGGCTGACATTCTTCTTGGGGCGGGAGATCTGGGCGTACTCGCGGGGGCGGAGAGCGGGAACCTATAGGATTAAAATATGTCAGTCGGTCTGACTCCTAAAATTCGACGAGACAGTCGTGAATGATGTGCGGCGGTCCGGTCGGGCTTTCGTTGTTACTTCTGTCCGTCGAGGCAGAGTTTTCATTTTTTTCCGAGTTGGTTGGTTGGCCCAGCCGTAATCGCACACATCCCACACAACCGTTCAAAAATCCATTCGAGACGCAGAGGGATCACTCACACCGGGGAGCTTGATGCCACAGTCACCGCACTTGGGAGCAGTACCCTTCTTCTTCAGGTGAAGGTAACGGAGCTCACCACCAGGGGTCTTGATGATGCGAACCTTGTTGGACCGCGTGTTGTACCTATTGAGCGCAAGAGAAACCGTCAATATTTCGTTCGAAAAGCAGATAGCCATTCCATCACTAGTATCATCGCATAGACAATCGTAGGGTGCGTTGGACTGGTATTCGGGACAAGGGAATTTTTTTTCAAACGTACGGGTTCCGGCGGCGCTGAAGAATCAAGAGCAGTCAGAACAAAAATCACCCAGATAGATTTTCTGTATAGAACTCACGTATTGCAGTCTGTTGTTGGTCATTTTGACTGTACTTGAACTGGTCAAGGGCGGCAGTTGTCGGAGTTGTCGTGAAGCAAAGTGAAATATGTCGAGATGGGTTTGTGTGGGTTTCTGCTTCAGCCGACGCTAGCGCACTTTTGGCGAGGTTGCGCTAATCCCAATTTGGACTAGTACCAATCGGAGCCGCCACCTCAAAGTTCAACGGGAGAAAGGAGCAGAGATAGTCTCATCGCGTTAGGGGATCGTGGATCTCTATCTTTGTCGCGTTTGTCATCTTAATCTTTCATTTCTTCATCATATTCGATCTTTGCCCTCAGTTGGACCTACTTTTCCAGCTGATACTTTTCCCTACACATGATCTCCGACGTGGCTTGACGCGACTCTTACATCAACGCAACTTATAAAGAGTGAGGGTGGGCTTTCCCCCATCAATTACCATCATGGCTTCATTACCTCCTCCCCCTCCACCTGGATGGGGTGCAGCTCCTTCAATGCCGCTGGCGCCGCCCCCACCAGGCTACCAACCACCCGCCGACCCGAACGTCGCAAAATTTGCACAGAAGAAGAATGAATGGCTGCGCACGCAACGCAATCGATTCGGCGAGAAGCGCAAAGGGGGATTTGTCGAAACACAAAAGGCGGACATGCCCCCAGAGCATTTGCGAAAAATTGTACGAGATATTGGCGATGTCTCGCAGAAGAAATTCACGAATGAGAAGCGTAGCTACCTCGGCGCGCTCAAGTTTATGCCCCATGCCGTCCTCAAGCTCCTGGAAAACATGCCAATGCCCTGGGAGTCAGCAAGGGAAGTTAAGGTGCTGTATCACGTTAACGGTTGCTTGACCTTGGTTAATGAGACACCCCGTGTCATCGAGCCTGTCTTCCATGCCCAGTGGGCAACAATGTGGATGTGCATGCGTCGCGAGAAGAGTGACCGCAGACATTTTAAGCGTATGCGCTTCCCTCCATTCGACGACGAAGAACCACCTCTTTCCTGGTCGGAGAACATCGAAGACGTTGAGCCATTGGAGCCCATTCAGATGGAACTGGACGAGGCGGAAGATGCAGCTGTATACGAATGGTTCTACGACCATCGCCCCCTCCTTGATACCCCACACGTCAACGGCCCAAGTTACAAGAACTGGAACTTGTCTCTTCCTCAGATGGCTACTCTCCATCGTCTCAGCCATCAAATTCTGAGCGATGTTGTCGACCAAAACTACTACCACATGTTCGACCTGAACAGCTTCTTCACCGCCAAAGCTTTGAACGTCGCCATCCCCGGTGGTCCTCGTTTCGAGCCTTTGTACAAGGACATCGACCCTAACGACGAAGATTTCAGCGAGTTCAACGCCATTGATCGTATCATTTTCCGTGCTCCCATCCGAACCGAATATCGGGTTACCTTCCCATTCTTGTACAACACTCTCCCCCGCAGTGTCAAGGTCGCTTGGTACTCTCATCCCCAGGTGGTCTATGTCCGTACTGAGGATCCCAACTTGCCCGCCTTTTACTTCGACCCCGTCATCAATCCCATCTCGTCCCGCTCCGTCGCCCCGAAAAACATTACAGTCAGCCATGAAGATGAAATATTCGGGCCTGGCAGCAACGAAGATGACGAATTCGAGCTTCCTGGTGAAGTTGAGCCTTTCTTTGAGGACGAAGAACTCTACACATCCGACACGGCTTCCGCGATAGCCCTGTGGTGGGCTCCTCACCCCTTCGATAAAAGATCTGGCAAGATGGTTCGTGCACAGGATGTTCCGTTGGTCAAGCAATGGTACTTGGAGCACTGCCCGCAAGGCCAGCCGGTCAAGGTCCGAGTCTCATACCAGAAATTGCTCAAGACGTATGTTCTCAACGAGTTGCACAAGAGCACACCCAAGGCTCAGAGCAAACAGAATCTCATGAAGACTCTCAAAACGACCAAGTTCTTCCAGCAAACTACCATCGACTGGGTTGAGGCTGGTTTGCAAGTTTGTCGCCAGGGCTTCAACATGCTCAACCTGCTGATTCACCGCAAGAACTTGACTTATCTCCACCTTGACTACAACTTCAACCTGAAGCCCGTCAAGACATTGACCACCAAGGAGCGAAAGAAATCTCGCTTCGGAAATGCTTTCCACTTGATGCGAGAAATCCTTCGCTTGACCAAGCTCATTGTGGATGCCCAAGTTCAATACCGTTTGGGCAACATTGATGCCTTCCAACTAGCGGATGGTATCCTGTACGCGTTCAACCACGTGGGTCAGCTTACTGGTATGTACCGTTACAAGTACAAGCTTATGCACCAGATCCGTTCCTGCAAGGACCTGAAGCATTTGATATACTATCGATTTAACTCTGGTCCTGTTGGTAAAGGACCTGGTTGTGGTTTCTGGGCCCCGGCTTGGCGTGTGTGGCTCTTCTTTATGCGTGGTATTATTCCCCTGCTTGAACGTTGGCTTGGAAACTTGCTTTCTCGTCAATTTGAGGGTCGTCACAGCAAGGGTGTGGCCAAGACTGTTACCAAGCAACGTGTGGAGTCCCACTTCGATCTTGAGTTGCGTGCCTCCGTCATGTCTGACTTGATGGACATGATGCCCGAGGGTATCAAGCAGAACAAGGTCAACGTTGTTTTACAGCACTTGTCAGAGGCCTGGAGATGCTGGAAGAGTAACATCCCCTGGAAGGTTCCCGGCCTGCCCGCCCCTATCGAAAATATCATCCTTCGCTACGTCAAGAGCAAGGCCGATTGGTGGATCTCTGTCGCACACTACAACCGAGAGAGAATCCGTCGCGGCGCTACTGTTGACAAGACCGTCGCAAAGAAGAACTTGGGTCGACTCACCCGTCTCTGGCTCAAGTCTGAGCAAGAGCGCCAGCACAACTATCTGAAGGATGGCCCCTATGTTTCTTCAGAGGAGGCTGTTGCGATCTACACCACCATGGTCCATTGGCTCGAGTCTCGCAAGTTCTCTCCAATCCCCTTCCCCAGTGTTTCCTACAAGCACGATACCAAGATTCTGATTCTTGCGCTCGAGCGGTTGCGCGAATCCTATTCCGTCAAAGGAAGACTGAACCAGAGTCAACGTGAGGAATTGGCTCTCATTGAACAGGCTTACGATTCCCCTGGTACAACACTCGCACGAATCAAGCGATTCCTCCTCACACAGAGAGCCTTCAAGGAAGTCAAGATTGACATGAATGATAACTACAATAATATCAACCCTGTTTACGATATCGAGCCCATTGAGAAGATCACCGATGCTTACCTGGATCAGTACCTCTGGTACCAAGCCGAGCAGCGCCATCTCTTCCCCGCTTGGATCAAGCCCTCCGACTCCGAAGTTCCTCCTCTCCTTACTTACAAGTGGACCCAGGGTATCAACAACCTGTCCAACGTGTGGGAGACTGCCGAGGGCGAAACTAACGTGATGATCGAGACTGAATTGTCTAAGGTCTATGAGAAGATTGATCTCACACTTCTCAACCGACTGCTTCGTTTGATTATGGACCACAACTTGGCTGACTACATCACTTCGAAGAACAATGTTCAGCTCAGCTACAAGGATATGAATCACACCAACAGCTATGGTCTGATTCGTGGTCTCCAATTCTCTGGCTTCGTCTTCCAGTACTACGGCTTGATGATCGATCTCCTGCTCCTTGGCCTGCAGAGAGCCAGTGAAATGGCCGGTCCTCCCGGAAGTCCCAACGATTTCTTGCAGTTCAGAGATCGTGCTACAGAGACAAGACACCCCATTCGTCTCTACACTCGTTACGTCGACAAGATCTGGGTCTTCTTCCGATTCCAGGCGGACGACTCGCGTGACTTGATTCAGCGTTTTTTGACTGAGAATCCTGACCCCAACTTCGAGAATGTGATTGGTTACAAGAACAAGAAGTGCTGGCCTCGCGATTGTCGCATGCGCTTGATGCGTCACGATGTTAATCTTGGCCGTGCCGTCTTCTGGGATATGAAGAACCGTCTGCCAAGATCAATCACCACCATCGATTGGGACGATACTTTCGCCAGCGTTTACAGCAAAGACAACCCGAACCTTTTGTTCTCAATGAACGGTTTCGAAGTCCGAATTCTTCCAAAGATCCGGAATATGAACGAGGAATTTTCAGTCAAGGATAGTGTCTGGTCTTTGGTAGACAACTCTACCAAGGAACGTACGGCACATGCGTTCCTCCAGGTCACCCAAGAGGATGTTCAAAAGTTCAACAACCGTATCCGACAAATTCTCATGTCTTCCGGTTCGACGACTTTCACCAAGATTGCTAACAAGTGGAACACTGCTCTGATTGCTCTCTTTACCTACTACCGTGAAGCTGCTGTCTCTACTGTTAACCTCCTCGACACTATTGTCAAATGTGAGACAAAGATCCAGACTCGTGTCAAGATCGGTCTTAACTCCAAAATGCCTTCTCGTTTTCCCCCAGCGGTCTTCTATACCCCCAAGGAACTTGGAGGTCTTGGTATGATCTCAGGATCTCACATCCTCATCCCTACTAGCGACAAGCGCTGGTCCAAACAGACAGACACCGGCATCACTCACTTCCGTGCTGGTATGTCTCATGACGAAGAGACCTTGATTCCGAATATCTTCCGATACATCATTCCCTGGGAAGCCGAGTTCATTGACTCTCAACGTGTGTGGATGGAATATTCGCAAAAGCGCATGGAGGCCCAGCAACAGAACCGCCGCTTGACGCTGGAGGATCTGGAGGACAGCTGGGACCGTGGTCTTCCTCGTATCAACACACTGTTCCAGAAGGACCGAAGCACACTGAGCTTCGACAAGGGCTTCCGACTTCGCGCTGAGTTCAAGCAGTACCAGCTGATGAAGAGCAATCCATTCTGGTGGACTAGTCAACGACACGACGGCAAACTTTGGAATCTCAACGCCTACCGTACTGACGTCATCCAGGCACTGGGTGGTGTAGAAACGATTCTTGAGCACACCTTGTTCAAAGCAACAGCTTTCCCGTCTTGGGAGGGTCTGTTTTGGGAAAGAGCGAGTGGTTTTGAAGAGAGTTAGTCTATCCCCCTCCCTAAAATACCCCAATTTCATTCAATATCGCCTCGAAGATGCCATGGAAGATTGATTTGAGGATATCCAAAGATGTCACGTGACCATACCACGTGATATTGGGTCAAAAAAGACCTTTGAAAAGACCTCTCAAATGGCGATCTTGAATGGCATTCTTAGATGACAAAATGGAGAAATCCTTCGAAAAATTCGATGCTAACTATCCAATTAGGTATGAAATTCAAGAAACTCACGAATGCTCAAAGATCTGGTCTCAATCAGATTCCTAACCGTCGATTCACCCTCTGGTGGTCCCCAACCATCAACCGTGCCAATGTCTACGTTGGTTTCCAAGTACAGCTGGATCTGACTGGTATCTTCTTGCACGGTAAAATTCCCACCTTGAAGATCTCGCTGATTCAGATCTTCCGCGCCCATTTGTGGCAGAAAATCCACGAATCAGTGGTCATGGATCTGTGTCAAGTGTTGGATCAGGAACTGGAGCAGCTTGGCATTGAGGCTGTCCAAAAGGAGACTATTCACCCGCGTAAGTCTTACAAGATGAATAGTTCTTGTGCGGATATCCTTCTCTTCGCGACGAACAAATGGAACTTCACCCGGCCTTCGCTGGTGTTTGACACCAAGGACGTTTACGAAGCGACTCCGAACAACAAATTCTGGCTGGATGTTCAGCTTAGATATGGTGACTACGATTCTCACGACATCGAGCGATATGTTCGTGCCAAGTACCTCGACTACACCACTGACAGCATGAGTATCTATCCTTCAGCCAATGGTTTGATGATTGGTATTGATCTTGCTTACAACCTCTTCTCGGCCTATGGACAGTACTTCCCGGGCTTGAAGACCCTGGTTCAGCAAGCTATGGCCAAGATCATGAAGGCAAACCCGGCCTTGTATGTCTTACGTGAGCGTATCCGCAAGGGTCTGCAGCTGTATGCATCTGAGAGCAACCAGGAGTTCCTCAATTCTCAGAACTACTCCGAACTCTTCAGTCCGCAGATCCAGCTGTTCATTGATGATACCAACGTCTACCGTGTTACGATCCACAAGACCTTTGAGGGTAACTTGACCACCAAACCCATTAACGGTGCAATCTTCATCTTCAACCCCCGTACTGGACAGTTGTTCCTGAAGATCATTCACACCAGCGTCTGGGCAGGTCAAAAACGTCTTGGTCAGCTGGCCAAGTGGAAGACAGCCGAAGAAGTTGCTGCTCTTATCCGATCTCTTCCCGTGGAAGAGCAGCCGAAGCAGCTCATCGTCACCCGTAAGGGTCTTCTTGATCCTCTCGAGGTCCACCTGCTTGACTTCCCCAACATCTCTATCCGTGCCTCCGAGCTTCAGTTGCCTTTCCAGGCTGCCATGAAGGTCGAGAAGCTTGCCGATATGATTCTCCGTGCGACCGAGCCTCAGATGGTGCTCTTCAACTTGTACGACGAGTGGCTCAAGTCAATCTCTCCCTACACTGCCTTCTCTCGACTCATTCTCATCTTGCGAGCTCTTCACGTCAACATTGACAAGGCTAAGATTATTCTTCGTCCTGACAAGACTGTCATCACCCAAGAACATCACATCTGGCCGTCTCTGTCTGACGAGGACTGGATTAAGGTCGAAGTGCAATTGCGTGACCTAATTTTGAATGATTACGGCAAGAAGAACAATGTCAACGTGCAGAGCTTGACTAGCAGTGAAGTCCGTGATATTATCCTGGGTATGGAGATTAGCGCACCTTCTCTGCAGCGCCAGCAAGCGGCCGAGATTGAGAAGCAGCAAGATGAGCAGAAGCAACTCACTGCCACTACAACCAAGACTCAAAACGCCCGTGGCGAGGACATCATTGTCACCACTACGTCTCAATACGAACAGCAATCGTTCGCATCCAAGACAGAGTGGCGCACTCGCGCAATCGCGACCTCCAACCTTCGGACTAGGTCCAATAACATCTATGTTTCTTCTGATGATATTCGCGATGATGGCTACACCTACATCATGCCCAAGAACATCCTCAAGCGATTCATCACCATCGCCGATCTACGGGTCCAGGTTACGGGTTACATCTACGGTAGCTCTCCAGTGGATAATGACCAAGTGAAGGAGGTCCGCACTATTGTCATGATTCCTCAAGTTGGTAACACCCGAGATGTTCAACTGCCGCATCAGCTGCCGCAGCACGATTACCTCCAGGGCTTAGAGCCTCTCGGTGTTATCCACACGGTTTCTGGTAACGAGCCGCCTTACATGTCTGCGGCAGATGTAACACATCACGCACGTCTCATGAATGCCCATCCTTCGTGGGATAAGAAGACTGTGACCATGACAGTTTCGTTCACTCCCGGATCCGTATCACTTGCTGCATGGGGTCTCACTCCTTCGGGTTACAAATGGGGTGCGGAGAACAAGGACACAACCTCGGATCAGCCCCAAGGCTTTGCCACCAACATGGGAGAGAAGTGTCAGCTGTTGCTTAGTGACAAGATCCGCGGCTATTTCCTTGTCCCCGAGGATAATGTGTGGAACTACAGCTTTATGGGAAGCTCATTCGGTAGTGTGGAGAAGAGACCCATCTACGTCAAAATTGACACCCCGCTTAAGTTCTACGACGACCAACACCGTCCCCTGCACTTCCAGAACTTCGCCGAGTTGGAAGACATCTGGGTTGACCGGTCCGATAACTTTGCCTAAACACCTCACGTGCCATCAAGGTGTTGGGGATGTTTTTTTTTTCTTTTCTTTTCTGTTTTACTGGGCGTCTTATGTGTTAAGATTTTTTCTATTGCTTCTCTCTTTTCTTGTTTCATTCAGGTTCTTGTATCACAACAACCTTAATTCATGTATTGCAGCGAGAACTAAAGGCAAGGAAAAAGCAAGTGTGTATTTTTTTTGTATAGTACGAGTCCCTTTGGCGAATACATTCCCTGTCATTTCGACATAAAAAAATATGAAACTTTCATTTAAAACATGAAAATATTCTTCTCTGATTATCCCCTCTTCCTCATCCCCCCTTGTCATTATACGAGGATGCAGTTGGCTTCGTAATGCATGGACTAATATATGGCTGCCACGCCTTTGTTCTCGGTAATAATGAAACACTTCCGTAGATTGCCGCGATGTCATCGAATTAAGGCAGACCGGGCAGCGCAGCCAAAGCATTCAAGCCACTAAAAAAAGGTTCAAGGCCCGAGTATCTCACCAACCAAATGTTAGGAGAGGATGAAATGCAACGGGAAACTTTACCCCCAACGAAAGAAAGGGGGACAAATCGGACTGCATACGATAGTCTGCGCAACTATTGAAATCAGTGACCATTCACAGTCTGCATAAGCTCTTTCTCTGTCCCGCTTTGATGCACAAGTCATGCAAGGCTATGCAAAGTGATGCATTAGGGAGATGGGTCTGACATTAACAGATGACGGCCCGCATGCAACTAGAGCATTCCAGTGATCCATGCAAATCAGTACTCTCCAATGCTCTCTAGGTAGTACTCTCCACTACTATGTTTGGTGTAAAAAAAGGGGTGCGTGTGCCAATGTGGCTGAAAAACTTGATGTAACTGACTCGCTAATTTATTACCATCCAATAACCTCTTTGGCACAGTGAGACTAACCTACTGTCGGTCTTTCTTCTGAATTCTTTTCATTTGAAAAAGAAAGAGCTCCGCTGTTAAGCCCAAACGCTAATCTACTCTTTTTGGGGGAGATGAATGATCATCGTTTCACCCCCTGTTATTGTTCTATTCTATCTGACATCTGTGATTGACTCTCGCAGGCCTTGGCTCCGAGGAAACCCGATGTAATGGACAAATAGCTTACCATCGCTTACTTGACTAGCCTATACCGTGTCAATCACCCGATGCCATATGTCCACCTTCTTCCCAGACAGACGGCGCGTTTACATGGAACATCAGGCCGACAAATGAGCTGTTGCTTGGGTTGACATGCCGGCAGAATCTGACAGGCTTTGCTTGTCTGCCGTATTTTCTTCCCTTCGTCATGGCTGTTTCTTGACCCTGGACTAGCTCAGAACCTGTTTCGCGTTGTTTTCCTAGTCGATACTTGGGTGTGTCCAACCGCTGCCATGGGTGAAGTCTCCTCGGCCCCTCTTCTAAAAGTTGGAAAGTTTATATGGAAGGAAAGGAAAAACAGTTCGTTCCATCATGGCCGGAATGATGGAATACAACCTTGGTGCCTATCAGAGATTCCTCGACTGAAACTATTCGTGCTTGCAGTCCGGTCCACTGGGGATTGTTGGAATCAGCCCGGCAACGCACGCCCCAGGTTGGTCACCGGCACAGGTCTAGGATCCTCTTGGTAAGGGGATGTCTCCAGATGTTGTTATAGATGTGGCCATGTCTTCGGATTTTTAATTCTCTTATAATCTATACATATCCAAACTTCTCTGCAGTCTCCACCGTATGATTCGTTATGCTTGATCAATTTCCCTGCAAGTTTTCGCTACAATTCATACCAAATTAACTACTGCTCTCCCCTCTCTGCACGTCAATCTATCAAGTTCTTTTTGTTCTTTGCTCCAAATCACCCCACAGGCGGATCATTCTCCGCTGAAATTGCTTATGTGACAATAAAGCTGGTTCTGTTTGTATTTTCCATTTGCGAGTGACACTTGGGGATTACGCCCTTGGATCGTTCACTCTCAAATAAGCACCCAATTCACTCGTCACTCGCTGGGGCTGCAGGCCCTAGCATTGTCGATGCATGCCTGGAACACTAGCAGAACCGTATAGGGGCTTCATGGTCAACTATCCTCATCATACGGGTAGTAAAGATACCACCCAAGAAGATATAATTTCCTATGGTGCCGCCCAGTTGCTTCAAGAGCGGCCCGATATTCGCTATCACTCCGACACAACCCAACCACCCTTTGGATCTCCCTCGACTTTTATCACGGATCGCATAATCCCACGCCATCCAGCTCCGCATTACAGTCCTCAATACAATACGCAATACAACCCGCATGGTTATGAACTAGCTCCGCCCCAGAATAGCCGAAAGCGACAGCACACCGACAATGGAGCAAATAGCAACCGCGATATGGACATGGATCGCGATTATCCGCCTCGCCCTCCTGTGCTGCAAAGCTTACCGACGGACACATTACCACCAGTCAGCGAGTCGACTGAATCAACGTACCCCGTTCATAATGACCATCGAGTTCCTCAATCTTCAAACCATGACTACGGGTCCCTGGTTTCTCTCCCACTCCCGCAGCAGCACCACCATCATCGGCTGCCATCCCAGGCGAGGACTCATGTGAATTCGGATGGAGATTCTGGAAATGGATCAGCCTTAGGAGCCGCAGGAGATGATGATATGAGCTTCATGAATCAAGAGGGACTGCCCGCCATCCTGCCCGAGCCGAAGGCAAAGAAGACCAAATTCGGCAAAGTGGAAGATGACACACTGATTGAATTGAAAGAACATTGGAAATTCACTTGGAAACAGATTCAATTCTGGTTTCCTGGACGTGCGAGCGGTACATTACAAGTCCGTTATTGTACCAAGCTAAAAGTGAAGGACCTGAAGGATATCGTTTGGACTGAGGAAATGGTTTGTTTCGTCTTCATCATTTAAGAGAAACTCCCTGGACTAATTGAATCATAGGATTCGCGACTACACAAGGCGATAGAAGATTATGAGAATGATCGATGGAAGGTCATTGCTCAGAAAGTTGGCAATGGGTGCACGCCTTTGGCGTGTCAACGGAGAGCGACAAATTCTGGGCCTGAGCCTGACCGTGAGCATGATCAGGATTTGGAGCTTGAATGATGTAAGGGTATACGGTTTCCAAGGTTGTTAGTAATAGCTATTTGCTTATAACTATTCATATTGTCACGATAGTATCAGATGATGTTTAAAGATATCATGCCACCCTGTGCCCTATACCAAAAAGCCCTAATAGTCCAGAAACGGCTATTATGCACGTATGGTTTGTATAACCTACTGTAGCAAGCTCCCGCCAATCAGAGATGACTCATCATTACTCGCAATTTCATTGGGCATCAGAGCCAACCAATCAAAGGCGCTCGGGCCAAAGCGGCTTCAAACTCGCCCAACCTCAAACCTCCAAACTCCCTCTTTCCTGCCCCAAACGCCCGCGTTATTCAACCCATCTTCAGGACAATGTTCCTCCAACGTACAGCCTCCGCCCTCGCGAGGCGCTCGCCTGCCAGCGCTTTTACTCTCGCTCAGCGCCCTTTCTCCTCTTCCATCGTCCGCTGTACGTGACTCCTATGGCCTGATCCGACCTTCACTCCCGCGCACCCCGACCCAATTGGCTTTGTGCATATCAAATCAACCATTTGTGAATTACTCAATCAAATCGCCAGCTAACATGAGAATTTTGCAGCCAACGCCAACAAGTGGGCTCCTAAGCAGGGAGGCAAGATCTTGACCTTCGAGGGTTAGTGCTATATCCGATCCCATGGCACTCAATGGCCCCGTTTTTAGCCCCTATGATTCGAGAAGCATCTGTTTAAAACGAAACATTCGAGGCCTTCCGTGCAATTAAACTCAATGGAATGCAATTGAGCCTCGGGTGTCAGTTCTGCGGATACCTTTCCCGAACCACAAGCTAGGCCAGCCATTCAACGCCAAACGATTACCCGCAAAATACCGTACTGACTTATTCTCTTCGTCAAAATACAGAGATCAAGACTGAGGATGACCTTATCCCCGCGGGTGGTAAGCCCGGTACCATTCCCAGCGATCTTGACCAGGCCACTGGTCTCGAGCGTCTGGAACTCATCGGAAAGATGCAGGGCATTGACATCTTCGACATGCGCCCCCTCGATGCCTCCCGCAAGGGTATGTTCTTTTGAGCTGCTTTTCATATCTCTGTCCCAAGGTTCAAATGAATGACGAGATGTCGGCGAGACCGCATGATCGTTACATTGGAGCGAACCTCAAAACACTGGCTGATCATATGGATATGTTCATACAGGAACACTCGAAGACCCCATCATCGTCAACAGCGCCGGTGATGAGCAGTACGCCGGCTGCACTGGTTACCCCGTAGACTCCCACCAGGTCAACTGGTTGACCGTATGATCTCCCCACCTGAGCCCCCTCTACCGGGCTATACCTCTACTCTTGATTCTGACTCGATACCATTTAGGTCTCCCGTGAGCGCCCTATCGAGCGCTGCCTCGAGTGCGGCAACGTCGTCAAGATGAACTACATCGGACCCGAGGAGGACCCCCACTCCCGTATGTACCCCGACATATTTGTATTCCCTTAGAATATATTCGACTGTTCAAGTGCTGACTTTTTCCATCAGACGACCACCACCACGACCACGGTCACCACCACCCTCCCCACGTCGAGCCCAAGACTTTCGCCGACTACGTCAAGCCCGATTACTGGTACCGGTAAATCTTTATAGCCGTCTTTCTGCTTGCGCGGCGGTCCCCTTTGGTTCTGGCATGGGAACTCCAATACACTGTGAACATTACGTTGCGTGTCTGTCTCTGTTCTGTCTCTGTGACTTCTTTGTCTCTTTTGTAGAATAGTGCTCTAGTGGATGAAAATGAGATTGTAGAGGGTTTGTTTATTTATGTTTCAGATACTCCTCAACTAGGTACATATGTAATCTGCCTATGCGCAAGTGCCTATGTAGGTAGTTAAGCTAAAGCAGAGTAGCTTTTGAGGTTGCGAGGTTTCGGTGCTCGGCAGTGATCTTACGTCGCAGATTTTCTTATATCGTTTATATGCATGGACATACTTGGAAATGTGCAAAATATGCATGTCATAAGGCAGCTAGAACATCTCGCTTTCATGAATGAAATTATTAATCCTTGGAATGCGATGAAATATGCTTAATTATACGACAGGAAAAAACACATGCCTTTTTTTAGAACAGTCATAACCACTAACAAAGACTCAATGACTTGGTGCCAAATTACAATCTATACCATTTGTGCCCCAGGAATGCATTCGACTAGCGATCCCGTAGAATCAAAGCCTAACAAGGGGGGTGGGGACTCGCGCAAGATACAAACAAGCAACCCAATGCCCCCCCCCCTCTCCCTGAAGCGCGATCCCACCTAGCAAGCAAGAACATCTAGCGCCCCACGAAGTGAAGCTCAAGGTATCTGAGAGGAGGGTAGACCAGCGCCGCCCAAGAGAAGCCGATATAGTTTCCCATCTAGTGAGGAAACAATTAGATCAAACAGACAAGTAGAACGGTGGGAAGAAAACACGACTTACATCCGCTCCATAGGCGCCGACTAACTTAGCGATGGGCCCGATATACCACACCTGGGCCATACACAGGACAGCGCCAACCCAGCCAACAACGAAAGCAGTGAATGCCGCAATGCCAAGGGGTAGCTTCGAGGGATCCCGCCAGATGGCCCAGTTGTAACCCGTGCGCGCACGGAAGATAAAGCACTCCTCGAGAATGATAGCAATCCAGATGGCAACCCAGTAGCCCATTAAAGCGAGAAAATTGGTAAAGATCTCAGAAAGGTGGCTGCGGCCAACAAGCGCGCAGACGGTGTATATAATGACGGCAATGGTGTTCCAGATGACGCGGGGCACGGCCTCGGCATAGCGGCCGAGGATCTGGAAGTCAATGCCGGCGGAGTAGGTGGGTGCGACTGTGTTGGCGATCAGACCCAAGGCGCAGATGACAGAGCAGAATTTGCCGAAGCCGTGTAGCGGGCTAAATCCTTCGACGATCAGGGCGCCCTGGCCTTCGTTGTAGGCGGTGGCATACTCGGGGTGTGTGGAGATGCCCGAGGCGAGGCCTACGCCGCAGACTAGGGCCATGGTGAAGGAGACGAGGAGGCCTGCTAGACTGAGACTGAAGATCTTGGCTCGCGAGGTGTTTTCGGGGTAGTAGACGAAGAAATCGGCTGCGAGGGGGGCGTAGGTAATTGCGGCACTGACGCAGATGGAGAAGAATGATAGTCTTATTGTTATTAGAAAGTTGAGCTTCCGGTACAAATATTGTCTTGTGAACTCACCTGTTGCCAGATACCGTCCGGGCATCGCCTTCAGACGTGGTCGACAAGTCGAACTTCACGGATGACACCCCGAAAAGAATACAAACCACAATCACCTGGGGCACGAATGCAAACCTGATATCAAGTACATCAGTGACATCCATTAGACTGACATTACTTTTTTTCAAACTGACCTTTCATAGTAATGGAAGACCTGGATACCGAATGTCGCCACCGCCCAACTGATGACGGCAATGATAACAATGCCTGAAGAATTGAGATCAGTACCACGAAACTACCGATGGTTCTCAATTCTGCTTACCGACAGCCACGGACATGCCATTGGGAGATACAGCCGACAGGATCTGCCCGCCTACGACGCAATCGATGAGACCGTATCCAATCATCTGGACAAGGTTCAGCAGAACAATAATCTTGCTAGGCCACCAGCCCATCGAATACCGTCCGAAGGCCTAGTCAACGATTAGTCGTCGCGGCCATGACGATTTGGTAGTCAATAGGTGACACTTACCAATGTACGGATTCCCGAAACGGGTCCCCAAGTCGCCATCCAAGAGGAGACGACGGAACCAACCAAGGCGCCAAACACAGCACAAAGCGCCGAGTCCCGGAAGCTGAGACCATACACGGCAGGACCCAGCATGCCCAGGGTGATATTGTTGGGCGCAAGGTTGATGGAAATCCACAGCAAGAAAGCTTGCAAGTACGAGACCCAGGAGTTTCGCTTCATGCGCTCGTCGACGGCAACGCGCTCGATACCACGGGCCTCCAAATTGTATTCAATGAGTTGGTTCTCGAAAGCTCTGATGACAGAGCTCAATCGCGAACCGATGGGATTGCGGCGATTGGTCGTCTCGGCGGCATATATTCCTTCATTATCCTTGTTCGCCACGCCGGAGCTTTCAACTGCACGTTTTGATTTTGTTGGGTCTTCCTTGTTGGAGTGCACCGCTAGGGCGGTGATTTCATTTTCTGATACCATGCTGCAGACAACATTAGTTTCGTGCCGGGTACTGGATAGGGAAGAAGCGCATGAGTCCTTTCGCTGGAATTACCCAGATCAAGTTTAACCGTATAATCTCAGAACGACAGAATTGCCGAACACCGGTCATCATGCAGGATGTTTGTCCTATATACCTTGATCATGAGACAATACCATACTACTCGTCTTGTAGCCGTCCTTAGAGTGGGGAGGTCGTGTCACCTTCCGAAGAGTCAGAGCAGAAGTCACTAGCCAGAGTGGCGTTAGCTGGAACTCATGTAGCACGACGGGGAATATATGAGGTACCTGATTGAATTGAGCGAGTCTTTAATAAATTGAGGCTTTTTGAGGTACTCAATACTCAAAAGATCAGAAAAATAAATTGGTTTCAAGTGGAGAGAGACGGGGAAATTCTGATTGCCGCGGGGAAAAAAAAATAAGATCGTCCGTATTACTTTCTCCGCCCTATGACATGCGCATTGATCTACAATGTAGTGGTCTAGGCCGTTTATTTGCCTAAAACGTAATTTCTTAATGAAATTGGTGGGAATCATATGGTATTGAGAAGACACAGCGCAAGAAAAAAGAGGCGCTTGTCAAAAAAAAAAAAAAAAGGGCAACGCCTTGGAAATCACGGGCTGATCGCAAAGGAGGCAGGATGTCACAATAAAAGATTTGAGGCATAAGGGGAAGAAATAGAAGAGAAAGAAAGATAACGACCATTGAAAACCAATGAAAAAAAGAAAAGATCCAGATCACCAACTCCATCTGCCTTGTAAAATCAATGACCTCCCATGGCCATCAATGAAACTTGCATCGCTCTGGAATTGCAGGACATCCGGAAGAGAATGCGAACCTCGGGATGAAAAAAGATGCTAAGAAAACGAAATCATCACTTCATCAGATGCGTCGTTGTCGTGAGTCAGACATTCTTGAAATGTTCTTTGGCATATTGCTCGCAGGCCTTGGGATTATATTAGTTGAATGACATATGAAACATAAAATAGATGTAAACTCACTTTGGCAGGCTTTCCCACCTTTTGCCCGATCACCTTCCACTTGTTTGCCTCGTACTCTTTGATTGCATCGCGAAGCTTCACAGACTGTGCAACGTTAGCGCATGCGGCAACGGATATTAAAGTAGTCAGCATCATACCTCATCTTCAGCGAACTCGGCGTAGTGCATGTCCTGCATGAGGTATCAGTACGACAGGGCTTGTTGTTACCAAAATCCTCCAAAAAATCACATACCTTGTACCAGTGTTTTTTGACACTGCCCTCAGTTCGAGTGGGGAAAGTCTGCGAGAGGTAAAATCAGAGGTTAGTGACCCAGATCAACTCTATCGTAATAATAAAAAAGCCGCGCGCGTGTACCTTAGCGATTTCGCTCCAGCTGCGGCCTGCATCGCGCATTGTTTTGAGCCGTTGTTCCTCTTCCGCAGTCCATGGAGTATTTGTCCGTCCCTTCTTTTTGGGCGTGGACTCAATAGTAGGAATGGTGTTCGGGTCTTCGATCGCGCCAGCCCCAGTGTTGACTGGAGCTGCCATCATGACTGAAGATCCTGCGGGGGAAGGTGGGCGTTTACGCGAGTTTCCGGGATTTTGTTGTTGTTGTTGTTGTTGTTGTTGTAATGGAGCGGTAGGAATTGGAATACCTTCAAAGGTTGGGACGCGGTGGAAAGGGTGAATCTGTTGTTGGGCAAGTAGATGCGGCGGGGCGCTTGTGGTAGCCGACGTTTTGATTCGCTTTGAAGTCGGGGGAGAACTGATCGGGTAGCGACAGGTTAGATAGGTGAAAAGACATTGATATGAGGTGAGGCAGAAGTATGATAAGAAAAAAAACCGCGACCAAGTGTAGTTGAATATTCCAACCTAGTCTCCCTCCCACAGCTGGAGGCCGGATGGAGATCATAGACGAAGGGACTTACGACATGGTGAAAGACACACGGGGTTTTCAATCACACTGTGTCAATTCATCTGTACATACAAAAAAAAGGCCGCGTGAGGGGGGGGGTTAGCAAGATCTGGTACTGTCGCGCCTGGAGTCAACTTCAGAAATGCGTTACACTAAAGACGATGACACAGGCGCATCCTAGGCAGAACCAGATCAAGGTAACAAAGTAGACAGGTATAAACCGCGACACAGGAAATTCCAGACTCCGATCGGAGTTTTTAACTTCTATCGGGGTGAGGTAAAGGGAATTTGGGCTCACAGGTCAAAATCGCATGGTCGAAGCGTCGATTCGGGGACCTCGAATTCTTCCGAATACGGGGAGAACATGAAGGCTGGGATATGTTGACTTCGGAAAGAAGACAAGTTATAAGAAGACAAAAGAGGACAAGGGAGAAAAAAAAATTGTTTAGGATGGGAAGTAAAAATGAGAGAGAAGAGAGTAGAGACAAGGTTACAAGAAGAGAAAGGAGGAAAGAGGAGAGAAGAAGTTGTGAGTTGTAAGAGAGAGAGAGGCAGAGCAGAGCGCAGAGAGAGTAGTGAGAAAGAGAGAGAGAGAGCGGGGATGGAGTCACCTCATATCACAACATTAACTAAAAAGTAATAATAGACACTTCTTTTACTTATATAGATATATATATTGTTTTGAAATGTTAAATAGTTTTCTAATCTTCTAATTTGAAATGTTTTGAAAATATTTTCAGTTGATTCAAAATATCGAGAAAGACAGAGTGAGAGAAGATGGTGAAAAGGTGAGAAAACTAGAGGAATGTTGTTAGGTTCTCATTAGTGACAACTATTTACTTACAATGTTACTCTCACTCTTCCTCTTCTCTCTTTTTTAAGTATTTTGTTTATGTTCTTAAATTTTCCCAATTTCTCTATTGCTTTATATCATATGTAGAATATTCATGCAAATTAAATCTTCAGTGTCGATTCAAATACGCCTCCAACCCCTCCGGTGCATTCCACAAGTTCTTCCCTGGCCTAGGAACCGATGCCCGGACAGGGGCCCTGTCACAACTTATACCCATATCTTTAATCCAATTCGGCCGGCGACAAGGCGCAGAAGCAAAGATGGCCACGTCCGGCAACTTCCATGAGACATTTGGGCCGAAGAGACCCGCGAGTGGCCTGTTCCAAAATCCGGTGACCCGGCGAGATCTCACAACACCGTGCGAGGATGACAGGACACGCCCAATGCGAGTTAACGACGCGCCCGAGGGCCTAATAATTGTAAAGGCATCCAATGGACCGGGAATTCATCCCGCAATCACCAAAATTCAACGACAGAAGTAGCAGCGTCCGTCCAACCCGAGACTTGGCGGGCTAGATCAGCCACAAATCAGTTTCGTGTGAAGCCACCGCGTACTATTCCCCTCTCTTATCCTCATGCAGGCCGTTGCCAGAACAATGCACAGTCTAGGGCAGAGCGTCTGGAGGTCCCCTGTCATCAATTTCTGGTCTTGGTACTGCGCGGGGTTCGTCTGGGGCGTGTATATATTCGAGAAGTCCAGCCTCTTCAGATCCCGCCGGCATATTCTTTGTCATACGCACAACCTTGCCCCCGTTGTCAATATTCAATGCTCGTTGATTGGTAAGATTTACTCCTAGAAAAAGCTGGCACACACTACTATCCAATTGACTACGAAGGTTTTATCATGTTGCAATCTTCGAGGGTATATGTGATTCGAGCATACAAAAGGACTAGATGTGATCAGTTACACCTGTTACGGCATATTACCAATGCAGGATGAATGCTGCCAAGATTCAGTGAGGAGAAATATGACTTACATCGCCTATTCTAACGAATATACAAGGTTTTCTCCATCAATTCGAGGAATATCAAGCTCCTTGGTCAAACCAATGAAAGCATACGAGATTTAAACAAACAGCTCCAATTCTCTCTGTTCTTTTCGAGCCCACAGAAACAGTCAGAAAGCTTGTTGAGATATAGTTCATTTCGGTTTGTCTCGATTTTTCCCTATTCTGGCCATTCGACAACTGAGATGACTTCATAGATACAAGGTCGAACTTGATTTTTATTGATTGAGACTATTTGAGCAAAATGCCCCTGGAAAAACTAACGGCTTTTGATTACTGTGAGTCAATCATGCAGCTATTCCATCTGTTTGGGGAGTCTTACCGCGTCACCTGCATGCTTGAGCATCTAGACCTCGAATCCACGTCCACGAGAGCACATAAACATAATCTTTCACAAAATCTGGATTTTAACTAACATCCCGGATCATTGGTATTACTCCAGAAGCTTAAGAAGAGCCTCGAACCAGACTCTTTCGGCTATATCTTTCTATCCGTTGAAAACTCTACGTTCTAGCATATTTGTTATAGATCCCCCGCATCTTCACTCATTGTGCCAGCTAACCCCCTTCGAGCTCTAGATAGAGCACTAAATCATTCATCAACGCTAAAATCATTGAGTATTTTGTTGATATTTTAGGCTCAAGTTTTCATTTTATATCAATTTATTTTGACATGATCGTGGATAGTACTGACATAATATATAAGTACTTACTTCAAGTCCTTGTTGAACAGCACATGTCAACCCCAATGCAATACACTAGGCAGCAATAGACGACACTAGATAGTACACACCAATGCCTTTCGTCCCTTTCATCTTACAATATTATGAATGCAATGGATCGTACAACGTACGGAGTTCAATGCAGCGTCATCGCTCACGTGAGCTCTTACGCGGCCCAAGCTCATGTGGAGTGCCGATAACGAACTTCCCCAGCCCGTCTCCAACAGCTCCAACACTTCCCAAGTTCACTCCTTACTGTCCTAGCCAAGCTTGCTGGGGCAACTTATATACACAAAGAACAAGTCACTTGTCTTTTCATCCGCTCAAACTACTTGATTCGTTCATCTCATCAGGTACCTGGCGCCGGCCTCGGTGATAGCTTGACAAGGTGTCCACAACCCCACGTTCAATCTTCTTGATTGTCCAGACAGACTTCCGCAGCCATGGTCTCATGGAACGTATTTCGAATCCTGGGAGATGTGTCCCATCTAGGCTCCATATGTGTCTTGCTATGGGCTATCCACAAAAACAAAAGTGCCGAGGGTACGTATATATCCACAGCGGTCTGATTGGAGATAGGCTACAGAGATAATTGACACATTTCATTTATTTAGGTGTCTCCCTTCTTACACAGTTGCTTTATAGTGTCGTATTCGTCTTTCGATATCTCGATCTGCTGGACCCCTCAACTTACAAGACCCTCGGCTCAAAAGGAACATGGCATGTTATCTGGAATGTTTCCTTCAAGCTGTTTTACTTGGCTTCATCATTTTACACGATCTTCGTGATGATGAAGGTCTTTCCGCGCACGAGAGAAAGGGAGCGTGCTTGGAAACTCGGCCTGTGGTCCGTAGTAGGATCCCTTGTGTTGGCTCCTATTGCGATACCCGTTCTCGAGGGCGGATTCCCTGATTATTGGTTCACGGAGGTAAGTTGAAGTTGTCTCGTCAAGTGCTGATGTCGAACTAATTTGAATTTTTAGCTACTCTGGGCTTTCTCCGAGATCCTTGAATCCGTGTGTGTTCTGCCACAGCTTCTTATGCTCCGCCAAACAACCGTCCCGACGGTGATCGATTCATACTACTTGCTTGCTCTGGGCTCATACCGGGCATTCTACATCCTTAATTGGATAGTCCGTCTCTTCAGCAAGGAACCATTCCATGATCAGATCGCGTTCGTGTTTGGAATCATTCAGACAGCCTTTTATGCTGACTTTGCCTGGGTGTATTATTCGCGTCAGCGCGTCAAGCTCCGCAATGGTGGTGTCGTTGATTCTGAAGACTACGGAAACAGCTGGCTTGTGAACCGTGTGATGAACTTCCGGGCATCACGACACTCTACAGACGAGGAACAGCATCTTCGAGACGAGGAGGCAGATCTAGATGGCCAATCCAATCACAACAGGTGGGGCGCTCGGGGGATATCCATCGCAGCTGACGACACCCTGGAAAGCAATAGTAATGGCCATCACAAGGCACACCATCATGACGATAGCCCAGATGGATTTTCTGGAGATGAGGATGAGACTGATAACCGGGCCAGCATCTCTCGGTAAGGATGATTTGCCGTACATAAACCGAGGTATGGCACGAAGATCTAGACGTTAGCCAGGCTGTTTCCTGGATATCAAGCATAGCCCCCATAGGACCACGAATGGGTTGGCTGCACGGGAAGACCCGCCAATCCTGTTCGAATCTGGCTATCTTCCGGGGTTTTGGTACGCACTGTGATCTACAGTATGTTTCTCTTACGCTAGACACAGCGGGAAGGCAGGATTGTACTATTTGCTAGTCTGTGGGGGCCACGTTTTTGTACTTTTAGCCTAGACAATTTCACGATGGTCCCCGGGGGCCCTGTGTTGTCACTGGTAGCCCCCTATGGATCCGTACCCACGTATTTAGTCTCTTTTCGGTCGAACGTCACTTACGACCTTGATTCTTTGCAAATAAAAAAGTATCACATTGATCGCTTTGAGAACAATCGGCCCACTACTTGCATGCATGTGAATCGCTGCACCACTAATCTAATGCTGTAATTGGTGAGGTGATTAGTCTGTCACTAACATAGTTCCAAATTCTTTCTGTTCTTTCCAGGGGATTTTTGAGAACAGTTATCAGGCCTCCAGGGCCATGATACATACGGACATATGTACAACGTACGGAGTAGATAGTAAGCGCTCGGTTTTCGTACATTATGCAAGGATCGACAAAAAGCGTACATACGTATAGTGGAATTTTCACTTGGATTATTTCAAACCGTATCGCTAGGTGAATGCGGGAGGCATTTGAGCCAAAATTTATGCCTGTCCAATGCTATGACGCTTGACTTCAAACGTCAACTATAATTTCCCTCATTTCCAACATCCCCGGGGTTAATCGAATTGTGATATGCAGATCAATCGCAAGAAACCACATGGCCCCCCTGGGAGCTTAGAGGTGTGGCTCGAGTAGCCCTGAAGATGTGGAGGGGGAATGAAGGCTATAGGGGCGGACCCCGGCGGAAATCTGGAAATTCCGATTTCGAATGTTCCATTCAAAAAGAAAAAAAAAAAAAAAGAGAAATAAAAAACGTGGCCAGAGAGAAAGTTCTACTGCATCTTCGACACCACTTCGATGTTGTGTGATTCGTTAGTTTCTCAGCCTCAGCGCTTAGCCAACGGTCATGAATTTTCCGGAGACTATAGTGGACTCTGAACACAAAAGCGGCCCGCGGACCTTCTCAGCCTCATTCGATCTTCCGTTCATCTTTGACCAGTCGAGAACCGCCCATCATTAGTATCACCTCAGCAGGACCATTTTCCCGCAAGTCTAACAACCGTCTTTTCGTCTTATTATTATTATTCTTCTTCTCGTGCAGGCTGCCAAATTACAATTGTTACGGAGTAGATAGCCTGTTAACGAGGCTGACACGGGAAGAGTAATGCAATTGATTTCTTGATATCCATCAAATATCCCTTGAAGAAACAAGTGATAACCGCTTTACTTAGACTGTGATTTGTGTCTTTTTCATGTACTTGCTCGTGTCTTAATAGATTGGAAGTAAATAAGGTCTAACAAGGTCTATAATACTTGATATTTTCATACAGTTATGTACATAGCCATCATATCTACCTGCATACTACATAGATACATAGTTAATTAGATAACCTACAGTGTCTAGACGCTTTTTGACGCTTTGTCTCCCCTTGTCTTCCTTTGCGCCATTAGCGGGACCATCAATCATCCACATAAGATTCAGGGCACCAAGACACGAAGACCCCCCTCGTCCCTTTCGTTTGATTTGATGGCTTGATGGCTTGATGACTTGATCGATATATGAGATTTTCTATTATTTTTATCATTATTTAACATGTTTAGTGGGGTCCAAAGTCACAGCATGATCTCAGTTCAAATTCACAATGCAGAGTCTGAGCCCCCTTTCTGGGGATTGGGGGCGGAACCTGGATATCAAGATTGGACTATTGAGTCCGCGGCGCTTAAATACAGGCCCTCATGGAGACTTGATGGGGTTTCTGCAGCCCAGCACTCGTCGGCGGTACTGATCTCGAGTTTTGGTGCTCTCTGAGCCTATAGTTAATACTGCGAACTGGATATCCATACCCTGCCTTGCGAGGCGTCCTGGTAATTTCTGTGATATCGCCTTGCGTATCTACGTTGCACTTAAATCTCCCCCTCTTTTTATTACTTGGACGAATCTTATAAGACCTACTATCGCCGACAATTGGGTATCCAATGATTTGAAACCAAATATCTTTGGTTCCAAAGCAAGCCTTGTTGGCATGCACATTCAGCCCTAACTACTTAACTACCGAATCTTCCTATAGCGGACGTCTGCAGTCACACGTCGTCCTCTGCCTTGAGTTGCATACATATCATTGCTCGCATCGCATTACATATACATCTTCTTTTATCTTGAGTTGCATACCTCGTTTCTCATTCTTACGCTTCGGCAGTTATCCTTCCGTCACACAAGGTAGTGAATTGTGACTTTGTTAGACACTGCTTATCCTGCACCAAGTGCAAAATCAGTCAACATAATGTCGCAAGGCCCTAACAACATTCCATGTTCTGAGGGATTGCAGGACTACTATCCTATCCCAGCTAATTCATGGCCTGAAGTGGAACCAGTATGTATCTCTGCACGTCCTTTTAGGCCGTTGTCATAAACTGACTGGTAATATAGTCCCAGTTCGTGGGCTTAAACCACGCATACTGCACGGAGCCTCTGGTCCCACCAACCGTCTTGACTCCCAACAGTCTACCGGATAACACAATGAGGCCAAGCCCAGCCCTCAGTCACCACGCACACGAATACATCCCAGACTACCAATACATCAATAGATCCATGCCCACACAAGGCCTGGGAATCACCGCACCCTTCCCGAGTGAATATCCCCGGACTTCGGCCCCGAATTCCACTTTCCTTTACGGTCCAGCCTCACCTCAGCAGCACAACATGGTCCAAACACCCGGCAGGTCGCCTGCGGCTAGCCCAAACAATCGCATCAATGACAGGGTCATCAAGAGAACACGCGCTATTCTCCCCAACCCAAATGGAATGAATCGGGAACTCAAGAATGTCGCACCTTTAGATTTGCCCAAGAAACGAGCTTCCAGCCGCGGGCGTCGTGACCCCCAAGCCGAAGAGGAAGATGCTTTTGTCGAGAGCCTGCGAAATCAGAATGTAGCCTGGAAGAGAGTGCGCGAAGAATATTCGCAAAGATTCCATAAAGATGCTAGCGAAGCTCGTCTACAGATGCGTCTGCTTCGCCGCCAGCGAGAGCGAACGACCCACTGGGATAAATCAGATGTGAGTATGTACCCAACAGAAAGAACCCCATTAATTGAATACTTTGACTACCTGCTAACACTTGATCTTGATAGATTCAACTCCTCATCAGGGCTGATGACATGTGGGAAAAGGAAAAATACCACTTCATTGCAATGAAGGTAAATTGGTGGCTCTCCATGTATTTTCAACATGACCAAGTCTAACGTCCTCTAGATGGAAGAACTTGGAGCTACAAAACCATATACGGCTGATCAGTGCCAGGCACAACTTCGGCTTTTAAAGGCAAAACAAGAGCACCGTGACCGTCTAAGCTTTTCACCATCTGCCAGTGCCATATCTGATCCTGCTCCTAACACCCCCACAATGTCTCGGAAACGTCTTCGAGCACAGAGTTTTGAGCCAGGGCTAGGGGTTGAGATCATTGAACCGTTCTTTTAGATATCTGTCCTGTCCTTTTCACCTTTTCTCTCCTCTTCTCTTCTCTTCTCTCCCTCTTCTTCCTCTTTCCTCTTACTATCTTTATTCACCCTTTTCCGGGGGTCCTCTTCATCGATCAAGAGTCTACTTTCGATTAGCCTTACTGACTCTATCTTACTTTTCACCCCCATGGATGTTATGATCAACAGTCAACGATCTCATGAATGTACTTCACATAACTGGGACATCGTGCCCGTTATTATCCCATTGTCTATGCATTTTATCATTGTGTAGAAATCTGTTCCATTAGCAATCATTCATGTTTCCTTTTACCTGGTTCTAATTGTAACTCGTGTATTAAACAAATAATAGAGACGACTCTGGGTACTGGATCGCACCAATTTTATATGTAGCTGTGATTTACCTTGGTCGAAGACTTAAGATGACCTTGAAGAGCTGTAGACGTAGCTAATGGCAATGGTGAGCCTGTTGAATATGCAGTCTGTCATGGCCTGAACACAGCGTTAGATAAGGTCGACTGATAGATAGTCAACAACTGGTTAAAATAACAGTGTACTTAATCAAGACCATATGGTTTTCACCATATAAAACCCAACGATAAGTAATAGACAAACATCATTGGCCCTCGGTAGGTGGAGACTATGTATGGTCACACATTAGGGAACATTGTTCAAAAGCTTGATGCGTCGGCGAAGAGGAGTGTTAATGCAGCAAGGCTACCTAAGTACTTCAAATAGTATAGCAACTGCTGGGTGAAGCTTCTTGAGGCATGTTCTATACTTCTGGTTTCATTTCCATTTTGTTGTCCAAAAGGCAGCCGGTTGAGATGTAACTGTGTACTCTACTCTGGTACTAGGGAAGAGTGTTCAAGATGATGGAAAGATAGTAGTAAGCTTGTTCTATTTTGGAAAGCTCATTACCCGTTATATTTATTCTGCATCAGAATCTAGATCCTCTTCTATAATAGGGAATGTCAAAAGAGCAGCAATGCCGCCCAGTCCCTCGAGACGTTTTCCACTTTCATGATCGGAGCTGAGGATTCGTACCTCGCCGCCCTCAACGTCACGAACGCGGTCTACGAGAGACACCCAGCGCTTACGCTCGGCGATATCTTGTGACCGGAACAGACGATTCGAAACAATCAAAACACCCCCACCTCGACCAACAGCCCCTTGGTCAACCGCAGACTCAACCTCGCGGGGACCGTAGGTTGCTTTATTGGTCTCCTTGCGCAATTGCTCGAGGAAGTCATCCATCAGTTTGGTCTCCCGGGCGTATTTGGTATCAGCCAAAAGAGTCTTGACCGCGGGTGACTGCAGCACCTCTGATAGGGAGTTTGTGTAGCCGGAGGCGGAGTGCACAACGGCAAGGCTGGGAAGAAGTCGCTTGAGCCCAGGGGTTGTTGTCGATGCCTCCGACTGAATGTATTTTTGGAAACCAGAGGCGACAAATCCAGGCGAAGCAAGGAGAACAGGCCGGACAGCTTCATTGTTAGCGCCCGAAGTAAGACTGGTATTGAACTCCATTTGCCGGAGGAGGGTTTCAAGTGTGACCTTGAAGAATTTGTTCATGCCCTATATGACCCGTATTAGGGCCAATTTTTCAAGTTTCGAGAAACAAGAACTTACTTTATCATGATCGCCGCCTCCATGTCGTTTCCGCGGTACGGACATCTCAATCTTTTGCTTCATTATCGTCTGGAACTGACCAATAAAGCAGATATGAGCCAAACCCTCCTGCATAACAACTGCAATAGCCTCTGCGCGACGCTTTCCGCCTTCGTCCACGGCATCCTTGAGTGCCTCAACCGCAATACTGTCCCAGCCGACACCTTCTCCATTTGCCCCGACCTCTTTCTCTAACGTGAAATTTCGATTCAACTCTAGATCAAGGGTATGAAATTGACCAATTTTTGTGTGCGGCGTTTCGTTGATGATCTGCCCTGAGACATGGAGCTGGGAGCTCAGCGGATCGAAGTCGAGGTTTTTCACGCGAATCACAAGGTTCAGATGAACGCGTGCTGAACTTGTGGACCCTGTGTCTTGGACTGTGGTAACGCGGCGAATTGCGCTGGCTCGGAGAAGGTCACCAGGTCGGATCAAGTTGTATGCGTGCCACTGGATCCATCGAGTCATGTTAGACAGCTCCGAGTTATGGGTACTGAGACCCAGGGGCGACGTACCATATCTTCGGGCTCATCTGGGCATAATGTGACTGCACCAGAGCCATTGTGCTCGATCTTATTTTTGATACAACGCATTGCTTCAGTACCCGCCAAGGTTTTGGGAGCTGAGATGACGGAGACAAATTCGACGTATGTTTTGGGAAGGTGGATGTTGATCTGAGAATGCGCTTTGTGGGGGTAAGTACGTATGTGATTTGCATCCACCAATTGAAGGGTTAACAGGATTATAGCCAAATAGAAGAGATGATCAAATCGATCAGACAAATATAAAGTTGTTGTTCGCTTTGAACTTGACCGAGACCAACCCCACCATATGATACTGCTGCTTGTTACCGCCCAGATTTGGGCTTTCTGAGAATTGTCTTTGCTATTCGAGTTGCACTTTGAGGCCGTAAATGATACTGAAGAGATCAAAATATGGCTAATGATATCTGATTCCTCAAATCATCACCTTTATACATATGACCGTACCTGACCAGATGGGCAACATGGTATCGATAAGACAAGCCCTAATCAGATCAGATTGGGGCACATGCATCAAGCCCTGCATATGTCATTTAGTCTCAAGCAGATTATATTTTACGTGCCTGGTACCTCGATGTAGAACCGAATATTTTTAGGCAAGTTCCGTCCGATATAGATCAGCCTTTAAAATGCCCAAGTTCTATGTTGTATGTTGATAACTCCCTTATGTCCGTCAAGTTATTCAGGCTGGAAGGCCCCACGTAATATCGATCAGCCATTAATATGCCAAATCCGGTCCCCTAAGTCGTTCACACCCCACTTTATATGGCGTCAAGCAACTCCGACAAAGATGCGGAAATTATGGGACCGAGGTGGTCCGTGGAAATGCCGAAACTGATATAAACCATTAAGGTTGATATCCGCTTGACTCAACCTGAACTTATCATCTTTCGTGTTCACTATGTCCCTTACTCTCCAGTCCACCTACAAGCTTGTCTCAGGCTATGAGATCCCCGTGGTGGGGTTCGGAGTGAGTATGAATCCTGTTCAAAGCTATGATTTGTGACTAATGCTGTTTTTGTGAGCAAGGTCTACCAAACGTACAGTTCAATACATATGACCACATCGGCGTATTAAGTTGACCCTTCATCACCAGGCCCTCCGATGTCACCGAGAAAGTCACCGCTAAGGCCATTGAACTCGGATACCGCCATGTAAGCAAGTGTAGAGCTACACAGAGGAAGAATTCCCAGATCTGACTACTATGACACAGGTCGACAGTGCCAAAGTCTACGGAAACGAAGTGGAGAGTGCCACTGCTATCCGCAACTCTGGACTCGACCGCTCTAAGATCTTCTACACCAGCAAAGTCCCCCGCACATGCATGGGCTATGAGAAGGCCAAGAGGGCCATCGAGGAAAGCATTGCCGCAGCAAACCTCGGCTACATTGATCTGTATACACACTGTCCCACGAATATGAGCGATGTAACAAACTGACATTTGCGACTAGTATGCTGATCCACGCACCCTACGGCGGTAGGGAAGATCGTCTCGGCACCTGGCGCGCACTTGTCGAGGCCCAAAAGGCAGGCCACATCCGTTCGCTGGGTGTGTCCAACTTCGCCATCCAGCACCTCGAGGAGTTGGAGGCTTACATCAAGGCCGGAGCGGGTGGTCAGATCACCGTCGGCCAGTACGAGATCCACCCGTGGTGCCCTCGTGACGATATTGCGGAGTGGCTGCAGAAGCGCAACATTATCGTCGAGGCATACTCTCCCCTCGTGCAAGCGACGCGCATGAAGGAGCCTGTCTTGCAGAACCTGGCTAAGAAGCACGGCAAGTCCGAGGCCCAGATTCTGGTCCGCTGGAGCTTGCAGAAGGTATGTGACAATGTTGGCCAAATCCCATGGGAAAGATGATTAACGTTGCGTTTTAGGGATTCGTGCCTCTCCCCAAGTCGGTGACCGAGTCTCGCATTCTCGAGAACTCCCAAGTCTTCGATTTCACTCTGTCGGACGAGGACATGGCTAGCTTGAAGCTCAACTCGTATGAGCCTGTGTGCTGGGATCCCGTCCGTGACTGCAAAATCTAAATGACGTCAGGAAATTAGCAAAAGTCTAGCGCACGCAATGGATTTCAAAGATCAGAAAGACAATTCACTCAGTTGCAATATTGTAGACAAAATATTAAGATACTAGACAAGTATGCAGTGAGAGAGTTCAACAAACTATCAAATTCGGCAGTTTGTTGACTCGCGCGGTCGGCACAGCGATCCCCGAACGCGAACCTAACCCGAACATCAACGCTTCAATATATTCAAGTACGCCTCAACCACAGCTCTATCCTCTAATGACTGGGAAGAGGGCAAGCAGTCGCTACGACGATTGCCATCATGCCAGATGAGCGACGGCGTATCGTCTTAGAAAAATCCAAGACTGTAAAACGCCGATGGCAGCGCAGCAACCAGCGATTTCAATTCACCCCATCCCAGATTGAACGTCTAGACCGCGAGCAGGAACGAGAGAAGAAAGCAAAGCAGCTACGTGAGAAGGAAAAGAAACGAATTGCTACCAAGAAACGAAAAGCTGAAGAGGAGGCACGCGTGCGCGAGGAGCGAAAGCGTCGCGGGATTCCCGATCCTCATGCACCCCGCGTTCCGTCCAGTCAACCGCTTCTTTCTATGTTTCTGGGAGCGGGGAAGTCGAAATCTACGCCTGCGCTTGAACCCAAACCCGATCAGAAACATACATTTACGGAGACAAAATCACACGAGGATGGAGGGGATACGGATTCGGGCAGTGCAGCGGGAGACACGGAAGCTGAATCGGATGCGTTTGATGACTTGGACGAAGAATTGGAGCATGACCTCTCTGAACTGGATGCTGGCGCCCCGGAGGAGACCGCAAGCCCTGCAATGGACGGAGAAACCAAGAATTCCCTCAAAGACGAGGATGAGTTCTCAGAATTCTCGTCCTTCGACGAAGATATCATGAATCAAGCCGATGCGGCCTTTACACGGACGTCTGACGAAGAGACCAAGAGCCCTTCTCTACCCCAGCAATCCCCTCCAGAGCTTCCCTCTCCCCGATCGCATGTTGTGCCCTCGCTACAACTAGAATCTTCTTTTGGAGGATCATTTCTTTATGATCCAGCCGATTTTCTTGAAGCAGAGGCAGCTATTATGCAGCCGACGAATGACGAACCTAACGACCTTTCTCGTAAGGAAAATACACACTTGAAGCATTTGGAACGACCTTGCAGTATGCCTGCACTAGGGTCTTCCTTCAGAGACGAGACTGCCGATTGGATTGAAGAAGCATTTGCACATGGAATCGATGACCCTTTTGGCCAACCCAATAAAATACCCTTACAATGACAATAATTGAATACTTTGGAATGCACACATCGGAATTCCCACTTTGGTGTACTACTAGTACACACATTGAAACCCGCAGTCTTGGCCAATCGCGGTCCGACGGTCGGGTGGTGATATCCGCTCTTTCGGATGTTGAGTTCGGGACAAATAACGATGTCAGTAGAGACTTTGTTCCGACGGACTGACCAGAAATGGAAATCCCTATTGTACATTAACTGTCGTCGTCTTTTATTCACTGTCGTGAAGTCTTAGCGGGAATGACGTTAGACTTACCAGACATATAGACTTGACTTTCTCCGTTTTTCTACTTCCCCTCATAAAATATTATTTCGCCCAGGCGTAAAACTATCCACAGTCTCAATCCCAAAATGCCCTTCGTCCAAGCCAACAGTCACCGTCTCAACTATGCAGACTCCCACCCAACCGGTCCTCCCACACCAACTGGTCTAACCTTCATCTTCATTCACGGCCTGGGCTCCTCGCAAAACTACTACTATCCAGTAATCCCTCACCTCACAGAATCCCACCGCTGCATCACAATCGATACATATGGCGCTGCCCGCTCCACGTATACCAACGACGCGGTAACAATCCCCAGCATCGCAGATGATGTCATTGGCGTACTGGACGCACTACAAGTCCCCGAGGCAATTGTCGTCGGCCACTCAATGGGCGGCCTCGTAGTCACAGAGCTGGGTGCTCGCTATCCGAACCGTCTGCTGGGCGTGGTAGCCATCGGCCCCACGCATCCGTCGGAATTGCTAGTCGCAGTCATGAGCAAGAGAGCAATCACCGTCGAGGGTAAGTCTCAACTGAGCAGAATCCGTTCCATGTGTCATTTCGTTTGCCATCTTCTTGCGTGTCAAACGCTAACTCTATACCAGCTGCTGGAATGGAACCAATGGCCGACACCATTCCCTCTGGAGCTGTCGGCTCGCGCAGCACTCCGCTCCAGAAGGCTTTCATCAGGGAGTTGATCCTTGGCCAGGATCCAAAGGGGTATGCGGCTCTGTGTCGGGCAATTGCTTCCGCGCAGCCGGCGGATTATGCTGCTATCACGGCGCCGTTTTTGCTGATTGCGGGCGAGGAGGACAAGTCTGCTTCTATGGAAGGGTGCGAGCATATTTTTGAGCGTGTCTCGAGTAAGCAGAAGTCTTTTGAAGTGTTAAAGGGTGTTGGGCATTGGCATTGTGTTGAGGCGGCTGATGAGGTGGGTGCATTGATTGCCAATTTTGCGAAGGTTGTGAGTGCCTAGTGCCTAGTGTCTTTATTGGAATATAATTTGTGCCATCTTTTCAGGCTGCTTTTATAAAATCGACGAAATGAATACCTTCCGTTTCGGAAATCAGTGTAGCTACCCTGGCATCCATGGCGAGGACGCTGGCCAAGGTTGAGATAGTTTCTGTTGTATCTACCATGAGAGTACAAATATAAACACCCTTCATCTCGAAAACTGACGTAACTACTCGTAAAGTGAGATTTATATAAGAATGTTTGTTTGAACAATTATTTCCAATATGTGCAAAGAACGCTATCGTGAAATACATGAATATCCGGGGAAATGCAACTTTGATACTGTGGCTTGCTCATGCGCCATTGGTTTTCGGCGCATCCTTCACCAACTTGACATCATAGTTGAGCTCGAGAGCAGCCTGAGAATCACCCTCGCGCGGGACAAAGTCCACAACCAACGAGTCTTTAACGGCGAACACTGAGTCATTGTCAAGGTACTTGTCCTTGCGGTCAAAGATTTGGGTCGTCAAAGGACGATAATTTTCCTTAGTAGCCTAGGGAAAGGATTAGCATGCGCTTTAATATCGTCTTCGAACAATCCCAACTTACAATAATGTGAATATGAGCAGGGCGGAAGGGGTGGCGATCCATTAACTCGAGGAGCTTCCCAGCAGGACCATCGTCGGGGACAGGATAAGGTGTGGGGCGCAAGCAGTAGAGCCAGTATTTACCCTCCTCATCCGTCTCGAACTTACCGCGCAGGTTGAACTCAACCTGCTCGGGGTCCTGCTGCTCGTACAACCCATTCGTAGAAGCTTGCCACACCTCGACCGTCGCACCAACAAGAGGCTGTTTAGTCTCGTGGTCCATGACGCGACCGTGCATGAACACCATTTCGGCATCAGCAGGCTTCGACTTGACGATGTCCTCACCATTAGCGCGGAACGGCGTATCGGCGCGGAAGAAAGGGCCCAGGATGGCGGTAGCCGTGGGCGCATCCTTTGCTTCTTCCGCGAGAGTGAAAGTAATTTCGTCGACGAGACTGCACACACTCATGTGTTAGTCGGTTGTTTGAATTTTTTTTTGTCTTGGTGTTGGTTTGTCCTTGTCGCGGGCATCTTACGATTCCAGTCCGAACACATCACACACCAACTGTCCCTCGTTCCGCTTGTCGTCACTCATCCGCCCGGCCCAATTGAGCATCTGCACACCGGCCATCCACTCGTCGACGGTGAGCTCCTCCTCGCGCGCAAAGTCGTGCATGTGCCGAATCAAACCGGCCATGAGCTGGCGCATGCGCGGAGTGGTCTTAGGACCCATCGCATTGATGACATTGTCTGTGAAGGTAGGGTTGAAGCGGTGCGTCGCCATTATTGCGCGTTGATATCTGTGAATTTGGAGAAACGGTTTACACGGAGTAAGACAGAAGAAGAGAGTTAAATGCGATTGTGAATTTAAAACCAGGCTATTATATACCACTTGTGATCCGACGGGACTTGTAGCCAAGTCCAGTTGCACGGAAAAGGTGGATAGACGGGGCTTTCGGAGCAAAGCCCCCAGAATCTGACCAAAGCCATGACGCTTATTCGAGGATGACCCCGCAAAACCATGATGGTATGATTGGGGCGTCGGATGTGTGTTCAGAGTTGTCGGTTGAAATTCGGATCGATTCTGGGCTTCCGATTTCTCCACAGTCGGATGTGGCGGCCATTGGCGGATATGTGCATCTTCAGGCGTTCTAAAGCTTCTATTGATTCCAAACGCAGATCATTGGAGAATTGGCTATTCGGGCTAACTGTTTTAGATTTGCAAGATCTCCATTGTATTTTGTATAGTTCACCGTCTTGCCTTGGGATTGCCCTTATTCGTGAGAGTTGCAGGAAGGTCTTGGAGGACTTCACCGCGCTCCCAGAGCTTGCCCAGACCTACCTTGCGCTCTACTACAACGTCAAAGAAATCTAGAGACACAAACTTCTGTTCCTCGCCCTTCTTATCTTCCCCATCCTTAGCAACAGATATACCCTCACTGAGAATGACTCCGTTCTCACTACGCCAGAACGGGATACCCGCGGCTAGCGCTTTGCGGACATCAATATAGATCAGAACCTGTGCATCACGTCGCATACCCGAAATGACGCGGGATTCGTCGGACTTGGAGTTTTCTTGCGCGACATCTTTGCCATGAACAGCAAGAACAGACTCTAATGATGGACCAGTTGCGAAGTGAATGTGGTTGCGCCCCATGCAGCGTAGTCCTCCGGATTGTAGAATCAAAGGCCAGGTCGAGTGGAATGTGCCGTGGACCACAGTATCGGGCAATTTTGATTCGTTGGACAAAGACAGCGGCTCGAGGAAGGATGCAGCGTCCACAGTCTTGATGCTGTGTCCTTGCGTCGCGCGAATGAGGAAGTTTGAGGGGTCCGTGTCTTTCACGGATAGCGCTTGATCGGTGGCTGTCTGCTGATTCTCGCTCGTGGCGGGTGCAGATTCCAGGGTTGATGCCGCGGGCTGGTCTTCGCCCACAATTTTGGTGGCCTCAGGCTCTGCGTTCGGTACTATCGATGGTGTTGTTGTCGCTTGGGTTGTAGATTGAACGGGTTGCGCGGATGGAATGTGGAGTAAGGCGAAGCGCTTTTTATCTGACGATTCGACGGCATGCAGGATCTCGGGGAAAGTGACCTTCACTGATCTGAGTCTATTAGATGCCATCTGTACACGGTTAGTAGAATATCAGGTCAAGGCACAGAAAGTTGGGCATACCACGTCTTTTACATTTGCGTAGCCTTGCTCATTCATTTTCAGCCTTTCCTTCTCAGCACCATGCCGCAAAAGCCAGCTAAGTGCCTTAGAGACTTGGACATCGCGACCTTGACCTCCTTGACCACGTCCAGGCTTATCTCGAGATTTCTCTTTGCGTTGCGACATTGTTTAGAGTTTTGGAGTTTGACAAAAAATTGGTGCGGGGAGAACTTGAAATCATGTAGTGGGGCTCCGATAGGTCTACCTCAACATGTATATATAAATGTATGTGGCTAAGATTAACCTTGGAACTCTCAATGACTCACTTACATATGTCTATTTATGCCTGAGTAAGATTAAAGGCCCCCCCTGTTACAGATCATGAGTCATTACAGCCTGAGATCTCAGGAATAGCCTCATACAGAATAAGAATATCAAAAGGAATTGAAGAAAGTTTCCATTTTCATTATTTTCACATAAAATCGACTCAATGGGTATAGGATAGCGTAAAACAAAATCAGGACTCAAATCTAATCGAAAGACTCAGGGGAAATGCAAAGCCAATGCTATCATCGATCACAGATACAGTTGCACTCTGCAACAGGACAGACCTTATGTCGCTTAAACCAATCGCTTGCATGATTCGCATGGAATCCATGATTGCAATGAATGCAGAAAACGACGAAGCGTCGCATTAAATCAGCCTCCGAGGGCTTGCGAGAGGCCTCCGCGTCGGCGGCAATACTCGCGCGTGACATCGGGTCTGGTGCACCCAACCACAAAGTACAGACTCCACACCGTGGCATGTGTCGCCCACAGCGCGGACACACAGTCCCAGACATGGTCGCAGAGGCCAATGGGTTGCCGGTGGTGGAATGGACTGTTTCAACGCCCTTGATGGACGATGACACCTGAGAGGAAGCGTCATGCTGGGTGAGCGGGTTCGTACAGTAGTTGCAAGTAAGACTGACTTGCTGCGGTGGCGTTGGTGCGAGTTTGCGGCCGTCAGCCGTCACAGCGAAACGGCGGGAGCCCACGTCGAACCGGGCCCTTTCAAGCTGCAGCTTCCATGAGTTCATTTGACGGCGGTAGGTCTCGCGCCAGGCTTCAAACTGGACAATTTGCTTTTGGTTGTTGACAAGCCGCGGCACAGTGTGGCTCATCGCCAGAACTGGAGTTTGGACATCATTAAATTTTCCAATATATGATTGGAAGAGGTCCATGGCTAAGTGCCCCAAGCCCGTGAGCACCACTCCTTCAATGTCACCTTGCCGGATCGCTTCGACAGTCGCATCCTTCAAATAGCCGGTGAGCTCATCATCCGGTAGCCAACGAAGCGCAACCTCCACACGGTATCTCAGAGGCAGCGTTATTTCGCTGATTACTGCGTTCCAGTCACCTTTGCTCACAAGAGCTAGAATTGCCCGGGAATAAGGATCAGTGAGCTCCTTGGCGATCTCAGCGCAAGTCTCCTCCCAATCTGTATCATTGTCTCCTTTGGAGGCACCGGCGATCGCCATCGCTAGCAGCTTGTGGGCCTGAGTAGGCTTATTGCTTCTAAGCCCAAGGTAAGCCAGCTTGGGCTCGTCTTGGAAGACAGCGAGCGCAGCAGCCTTAGTATGCTGGTTCTTGTCAGACAGAGCTTTCACTGTTTCCTCCAGCTCACGGTAGGACTGTGCTGCACCACAAAGACGAAGGCAGATACGGCGATGACTCGGGAAAGCAGTATCGCATCCTTTTGTCTCGGGGAGGTCTAATTGCTCTGTTAAAGTTGCCACTGCCTCTGCAACCGATTTGGCGTCATCGCTCTTGGCGTTAATACGGCGTTGCTCCAAGCCACGGCCTAGAATTGTTATTAGTTTGAGTTATTATTGGCAAGCACATGAGTTCACGAACCTAGGTCGTTGTTCCAAAGGTTAGCCACGCCTAGATAATTCAGGTCCAGGCCATTGACAACCATTGCCGTCCCAGAGGAGTCTGCCCGTGCGCCTAGAAGACATGTTAGGTGAGAGCTTTCCAGACTTGGAACAAACGGAGAACTCACGTTCGACCCAGCTCCAGAAATCCTGCAAAGCTTGATCATCAGACACCACCTTTCGGTTTCGAGCCTCATCGAATAGATAACCCTCTCTGCACCGAGACTGATTAACTGTACACAGAGTGAGTGCCTCTTTCGCAGTGAGAGGAACGCCCATCGTTCCTAAGGCCATGACGCGTTCCCGAACTTGGTAACTCGAGACGGGATCAGAACTGAGATCTTTTGAAACAAACAGCTGACCATTTGAGTTTGCGCCATGTTCGCGAGAGCTCGAGCAGACGCGCGATCTGATGTTCCCAATCAAATCTGAAATGGGAGAAATGTGCTCAGAGAGAGGGTGAATTGACCTCACATTTGAGTCAGTTGATGAGATGCCACATGCCAGCACACTTTGTGAAGAGAGATCAACCGGAGCACCTGGTGGCTGTGTAGTGATGATTCGGGGGGTTCCGTTCCCGTCCAGGGTAATAGCGCTTGGCTGAGGGGATAGACTAAGATTGATGAGATCAAATGAGACGATCCGGTCCTTCTCTTTGCAGCCCCGCGTGGGATGATCGAAGGGTACACACACGTCCCGCACATGCTTGGTGTAGATCGATTCTGGGTAATTCCTAGAAGATCCCTGGCCAAGAGTCTCATCTATCGAAGAACGATACTCCTCCAGCAGATAGTCCTTGGCAATGTCATAATGCTTGAAGTGACCATTGTTAGACAACGCAGCGAGGCTGCCTCGGTTAGTCTTGGAAAAGCGCAAGCTCCAAATAGAAGCTTTTGGATGGAAAACATTTTTCAACTCCAGCGCAGCTGCTGCTTGACCCGTTTCTGTAGTACTGGCAGAAGAACCGATGGAAGGTGATGTCAGTCGAGTTCCAACGCGACGATCCCACACGCAGATGGTACTTTCATTTGACGCGGCGCAAGATGCAATGTAATTCTCATCAAGCCAGTCAATGGCCAGATTATGCACACACCGAGTGGGGAACTGTAATGATGGATTACCAGGTCCCTCTTCAACAGAGATTAGCTATGTTTAAATATACCGATGTACCGATAAAACAAACCTCTAAGATCGTAAATTCGAACAAATTGACCTTTGACACCAGTCACAAGGGTATCAGGCTGATCCCTGAAGAACTTGATACTGGTGATAGGCTCAGAGCTAGCTAGCTTTCTCAAAGGCTCAGTGAAACCTCTACTCCCACCAGCAGGACTGAGGCGTTGATTGACATCCCAGATGTTTAAACAAAAGTCGTTTCGAACGCGATCTAGGCCCGATGCAACGAGTCCATGCGCACTGAATGCGACTGCATTGCAATAGCGTTGGTTGCGGACTGGGAATGAAAGAGACTCCTTGGAATCGCCATCAAGGCGTAGGATGGTGACCTCTCCAGAGGACTGCCCAACAGCGATCAAGTTCTCATTGGACGTAGACCAATCGTACGCGCGAAACCCAGGAATATTGGTGAGAGTAGATAGGACTTCATGGCGTAGGTTCCTGCCATCAAAACCAGTAACCCTGCATAGACGAAACGACTTTCCCGTGACGTCGACTGAGAGGAAGCGTTGTTCAGTGGCCGACGAGGTCGGGGACCAGCGGATGGCGGACTCCATGCTGGTCCTGCTAAGTTTTCCTTATGAACGGCCTCAGTCGCATGAAAATGTAATTCCAAGTTATTAGAAACACAACAAAACCAACACAATTGGAGTAAATCAAATCAATGCAATGAGAGAGGGCGGTGATTTGGTATCGACGAAGACGTTCATTGGCTAGCATATGTGGGGGGCGGGCCGACAATCCGCCGATATCTTTTTTTCTTATCGTTTTTTGCTGTAGCTCCGTTCGCGCTTTCTTGTCCAAGTTTCTTTTTGTGACAACTATCATTATGTCTACAGACACAAGAAGTCACCGCGATAAGGCGGCTCCTTCTAAACGCAAGACCCGTGATGGGTCCGAGGATGCTGCCCCGGCCCGCAAAAAGCCAACCCGCAAGGCAGACAAAGCAAATGAGCAACCCCAATTCGAGGATTTTAGCAGCAAACCTGCCCGCAAATACAAGGACAAGTTCGCTCCTCGCCCTGAGAAGGAATACCCATCGATCAACGATCTCAAAAGGCGAATTCGCGATGTGAAGCGACTACTCAACAAAATGGACCTCTCTGCCGATGCTCGCATCTTGCAGGAACGTGCTCTCGCAGGATATGAGCAGGACCTCGCGGACGAAATGGCACGCCGAGAGCGGTCACAATTGATCTCAAAATATCACTTTGTTCGCTTCCTGGGTATGCCACCGACAAGCTCCATTTGGTCTGTTATATCTTGCTAATTACCCTTTCTCAACAGATCGCAAGACCGCGAACAAGGAGCTCAACCGTCTTCTCCGCCGCGAGAAGGAACAAGATTTGGACTCAAAGCAGAAGGCCCGTCTCGAGGCGAAAATTCAAAATTGCCGCATCAACCTCAACTACACTATCTACTACCCACTCACCGAGAAATATCTTTCAATCTACCCCAAGTCAAATGGGAAACCCGAGGCAGCTGAATCAGGGTCAGATGCCGAGACTTCAAAGAAAGAGACCAAGACCAAGGATGCCAAGCCTCCGTTATGGGCTGTTGTTGCCAAGTGCATGGAGGACAACACTCTGGACCTTCTTCGTGAAGGAAAGCTGAACATCAACTTCAAAGGAGAGAAGATCCAAACTTACTCCAGCACAGTTGCAACCACAGATACCAGCAAGGAGAAAAGCAAGAAGAAAGAGCACCAAAAGGATTCCAAGGGTGCCTCCCAGAAGGACAAGTCGATCAAACACGACAAGAAAGATAAATCGGCACGTGGTTCGCAGACTTCCAAGCATAATGCACCGCAAGAGGTCAATGCGGAGGATGATGAGAGCGACGGTGGTTTCTTCGAGTAACCAACACAAGGGCGGTACAAAATTACATGTAGTATATATCTTATTTGTCTTGATATCCATCCTAGCATTCTTACTGCAATACAGCGCACATGACTCCAACAAATCAAAGCTTTTCGCAAAAATTAACTAGTGGTTCGTCCTTCCGCCTTCTGATCCGGTTAGTCTCTCCTGGCTACCTCACGATTACATTTGCCTGCGTTATAATCTCCTGTCACTCAGTTGGTTGTTCTGAGAGATCTCTAGGAGAATTCAATGGCATTTTAAATTCAATTCCTCTAATCAAGGGTTTATGCATTATACTCCTTGTTCAAAGGCTTCGTGGAAACAAAACGGTCCCCTAAAGGGAAGCTTATTTGAAAATATCGCAACTACTAGTGTGTTCATACGTCTTCTTTGACAGCTTTCTATTAACATTTTCAAGGAACTAAAGATTTGCAAATCTTGATTTTGTGTGCATATATCAAGCCTCTAGATGTTGCTAAGAAGCATGATGTACCATAGAATCTGCTTTTGATACCACTTGTGCTTTATTGAAAAGTTCTTATCCTTTCCTTACCTTTGGCTCAATTGAATGTTAGTTGGCGTTTTACTTACCTTCTTCGTCGTTTACCTTCTTCATTGTTTATCTTCTTCATTATTTATCTTCTTCATTGTTTACCTTCTTCATGGCTTACCTTCTTCATATGTTCTAGTAAATCTGACTTTGTGCGCCCTAGTTATATTTCTCAACATCACTTACCTCTTCTCTCTTCGAATGCATACAGTATGTATGCAATATAGCTTCGATCACTAATCTACTTACTTCTACTAACTTAGTTTCCCAGATTCATCGATTGTTAACCATCATTGATCCTCTATCTCCTTGCTATTTGTCTCATCCATAACACTTACTTGTCCTGATATTTGCCTTGAAAAATCCTTGGACATCGTTATATCATTATCTGTTGTCATATCAGTTGCTTCATCTGCTTTGTTCTCAACCACAAAATCCGCAGGTTTTCTGACTTCCTTCCACCATCTCCCTACTGTCACCGCACGTCTGTGCTACAATCATTTTAAGAAGGGCTCTGGCAGCTTGCTACTTCTCGACTTCATTATCGGCTTTGCTTTTTACTCCAGTTTCCCATTTCTCTCTGCAAGTCCTTTGCTCCTTTCGATTTGACTTTTGGTCAAGCACACATCCAACATTCTCAACCCTTTTCTTCACTCTCTAAATCTGTTCTACAAATCTACTCTCCTTCCGGTCTATACTTCCAATCTACCCTTCGGATCTACTCCTCGGGTCTACTCTTGTGCCCCACACCTCGATTCCACTTTAAACTACTTTCTATATCCACTTTCACTACTGGTCTACTCTGAATCGCATGAGAGTAAACATCTTACGATCTGATCAATCGCAACGTCCTTCCCTGAACTCTCAAAAGCAATCGCACAAGCAAGATGGCTCCTACAAATGTGAAGGGCAAAATGGCGTGCACTCTGCAGGGGGCTGCAGCATTCCGCGACAAACAGTCTGAGTTCAAGGCTGACTGCGCAGACCTTTTCAAGGTTCACCTGAAAAAGAATCCTGACGTTGAGTGGCACCCTAGAGATGGCCCTGGCATGAACGCTAACCTGCGGCGAGAAAAGGCTCGATTCAAGCTTGTCCTGGATATTGAATTCGACGAAGAGACTGGTCGGCCTCGCTTTCCTCCTGCAAATACCCGACTCTCAGATGAGCTGGTCTATCTGGCAACAAAGCACATGAACAGTGGTTTGCGTGGTCAGCGATACCCCTACGACTTCGACAAAAAGGGAGACATCGACCCTGATCGAGTGCCCTCAGGCCCCGCTCCCATCGTTTGGGCTCATGGCTTGCCTTTCTTTCCAGTTTATAAGGGATATTACATTCTCTGTGGCCGTGACCATGCTTTGTGCATTGGTTGGTTAATCGAAGAAAAGAACAAGACCACCATGAGGACGAACCCACCCTGGTCTATCGGAGCAGTTGTTGCACCCAAATCGGCGGTCACAAGTGAGCATCTGGTGGATCGTCAGATCAGTCGGCACCAGCCTTGGGGCATCGAAAGAGATCTTCGGTACAAAGGAAAACCTATGTATCGCGATGTTGTTTCAAGTGACCACCACGAATGCGGTGTTCTTCCACAACTTGACGAAGAAGCTGACGTGCGCCCCCTCTACTCTATACCTGGATACAATGCTCGGTGTGGACCCAGAGTCCCTGGGACTTGTCCTGACCTTGTGCTCAAAGAATTCTTCGTCAGGCATGGCATCGATGATCAAATTGACTATGTCCACCTTTGCCGAGAATACTCCAACATCTATCAAGACGACGAGGAAGAGCTGAAAGATCAGCCAATTAATGCGACTGACACGTTTGATGCATTGGACTCGGAGTTGACGGATAGTGACTCTTCTCTATTTGTGTCTCAATTTCCAGAGACGGAGGATGCTGACGTCGATATGGACAGAGTGGAGACTGCGCCAGTAGCGAAGCCAGAACTCGACGCCGAATCAGACCATCAACCCGAGAATCTTGCGAAAAACCAATCAACCGCGGCTTTCATGGATCCTGACAGCTTGGAAGATCATGGAGATAAACTGAGCATGCATGTCGACGATATCAACAACCCATTCAACATAGACACAATCATCGACGACTCTACCATCCAAGAAATCGACCTCGAAGAAAGCATGACAATAACAGAGCTTCTTATTGAAAAGATCGAAGCCCATCAGAGCACAGATCTTCTATCTCCCACGGAGGAGGTCAAAACATCAGAAGATCCCCAAGTTCCACTGCCCTTCCAGAATCAGATGGAACTATGTGATCCCGAGGTTGAAATCGAGACAGAAGAAACACAGGCCGCGACTCATATATCCGATGAACTCACTACGAGTCAGAGCACCAGTGTTCCAGTACTGTGCCCCGAAACTGATGACGGGTCGTTTTGAGCAGTCAATACGGTCCAAATTCTTGAGATGGAACTGCTTTTCAGTGCAATTGGTATAGCGGAACTTCTCTCATATTATGATGGTGGATATGAGCCTGATGGCATCAACGAGGACCCGGATGCAGTGGATAAAAGTCTGTATGGATGAGTTCGCAGTGATCTTCTTTGTTGAAATTATGGGGAAATCAGGGGACATCTTATCTTATTCTTATTTGCGGATTTCACATAGGGCGTTTTTAATCTATGATCTCTTCGTTTTTATTGCTTCGGCAGGGGCAGGTTCTTTGGCGTTTTTTTCTAATGGCGCTTCCAGAGGTTTTCACGTATTACTCTAGGTAAAAAGACTAAGATTTTCTAGTCAGGTCTTTTCACAGGTCTCTTAGAAGATTTGCTAATAGTCTTAAGGATAGCGCTTTAAGGTAATGAAATTTACTGGCAGGTCAAACTGTATCCGCCATCCAAAGAGATGCAAAGATAGAGGCTTCTTCACGGTACCGACCACTTCTTGAGATCAGAATTGCATATGTATCGATAATGACGAGAGAGATATGCAGTTCGTGAAGCTATCAGGAAGAAACAGACAGAGGTAGCGGACGTCTCAAATTCCGTTACCCAAGTCATTGACTACACCCGGTATTACACACCTAAGCTCGAAAGCATAACCCAACCAAAACAGCCCAAAAGGCATGATGTAAATTTCCCGTGAACGAACCCGGAAGCGCCAAGAACCCTTCTAGAATGTTAAGGCCAAGATAATCTCGATTTGGTTAAGTGCTGTGAGCACATGGAAAACCAATACATAGAACATGCAAAAGTGAAAGCCCATTCTTGAATTTAACGCCGAGGCTGGAAACGAAACAGAAGATGGAATATGAAAAAGCCCGCAGTGACATTCTTGTTGATGCAGGGTAAAACCAGATAGATAGAGGGATAGATAGAATGACCAAAAAATAAAAACCAAGAACCCAAAGAACCGGAATAAGTGAAACCCGAAGGTTGTTAGGGGCTTCTTGTCCCAAGGAGGAAGATCATATCGTGCGTTAATCGTATGTCGAACTAATCATTGTGTTGATTATCGACTGCAAATGGGGATCCCATTTGGAATACCGGCGATCCAGCGCCAGGTACATTGAGCGGCGTCTTGCGTCTCGCTAGAAAATTGGGTGTTCACGGAACACACCGAAGGAAAGCTGTGATCTCAGTGGTGCACTTCATTCACATGATGGTACAGCCACCACCGCTCTGAGCACGTCGGCGTCTACCACCCAGAGAAGTGATAGCGCTGGCACCGTATGCATCATTCTCTTCTTCGTCAGCATTGTAAAGACGCTCTGCTTCACGGGCGCGACGTCTGCGTCGACGGGCACCTGCGCCGGCGGCGCCTGCCTCCTCTGTGGCCATCATATAGTCTGCCCATTTCCGGTCCAGCCGGGATGCAGCAGCTAGATCGCCGCGGAGGACGCGTTTCGTATGTTCGTCGACGGTCATCTGCCAGCCGTAGAAACATTTGAGCTGGATGATCTCGTTCGGGCATGTTGACGAAGGCGGAGGGGTGGAGGCTGGTGTGACGAATGTGCTTGTCTCGGGGGAGGAGCCAGTGTCTGATGTTTGTGTTACGGTGACTACCGTCGACAAGGGTTTGCGGGAGGCGCGTGGGATGTAAGCGTTACTCGAGAGGACTTCCTTGACACCTGCCCAGGTGATATTTGCGCAGTCGAAGATCATGAGCCGCAGGCCGACTTCGGGGAGGTCATCGCTGTATCCGCGTCGTCGGATTCGATAGCTGGCTTCCATTAGAGTCAAGTCTGAGACTCTTGTGTTGTCCATTTCGACAGATCGGATTTTCGGACAACTCTTCATGACCTGGAGCATTCCTGTGTCGCTGAGGCTCTCGCAGTAACTGATGTTCAAGTGCTCTAGGTTCTGCGCACATGGGGATTTGGCCAGCTCCACCAAGGTGCTGTTAGTGAGGTTTTCCAAGTCTTCCAATTCCAGGTGCGACAGCTTCGGTGTGGTGCGAATGACATCGATGATAGAGTCGTCGGTCAGCTCGGAGCACTGGGATACCTGCAGGCCTTCCAGGTCTGGCACGTTATGAGCCAGGCTTTTCAAGCCGATGTCGCTCACTCCGGGGCATTGATGGAGGTCCAAATGACGGAATCGTCGAGGTGGAACGACGGCACGATCAGTCAGCACGTCTATACCGGGATCCTTGCCGTGGATCAGCGTCTTCAAGCTTTGATCAGTTAGGTCGGTACGGCTCATGATTAGACGATCCAAGTTATTGCGCTCAAACAAGGCCAGTGTGAACCTCTCATCTTTGAAGCCACGAATTTCGCTAGCGCGAAGATCCTTGAGTCGCTCACAAGACTGAACTACCCGGAGAAGACCGGTTGTATCAACATTGCTGCACCACGAAATATTCAATGTCTCAAGTTGCGAGCAAGACCGCGCAATGACCTTCATTGCGGAGTTCGTGACAGTCGAAAGCCCCGAGACATTGATATATTTCAAACGGGGGTTGTTAAGTAGAAAAGAGTAAATGGATGCCCTGTCGATACGACAGCCCTCAAGAGAAAAGTTGACAACATTTCGGCAGAGATCGGAAATGCGTTCTCCCTCAGAAGACCATTTTTCACGCATTTGAACACAACCTCTGAGGTTGAGGTCTCGAACAAAAGCACCCCCGGAAGTAATGAGCTTCACCAAGACGTCGCTCGGAATCTTAGAATAGTACTCCGTCGTATCGACCTTGGACCACAACTGTCCATCGTAGCACATTTCATTCCACAATTTAGAGACAGCGGAGCAGCGCACGATCTCCTGCGGAGTAAGATGCTGGAAGATCTCCATTTTGAGCTCTTGTGGCATATCGCCCCAAAAATCGAACGTTCTAGCCGGCTGAGACTCCGGAAGAGTGACTTCGTCCTCGACTTTAGTTTCCACTGGCACTGGCGTCGCTGTGCGTGGGGTCCCTTGAGACGCCGGTCTCACGTCAAATGGCAAGGGGACAGTGCGAGGCATGGCACAACTAGGGCCGTCGGTGTCTACCAGGCGGATACGTGGATTCGAACCTTGGGCGTCATCGGGAGAACGGGAACACCCGGGGGTGACCGGGCGAGGACCGAGGCCACCATACAACTGGGAGGAACTTCCATTGCCCAAGCAAGGCGAGTAGGAAGGGGAAGATAACGAAACACAAGATAGTGAAGCCTTATGGTCTCGGCGGTAGCCACTTGTTGAAGCCGAGCGTCCGCGTCTGGTCAGCGTCGGACTCGACGACATGCGTTGGAGACTCTGCAATAATTTTTGGCGGCCTTTGAGTTTGGGTGGTTGCTCTAGAGGGATCTGACCGGGTGAAGGTGTCGGACCCTCGGGGGAGGGCAGGATCTCGTCGGATGCTTGAGAGACCATTTTGATGACTTGATCGAGCCTGTCGTACTGATGCCTCGGGCCACGGATATCTTGCTACGTCTTCCGGAGAACGTCGGTGAAATTGTTATGGAGTGGGACAGGCTTTCGCGGGGAAGAACGAGGATGGAGGACAATGCAAACGAACTAAAGCGACGGGCGCGCAGTACTGCACCGTAATCTCTTAGACGAGCATAGCGATTCTGGATCTCAGCGATTTCCGGTGCAGTTTTTCTAAGAAAGAACTGAAGATGGGAAGTTGAGGGAAAACCACGTTGACTATTGTCTCGGGGGCCCACGGCCAAAGAACCGTGGAACAAGCCTGCTTTACGGCACTTTTACCGAGTGACGTTCAGAGTACCGAGAGAGCCGGGTAGAGGTTACAGACAGGGGAGCATGACTGAAGTTGAAAATTATAAAAAAGAGATAAAGGAAAGAGGACGGAATTAAAAAAAAAAAAAAGAAAAGAAAGAAATGGCGGAATGCAAAGGGAATGCACAGGGAATGCGATACATCTACTAAACTTGGAACAGGTGCAGCAATCACATAACAGATAATGTACTCCCCAAGTACATTCCCCTCTCTCCCGAGGTCGTTATCTGCTTATCACTCCCCCCACCTTAACAATAATATTGTAGGCACCGATAATAATTTTCCCCTACATAGAAGTACATGTACATGATTTCTACATGCATGTGTGCTCTATTACTGTATATGGAGGGTCCTATTGCATCTTCCTTTGTCTATATAATTTAATTCTGTCCTCCTGATTCCTAGACAGTAGCACAGACCATCTGATGTGAGACTAGGGCCAGCTGACGACGCCCTAGGAAAGACACCTATCTACAACGTAGGTACAAAATTAAGAGAGAACAACCGAGGGAGATGTCTGGGTACGCCTAGAACCTACAGATGTAGGGACAGGCAAATTAACAAAGTGGTTCCTGGCGGCACAGACTGGACACTCTTTCTTTTCGCCTCATTACAGTGGGGCATGCGGGGGAATAAGAGCCCATGGTACGATAAACTGAAACATGGAACACATTATCATGTGGATACACACATACATACCACTGCGGAGGTGTATCGCGGCATTATTTCTATAGGTGCATATGTAGATGTCTGACTCCAGTTTGGCAGAAAATTAAAATACTTGATTTACTATAACAGACCATAGTGAATTAGAGGCAAAGAAAAGGTAAGTGAAAGGTAAATAAGAGATTAATATCAATTAATTGACCCCTGACCGCTATACACCTTCGTATAGAACATACATATGTGCATTATATACACTGTGTCCATTGCATGTACAGTCTGGTCTTTATTCTGAACCTCGACTATATGTTGTATCTCGAATTTGAGTCATGCTAGTACTCAATTGAACTAAGAGATGAAGTGGGATTAAAGTGGATATTAATACAATGCGGGCACTAAGCCCATTTTGCCAAGGGCAATGTTGAGTCTCCCCCGCATTTCAGTAGAAATGTATAAAATTCTTCTGTTCTAGGTCACAATGGATCATGCAAAGGTATCGTCAAATGCTAAATGCCCCAAAACGAAATGCTTCATAGTCACGTGTGTCCTCCACTCTCCCCCGAAATGATACCCAGATAAATCCTGCAAACTAAATCAACTTTGTGGGGTATCGCGTTATTTGTTTTGGTTAATTTTTTTCAATAAAGATTGTGGGATGGTGTTTCAAGCCTCCACCATCCACGGGTGCCCAAGGACTTCGGTGATCGTAAGTCGGTTGTCAACGTCACGATCGAGCATCGTGCGGACGAGGTCAATGCAGTCTTCCGAGAAGGGAAGGAATGGGATTCGGAGGGGGTGGTCAAGGATCTCATCGACATTGTAGAACGGGTTCTCCTTGTATACGATGGTGTAGAGGAGAATGCCCAAAGCCCAGATATCTTGCTCCTTGCCTCGGTACGATCGTCCTTGGAGGACTTCGGGCGCGGCATAGTCTAGCGGGTCAAAAGTTAGCACATCACTCTGCAATAGTATTATTTAAAGAAACTTACCAATCGTTCCAACAAAGACATCGAACGGTCCATTCTTGATGTAAGCCGCGCTGCCAAAGTCGATCAACTTGATTCGCCCTTCTCCATCAAGAACTACATTCTCATCCTTGATGTCGCGGTGCACTACCAATGCCTTGGTGTGTAGGTGATTGATGGCGCTCACAACTTGTTTGAAAATGTTGCGGCACTCTGATTCATCCATGTTGGCCTTGAGCTCGATGTAATCGAAGAGGTCCATTCCTGGTAGCCCATGAGGTGTCATCTCAATGTAGTAGTTGATATCGTCCTCGAAGAAACCCTCCATCTCGACGATATTGGGATGTTTGAGTCCATCCCGTCGGAGGAAGTCGAGGACATGGATTTCCAGAGGCACAGTTCCCAGCCGTCGATCACGAGTCCACGTGTCAACCAGGATCCGCTTCTTCGTGACAAATTTCAACACCATCTTCTTGGTGGGCTGCTTCTTCAGGCGCGTCAGCTTGACTTGTCCGTACGCTCCCTGACCCATTTCCTCGAGGATCACGTAGTCGTTGATCGTCCGTTTCAGTGGGGGTTCATTCTTCTTGGCGGGTGAAATTTCGGGGATGGGTTGCACAGGACGGTCAGTCAGAGGCTGTGACGCTGCCTCGCTGAGCTGTTGGCTGAGAGTCGAAGTTGGAGCTTGAATTTCTACCAAAGTCTGGCGGTTTTCGGCGGTTTGAGTGTCAGAACCTAAGTCTGATGGGTTATCCGATGCTGAATCATGTGTCGGTGACGTGGATTTGGAAGTCGGTACGGATGATGGCGAGAGGCCGGCGGCAGGCCCAGCGGCATGGAGTTGCCGCGAATAGGTGATCCACAAGGCGTACACCAACTCTGTGACTGCAATTGTATCATCGCTGTCATCAGAATCGCTACTGCGATCGCTAGATCTCTCTGTCTTTTCCTTGGAGAAAAATGTCCCGCTCTTAACCACGCGTAGTTGTATGTCCACAACAATGGTCGAGCCGTCCCTGTGTTTAGCAAGTAGACCACTTGGCTCTGTGAAAACAGAGGCGGCGTTTGATTTTCCATCACGAAGGATAGACAAGGTTCGAGCTCGTCTGAAGCTGTGTTCAGGAATAACGATTCCATCAACCAATGGTACATTGTCCTCTTCAGTCAAAACATCCAGAATCTCATCAAAGTCAGGCACCAGCTCGGTGATATGAAGCCCTTCCGGTCGGGTTTGGCCGAACAGGACGGAAGAGAACACAGAGTTAGAACTGATCACATTCAACGAAGTGGATGACAGCACCATCATGCCAGCAACATGAGGGAAGCTCGAGACTTGGAGAGTACGATCTCCGTCTCCCTTTCCGATAGCCACAGGGATGCAAACGCCAGCCGCAGTGCGGGCGGCAAAGTGCTTCAACCGCAAAATTTCGTCCAGTCCCTTCGTGAACGATGTCTCGAGAGATGCTGGCGGCAAACATGGTAGAAGATCAGTGATTGATTGGCCGCTGTGGACAACAGATGAACCCCAGATCTTGTCCGGGTCACCCTTGGCTTCCACAACTTTCCATGAATCATCGCACTGGACAAAGGCAACATTTTCTGTGATCTCCTCCAGGACCCAAATCAGGCCACCACGCTTTTCCATAACCCAAACACTAGCCGATCCCCGTGATCCGTTGCGCTTTTGAATTGGCACGACGTCGCCGCATAACAAGACTCCTCGTGATTTGTTTCCTGGGTGGTTATTGTTTCGGGGGGTTCGCGTGCTTGAGCCATACCCATCATCTGTCTGCGACCTCCGCGACTTTTCACGCGAAGATGGTTTGCTGAGTAACTGTGCGGTTACGCCGTTTCCGAGACCGCGGAACTTCGGGTTGACGGCGCTGATGTTGGCCCTTTCTGGTTGAAGCGGCATGCGGGCAGCGGCGTCAGTGCTGGGATCCCGGAGTTTGGCCTCCAGCCATTCTCTATGCTCTTTCTGTACAACTTCCAGGATGCTGAGACGGCGAATTTCGGACTGAAGAACGCCGAAAATCAAGCAGGAGAGATCATTAGCGGCCAAAATAGTCCAAGGTGCGTGGGCTTCGGTCCTGAAAACGGCCTGGGAGACTGGGGTCCATTTGCTGCTATGGGCGTGAAGGGCGGGGATCGGAAATCCTAATCCAGCGGTAGATGAATTAAGCGAGGCGAAGGGGTCTGTCGAGGAGGTATAAGGTTGTGCTAGAGTTTCCATCAGCTTGCTCTTGAGGGAAGCAGAGCAGAGGTCCGTGTATGTACGTTTTAAGCTTACACGCCTGGACGTTGGTGCCGATATTAGGTCCCGCCTTTGGTTGGAGATACGATCGCTGGGCACCGGGCTCAGCATGTGTGTACTGTCAGAAATATGTGACCCGGAAGTGAAAGAATCCTGGGCAGTGTCTCGGGTGCTGACCGGAGACAGTGAACCACCATCCGAGAAGGCCTTCTCAAAAACATTGCTGCCATTTATTTCCGCGGGTCCAGTGATTGGTCCTCGGTGTGGAATGTGTTGTTCCTGGGTTTCAAGCATGTTGGCTCGGGCCAGAAGGTCCATCATACCTTGCATCTCTGGGTCCCCGCTGACGTTGGCTTGCGCATTGGCGATGCCGGCATTGGTCGCAGCCCATCCCATCCGGTCGCGCATGAAATCAATAGACCGTTTGAGGATGTTTTGACGGCTGTGGAGGAATTCCTCGGACTGCTGAGCAAACGAAAATGAATGTAGTGACTCCAGAGGGAATCGGTGTAGATCCTCCAAATCCGTAGTACTTGAGCTCATAGACAAACGGCCAGAGTGAGCTCGAGTCGATGAGCGCGAGCGAGGGGAAGGAGCGGGGCGTTGAGTAGCCATCGGGGCTAGTGACGATGTGGATAGGTTTGGAAGTGTCAGGACTCGCGAGGGTTGGTGCTGGCGTATACGATCCAAGCCGGAAGGACCGAGTCCATGATCGTTCTCGAATAACGGAGATCGGCTGTAAAGGGGACTGTCAATTTTGTGATCCATGGAAATAGTAGTAGTTTGTCCGACCTCGAAATAGGATCATATCCCGAAGAAACGCTGTCTAGTGAGCCTCTGACTCGATCTGTTTGTAGAGAAAGTTTTGGAAAACCGGATTCGGACTCGGGGGACTCTGAGAGGGGTCCTAACGGCGACGAAAGAGGACTCGGCTCGCCTATATTTGATCAGCGTGATTCACATAGCATATCATCAACCTAATCGGAGGGCGTCGAAGTTTCCATTCCACGGGCCTTTGCAATGTGATCCACTCGAATGATTCGGGGCGGTTGGACTCCGCGGTCAGATGCAGCTCCGAGCATGTGCCAGACTGTTGAACTTCTGATCGGAGGAACACAAGAAACCCCAACTTTTTCAATATTTCTTTGTCCTCAATTTGAGGGTCGCATAACCTGTTTTCTCTCCCCCTCTCCACTAGTTCCCCGGGTCCCATGGAATGTGAAACAAAGATAAGGTAGAGAGGGTCAACATAAAACAAAAAACATGTAATACTGACCATCAGGGTTGAAAGCCGACCCCATTCCCGACTCTCGTTTGGATTTAGAAAGAGAAAATGACGAATGAAAAGAGTCAGATGAAATGGAAGAGAGGCTCAATCAAGGTGAGCAAATGACAATTAGGGAGATATGCGACATGTACTAGTCATTCGTAGCTGCGATGGGGGTTGGGAGGGCAGCTGCCTCGTGGTCTCAGGCGGCATATGTGGCGTCGCGGCGAAAGCACGCGAAAAGGGTAAGACCAAGTTCAAGAGAATTAGTTCTAAGGGGGAAGTGAAAGCAGAAAAAGAAAAAAGCAGCGGGGGAATGAAAGCGAGTGGGGATAGAGGAAAATGCGAAATGCGAAATGTTGAAATGCGAGAGGACTGGGTCCCCTCTGATGTAATGCTCGGTTGTTGTTTTTGCCTTCTTCTTTCTTTTCTTTAGATATAACTCTTCAGAGACAGGTTTCTTTTTTATTTTCTCTTGTTTTTCTATTTCTTCTAGGAAGTTTATATTAAAGAGACTAGGATATACTTGAATTTAGTTGGTAATTGACAAGCGCTGATTTCGATCGACCGATCGACATAATCTCTATGCCAGGAGAATTTCTATACTTTATTCGTTTAGGGCATTGACGTTGAAGAACAATTGAATATATATATACACACGGATGTATGTATGCTCTTGTATGAAGAGAATCTTAAATTCAACTCCAAAGTACCCAGCTACTAATTCAATACTTCAAGAAACTATGTGGTGCTCAGACAATTCCTACCCCGCTCCGCCAACACAGCATGTCTTTGCTACTTTAGAGTATATAGATCGATGATGCAAAGTGGCTTTTTTCAAATAGATCCGAGCGCCTGATGTGGGACCTTGCTTGGCTTCTTTGGGTAGCTAAGACTTGTCGTTTGATATGGAAGATTTACGCTGTAGATTGAAAAGGGTCTAGTGCAGAGATATCGTACAGCCATCGTGCATATGTCCCTGATTGTTGTGATTGGAATATCGGAGACTCGTCACTGTCCCAAAATGAATAATTATGTAGCCTAGCAGGAGATAAGATGTGGACCTAGCGTAAAACTTTGCGTTGCCGGAACGTTGACATGGGTCATTTTGGAAGATATCACAGTGGGCCAGCCCCTGACAGAGGCTCCCGGGAGCCCCGAAGGCTGTGTAGTGCCAATTCACCGTGCTCATCGGTTCCTGGATTTTCCTCCCCACCAGATCCGAACAAAGTACCATGTTTCCCTCGGCTTTGATCCAGATGTCGAGTTTGTTCAGGTGGTGGTGACGTTGAACTCACAAAGCCCGACAGGTTCCGGCCGCCGCCAAGCATCCACGAGAATCCCGAATCTGTGAGGGATGGTCGTACGACGGGTCGCGAGGGTATTGTCCGCGCACCCTCGGTCGTTTTGCTAGTGTTTGTCTGATTTGCTGTGGCGATGCAGGCGGGATTTGATGTTCCACTGTCGGCAGTCGGCCCGATCATATCCGTGCTGGCGGAATCTAGTCTTCGTATTTGAGGCTTGCTTGCCGAAGTCTTGGCTTCTGTTTCGCTTTTCGATCCAGTCTTCTCTCCTAGATCATTCGGTTGATCTTTTTCAATTTCACCGTCTATACAAGAGAGTGTCTGAGATGAATCTACTGGGATAGAAGAGTCTTGGAGGCAGACCCGCACACTCTCAGCTTTAGCCAGGGCTTGTTTTATGATAATGCTGGTGTTAGGATCAAGATCTTTGACATTTGCCAGCTGCGCGTTAAGCTCGCCGAGAGCATCGCGCAAAGTAGAAGCCAAATCTGTATTTCTTCCTTCAAGAATATTGATCTTCGTTTCCAACTCAGCTGTGACTGCCGTATTCGTCGTTGATGTTTGTGTTTGAACTCCTGGGGCTGTTCCGGCAGAAACGGGCCTCGAAACAGTGCGTAATTTGGGTTCATAGTGCATTGTCTGCATATTTTTCCTGGCTTCAGTCACTGCGCCCCGGACGGCTTTGGCTACACCCCAGGACTCGGTACGACGTTGGATCCCTTGGGAAACGTCTTGGAAGAGAGTTTCAAGACCTTTGGGGCTGTTCCTGGCGGAATGATGAGAGGGCGAGCTGTTTTGACTGCGCCTCTTGAAATCATCCCATAGAAAAGCCTTCCTTGCTGGCTGAGTACCAGACGAGGTGCGATCTTTAGATTTAGAGTCGGGTGGCCTGCCCGAATATTTCGATATAATGAAACTACCTCTGTTGGCAGTAGGATTCTGTTCCAAATAAAGCGCATCGTGTACAAAAGTTTGAGGCGCATGTTGAGGCGAGGGGTATCGAAGTAATAAAGTCAACGCGGTTGTGTAATCCGCCTCGAGTACTAGATGATATGTGTCAACAGACGGGTTCGAGATAGCTTATCTTGCGCACTCTGCGAACTCACATTGCCAGCGAATTCTAAGCAGCATTGCAATGCATGTGAAATCAACAAGGTCGGATCGTAGTCCGTGAGCAAACAAAAGGTCCCACATCACCAGGACTTCATCAAATGGGAATTCCCGACCCCAAAGTAGGCGCATCCAGCGACTTTTCAATATGTCAGTACCAATGCATCAGCTGGTGCTTATCTGGGAGCAACTCACGTTAAGAATATCTGCGGTAAAACTTCAACGGCTTCCAAGTGTTCCGCTAGCTCATGATCAATAATAGTCAAAGCTTCTTTATGTAGATATTGACACCGCTCAACTATCGGAATGACATCCACTCGGCCATTTGCTGACCGTGTCTCCCCGTGTTCATAGTATGTACGGGCTGTTTGCATGGCAGAGAGAAACAGCGTGAACGAATCATGTTCCACAAAGTCAGGATCGAGAAGCTTGAGCATCAAATCCTCATTATTTTCTTTGTTGCGACTGAGTCCTGCAGTCTGCGGTTCCACGGAATCTCGATCAACGACCCAAAGCAAAGGCGCAAGTAGTTCATGCATTCCTTGTCTATAGCCCACGTCCGGATTGAGTTTCGAGTATACAAACAATACATTCGTTAATTTGGATTTTGTGTCGGGTTCTTGGAAAAAAAAGTTTTCTTGTAAACATCGGTCGACATCTTGTAAAATCTCGGCGCGCAGCGTCTCATCGTTTCGAAGTGTTTGCCAGGGAGACTAATGGGTTATATGATATGATTAGATCAAGATTCTGAATCGTGACAAAACAAAGCGAGATTCAGAGGTGCATACCTGCTCATCATCCGCCAGCGGATCAACAGTTGATTCTAGATCGTCCGGATGTTCGATGTATTTCAAGAAATGGTCGCGCAGCGCGCGATAAGCATCCCGGGATTCGTCAAGCTTGGCCGCCCATTCATTCCGATCCACACCGTCGAAGATGAGGAATGCCTGCACTGATAATAAGCATATAGTTCAACCTGGTATGTTCAAGATCCCACAGAACCTTCCAGCAAACCGATCTCAGCCCGTCACTGCACAGGTTTCCTCCTTGCTCGGATAACAAAGCCGCTCGTAGGTCGGAGGTCGTCTCATTATCGGAGAATAGGATGTCCCATCTCTTTCTGCCAAAGTCAATACAAGCAATTAATAGCCCAGTGTCTTGGGGAATTACCTAGTATCCTCAATGTTTCTCATTGCTAAAGTTGTGATAGGAAGAGGGTGAGGGGATGCGGGCGATATCTAGACCGCCTTATCACGCGAACACTCATTGCGACATTCCGGGGCTATCTTCCTTCTACGGAGTAGTACTAGAATTTGCCTCCAGGGCTCCAATCAAATGGTTATATAAATTGCGGCTGACACCGGCAAAAAGCTCATACCTTGCACTGTTCCAAGGTTGCCCTTGCAGGAAATCTGCGTCTTGTTTCACCCCACCTAGTTTCATGACATTCGACTCCAATGTCGGCCGATTTGCTAGCAGAGTTTGGTCAAGCACCTGACCCAGCAAACTACTCCTCTAGCCAACAGCAGCCAGCCAAATGGCAGAAAAGCTCATTTTTTGATGATCTAAACCAAGAGAACGATATCTTCGGATCTTCGGGAAGTCTGCAGCATAATGAGCCCTCCCATGCACCATTGGGAGGCAGAAGTCAATCTGCAACGCCCAAAACCCAGTGGCAAGCCTTTGAACAACAAAATTTTGATCTACCTCAACACCAAAATAGTGAAGTGTTGTTCGATGCAGCATTTGACGCACCTGCAAGTGACGCAGAAGATGATTGGGGTGAGTTCGAGGGTCCCGAGTCAAATAACCAACATGCAACTCTGTCAACGGAGCCTCAGCAGTCAGCGACTGCTTCATTCAGGTCTCAGCCTAACCAAAAGGGTTCACCGGCGTTGGGGACAATTGACTTGCTAGACTCACTCTCGCTCCATGACTCGGCACCAGTCGTGAAACAGCCGTCAAAAATCACCGGGAAGCAATACACACACGAGTCCAGTAAACCCCAAACCCAAGCAACATGGGATGATGACTCGTTTGGTGACTGGGGCGATTTTACCGATGCGCCAATTAGCCAACCTCATCCCAGCTCAGAGAAGAAAGCAATTCCATCTCCCAAGCCACATTCAAAAGTATCCACTAATCCCAAACCACCTGCATCTACCTGGGATCATGATACATTTGAGGATTGGGGTGATTTTACGGAAGAACCTAGTACGAATCCTGATTCCAAACCCAAACCCAAACCAGCAGTCGCTGGTCCATCTCCAATCAGCTTTGTTTCTGGGACCACAGCGCCGGCAGCTAACGTCCGTCCGACGAACATTCCACCTCCATCTGTTCTCCTCGAGTTATTCCTAGATGTGTTTGAGAATCTCCACAAGGAGGCTACTCTCGCAAAATCCCATCTGCGATCAGCATCGCCTTCAACCGATGTTTCCATAACCGCATCAAACATTTACAATGCCCTTTTATCGGCCGCCCGTGTAATTGCAGGACGGAGTCTCCGCTGGAAGCGCGATACAATCCTCAGCCAAAGCATGCGAATTGGCCCGGCCCGTTCCGGGAAAGTCGGTGGCATGAAACTCAACAGCGTGAACAAGCAAGAAAACATCAAAGAAGAACAAGACGCCGTTGACGTACTTGTTGCTTGGCGCGAACGGGCGGTAGTCTTCAATGCCATCTTGCAAGGCGTAGGCCAACGGCCGATCCCTACGGTCCCAGACCCTAGCGCGCTTAAGGTTATTATCGCTCGAGCAGACCAAGGAGCGCTAAAGGCTTCACATCCATGTGCGCTTTGTTCCCTTAAGCGAGATGAGCGGGTATTACGGGTCGATGAACAAAATGTCCAAGATAGTTTCGGGGAGTGGTGGACAGAACACTGGGGCCATACACCATGTAGGCAATTTTGGGAAGCCAATCGATACCTACTTGGGCAACGATGAGAATCAACAATCAACCATCAGAAATCAAAAATATTAATCCAATTCAAGTGCACTGTTGACAGAAAGAGCAAAGATAATTGATAACTAAACCATCGGGAGGGAACCCGATGGTCTATAGTTGGCTGCAGTTGGCTGCATAAGTGTGGATTCAGTGCCCCGATAAGGCTTCGTATTGAGTTCACCGGGGCCTTTTGCCTCCCAGAGTCCCCGGGCCCAGGGGCGCCTTTGATTCGTTCCCGTCGCTGATAACCCATGCTTCCACTCCTCGCGGACTTTCCCCGCATTTTTATGACATCCCAGCTCACAGCCCTGCAAGTTCACATATCACAACCGAAATAAAACACACATGGCGGGCGATGGAAGAGTCACAAAGCGGTCCTCAAATGCGTAAGGAACCTGAAAGTTGCTAGAATAAAACTGCTGACCTACATAGTTGCGTGCGATGTCGGAGACAAAAAATCAAGTGCTCCGGCTCGCAGCCTTGCGATGGCTGCAGCAAGCGAAAGCTTCCATGTATCTTCAATGATCGTGATCAAAAGATTTTGGTGACAAGAGGGTAAGTAAAGTGTAAGATCTAGCAGATTTCATTACTAATGCTTGATGCAGATACATCCTGGAGCTGCAGCAGAAGATCGCACGCATAGAGCAGAACGAACAAGGCCAGCCTAGTCCTTTCAGCTCCAACTTCGACGCTCAGACTATCGGTTCGTCTTGATGTCTGGTTATATAGCATCATTGTTGATCTTTCATAGATCCCAAAGATCGGGAAGACATACCCTCATTGGAGAGGACCATCACTCCTGAAGATCAAGATGGATCTCAGGACTTGGAAGATCCAGAATCTGGTCTAGCTAATCCGCTATCAACTGGTCCGCCTGCTTTTATGTCTGCGGCAAATGGTCGAACATGTATGTCACGTACCTTTCATAAGGTGCAAATCTGACATTTGCAGTCTATCTTGGAACCTCCTCCAACTGGTCATTCACTCGACGAGTTCTCAGCCTGGCACATCAGCATCTCTATCAGGAATCTTTGCCAACAGAGACCTTGTTGTTTGATGAAACTACTTACCAATTAGGATGGGATGGACTACGAACAACTCCCGGCCCGGATGTTCCAGTTGTCCCAACTCGCGACCACACAATGTATCTGATCAATGCTGTGCAATTTCGTTGCGGTCAGTTGTATCATCTTTTTGAAGAAAACGATTTCATGAGTTCTCTACAACAATTTTACTCAGGGGACGGACAAAACATGACGAATAGCTTGTGGTATATCCATTTCCTCCTTATTCTGGCTTTTGGAAAAGGATTTGTTCAGCCCAAGGCTCAAGCTAAAAAGCCACCAGGAGTGGGATATTTCGTCAAAGCTTTGCAACTTCTTCCCGATTCCAGTGCCCTATACCGAGATCCTATGCTAGGAACAGAGATCCTATGCTGCATCGCCTTATATTACCAATGTGTTGACTATCGCACATCCGCACACAACTACGTGAGATAACCCGAGCCAATATGCCTCTTAAGCAGACTGACTGATCAATCGTATAGATCGGCCAAGCCATGCGGATAGCCATGGCACAGGGAATGCACACTAGTATGCCAGTCGAAGATTTAGGACACAACACGGTCCAAAGATGTGGTAAAATCTGGTGGACTATCTACATTCTCGATCGAGAGATGACATCTTTGATGGGATTACCTCAATCAATCAATGATCGTTATGTCCAAACCCAGCTTCCTGCCTTTTCAGATGCAACGGAAACCATGTCCCTAGGCATGCACATCAAGTTGTCTCAAATTATCGCTGAGGTGAATAGTAGTAAGAATGGCAGACCTTCCATCGCTCGTCATAACACTAACCACTCGAACAGCAATATATGTGATTGATGGCCGTATCAACCGGACCTTCCTTCTCAGCACTAAAACTGCATTGGCGAACATAGCAGGTCTTGCTGACGAGCTTCGCCAATCATTCCCATTACATCTAGATCCATCCAGCGGTGTTTCTCGCTTATCGGCATACTTGCATCTTCTATACCACCAGGTTCGTTTTTTACTTTCGAATGAGGTAATGATATTTGAAATAAGGACCGCCGCTAACCATTTCATCTATCATATAGTGTATTATTCTCGCCACCAGACCTCTACTCTTCTGCTTCCTCAAAATCCGATTCGAGTCTCCAGAACGCTTTTTAGAGACTCTCAACGCCTCCCGTAACGTGCAAAACTTGATGCAGATGTGTCTTGAATCTGCCCAGCACATAATCAGTATCCTCCATAGTCTACAGAGTCAAGGACTCCTAGGTAAATCAACCTTGGTCTACCAGAAGAAGACGTATACTAACATGAATAGAAACATTTCTCCCCTTTGACCTAGAATCAGTCTTCGTCTCTACGGTCATCCTCCTAATAGGACCAGCTATAGACCCACGTTTACTCGAAAGCCACCCCAGCTGGCTCGAGAAATCCTATGCTATATTCGACGAAATGATCGGAGACGGCAACCAGGTCGCCAATTTCCGACGATCAGAGCTCCAGCAGCTAGACGAGACATTACTAGGCTGTGTTTCTGGTAGCCAGCCTGGCCCATTGACAATCCCTGCTTTTTACCAGGAGTCTGGCATTGTCCCTCATCCGCCTTCCCCGTCAACATCGATTTCGGGGTCCATAGCGCATCCCGTGCGATATGATACGCTTCTCAGGCCAGATCCTGAGTTGGATGCAGAGTGTGATTTCGGTACGATGTTGACATCGGCTGAGATTATGGCTGTTGCAGATTCTATTGAGACTTTTGATACCGAGTGGGTGTCAAATGCCATGGTTGAACATAGTATATGCTAGATCTGTGATGAATTTTATGAGTTCAGATGCTTGAGTTATGAAGGTAGTTTCAATTAGTTCCAACATATATATACAGTTAGCAGGCAATGGATACTTGTATGGATAATCAAGAAAGAGAGTAAATGTAGTAGACATAAAAGAGATTTTGAAAGCTATTCATGCTAAAATCTAACTAATCTGAGAACGATACACAATGCAACTTTAATAATCTTATAGATTCAAGGGACTCTAAAGCTTAGACAAGATCTTGGGTTTGATCTCAGATAGTTCCTTTGACTCTCCAAGTCGCCAACTCACATCACCGCCCCAATTCCCCTTCGACTCATTGGGATCCGACTGCTTCCACCGCCACTGGACATTACGCTGCTGGCTAGTCTCCAAAACATCCAAGACCCACGATCCAAAGATAGGGAACATTTTGAAGCCATGTCCCGAGTCACCAGACAGCACAAGAACAGAGTCCGAGGTTCCTGGAACATAATCAATGATGAAGTCCGAGTCGTCCGTATCAGCAAACCAACAAAGCGACGTCTTAACCAGAGGGCGATTCGCAAGCGCCGGAAGCGTATGCGCCAGCAACTTCCTCATCTGCTTTTCATCATGCTCTGGTACAAACGCGCTCTCTTCCAACGTATCGGGGGCATGTGAGACGCCCGTTTTCGAATCAGTGTTAATGAAACCACCGCCCATAGGACAAATCTTCAACAAATTCGTCTTCGGATCGGGCTCAAAGAAGAATCCCAGATCACGGGCATATGTCACAGGGATACCGCGCAGAGCGGAGGTTTCTTCATCGGTAAGATGGACATGTGCAACAGACCAGGACTTGGCAACGACCTTCTTGCCGAGTTCCGGGACAAGACGGCCCACCGCACCGCCAGCGGCGACAATGACCAAAGATGAGGGGTGGAATTTCCCGTCCTTTGTGCGGATCCCGGAACTCTTCCTGCCATGTATTGTGCTGACGTAGACGACCTCGTCGACTGCGCCGTGCTGGCCGAGGTAGAAGCGCACACCGGCTGCTTGGGTGGCGCGGTATACCGCTGCAAGCGCGTTGCCAGAGTGGGCGTACCCATCAAAGCGGTTGAGGTATCCTTTCCAGCCGGTCAATGGGCCATCAAGTTGCCAGCATGCTTGGCGAACATCATTTGAGTCATTGAGGGGTATGACGTGAGGCTTGGTTTGTGTATTGCTCTCGGCCGATGCTCGGAATCTTGAGAGGGTGTCGAGGGCTTTTTGAGGCGCATCGCCAGAAGCACAGTGGAGGAATCCAGTTTGGTGGAAATGAGGGGCGAAAAGAGGAGTTTTCCATTCCGAAATGGCTTTCTGGAAACCGAGAATTTGTTAAATTCAACTCTAGCATACCTACATGAGGAGGTTGAAGAAAGTAGCTTACAATTGTCAAACCAGTGTAGAAGGGATCCTCATACTCTGCCCGCACAATCTTATTCAGATCATTGGCAGCCGAATAGCGTGGAGGGATCTGGTCATCTTTCTCGTAAACAGAAATATTTGTAAATCCGGATCGGGTCAGATGAAAAGCAGTTGACAGCCCAAAGGCGCCACCACCAACAATGATGATCGGGTCGGACTTGGAGATACCCATCTTCACAGTTGAGATGTGATAGCACAGAAATGCCCCAGATGCAAGCAGTTATAGATATCTCACATTAGCTGGATCATGATATGTTTTTACGCAATTCGTATAGTTCCATGCACGGCAGGGTTACCGATACATCTGAAGTGCGGGGGGTGCGGAGAAAGGACTTGGGCATCGGGAGGCCTCCCGGTGTGGACTTGATAAGCATCGACATGACGTCCGTAGACTAGGGACTTGATAACGGTATATGGAAAATATACCGATGTGGTGAATCCATCCATGACGATACCTGCATGTAGATAGTCTTTGTGCTGCAGACTAATTCTGGGTGGTCACGAGTCCACACCATTCATGCAAGTTTGATTTTTTTATTTATAAAATAAGAGTTCAAATATCATTCAAGATCTGAGCTTGCTACTGTAATGTTGCGTTTTCTAGTGTGAATTGTCGTTGAATGGACTATATTTGGGTTGCCTGTTTATCATCCTAAAAGGGGACTTGTTCAAAACATTTGAAGTCATGTACTTCCAAAGCCTACACACCTAAATTTACGGTACCTAAGCAGCCTAAGGACAAAACAAAATACACAATATCAAAAAAACTGTGTAGTCATATGTTGTCAGATTTATCCTACAGCCGCAAAAGTCGAAAATAGTTTGAAAGAATAAAAGCATGACTGAATTGTGAACATGCATATTTTGCTCATGAAATCTCTATTAAATCATTGTTATATAACACTTCCCTCAGTGGTTGCTAGGGTAGGTGAATTCCTCCTGGCTGAAGAACTCTTCTTTGATCAACCGCGGGCTGACGAAACGACGAAGAGGATCGGAACTACCGGCCTTATCATTGGTACCGCTAGCGCGAGCACCGCCGAAGGACTGCTGTCCAATCAAAGCAGCGGTAGTCTTGCAGTCTGTAGGGAGATGATCATTTAGGATTTATGCTAAACAAAGTAGTTTTCGAGGGGACTTACTGATGTAGAAGTTTCCGGCAGAGTAACGGAGCTTGTCTTCGGCCTCGCGGATAGCTACACGGTCCTTGGCGAATACAGCACCAGTCAAGGCAAAACCACCTCCGTTCTGATCAACAGACTTCAGAATTGAAGACCACTCGGCATCCTTGTAGATGTAAACGGCAAGCACGGGGCCAAAGATCTCCTCGTTGAAGAGGGCGTGGTCAGGCGAATCGGCTTGATACACAGTGGGGTGCACATAGTAGCCAACAGACCCATCATAAGTGCCACCGGCAATTAGCTTCAGCGAGGGGTCCTTGTTGCTAGCATCGATGATAGACTTGATCTTCTCGAATGAGCCGCGGTGGATCACAGGGCCCATAAAAGCTTCCAAGTCCTTATCTGGGTTTCCAATGGTGATCTCTTTGATACCAGCCTTTAATTGAGCGAGGAACTCGTCAGCCTTGGACTCGGGGAGGTAGAGACGAGAGGTTGCAGAGCACTTCTGTCCCTGGTACTCGAAGGAGCCACGGATGGTGTGGTTGACAGCACTGGAGATGTCGGCTGAAGAGTGAACGAGGTGGAAGTTCTTTCCACTGGTTTCGGCAACGAAGCGAGGGAACTCGCGGTAAGTCTTTGCGGCAACACCCTGACCAATACGGCCATACAGCGAACGGAAGACATCGGAGGACCCGATGAAGTTTAGACCGGCAAAGTCACGGTGTGAGAGAACGGTGTCAGTAATACCTTGCGCATCACCAGTCACGAATTGGATCACGTTAGGAGGTAGGCCAGCTTCCAGAAGAACCTTATAGAGTATAGTGCTGGCGTAGACATTAGATGGCGAGGGCTTCCACAGCACCACGTTACCCATTATTGCAGGTCCGGCAATCAGGTTTCCACCAATAGCTGTGAAGTTGAAGGGGGAGACAGCGTAAACAAAACCCTCCAGAGGGCGGTAGTCAATACGACTAAGTAAAGTTAGCAAAATCCTCTTTGAACCAAATAGTTGACAAAGCTCGCCTCCACATGCCGTCACTGCCTCGGGTGGGCTGCTTCTCCAAAATTTCAGCAGCCCAGTTACAATTCAGACGGAAGAAATCCGCCAATTCAGCCGCCGCATCAATCTCTCCTTGCCAGATATTTTTTCCTTGGCCAAGCATAGTGGCCGCAATAATCTCGTATCGGTATTTGGTAGTGAGCAGCTCAGCAGCCTTGAGGAAGATCGAAGCACGGTCAACAAATGGTGTGTCTTGCCAGCTTTGCTTCGCTTGGAGTGCCGACTCAATGGCTGATCGGGTCTGCTCCTCGGTGGCGAGTGGGTAGTTTGTGAATGTAGTGGCATGTTCGGCGGGCAAGGGCTGGTCAATCGATTTGGAGCTTGCTTGGAATTTTCCGTCGTAGAAGAGCTCGCTCCGTACGGGTAGCTGAGAGCGGAGCTTGGTCAGCGCTTCTTGGAGCTTAGCGCGCTCTGGGGAGCCTTTCTTGTAAAGAGGCTGTTACCGATTAGCTTGAAATCTCCGAATTTTGTAATTTGGAAACTCACGTTGGGTTCATTTCGAGCATCGGGGAGGCGGAAGGGCATAGTTGTCCTAGAACGGGCCTGGATAGAAATCCCCGCAGGCACGAAGCGAAGGCGAGGACCAGTAGGCCGTGTGGAGCGCATTCTCAGGAGGGTAGCTGTAGACATGATTAATAACGAAACATATTAATCTGACAGCAGTGTGAATTGAAAATATCAATTGAAGAAGGCAAGCTGGTTGCTTTAAAGATGGTTAAAGATCAATGACCCCTCATAAAAGCATCGGATGCTTGTCCGTATACCCCACAACGTGCATTTGCATCCAGACTGAGCTATGATACTCGAGGTAAAGCCAAAGCGATGGTTGCTGTTGAGCACATGCTGAGTCGGGAGGGCTTCCGATGCTCATATCGGGGGTTGGATAACTGTTATCTATCCCATTTCAAAGTACATATGTAGCCATGCAGCAGGAGAGTCGAAATTTAATATGTAACTCGAAACTGTTATAATGGAAGAAGTTCAATCACAGCAAGTTCGTTGGAGCAGCCCCAATATAGGACACATCGCAGGCGATCTCGCCGCAGCTACAATCTCGGCGAGTCTAGTAACACCCGCTGTTGCAATTATCGACAGGTCAGTATTGATTCTACAAGCGCAACTTGAAATACTACATCTCTAACAAGCGCCCAGATCACTAGTTGAGCAAGCTGCCTTCAAACAGTCCATTCTCTGCGGACTACGTCGGCATGCGATCGGGGCGCTCCGACAACCCAGCTTGTTTATCTTCCAACGACCCTTCGGTATCGTTTGGGCGCTCTATGTGGCCACATATTCCGTCGCCAACGTAACCGACACTATCGGTCGCAAGCTTGAGATAGCTGCGGCGAGGACTATTACATTTGCCACAACCATGCTAGCAAATGTCCCGCTGGCACTTTGGAAGGACATCCGATTTGCAAAAGAATATGGCACCGGCAGGGGTCCCGATGCCAAGATCGCAATTGCGAACATCTCAAGCCCTGTGCCCATCCACAACAAATCAATGGCCCTAGCTGCGGCTGCTGTCTTTCTTGTGAGAGATGGTGTCACGATCTTTGGGTCGTTTACGTTGGCGCCGTGGTTGTCGGATGCCATCCCCGATCACTTGGCGGCCCATCCCCACGTAAAGCCGATCATTACGCAGTTAACCGTGCCTGTCCTGACACAGCTGGTAGCTACACCACTACATTTACTGGCGTTGGATATGTATACTAGACAATACAGAGTGCCCTGGTTGGACAGGATCAAGCATTCGCAGCGATATGTTTTGTCGTCGACTTTGTTACGTGGTGTCCGGATTATTCCTGCGTTTGGAGTTGGCTGCTTAACGAATATGGAGTTGCGATCAGTTTTCCATGCAAAATTCTCAAGGTAATCAAATAAAGTGCTTTTCTAACTCTCTTTTACGTTCATATCTCGTCAACTAGCTGATTCCAGGGATTTCCATCTATAATCTATCATCGTAATCTTGTATTCAAGCACACCCCCAAGTCACACATGATATGAGACTTATTTAAAACTACATGCTCAAGCATGCTCAACTTGCTTATCCTCGACTCCCTTCTCTGTGTCATCAATGTGTGCAAGAATGTCAGTCTGATAAGGCATTCTGCGCGCGACGTGAACCGTATCGAATACGGAATTTGACTGAACAAAAATATCGTCAATCTCCTCGAGCGTTCGTCCTTTAGTCTCGGGACAGAATAAATAGAAGCAAACACATGCAAAGGCGCTAATACATGCGTAGATGATGTAATATCGCCAACTGATAGTGGCAAACCCGACAGGGCTCACCTCTGCCAGGACGAAATTGAAAAGCCAGTTTGCTGCAGCTGACATAGCTGTAACTTTGGCACGCGTGCGGAGCGGGGCTATCTCTGCAGCGTACATGAACGGAACAAGGAACAGTCCAATGGGGAAGCAGAAGAGTGCCATGAAGTAGAACAAGAGTGAAGCCCCAGCTGCAGACTTATTTCCAAGGTCGCTCGAGAGCCCAGCAAGGCAAGCTTGAGCGACCGTCATTCCGACAGCAGCGGTGATAAGGAGAGGTCGACGTCCTACCCGATCAATAAGCAAGACTGCCAGACCGGCTGCTAAGAATTGCCAGATTTGTAAACATCCGGTGATGATTCGTGAGAGGGTACCAGAGTACCCCAAATCACCTTCGAATATGGTGTCAGAGTAGAAAGTGATGATATTGACCCCGGTCATCTGTGCCAGGATGTTGACACCAACAGCAAGAACAGTGCGGTGTAAATGACGGTTCTTGGTGAGAGCAAACGGCGAAGAGGAGCCTGCCGACTCGGCATTCTGGTCCAAGACCAATGATTGGCGGATAATGTCCAGCTCTTGTAAGACATACTCAGAGTCCACAGGCACGTCTTCTATGCGAGCTAGAACTGCAGCGGCCTCTTCAAATCGTCCGGCACGTGCCAGCCAACGAGGAGATTCAGGAAGGAGCATAATACACCCAACAACAACGAGCGCAAACAGACCCTGAAACGCAATGGGAAAGCGCCAGCTCACAGAGTTGTCGCCAACATAGTAAAGGCCAAATTCCAGCCATGTTGCGAGCACAATGCCACCGATTGCAAACCAGCCTTCCAACAGTACCATTCTTCCTCGGGCTTCCGCCTTAGAGGACTCGGAGACGTACATAGGGATTGTGGCCGTGAATCCACCAACTCCTAGGCCTGGAAATATATAGATACCCATTAGTAATTGTCAACTTTTTGTCAATCCATAAAAAAGCGTTAACTTTACCAGTGATAACTCGACCAGCAATAAGCTGACCAAGAGCAAAAGGACTCGACTGAATGGCGATACCAATTATGGCGATGCAACCAGCAAGCAGGATTGTCTTGCGACGGCCGAGCCTGTCACCTAGAAAGGCACAAGAACCAGCGCCGAGCGCACATCCAACTTCATAAATAGCGACCGTTGTGCCTTTGCGGGATTAGAAATGTTATGTCTTGATTCCCAAAATAAACACATACCTTGAATTGTAGAATTGTGGGATTTCTGACTACCGGTAGTATGAACGGTGTCGATCTGAGGGAAGACGGCGATGAATGAGCCCAGCGTCAACAGTCCGTTAGCGACTGCCTGATCGTAGCCTTGTAGCACAAATCCGACAGCGCCAACGAGACCGATAACGATGCTAAGTGACTTGCCTCTGAGCGCCATAACGTTCACTCTTTACAAGATTGTAGTGAATGTCGTATATATAGACTTTGCCAATCGAGGTAAAGAAGTTCAGTTTTCTCACGAGCCCGACGCAAGGGAGAAATAAATTCAAACCAAGATCCGATATCGCCGGATTCATCCCAGTGTAACGGACCCCACTACCTTCCAAAGCGAGGGGCCCCAGGTTGCGTCTAGGGCTGGGGAAAGAGCCCCCGGAGGATGGATCAAGCTTACCAAGCTTCGGACGTTCACCGAACTGACCAATCACTGCATCATATTTGACAAGATGTGGATTCTACACTTTCGCAGAACATGGTACGATGAGCCACTAGACACGCCCTAAACTAGACTAGTCTATCAAAGTCCCAGACTCGTCGGCAACTCGACATCCGTGCGCAGTAGTTACTCCGCATCACCTCCGCGATTACTTTCCGTTTCATCGATTGGCTATACAAGTCATTTTGCCCACCTTCATCCCTCAGACAAAATCCACTTCCCCTCCTTATTAGCTGATGATTGCATGGTACATCAAGTATTACGTTGCTGCATTGAGAAAGTCTAGCGACAGTAAAAAGTCCCCGCCGTCGTCGTCTTCATGTGTGCCGTCCACATAACTATATGTATTCTTGCTACTGGTCTTCAATGTCTTTTTTTCTAGCATCCTTTGAAGTAGCTCCCTTAGCTCTTTCAGTTGTAAATAAAGGTTGATTATTCTCGTTGATATCGATACGTTGAGCCATTTCTTTTTCGATATCAGCTGATTCCAAAAATTACAGTATTGTGCAGGATAGTATTGTTTTCGGCGGTGCCTTGCCAATGAACGCACATGGCGGTGATCCGAGCTTCCGAGTCAATAAAACCTTGGTGTTTACACGTTTTTTGGGCCTATCGTCTGATTTCTGCATGCCTATACCTCACTTGGTGCACCTAAGCTTCACCCAATACAATCACCGAGTTTACTTCGCATGCTCTTCTTTTCTATTTGGCACTTTGATCATCCCTTATCATCGCCAATTCTCCATATGCATGTCTCAATGCCTTGAGAGAATGTCTGTAAAACATAACATGAGTGGAAGGAAGGTCTTGTCCTCCCTAGCAGCATCACGTCATCATTGCGGTGAGCCCTAAACTGTACGGCCATTGTGATGAGCCTGCATATACCCTCAGAATATCTTACTCTGAAATTAATGGCAAAAAGGAGAAATAGACTGCAGTTCATGGCTGTATATTCCCGGAATATTCGCTTGATTTAGCATGTATCCATGCGAGACAGTGTTCTTGGGTGAAATGTACATTGTAGATCTCTACCAAATCAAGATAGATCCTCGCTGTCATAACCCCAGAAAATCTTCACGCTGGATCAGGTGTAAAATCGACAGAACGGTGTCTTTTCCAAAAAAAGAGATTGATGAGAACAGCCCGAGATAGGCCTTGTTTTTTCATGCAATTGCTCGTGATGGGGATGCTACGCCCTTGCGGAGCATGCTGCCGACTGATAATTGCCGAGCAAAATATTTACATCTACTAGAGTCTACATCGATGTCCAGCTTGGAAATTGCCTCACTTGCAGTTGTGGGAAGAACATTACACTGCCATATTTGTCTACAATGCCATGCACCAATGGTTGGGGGCTGGGTTTGAGATATTCAGCAATATATAATCCAAATACCATCAAGTTCATTTACATTGAATACCAATTAATTCCAAATATGCTTTCGCTGATAAAGTTTACGATGCTGAGACAGGTTGGGATTCATGAAGTCTTTCCGGCTAATAGTTATGTAGGCTATGAAGATGTCGAAAGAGAAAAAGCGGACTTGCATCTCCGGAAAGCCTCTTTCTTCAGCGCCTGATATTCGCTATCCGTCCGTTGAACAGCATCCCGATTCTCAATTGCCCGACGGAGAAGATAGGCCAGGCATTCACCCAATCCTCCCCAGGTTGAGCACTTGTAAACTTCTGGTGTTCCATCACCATCGTTCATTCCAAGCAACGAAAAGCTAACCTCATCCGACATGCCGTGGAGTTGAGCAAATCGCACAGGAACGGTAGGCAATCCGGACTTAACACGTTGTTTGTGCAAATTGTGCGCACTCACTACACTTTCTTTATTGTGACTTGCCAGGAAAAGGTTCACCAAGGGGAAAGCACGGCTGCCTTTGTCTCCAAACTCTCCAATGTTTCTTCTCAATGCCCCCTGGGCAATCATATTGTATGCGTTATCGGTGTCTTCCTTGGTGTCATGAATGAGGGATCGCTCATCCGAGGCCATGTATGCGCCCCTTACGACCTTCAGTCCCAGTGTGAACTTATCGTCTTTTGCTGCCGCAAGATCTTTGGCCAATCTTGTTGGTGTGCTCTTGAGGTAGGCCTGATAGGTGTTGTAGACAGTGGCGTAGCCGTCACGGTTGTATTTGCGCATAAGATCCAAGGTCACACGCGCAATACCCTTTTGGAAACGCCAGGATTCAGCGTCTACAAGGATGCGAACTCTTTTGTTTTTGGCCTTCGTACATATTTCATTCAATGCATCAATCATCTGCTGGGGAGGTAAATCTCCAGCGAAAAAGGCATCAGTAACTTTAGGACCAGCACCAGTAAGTCTTGGAAACTGTCAGTCAGTTGCCAACCAAAAATTTGGTGGATTTAATCACGTACTTTACTGCGAGGTAGTCCTCCTCCTCTGTCATATCAATCGTCTTAAGTGTTCCTTCCCGCCATGCCTCAATGCTGGGGCATCGGAGAACCGCCGCATCGATAGAAACATCCCCGCTCTCGCTTTTGAGCTCGGCAATACCAAGACCATGCTGAGATCCAGTGCTGTGGTCAAAAACGGTCTCTTTCGCATATGTCAGGATCACACCATGGAAGCCCATGTTCTTCAACTCTCGAATCGTAGATCTGCACTCTGTTCCATTCTCACCAGCACAGAATTGTTCGTAGAATGTCTTCTTTAGGACTCCATGGAGAATAGGGTTTCGATCGACATCAAATAGCCAACTTCTGCCAGGCTTGGATAGGAAGGACATCATCGAAAGGGCGGGAATGAGGAGGTATCTTTTCGATGAGATCGTAGAGACTAGCAACGATCTGAGCAAGATGCGGGCCGGCACAATAGAGAGGGGAGGCAAGGAGGGGCTTGGGGCTGTCTTCAGCTGTGCTTGTGCTTGTGCTTGCAGAGTCGAAGTAGAGCGCAATGATGTAGAAATATTCAGATTGCCTGGTAAGCTGCGCCTAGTGAGGGCAGTTAACGGCTTTCTGGGAAGTATGGGACCCATTTCTGCGATAAATGGTTCGACATTGGACTGATCCTAGCATCAAGCCTGGGGCCAGAGCCAGCTTTCTTATTCTTCATTGTTGTTTCTGTCGCATAGAGCCAGGCAGTATATCGGGCAGGCGCCCGATGCCTTCGATAAGTGATAAACTCTGCCATGCGGGGTTGGTTATTGTTTCAGTTGGTCATGTACTCCCCAAAACTGCAACCAAACCCGGAGAATGGATCTAGAGGGTGTTTCCATTGGTGTTCCACAAAATATGTTGGCGTGTGGTTTGCACGGAAGCGTGGCCGGAGGCGGGGTTCCTTGTCCATTTTATCAACGGTCTGCTTCCCGATGGCATCTATTTGTGCTATAACACCGGAAAGATGGGCTAATTTATGTGTTGTGGTGATACACTTCTCAATATTCATGCATGAATCATTGTGGTCCGATCATGTGTTCTCTGTCTTGCTGTCGGGTTTCTATGACCCGTCGAATCCGTGCTTTTGATACTTTCTTCCAGATCCTTAGCATTTCCCCCATCTCGCTTGGGCAAAACAGTTGTTAAAAGTGTATGATACATGACTTCTGTAAGGGTAAAGATCAATATTATAATTTTTTTTGATACCAAGAAAGGTATCTTGGGTCTATTTTTTCACTGAATCTTTTCATAGCGATAGTGGATTTGTGTATAAGCACTTTATTTTCTACGTTGTCTTAGGGTGTAGAAAGCCTTTTGTTTGTTTGTTCTCTCTTATCTCATCACTTCATTGTATTAGGAAGGCCGTGAGGGCCTTCTTTAGCTACATACTAGAGATCAAGATCACTTAGGCACAACTCATCGCTCTACATAAACAAGATACATAAGTAGTGAATTATCTTCAATATTATTGTATATATACCACCAATTGGAAAGATTGCCTCTCAGCCATGTCGTATACAGCGTTAACATTCGCTTTCAATGCGGATTTTCACCAGCTTTTACCAGCTTTTAATTTCACCGATCACAGCGACATCAATTTTTCCTTATTCATTGGAACAATGTGGTCAATTTTGTTGATTTGAATCTTTTGAGTCCCTTGGCCTTGCTTTCTCGCTGAGACTTGGTCAACTCGCAACACTCCCATAAACACGATCCAATTGGTCATAGACACATGCACTAGGACTTAAAAACTGAGATAAGATACATCAATAGTGATTTGATCGTACTTGGGTGCTTTAAATGCTGGAATATGGGTATGAATTTCCTCCAATCCATTAAGTGATTCTTGGCAAAGCACCAGATAACTAGTTAGCTTTAATGGATGATGCACCTGCCATCATTACAAGCACGATTTATGAGTCTAGTCCACCTAACCCACTAAATACATTGTGGGCTTGCAAAAATCAACCTTGGAATCTGTGGACAACTGAAATCTACATTATTACTACTTCGTTGAAGCTCAAGTTTACTGTCCTCAGCTTGGTGGTTTCCGATCTATATTGCAATATATTGCAATATATGAGACCTGCGAGGTACGTACAAACCAGTTTGGTGTCATTACAAGTAATTTACGAGTTCTTCAAAGCCTAGAAATAGACAATAGTTGTCTTTTCATGAGTCACAAAGACGGGGCATCTCTGCTTGAGGCTATATCGGATGAAATCGGGTGTTTAGGGTTTAGAAAGCCGCCAACTTCTCCTTGCGGTAACCATCTTCAATCTTATTTATATTTGTTGACACTATTATCTAGCTTACACTGTATATTGTAGAACATCTCATCTCAACATTAATTTCGATTGACTCATAGTCTGCGTTCTGCATTGTAGGAAACAGAACTCCCGTAACATAAAAGGCGAAGGAGTCTCGCGGTTGTTACTACTCCATTCAAGGAACAAAAAGCATTGCGTGTAAATCGCTCCTCTTCCTCTGATTCCCGGTGCATTCTGTTGGCAAGTGTTCTGATTTATCTTGCTTGGCACAATGAATTTCCAAATATGCATGGCTCGCCTTGCCTTTTCACCAACACGTCCTCAGTGCCCTACGATTCTTAGAACAGGCATTGGACTATGTACAAAGCAGTACCAATATAGCAATGGCGTGCTAGCCTTTGCGCACAGCAAGCGCCAACATACAACAGGCACCCATATAGGCCAGAAGTCATCATGGACGCACCCTATGTGAGTTAATACGAATGTTCCTATCGCATAGACAACCTTGTCATTGCTGCTTCAAATATTCGAACACACAAACCTCTAACATGCGATTTCACTTGACCAGATACACGAAAGAACAGATCCTTGCCGTCCGAACCGCCCACCGGAAAGCCCATACCTGGCAAGATAAAGTCGCTCTCGGAACTGTGCGCATACTCCGCTGGGGAATGGACGTTATCTCCGGATACCGAACCCCCACCAACAGCAGCAACCTTTCCAAAAGCCACATCATGACCGAAGAGAAATGGATCACGAGATTCGTCTTCTTGGAGAGTGTAGCCGGCGTGCCAGGCATGGTAGCAGGAATGCTCCGCCACCTCAAAAGCATTCGTCGAATGAGAAGAGACAACGGATGGTAAGCAGCCACTCAAGCCCTCAGACTAGGCAAAACAAAATATATTCAGCCATCTCACCTTATACAGGATAGAAACACTTCTTGAGGAAGCGTACAACGAACGAATGCACCTCCTCACCTTCCTCAAGCTTGCCAAGCCCGGCCCAGCAATGCGCTTCATGGTCCTCGGCGCACAGTGGGTATTCTTCAGCGGGTTCTCGCTCGCATACCTCATCTCGCCGCAGATATGCCATCGTTTTGTTGGGTATCTAGAGGAAGAAGCTGTCATCACATACTCGAAGGCAATCCAGGACCTAGAGGACGGCCATCTGCCCGCATGGGACAGCTTGCAAGCTCCTGAAATGGCTGTCAAGTACTGGCAGATGCCAGAAGGTCAGCGCTGTATGCGCTCTCTGTTGCTATATGTGCGTGCTGATGAAGCAAAGCATCGTGATGTCAATCATGCATTGGGAAATTTGGACCAGAACACGGATCCTAATCCTTTTGCGGCGAGGGTTAGGGTTCAGGTTCAGTCTGTTGCTCGTTCAGCTGGAGGCTTGCGGCAACTGCAGGGGGAAAATAGTAAAAAGGAAGATTGATCGTGAAGATACTTGATCAACCAACGTTTCTCCAATTTGGTACTTTGAGACATGCTTGACTAGATGTCGGTACGCCTTCGGTTTTCGGGGAGGATCAGCAAGAGGCTAGAATAACATTCTATAGAAATCTAGACGTAGATAATGCATGGCTTAAGATGTACAGTGTCATTGGTTCCTGCAAGATTTCTTTATCTGTTATCTGAGCCACATTATAAAATTATTACACGGACCACTGCATACGCGCATGAACGTGTCGGTTTGAAGCCGGGCGAGCTGCCGTGGGTTGTCGGGAAAATTGCCGGATGGGCATAAATCCACATGTGCAATTTGGCCAGAGGTGCAATGGGCCATTTCAAGATCTTCTTTACTCAAAGATAAGATCTTCCCGTGTCTGGCTATTAGTGATAGACTTTGGAGGTCACCAGGACACTTGGTAGTAGCGGTGTGGGCCTTGGTATTGCCCGCGGAGTCTGATCACTCTCTCCTATATGCAGGCTGCTCGGAGAGCAGATAATCCCCCCGCATGGCTGTACTAAGTGGAATCGATCTCGATAGATCGACGTTGAGTACTACCACAATGTGGCCCGGTTCACGACTACTGACTGGTGTTTACTCGAGATGCAAGAACAAAGAAGCTTCAATGATGCCCAAGTAACACCGTTTAATTGGGATAAGAGAGTGAAGATTAGATACATGCAAGAGAATGCCATTGTAACCACTTTAGAGGCTTGATACCCCTGCTATGTTAACATAGCGAGGACACGGTGGGAGCCGCAGAAAGTGGCATAAGTCTATACGCTTCGACGTGAAGTGTCTGCGCTGCGACCAGGAGACTGGTTGGGCAACAATGAAGTGGCCTATAGATTCCACATTGTCCTCCGTCTTGTAAGTCCTTCCATCAAGTCGATCGAGTCGAGACCTGCGGGTCTGGGCGTATATGGTGCCACAAAGGCTCACATGTGCGGACCGGTGAGATCAATCCGGTTCGATTCTGCGCCAAGTCCCAATTTGGGCATCCATACCGGGACGATTGGTCCGCGAGTTGGTGCGAGAACCGTTGCAGAGTAAGTTTGGTAACCCAGCCACATTCAAACAATGGACAGGCTATCACTCTATGAGTGGAGTGAGAGACATATTAGTTTGTAGTCAACGGCCGTAAGAGTAGGTAAGGCCATGATGACATATAGCGGAAGTTGATTTCAATTTCACGGGTAGAACAATCGATGTGATTAGAAGCTTTGGGCCGATACCGCCGCGGGCTGGAATGAAATTCGTTAGCGATTGAGTTAACACACGGCCTGCGTGATCTGCTTGGGGAGGGTTTTGCAGCGTTGCACGGTGCAATGGCAATCACTTGGCAGGAAATTCGAAAAGCAAGGGGAGCTTACAGGACTGTTCAGCATGCTGTTGCGCTTGTTTCGGCCTTTCTTGATATGGTTCTTCAGGGCAGTCGAATCCAGGGGTTTCAAAAGTTCGAAGGAGCAAAGAAGTTCACCAGAGACTGACATAATGGCTCCCCAATTATCGAATTCACCGCAATACTAGGCGATGTTAGTGGACTCTCAGGTGAAAAATTTGGATTTAACTTACGTTGGGTGCAGAGAAAACGGTGACCAGAATGCGATCTTGGTAGAACTCATAGCCATCCTCGACCACCATGTGAGCACGACAAACCAGATCAAAGTCGTGGCGTTGCAAGAAGTTCATGATCACTTTCTTTCCGAAGCAGTAACTGACACCACGTTCGTTGGGTTCCCAGTCTTCTTCCATGTCTGCAGGATCACTCCACAGGAGATCGTTCAACAAACCATAATCGGGGACATCAGTTGGGCGAGCAATGCCACGGATATCGTCCATGTGAGAAAGACTGGGCGAGAGACCACCGTGGACACAGAAAATCTTGCCCGCAACAATTGCAGCGATAGGGAGACAGTTGAATGTATCAATGAAGGTCTTCCAGACCTTGATGTTGCAACGGCGCTTACATTCGTCATAGAAACCATATACACGGGTAACGTTGGCGCACTCGTGATTGCCTCGAAGCAGGAAGAAGTTCTCGGGATACTTCAGCTTATAGCACATGAGCAGGAGGATTGTCTCCAGACTTTGTTTTCCACGGTCGACATAATCGCCTAGGAAAAGGTAGTTCGATGCAGGAGGGAATCCACACATCTCGAATAGGCGAATGAGATCGGTATATTGACCGTGCACATCGCCCACAATCTTTACGGGTGCCGAAAGCTCCAGCAGGGCGGGTTGCGACAGGAAGAGCTCACGGGCAGCAGTACAAATAGCGGTGATTTCCGCATTCTTCAGGCAAACGGTCTTGGTGACCTTGGTGGAATAGCCAGCGTCCAGGAGTCGGGAGATCATGTCGTCCAGATCAATTGATTTCAAAGCTCCCATGCCCATTCCGGGAGAACTGGAGGTCTCCAGGGGAGCATTCAAGATGAAGTCCAGGATCGGGTTCAGTTGATTCTCGCGCTTGACCAAGATCGATTCACCCACAGCCGGGGCAACTCCGGTTGGGGGGCCGCCGGTGAGGGGACCTTCGGAAACATGGTCAACCTCGCCACTCTCCTGCATCGCATTCACATCTTTGTGGCCTCTCTGCAAGCTGGAGGAGAGCGAGGGGGACGGTGGGGGCTGGGGTGAAGCCGCTTGTGACTCGTTCTCGGAGCCAGGAGTTTGAGGGAGGCCGGCGTTGGAGCCAGGGCGGCTTCCGGCTGATTTGAGCGATCCAGCATCGGATTTATCTGTCTGGGATTCAGTCCGGGAGAGAGCGGTGGTAGAGCCCCGAGGGCTGTCGGAGCTGCGGGCGCCAGGGATCTTCGATCGGATCGATCCGCGGAACGAGCGGAGGGACTCCTTGGTGTCGGATTTGGAGAACGAAGGATAGGACTGCAGAGGGTCGCCGGAGGCGTTGCCCTTGGAATGCGACTGGCCCATGATTGCAAGACTCGGATAAGTGCCAAGCTTGGATTAGGATGATCGCACGAACGATACTCCAACTGTTACGCCGAGAAACCCCTGTTGTGCTGGAATGTCTTGGCCGAAGCTCCTTGGTATATTAAAACCTGGTGCGACCCTGCCAAAAAATTCCAGAATCGATTTGGCGAATGTTTCTTGACTTTATCCACCTGGTCGGAAATGTGAACACGGGGCAAGTGCAAGACGTGAGCACGATTTACGACGATGGAGGAGCGAAGTCAATTTCGAAGTGACAATATTGGCACACCAGATAGTTGGTGCAGGTAGGGGAAAGGGAATTTTTTTTGCAAAGTGGAAAAGCTAAAGGGTAAGTGGGAGGCGGGAGCTCCGAGGCGGCAAGCTCTCCTACAGTGGGTTAGCTTCTGGGCACGAGATGGATTGCAGGGCTGAGAATCTCCGCAGAATCCCAGGTGGCATGTGGAGGTTTTGAAGAGGAGGAAAAGAAGCAAGGGAGACCTTGGATGGAGAATATTTGGGAATGCCCAGGTGGGTAATGCGTCATTATGTACGGGGGTGCGAACGGGTGTGGTAATTATCCACAAGGGCCGCAGGCGGACAACCCCACGGAAATGGACTCACCTCAAGAGGATAGTTGACAGGAACTCTTAAGTTGAAGGATGAAAGACAAAAAAGCAAGAATAGAGGAAAAATCGAGAGGGGTGAGGGATTCAAGAAATGGGGGTTTGTAGGTGAAAGTACTCCGCCACCGCTAATACAGTCAGAAGGTACTTCGTGGGTACCACGAGATCTTCACTTGGCTATGGTGGTCTCGATTCGGGGATATCTGTCCGGATCAACTGTCGGCCCGAGCTATACACAAAGAGAGCTGCCTGATTTAGGAGGTCTGGACTTTGATATTTTTAGTTAAACCTCATGGATTTGATGGGTTTAGCTTTATATGGTTTCATGAGCTCGATAAAAACTTTATCTTTTCTTTTCACATTCGTTTTTCCTCCTCTTTTTTGTGCTGAGTTTGCTCTATTTAGAAATTACATTACATCTAACTACCCATAAGATAGTTAGGATATCGAGAGGTGCATACCGAGGCTGTCAGCTTTGTGTGCCAAAGTGGGGTCCATTGTTAAAGGATCTACTAATATCGAAAGCCTCATAGTAACTGTAAAGTATTAGTTTTCATCTGAAGCTTCTTGTTGAGCTTTTTTAAAGGCCTTACATTTTGCCCTCTTGTTGAATAATATCCTTGTTTTTCTCACTTCCGTATCCTTCTTGTTTTCAAATCAAAGAGGCAAATCCTTTAATTCTTTCGAAACTCCACGATTAGCGCCAATAAGCGACGCATTGCTGTCTACATGCATCTAGGTTGAAGTTTGGGCCGGTCACCTTTTGGAAAAGACACATATAAATTGAAGGAGCCAGTCGGACACCATGAGCATCTTTTCCGAGCCTACCCGGACATTGAATAAGGGAGAAACCTGAAGCTTGGACCCCGCCGTTTTTCTCCTATCAGAAGGAACAGAGATAAAGTGCAGCATTCACTGACTCAACGACTCCACGTTTCAAGGTAGATACATCACAAAGTTACACGTATGTCACGCCTTAGCAGGTAAGCTTACTGTGCACGTAGGCGCCAGTGGAGGTTGTTGATAACAAGATGCAACCACATGATCAGGTCGAGGATGCAGACAGAGCCACAGATGACCTTGGTGCTGCACGCAAGCAACTATCCTGCACGCCAAGGCATCTCTGTGGCGAAGACACCGCCTTTTACCCCTCCATCTACCCCTGGTAGCCCGGAGCCAGTACCACAAATGATTCCGCTTGGCAGAGCAGACCTGCCGGCCAAGCCACTTGAGATGCTGTGATGCAGTTGCAGCGACCCCCGTGCCACGCTGATGGAGGAGCAGCAAACGCCAGAGTCTGCAAGAAAGCCCTTGGCAACCCCACGTCCAATCCCTGTCCTGGCGTGAAAGCAGGGACTGTGAACATGAGCATAGGGCAGAGAACGGGCCTTTCCGGCAGTATCTAGCATGGCTGGGCGCAATGTGTGGTCATCTAGCTGTGCTGCCTGGTGTAGCGGGGCAGTAGAGCCGGGTTCTTCATTCGATCGAACAGGGCAATCAAGTAGAATCTCAAGGTCTTGTGAACGAGTGGATACGAGGTCGATATGGAACCAAAGTAAAGTTTACTCCAGCTCTATTTTCGTGATGTGTCGTCCAGGAATCACGATTAGACCTATCAGCCGGTGCGTCATGTTCACCTTGACAGTTGTGGCTTTCCCTTCGGATCCTTCTCCCCACGCATCCTTTTCTTTCACAGCGGCTTGTACGGAAGCTGTGGTGGGCATACGATATTCAAATGAGTTGGCGAGGATAATGTTCCGATCCTGTTGATAGTCTTTGGTCAGTATCGCTCACTGTAGCCTATGTAGCGCATAACCGAAAAGATGTCCACTTACAGCATCGGTGCACTTGAATAGTCCAATAAACATTCGAGTATCTGTTGTGTGTATCCGCATGGTACGACCCAAAAGGCTCTCCAAGTATTGAACGGCCTGGTTTTCTTCCATTGTGGTTGGTTCTTCGTATCAGCAGCCACGACCGTGGACTTCCAATGTGCGGGGAATTGAGGTTTGAGAGTAGCTGAGCTGAAAGGGGCGGCGATACAGGAGGAAACGATAGATTCAGACGACACAATATATGGGACTGTGCTAATGGAAGAGGCACTACAGGCCTGGGATTTCCATCAATTTATGTTGATTGAGAAAGAAACGGTGTTCAGAGGTGGGCAAACAACTTGTCGTCGAGTCTGAGGCCGCAAATCAAATTAGCGGGGTTGATTATAACGGCCATTGCGCTAAAATCCGCAATAGCTCTATAAAAGCCATTGTTTGCTATAATCATACTGGGTCAAGGTTAAATCATAGATCACGTCAGGCAACAGAGTATAATACTAAGCTAACGTTTTGACTATATATGTTCATTGGAAGTCAGAGCCTATATAAGCTTCCAAGTATTCCAAAAAGCTAGAAACGCCAGAAACAACGCCCGCAATTCTGACCGAGAAAAGAAACCCAAGGCGAGATAGTCAGCCTATAAAATCTTATCTAAATAACCCAATAGGTATCACGAAAGAAAGAAAAGGAAGAGCCTTTCCAACAAAATTAGCGCTGAAGCCGGCTGATGACGAGCACGCCCGTGCCACCGAGCTACATCCACGACATATCGCCTGCCCAATTATTGGGCATCTGATCTGACCCATCACTGCCACTTCCGCTGTCCATGTCCATGTTCATATCCACATCAGGGCTCGTCTGGTTGTAACCAGGGCTGTTGCTCACACTCGTGCTCGTGCTCGCTATCGTATTCATTTTATTAAATGCCTGTTGCCGCATAATATCATCCTGTGCCAGTGCAGTTTCATTCGCACGAGGTGCCAGAGCTTCGCGGGATGGCCGGAACGACAATTGTTGCTTGGGTGGTTTGAAGAAGCGATCTAATGTTTGCTGCCGAGGATCGACCTCATGAGGTTCAATGGTCGGCTCTGAGTCCATTGCGTCCATTTCGGTGGTTGCTGTAGGTTGCTGCTTTTGCGCAGAGTAAATCCATCGTAATGTGTTTTCTGGAAGCTGTCAGCAGGGTTGCCTAGCAATGCGACCCAGGGGGAGAGCTCTAGGTCTGAGAGAAAATACTCACGGTGTATGATATTCTCACATGGTCGATCATCTCTGAAGCGCTTTCGTGTCCTGCTATGTAGGTGTGTGTTGCCATCGACTATCATACCCCAATCGCTTGGGGCCGGAACTGACGGGCTGTTTGGGAGAGCCGAGAACGAAGCTTTCCGCTTGAGGGACATTGTGAGAGATTTTGACGGCGGCCGAATTGTTGAACGCGTATATAAAGCTGTGGAATTGGAACAGGTGTGTAATTGAGGAAATGAGGAATTAAAATTGAAAGTTAAGGACTGGAGTGCAATTTCAATGTTGCGCGCGTCATTTACGTTCGCGTTGCATTCTGGACACGCTAGGCCTAAACAGGTAATATGTACTTTTGATTATAGTACCATCATTGTACTCCCCTAATTCCTCAGAACATCACTCTAATCTCAAGCTTATAGTATTTGATAGCTATTCGAATTGCACTAATCCTACTCTTGGTTTGGTGGTATTAATACTGTAATGTTGATTTTCACATGTTTTGAGGTTTATATAGCTTACTGCCCATTCTTTCGGTATCCAGGACTACCCATGAAAGTTGTACATCTGAGACATGCATACATATGTACCTTGTACAAACATAGATGATATGTGTTCAAATCCAGAATTCGGCCGGTCTTGCTATCTAAAGCCAATCGATCGCTCAGCATAAAGCAAATAGCTCAACCCAATTCTTATATTAGGAAGAAATTATCAATAGTGAGAAGCACCACGACAATTAATAACTGCATAATTATATGATAGTATCGAAATATTCTAAGAAATAAATAATCTTAGATGAGACCATCTATACATATGTAGTTTCTCCAGTTTACATATAAAGTTACAAACCATGTATATAATCGTGTTTGAAATTGCCTCGGGATGCCGTTGAACGGTCTGCTCCACCATGACGAGGCAACCCCCACTTCTCCTCACATAGAGATCTTCAAAATACCATCACCCACTTTCAACTCCAAATTACTCCAGATATGGCGTCCCGGCACGCCTCTCACTCTGGATCATGGTACTCAGATAGTGCTCGCACTTTGGGCCGTCAGCTAGATGGCTGGCTGGCGCAGGTACCGGACACCATGGAGAAGGTCGGCTTGCTACCAACTCCTGGAGCTAGAGTGATCATCGCACCGTACGTCTGAGACTTCCATGATACCCTCCAAATGAAAAGACTCAAAGATTTATTAAATGAGCAGGCATGCGGGTTATTCGTATTCCGGACCATGTGCAGCCTACGCCTACAAGGCACTGGATATCTCTAAAGCGTGAGCTTATTTCTCAAGTCCTTAATAACAAATTTCTCTCTAACTTCAGAAATTAGCAAGAGGATCTTTATATTGGGGCCATCTCATCATGTTTCACTTTCCACGCTGGCTCTACCAACATTGACTTCCTACCGCACCCCTCTGTCCGATGAACCCCTCCCACTAGACACCGAGCTGATTAGCCAGCTCTTCGAAACACAGGCAACCAGATATGATGGATCAAAGGTTAGCTTCACACTTATGTCGCGCTCTGTCGATGAGGATGAGCACAGTATCGAGATGCACCTACCCTACATCCACCGCTTGCTACAACTACAATTCCCAGATACTGCGACCTCTGAATACCCACTTCTAGTCCCAATCATGGTTGGAAACACATCGGCCGCAACAGAACAAGCCTTTGGCACCCTTCTAGCCCCTTACCTAGCTGACCCGTCCAACGCCTTCGTTATCAGTTCAGACTTTTGTCACTGGGGTTCACGGTTCCGCTACACATATTACGTTCCGCAGGCCCCCAAGCCAGGACCACAACTCCCTTTGTCTAGTGATGCACTCCCGCAGCCGGGAACAGATACCAGCAGCGTCGATCAGAATATCGAGATGGTATCAGCTGGTCATGCTTTGCGGCAACGCGATCGTATCTCGAGCCGTGACCCTGCCATTCACGAAAGTATCTCAGCATTTGATATTGCGACCATGGCTGCTATCACGACAGGCTCTGCAAAATCTTTCCTCGACGTGATTGATCGCACAGGTAACACGGTATGCGGGCGGCATCCAATTGGAGTAATCATGGCGGCCTTGGAAGTTGTCACAGCAAGTCTGCCGGTTGACAAGCAAGGGCGCTTCTACTTTTTGCGATATGAGCGCAGTTCGGACGTGAAAGAAGTCAATGACAGCTCAGTTAGCTATGTCTCTGCGTTTGCGGTGCTCTAAGGCGACCACCGTTGATAGCAGGACCACCCTGCTTGCCTTGGGTCTCGAACATCCTCAGTCAGCCTTGCAACTGTTAGAAACAGCAAATACAGCAAGTATAACTTAATGCCTCATAGCCTTGCTACTAAGAAATGAACTATGACTGTTCAATACAACTGTCAAGGTCGCGTGTCCGTCCAAAACCAATAGGTCCCTTCTGTAGAATGCACAGTAGCGCGAAAACTAAAGGCCTAGATATATGCCATAACATACAGTTAGGCTGGAGTTGCACTGCTACCTAGACCTACACGGCTATGCCACATTGAGCGAGAAACTCCCAAACTCTGGACAATTTTGTAAAAATGAAAAAGATAAATACATAGATAGATTACATATTATATAACTAAGCAAGGGACACCAGCTAAAAGAATATATCAAATTCAAGGGCTCGAGCAAAGAGGATCTCAACTTCTACTCCGTTCGGATACCTCCGTAGATAAGGCTGAATCGAGGATCGGATGTTTCAAACATCAACAAATTAAGGCCAAGACCCCCCAGTCGATTGTTCAAAGTCTCTCCTTGTGCTTTGTAAATAGAACGATCTCTTTATTGCGCTGTTCAGGTTGCTTCAATAGGAGACTTCAAACAGGGTTTTTCTTTATGGTAAGTTGGTGAATGGGGAAAGTAATTTGCGACAATCCAACCCACAATTAACCATCCTTGATAGTCTTTCCAGTTTCTCATTGGTAACTAACTAACTGGACTGATCATTCACTCTATTTAAGATTACATATACAGCCATTCTAATCATACAAAAAAAGCCAAAACGTAAAACAGCCCAGTCCCTTAAATTAGCCGCTGGGCTAGTGAAGGCATTGCTCGGGACCAATCCTGTACTCGAATCACATCCGGTATCTGTCTTTGTCTACGCCTTTGCCCCTGAGACTCTGTCATCATGAGCCCAACTGTATGGGTCTTTGGTCTTCTTGGCCTAGTCAGTCCTTTAGCGCCGAGTATCCTCGTCTTACAGGTGGCATTGTAGCGACTGGATCGGCATGATGTCGGAATTTTCCTTGCGGCTTATTCTTCTAGGGCCCCCAGGGCTTCGTATTGTCTATTAGCTCATGTCACAGATAAAGTGTGAGTTTAAATGTAGACAATGCGCTATTGTAAAACAGATGCTAAGAGCACAAACTATATGATGACCCTGATCTCGCTATATTTTGTTTTCCTTCTCTTTATCCCAAGCATGCAAACATCGGTTCTGGTCATTCATTAAGCCAGATACCCTTTCCTTTCCTACATTCCTTTAACCAACTTACTTCATAGTGTGAAGATTTTCCTTGGCTGGCACTAGGACTTCTTCACCGCTTAAGTCATGCTCTTCCAACATCTTTTCATGGCCCTGGTTGGCCTTCTTCCCTTCATTACAGCTTCTCCCCTTCCGGTCGACTACGCAAAAACTACCGAAATGGCCTCCGCATCTGATGAAAATCATGGAAACAGACTGGTATTCTGTCATTTCATGGTAAGACATTGACACCGACACCCTAATTATGTGGGATTGTGAAGCCAATATACTAAGCTTACATAGATGGGTATCGTCAGCAACCGTCAAAACGCTAGCGATTATGACGATGACATGAAGCGTGCAAAAGCTGCAGGCATTGATGCCTTTGCATTGAACATCGGCACCGATGCTTACACCGACACCCAGCTGGCTTATGCCTACCAATCCGCAGCTGACAACGACATGAAAGTATTCATCTCTTTCGACTTCAACTGGTGGAGTGCCAGCCAGGGTAGCGAAGTTGGCGCGAAAGTTGCAAAGTACGCCAATCTCCCTGCGCAACTCATGGTCGACGGAAAGGTATTTGTGTCTTCCTTCACCGGCGATGGTGTCGACATTAGTGCAATTAGATCTGCTGCTGGCTGCAACGTCTTTTTTGCGCCAAACTTCCACCCTGGCCAGGGTGATTTCGGCGATGTAGAAGCTGCCCTGAACTGGGTTGCTTGGAGCAATGATGGAAATAACAAAGCTCCAACTCTCGCGAAGCAGCTTTCTGTCTCAAGTGGCGATAATACTTACAAGGCGGCTCTTGATGGGAAGCCTTATATTGCGCGTGAGTGGTTTGAATTGTCTATGATATTTTTTTATTATTTTTTTTGCATCTTTGCTGATTGGAAAATAGCGGTGTCGCCTTGGTTCTCGACGCATTTCGGCAGCGAGGTCTCCTACAGCAAAAACTGGGTGTTCCCTTCTGACCTTCTCTGGTATAACCGGTGGAGAGAGATTCTACAGGAGAGTCCTCGCTTCGTGGAGATCATCACCTGGAACGACTATGGCGAGTCGCACTATGTCGGCCCGTTATCATCACCGCACACAGACGACGGTGCCTCCAAATGGGTGATGGACATGTAAGCAGAGAATATCTACACGAAGCCAAAACACCAACTAACGTAGAGATAGGCCACACAACGGCTGGCTTGATATGGCCAAGCCCTTCATCGCTGCCTACAAAGCTGGCTCAAAGTTCCCGATCGAATTCCTCGATGAAGAAAAGCTAGTCTACTGGTATCGACCGACCCCCAAGGACGTGGACTGTGACGCAACCGATACAACGATGCAAGGCAACCCCAACAACTCCAGCGGTAATTTCTTCCGCGGCCGACCGGACGGGGCCGATACCATGGCTGATGAAGTGTTCCTCGTCACTATGCTGAAGGAGCCCGCAACGGTGGAAGTGCAATCTGGGGACATTAGCGTTACTCTCGAAGCAAGTCCAGGAGTATGGTCGCATTCGGTGCCGATGGGTGTGGGTGCGCAAAGCTTCAAGGTTACTCGTGGCGGAAAGACAGTTGATTCTTTGAGTGGGACTAGCTTGAGGGATATCACTGATACGTGCCCCTGCGGCATTTACAATTTTAACGCTTATGTGGGCACTCTGCCGGCAGAGGCCGCTATCGATCAGCTTCAGCCGGATGGGCTGACCATGTTGTCGCAAGGATTGCAGGTTGCGTGTCCAACGAATACCCTGGGGGCTAGCAGTGCTAGCGCGACTTAGAGAATGGGCGGGGAGGTGAGGTATTTAAGGTACGATTTAGAAGATAGCAAAATAAATGCGGGCATTTGCAGTTATCGGATTAGCGTTGGTTGTAGGATAGGTACGATGTTTACTAGATTTAGACCCGATTTCATCAATCAAACTGAAGTATTGACCCGATGTGCCTTGGCTATTTTGAAACTTATCCGGAACCGATCTATTATTTTTGCCCTCTTTGCTTATCTTTTACACTTGGGAAATTGGCAGATAGCTACCGAGTCAGCTATGAGTTGGGGCTTTCTTTATCTCTCCCCTCCTTCACCGACTCTTTTATCACTATCCGAGGGATACAATATGCCTGCTTGATCATATTTCTCAACCCCTTGGCTCTGACCGTTCGGATCGACGGGAACTCCATGCAAGCTGTGCCTAGAATTGTGCCCAATGGGCCTGATCAGCAGGTCATTTGTGTTGACACTATTTAGGAAACGAGTTCCGTCAATGCTATCTTTCTACTGTGAATGTTTATTGTTGCGGGGATAACCTAATCCTTCACAATGACCCGTATGAAACCCGGCGTGTTTTCATGGGAGGATGTATTGGCTCAACGATTTCAGAGTAAGCAACGCCCTTGACCTCACCTTTCTGCTGCCAATATCATGGTCGTTGCAAATCACGCGACTCTAAAATTTTTCCTGAAAAGGCAACAAGCCTCCTCCTCTTCTCCGCAGCCAAAGCATACAAGCCCCCCAAGCACAGCCACAGAGCCGCCTTCTCGCACGGCTATCACCGGAGCTTCGCCTCATGATCTGGGAATATGTACTAGGAGGTCAACGAATACACATAATCCAGCGCAGCCAGCAGCGACTCGGGCACGTAGTATGTCCGAGTCCGCTCCACAAAGGGACCGAAACATCATCGAAGCACCACGCACGTCGGAACAGCGACCAGTTCTGCGACATTTGCCATGGCACCGGCATCCCGCAGCCGGCGAAAGAGGGCGATCTCGCACGAAGCAGAAATAAGGTTATGCTACTAGGTCTGGCGTTGACATGTCGGCAGATGTATGGCCAAGACCACCCCAACCCAACCCCATAACGTCCCATTGAGACAGTCATACCTTCACGCCTATCCGTACCTGTCTCCAATCATCTTACCGCCCGGCAACACTCGCCAGACTCAATCTGACACCGAGATAGATATCACGAATCCATCGCCATGCTTTACACCCTCCCCACTTTCGAGTTCAGCAACCCCTGGTCTCTCCCCTACCTCTTCCCGACCATCCCATTAGAACACTGGCGGTCAATCCGCGCCGTCGAACTCCGCTGGTCATTCCCGGGCCACTGGCTCCCAAGCAAAGACTCCGTGCGCGCGGTGTACGTCTCCGCGGGCCGGGCGCAATGGCAAGAGACGTGCGGGGCTCTGGTGCAAATTAATGCACTACGAAGCTTCGTGCTTGTCTTGAACAGTACGTGGTTTAGCGAAGGAGCTGGGAAATTGGTAGGGTTTTTAGAGCCGTTGACTGGGTTGGTCGTGAGGCCGGTTAGTAGGCGGTGGAATTGGGATGGGGATAGAGCTACCAGTACTAGTAGCAGGAGCAGGATGGATGGGTCCCGGGGTGGGTATAGGTTTGACGAGCTAGCTGGAAGCAGTAGCTCGGATGAGGATAGTTGTGGGAGTTTGTCGTCGCAGGGCTCATTCTCTGAGACTTTTGCTTCGAGATCGATTAGTGGATATAGTACAAGCCCTACTATGGATTGTATGGGTAGGTGGGAACTCCGGCTTCAGGGCCAGTCATATTATCCACATGAATTGGACAAAATAGGGGATGATCTGCGGCAGAGAGGGATAGACTGCTGGATATCAGCGGTGTGAGAAATATACTTATCAGTACTCCGTACAAGCTACGTTGTATACTAGGAACTAGGATTGGATCCGCAATGGCGTGACACGATTCGTTATTATCCAAGTTTGTTGTTTTTTTGGTGTTTTTTCTTTTAGTAAGCCTGCCCCGGCGATCCGTTCTAGACGTCTGAACCCCCTTTTTCGGATTTCTGATATGCAAGCATATTTGGACGTAAGCAAGACAGTGTTGGGGATCTGCATCGGAGGTTTGCCGATTGCAACCTCTACTGATTCCGAGTGCAAGATGAATGTATATCTTGTCTATCTTGTAACTTGTGTAATGTACGGAGATTGTACCCGCTTCTTATACTTCACGTGTTGAACCCCTAGCCCTAACCCGTTTTGAGGTGTGAGACCCTGGACCCACTGGGCTATATATGGAAATGGATACCTTGCCTTGTAGGAATGCTCTGTTTTCTACATATGTACTGTACATATATCCATGATATCACACAATGCTTATCTGATGTTCCATTCCAGCTACGTTGTACTGAGATGCAACGTAGAATGTACATCCACTTCTAAGTGATATATGTATGATGTCGCCAGGGGCAAAAAAAGAAAACTTGTCCTCGGCTCCACCGGAAGGGGCTACCGCTAAGAGCGCGGGGAAGATCGCACATCATAATAAAACCGGTGCTACTAGTATTTTATGGTAATTGTATTGGAATACAAATTATTCGGATAGAAAAAAATGTTCGTATTGAATGAGACAAATCCACAATGGAAGTGAAAGTATAGAGAGAAAAGAAAAAAAGACCCAGAAAGATGGTCAGGTATATCAGTAATGAAAAAGAAATCGGTGACGAACTGGCGATCCTGCCAGAACATGCAAAAGTGAACATCGTAGAAAAAAAAGGCTGCGTCCGTGACTCGTACAACATGTGCCGCGTCGGGCAGTTCCCAAAGATATTAGAATGAAATTTTCATAGAGAATGGAAACGATATAAAAATCGTTTGTCACCGTGAGCGCCGTCCAAAAACCATGCTCAAGTCAATGCCATGATGTGATACCCCTGATTTGTAAATCCATATTAAGTGAAAAGAGAGGATGCTCAGATGATCTGGCTCCATGATATCTCAAAGGGAGGAAGTAAGAATAGATAAAGTATCGTGTAGAGTCGGTGATTTGATAGGAAAGAGATTGTGATCAATCAAGAGGCGACAAGTGGTCAACGTCGCCAGTCATTGTGGATGGACAAGCCAGAGGCCTGCCCATCTACGGTCGCGTATTCTGATACGGGTGTCAGCATAGCATGGTTGTGTTTTGATGCTGGCGCCCTAGATGGGCACCAGCAACGCGGGTGATTCTCCCGATGCGACCGCAGCGACTTTGGTCAACGGGTTGAATCCACGTTGCCTAAGAGTTGGTTAAACATGACTGCACCCAGCCAATCCTTAACTGTGTTGTTAGGTGGGCTGTAGGATGTCCAGGTCGTGCGATCATTTGGGTGTGGTGTGGCCAGATGGGATTTCATAAGAGCCAAAAGAGAGATGGTGCCAAACAATGAAAGGTGATTTACCGTCCTTCGGGCGAACGATCAGGGCCAGAGTGACCGTGTCCTCGTGCGGCAAGCCACTCGGTAGAAGCCTCCTGGCGCGCACCGGGATGCTTCTGGTCCTCAGGGCGACCAGAGAGGCTGCGTGGGAGCATGTTATTGATCTCTGCTGCCAGAGCAGAGGCCATGTAGCAACGAAGTTCCTTCTCTTCACGCTCATCTTCTTTAATCAAGCGGCGCTGATCGGTCTTCGACATGTTCTCACGGCGCTTCCGGCGAATCTCGTGAATAGACCAAAGAACCACTTCTTCAGGGGCGCGATTGCGAGGGCTACCGTGTCGGGAGAAGTTGCGAACGTATCGGCGAGTGACATCAGTCGCACCATCGATGGAGAAAGCGACGCAGTAAGAAATTTTGCGTTGCCACCCCTCTGTATAGAGACGAGGCTGATCCCAGGCGCCCTCGCAAGCATCGACGTGAACCCATCGTCGTTGATGTTCTGAGTACACTTCGGTCCAAACGTAGTCTTCGGAGTTCCACACCCAACGGACTCGGGCTCCGACCGCACGGCAGAACATACTGAAACAATTGGCCCATTCGCCGACTCGGCCTCGTCGGGATTGCAGCAATTGCCACACGTCGGAGTACCGTGGAAATCGTTCGTGGGCGGCACAGCTGTTATCGGAACAACGGTACAATTCAACTCGGGTGGCACCGCGGGCGGTTTCATCGGGACTAGGAGGAGTCATGCCTTGGGCGATCGTGGGCATGTGGCATTTAGAGCAGGGAGGATTGTTGACGAATTTGAAGAAAGATCCCTTGAACCACCTAGAGAATTATGTGAGCAGGGGCGCAAAGAGTCTAGACCAACAAGGAATTCTAACATACCTTAGCAATGCTCGGATCACACAATCTTGGTAGCCCCATTCTGGCTTTCCTGACACGCTGGCAGCCGAGGCTTGCATGATCTGGGACTCTTCTTCGGCTTCGGAATACAGGCGATCGAGCGGAATGACACACAATGCCTCATCCAATAAACCCGGGTTTTCGTACTTGGTAGGTGTGACGGATAGTCCCTTCAGCAAATTAAAGAACTTGAGTGAACTGGGATCCTGAGGAGGCGATGGCATGATGGGTAGGCCGCGAAGTGCTGATGAGGTCGTCGATGACTTTGAAGACGGGCTGGGGGATGGAGCGGCAGTGATGCCGGAGGAAGGAGGAGGTGGTGGCGCACGAGAGGGAGGTGGCGGGATCGATGAACTGGACAGTGGTGATGGTGATGGAGACTGAGTACGGGAGCGAGCATGTTCCTGGAGTCGGTTGAATCGTTTGGTGCGCATCAGTTGCTCGAACTCGTGGGTTAAAGAGGCAGCATCATATTCCTTTGCGGATTGTGCCCGTCTGCCGTCCGCCATAGTTGCTGAAGGAAGTCACGGCAGACTTCACAGGTCGACGGGTGTTGAGATCCAGGATGGGGTCGAGGAGAGGTGAAATGGGCGGAAGAGGTCAATTTGACCCAAGGCGGGAATAATTTGTAAGAAAGGGATTTGGAGGCGAGAGCAGTAAAGAAGGGACTGCCACGCTACAGTTGACGTAGCACTCGAAAATCACGAAAGAGAGAGAGAGAGAGAGGTAGGTTAGAGGTCCCTTGGAGAGATCAAGTGTTAGAGTAGAATAGCGTACAACGTACGGCAGTATTACGAGCGTCGTCAGCGCCTCGCCCCAATCACGGGCCCCGCGGCCAAGCCGCGTGTGCGAAACGGAAAAAGCCAAGAAAAAGGACCCAAAGGACCCTTTTTTCCTGTAATTTTGCTTCGTCCTCCCGTGAACACGTAACGTTCTATTCCAGATTGATTTTCCACCGCTTGGCAGCACTTTTAGGCTTTTTTTCCCTTCTATACAAGCCTTCGTTTTTCCCTTTTTTTTGTTTTATCGGAATTTATTTGATCTGAATGTTACTGGTATTCTTTTTCACAAAAATAGACCTATATACATATATTCATATATGTAGCCAGATACACAATCAACCCTTTCGGTATGAATACTCAGTGCCTTACGTGGCCCATCTTTAACAGGCCTGAAGCCCAAATTGTCGTCAATATGACAAGGTGAAGATCGATATCTTGAAATAAAAGAGGATCAAAGCTCGTGCCTTGCTCATCGGTTTAACCCGCCGTATATCAAATGACAAGTTGTAAAAAAAAATTGGAGCAAGAGGGAAAAAAAAGGGAAAAAAAAAGGTATAATAATTAAGGAGCATAGGGTTGCGTGGCCATGATACGAAAACTCGCATCTAACATCAATCAAAGGCTGGAGACGCGCAAGCAGCCGTCTTGGCATTTTGCACGATCGGCCTAGTGCCTCCACCGCCCTAAGCCTTTTGAGGCGGAGCTTACATCCTATTTGGGTCGATTCTATGAAGGGAGGGCCTTGGCATCTTTCGTCACACTCCAGCATACAGGTATGTTTATGCAACCTGAAGGGGAAATTCTATCTTCATTTGATATTCATACTTCGACGTTCAGTGTTACAATCTTAGTGTATATCGGAGTTGATCTTGAAAATGATTATATATCGAAGAAAATGATTATATGGTTATATTCTAGAACCACAACTCTTCCCTTCTGTTACCAATCAGAATTCGTTTGAATCATCCGACCCAAAGACCCTGAAAATTCTTCGAGGGTCCAGTCTCAGGGTCAAGAAATCTTTCTGCTTTTAATGTCAGGCAGAAATGATAGGCCCAGTGGTCCATCCATGGATGGCTCTGAATCGATCTACAACCCATCTCCAGGCCACGTATATTATTGACCCAATAATCTGTCTTGTATATGAATCAGGACTATACTTAGTACCCCGTACACACTCCAACTTCGAGAGTTCTGTCCGACAGGTTTGTAATGATTCGTCGCAATGTTCGGGTGCAACGATCAATTAGGGTTACGTTGACGGTACAACTTATCCCAATGATAATGACTCCAATGCACGAAACAACCCAATAGAACTTTGAATCTCAGCCCTGATTCTACTCCGTACAATAATACGTTATAAGAATCTAACTCAAGCACTCGGGTGTTTATGTACCTCTTCTATCCGGGGAAACCGATCAGCCGCCGTTGTTTCATACTCCGAGCCGCGTTTGAGCCTAGTAATATTTCAGGGCTATGCGAAAGTGGCTGTGCGACCGAACAGCCTCAGCCTACATGGATACTGGTTACCATAGAAGTACATATATAGTTGAAAGATCCGTATAGTCAGGTAGTTTTAGCTACCAGAATCGGAACATTATACATACCCCGTAATCTTCCCTATACTCGGAGATCCAAGTTACAATATTGAACCGAATTCGCAAATCGATCACTGTATTACGTGGGTCAATTGACCGTCACAGGTCTGTTTGGGGCTGTCTAATATTATTTTTGTTTTGTTTTGTTTTGTTTTGTTTTTATTTATTTTTACTCACTTTTCCAAGCTCATCTGACCCGACGGTAAAGAACCGCTATTACGCAAAATGCATTTCAAACGCAAGGCGAATAATAGCCATGGAATTGGCACGCCAATTACCGCGAGGGGGAAAAGGAGTGCAGAAATCAACAATTCAGGCTCATCGTGCCGAGCATTCAACCCCCCGCCAAGCGCCAAGACTCTCGTCATCTCCTTGGAGTTTATTGCTTGAATCGAATTAAACTACTCCGTACGGAGTACGGATAAGACACTGCTTATCCTGTGAGACTTTTGACGTATGCAATGAGCTTGGCTTTACTTGTTTTTATAGTGCCAAGCCTATACTCCGTACCCGATGCACCATTGACGCTCAATGTCAACGGTCCACGCATCTGCTTTCCACGCGTCAACGTTCAATGCACGTCCTAAGCTATGTGAATCCTTGCGGTGCAACGAGAGTGGCGATGTCTTTGAAGCAACGCGGTGCGCGTGCCGTCCCGAGCCAAGGAAAGACACGCACTTCTGCGGAGATGGTTCGTCGCGCTGCTGGGTTCAGAGCGTGGCCTTGCGTTGCCATGGATCGACGTTACTCTACATGCGTTCTTTTTTGTGCTATATCCAACAGGCTGCACTGACTCCAGCAGATGGATGGGACCATAGCGTTGGCTAGTGTGGACCGGGTCGTCACGCACTGATCCACTCTAGCTCTTGCGCTGTCGCAAGCTCTTGACGCTTGAAAATTCTTCCGCATCCTGTCACTTGACGAATTTGATAAGACGGCTTATGCCGTCAAATTGCCTGTTTGGGATCGGCTTGTCGGAGCGACGTCTTCAAACGATATAATCGCTGGTCCGAGTGTACGCGGCTCTTGCGCCAAAATGTTGAACACCGACTAGCGTTATTTTCATTTTCGGATCTCTGACGCACTGATTCTTATATCTCTATTCTATTGCTTTGGTACGATAAGCTACTGATTGGGTGCATCCCTATTTTTTGCTTGAATGGTTCATTGCAATTGTCGCATGGAGGTTTAGGTGGGTGGTCTTGAAAAGCTGGGTTTGCGACTGACAAACTTGACGAACAAAGTTTGGGGAATCTGACCATCCTACATAGGCTGGTAGGTACGCAAAAGGCTGTACAATGTCTAAAAAGTCTGAAAACAATTAATATCATAGGTAAGTACGCTATAGCAATATTAGAGGACAGTAATTCACTATATATCTATGATCCAAAGTGTGTTTGAAGGAACTTATCAAGAATATACAAAGGCTTAAAGGAAGACGTGTTCAAAGTGTATAGACGAATGACAATAATGTGATAAATAACCTACGGTGTTGCTAGGCTTTCTAGTCGGGATATACCTGGGCAGGCAATGAGGTCGACTATGACTAGTCCATTGGTCCTTGGAGCTTATCTTAACACCAATACTCGAGTGCTCGCCTTGGCGCAACATTTGGTCAATTCTTCCATGTGGTCTAGGGTGTTTGATATTAATATAGATTGATGCATGCTTAAATGAGTTACAAAGCAGAATAATGTGCCCGATTCCGGGGCAGCTGCATTGAAATTGCAAATTTGTTCGAAAATACATATTCGCAAGAAATGGGCGTTAACAACTTCTATGCCTACATGCCTCATGAATAATTTTGCTTGTTGTGAATCTAAATAAGGGCATACTATATCCATCACAGATATGCCAGAAAACCAGACGCTGATACAAATTGAAGAGCAAAAGAAAGTGCATGCTGTTTTATATGACAGCAACTATGAACTAAGCTTCCCCCAACCTCTCACCTTTAACTTCTACCCTTAGCCATTCTTACTTAGTTGATACACATTATGAGTAAAAGGCTCTTGACATTCAGTAATTAGCCATGGACATCCTTCTACCACCGGAAGATTTCGGCACGGTCTTCATCGCATCTCTGTGAGCTCCTTCCTTGTCTGAAGCATTCACCAAGTCTGACATAGTGGACTAGATTCCTCCCATACACTATCGACTTCAATATCCATCAATCCGAAGATTATGTACCACCGTCTAGTTACGCGACTGTCGACGGTCCCGAGTTTTTTGTTGGGCGACTGTCAGATTCAAACTACAAATCCCAGCTTGGCTCTCTCTCACCGATACCCGGAGCCACCATCAAGGACGAAACGGTCTTTACAGGATATGCATCACGAATAACAGATGAGATACCGATGGGATATGTTGGAAGATTGCACGGCCCCAGTGAGCCTCGAGATATTCCTTGGGGTCGCAGCCGAATGTTCAATCAACCACCATCTAAAGCGACCAACACTCCCATACCATCTTTTGAACGGCCCAGACTCACAAAAGAGTTCATGGAAGAATGCATCTCTAGACGGTTCACAAGATCTTGTGAACCCAAGTAGCCCGCGTGCTTTGCTTTCCACCACTGACTGGAGAGTCACGGCTGCCGAGCAAGGCCATGGAGGTCTGCAAAATGCTATCCATGCAGCCGAGAAGCTTGGACAACTAAGAAATAAAATGTGGGTAGGAACTCTGGGTATGCCCACCGATTCAGTGACAGAGGGGATTCGGGGAGACATCGTCGACGAACTGCGGGAACATTATGAGTCTTTGATTGTCTTCGTGAGTGACACCGAGTTTGAGGGCCATTACACTCATTTCTGTCGTGCGGTCCTTTGGCCAGCTCTTCATTACCAAATGCAAGAGAGGCCTCGACACTCAAAATATGATGATTACTCCTGGGTTCAATACCTGAAGCTCAACCAGACATTTGCTGATACAATCATTGAGCATTGGAAACTAGGCGATACGATCTGGGTTCATGATTACCACCTTCTTGTTCATCCAGGCCTTTTGAGAGAGAAATTACCCCAGGCTGAGATTGGGTTTTTCTTGCATACTCCATTTCCTTCTTCGGAAATCTTCCGTTGCTTGGCCTCACGAGAACAACTGTTGGAAGGACTACTGGGTGCGGATTTGATTGGTTTTCAGACGGATGAGTATCGTAACCATTTTCTTCAGCCCTGCAGCCGACTGAGAAGGCTGGAAGTCTCAGCCAACGAAGTGAAATTCAACAATCGGTTTGTTGGTGTCGTATGTTCCCCAATGGGAGTTGACCCGTCATCACTAGAAGAATTACGTCAGTCAATCGAAGTTGAAGGCTGGATGCACAGTATCAAGCTTAGATATGGCGGAAAGAAGCGCTTGATTGTTGCAAGGGATCGACTGGATGTACAGGGAGAAATCAAGCAAAAGTTTTTGGCATATGAGATTTTTCTGAAGATCTTCCCTGCACGGAGAGATGATGTAAGTTAAAGCGCATATTATGAGCCCTTCTTTTGGCGTACATGGATTGCAATTCATATTTATGTTGGGATTGCGCACTTACTGACTCGTGTTATCAAATAGGTGGTTCTTATTCAAGTGATCTCTTCTACATCCGACAGTCCAGAGTTAGAGGCAGAGGTCTTGAAAATTGCGATGAGAATCAACTCGACATATTCAACTGTTACTCATCAGCCATTGGTACTGCTTAAACAAGACATCAGTCATTTCCAATTTGTGGCATTGCTAAGTGTGGCAGATGTTTTCATGGCCACCAACCTATGCGAGGGAATGAACTTGACCAGCCATGATTTTATCCATTGTCAAGATGGGCGGTTTGGCTCTCACCTATACGGGTCCTTGATCCTAAGTGAATTCGTGGGCAGTGCCTCTGTGTTTCATGAGCGCAGTGGTTTAAGCTTCAAAGAGCATCAGCTTCTTGTGAACCCATGGAACTACAACCAATGTGCCATTTCAATCAATGCCGCACTTGGAATGTCACTAGAAGAGAAAGAGACCGAATGGAAGAGACTGCGAAGTCTCAAATGCCCTTACACTGCCGTAAAATGGTATCGAAGGCTGGAACGTGACCTCGTGGAAATCCGCCGTATTCAACAACTTCGGAAGATCAATGACAGCTCTTCGCTTTCACTTACAGATTTGAAATCGTCGTACCTTGTCGCCCGCTCACGAATTTTTTTCTTAGAAGATGTGGCCACCTTTGGCCAAGGGTTCCCTACAGACAATTCTTCGCTGTCAAAGAGAGCTCTCAAAACAATCGAATTACTCCTCCGCAATCCCAAAAATGTCTTATATATAACTAGCGATCAAGGAACAAAGCAGCTCAAAGAGACACTACCTAAATTGCCCTCTGATGTCGGATTTCTTCTCGAGAACGGTTGTCTTATCCAGCTCAGCAAAACCGAGGATTGTGTGCAATTCGTGGCCACAAGTGCAGATAACTGGCGCCCCGGAATCCGAAGGATGATGAAGTATTTTCAAAAGCGGACTGAAGGTAGTCGAATTATGGAAACTCCATCGTCCTTAGTCTTTTGTCACGATGGCGCGATGGACAGCGAAGTTACAGCTCACCAAGTCTCTGAGCTTGTAGATCAGATCAATGGTGCACGCGGTAGTGCTGACTTCCATATTTTCCGCGATACAACGTTGATTAGCGTGGAGTTACCATTCTCTTCTCAAGGAAAGGGAGTGGCTGCCCGCTTTGCTTTGGAGCATCTTTCGGCCACCCAATACCCCGAATTTATATTCGCGGCGGGCAGTTCCCACAATGACGAGGCACTGTTCCAGTGGGCAAATGAATTGAGGTCGACTCCAACTCCATCTGGGTTTAGGACGGAATTTAGGAAAAGACTCAAGGTCATACATAACTTTGGCAACTGGCACGCATGCCACAGAGGCAAAATCTACCTTGCCGGTTGATCTTTCTCTCTTGGATGTCTTGAACTCACTGTCAAGTTTGACGGAGGATGAAGGAGAATCTACAACATGCGCTGAATCATCTGCCGATTCGTCTGCGTGAACGACTCTTATTGCTATTATTGTCACCGCGGTATTGACCACCATTCATTTCGCACACTGCAGTATGGTTAGCTCAAGCAATAATTGTTCAACTCGTGTTCATTGGTCCATATATCATGAACAAGTAGGTTTCAATGCGCAAAACGATGAGGGATCTTATATCGTATCTGAGAGGCCTGGAAATAGCTTGTATAACAGGCATTTCGCTATAAAAGTATTGGAGGATAGTAAGCCGCTATGCATGCACGATGGAAAGTGGATTGGGCAGAGACTTCATCAAATGCAACTTGAAACAAGACCGATAGAAACTACTCATACTTTAGGGTATTGCCAGAGTTTCTAGACGAGATCTATTTCAAGAATGATTCTTTGTTCTCAGGCCTTATTTGGATTTTACAAAGATCTACTGGGATAAGCCCAGATAAGCACCAGAGATAGCGACTGGTGGGGAAGGGAAAAAAATACATCACTCGTAGTTCGGCGAACGCCCGAAGAAAATCGACATCCTCTAGGATAACAGCTTCAAGGTAGTAGAAACATTATCAAAACAGCCGGGGATAGCACAAGCAGACAACGAATGTCAATGTGCCGAGAACGAAGAATTCAGATTCAAAACAAATAAGATTGGAACGCAGAAAGTAGCAGGATGTCAAAGCCGCAATGCATACATGAAACAAAAATCCAGGTCACATGAACGATCAAGAATGAGAATTTCCAATTGAATAGATTGAACCTCGGATGGGCGAGTCAGACACGACGATAGCTAAAAGAACAAAATCGGCACGAGCACATATCACAAAGACGAGGATATAACACGAGAAATGATTAGGAATAAGCATGAATCATAAAAAGGTGGAAGGTGGAAATTCTTATTCGTTTCCTTTGACGGAAGTCAAAAATGAGCCTAAAAATAGGGACATCTATGTTTGTTCAGGGGTTGCTGTCCTGAGAAGGTGGTGCATCAGCGCCAGTCGAAACGAGAGTAGGAGCAATGCGGCGCTTCTTTGGCCGTTGAGCCGTCGTTTGGTCCGCATCCTTGTTCTCTTCATTTTCAAACTCGCCACGCTTCCCCAAAACACTGCCACTGGTCGTTGTGCTTTGTGGACCGCTGGAATTTGGAGTTTGTGGCGGAGTTGTAAGTGGAAGGGGAAGCGTCGATGGTTGTGAAGAGTGTGCTGCCGTTACTAATGGAACAGTTCCGAGAGTGGGTGTAGGGTTGTTAATGACACCAGCAGGGGTTTGCTGCGAGGACTGTGTTGCCACTGAGCAAGCAGAGTTGGAACGTGCAGGACTGGCTGGCGGAACAGGGCCCGTGCTATGTGTGGATGAATTATTTGTCTTGATTGGGGACGGCACATGCATCGGTGTCGACATCGGTGTGGCATTCGCAGCAGGGGTGCTTGGGTTGGCAGTATTTTGGCTTACGGAAGTGGATCCTGTATACAGCTGTCCCAACTCTCCAGGAGCAAATGATAGAGTAGAGCAGAATCCATCAGAGGAACTCATGATTAATGTCAGCCCATCGGTGGACCTGTGGTTCATTAGTATAGGGAAACAAGGGTCGGTTGGAAAAAGATTTACCAGGTCAGGTCTGTGAATGTAGCAAAATGCAGGTTGCTTACAATACACAGGGGAGTTTGTTGTTGCGTATCATATATCAAGACAGCATCTTGTGTAGCAACCGCGTATACAATGCGATATGGAAGGGCAAAGACGGATGGCGGGCTTTGGCTTGTATCGCTGGTGTCATTCTCGGTAGCCTTGGGAGTTCCCTGCGGGTTGGATATCTCGACGGACGTTGAAGATGGAGGATCCATTTGAGGCTGGCTGGTGAACGATGGAGTCGCCGATACAACGGGTTCTGGAAGAGAGGGGAACATCTCTTCGCCAGATGATGTATCAAGTGTGATATTTTTCGCAGGCTGGGTGTTTTGTTTTAACGTATAGAATACCGGTGAGCACTTCACGGCCACGGAAGGCTTCTTATGTCCCGGAAGATGAGAAATTGGAGGTTTGTTGAAACCGGCTCGTGTGTAGACGTAGACTGTGTTGATGACATCGTCTGTCGTTTTTGCAGAATCCGTGGCTGAGACATGGGTCGTCTTGAATTGACCAGCTGGCGTGAACAACAGGCTCCCATCGGGAGCAAATGTAAGTCTCCGGAAGAAAGATGTGAATGTCTCATTGGCATAGATGTTGGCATTCTTTACCCCGAGACCACCGAGGAGACTCGGTGATGAGACTTCCAATGGCTTGACGGCCGGCAATGGCAAGGATGGAGCAGGGGATGCAGATCGTCGGATGGAAGGGGATGAGCCAAAAGACGAACGCCGACTGTGTGAAACGGGAGGAGGGTCCATGGGCAAATTGGAAGCCATTGGAGTCCCCGGGGCCGAAGGAGCAGGCGAGACAATCGCAAAAGTATTTGAGGCGCCCTGTTGGGAACGTATACTGACGTCTGGGGGCGCAGGACTACTTGAGATTCGTTTGGCTGGTAGATCCATCTTGAGAACCTTCCCGTGTGGTGTCAAGGTGAACTGCCCATCCTTGGTCTTCAAGGTATAGATGTGGACTGATCTGTCGGAAGACTGAGTCGCGACAAACTCATTGAGCGGATCCCATGCTACACCTTGAACGTAGTGAGAATGCTCTGCGATTTGTCGTACCATTTGTCCTATAGGGGTTCAGTGTCAATAAACCACGCCGGGTGCAATCTATATCACGGGTAACGAACCGGTTTGGGCATTGTAAATCCGAGCAATATTGTCCATGCTGCCAGTAATTATAAAAACACCATCAGGGGACCAGGCCAGATCATAGATCTCGGCGCCAGATGAACGACACATATGCTTGACTCGCCATGTCTCTTTGTCATCTGAATGATCTTCCCCGAGCCCGGCTTGTGTTTGCAGCTCCGATGGTACCCAAAGCAGGACGTTTCCATCATCTCCAGCAGACGCCAACATTTCACCTACATCTGTCAGAACTGTGATTCGGTGCTGGCTTGTGGAAACACATACCCTTCGGACTGAACCGGACCACATTGACAGCTTGTGTATGCTTGATGAGAGTACTCAGATAAGAGACCCTCCTTTCTTCTCCCATGGACTCGACTTTCCAGAGCTGTATGACATGTCAGATCACGGTGTTCGGACAAGGACAAGGGCTTAATCATACTCGGACGTTGTTGTCACTAGAAGAGGAGCAAATTAGTGAATATCCCACGACAAGGGAGAATAAACGAGACCTACTTTCCGGCAGTGGCTAGCCTGCCTTTGCCATTGGGGTCGAAATGAACCGAGTAGATAGGGGCGTTGTCATTGTGCCACGAAATGAGCAACGGGGAGGCCTTCATGGCGAGCGCCGGAGCTCAACAAGTAGTTGATCACCACAGATTGTAAGTAAAAGGCGAACTTTTAAGAGGGAATTTCCGAATCCAATGATCACTCAAGTACCTCGGGGGTGTTTAGCTTGAAGGTTTAGTTGACACGGAAGGGTATCTCAATAATGCTGAGCAGATGAGAAATAGTTGATGTCTTCCAAGAAGAGTAGGGGAAAATGATGCGACAAGCGAGGGAATGAGAGTAGGGGTCGGAAGGTTAAGAGTCGTGATTCTGCGATGATGCTTCGAGTTGTTTGCGCGGGAGAACGCGACCGGAACGATTAGATATGCCGCCCTCTTAATTTGCAAGGATTACATAGCAAGTATATTCTGCCTTATATCTGGAGGTACTGAATATTTATTAATGTTTTTTCATCTTAAGTCCTATTCTAGAACATTTGTTTTACAATGTCCTAGGTATTAGGATAAGAAGTGGTGTCAGCTGAAACGTACGGACTTCTCTCTACCATGCCCAGGTCATCATAGTCATACCGTTCGAAAATGTTTAGCGCCATTCTTTTTTGGAAAAAATAAATGAGAATAATACAATAGAATTACATATCTAGGACATCCATTTGCCGAGAGTCTCTCCAAACCAGCTAACGGCCTTTTCTTGTCGCTTCTGTCGAGCATCGTCCTGAGACTTCATGAAGGGCGCAGCCTCCTCCATATATAGTCTTTGCTGTTCCAAATTTGCGTAGTGTGCCCGGATTTCCAACTCCCGCTCGTGTGGTGTGAGCTTATGGAGCGGTTTTGATGGCTTAAATCCTGTCGGGATTGCTTCTCCTCCCGGAATCTCAATCTCTCGGTTTTGTTGGACTTGCGACTCCTTCTCGGGATTGAACAGCGATGTAAGAGGTGGTGGTTCGAGCCCGGCTGCCTTGGCATCTTCAATTCGCTTTTCATAGTCTAGCATCTGGTGGTATAGCTTGTCGGCATGCATCTGAATGCGCTCCTCTTTTTCAGCGTCTTGGTCGACGCCAGCTGCGTAGCCGAGAGCTTGAAGGAATTTCTGTCCGGAAAGTCCGTGTTAACGATGATCGATAATGCCTTAGATGCCATCTGCCAACTTACTGTCTGGGTCATGAAGCATCGGGAGAAGGTGCCATTCTCCTTTGAGCACAAGGTCAATCGGGCCTCTATTTGCTTGCGCCAATTACCTGTCTGGAAACAATAGGTCAAGGCCTCATGCTCCAGTGCACAATTCTCCATTGCTGCCCGTTGTACTGTGTCGCCTTTCGCCTTGTGTTGTTCAATCACTCGCGACGCCCCGCGGATTCCGGCTCCTTCATCATCCTCCGCTGGTGGCTTATATGTTTTCCATAGATGAGCATAACGCCCATCCTGATAAAGCGAAGCTGCGGGAACTTGAGGTTTCGAGGGATCAGAAGTGTCGGGAGATTGCACAGGCGTCGATGGTGGTGGCTTCACATCGGGACCGGGTACATATTTGTCGGGTTTTTCCTGTTCGAGATAGTCGCGAAGCCCTGGATCGAGCTTCTTGACAGGATCATTCTTGCTATCACCCCAGAACCAACCCATTTGAAATACTGAGTGGGTAAATTTGTGTGATGTTCAAGTGAAAAAGTACCAAAGACGTTGAGAGCGCGGAGAAATCGGGTCAAAAATGGATCGGCCCTGATCGCCTTGGCTCCGACCACAACTGGTGTCTTTGCTCTTCAACCAACAACACGACGCGTCTTTTTCGACGCCGTTCCTCCATAATGGAAGTCAGTATGTAATTAATCTACTTTGCCTGGATGGATTGATCGCTAATCATTGGCAGCGCGAGAGGAGCGGCAGCAAATGCGACAGCGCGGAGCTGGGTACGCGCCTTGCCTTTACCCCGCGAAACCATAACACAGATACTGACTGAGAATAGGACGCGCAAGGCCAAGGAAGTGGATTTTGGCTTCTCATTTGGTAGCCCATTAGCCCAACCATCAGCGCCCGCGCCGCTTGCTACTGTCCCTGAACCTCAGAATCCGCCGCAAACACAGACCGCGCCGGCGACAACACCGCCGTTGAAGCCATCGCAACCAATATTGCAAGACTCGAGAGCTGAGCGCACACATGGAAGTGCGCGTAATAAGCTCCCAGAACGGCCCTCGACATATGACATACCTCCAGACAGAGGCGAACAAACGCAAAGCAACAAAAGGAGAAAGCTTAGTACGTTGAGGCCCAAGCCGATACTCTTTACGAATAACATGAGCTAATTTTAACAAAGGCTCCAACAATAACACAGAAGATACCCATATTCGTCAAGGTGGCGTGCGGGCAGAGAATGGAGATCCGCAGCTTGTTAATGACAGCGCAAGTCACACAAAGGCGCAACCAAGCTACACCCAAGAAATTCCTTATATGACTACACTAGAACAACAAGAAAAGCGCAGTAATGGACCTTCAGAACCTCTCATATCACCAATACCGGAGCCTTCTACCGATTATCAGACCCGGCGAGACAAGGCCTCCAATGGCGTGGAACAAGAAATAGCACCAGCAATTTCTGCAGCCGAAGGACACTCAGCTCAGGCCAGTTCTTCGGTACCTAGCCATGCGGATCCAACATCGATCGAAGAATCACGGACATCGCCCAAAGCTCCAGAGCCTCAGCTCCAAGTAGCCGCTATACAACCTGAAAACGCAGAGCAAACAAGCGAGAACCGACACAAATCCCAGGCATGGCCTAGTCGTGAGCAAGAGGTCCAACGAAGCAAGAGGGCTGTTGTCCCAATGACTCAACAAATAGAAAAATCAATCGCAAGAGGCGTACAGCGTGCAAGCCCCGCGGAGGCCCTCGAAACAAACCACGCGCCAACTCTTGACGCGGATGTTGAAAATATTGAGGAGGTTCCTGAGCTGCGAAATGAGTCAATGGAGAAAGAGAACCGAGGGTCTCAAGATCCCTCTACGAAGATGAAAAAGCCCCGAGGGCGCCCCGGGCGCAAAGCCATTGCAAGTCAATCTCCAGAACTGCCTGGGGAAGACATCATGCAGGAATCCGTCACCATAACACAAGAAGAACCAGCGTCTCTCCAGGCGGGGGTCGCCTCAAAACTCAAGCGGTCCCGTGGTAGACCTGCACATAATAAGAAGGCTATTGGGGCAACCGAGTCTGAGAATACACCACCTCAACCCGTCTCAGTCGCCACCGAAGCCTCTTCGGGGCCCCGTCGGGGCCGCAAGCCGATATCAGCAAACCCCGATGATCAACAGGATCCTGTAATAGAGCCCACAGTGCCCAAGCCACAGCGCGGTAGGCCTGGGAAGAAGGTCCAACCTCCGGTTGAATCAGCGCCTGTGGTTGAAGCTGATGTTGAACCCGAGGCACACAAACTTCAACGAGGCAGACCTGCGAACAAGTCTAAACGTGCTGTGGAGCCCGAAGAGCTTCAAACCGAAGAAGCAGAGGCGGTATCCAAGTCTCGGCGTGAAAGGTCCGGAAAGAAGGCTAGACACGCAGTGGAGCCAGAACCAGAACCCGAGCCTGCGGTCGAAGAGCTGCCTGGACCTGAAATGGAGTCCGCAGCGCCTAAACTTCAACGTGGTAGGCCTGGGAAACCCAAGCGCAATACAGAGCCAGAGCCAGAGCTCCACGTGGAAGCTGAATCGAGACACGCTGAACCCCGTCGCAAGACTCGAGAGCCTCGCGGAGAAACCGTTGCAGTTACCGTCTATCGTCTCGCCAATGTCACTTCTCTTAATGGCACGGTGTCTACGGCTGAGGGGCTTGGAGATGACCAAGACTCCGCAGATGAACTTACCACAAACCAACGAACTAAGATGCCCAGCCGCGGTGGTGTTAATCCCGCCGACGTGTTGAGCCAGATCTGTCGTGAAACTCTGGAGAAAACCCTCAACACACTCAAGGATGGAATCGCGAATGAAGCAAATGCTACGCGGCGGGCCGAATGGACACGGAAACGGAAAGCTGTCGAGACATTTGGCTCCGAGCTTGAAAGTCGCCTCATGGATCTAAGTGGGATTCTTGACAGCAACTTTGTTCTCGGCGTTCAATTGAAAAAGACCAAACGTGACATGATGGATCTCCGAAGTCATTTATACCGGGTTCGTCGAGAACGAGAAAGCGTGGCTTTGCAAATGGACGCAGTGCGCAGCAAACATACTGAAGAGGAGAAGGCCAAAACTGTGAGTTATTTCTTTGCAGCAGGCGAGAACAAACTAACAATGACCTTAGTCACGAACCATCATCAACAATTCCCTTCACAGTCTAGAACTCGCTCTTGACCGCAACAAGCAACGTCCTGCTTCGACTGTGGATCCCTCTCCTGCCGATCTCGAATTCATGCTCCGGACGGTAGCCGGTGTGAGCGCCCGTGCCCCCGAGGCACAAGGCGGTCTCTTGAACCAAATCCGTGCATTCAATGCACAGCTTGAATCTACTGCAAGTCGCCTGGAGCGATAGTACTCATTTTTGTCTTCTCGGCGTTCTACAATTCGTTTTGATACCAGGAGCAGTTCTTGCAATGATTATAGTCCGTGGCTAGGTCAATGGATGGCGTTTGTCGATGTTTATACCCGTTCAAGCCCTGGAGTGCTGATCTACACACAATAGGTACCTTGGTAGATTTGACAAGTTGCTTCCTAGCGAACATGAAAGAAATGTGTATAATTTCATTTCGATTCCCTAACATTCCAACAAGATTATTCATAATTCCGAATAGCGTGATGACCCACATTATTATTAATTATCCCGAGTACATCTACCAGCCAATCAGAAGCCTTCAATTGCTGTGGTTTTCGGAGACTTGCCACTTTCGGCTGAGAACTCGGCAGGGACTTGAACCCGACTCCACTGCTGCTTGTTAATCATGGTGGATATAAATCGTATATGCCATGAAATGCCTGCTAGAACCCCAATCATAGATATATAAAGTGCTTACACCGCTACCCTGCAGGAGAAACATCAATTTATCTGGACCTGCACTGAGCCCAATTGCCATTCCTAACCCTATATACCCTTACACCCTTTATACTATATAAACCAACCATACAATTCAACCACAATGACAAAACTCTTCACTCCTCTCCGCGTCGGCCGCGTGGAACTCTCCAACCGCATTGCCATGGCCCCCATGACTCGCTTCCGCGCCGATGACAACCACATCCCCCTTCCCTTCGTGAAGGACTACTATGCCCAGCGTGCCTCAGTCCCCGGCACCCTGCTGATAACTGAGGCAACATTCATCTCTGCTCGCGCAGGTGGCTACCCCAACGTCCCAGGCATCTACAACGACGCCCAGATCGCCGCCTGGAAGGAAGTTACCGACGCAGTGCACGCCAAGGGCAGCCACATCTACGTGCAGCTGTGGGCTCTCGGACGAGTAGCCAACCCAGACGTCCTCAAGGCCGAGGGTGACTACGAGCTCATCTCCAGCAGTGCCACGCCCGCAGCCGCCGATGCGCCTACACCGCGAGCCCTGAGCGAGTCCGAGATCCATGAGTGGATCGGCGACTATGCGCAGGCCGCGCGGAACGCCATTGCGGCGGGCTTCGACGGCGTCGAGATCCACGCTGCCAATGGGTATCTGATTGATCAGTTCAATCAGGATACCTGCAACACGCGCACTGACGGGTGGGGCGGCAGTGTGGAGCGTCGCGGCAAGTTCGCTGTCGAGGTCACTCGTGCTGTTGTTGACGCTATTGGTGCCGATCGCACCGGCATTCGCTTCAGCCCTTGGAGCACTTTCCAGGGCATGCGGATGAGTGACCCTAAACCGCAGTTTGAGTACCTTGCGTCGCAGATTGCAGCTTTGAAGATCGCGTACGCGCATGTGGTTGAGTCGCGCATTGCGGGTAATGCCGATGTGGAGTCCACTGATCAGCTGGATTTCTTCCTGGAGGCGTATGGCAAGGCTTCGCCTGTGATCATTGCTGGTGGTTATAAGGCTGACTCGTCTCGTCATGCGGTGGATGTGAAATATGCCGATTATGATATCATCATTGGTATTGGACGTCCGTTCATTACAAACCCGGACTTGCCCTTCCGTGTCAAGGAGAACATTCCTTGGGTGCCCTACAACCGTGACACTTTCTATGTCCCTAAGGATCCCAAGGGATACGTCGACTACGAATTCAGTGCTGAGTTCCAGAAGACTGTTGAGGCTACTGCTTGAGATGGGGTGATGTTTGGTGTGTTACGATTGCATAGCGATGACTTGTTAAACTGAATAATGTAAATAGAATTAGAATTAGGCTACATATGTAGCCATGAGCACATAGAACATACATATATTGACATATATACGTGAATACTCGCACTTAACGACCTCGTGCCCTCCTAAAGCAGACCCGAGCATCAACTTCCCAGATAGGGAAACCACGAACCGCATACAATTTGGAAAGAACGACGTAAGAAGGAATCCCAAAAGGCTTCCTAAGAAGACATGGAAGGGGAAGTTCAAATTTTGTACTAGAAAACAAAAGTCAGCCACGACCATAGACAGTATTTTGTATCCACGCAACTCACCCTGAACTCGCGATTTTCCCGATCTGTCATATCCAAGAACTCGGAATTCTCTTGATGAACCTCCCCTTCACGATTCTTATCCCTCCTCCGGTTTTCCAAAATATAATAAGTCCTTAACGCAAGTGTAAACACAATCGCCACCGAGATAGTAACGACAATGGCAATCTTGGCAGGAATATAATCCGGTTCATCCTCAGTGCGAAACGTAAGTGGGCCAAGGATATTGCCCAAACAGAAAGACATAAGCAAGATAGCATTCATCGAGACCTTTTTCGTATGACCGGCAACATTGGCTCCAGCAAGCGAGTACATAATCGGCAGCGCAGAGCCAGTGACCTGCGTCAAATAGTTCCCTGCAAGCTGAGCGCCTTTCATTTCCTTGGGCGAAAAAGCAAGCAGACACCCGCCCAACAAACCGCACGCTAGCGACATCGCAATACATAGACAGCGCTGGTTGTATCGGCCTGCGAAGTACGATGCAGCAAGGATACTGACTATGCTTACAGCGCCATTGGGGATATTCAGCAATTCGGTCTCTTTGGTCGTGAATCCGAAGTTTTGGATGATAAGCGAGGTAAAGCTGCTCATGGCTGCATTGGGGACGTCCATGGCTGTGACGATGATGGCAATGAGATACGTCTGCGGGTCGCGGAAGACTTCCGTGAACTGGCTGCGCTTGAAATGCTTATTTTCAATTCCGGTTTGGTTCTCGCGGAGGCGTTCGATTGCGAGGACTTTCTCTGCGTGCGTTAGACGTGAAGTCATGGGGTTGTCGGGGAGGAAAAAGAAAATGCTGATGCCGACGGCGATGGTTATCAAGCCGAAGATGAGGAACATTATCTGCCAGGGCTTGAATTGGTCTGATGTGTAAAACAGGAGACCATAGGCTACTAGGGCGCCCATTATCGAGGCTGTTCCTGTGCCTAGATACCAGATACCCATCCTTTGGGGTTGTTCTGTCAGGAGTCAGTATATTAGTATAGCACGGTTAGTATATGACGGTTGACGTACCGTCTCTCTTGTACCACATCGACGTGATGAGGATCAATCTACCATGATATCAGAAGACGTTTAAGTCAAAATACTTCAACAGCACACTTACGCGGGTGCAATCGCACTTTCAAAACATCCAAGCAACACGCGAAGAACCATCAGGCCTGGAAAGTTCTTTGCAGTGCAGTTCAAGGTCGTCATAAGTCCCCATATTGTAACTAATGGGTCAGTATCACAGACATCATACAATCGGTGGATAACGTACCATTGAATCCCAAGTACTTCGCAGTGGGCAGGCGTTGCATGAGAAATCCAGTCGGAAGTTCGAAGAACAAATAGGTCACGTAGAATGCAAGCGTGAGGTTGGAGAATTGATTAGTGTGCATATTTGTGTCGCTGAGCAAGCCCATGACGGATGCATAGTTGACTGTAAACAGAACGATCAATCATCAGACTCATTTCTTGCTGATTGAGCTATACCTACTGAGCACTTTGTCGAGATATTGAAGATTATACGCCGCCCACATCAACGGCATGATCATCCAATCGATCTTTCGCACGAGCGCCTTCTCATCTACCTCTGTTAGGACTGCGATGTCTTCATTTTCTGTGCGAAGGAACTCGAGCGCGGCATCTGCCTTCCCGGTCGCTATCATGCCATTTTTGGTTTCTATGTCGAGGTTTTCTCTGACAGACGGGGTATGTTGCCCCATTGTTAAAGTTGATTGTCGATTGAGTTTTTAGATTGGATCGTTTGTTTAGGGCTCTATACCAAACCGAGAACGTAGAAACAACCTTGTAAAAATTCAATGTTAGAGCAAAGGTAGGCCTGGGCTGGTGCAAGAAGAGAATGTGAGGATCAAAGCATTCATTCAACTACAACACATCTGGTTTGCTCCCTCTAGTTAATAAGAATTTTGAGCACAAAGCACCTCCTCTCCAACCCCTCTCTCCCATCTCGGCTGAGGGAGATAACAAGACTCTCAGTCCCAAAAAGGAAGCTATCAAGGTCGGCAACAGATGATGAGACTGCGCACCAACCTTCTTGAAGAAGCTTCTCCATCCTAGATACCAGTCACAACGTGCGGAGATATGAGATGTGCGGTATATGCCGCCTGGCTTGATACCCAGGAACAAAAAAACAGGCGGACAACCCTTCCCCAATCTTCGTGGTTGGCTAGCGATTTGATTATTTGTGGCATGACTAAGAGGGACGCGGCAGGAAAAGCCAGGGCCAGCGTAACAGTCGCATCTCTTTGGAGAGTTTAGAGCATGGTCAGATAAACCGCTGCTGTCATTCCAGTTCTGACAGGCTGCGTCGCCTGTGCTCCTTGACGTTTCTAGGCCGATATAGGAAGGTGATCGCTCTTCAGAGATAAGTGCTTCGTTCTGACTTGATAGTACTTTTGCAACCCCGCACGCGCAGGCGGGAGGCACCGCCTAGAGTTGGGGTAAAGAGGTTTAATCATTTGAATGGGTTGAATGGTTGTATAACTTGTAATCTTGCATGCAGACTGTGTCGGGGCACTCTGGGATTGTGTTGGGAGGATTCTGTTGGGGGTGAGATTTGTGATTTCACTGCGTTAATAGTTCATAAAGTGGTGTTAGTGTCTTTGATCAGTTGGATCAACTGTATCAAAAAAATGGGTTCGAGGGATGTGTATAAGAGAAAGAGGCAAGCATTCAAGGCGGAAGACGATTGACCGTTACTTGGACTACTAGCAGTTGTCCTGGCAATATCATCTTCTTTTTGAGGAATAATCCGTGTTCTAATCCGATCTACCATCATGCAATCCTCTATTTTTGGGCTCAAATGCAGTCCTTATTCATTTTAGTTTAGTGTCATGCAATGATGTACTTACCAAAGTGTTGGGTTCCCCCGCATTCTCGCAGCCATCCAAATTCTTGATTTCTTACCCTTCTTTCTCATCAAAACGTGGCTTTGGGGGTTGTCCGACTTGGCGCCGAGGGCATTGAGTTGTGTAGTGGACCCCGGTTCGTATTTCAAAGCCGAATATTCAAGTTCCGCTCCGCCGAACCGAAAAAGACAACGGATTGGAAAATATATCGCGTGGAGGAAATTAGATCATCCGAGGGTATGCGGATTTTGGTACGGAGTACACATTTTGCATGGGAACATCAGGAACTATGGATTCTGATTTGTCCAATTCTTGTAACTCGGTCAGCCCGCCGAATGCAGAATGCAATAGTCTGGGCCTATTTGCCGTCCTTGACGTCGATTGGAAGGATTCTGTCGCTCTGGTTCGTCCGGTTATGCGGGGTCACTATTAGAAGATCAGATGAGCACAATGTGGGGGAAGTAATTCCTGCTATTCGCGTGTATCCAAAAGCAAATTGAATGGATCTAATAAAGTGATCGTCCTGTAGGTTCTCATGACGATACATGACGCTACGTGGACATCTTTCACAATCGTCCAGGGCTGAGTTTTGAAAAAACAAAAAATTCAGAGCTACAATATTGTACGGAGTATACATATCATGCAGTGTTCGGCAAATTAAAGCTTGACTTGATCTGGTTATTGGTCGCCATTTGGCCACCAAGAGCAATTATTGATCTTTGCTGTGCATATACAGTATATGTCCAAAAAAATCTACAATTGGCGACGAAGGTTTGAAGAATGCTCATTATTGATCGTGGCGGTCAATCACAAAGACATGTACGCGTTTTGAGCCCATTGCTCTTTCTATAGAGCTTTTGTTATGGAAAAAAAAGTATAATAACGCCGACTGTGATAGGGTAGAGTGGGCGAATTATCAGATCAAGCGGTCTGGATGATTGGCGATGAAGTAAAGTCGATATTTTCTGATATTTCAGTGCGAAGACCTCGGGAACAGTGGCAGAATACTACAAATAATAATGCAGACATTTTTGTCTGGCACACCGCTTCCTGTTAGTCAACCGAAGATTACGATTGAAAAAATAGCAGTTCCTGAGATGTTTCTCTTATATTGCTTCGCATAGACGTACATACAAAGTACTTTATATGTGGCATGTTTGACTCATAATTGAGACCAGACGCACAGGCTAACTCAACATCGCAGTACTCCGTACACAAAATAGACTACAACCTCTTGGCTTCGAAGCTAAAAGGCCACTTCACTAACACACTTTGCATGTAACATTGGTAGAGCAAAGTTTAGGCCTCCGAAGCCAATCTCAAGCTAATATCCATATGGCGCGTTTTGCTTGTTTGTGATTGCTCCTTGGCACGCCACAACGCCCAAGCTATCTTATGATGGATAGCTTACACATGTTAGTGCCGCCACATGCAGCCAGTTTGCTAGTGAAACTCCATCAATCAGAGGTTTCTTTTAGCTGAGTCCAGACAGCGTACTCCGAGGGCCAGATCCTTCTAAAGCCAATCGAAGCATCAACGATGTGACTTTGCTAGGTAATGTTGGGATAGTGCTACAGAAGTGGAACCCATTATTGCTGCAGAGCTGCATGATATACATACAGAATACGGAGCACGGTGTCCGGAAAGGGATCTTGCATTAACTCCGTCCTTACCTCGCGAGATTACCCTTTATGTCGCGGAGATGTCGCAACATGACACGTTGCCACGGTATCAACTTAGTACTAGAAATAGAAAGAGTCTATAAACAGGCAAAACCATCATCCCCTTCACTCCGACGACTTCGCAGTCTGAACCTGAACAGGGAAATCTCTGACGCGGGCCGAATCCGAAGTTAACTGAGCCCACTGAAACGTCCACGGGTTCCACCGTGTCTCTTGTCAGCCGTAAGCCCCATCGCAGAGCCACAATGTGGAGATGAAGCTTGACAAGCTTGCATATCTAGCTTGAATCCTCGCATCACAAAGGAAAATAATAAAATAAGGAAACAGAAAAAACAAAAATTTTCATATGATCACTAAATGGGTCTCTTCTGAGCCTTGTTTGCCGATCTAGGTTCCCCCCCGCGGGACCGATGGCCAATTCGAGAAAAACACAGTAAGACTAGCTGTACTGGGTTGCGGCTGTGCGACGCCGTTTTTTACCTCTTACCGCAGTTAAACACTGGAGGTGACATTTTATCCCGTTTCCCCGAGATTTGAAACGTATCCATATCCGCACAACCTCCGAGATCGTTGAAGTTTGATGAGGATTGACCTGAGTGACAACGGCAACTCCGCGCAGCCGCGCAGCGTAGTGAAATAGTGTGAATTAGTGGTAGTTTAGGTCTCTTAGCTGCTCTGTTAGTGGTGCATCCGTGCTTCGTATCCCGACTCAAAAAAGGGGCAAAAGGGGGATATGCTGTGACCCACATAAAAGAATAATTTCAAGTTGAATCAATTGAGTCCGGCTAAACCGCACTAATCCATGCAAATATTCCCTCTTTTAATGGAATAATAACAAGGTATATTGCAATAGCGTTGATCGGTGGACAAATTCATTGGTGCGTAATCATACCCGAAAGCCTTAGAATATCAGCCTAAAAGTATATGGTACTTTGTTCCTACGTTTTATGATGAATTATTTCACAATTTTGTTATATCGAGAAATTCAGGATAATTCGGGCATAAGTACGAAGTAAAAGAGTGAAGCGCAAATCAGTTCACGGCGACTGGTTGAACCGAGGTCGTGACGCAGTCGACTCGGGTCGGTACACAGTACCCGGGATTTGCTCCCGAGAATGCTGTGCTTAGGAAGTCACTTCTACCAGAGAACATTGATAGATCAACAAAATTGTTGCTCCACACATCTCGCCCCCAAGAAGTTCTCTCCATACTCTCCATATTGTATAACGATACTCCATCAAACTCCATTTCTCCTTCGCACTAGGGGAAAAGCTTCGGTATAAGCCGCGTGTCTTTGGTTCAATCAAGTCCTGTTCCGATGCCAGCGGTGCGAAGTGGGCTAGATGATCACAAATAATCTTGATTGCGGATCATGCCATGCCCTAATGCAAACGCTTGGTCACCTCTGTATATTGTATATACTAGTATATATTCCACGGGACGCTACGGTTCGAGTAAGACCCTTGAATTGACCCACTGTAAAATCACGAGCTGTACGGAGTACATAATAAGAGGAAATTGAGATTAATAGTTCACGTTTGAACAGTGAAACGATCGCTGCACGCTTAATAGAACTTAGAGTTAGCCCCGGTTCCAGCAAGAATAGTCCCCAATGCAGTGTTAATCCACAGTATTTTCTCAATTGCATACCCCAAAAGACACCAATCCAAGCAAATGATAGCAAATAATAGTCATATCATGACGGTGTTTACCAACTGACCGATGATGTTCACCAATAATAATGTTCCCCGGATCCCTTCTCCCCACTTTCTTTCCCCGGGCTCATGTTTCCTTTCATCCTTGCCTTTCCGGAGCCAATGGTGTTGGTATTATGCAGCTCCCATTCCTCCGTCCCGTCCCTGCATGGCTAATTCGGCATTGCTCTAGATGACCCGGTATACAATATGGGGTTTCTGATCCCTGTGAAACCATTAGCAATTTTAATAAATAAAAAAGAAAAAGGAAAAAGGGAAAAAGGGATTTCAACTTGGTCCGAGAGTACCGATATAATAATAAAGTAGATTCCCCCCAAGGAATCTGTCTCCCTCTCTCTCTCTGTTCTCACTGTCTCTGCTATATCGACTCTCCACTTTTATTGTCCAAACTTTTGCAATTAACCTCTGTTAGTGTTAAAGTGGGACGGATTCTGGCGGCTGCACATCATTGCAGTTTGAAAAAAAAAAAAATAAAAGAAGAAAATAATTATTGTAAGTTTTTTGGCGGGTTCCACATCGTCTTTCCTTTCCTCCATTTTTCTCTCAACTATTTCGGCTTGGGCTTTTTGGGAGCTTTCGAACTTTCGAACTTTCGAACCTATAATAGTTTCCCCATCGCACCTGTTCCTATTCCTCTTCCTTCCCCAACTTTTTTTTTGTTCTTCGAATCAACTCGGTGCTGTGCTCCATTGATTGGATTCCTTTTCATATATCCCCCAATCTATAACTGTGTTATACTTCTCGGGTTCTTTTTATATCCAGCTTGCTGGTTTCCTTTTTGTTTATTATTCCAACCTTTTTTTTAACGATAATATCAGTTCATATAAAACTGCATCATGTCTGCGACAGAAGCAGTTAACAACGGCGGGTTGGAGAAGGACATTGGTACCGCTCCTCAGAACGGCTCCGGTGCCCCCATGCAGCCCCAACTGTCCGCCGAAGAGCACCAGGTGGCCCGCGCTGCCGCACGCTTCGGCTACGGACCCCTCGCCCATGTCAACACCGTGGACGCTTCTCTGCCCGCCTTCGGTGGAGAGTTCCAGCCCGGTCTGTACAAGCCCGTTGAAGGTCGCAAATTCGCCAATCCTGCACCTCTCGGCCTGTGCGCTTTCGCCCTCACCACTTTCGTGCTGAGTGCTATCAACATCGGTGCCAGGGACATCTCTGCTCCTAACATCGTGATCGCTCTTGCTTTCGGTTATGGCGGTCTCGTTCAGCTGCTTTCCGGCATGTGGTACGTAGCCGTAACCCATATGACCCTGGGGTTTCACAGACCTAGGGGGAGTGAGATTGACTCCTACTGACATTGTCGCTTTTCCAGGGAAATGGCTGTTGGTAACACGTTCGGTGCCACTGCTCTCTCCTCGTACGGTGGTTTCTGGCTCGCTTTCGCTATCGTTTTGACTCCCGGTGGATTCGAGATCGAATCGACGCTCACAGCCACGGACCCTGCCAAGTTCTATAACTCCATGGGTCTCTTCCTAATGGTAAGTTCTCTCTTTTCGCCCAATTTCACACATTGTTGCAATGTCCTCAATCGTCGCAAGAAACAACCGCTGACCGCAAATAGGGATGGTTCATTTTCACCACCATCATGCTGTTCTGCACGCTCAAGTCGACCGTCGCTTTCTTCCTGCTCTTCTTCTTCCTGGACTTGACTTTCTTGCTCCTCGGCATCTCCTACCTGCAGCGCGATGCCCAGGGCCAGGTCAACCTCCCAGTCCAGAAGGCCGGTGGTCTGTTTGGTCTCCTTGCTGCCTTTGCTGCCTGGTACAACGCCCTCGCTGGTATTGCCGACACTAGCAACAGCTTCTTCATCATCCCTGTGGCTCACTTCCCCTGGTCCGCCACTGGCAGGAGCCGCCGTGGCAAGACTGAGCGTGAGCTCGCATAAGCGATTTCCTTTTCAAAACCAAAAGGGAGGGAGTGGAGAGCCGCTAGGTGCTTGTAATGTTTTCGATACCCAGTGTTGTATGTATAGGCTGCGTGCGATATAATTTCCACTCGTACTTTGCTCTCAGATTTCGACTCGTTTGTTCGTTGATCGATTTGGATGCGGTTCGAAGGTTCGTTCGTCGCCTGTGACTGTTGCCGTGCATGGATGATCAATACGGACCATCCTGTCGAGTGCAGTTGCAAAATGTTTATTCGCTAGTCATCGCGCTCTTCAATGGAGTTAGTCGGTGCTGGCTGTAATTGTTCGGGGGCATTGAGCTTCACGCTCGGTGCTCCCTGATTTTCCTTGATGTATTTAGTGTTTCCTTACCTGCGAGTTGTGTGACTCAGTAATTAATTCAACCATGTTAATGACAATGCGCCAAATTTATCTTCGACCTTGTAGTATGTCCTCATACCTGTGCTCGTTCAATGACTTCGCTGAGCTGGTGTTGGTTGGTTTAGTCTTTGACCCAGTTTGAACTTGGTATTTCAAAGTCAATGCAAGTACTCAAGTATCTTGTGTAGCCGTGCATACACATAGACTTGGTACCTGCTGCGAGCTGAAAACGTTCGTAGATATGTTTCTGTCGACAATGGTCCAAGTACCTGCAAGGTTAGTCAAAGCCTGCAGGCGTGGTCATAGATCCAATGCATGGATCAGCCTAAATCACATTTTGCTGTGTCAATCAAGACTAAGCTGATCAAGGCCAAAAAGCTTTGAATTGAGCATATGGGAAAGCAGAAGAAAAAAAATAGGGGCACAGAAGGATGCACATGTCTCAGGTGTCACTATGGTTTTTTTTTTCTTCCCCCTCAGCGAGGCGTCACCCGGTGTTTATACCTAAACCCTTGACTAGCCTGCCGTGTCCGGGACTTGTCAGAGTGGACAGTGGATATACTGGGTCCTTGATCTCTGGCCGGCGTTTTCTCGGCCCTGAGATGCTCCTTGATGTGCCAATAATTGGATTCTAAATGACACTCAACTTTTTTCCAATATACTCCTTTCCATTTTTAGGAAGTATATCTCGTAAGACCCCCTGATTCCCCTTGGTCCCTGGTGACAAAGATGGATTAGAAAAGATAGAGAAAGCCAAAATAAGTCAAAATCTTCAAACAAGCTAAAAGATCGAGCTCAGCAAAACACCGAGCCAACGCCGATCTCCACCCGGATGAAACTCGGAGCTTACTCTAAAGGTAGCATTGTACGACGCAGCGTGTCAGCTTCGTCTGATGCAGTAACGGGCGGAGATTGTTCGGGATCGGGATGCCGGCTTATCTTGGTGGACAGATGGACCTGTCAGTCGTTCTATTTGCAGGTCGAATGCCGAGACTATAGGGAATTTCCGGCTTGGTCGGAATTATATGAATGATGTGTTAGAGTTTGGTGTTTGGTTACTCTTGTCAGGGGCTTTCGGGGGCCTTGGTATCTTGGCTTTTCGCAAACAGTGTGATTTTGTCCTTGCTTACTCCGTACTCGCCCGACCTTGGAAGCGATTAAAAGGGACTTGATGGACCAGTATAAAAGGGACCAGGGAATCGACTGTAACAGAGAGGCCAGTCAAAAGCCCCGGATGCGACCGGGGTTTTGTCATCAATTAATTTGAAGTATATGGTGTGCACTAGGCTATGGATATTTATAATGGTTGGTTGCGGATCGCAAGGAGAGCGACAAGTCCACGGTATAGGCACAGAGATGGTTGCTTGTGTACAACCTAGGTGGAATAGACAACACCTTGGCCAAGCATCCAATTTTGTTCACTGTGCTGACAGGTCCAATTGTAACATAGTCTCGTCCCAAATTTGACGAAGCATAGGTAGGTGAATGCGATCAACAAAAAAGAAGCCTAGCAAAAGAGCGCGGGCCTCCTGCCACGAAGTGATCCCTTGCAGCCGAGCAGCAGTAGCCAGCTCAGCTACAAAGAATGCTCGCTCTGATGGCAAGGTTGCACTGCAAGCTGCTCCCATGAAGAGCAGCCAGAGCAACAAGTCGCGACACAGCGCGAATAAACCAGATGGGATGGTGGCCTCAAGTGCGGTGCGCAAGGCCTGAATCGGCTTGGGAAGTAATTGGCCTATCATTGGGTAGAAGTTCCAAATGGCGCTGTTGTGGAACAATAGTAAGGCCAGGCGAGTACAACCCTCAATAGAGTTATCGCATTTCACTTGGCCTGTTGGTGTGTATCGATCTGAGTGCAGCTGGTATTCTACATGCAGCACTTCTGTGTTGAAGTAATCCTCGGTTTCCTCGTTGAATTCCTTGTATCCAGTATTGCCTTTGATCCATTCCGCATACCAGGATAGCTCGAGGAGATCATATACAATTTGTGGCATGGCTTCGCCGAAGATGCCGGGTATTTTGAGTAAAGGGATGAGGCGGGTCGAGAGTAATGCTACGTCGTCGTTGGGTGGGACGATAGAGAGCCGCGTTGGGCGGGGATAGCGGACAAAGGGGAATATGGGTCTTGCATGGGCCATGCAAGCGACTCGGATGTCAGTCCTGGGTGTCGTTAGTGAAGTGTTTATCGTGCCTGGCGCAGGGCGGAACCACGAACCATGAAATTTGGAACCGAACATCTGAGGGGACATCGTCAAAGTTCTTTCGAAGTGCGATCATCTGTCGCAATCCTGCCAAATGGATTTTGAGATAATCGGGATTACCTGACGCAATCTTCAATCGGTGTCAGCATCGATGTGTATTCACGGTTCATTTGCGCAGCAGCTTGTGCATGGGGAGAATACGGCATTGGGCACTGGGATCAGCTTGCGCCGGAAACCGCTATCCACCCCGAAATCACAGTCAAGGTTACATGTTTCAAATGTTATACATACTTCAATTGTTAATAAAGTAGAAACTGCAGCAATCAGAGCGTCACTGGAAGCCTTGACAGGATCTGACAGACCCTCGTTGACCAATCGAATAGTCTCACCCCGGTGGTGAAACGTATCAATCACCAACTGACTCCGCTTTTGATTAGGGTCTCGAATGGGTAGCTCGCCTGCACGCATAGCATCGTTAGATGTTGCCATGCAAATTGTCGCATGTAAGATTGCCGGGTCACGCTGAATTAAAGCAGCCCAATGCGCCTGCAGTTTCGGTTTATAACGCGTTTGCAATGGGTGTGCTTCTTGTGTGAGGTCCCATAGGACTATGACAGTGTCAGTAGGCAAATTATCGATCCCAGGATCGAGGTGGCACTTACAGACTCGTAAATGTCGCATCATTCTATCTGTCAAATGTGTATGGCCGGTACTAAAGGGGTCATTGGCCCCTTGTCCAACATAAGACCATACAGATGGCCCAGGGGGGTACACCATCGTTCCATCGAAACTGGTGTCGTCCCAAGATGTATCCGATATCTCAGGGTATCCAACAGCGCTTGTGGGTACAATTTCTTCGACGTCTGGGTCTTGCTCATCGGATATTCGATTGTTGTCCGAACTCGCAGGTGGGCTTGTCAACGCAGGCGCAGATCCAGAAGATACAAGTGCATCGGTATCCTTTGTAGGCGGCTCATAAGGTGAGTGTTTCCATTTGCTTTTATTGTATTGTTTTGTACTCTCAATGCGCTTCTTCCGATTATGCTCGGACATCACATGAGACCGGATCCTTTTTAGAGTCTCTTCTTTTGTTCCCTCCGCTGCGGTCTGCTGGTCGCTGTTGACCCAAAATAACGTTGATTTCCCCGCAGAAGCATTGGCATTCTTGCGGGGTTTGCGGACCTTTGTAGGTGCATTGCGGCTGGGTCCTGGAGCTGTAGTGGCGATCGGAGGATTTGAAGGCTGTGGAGGAGCTGGCGTTGCTTCAGGAGATGACTGGGATGAAGTTTGTTCATTATGGGCAGTTGAGTGTACATTAGGATGGGATTGCACGGGGACGTTGTCAGGGTGGATCGGATCGGCCACAGACCAAGCCGCGGCCGATGGCCGAGTTAGCACGGGCAAGGTCTGTTCGTAACCAAATTTGTCCATGGAGAGGAAAGGGTGGAGGAAGAGAAAGGGAAAAAAAAAGTCAGCGGGGTAGGGATCGAATGTACGAGGAAATTGGATTCATAAAGTGATCGAATCATCGGTCTCGCTAATAGTTTAGTGCCACCAAAGGAAGAATTCTCAACGCAAAAAGAATCCCTGAAGATCGCCCTTTTATGGAGGGTGTTCCCACACAAGCTATTGTGTTTATATCCACTTTATTGGTCCACTACTTTTATGACAGCTTAGATTAGAAACTATTTTGTAACTGCCCAGGTGTATACAAAGATTCTGGGGCTTTCAAGGGGTAGAAGTCTTCCAAATATAGGACTTTTCATTCAATCCCGGTATTTCACAATCATTGTAAAGTCAAAGGTTCAAAAGGATTCGGGGGCCAAAATTCCCTTTTGACGTCAGAATATCTAGTCAGCACCAATGGATTTTCAGTATATAAAATATAGGAATTGACAATATGACTCTCAAGCCCAATAAAGTACAGGCCGGGGCACCAATTTCCGAACACATCCGTGGAACAAAGAAGCTTGGCCCCGGGGTTGTTCCCAATGTACCTAAGACAGCGTACATGTACAACATTCCATTTATGTACACTCGAAAAAAAGGCTAGACATTCCCGACTACGTGATGAGGAGGCGAAAAGAACAGTGTGGGAAGCAAATGAGATAGGATAAGATAGTCAAGGGAGAATAATCTAATGGGCATGGGTTCCATTACAAGGCCATATAAATGGATGGAGCTTCAAATTTAGGTCATCCCGGGGCGTGGGAAGATCGGCACCGTCTCCAGATGTTCTAGCCCGCCCATAGTACCGGTTTGTCCACTGTTTTGCCAGCCCTGTCCCGTCTGCTGATTGATAAATTGGCTCTGACGGAAAGGATTGGTGCTGCCAGTCGGGTTAGGGCGCAAGGGGGCTGCTGCTGGTTGATGTGGAGCAGGCGAGCTACGTACGAAAGGATTGGTCCCTGTCCGTTGAGGTTGAATTGGCTGCGCTTGTGGTTGAGGGGCTTGCGCTTGCGGGGGTAGAGGAGGGTGGAATTGCTCATTTGGGGCGGGGTTATATTGAGGGTTTGCGGTAGAAAGTCGTTTGGCGAATGGGTTTGTGTTCTGCCGAGAAAGAGGGGCGGCAGGTGGGGGACCGCCCGTGGACGAGTTGGTCATCATTGACTGACGGAATGGATTGGTGTGCTGAGGCTGCAAGGGTTGGGGCGCCTGCTGCTGCTGTTGAGTGAAAGAGGCAACGCCTTCCTGTGGAATAGGAGCCAATTGTGACTGGAAGCCATACTGCTGTGGCTGCGCTGTGTATCCACCAAACCCAGCGCCGGTTGGCATAGCTTGAAGCGGCTGGGGTGGTTGCGGTTGCGGCTGCTGCTGCTGTCCTCCGAATGGGTTGTTAGGGCCCTGTGCTTGGTAAGGCGCGCCATATTGCGTCGGCTGCCCGTACGCGGTTGCCTGAGGTTGCTGCTGGATGCCAGTCTGCTGGGCATAGACCAGTTGCTGCGGCTGTTGTTGAAACCCTGTTTGCTGATACTGCATTGAGGTTTGTTGTCCCATCGGCTGCTGATTCTGCTCAATAGAGTCAAAGAAGTCAATCAAGTCCACGGGGGCCGGTTTGGCTTGTTCTTGTTGCTTGGTAGATATCGACATCGGGGGATTTGGCGTTGATGTCGGTTTTGCGGTGTCGGCAGTCGCACTGGCTTCCATATTTGGCGGAACGCGAACACCCTTTTTAGCCAAGTATTCCCGTCGGCGGAGGTCGAAATCAGGATCATTGAGGTCGTCCTCTAAAAGCCGCGCCAGGTCGGTGGAGGCATGCTTGAGCTTTGGGATCTCTAAACGGGTCGCGGATTGGAAATGTCTTGCCACCCCCAAAAACTGGACCACTTCCTCTGTTTGCTTCGTGAACGTCTTGTATATTGCCAGGGCGCGGATACTATCCGGCCGCGACATTTCAAAATAATGTTCTGTGTGTATTCAAGGTCAGATCAACAGTCATAGGGAAGCGAGGGGTTGGCTTACCCAAAACATTAATTGTGCCCTCGTTCATGACCGAGTATAGCGTCAATAGATCGAGTGTGAGGAGGCGGAATGCTGTCAAGCTAATTTCGTTCTCGGGTTCATCCGTCAAAAGCTATACTCTGTCAGTCATTAAGTAGGAGACCGGAAAACGCCGGGTTAACCTACATCACACCGTAGCAACACGCGGATCTGCTTCTGAACAATTTCCGTCTCTCTCAGGAGACCTTTTTCCACACCTATCCTCTTCAACCGTCCAGGTCCGCTTCGCACATGGTCCGTCTTCGAGGCCTCGAACGCTTTGGCGCGTGTGATAAGATACTCGGCATACCGTCGGATATTATGTCCCTGTGATTGCGCTACGAGTTCCTTTAGCAAGCCGCGCTTCTATAGCAAAGCTCCACGATCGTTACCTTCTGAGAAATTACTAGGCGCGATTTTCTTCGGATTGTCAGACAAGTATCCTAGCGCAGCGTCCAGTTGACCCTCCCGAATCATAAGATGAAGGACGATGAGCGCCTTGAATACAATGGTCCATGCCGAGTCTCGAAGTCGCAGTTGGAGTGTTCGGAATACCTCTGCCACTCCCGCCTCGCCGGTATGGGTTGCCACAAGAATGTGTTCGATGTATTTGGATTTAGGGGCAGCAAGCTGTTCCGATCAGAAAGTTAGTGATTGCACACATAAAATGAACAGAGGTTCCAAACTTACCTTGAGCTTTGTGGCCCCTTTTACTGATTTTTCAAATCCTCCAGCCATGTTGTGGAAGTCGCGAGATCGATGCCCAACCCCGGACAGTTTAAAAAGAAGAATTCAAGCTGTGGAGAAACAAGGGTTTGGCAATAAAAGTCTGGAGAGCCGGCTCCAGGAATCAAACCACTTATAGTTTGCGAAGAAATCTTAAATCATCACCCGTATCGCTCATGACGTGGCTCATTGGGCCATGCTGAGAGTCTGGAGAAGGTTGGGTTTCCAAGAGGGTCAGAGTCCGGTCGGAAGGGCCGGTTCAAGAATTGACGAGTACGAATTTTCACAGGAACATGAATATGGACCGAGAGGTGAAGGGAGAGATAAGAATAGCAAAAAGAGAGATGACCAAGGATGGCAGAGGGAGTTCCTGGGGGGGGCGGACTGCATGTTCCTAGAGGTAGCCTAATCGGGACTAGCACTATTTGGAACGAGGACCGGCTCGTGCATATGGAAGTATATCAATCCTCAAACATAAGATATATAGACGTCTAGATGGATGTCAAAATTAATGCCAGGCTGATATGTTCTAGCTTGATATATTATAGATAATACCACATTCTAAAGGCTTAGATTTTGGGAAATGTCAGGCACATCATTTATCTACACGTTTATATATATGCATGGCTTCCGCTTGTCTCAGCATAAACTAGACAATCCATAGGCATAGTATACATACAATTTAATTTGATTTTTTTTTTCAATTGTCTTGAGATATATATCCAAATAGAAGTTCGCCGGTTTCTTCGAACATGACTATTCTAGAAACCCTTGGCTACAACCCCAAATTGTGATGCGGATTACGAACCGAAGATATTACCTGTATACATAACCATTTTCCTATAGAGAATACCATGCTCCTGTCCCTTTTTGATCATTGACAGTAAAAAGGTCTGCAATAGAGTGTTGGATATAGAAGGTAGTCTAGCGGGTGGCTCACCAAGACCTACATATGCTATTAGAAAGATGGGATGGATATAACTAAACCTCCCTCGGATCAAATTTGCTCTTGTATCTGATCTATGACTAAATATGTACATGTGTACACTTAGGAATGTATAACATAGTTAGTAGTCCACTACCTATAATCTCCACGTAGACCACATAAATAAAATATCGACCATTTACCTAGGTACGAAGTCCACGACTTTGGTTATAATTGAGATTTAGGAACCCCATAGTCACTATATATAGGCGATTTTAGTTGGGCATGTAGTTCGTACTGTTGAACCTTGGGTTTTTCTGAATGATCTTTTTAGCTCTCTTTGTTACCTTCCTCTCAAGCCATTTTCAAACAAATACTTTTCAAACCTACTCCGAAATCCAATATTTCATCACCCATCAACTAATTTGGTCTTGTCTCTCTGTCATACAAAGTACAGTTCTTGTTTCCAAGGGGATAGTCTCCCCAGCTATCTCTACCTAGAGTTGTTATACTTATTCCTCTCCCTCTTCACTGCTGGTCCACCAACGCTTACTATTAAGCCTCCCACATCTGACCACCTCCCAAGACCCCCAGACTCCTTCTTCTAGTCCATCATCTTCAATGAGCCGAGTGTTCAAGTATGCAACCTCACAAGTCCCGCCGTCAACCTTACTACCTGTATACTAATCACCTGCTCTCGCTCTAATTTAGAATGAAGTCCGCAAAACCTCAACGAAGACCGAATATCCGGTGGAATGACTATATGCGCCAAGTACTTTGCTGTCTGTACCGATTTTACCACCGCGAAAATAAGGCATGGGAAGAGATCTTTTCTAGAATGTTTAGATCTCATTTAGATGAGCGTGGAATCAAAGGCTTTCTCCCAATTACGACTCTTATCACCCAGTGGACCTGGATGAGAGACAGTGGGAATCTTGTTTGGTACGATGTTCATATTGCCACAGATTTCAAGAGGGACGGAAGATGGAAAGACATCATAGCAAAAGTCGAGTCTATGGCTCAAACATTGCGCCTATCAATCAGAGAAAAGAAGGAAGACAGCCTGGACATATCTCTATGGAGACCCTCAGAGTCAACTGCAAGCGTGCGCACCAGGTCTTTACCATCGGTTACTCTTGCTAGCGTAAGTTGATCCTCAAAATAGGTGACTCGAAGTCTGACGTCTGTTTTATTAGAGGACTGCCATGAATAGAATCATCCCAGTACCACAAAGCGCCCTGGAATCAACTCAGAGCGTGAAGACTCCACCGCAACAGACAGAAGAACAAGAAACAAGCAACTATTGGGCCGACAATAATAGTCAAAGTGACATTGGAACGATGAAAGAAACTGTTAGCCACATGCACATCCACGAACCAATCGCTTACCTGGGAAGTGAGGAGCCGGTAGTCACTAGCCACGGGAAGGTCTGTATGTGGTGTGAGCAGGGGTCTGAAATTGACTACCAGCACGATCAGGGTCAGCACGAATTCAATAAACATGATGAAAATTTGAAGGGAAGCTCTGGCGAAGCAGGCCCAAGCGACTGTGATAATCAACCAATGCCCATGGATGACAGGACTGAAACTTTCGATGATGATAATTCTTCGACCCATGAGAGCGGAATCTTCCTGGAGGATAACCCCGATGACGCGATGAGCACTTTGCCCCGTATCGTGGACGATAATGAAATTGAAGATCGATTGCCCAATTTCTTGTATCACGGTCTTAAACGCCAATTGGAGCAGATGGGTTCCAGAACACCATCCATCGATCAAATAGAAGATGATGACTGGCCGTCAGACGGAGGATATCAAGATCCCAACACTCCAACCCCAGGACAACGGAATATCTTGCGGCCATTCGGAAGAGGGTCACAGTCACGTTCCATGGGTGATCGCAGGGATATCGAATATACCTCACACATCCAGTGGTGGTCTGAAGGTGGATGGAGAACATGACTTTGTGAACACATGACCGACGCAGACCGAGGACGAGATGGAATGATCAAGCTAGAAGTACGAGTGTAATGTACAATTACTTGAAAAAACAAACAAAACGAATCAAAAGAAGTCAAATCAGTCACATCCTGTTGTACGGTTACATATCTTCTAGATGTCAATATTATCCAAACCACAATGGGCATACACTTTACACATGGTTCATGCGCCATTAGTCACATATATTCAGACACCAGTCTCATATACCCATGATTATGCTTTGTATCGACCGAGGTAACCAGGAAACAGGGTCCCATTAGTAAATTTAAAGGCCCAAACAGCCCCTACTTGGATGTGAAAGTAAAGACCAACTACCCTTTTTCCACAAAGTGTCTCTCGCTTTAATGGGGTATAAGATGGTTTCTTGTTGCAAAGGTTGAGAGAGGCCGGAAAGAACCCAAGATGCGCATTGAGATAGGCTCAGTTCAGATTGCCACATGTTATCAACTGTTCCTTGAGCCAAAGCTGTTGTACAGTTTCCATCACAGGAGAGTTGAATAAATCTTTTGATTTTTGCGTGGATACACATCCTTCAGCGAGGTATCTGGGACATTGGAACTCGTAAACTATCCCGATCCCCATCCAAGAACTTTCCTGGTATCCTATCCATACCGCTTCCCTCGCCTTCAAAACACCCGGTTGTTTCAACCCTTAGAACTTGGCAAAAGACTTGACTGTAAGGGAAGATTGGTCAGCGAATCTCTTCATTGAAAGTCAAAACCAATAAATTTCGATACATACCGCTCTTCTGCTTGGCGGGGAGAACCTTAAGCACGTTGAAGCGGACCTGCGAGAGAATGTGAGTCAGATATTGATTTGTCAACACATATGAGCGCCCACTGCGTGCTGTTGTAAAACCACAGAGTATGATTCTATAGCCCCAACAGCCGCAAATCTGGACAAGATATCCGGTATCAACATACAGTCTTGGAGAGAGGACGGCACTGGCCGACGGTGACGGTGTCACCCTCCTCAACACGGAAAGCGGGGGAAACGTGAGCAGAGAGATTCTTGTGGCGTCTCTCGTAACGGTTGTACTTGGGGACGTAGTGAAGGTATTCACGGCGGATGACGAGGGTACGGTGCATCTTGGTGGAAACGACCTTTCCGGTAAGGACACGACCGCGAATGCTCACGGTACCGGTGAAGGGGCACTTGTGGTCTGAGATTGAAAATTAGTGATATGAACCACAAGAAAAGCTCGAAATTTGCGGATTCATCATGAATGGTCTTTTCGTTCAGGTTTTCGAGTATTCAACTTCGAACACGGGCGCTTTATCGTTTCCAATATCCTCTTGTTTTTGCCATGCGACCCCTCTGGTCCAATTCACGAAAAGACCATCCATTCCAAAGTCCATCACTTTTCGAGCGTAATTTTCAGCGAATGTCGTGCATACCGATGTAGGTGCCCTCAATGGCGGCCTTGGGGGTACGGAAACCGAGACCGACATCCTTGTACCAGCGGCGGCCAGCAGCGGACTTCTTGGAGGAAGCCTTGGCCTTGGTGTTAAGGAAGATGTGAGGCTGCTTCTGGAAAGCGCGCTCCGACTGGACGGTCAACTCGGTGGCCATTTTTGCGGTGTTGTTCGACGAGGAAGCGGTGTCGAAGATAGGGCGGGTTGTCGGCTGTCGAAGATGAGAAAGAATCGACTATCCGTTGGAATCTTTGGTAATTCGTAGTGTGCGGCACTAACCCCGATCGGGATTAGGGCACTTGGGGCTAGGGCTTTGAAATCATGCCTCAGGCACCAATGTGGTTTGTTTACATCACGTGAGTGCGGAGACAACGCGCTTTGGGCAAGATTGCAGATAGCAGATTACAGCGATGGATTCCGAAGCTCTTTGAATGTTCCTAACCTTGAAATCGATTTTTCGGACCATGCAATCGTGACTCAAACAAATTCTCTGAATGCATCAAATTACTCGCCTACCATGACCACCCGAGTAGACTCCTCGGCTTCGCGACCAAGATCTCGACGGTCTATTGCTCATGTCCCGCGATCGAAGATGACGTCCGGTTTGGACAAGGAGAATTCTACAACGGAAATTGGCGCTTCCCAGTCCTTTGCAAACAGCGCGAAACAGGTCACGAGGGACAAGAAATCCCGAAGCAAGAGTCTGGGACCCGGTGGTCTTGATGCACTCCAACATTCCAACGGCAATCGTCGTCAGGTAGTTATCACCTGAACCCCTCCATGCGCGCGTGCGGAAATTTAGGCCAACTCGAACATCTCATAGTCTACGGCATCATTCCCCCTCAAATCAATCCTGAAGCCTACAGTCCCAGTCTCCCCAGTGCGAAATATCCCCTCGTTTGAAGAAACTCGCCGGCGCACGCCCGCTCGTGGTAAACAACAGAGCCACGAAGGCGCACTTGACGGAGAAAATCAAAACAAAAACGGACTTTTGATTGATTTTGAAACAGCACCTGGACCCCCAGCGCCAGAGAATGGCAATGACGACACTGCAAATCCGTTTGATACCTTCAATGCGACTTCCGCCATTCGCGAGGAAATGGCCGCTACTAAGGAACGCGACGAACAAGAGCGCAAAGATCGTGAACGACAGAATATTTTAGAAAAACGAGCGGCACGACGGAAGTCTATGGGTCCGTCCTCATCATATTGTATTCGGGTAGTCGAAGCTGACACAAATGTTCTACAGCAAATCGCCGGGTTTCCTTCGCGCCCGAGGCAACTTTACATACATGGAACGTGGTGGAAATTCCCGACGACTCCACAGCCTCGTCGGCCGCGAACTCGACAAGAAGGGCATCTGCTGCGGCAAACTCCCAGAACCAACCTGCCCCCTCTTCGCCTGAAAAAGAAGATCCATCATCACCAGCAGAGTCGGAATTTGGATTCTCTCCTGTTCGCACACAAGATCTGAACCAGCTCAGAGGAAGCCACCAATCATCTACGGGTGGCGATGAAAACCATCACGACTTATCATCGAGTCCTTTCAGCGGAAGCTCAGTAGGGAGTGAAGACACTGGCGCTCAAAGTATGGCTGGCGAGGAAGATGACGTTGGTGATTCTTCGGACTCTGATGATGATGGATTTGATGCTGAGAGCACTGCAATGAGCATGGATGATATGACCGCTCGCTCAGGCATTAGTGTTCAATCCGACGAAACCTCCAGCTCTAGCTCTAGCGCCAGACTGAACAAAGCACTGCGCCAGGCTGCAAAGGAGGCAGGAACTGAAGTTGATGAGGGTGGAGAGATGTCAATGGAAATTGTAGACCAAGAGATTACGGGTGCTTTCCAGCCGTGGATTAAGAAGGGCGAAAGGCAAAGCTTTGACTGGGGGGATATCAGCGCCCAACATGGGCAGGAGAACATGGGCCCATCTAAGTCCGCCATCAATTCAGGAGCGCCAGAATCCGATGGAATCGACGAGGACGAAGATCTCAGCATGGACGTGACAAATGCCGTAGGACGCATTCTCGGAAAGCCCCCGGGCTATCGACAGAGCATGGCTCGTCGCACGTCCTCTGCGCAAGAATCCGAGTATGGCGACCAAACGATGGAAATGACCAATGTCGTTGGTGGCATTGCACAGGACAATTCGCCATCAAAGTCTTCCGAGAACGACGAGGATGAAGGAATGACAATGGAATTCACTTCGGCCGTCGGCCAAATTCTAGGCACCGGCCCTTCCCATGTGCCTGAATCCGATAACGCAAACAGCGACCAAGACAACTCCTCGGATGATGGCATGGACATGGAGATGACCGGTGCCATTGGTGGTATCCTGCAGTCCGGAATTGAAGCCAACGATAAAGTGCACGCGAAGATGCTCATGGAGTTCGAAACTGATTCGGGGCAGTTAAACAGCTCGCCTTTCCAGGCTAAGGTTCGACAGTCTCCTGCTAAATCTCCTGCCAAATCACCGCTAGCTTATCAGATTGCCGCCGTTGCTTCTGAAAATGGAAGCCCTAGCCTGGAAACTGTCCGGGCTAGACCCTCGCGACGTAGCTCCGCCAGGGGATCGTCGAGCACTCCCAAGTCACACAGCCGGCAACAATCCCCCCATAACAAACCATCGACTCCCCCCAAACAATCCACCCCTCAAACGAAACCGACTACCCCAAGCAAGACCCCCCCGTCTAGCAATGTATCGTATCGAACTGCGTCGCCAAAGAAGCTTTTCAAGCCTGAGCTCAAGCAGTCGGCTGACAAGCGCAAGTCTCTGAGAAAGAGCTTGTTCGAACACAACGCAGCAACGGGAGAGTCCACTCCACTGTTCAAGCTGCAACCACGCGAGAACCGCCGCTCATCTGGTCTGGGGATTGACAAAGAAGGTCTCGGATCTCCTCGCGTGGCAGCCTTACTTGATAAGCGCCAGTCACTTGGAGACAGTACACCGCAGTTTGTTCCCCAGGAGAACCTCCGATCTGGTGTACGCTTTGAAGACCCCGTCCGAATGCAAGAGGAGGAAGAACGTGATCGCGAGGAGGAGGAACTCAGAGAAGATGGCCATATTCCGGAGACGCAATCGGACCGAGACGTTACGTCCAGTCTGAAGGATATGATTTCAAGTCTCAGCCCCAAGAAAGCTAGGATCGGTAGCCGCAAGAGTCTCCATGTTGGGGCCGCTCGCGGAATTCTTGGCAAGCGCCCTGCTGAACTGGACCTCGATGAAGACGAAGTCGAGAACTCTCCAAAGCGTCTACGAGGCCATGATGTCAGTCCAGTCAAAGGTGTCAGATTGCCGGCGCCGATGGCCACAAGTGCTAATGTTCGCCGATCAATTCTGTCCCCTGTCCGTAGAGCGGCCAGTTCATCGCCTCTCAAGGGTAGCACTACACCTTCTCAAGAACCACGCAGTGCTTTCCAAACCTCGACAACTCCTCTTAAGCACGGGATTGATGCTCTTCATATTGCCTCTGACCCGCAGCAGCCAGAAGAGGAAGCTGAAACTCCAGTCGAGGAACCCGTTGTGGAAGTCGAGCAGATTCAGTTACAAGACTTTTTAAACATGACCAACATCCATTTCATGGAACTGACTACGACAAAAAGACGACACACAACTGCCCCAGGTAGTGTTACTAAGAGACTGACCCGAGCCTCTGGGGAAAATCTTCCAAAGCCTGGTTCTATCACGTTTGATGACTGTGTGGCGGCTGGCTTCTGCACGGTGCCGATGCTCGAGCTGTACCAACATGTAAGTATGAATAATCTCAGACACTTCCGCCACTGCTAATCACGCTCTCTCAGTCTTGTCGGGAGCTGAAATCGTACATCTCGGAGGGCCGGCAAGTTATCCGCTCCATTGAAGCCGAGACGTTTGCCGAAAACCCGCCACTCTTCCAGGAGTATGTCACTGCTCCGCCGGATATCCGACTAATCATGGACAATCAATTCCGAAATGTCAAAACCCATGCCCGTCTTCTCAGCAAGGCTACATGGTATGAATGGCGGATGAAGCTCCTCGAGGGGCTAAAGGAAGGACTTCATCGCCACGTGGATGAGATGAAGGCAGATGATGAGTTGCTTATAGAACGCGAGGAGTTACTAAATAGCAGTGTTCCTCCTCTGGTGGAGAAGCATGCATTGCTCGAACAAGAAGCAACGAACCTGCAGCATTTGGTAGATGAGATGGAGAACTGTGACCAAGATGAACTGCGCAGTACGCGAGCAAAGCTGTCTGATATCGATTCTCAGATTGCAGCCAAGAAGCAAGAACTTGAGCAACTGCAAGAAGAAGTCCAAGAGAAGACGACCTCAATTGCGGTTGGAGCTGAAATGCGCGATGAGTACCTAGCTCAAATCCAAGAGGCAGAGCGCGTGACGGAGAAGTGCCGTGGCTGGAGTGCCCGGGAGATCAATGACTTGAAAGGTGAGTTTCTCATATGTCCAAGCCCGTGTTGTCTGATCGTGTTGCTTACTTGGAATAATAGCTTCTGTTCAACGGATTGAGCGTCGAACAGGTTGGTCGATCATTTCGGCCTCAATTCCACAGGACTCTCAAGCGGGCCCATTATTGAAAATGGCCTACCGCGATCAACTCCAACTAGAGTTCTATCCTGGGGCTTTTGCCTCCAAGAATCGAGGCCAAGATGAAGTGAAAAACCTACCTATCATTTTGACCTCCCAAAAGAATGCTAATATCTCGCCCATTGCTTCTTTGGTTCTCCACTCTCTGCAGCGCCATCTGGCTACGGTTCAGCAGTCCACTGTCGCAGCCAAGCAAACCTTGCAGTTCATTTCAAGCGCCTGGGACCGCACCGTCGGTCTGGAAAACGAAGCGCGCATGCTAGAATTCTGTGGTGTCACCCGTCTCACATTATCAAAGCCTGATGACGGCTCTCTTTCTTTACGTGCACGTTGCACGCTCCTCGGGAACGCCAACGCTTCAACCCCTGGCCACAAAGCTGCCTCGAAGAGTGACAGTGCCAAGAGAATTGACGTCGACTTCACTGTCCGCGCCCGTATTGATCAAACCGACACCGAGAACACTGTCGGTTCTCTGGACTTCGATATTGATGTTCTAGCAACGAAGGTATATGGCTTCGGAACAGGCAACACGTCCGGTCTGCCCGAAAAGGAGCTGCAAAACATTCTCGGCAAGGGACTTGGTCAGAAAGATGGTGATATTCAACTGGGGAATGGGGTGTGGTGTAAGGCAGTCCGTACACTTACGGCCTCTGCGTTTTAATTATTGACTTTTTTGTAAATGATTCCCGGGGGTTTTCATGAATCGGGTCGGGTTTTGGGTTAGGATTCGGAAGGTCGGCGCTGGGTGAATGTCTTTGCCTTGTGAATCCAAGGCATGGGATAATTGGATTATATTACTTTGGACTCGGCGCTTTTATACCTAGCTCTTACTTTCATATTCACTGATCAGTTATCTATCTTCTACTCTGACTCTGTGTGTGAAACAAGTCACTGCTAACAGCGACATATGGTACAAATGCCACAAAAGATGCCAATTCCAAATGCTGACATCCAGTTCTATTATGCTAAACCTGCTAAACAAATGTACAAGCAGCTATATTATCATTCCGGTCATGCATATACAGAGTAGAGAGAGAAAGCGCAGCGCTAACGATCAAAAACAGAAAAGAAGTCCCTCGATCCCACAAGACCGACCCTAGAAGAGACCCAAGAACCCATTCGACCAAACCGAATCAGATCCCTGATTTACATCCTCCTGCCCCTCAGGCACATATCCGTACCCCAAATTCTGGGCATCCAGCCCAGCAGCCTGGGCCGCATGGCCATCAACTGCAGGTGCGCCATTCATAAAAGACTCAGCCGACAAAATCGGCATAGGCGGATACCCATCAGCTTGGACAGGGTGAGGGGGCGGGAAAGAATATTCTGCGGGGAAGAGGCCGGGAAACATGTTTCCGCCGTAGTCCCATTCGCCGGACATGGGGACCTGGAAGAAATCGGGGATGGGGTTGCTGTTGTAGGAGTCTGGGGAGGCAGTGGCGGTTTTAAGAGCTGGGGTCGTCGCTGCTGCGGAGAAGTCTTGGGAAAGTTGCCAGGCGGGGATTGGGGCGGGGATTGCAGTGCGGGCTCCTTCGTGGAGAAATGTGCGGTCTAGGTTTGTTGTTGATGGAGAGAAAGTTTGAGCGTTCATGTATGAGCTTTGACTGTTGTTGTTTGGGGTTGAACCTGGGCCTGGGCTCATGGGTACAACATAGCCGGAGGAATTGACTGGGGGGAGACCTTCGAGAGTGTCAGGGATTCCGAAGTTCATTTGTCTGGCGGTGTTTGATGTTTGAACGGGAGCGGTGCCAGATGTCTTTGGCGTGCGCGAGGTTGCAGGACGGTGCTGTTTTGGATGTTGTGTTGTTTTCCGCGCGTGGTGTCTTTTAGCTCCTGGCGGTTTATATTCTTGATCTTCTTCGTCAGGGGCACGAGATCTTTTTTCCTCTTTCTCAACTACAATCCTGGCGATGCGCTCCAATGTGGCGCTCATGCGAGTCATGAACCCGGCATAGCTATTTGGCCCGTCGCCGGGGACGAGAGTTGCGAAGAAGCTTGAGGCCATTGTGAGGGATTGAAGATCTGCTCGGACTTGAGAATGTCGAGTATCCCGTAAAATGTTTGAGAACATTGTTGTTGCCGCTAAGAAAACGTAGTATAACAGGGACCTGATGTTTGAATGGTGAGTTTTGGGGCTTTATAGGTCATGGGGAGGGTTATTTTATTACCAAGTCCATGCGATGTCTCCCCATGGCATATTATTGATGAGCTTCAGTGTATCGCGAGCGGCCTGTGCACCGATGGTTCCTGATTTTGCAGCGTGTGCTTTGCTGAGCGACCGCAGATCCTCTGGCTCATCTCTGGCCATCACCATGTAGTTAATAAAGACAGGTACCCGATGAATCATTATCAAGGCATTGTGATAGACAAAGTGCAGACCAAGAGAAGCAAACCCGAATAGAAAGTCGCCTTCAGCAGACTTCAATTTTGGTTCACTAATGGATGGAGAATCGAGTCTCCATTCCTCAAGCTCTGCATGTAGCTCTTTGACTGTCTTGTAGATTTCAAGTGGTGGCCTCAATAATGCTTTGGCAGAGTACAACCGGCTGTATATGCGACCTTTTATGAGAGACATCCGACACATTTGGCGGAAGAATGTTATGTTGCTTGAAGAATCACCATGCTTATCGCTGTCCATTTCTTCCGGAAGAGGGACATCGAAGTCATCTGGATGTTGAGATGGTGCGTTTCCAATCCTTAGGCAAGTACTGATGAGGTATTATTAGCAACAAAATTGGTGTTGTACGAGCAAATTATGTTTACCTTTGATCGATGACAAAGGCAACCCAAAAGACGCGCCTTCTTTCTTCCTGTTGGGCTGGGCTAAGGTCTGGCCTTGCAATGTCTCGGTGAAGTCCCATCCGTTGACCGGACCGCATGGCCGCAGTAATGAGTGGTAAAGCTGATTGGGTACCAGAATTTCCGCGAAGGAAAAAGGCCTTGAAGATTGTTAGCATTGAGTCTAGGAACAAAAGGGAAAAGCTACATACCATGCTAATCAATGCCTGTATACTCAGCAGATCGGTGCGTTTCAGAGCCAACTCTGTGAAGACCGACATGGCGTTTTTAAAATATAACTCAGCCCTCTCTTTATCCTTTTCTGACTTGTGGCTATTAGAGGATCGATATTCATAAGCCAGGCAGATCACCATGTTGATGCTGGCCCAACGCGCGGCATCATCGCATGTTTGCTGCGTATATTGCCATTCGACCATTTTCATAAATGACGACTCAAGATAAATTGGAAACAGACGATTGGCCGTTCGAAAGAAATCCTTCATTAGAGAAAATACCTCTGACCTTGACGGCAGAGGTTTAAATACTTGCGAGGCAAATAGATCATGGAACACATCTGGTCGCCACTGATTCCAAGGATTGTCATGTATAGACTCGGGCGAGATAATTCGTAAGAAGCTGACATCGCCCGTTTTACTCTTGATCCACTCTATCCCTGTTCGCGATAGAATTGACAACGAGCAGGATTTTCCTTTCCATCATGTTAGTCTCTGATTGTTGGCATAGCATATATACCAGGTTTCCATATCTTACCGAAATATCGAGAATCATCTCTTTCATCTGCTCGAAAGATGGGAGTCCCTTCTAGATCCCCAAACTTGGTGGCCAACGAGGATGCAAGTGTTGAAGGTGGGATTGAAGTGGGCGAGATATCAGGACTTGCCAGTGTATCGTCTTCATCAGAAAAGTCGTCATGGCCCACATCGCTCTCTTGCAATATACCAGCTGTTTTCAACAGTGACTCAACCCTGAAAATTCGTTCTTTTAGAGAATTGACATACTCATCACTACCGCAGTCACATTAGCCATGTCTCACAATGAAATGAAATAGAGATTCCCGGACCTTTGCGGATCATCCTGCTTCTCTGTCCGCGCGGGGAGAACACAGCGGGTACCGCGGCGCAAGCATTGCAGACAAGTCGCACTAGACCCTTCGACCTCGCATTTGGTCTTTTTTCGATGGCACATCTCACAAGCCTAATTACCCCGGTTAGCAGTTGGAATTTGCGCCGGAACCCACCGGGTAAGCTGAGAAGCGATAAGCCAAACCCACCCTCGAATGTTGTCTTCTCCACCCGGAATCCATAGCCAAATACGTTCAGCGGAGAGGACAGGGCGTTCAGGTGCCGACAGTTGGCTGTGAATTGTGATCCGCCACTTGAGGTCATGGGTGTGCGCTCATGCCAAGACTTTTGGGAAAATTCGCCCAACGTTAATGGCGTGGGCGAGGTACTAGCGGGAGATCACTGTTTCTTATTTTGATCTCGCTTTTGTTGAATATTAAATTAATCCTTGAATAAAGGATGTCAAAGGAAAAAAAGAGAGAAAAAGCTGTATGAATAATCCACGGACGGATGTCGGCACTCCCGGACTCCGTTTGTTCTGGGGTACCTTTGGTGGACCTAATTGAGGGCGGGGTTGGGTCCCTGGATGTAGTTCGATGTGAATCATTCTGATACTGAATCTTCATAATGGATGGAGTGGTTTTTGATAATTTGCAGGCGGATGTTGAACGTGTACATATTCTGAACATTGAAGCCGATATACGGCATGCTCATCCGTCCTGGCATTGAAGACCACAAAAATTGATTCTAAAGACGATCAACAGAAAGACTAGAATCTTTCCTAGAGATCCCTTGCCCACGGTTAAATGAAGTAAATATAAGCTTAAATCATTGGGTCCACGGGTGTATAGATCATGTGTAGTCAGATTGCAATCTCTCCAGGGCTGTTTGGACCATATCTGGATAATCTGGATAATCTCGACTATCTCGACATATCGCGACATAATATATGAAGAGATAACAGCAACCAGTCATATTGAGCTGACAAATGGAAACCCCCCACCTGGGCAGGAAGAGAAGAATACAAGTAGTGGGTGTCTGCTTGTTTTACATCCATGGATTATTAGAAGGTGGACTTCTGTTCAACTTACCCGTCACCATGCGACCTGCTACAATAGGAATTGTCTCCATTGGCGACATGGGCCTAGGCATGGCCAGGCTCTTGAAAAGCCACAACTACCGAGTTGTCACGGTCGCAGAGGGAAGAAGGTACGGCCAACTCCGACACCAGACCAAACCAAGACCAACTCCAAAACCAAGAACTTACGGTGGCCAGCGAGCACACGATCGCGAGAATCCGCTCAGCGGGTATTGAGACCCTCTCTACAGACCAAGAGTTAGTAGTGCAAGCGGACTACGTTTTGTCAATTGTACCGCCGCGGAACGCAGTGGCGACAGCAAAACGGATCGCAGAAGCCTACGCCTTGCCATCGACGGCCAGTTTCCGAGATGACATAGAAGATGTGGACAGCCGACCGAAGAGGTCCAAGCTATACTACCTTGAACTCAACGCCGTACCGGCGCGACTAGCATCGGAGATGGCGGCGCTGTTCGACGAACCAACCACGGCCACTGAGACGCCAGGGCGGTGCCACTTCCTCGATGGCGGAATCATTGGCGGCCCGCCGACAAGCACGCAAGACGTCTGGAAGAAACCTAGCGTGGTGCTCTCGGGGGCGGTGGATCTACCTCCTGCGTTTAAGACTCTGGCCAGTGTCCTGAATATGAAGCTTGTCTCGCCTCGGATTGGCGCGGCGTCCACGCTCAAGATGTCTTTTGCGGCGTTGACAAAAGGTCTGACCGCATTGTCTATATTGTCGTTCTCCACCGCACATAAGGAATCCCTATTACCCGAGCTTCTAGCTTTGCTTGAAGAATATTCTCCGCGCACGGCGGCTCTAGCGACGAATGGTGTGATTGGCATGAGTCCCAAGGCGTACCGATGGGAAGATGAAATGCGCGGGATTGGAGAAACCTTTGACACAGAAGGAGGTTGGGATGGAGTCGGGGTCGGTGTTTATGGAGGATTTGCTGAAATCTATCGGACCATTGCGGAGGATACTATATTGGGCGAGGAGCGAGTAGAACATCGTGTCAGAGGTACGACAGTTGATGATGCGGCACTAATCATCGCCAGCCGGAAGTCAAGTCACTAAGCACGACATAGACACATATGTCATAATTTAGGATGATCGTGGGATGTATTTTGTAATTTTTTCCTCTTTCATAGTTTCGCCAAGAGTGTTAATATGATGGTCACAGTCCGCGTCATCTGCCAAGTGGAGAGAAGAAGTGCGCGGGCCTCGGTTTTGGAATTTAAATTACGAGGTCTGATACCACTCGAATACAACACAGACACACTCGCTCCCACTATAAATGCGCTACTTGGGTCTGAATTTAGGTACCAGGAATAGTACTTTACGGTAAGTGGGGAATTGTCAGTGGCCCCTTTTTTCTTTTCTTTCGTCGTGTCTCCGTTTTCTCCAGATCAAGGTTATTCTGGTTGGGTATATAAAAACATCTCTTGGCCATATCGCACAATTATATCCATCTATATCACTTTTTTTATATACCACATATACTCTTTGTTTGTATCTTTTAACCATATTACTCTTATACATTGTATCTTAAAACAAGAAGCGGTCAGGTCCCCCCTCTCCCGACGGACGAACCAGAAGTCGCGATCACGACATATCTCCATTCTATCAGATCATCGACTAGGGCCATCTCTTTCCACTTACAAAGCCTTCACATTTACTTTGCCTCCCCTTTTTTTATTTTTCCAATTACTATCTCAATTCTGATTCGTTCATCCCCTACTCCCCATCTATTCAAGTGGACCGCGGCATGCGACGATGAAGTAGTCCTTTTTCCAAGGTGATCGTGGCCGAGAACTCAACTTCGGAAGCCACTCTACTTTACTTCCAAAGCCACTTTACTGTGCTTCCATACGTCGTTTTGTCTTACTTTTTATTTACTTTTTTTCCACCCGCATTTTATTTATTTATTTATTCATTATCTTCTCTCTGATTGCTTCATTTGAACAATCCAGACTTCCTCATCTGGGGTTTCCGTGGTCAAGAAGAATCAAAGCCCCTCTTCCGCTCACATAACCCTAAATCAGCAAGCCAAGGGGGCCGCTCTTGATTTCTTATTTCTTCCTTCCTACAAGCTACTTCAATATGCCTGGGGAACCACCTGCAACAGGCCCTGGCTTTGACAAACTCGAAAACTTCAATTTCTTGATGTCGCGCCACGATCCCGCAGCCAAGACTCGACAGTACTCATTTGACGCTGATACCGGGCTGGTCCCATTTGGCAACGTGAGCATGGACTATGATCAGACGGAGGGAATGGGCGGCTTGTCCGTCAGCTCCTACGATAGTATAGAAGACGACCGAAGCTCTCTCGATCTCCGGGGTTATCCTTATCATGGTACGTGTTAAGCTGTCCTTTTGTTTTAAGAATTTTGCCCAAACGTTGCATTTGTTACGCCATCACCCTGCATTTTGGTTCGTTTTGAGAAAGTTCGGGACTCAATTTCAGGAATTTGAAGATTCATCTCCCCATATCTCCATGTTTTTAATGAAATATGCCCTTGTATTCCCGTTTTCCAAGCAAGAAGACTTGAATATAGCACATATTCAAGCGGCGTTCTTTCCCCTGCTATTTCTATTTGAGTTTTTTTTGCCCTCTACTGCAGACAAGGTCGATCATGGATGAGATCACCGTCGGTGCTCCTAAACCAATTAGCGAGCACGCAATCCCGCATCCAAATGGCAACCCAAGACGCCATAGCCAGCTGACTCCCTTGGCTTAAACGTCTCCCAAACCCCCTTCATATTTTGTGAAGACATGATTATCATTCCCCGCTTGGGGCTCTTTCCTACGGGACGCTTACCTCTACCCCAGGCGAAAAATCCATCAACTACAGCATCCCAGAACACATGATGCCCTACTCAGCCCATTCAATCTACCCGCCAGTGCCATATGCGCCCGACGACCTCGGCCATGCACCAGGCGCTCTCACTCCATCCGACGTCTCGTCGTCCATCTCCCCGCCCAATGGACAGATGGGCAACACCAAGTACAGCACCTCCATCTCCGGCGACCGCATCGCTGCCGCCCTCAACCAAGAGGAGGGCGTGCGCGGCGCTGCAGAAGAAGATCGCCGCCGCCGCAACACAGCTGCCAGCGCCCGCTTCCGACAGAAAAAGAAGCAGCGTGAACAGGTCCTTGAACGGACTGTTCGTGAGACCACCGAGAAGAACGCCTCCCTGGAAGCTCGCGTCGCCCAGCTTGAGATGGAGAACCGTTGGTTGAAGAACCTCCTTACCGAGAAACATGATGCGACTGCCACTTCCACTCGTATGCCCGCCCCGCCCAAGGATAGCTCGGCTCTCGAGTCAAAAGGTGCTGGGATGTCGACAAGACAAAAACATATTCAGCCTAAGAAAAAGGGTGTCGGAACTGATGAGTGACGCAAAAATGAAGTTGTTTGTTTTTTGCGTTGTCATTTCATGTTTCCGGTTTCCAGTTTCATTTTCTTTGCTCTTTGTCTCTGTATCATCTCAGCCGCGGTCTCTACTCTAGGGCGTTCGCTCCGATTCTGCATTTGTTATACAATCTTTGCTATTTTGTCTATCCTCCCATTCTCCTAATGGTCGATCTGCCTCGCCGAACGGAGAGGTGGGAGAAAGACACAAATGACGATATTACGACCCTTCTCTTCTTCTCGTCAGCACGGTCCGTCCGTGTCCTCTCCGACTTCTAGGGATGGTCTTTGCTCTACACTTCAGATCTGACACTTTCGTTGATTTATATGGTACTCTCTACTCTCCACCTATATATGGGCCCTACCATGATTGCTTGATTACCTCTGGCCCCCCTTATATCTTCACGCTTCCTATCCTCTTTCCATCAGATCGTGTATTGTGTGTTGCGAAGGCTTTTTTTGTTTTGCTCCCTTTCCCCGAGATGGGAAAGATGAGCTAGGGATGTGGGGTGTTGTGGACTGACTCGAGGATGTCTCGAACTACTTGCTTTTTTATATTTGATGCGATGGGATCTGCTTTTCGGTTCCACTCTTCGCTAGCTATATGGGTCGAACTGCGCAATATAAACTTTGGTTTCTGTCTTTTGTTGTCAAATCGTTCTTCATCACTTTCCTCGGTGCATGGGCATTGCTTTTGCTCTGTAATGCTACCTAGGTAGTCCAACGTCAATGGCTTTCGTGGCCAGGTACATATGTAATAGCCACTACAACGCATTGAAAGATGCAAGATCACTGCTGGGTGGCGTGCTATATCTGAAAGATTTGCTCACGGCGATCAATCGCCATTGGAGGACGGTCCACTGATCAGTGTAGGGAGTGGCTTTCTTGGCTCCATTTCCTGGGGTAAGGGTCTACCTCCGACTAGGCACATGCACTCACTCACTGCACTGTTTAGCTACGAACCGATTGAGGACGCCCAAACATATTTTGTCTTTCAAGTTGCGTTTACGTTACGTGATCGGAAATTCCGACTTCCTATCAAAGGCAATGAATACGTTACGTTCCGTTGTGTAGATAGACGTAGACATCTTTAGTAAAGCAGGAAACAAATCCATTAAAACACCGACTTAATTACCCTGGACTATCATAATCCTTCCAAAGACAAAGTAAAGTAAATTGAACAAAAATAAGAAATCCAACGTACGATGGTATTACATCGATTAAGGAAAAAGGGCACGGGATGAAAAAAGAAAAAGAGAAAAAGGGAAAACCCAAACCAGATATCGCATCATTCGTGTTCAGGGCACGATCTCCATACTCCGGGGAGAAACTCCACCGGAACCAGAATAAAAAAGTGGACTTCCCCGAGCACGAACAGCGGATGTGGGATGACGACATGCGAACGTGTCGAATGGATAATCCCATTGCATGATGTGCAAGATGTCCAACTCGGGAAGAAAGCACATATATCGGAAACACAAGTCGGAAACGCGGAATATTCAACAGAGAAAAAGAGCGTAAGGGCGGGGAAAGGTGATGCCTAAGCGCCAAAATTCAGCCGTCAGATTCGTGAAAGGTCGCTAGAATTTGTTCTCTCTGTTTTCATCATCCATTTATGCGACAATGGGCTCACGCTCCTCCTCGCGGCCTCGTACTTCGCCGTCAATGGTGCTCACACCATCATCACCGTCCTCATAGTTGGGGTGCTGGTCAGCGGGAAGCCAGGAGTCACGGTCACCGGGCAAAGGCTGGTCCTGTGAGGAGAGATCAACTCCCTCGCGGTTCTTGTTGAGGTTGGTGCGGTGACGCTGGGAGAGAGTGCGCGAGCGCTGGGAGAGACTGGACTTGACGACCGCCTTGGAAGATACCCAGTTGGTCAAGGAATCCTCACAGTCCTGAATGATGGCCTTGGAGGCATCATAGCCGTCATAGGCGTGGCGAGTCTCACCGGGAGTGACAGGGGTGTCGTCGATGAGATCGAGGAGGTGCTTGCCGTAGCCGGCAACGATGGCGACCTTCTCGCAGTGCTCGCGGAGGGCATCGAATTGGTACTGGAACGCGGCCTTGACCTTCTCGCGGGTGATGTTGGACAACTGCGCTTCGGCAACGAGGGACTCGGCTTCCGCACGAACGAGCTCTTGCTCCAGGACGACGATGCGGGGAGAGTTGGGATCCTTGTACTTGAGCTTGGCGATTTCATCGGTGATCTTTTGCTTGCCTGTGGGGGTTGATGTCTTAGCAAGATGGAGCGGGGCGCGACACGGGGGATAACGTACGGTCACGGCTGGGCTGGACGGAAGCCTCGATGTTACGGATGCTCTTGATGGTCACACGGTACTGGTCGTAGCGGTCGACGAAGAGATCCTCGAGCTCACCGATCTCGTAGATCAGCACGCCGAGCTTGTCCGTCACATCCGACACATCCTCGTCACAGGCTTCACCCCAGATGGAGAGTTGTTGCTACAATTCAATTAGCTTCCAATTTATCGCAATCACCATCGCATTCCGATATTTCCGAGATTGACATACAGCGACTTCCATGCGCTCCCGAGCGACGAGCTCCATGCTGCGCATGACGTTCTTCTCCATCTTGACGAGCTGCGACAGCTTTTTGGCGAGATCGGGACCGAAGGCACCGGCGGCATTCTTACGGAAGGCATGTCCTAATTGTAATTAGTAAATTTATTACATTTCCGATGATTACTTCCGACGAGAGAAGATCTCCAATTCGACCTCGGCCACTGCCGTTCCCCAACCCCTCGGTGGGACGGGGGTCGGATAGCGGCCCGACCAGGCAGCCTCGAGACAAGGAGAACCACCGTCGCAAGCACTTCAATCGCAAATTCAATCGCATGATAATGGAACTCACCGATGCCTCCTTTACCTAACCATCTTCCGCTCTTGGTTGTGGACAAAGGTGGAGGTGGGCTCTCGATCTGCGAAGCGGTCGGGGCGCGCGACTGGCGCATGGAATAGGTACGGTGCATGGCGAGAGTAGAATAGGGAATAGGGGGTAGAGATAGAGAGGAAAGTAGAGGAAAGTAGATGTAAGATCAAAGTTGTTCCTGCAGAAAAAATTATTAAATTAGAGAGAAAGACTTTCGAGCTGCCTTGCGCAGTAGTGACGTGTGCTAGAAAAAAAGTAAGAAAAAGAGGGGAATTCTTTTCTTTTTTTTTTCTCTTTGGACATACAGCAGTTACAGCAGTTTGAACGGGATGCGACGGAAGATTCGAATGCAACCCGGATCGACACAGGGGTCAAGATATATGGAGCAAATGACAAGCTAAAGAGAGGTTCTCCTGGAAGCTTTCGGGAGGTGACGTCGACAATATTTCTGCCCAGCAATGAAAATGATCAACAAGTACTAAGTAGGAGAACTCAACCAGGGGCTTCGGGATTGGCGGAGTAAATGAGAACAAGAAACGCTAAGAGACACTAAGCGAACATGTTCAACAGAACAGTGTTCGGTAGTTCTCTTTTGTTGTTTCAATAGCGTCGATTTAATCGAGTTGGTTTTTTCTTTTTTTTGAGTCTTCACGATCACCGACGTCATCTGATGTCATCACGAGGACTCGCCCTGTCATCGATAAAATCGAGTTGCATCGAAGAACCTGTTGTGCCTGGGAATAATAATAATTACTACTATAATACTTGGAATTGAGGATAAAAGCTGAAATAATGGAAATAACATGTATAATAATGTGGGTACATGTGTAGATAATTGGGTCTAACTGCGATATTAGAGCTCCAGTAGCATAATTGGACACCTTCAGAAAGCACATAAATATTGTACGAACCTCAAACTAGCTATTCTTTAATGAGATCAAGCAATGGAATATCGCATCCTATTGCATATTGCATATTGCACAGTTCCACAAGTTCCACTGATCGCTGAGATCGTCCTGAACCATTTCGTGGGGAACCATGTGGAATATTTCGATTCCGTCTAGAACCCTTCACAACTCCACTGCCGTACAATATTGTACATCTTAACTACTACGTCTAACATACTAGCTATTAATCACTTTAGGCTCAAGTGTATACTATACGGCTCCCTTGGATCTTATATTATTTTTGATTATTGTACATGGGACACAGAGATAAAAAGGAGGTAGAGGTAGAGGTAGGACTCGGCCCAGTAGGCGACGGATCATCATTCAAGGGAATCCGTGCGGCGCGTCTTGCGCTTCTTGCTCGTGCCCGCGTTGGATTTGGTAGATGTCCCTCGTTTGCCTTTCTTTTGAGCACTAGAGGTCTCTTCCTCAGCCTCAACATTTGGATCATCGTCCTGGAAGGTTCCACCAGTCTGAGCTTCTTCTCGTAGTCGAGTAAACGCCTTTTCCATACGGCTTGGTCCACTGCCTCGAGTTCGAGGTGCAAATGCCCCTGCGCCCTGTGGACCTTGCATAAATTGTGTGATATTCGACTGTGTTCCCTCCTGACCGCGCCGATTCATATCACGAATGACCGGAACTAAAACCTCGTCTGTGCGCTCCTGGCTCCATCCGATTGTCGCCATGAGGAAGTTTCTCAGCCCATTTAGATCAGGAACACCCCATTGGAACTGGGAAGGGTCGTTGTCAACTACGGGTTCCAGATAGGCTTCGTCAACTCGAGTATCAGGAAACGTGGGCGGCAAGAAGATTTTAGACGCCTTTTTCCGGAACTTTTTTCGGAAGGCCAAGTGGACATCGTCTGGATTGTTCGTGCCCATTTGCACCTGGGACCACCAATCACGAAACTCTTCAAGGCTCGAGAACTCTGTAACAATCTCTAGAGCTGTGACGGGGCCGATTCCAGGAATGCCTTCTGTGTAATCGCTGCCCAGGAGATGGGCAAAGCTTATGAGCTTTTGTCTGTGGAGAGCGTATTCTTTCTCCAAGTCAGATGTCAAGTAGCACTCGACGAATTTACTTTGATTGAACATGTTCTTGTAGACTCGTGTTCCACCAAAGAGGAAGATATCACTATCATCTGTGACAATACCATCCACGAGACCGAGTGAGACCAATTTGGCACACTGCGCTTCAGCTTCCATCGGCGCGGTGATATATGGCAAGCCAAAAAGAGTCAAAAGCTGCTGACACTCGTTAATCATAATAGTGGTCACCTCATCGGCATCACGACGCTCATTTCTTTGCTGACTTCGTAGCTGCTTCAGCTCTTGTTCGTAATCAAAGACTTCCTGATTGGGAGCTGCATGATTGAGAGTATTGGCAAATCGTACATGTTCTTCGCCCTCGGCTGCAAGCTGTTTGAACAAATCTTCATCCTCTGGATCGCTGTAATCGGCTTGATCTTGCGCGAAAGCTTCGGGTTGGTCAACCTCCTCGAAAAGCTGGGGCTGGGGCTGGGGCTGGGACTGGGCTTTCTCTTGATGGGAAATAATTGTGATCTCAGGGCCCTTCATGGACGTTCTAGTGACAACGTCTTCGAATTCGGGTGAAGCAGAATGTTCAAATTCTCTGCGCGGAGACTGTCCATCGGAGATAAACGCCTGTTCTCGCTCGGGTGATTCAGGACTTTGAGGTAATATTTCGTGGATGTTTGTATTGCTCTGGGCTGGCTTGCTTGGATCTTTCTCGTCAAGGCTTGTCGTTATTTCGTGATAGATTTTTTCAATATCCTCCACCCTTGCAACTTGCTCCAGATCGTTCCCGTCAAGTTCGGATTTTCCTTCTTCTTTTTCTTCTTCCTTCTCTAAATCAACAACTTCCTTGGTGTCAGACAGTTCATCGACGTCGATAATATCCGGTGAGCGGCGATTGGAGAGAAACAAATGATCTGGCGCAGTCGATAGCTCATCGTGTTCTGGATCGTGAACTGGATCGACGATGAAGTCGGCATTCGAGCGCTCGCCAACAAACCATGGTGGGAGTGGACCCGATTGCTTTTGTTTCGGGGTGGGCTCTTTCACGAAGCCTCCTGCGTTATCGAACACCTCGTCAACTTTATCATTATGCTTCGTCACTTTTGAAAGCTTGATAGATTCAAATGGCAGAGGTCCACTGAATGGGTTAGGACCCTGAGAAGGCTTCTTTGAGACTTTTGTTTTCGCCACAGCAGCGGCGAAATCCATTCCATCATCGCTTTCGGAATCGAGATCGGGCATCACCTCATGAGATGGGGCTGACTCGACCGGCCTATTCATAGGAATTTCGGGCATAAATTCATCATCTGTATGGTCTGGTTGCAAAGAAAGGGCAATGGCCCGATCTAGGTCGTCATCGCCATCAAAAGACTCATCAGTGTCATCGTTCGGCTGCTGTGCACCAATATTGCCCTCGGCCTCAACAAAGAGCGAATCATCTTCAATCTGCTGCTGACGAGGATGGCTCGCCGGCCTTTGCTGCGCATATTGACTTGATTCTTGTATCGCCGTTCTCATGTCGAAGTCCTCGGCCTCCTGCAATTGAAGCGATTGGTCAAAGGCACCCTCTCGAAGAAAAGGAAGTTTCGGAAGTCGGTTCAAGCCTTCGATTGGGACATCCTCAAACTCGTCTTCATCCGAGGCCTCATCATCATCGGACAAGACTTCGGGCCGATCTAGGTCGATCGGCCTTTCTTCTTGGCCTTCCTTGTTGCCCACTACACCTAGAACCCATCCACCTTCGTGCTCGCGATCTTTGACCAGCACGTACTCTCTGCCGCGTTCTCCTGCGATGCGCTGCCCAGAATTGTAAAATGCTTCTTCTCCGTTCATACCATTGATGTTCATTAATCGTTGCGTTAGGTCATTGCGCTCCGCAACTCGTTCGATTTGAAACCTTGAAAATGCCATGCGGTCAGGAAACATGGTATCTAGCTGCTCTTTAGAGTATCCCATTCGAAGGCGGCTTCGAAGTCTCGCGGCATTCAAGATGTTGTATCGATCGGTTGCTGGCAGACTGAGAAAAAACGCACTGTCGAAGTCGATTTTAGAGAAGTCATAGAGGTTTATATCTTGGCCCTGGTGAAAATGACGAGCATACTCCTCCAATTCTTCCTGCGACATGATACGTGGGTCATTTGGTGCGCCCATGTCCTGGAGTGAGACGTCTAGGTTTGGTAGATGGTATGCGTCTTTCTTCTTGAAAATGCGATTTTGCTGTTTTTCCTTCTCTGTCATGAGTGCTTCATCTGCATAAACCGGGACATCAGGGACTTCTTCCTCTGCTTGTGTTTGGTTTCTTTGGCGTCGGCGAGTCTCCTCTTCCTCCGCACTGCGTTGCAATTGTACCGCGAGGAGCTTTCCTGCGGTTTTCACAGCATCTTCCCGGTGGCCTTCTCGTCTCTTCTTTCGGCCGGCAATCGTCTGCCTTTTCATGACTGGAGCGCCACCATCAAATACAAATACGGGTTTGATACCGAAATAAAGCAGCTTGCATATCCGACGAAAGAAGCCCACGACATGAGAGTTCCGGAGCGCATTGCCCTCTTTGTCTCGTACCGCTTTCAGGAATTGGTAAATCCAAATCGACGCGTCGACGGCGAGTCGCCTTTTATTGAGTGTTTCAAGTTTGATAGGGCGAGCGCAGGGCTGCACAACCGTCCAGAGGCCGGTGACACCCATCGCGAGTCAAATCACCGGATTTTAAATTATAAATTTGTGTTAAAAAGAGATGACATGGTAAATTTTCATGTACAGAGTGCTGGATCTCTAGGGCGGAACAGGACTTCGCGAGAGTCCACCTGCCCAGTTGGCATCAATGACGTTTGACTCAGCGTGATTACCTGACACGAGATCACGTGTACACTTACGCCATATATGGACTAGTGCTGTTTAAGTAAGCATGGGGAAATTATCAAAAAACTAGTGGGCTTTTTTTGGAGTTTAGTGGGATGTACTTTATCAGAGACAATTGAGATATTCTGTGTAAATACTTCTGCCCAATGTGCGTAGAAGCCAGCAATGTCTCTCTCACTTGAGGTCAGTGCTTGATATTTGTAGTTAAAGAGCTATCTCACTGACTCAAAAACAGCATATTGATGCTTGTCTCCCGATAACAGCGTTAAAGACATTTGTTTGGGGCGAGAGACAATTTGTCTTTCAAGGTCAAGGCTCTTTGTTTCGTGTGATTGATGCCGTCACCGGGGCAGTATCTACTCAAACCCAGGCATTCAAACGAAACAATGTTCACGGTTTTATTATCTTGAACCAACAGCCACAAGATGGCTTAAGTCCTGTTCAAGTTCTCGTATGGGGTGGTCGCTCGGTGCGAGTTGTTAACTTCTTTCTGCCATCCCGTATCAAGCCGACTCTGTCGATCTCAAGTGCAGAGTACATTGCTCCGGATTGGATCATGAGCGGATGTGCAGCTGCCGCAACTGGCCATTACGGGGGATTCTTGATCACTGCAAACAACGCACTTCTAAGTCTCGAAGTGATTGATAGTGGGTCACCTGAAAATGAAACCGCTATATCCATATATCAATTGGCAACAAGTGTAAAATCTATTCTTTACTCTGCCGACGTGATCGCGCTGTCTCCTTCCCATGTTCTCATGGCCTCCGGTACCGTCTTTGGGGAAATCATCGTGTGGTCTTGTTTCTTGGATATCAATGGTTCGCATAAAGCTAATGCAATTGGCTCCATTCACCATTTTTTCACGGGGCATGATGGATCAATCTTCAACGTCCGCATTTCCCCTCAAATACCGTCCTTGAATGGCAGGCGGTCCGGCCGAGTCTTGGCTAGTTGCAGTGATGATAGAACTGTGAGGATCTGGGACATTTCAGATTGCGAACACAAGACGGCACAAGATCCTTCTGCATACTCAACTGACGGCTATGATCTACGAAGTACGGGTTTCGGCCCTGTCGAGGCAGGCGAGCAAATGGTTGGATCTGAATCATGTGTAGCTCAAGCATTTGGTCACGCAGCTCGCATCTGGGCCGTTTATTTCAGATCTATTGAAAATAATGACCAAACCCACATGGGGCTAGTGTCTCGCGGGGAGGATTGTACATGCGTACTATGGAACCTGAGCTGGCAGACATCATCGGCCAGCGCAGCGACTTATGAGCTCAGTGAGGCTTCTTCAATACAGCCACATATTGGAAAACACATCTGGTCCCTGGATCTTCACAGACTTGGCTCTGAAACTGTTGTTTACACAGGCGGTGCCGATGGAGCGTTAAAGCGGTTTTCCATCAAGGAAAACGATGATACATACTTGCCAGTTGCCCCTCTCCCGGAGCCAGAAGTCCCTGGATTCCAGAGAAAGAGGAAACAACCAGCAATTGATAGGGCAAGGGCTTTTGTATTTGTCTCCTCAAACTACCTCCTCTGCTCATCGACACAAGGTCAAATGCAGCTTGGATATATAAACCAAGCAGAAGAATCAGGTACTACTTGGGAAGCACTATGTGAAGCACCAGATCTTGGATCTTTTGCCGTGATGACTAGTCTTCCTCAGAAGGGGTTAGCATTGATCGGCAATTCTCGAGGAATGGTTCGACTTTACAATCACGCTGCTAGATCTGTCACCAACATTGCAGACGTTGGCGCACGACCTCTTGGTCTCTTCTTCCTTCACACCAACTCTCCTGCCACAGGTCCTGGTTTTCCTATATCCTCCAACCCCATCACATTCCTCGTCTGTTATCCAACAAAAGAAGAGATTACACTTGTCAACGTCTCTGATTGGGACAGTGAGAGTCCAAAGACCGAAGTAACCACATTTGTGCTGCCCTCTACGTTTGTGGTATGCAGTGCGTCTTTTGTCTTCGAGGGTCAATATTTGATGATCGGCTCAAAGGCAGGCGGCCTTGCTGTGTATCAAACTGCGAGACGCAATGAAGATTCTGAACCAATATTGCTCGACCGACGTATTCACGGTCGAGAGTTTGTCAACTACATCCACCCGGTGTCATCAACTATCGGAAATGGAGGCACAAAATCTGAATTCGTATTGACTTGTGGTCGAGATGGGACTTATTGCGTCCACGAATTGCAGATATGTGAAAACAAGACTGATGCACTTTCGATGCAGATAGTGCATCGCACATCATCTACGATCGGTGGTAATATCGAGGGTGCTTATGTTGATGAAACTACGGGTGACTTCATGTTGTACGGCTTTAGATCTCAAGATTTTGTCCTGCGCAATGAGTCTAAGTTAACAGATATCATAACCATAGCTTCTGGTGGATTCCGCCGAGACTGGTCATTTTACCCAGGAGCAAAAGGTGAAGATGCTTTCTTCGCGTGGAGAGATGTGGCTTCTTTGACAATAACTCGCATACGGCCTAATGCTAACCACCTGCTTCGAGCTGGGGCCCACGGCCGCGAACTCAAGGCTGTTGATGTATACAGTCCTCCTGGTGGAAGCCAATCACTTATTGCAACAGGCGCAGAGGACACAACCGTGCGTCTCTTCGCACCAACCTGCTCAGTAACCGCTAGTCCGTGGGGCGCCTTTGAGTGTGTGCGCGTCTTGGATACACACATTTCTGGTATCCAACAAGTGACATGGTCCAAGGATGGAAGATATTTGTTTACCAGTGCGGCATTTGAGGAGTTCTTCGTGTGGAGTGTCCGCACGATTCCCTCATTCGGCATTGCCACAAATTTGTTGGCAGCCAGTCCCAAAGAGGACGCCAACTCCGATCTCCGGATCCCGAGCTTCAGTGTGTTGGAAGTGAAGGAAATTGATGGGGAGCAGGGTTTCCTCCTGTGTCTCGCTCTCTCAAATTCTTCTATCAAAGTAAGCACATCCCTAAACCACGAGAAACTTCTTGGCCGACACTAACTCCTTTATTTAGATCTTCCATTTCTCGCCGTCTAGAAGTCAATTCACACTTCTGGCTCGTGGGACATACATGACAAACTGCTTGACGCAGGCTCATTTTTTGGTCGCTTACTCCTCTGTGAATCTCATAACCGCAGCCACTGATGGCTACTTCACACTCTGGGATCTGACCAGCACCCTTGAGCGGTTTTACACAATCTCTGAATCTAATTTGGAGGCCAAACACGCCTTCGACAATTCGTCTGTCCCAGTGGATGACATCACATGCGAAGATCGATATCAAATCCATTCCAATAGTATCAAGGGGATGGAGTTGCTGTGTTTATCTGACACTTCCACTGTGATTGTGACTGGGAGTGACGATAACTCTCTTTCTGTGTCTCTTCTGCGAACATCCCCATCAGAAGCTGCGCATGTGGCCACAATTTCCATCCCGGATGCTCACGCAGCGGCTGTTACCACGGTCAAAATACTTAGGCATGAACAATCTCGGGATGTTGTTCGCAATGCTGAATCCACAAACATCACCGTGGTGTCTTCGGGTAATGACCATCGAGTCAAGATTTGGTCGATCATCGTGGACCCAACACAGCCTGGCACACAAGGAATCACTGTGCAATTTTTACTGGACAGATACAGCGCGGTGGCAGATATAGCATCAATGGGCCTTGTCAAAAGCCCTAGCCACATGATTTCCGCAGATAACGATGCCCCTGAAACCCCAAAAAGCGAAGCACAGTTGGTGGTATGCGGTGTCGGCATAGAGATGTTTAATATCAAGTCGTAACGACACCGGCTTACATGATGATGACGGGATGTCTGATGTACATAGAGCTCTGATTTAATAGAAATATAGATGAATCATGTGAGAACAGAGAATATTGAATCATAGCCTATGTTCTACTTATTTGTATGAATTAATGAAAAAAGAGTATTGTGACTTCCCTACATCTGTACATAACCCCCTCGTACTACCTTAAATTAGTCCCTTCCATCTAGTGCGCTTTTTCCTTCTCAAACTCTTCATCGTTCTCGATTCACTCTTTGTCTTTCTTACTTGACTCTTCAGAAGAAGGTAGTCTAACACGCATTCTTTCGAAGAATTGATTTTACATGTGTGAATTCAGCAAAGAGGAATACTCCCAGTAATTGAGGAAATACAATGCATTTCCTTTGAGACCAAAGATCACAAGATCATTGAATCTTTGGGAAAGTCAACGTGGATCGAATCAACGATCACTTCAAACCCACTTCAACCTCACTATTGACTATGATCCCAGGAATATGTTCAATGATGTCGAACCAGCCAGATTACCTCCTTTGTTAGGTATGTGAATTGCGAGCAATATGGAGATCTGGCTCACATAAACTAGTAGCAGACCTCGACACGATCGATGCATCTGTAAAGCACTTGGCAGACCGAAGGTACGTTTGAGGTAGAGGCAACTTACCTGCACCGAGTGCAACATTGGAGTCGCTGTAGCGAGGGTGATCTTCTCAGATTCCTGCGCGCGCAGAAGCCGGGAAATCTCAGAACTGTGGTTTTTGAAATCGTGTGCCTCATCGGCGATGACCTCGTGCTGAACCTCATCTAGGTAGCCATGATATCCGTGCAGCGGGAGCAACATCCTAGTACATCCGTGGGGGGCACTTATAAACGTGAAGGGCAATCTCAAGGATCTCACGTTTCCACATGACAAGATCGTTTATGAGATGCATCAATACCTCGCAGATCAGGGACCAGCGGAAAATGTGTGTCGACTACAATTGAAAAGGAACGCGTGACAGCCGCGGCGCATTGGCTGAATGATAACAACAAGGTAGGAGTGCTGGGCGAGTTTGGTGTGAACGATCAGTGCGAGACGGCGTTTACCAGGATGCTGAGTTGGTTATTTTGGCGATACATCTGACTGGATGCATTGCTGTGGGCTGCTGGCCCTTAGTGGGGTGATTATATCTTTTAACAAAGAGCCTTCAAGTGGCGCAGCCTATGCGGGTGTATTATCGATGCTGAAACCATACACTGTATAACTAACTACATATTTGTAAACATATATATCGTACAAGGGTGATCGTGTGAGCTGCCAAGCGCGGTTGCTAGGGCATTTTTGAGCCTTCAATTAATTTGGTTGGCAGATAGTGCAGCAATCTTCCTGTAAGAGTAGGTTAAGAGTATATCAGTCTTGGCGCCAATTTTGCCATGCGATTGTTAGGGTCATACGTCAAATGTACCGGGAAGAATCAGGTCTTGAGGATCTGCATGCGTGGCTTTTTGTCGTAGAAGTTAAGATCTGGAATATTGAGAGCGTTCATGGATAATGGTCGTATATAATTTCGTCAGCGGGGGCTTTTACTCCAGAAAAGTTTATGTTAAAACATAAATATAGAACAAGGCATCAACATTGATAGTCTACCGGGCGGAATGTGTACAAAGCTTCGGAAACCGGCTAGTGCCAAGACAAAAACGGGGTAGCCTATGAGTACAATTATTGTAGAACATGTCCACGGAGTGTAAAAGGGAAATTTGTTACGTTGGGTCCACAAGGCTGTACGGGGTAGAAAGGATGACGAGGCCTGTTGTGGCCACTTCCTAGGTGGAATGTTGATCCTTGGGCGGTCAACCATGGTAACCCGATACATCGAAATTGGTATTCAGGTACAAAATTTTGGTTATCATTCCCCATGTATCTGCTATGTCTTGATAAATTGTGTATAAAAAAAGTCAAGGAAAGCAGGATAAAACTAACATAATTATTAATATTGTCTGAAACATGTAGTATATGTCACTTTTTGCAGATACTATATACCTTGAGGTGCAAAAAAGTACGACTAGGGATGGAAGATAAGATTCCGCTAACCCCAATCAAGACTAGTGGAAGCCACAAATAGAAGCAAACGTGGCCCAGAGGACGTGACCGCTCAGCCTCTCATTGGCCCGCTGATCTTCCTTTTCTTTCCTGCGCCTCTTTCCAGGGAGGCTGGAGTTTTTAGTGCAAGGCTGTACAGCTTATTTACATTTCGATCAGCTATTAAAACCTTGGACCTCCCCCGTGTGTTAGTTCTCATTCATATCTTATCCACTTCCCTCTTCTCTCTATATCCATTTTCATTCATCCTATACGCAAACCTATCTCATTATGGGGAAAGCCGGTCGCGTTGTGTGTATTTTCACACCCTATGTCTTGACCATCGCGTCATTGATTTGTATCATTATGGTGGGATTGGGTTGCACCAAAGCCAGCTCCTCCACCTTGAACAACCTTTACTTCATGCGAGTAAGTAATCTGCTCCAAATATAAAGTCCATTTTCTGATACTAATTATTTACAGCTCGACCTTTCAAACATGAGCTCAAATTCGGACGCCATATCAACAATCGAGAACAAACTTAGCGAAGCCGGAATTGATGTCTCCGATAGCGATATCACAAAGCTCATCGACACACTGCAGGATGATTCCACCATCGCGGATTTCTATGACATTGGTCTTTGGGGTTACTGCCAGGGTAACATCACCAATAGCAAGGACACCGTCACTTCATGCACAAAGCCTAAGGCCGAATTTTACTTCAACCCTTCTTCGGTCCTGGGTGTTAGCGAATCTGAGCTTGAATCTGAGCTTGGCAGCGGTGTGAAGAAGATCATGAAGGTCTACAAGGCCGTCTCCAAGTGGATGTTCATCGCCTACCTTGTCGCATTCATCGCCACCTGCGCCCAGATCCTAGTCGGTATCTTCGCCATCTTCAGTCGCTGGGGCAGCTGTGTCACCACCATTGTCTCGATTGTCTCTTTCCTCTTCACATTGGGCGCCTCTCTTACCTCGACGATCATGTTCTCCATCGCGAAAGGCTCCCTCGGAACAGCCATGGAAGCCTATGGCATCGATGTGTCAATGGGCAAGAACATCTACGCCGCCACATGGCTCGCGGTTGCCTTCTCTCTGGCCGCTACCTTCTTCTGGATGTTGAGCACTTGCTGCTGCTCTGGCCGCTCCCCCTACGGCCACAAGGACCGCCACAACACCCGTGGCGGCATCACTGCCGAGAAGGCTCCTTACACATACGAGCCCATCGGTGCCGCCCACCCTCCCTTCGGCTCCCAGCCCTATGCCCCCCAGCACGGCCAAAACACCTCCTATCCTCCCCACAACGACATCCCCATGACCCACCAATCCCCCAACCACCAGCCAAGCGCCTATGAGCCCTTCCGTCACGCCTAAACGAAAAATTCGAGTTTATTTTTGACCGTACAATCCCATGAAGCGATTTTAGATTGGCTATACCAAGGCGTTCCTGTGGTTTCTTGCATGTTTTTAATGACCATTTTTTTGCATTGAACTTTTTATGAGTACCATGTTTGCACAGTGAGATCGCGGTCTCTGGGGAGGAACCAATTGCATTTTTGTATATTTTTCTGATCCTCTACAGAGACATCATTGGTATTTATCTACCTGCAAAATCTCATTCCAACACAAAATCCATATCTCAACACCTCCTCTGATTTTGGTAAACTTGATACAAGTAGTGCAATGCAGCCCCGTCCGCCAATGAGGAAGAATCAAAGCCTTGAATTTTCCAATACTCATGTCCGATCTCTACAAAGCTAACTCTTAAAGCTTGCTCCACAGCGGGTTGTACAAATTTGGTCCAACGCTATCGTAAAATAGAGCATAAGTCCGAAACTGATGGCGTTAATTAAATAGGCATGTGCTAGATCCCAGGTGGCACGAAAGGCCGCCGATCTCCATTTCACTAGCTTTGCGCCGTTGTTTGATGTCAGAGGCGTTTGGGGGCCGCGGGAAACCCGGGAACGAAGGTCGGTCAGACCTCTAGAAGAGGGTTTTTCTCTCCACTACTCCGTAGATCAATTGTGAACCTAACTACTCCGTAATGATGTTTTGATTAATGGATACCTGTGGATACCTGTATGTTTTAGGTTTCAATGGAAATTTCGTTAGTGGCGTGACAGAGTTTTCGTGAATTGAATACAGATGTACTAGTTAGTACTAGTAGTAGTAGTAGTCAACGAGTACACATACGCATGTCCATATGCATATCATCGAACGTGAAGATAATTACAAATACTTACATGGAAAAAGGGAACCGAGGATAGAAACATGCTGGCCACTTGCTTTTTTCTCAATCCCCAAATGATGAAATAAAATGAAAAGATTTGGTATCTTCCATTATGTATGGTGCGGCCGCATCATAGAGGTAGCATCTGAAATGACTAAAAGAGATAAAAGTACAGTTTGTGAATATAAAAGTAGGATATCACAATCCCTGAGTGCTCTTCGCCCCTCGGTTATAGGTAGGCCGACGGATGACTCCCTTCTCATCAAGTGTAACTTTAGTCCCGCCGCGACGATTGATTTCTTGGAGCAGGTTCTGATCCTGGCGAGCCCAGCGCTTGAACGGCGTATTGGGGTCGTCGGACCACACAGGACCCGTCGGGAAGATGTTTTTGAGAGAACGGAACCAAGGCCTTCGCTCTCGCTGCCTTGGCGGCTCGGGATCACAATAGTCAGCAGAACTTGCAGTCGGATCTAGAGCGGAAGAGTGAGAGACATGGCGGTCATCAACATCGTCGCCGAGTTCAATGCTGGCAGTCTCATGATGGGAATAATCTGCCTCTTGTGTCTCATCAATTTCGGGCACATCATCTTCCGCCATATCAATATCGCTTTGATGAGACGTAGAGTGAATCGAATTTGCGTCAGACTGTGTTGAAACGACCATTTCTGTATCCAGCTCAGCAACCGTAGGCTTTTGGTCAACGTTGCTCGTGAAACCCAAGGATCGAGCGCGAAGATCAGAAAATTTGTCTACAAGACTCGCTGTGAAAGAAATATTTGCGCCTTCACCCTGCAACAGCTCATTCTGGTTTTCCTCTTTTGCTTCTGTTTTGATGACCAATTGGGATGGATTTGGCGGACTTTCTGGGCTGGCCATAGGAGGTGGAACAACCTGGGATGCGGCCACTTCAATTTCATTGGCGGTTAAACTCCGCTTTTTGTATCGAGGGCGCGAAAACTTTGAGCAGAAGAACTCTCCATAATCTAGTGTCTCTGGGTCTTGATCCGCGTGCTGTTCCAGGTAACGTGGATACTCCTCCAGACTCAAGATGATGAAATCATCCCACAAGAATGATCGCCACAAGATGCCCTTTTCTCGGATGGTGCGCAGCTTCGAGCACATATTGGTGAAATGGGTAAAGTCGCCGGAATAAGGCGAATAAGCGTTGCGAAACTTTTCGTAGATCCTTTGTGCTTCAGCGGATCTGTTGTCCTTCCCGATAAATCCCTGACGTCGCGCCACTAACTCGACGTCTGGAGTATGTGATGGCTTCTGAGCAGCAGGATCATTTCCAGACAGTGAACGAGGGGCTTTAGACGGCGACCCTAGAAGTTGCCAGGCTCCCTCAGGGGTGAAATGCTCTCGTGTGAAATCTTGCCTTGGTTCATTGGGACGAGATAAGGCCGGCGGATGAGGGCTAGCATAGGGCAAAGACGATGGGTGGTCCGAGGGCTCCAAGCGGAAAATTGATGAGCCACGCTGACGTTGGACAGGTCGTGATGAATCGAGCACAACGTCCGATGATGACTGAAGAGTCGCTTGCGATGGCGCGTGTATGCTGCTAGTTTGCATGGAGCTTATTTGAGTCTGAGTCCCAAGTACATCTACTCGCAGCGAGTCGTTTTCAGGTTCGGGCAAAGATGGATTCGGTGCCTCTTGGGACAAGCCACTCTGCCTGTGACTATCTTGCGAGTGGTGGGTATTGAGAACACGGGACGAAGACGAAGTCACGTCACCCTGAGATGATGAGCTAGGAATCTCGTATCTAACCTGTTCTTCATTTTGCTTCTCACAGCGTCGGCGCGTGGTTTTGACGACAGGTGTCTCTACCACTTGGATATTTGCGCCAATAAATTTTGGAAGCGATGGTCCTGAGCTAGACATTTCCTGCTCTGGCTGGCTGCTCAATGGAAAATTTTCCCCTAGCGCGTAAGGAACAGATGTCTCCATCTCATCATAATTACTCTCATCACTCTCATCGCCACTTTGTTCATCGTGAGGCTTAGAAACATCAAGTTTATTTCCAGGGCCTGATTGATCATGGAGTCCTTTTTGGGTTGAACTTGGATCATGCTCTTTTTGTTTCACGTCTGCTGACCTTGAACGATCAAGGGTTTGAAATAGATTACTGCCAGCAACAGGAACCGGAAATTCATGCCCCCTCGATTTCATTGATTCTTCGTTAAGAGGCTGAGAAATATGTTCTGATATTTCATTAGGAACGTCTCTGGAATCAACAAAGTTCGGCCGTATAGTTTGAGTTTGGGAGACGATCTGGATTTCATTTCCTGTGTCCACATCGCGGCTTGCTTGGAATTGTCCGCCACTATCTTGAGTGCCCGCCCGTATTGGCGTTGCATGGTCAGCCCCTTTACGAGTTGGGGATGAGTCTGGGGGAAGAATGTTCCGAGGTGAGTAGCTGGGCTCGCTGGGTTCCCACTCGGACACTGGCGTGCCAACGGACTGAGATCCATTGACAGATGGGTTGGTACCCTGGGGAGTTGGGGTGAGAGGACGATCGTGAATTTGCTCTTGTTTTTCCGCCCAGTGCTGTCTTCTTTGCGCGATTTTGTTCCATCGCGATAGCAGATCAGGCGGTACATGGCACAGACGTTCAGATACGCCGGGATCCTGCGGAATCCATTTGAGTTCACCCAAAAGCTTCACCTGATCTTTTGGGATATTGACTTCGCTTGCAGGTATTGTTGTCATTCCTTCCCAGTATTTCATCATGGGCGTTCTAACGGATTTGGTGCCTATTATTTGCACACCTGGAAATGTAAACATACGTTCATTTGGCGACAGCTCGGTTTCAGGTGAATCTGCTGGTACCGATTCTCCAGCATCAGTTCGCTGTCGCTTGTTGGATGGCGATGTAGACTTTGCGGTTTGCGCATCATCGGATTGTAGATCATCGTTACGAGAGGTTTGCGATTGTACGTCGGTACTGTCGCGATGTCTCTTTTTTGAGGGCTGCGGGCTTTCACCTCCAGCAACCTTGCGTATTGTGTCATCATCAGCCGCCTTGGTTGTTGAATGTCCAGGGCGTTTCACTTGTTGCTCCTCCAAGCCATCAGCTCCTTGGCTGATATCGGCGCGAGTTGAATCGAGAATCGAGCTACTAGCATGTGGTACACTGGTGCGCTTAAGCAGTCCCTGGCCCGAGAGTCGTTTTCCTCTGAGTTCTCTGGATAAATTCGAGTTATGCACTTGTACCATAGATGTCTTGTCTATCTTCAATGGGGACTGCCGACAATTATCCAAATCAAGAGATGTACCTGGAAAATTTGAAATGTTTTTTGGGTTGGGGTTGTTCGGAATTGAATCAAGGCCAGCGAGACGCGCCAAAAGCTCCTTTGAGTTCCCGAGTGAGACACGATTAACGTTGGGATGGTCTTGATGCTTTGGCACACCATGGAGGTTATACGGAGCCTGCGAGAAGAGTGATTGGGATATCGCGTCCTCTGGGGAACGATTTGATAGATCGTGATCATGTTGAGAGAGGAATGAGTCGTCCAAGGCAATGTTAATTTGAGCACGAGAGCCGGGATGTTGTTGACTTTTCTGAATTTTTTGGTATGCCTTGGCCATCAGGGGTTTGAGAGTCGGTGCTTTTTTGAGCTTCGGTTTAGGGGCATCGCCTTTCGCAATTGCATTCTGGTGGATGCGAAATTGATGAATATGAAGCTCAACCTCCGGAGAAGGCTTTGAATAAATAAAAACGAGCCTTATGTCAGGAAGGTCAACGAGATGCCTTGGGCCTCCTTTGGTCGACGGAGGGCAGGGCGAGGCTACACCGAGTGCGTTAAGCGAGTCGCGTGAAATAGTGGCATTGATCTGATGCTTTGAATCTGTCAATGTCGCACAATGACTTGTGTCTCCCTGGCCCCACTAATAGATAGGCACCAAATACCAGTCAGCACTACTTGTGTTCTTTGCTCCGATATCAAACAGACGGAATATCTTACAGTCACAACGGTGGCTTTTTGCTCTGGAAAATCATATATGCGGAAGCTGAGACTACCCCCAAGATCCTCCATCTGGATTCCATCATCGCTTCGACCGAGATAGAATGAGAGGCATCGTTCGACTAACGGCACGATCCAGGGCTTTACTGGATCCATCGTGCGAATCCAGCTTTGTGGTCAATGCGAAAGACGGCATACGGGAAATATGAAAGAGGCAAACAGTTGGCATTGGACTTTTGTAACTTTGAAGCTACACGGTAGAACCAACAGATAGAATGTGGTGCATTAAAAACCCGCGTCTCTTATCGATAAGGCGTCCGACGCGCCAGAGTTACATAAGCGACCCACGTCATTCAGGTCGGGGTGCGGAGAACGAGTGATCTACTCCGTACAACTTTTTTCGCTACAGCTTCCTCGACCCGCTCGCACTTGCAGGTATATGCAGACCTTTCGATTTTGCATACTGGTCGGATACTCAACCGATCTCAAATCTTGAGATCTTACTGCACTCCTGCCCAGATGACCAGCTATCAACTGTCTATGTCCTGTGTGGGGATGATCCGAGACATTTCTGCCTAACTTGATCTTTTGCATCGTCAACATCCATGGATATTCCAAGGTTACAGGACTCACAGAGTCCGTCTACATCTTCTACATTCCTTCCTCTTGGGCGACGCGGCTCACGTGGCTCCATGGCTCCAACTCAAACTGAAAGAGAATCAATGAATGCAACTTTGGATCACTATCATAATACAGCTTATCAATCAGAGTCCCTCACTCTCTTCAACGAATTTACAACCCCGCCCGCACCAACATCCGCATCCGATGAGAAACGACTGTCCGAGGAATTGCAAGGTGGACTGAGTGGACTTTACAGTCGGTTCAGGACCTCCGTCGGGGGAGTGAGGGATATTGTCAGCGGTGGCGGAAAGTCTACAGACAAGAACTCAACGGAAAACCCTGCAGCTAAAACCGCTGCGTCGGATCGTTCGATCGTCAAACCTGTCTCAGATTCAGTCCCTGCGTCGGCTGAGTACCCGCCATCACAGCCTGATTCATCTCAAGGATCAAGACTCCATTCGCCTGTTGTACCACATTTTCAGCCCCATCAAGAACCAGCACCACACGCAAACACAGGAAAGAGATCTAGAATATCCTCCAAGAGTGGCAGCATATCTTCCAAGACCTCCGTGTCACCGTCTCCTGGATTCAAGTCCAACATAGCGCCCTTGACGAAGGCCACCGGCAGTGCCATCGCAGCAGACCCCGCAGTCACTCAACTACATGTTAATGGCATTGGGAATGCGGATCGCACCAGTAACAACTCTGTTAATGTGCCCTTCCAAGGCATTCCAAACGCAGATACTGCAAGTATCGGTAGTAAGGATGGCGCCATGGATAATTCTATGAGCCAAACATCCTCTCTACAAAGCCAAAACATCACTGGGTCGCCGATTTTGTCTGCGAAGTTACATGACAGCTATCACGAGGATCAGGGTCAATTCGAACCTAAAGAATCAAATTTCCCGCCAATTCCTACTCCAGAAAATCAGTCGCGGAAGTCAATCTCTATTAAAGACCAGCAAACACAAGCTGATGTCACGTCTCAATCGGCTTTATTGCGAAACACCAAGCAGCTTGACCCGGCTCAGGGTCCTGTGCTTGGGCATGCAGGAGAAAGATCGCATTCGGGGGGGTCTCTCCGCCATGAAGAGCCTAAAACGTCAACTTCCGCTTCAAATAGCCTTTCGAGGCTTTCTTCTCACGACGAAATGCCTCGTCACAATAATACACTATCAAAAAGCCTGACTAAAAATGCTCCCCACGAGGGCGCCAAAGTCAATGAACCGTCCAAGGCTTCAGTTCTTGAAAGATCATATGACAAAGCAAACACAGCAACCCGCGCAGGAAGACTGCCTGGCTACATGATGTCGCGAGCCTCCACAGCTGAAACTACCGCCACAGTTTCTTCTTTGCCTCCTTTAAACACTGCAGTCGACCGGGCTACTAGTCAATCCCTACAAGCCAAACGCCGCCCACCGAGTGGGGACGACGGTGTTGTATCGCAGCTGCGTAGTAAATTGCTCAGCAGGGACTTTTGGATGCGTGACGAGAATGCCAAGGACTGTTTTCATTGCGGAGAGCCTTTCACTACATTCCGCAGAAAACACCACTGTCGAACCTGCGGTCAGATTTTTGATTCCAAATGCACCCTGCTCATTTCAGGAACACGCTTTGGACAGCCTGGCAGCATTCGGGTTTGCAATCCTTGCGAGAACATGATCAACGCACACGATGACGATTCTTCGGAATTCTCTGATAGCGAGCAGAGTCCTATTGTTGCTAACCCTCGGGTTTCCGAACTTAGCTGGGGCAACACTGGGCGGTCATCGGTTGACGACGACGATTCATCTTCTGTTGTATCCCAATCAATTGACAACGTTCTGAGAACTCCCACAATGGCTATACCAGCTACACGACGTGCCGGGGAGGGCCATAGCCGCCGCTCAGCTGTTCTTGAGATCAATTCCGATCGCCCTCTGGCGCGACCTACCTCCTCGCGCTCCCTGCGGTCTTCCCTTGGAGCGAGACCACACACAATCAGTCACAAGCGACATCACTCTCGTCAACAATACATCCGGGGGTTCAAGCCATATCACGAAGATCGAGCCCCCTTCCAACGTCGACATGCAGATGATTTGGATCCTGAATCTCGACTGCCTGCTTTTCATAGAGACAATATCATTGATCCTGACCTTGCTCAATATCTTTCTGATGACGCCTCCAGCGGTGATGAGCAACCTAGTCTTTTATCTGCGGTATCTGAGGGCGCATTGTCCAAAAGTGGTGGCGAAAGTGAGAGAGCATCACTTGGCGGGTTTCTTGCTGCCATGAAAAAGGGCAGATCTGCTTTCGGAGAACGAAATACTCCTAGTATGAACCGAGATGGGGACGATGCAAGCCTCACCAGCTCAAAAGCTGTTAACCTGCCCCGGTTCTCTCGCCGCCGTAACCTGAGCGTTGCTAGCAGTGTGCATCCTCGTTACTCGCCTAGAACGTCAAAGGACAGCATATTTTACAACGATGCCTCGTCGCCGGTTATCCCTTTGCCCATTGTCCCAAAACAGGCTGGGTTCAAAATGACTCGGAGTTCGTCGATGAGAGGTAATGAAGCGCCACCAGTTGAGTTGAACAGAGCCAGCCTGGAACATGTTCGGAAGCTCCTGAACCAGCTGCTTGCGGAATCCACGGTGCCAAATAGAGAGGGCTGGGAAAATGCTCTGATGCCAATTCTGTTGAAGGCAGCTGACGATGTTGATCCGGATGTCCAAGGTGGTGATGACATGGATATTCGTCACTATGTTAAGTTGAAGAAGATTCCAGGTGGTCGGCCTGGTGATACTTCTTACGTATCAGGGCTTGTTTTTACCAAAAATTTGGCTTTGAAAGGCATGTCTAGAAACATCATACGCCCAAATATCTTGATCATTACATTTCCTCTTGAATACGCCCGTCAGCAGCAGCACTTCATGAGTCTTGAACCCGTGATTCGACAAGAGCGTGAATTTTTGGAGAACTTAGTCAGCCGAATTTCAGCATTGCATCCAAACTTGCTGCTGGTTGAGAAAAATGTTTCAGGTCTGGCTCTCGGCCTTCTCGAGAAAGCTGGAATTGCAACTGCCTATAACGTGAAGCCCTCTGTCCTCGAAGCTGTATCGAGATGTACACAAACTAGGATTGTGACATCCATGGATAAACTGTTGACAACCACCTTGCAAAGTGACTGCAGCAGTTTTGATGTAAAGACTTACGTTCACAATGGTCGGAAGAAGACATATATGTACATCTCTGGCTGTCCGAAAGAGCTAGGGTGCACTATTGTGCTGCGCGGTGGGGATGATGAAGTCCTTGGAAAGGTGAAAAGTATCACTGAGTTCATGATCTATGTTGTGTACAATCTTCGCCTGGAAACCTGTGTCATGCGAGATGAGTTCGCAAAGATACCTACCTCGCCGACAGAAACTGCAATGATTGTACACGACAAAGACCAGAGAGGCAATCCACAAATCATCGTTCATGGAGGTGACACAAGTCTGATTGATTCAAATGTTGTTCAACCGGGAACACTTGAGAAAGTTGACGCTGGTTCTGATAGCCAAGTGCTCCTGTCTGCCGATGCAACAGAGGTTCCAGACGATATCCCTATGCCGACCTATTATGACGACATGGTTCAGGATCACCGGACGAAGATTCTTTCGGCTTCACCCTTTGTCAAATTCGAACCTCCATATCTCCTGATGCGTGCGCGAGAAATGGAACGCAGATTGGCATATCTGAAACGTCTTCGTGACCAAGACGGCAATCCTGATCAACTCATAGACGAAAAGGCGAAGCCCCAAAAATTTGTCCTCATAACCCCAGAGATGGTCCATCAATCACCACAAGATGCTCCGGCAAAGGTCAAAGAGGTGCTGCGTGCTGCTCATGATGCCGAGTACGACCGAGCGTTCTACCACTACCAAACTCAAAAACGCCAGTGGGAAGCCTACGTGTCCGGCAACGCCAACATGTTTGATCCCTATACGCACCAGAATCTTGTCGTCCTCTATAGTGTTGTTTGCACAACAACATCGGTTCCTTGCTCCGGGCCTGATGTTTTTGCTCTCGAGTTCTACAATGAGCATGGGGACGATACGATTTTCGAGTCAGACCTGACACTTGGGCAGTATGTCGAAGACCTTTGTCATACAGCAAATTCTCTTTGCACTGTTAACGGCTGCGAGAAGCGCATGTTTGAGCACCATCGCCAGTACGTCCATGGCGAAGCCCAGATCAGCGTTTTGGTCCAACCCCATCCTTCTAAGCTCCCTGGACTTCAGGATGTCGTGCTTATGTGGAGTTGCTGTAAGATCTGCGGTAATGAAACTCAAGTCACTCTCATGTCTGAGAGCACTTGGAAATATTCGTTTGGAAAATACCTGGAGCTGTCTTTCTGGGGCAGAAACCTACATGCTCGTGCTGGGGTCTGCCCTCACGACCTGCAGCGAGATCACCTCCGCTACTTTGGCTTCAAGGATGTCGCTTTAAGAGTTCAATACGACCCAATTCGTCTTCTCGAGATCATAGTTCCCCGGCCTCGCGTTACTTGGAAGGTGGACAACGATCTTAAGTTGAGAAACCAAGTATACCTGCGTACTGAGCAACGTCTCAACAAGTTTATGGAATCCGTTCAAGCTCGCCTGGAAGGCATAAATGTTGAGAGTGTCGTACCCGAGCTGCTGGACAGGTGCAACAAGGAGATTGAGCTTTTGATCAAAAAGGGACATGACGACCATGCCGATTTGATTCGGCACTTACAAGACAAGTACACAAGTTCTCGCTATTGGGAGATCATACCTCTGAATGAAGTTCTTCGTGCAGTTCAAGAAAAGGTTGTTGAATGGGACACAGTATTTGCTGATTTTGAGAGGAGTTTCTTCCCCTCAGAAAAGGATATCAAACACATGGCCACGCTACAGCTCAAAAAGATCTTCCTTGACAAAGATGAAGCTTCAACATCTCCAGATGATGCGCTTCAGACCCAGGCCGACATGGAAGATGGAAATAACCAAGATGACAGGCCTCGAATGATGCGACGCATGACGCTTTCGCCGGAAAAGGCACAGAATGTGCTGGTCTCAGTTGTTGAGGAGCATGCTGGTAAGAAGCATCGTGAGGAGTCGCCCTCCCCTCCAACTTCAGCCGATGAAGCAGCCTTATCAGTGAACACAGTCGACGAACAGAGGTCATCTTCCCAAGATGAGGCGGTCTCCCAAGAAGAAGTCCGCCATCTCGACTTGGCTGTGCCTACCGGTCAACTGGACCGGGGCTCCGTCGATTCGGCTGGCATTTCGAACCAAGCTCTGACCAGCCCTGATCTCCAGCCGGTACTTTCCACCGACGGCTCATCTGAATCCTCGCCCCCGGAAGCATCCGACATCCCTGAGCAAGAAGTCAAACGTGAAAAAGAGGATGCTGAAGTCACTGAGCTACCAAGCACCCCAGTGCGTCGGTCTTCAGCAATTCCTAGACCCACCGACGCGGCATTCCGACGCTCCGGCAAGACGCGATCTCCTCCGTTGTTTCGTGCTCAGTCTCAGCCGGCCAATATACCACGTTCAAACAACGGCATTACGCTCCCCAGCTTGAGAATATCTCTTACCAACATGGTGGAACCAGAAAAGAATCCAGCCGTATCTCCTACAAAGCAATCGGACAAAAAGTTGACTGAACGTTTAGGCTTGAACTTTTCCAAGACTGCTCGGTTTGCCTCGGGACATTCATTCATCCCACGGTCCACTCCAGGCAAAAGAGGCAGCTCTCGGGTTTCAAACCTTGCTAGACATTTTGAGCAAATGAGTCGTGAATTTGAAAAAGAAAGATTGCGCGAGAGACGTCAACGAGCCGCAAAGGGTACCCATTCACGGGCATTCCCACTGGCCTCTTCGAAGCCCATTGTGGAGGTTTACCGCAATGTGCGAGAGGCCGTTGAAGAACGCGATCCGCCAGTTGACAACGATGAATTTCTGCCGCCGAAGGATGGTCTAAATCGTAAAAATGACGAGCTCGCCCATCAAGTTACAAACAACGAGCCATCTCTGCCAAACGGTTCGCCCACCGAGCCTGTAGAGGCAGATGAAGCAATTTGCCATGAACCTCAACTATTGTCTGATGACGACCACCACAGTGACGAGGATCGCAACACGGCCGACGGGCTTCATCCAGTCGATTCTCATGAAGAGGCCAAACCCCCGACTGACTATGATGCAAATGACTTCAAAGATCTTCCCAAACACGAACGCAATACACTTCTAAAAATGCTGACTAACTTCTGGTCTGAACGTTCTGCGAGTGGATGGGAATCTCTCGAATATCCACTTAGTGTCATGGATCATGTCTTTGCTGATTGCAATATCATTGTGCGTGAAGACGAACCGAGCTCTCTGGTGGCGTTCGCTTTAGACTCTTCCGATTATAAAGAAAAGCTTTCAACTATCCAGCAACGCTATGACGAGATGGAGGAGCACGAGTCAGAGCTTGGTGACATCGAAGCTGCGAAGGAAGCAAGGGTCGAGCATGCTCTTTTGCGCCCCACGGGCACACATCTTAAGTACCAATTCCAAGAGGGCCCGGCAAAGATGCTGTGCAAAGTATTTTACGCCGAACAGTTTGATGCTTTGCGCAAAAAGTGCGGCGTGGCTGATCGAATCGTCGAGTCCTTGTCTCGGTGCGCAAAGTGGGACTCGAAGGGCGGCAAGACAAAATCATTGTTTCTAAAGACACTCGACGATCGTTTCATTCTCAAATCACTCTCGACGATTGAAACACAAGCTTTCCTCAAGTTTGCTCCCGCTTATTTCCAAATCATGTCCGAGGCTTTGTTCCACGAACTTCCCTCGGCCATCGCCAAAATGTTCGGTTTTTATCAAGTCATCATCAAGAACCCGGTCACAGGAACAGAGTTCAATTGGTATTTGTTACTAATGGAGAACTTGTTCTACGATCGAGTTCCTACGCGCATCTTCGATCTCAAGGGGTCGATGCGAAACCGCAAAGTGCAGAGCACAGGTGAACGGGATGAGGTTCTTTTGGATGAGAACATGGTAGACTTCATCTATGAGACACCTCTGTTCGCCCGTGAGCACTCAAAGAAACTGCTGAGTCAGAGCGTGTGGAATGATACCCTTTTCTTGGGTCGCCAAGATGTGATGGACTACTCGCTTATGGTCGCAATCGATGAAAGCCGCGACGAGCTTGTGGTGGGAATCATTGACTGTATTCGTACTTACACTTGGGACAAAAAGCTCGAGTCGTGGATCAAAGACAAAGGATTTGGCGGTGGTGGCCGCAATCGTCCAACAGTCACAAGTCCCAGAGAGTACAAGGGCCGGTTCCGCGAGGCAATGGCCAGATACGTCCTTCAAGCTCCAAGGTATGTTACCAATATCTCTCATATTCACGACTAGGTTCTGACGTTTTCCAGTTGCTGGCATCAATTCCAATCCAATGCGATGCATCGACATGAGAACACGGTCACTGAAACCGATGCCTTCGATCACGTTGATAGCGTCGGTGGAACCCCATATGCTGAAGACGCCGGTTTCTAGTGCGTTAAAGAACATGCTCTTCGCCTTATCATACAGCTTTGGGAGCATGATCAATTTCATAATGATTTACGACCTGACGATAATGCATATATGCCAAGGTCTGCTTTTTGTTTCATTTTGCATGAGATGGGATCATCTGGCACAACATCAAGCGTTTACAATGCCATGGCACATAAGGCATGTTTTTCGATTTTACCACAGTATATATTTGCAAGCGAATATCCAGGGGCGCAGTCTTAGGTGGAACTAGGAACTCTCACTGAAAGTTTTGTCACATCACCTTACATTGTATCTACATCAATGAATGTCCTTGTATTCATTACCAGGATTTCCATAACCTCACATTGTTCACGATCAAGGAATGAAATGACCCAACACAAACATCTTATAGCCCACAGAGTACAGAACAAAAACAAAAATCCAATGAAAAGATCAACAAAGCTAACCCCGTAATAATAATATCCCACAGGCTCATTGGAACCCTCGGCGAAAATCGGAATCGGGACGGCAAAGGCTCCGGGAGATACGTTTAGCCATTGGGTCAAAATTACTGCGATTTCTGAACTTATCTTCTTGCTTAATCTCCTTGACTATTTCTTCATCACGATGGCTTCAAAATTGGCTTATTTTTCTATGTCATTGAGGGGGGCAGAATGCACCAGGTACATACATCTCCGGTTGATATCGGGCACATGCAGCCTCGGAGGTTTGATGACTTCGTTCTCGTCCCCCGCAATTTGTTTTCGTTCGATTTTCTCTTTTTTTCCCCCTTTCTTTTTCCGAGAGCTCATGATCCTCGACTGGTGACTCTTGTGAATTGCTTGTCGAGAGTGCGAACTTATTATCCGCATTAGGAAAGACCAATGTTTGATTCGAAACATTGCGAACTCTACATACAAGCGCAAGAGGCGCAACAATTCGCACCAGTTCTAAGAACTGCAAGACAAAATTATTTCCAGGTCTATTCAATTTTGATTGTCTAGATTCGACTAATCCACAACTAACTCGACCAGAAAGCATTAAATTCGTTTCATTTACATGAGCAATGCATTAACCTTCTAGCAAACTATGGTCCAGACCACAGCGCAGAACAAACTTGGCTTTGAAAGAACATCGAGAAAAAAGAAGAAAAAGAGGTATGTATCCCATCCGCACACCGGCGGTAAACAAAGAACACTACATAAAAACAGAAAGCTTACCATCTGATCAGTTTACAGATGATTTACTCCATGCTCAGACCGAGGTTCTCGTCGGCAGGCACCACACGAACGGTGTTGGTGTGGCCCATGCCGCCACGCCATCCCTGGACGCAGACGATGGGGTCGCCCTTGTTGATGATACCGAGCTTGAGACCGTGGTTGATACCCCACTTGAGGCGGCGGTCGACATCCTCCTGCCAGATCTTGACGTTGAAGTCGGGCTTGGTCTCGGGGAAGTAGAAGGGCCACACACCACGGTAAAGGTGGGAGTACTGGTGAATCTTGTCAGCAAAGATCAACACTTTCGAAGTATTCAGTGTCAACTTACGCGGGAAGCGGCCTCGTTGCGAGTGACCATCAGGATGGGGCAAACGGGGCGGTACTTGGACAGAAGGCGGGCGGTTTTACCACTATGAGTTGTCAGCATACCGTCAAAAAAACGACAAAAGATCTTTCCGCGACACATACCTGGTGGTCAGGACAACAATGGCACCGGCGTTGAGCTCCAGAGAAGCACTGACGGCAGCCATGGCAATGGACTCGGAGGTGTCAGTGGGGCGGGGAGCAAGGTTGCGCAGCTCGTCGAAGACATTAAAGTGAGGGATGGCGACCTCGGCCAACAGACAGGTCTCGGACATCATCTTAACAGCCTCGCAAGGGTAGTTACCCTTGGCGGTCTCACCAGACAGCATGACACAGTCAGCACCGTCAAGAACGGCGTTGGCAACATCGGAAACCTCAGCACGAGTGGGGCGGGGGTTGTATGTCATAGACTCCAGCATCTGAGTGGCACAGATAACGGGCTTGCCCTTGATGTTGCACTTGGCGATCATCATCTTCTGGGCAAGGAACACCTTAGGGGCGGGGATCTCAATACCGAGATCACCACGAGCAACCATGACACCGTCGGTCTCCTCAAGGATCTCATCAAAGTTGTTGACACCCTGCTGGTTCTCGATCTTGGCGATAATCTGGATCTCCTTACCCTCCTCACCGAGAACGGCACGGATGTCCTTGATATCCTCGCCACGACGAATGAAGGAAGCGAAGACCATATCAACCTTGTTCTTAACACCGAACTTCAGATCGGCAACATCCTTCTCGGAGAGAGCGGGGAGGTCTACGTTGGTGCCGGGAAGGTTGACACCCTTGCGGGAGGAAATGTTGCCGTTGTTCAGACACTTGACCTTGAGGTTCTTGTCGTCAACAACCTCGAGCACCTCAAAGGACAGAATGCCATCGTCGACATAGATGAGCTTTCCAGGGGCGATCACGGAAGTGATGTTCTTGTAATCAAGGTACCTGTCGGCAAACACTCGTCAATCTACGTCGCAAATCCAAGCTGGGGTGCGCCGCGCAAACGCCAAAATGCTTGTTTCGCCATTTTATTTTTCAGCAATGGGGGAGCTTACATGTTCTTATCATCACTGGCAGTGGCGTAAGCCTCGTCGGTGGTGATGTTGAGGATGGCGCCCTCCTTGATGGGGAAATCCTTGTCACCGACGGTGTTACCGGTACGGATCTCGGGACCCTTGGTGTCAAGGGCAATGGCGAGGGGTCGGCCAGTCTGGGTACGGGCAGCCTCGCGAGCGTTGTCAATAACAGATTGGTGGTACTGCAAACAAGTCAGTGGAAGTTTTTCTCTGAGATTGGATGGTAAGGCACTCACCTCGTATGAGCCGTGGGAGAAGTTCATGCGAACAACGTTAAGACCAACTATGACCAAGTCAGTTTACCATCTAGAAAAGGGGTACCTGTTTTGGAGACTGATTGCCATACCGGTGCGGAGAGCATTGATCTTCTCGGCGGAGTTTGTCTTGGGGCCTAATCGAATGGCAGTCAGTAACGGGTACTTTTTTTTCGTCGGTAATTCTGTAAGCTTGGCTTCAGAATGGTGCGTTACATACCAATGGTACCGATGATGGAGGTACGGCGGAAGTTCTTAGCAGGCACCATCTCGGTGTTAAGCTTGGAGTGCCACTCCAGCTTCATGCGGTTGCTCAGGTGGTCGAGGGAGCTGGTGGCCGCCATTTTGATGTGATGAAGAAGTTTTGTAGAATGGAAAGGGTAAAGTTATTCTGATCAATTGAGGATCAGAGATGATGGTAGAAAGGGAAAGGATTTGAGGGATGGAGGGGAAAGAGAAAACGGATGGGTGAGGGGCGGGAGGGAAAATGTTGGACGCCGGTGTAAGTATCTCCGGACAACCCCCAATGCTACACTTTTTTTTTTCTTTATTCAACTTATCGACTCTGGGCCATAATCTATCGCAAATACAAGTATTGTTTGACTCAACTTTTCTTTTCTTATTCCTTTATCTTTCTTTTAGATCTATAGATATGTAGGTAATGATCATCTATTTACTCAAGTATATAACTCATCGGTGTCGGTAAAGGCGGCATTGAATAAATTCTAGGCAGAAAAAAAAATTTGGACATCTCCAGACCGTTGACCGCAAAAAAAGCGGAGGAGGGCCCCCGTGCTGGCCTGCTCGCTGTACATTGGAGTCCTTTATCGAATTAATGTGACAAATACAGACACTCAATTGATCGAGCCTAGCGGAGTATCAGAAAGGGGATTTCGGTGGGAATGCGAACGCTTATCGATAGACCAAAACTAGGCTAGCGCCCAGGGCTGGAGAGCTCCGATCGCCACATTGTGGATTATGTCAGGTACCCAGCTCCAGCCACTCCTCCAGCCTCAGATCCAGCCACAACTAGTGGGTGTCATGTGAAATCCTGATTACCTCATCATATCTTAGACTCGTAGATGGGTACCCTATCACAGCTTGGGTCACGTTCTTACCTCCATATCTGTTCAAGCCTTGAAACCACTGCCGGGTACCCAATTTACTGTCTCAACATCTGTTGTCTGTCATCATGGTAAGATACTCTTGCTGTTTGAAATCAGCCAATTGAGGTTTACAAACTCCGAAGCATGGTATGACTGACTTGGGATGTTCACAAACTAGCTCGGCCGTATCACTCACTACGCATTCGATGCGGTTCTCTGTGAGTCCTTCAGGCCCTCATGTTTGATCCTTGGAACCTCAACTAACTGGCGCTTCAACTATAGTCTCCGCTTTCCTAGCAGGTGTCAAGCGGTCAACCGGCCTTACGTAAATACACCTTCCCTCTGATATTTCTTCCCACTTGGGATTTACCCTTTATACACTCTCCTTCCATTTTGAGTACTTATCATATTATGCATGATCTTTTGGCTAACTCTTTCACCCTGTGCACCCCCCATTCGATGGGATGTGTGCATGTGGGATCTTCTCAGCCCCAGCCTCAACTCAGACAAGATCACGGACAGCAAAGACGTCAAGAAATGGGTCGATAGCTACCTCGGCGTTGGCGAGTGGGTGATGGACCAATCCGTTGCTGTTATGGGCTCATCTGCCTGGTTCGAACGCCGCCGGTGATTCGCGCTACAACACTCAACTCGGGGAAACAATCAACGATTCCTTTCTCGCGACTTGAATTCCAGCCAATCGACGTGTGTTTGATTATGAAATATACGGAAATAGATACTGGGGTCCTCCTTCCCGTCCTGTGGAATGGATGTCCCTATATCAATTTGTACAGAATGGGTTTTTGGCAGATGGTGTGCCTCTGTTTCTCTCTCGGGGCACTGCAATCACACAATCTATGCATGCTTTAAGGCTGGATTGACGAGTGATGACCAATTTTTATCTACGCTCCAGCCTCAACTTTCGACCGATGCTTTGCGGTCATGGCGTCTTGGCTTTTTTTCGATACCTTTTGTCTTTGTACTTGTTTTATATCATCATACAAATCCACTGGGGTTAGCAGACGATCATTGTGCGATGGATATACATTGTAGACTATCGACATAGATCTTGCTCGTTTGGGTCCAACTTGCAGTTGGACTGATCTCTTTGTCTTCATTGCTCAAAGCGAGCAGCGTGACATAGGGTATGGAGATGCACAACATAGAGCGGTAGAGACAGTGCCCTGCTAAACACCAGTCAAGTCTGCAGCAGAGCGTCAATGTCCACCCGTCGGAAGTAAGATACATGACCCATTTCCTTCCAATAATGGGCCATGAGATCAGTAGATATGAGTATTAGTTGGGATTGAATAAATATGTCTGGAGATCTTGTCAGCAAACGTTTCCAATTTAGTAATAGGAGTACTCACCATCCTGAAAGCCAATTCCAGCGACATGGCCTTTGCAACGGACCATGCGGGCACCTATGAACGGTTCCTCTACCGCCACGCCCACCAAGCCCCCGGGGCCGATGTCTTCAGCTACCCAAGAGTATTGACCCCGCGGTACATTCATGTCACCTGTAAGCTTGATACCTTCTAATCGACCTCGCTGTCCAAGATCGATCATGTCGTCCACTTCTGGGCCATCTTCGCCATTGCTGACATCAATGCTCCGTGACTCTTCCGAAAGGTCCTCATCCACATCCTTCTGCAGAACAAGTAAGAATTCACATCCATGAGCAGAGTAGTCTCCAACCCAAATGCCCTGGTACGGCTTCTTTGTAGTCGGGTTGTAAAAATCTGGGTCGAGTGTCGAAAAAGTCGAATGCAACTGGCTTCTGCCTGGCGAGAACGCGACCCGGAAGCTCGTCCACTTGTTGATACGAAAAGAAGATTCAGACATGTCCGACATTCGCTTAATTCTTTCTGGCTGGTGGCCCCCCGTATGACGGGATGTGCGGGCATTGCTTGGAATAATCTGAGGTGGCCAGCACATTTCACCATCGGTAAGAGATTCCTGGTTGTTACTTATGGCGGAACAGAACGAAAGGGAGCTGTAGACATGGTGGGCTTCCAGCGCCAAGGGCATATGTCGCTCTTCTGACTGTGAAAACCGTTGGATTGGAGCTGCCAGGCATGACGGGTCTGGGTCTTTGAGGAACAAAGTCGGGTCATCTAACAACAAACGGACGATGGGGTCGAAAGATTGTACCAATACAGCGGGTTCTGCTGGCTCTGCGGGCTCTGCTTTCCAAAAATAAAATTCTGGATTTCCGCGCTCCGCGACCATCTGATATCCTTCAATGACACCCCGGCGTTTGTTATAGCGAGTCAGGATCAAAATTCCCGTGGGTTCGTTGTCCGCGAACCAGATCTTGTGTTGAGGGATAAACCAACAAGGGTGATATGCCAAATATAAACGCCGAAATGAAGCGAAGATACCTGGGTCCTTGATTTGATTAGGCAGCCTTGCATTTATGAGATCTGCCCATAACAGGTCATCCGAAGCATGGGCGGCAAGTGATCGGCATGTGGCACCGATACATGCAAGGTCCGGAGCGGAGAGATAGGAGATAATGACACGGATGAGCTCAGGAGGTAGTTTTTCGAGAAGAAGCGAAGGATTAGTCATTTTCGCTTGCTGTTCCAATCCAGATCGCTGGGTATTTAGACTGACGTCGCATTGCATCTATGGCTCAGACATACAAAGGTCAGCAGAGGCACAAATATTCCACTTCTTGTCCTCGACACATAATTCACAAGACATACCAAGTCGGGAGGTACGACTGCCATAGCGATCAATGAGAATGTACTGGTTGTTTCCAGCCGTGAGAGAGTAGGTTATGACAGGTCCCATTCACTAATGCGCGGATGACATCACTGGAACACTCAGGGGGATGCATGCCTCCAACGTTGAGTTGTGCAATTTACGAATAACAAAGAAGAAAGAATCTTTAGTCTCCAGACTCCAGTATCATCAGTGACCAATAGTTAGACTGCGATAATATTGTGAATTGGACCTCATTAGAGATAAGAAGATAGCAACTCCTCCGCATGAACTAAATCGATTTACCCGCTTTGCCGAACCCATCAACTTTAAAAACGTGGCATTTATACATTATGTAGGCATGTCACTCTACATAACGAACAATCAACGAAATACGCGTACATCCCATTACAAAAAAAAGGCTCTGTAAAATCCGTCTAGCCTTATCATCTTCGCAACCCCCCGCCCCCCCATTTCATTCTAGTTCCAGCAATCCAAGGAGTAAATCATCACCTTTCCATTACTTGAGAGCTTTGCTCTTCCATGCCTCCCACTCCTCGTGGTCAAAGTCCTTCGGAAGACCCGCTGAAGTCCTGCGAAGAAGTGTGGGAGTGTCTGCATATCTAGAAAAAAAACTATCATGCCTAAGAGAAAGAAAAATCTTGAGCCTTCCTACCTTTAAGGGCACAGATGGTGAAATCTTCACGATCCTTTTGCGAAAGATGGCAGCTAGCCGCAATTCATCCGCGGTTAGCTCATTAGAGCCGCTGTAGAACTTAGCCACCGGCCGCATCATACACGGGGAACAGAATGCCTCCGCCCTAGAAATGGTTTGCGTCTATTCCTAGTCTATGATTCTCACAATATCGAAACGGCTATTAACCAGAATATGGTCACCCGTTTCGTCTAGGTGCTTGAGAAACAATTGGTCGCCTGATGGGACGACTTCGCAGAGAGTGCCAACAATATCCTTGCGAAATCGATGGACGAGGTAGGTGTCTACTGGATAGCAGGAGTCAATCTCGCCACTAGCTATCATCCAAAAATGACCTGATAGCCCTCTAGCGAGAAAGAGAAAGGACCGAGTGGTCCCTTTACCACCCGGAACGTTGGTCGATGTGTGAGGCCTTCGACGTTCATAACATCTCCCACCGAGGGGACAGGTGATCCCATTGCTTCGAATGAATGCCTCTTAATTTCTAGGAAGATATCAGCCAACTGCTGCGTGACGTGCTCTCTCTGTTGAAGAGTCGCCACCTCCCAATTGAGAGACAGGAATGTAAGTGTACCGTTGAAGGTAAATTATAGTGGCAGTTTCGCTTCAATGATTCTAATCACGGACTTTATGTAGCGGTAAATGGGTGCCTGGAAGGCGAAAACCCACGAGCCATTTGATATTATCGTTGAATGTGATCTCGACGTGACTGTTCTGGTTTCCTATCATGGCAGACAAGCTCTTGGCGGTGCGTGGGACAGAAGTGTCTATTGCATAGCACACAATCTCCTGCTCTCTGAGCGGCTGGTTTTCCATGATTCCCCCGCATGACCAGTGAGACATTATAGTATAGAACTTAAGGTACTTACCAGTTGACAGATCCTATCAGGTTCAGCCTAAACTTCGGTGTATAGTATGTAGTTGCAGGGTACTAACTAGGTAACAGCAACCCATTTTAAATAACTAAATCCAGTTGTTTCTGCTTTTTCGACTTGTGTTCCCACCTGAGATACATAAGATATGATAGATCAAATATTGAAAAAATGTCACCTGATCGCCAAAAGTAGCAGATTGTTTATGGCCGGAATAGGCACGCGTCGGGGCCCCTGCTGCCTGTTGAGCCCCACTAACTTTGTTTGTTTACTCGGCCCGGGGTACAAGCAGATATAGAATTATTCTTATACATAAATGCCCATCCCTGTTGTTTTACTTTGGTGAAACCAAGACTCCGATGTCAATATTTTGAATTATCCCAACACGCTCAATTATGGATGTCAATGGACTAGGAAGAAAGAGAAAGAATAGCTCTTCTATTCCAGGCCAATCCCCAGTCTCGCACCGGACTCGACAAAGCTTGGCAGCAGGATCCGAGGATGCTGACCTCAAACAAAGAACCACATCTTCCACACCAAAGAAATCAAGAAAGAGAGTTCGGTTTTCTGACCCCGGTCCCCAGTTACTGCAAGATGTCGATATTGGGTCTACCGGTTTGACCCCGGCCATGCGCCGTACATCATTCAATCCAGATTCCGGAGATCGCACACCGAGCCGAAAGGCACGACGCAGGTCTGCCCCAACACCACGGTTCTCGCGGTCGTATGACCCGGTAGAGCCCTTCGATGAGACGTGCACTGAGCGGAGAATCCAATTCACACCCCTTCGTCAAATTTTGGATACACGTACTCAGAGAAGAATCAAACGAATCGGATTAAGCGATGAGATCAATCATATTGAACGTGAAAAGCGCGACGCGAGCAAGCTTGAGAAGACCATGCAAGCTTTGCGCCAAGAGAGAGATGCCCTCAAAAACGAGCTAAGCTCTGTGAAGCACAGTACAATGCAATTTGAGGACCAGGATTTGACAGCCGAATCCTACTGGATGACTTCCCAGGCACCTAGATCATGCGAGGACATGTCGGTGGCTTCAAACCACAGCGAGGATGATACAATTTGTCTGACTAACGGCGCTAATAACACTTTCATGTTCAGTGATAGTGCTATCATTGTGTCCAGCTCTCCAGACCTCCGTGGTATGCGAGGACACAACCTTGCGGTTTCTGATAGCCTGGTGCAAATTGAGCACCCTCAATCGGCTTCTACTACCACTCAAATGCATGTTTCAGATGAAACGGAAATATCAGATATCCACTCCCTGACCCTTGACCTGGAGGCTGCCAGAAGGGAGAAGAGAACATTATTTGATGCGTGTCGATCGCGTATTTCTGAGTTGAATGAGCCTAGACTTAACAATTTGTTTAATCATTCATCCCCGCCATCAGATTTCTTTGACAACCTTTTGGACATACTGTCAGCAGCTCTATCTCGTGCTTCGGACGCCGCCGAGGCGCTAGAAGGAGTCAGCCAGGAATGTGCTCGCATGGGGTTCTCCGGGGAGGGCGTGAACGATGTTATTGCCGACATGCGAAGTCATTTCCGTTCAGCACGCCTTGAGCTTGAGCGCGCTGTCCCGGGTGAAACAGCCAATGTTAGCCTTGAGGATGGAAAGGGCACACTAAACGCACTAGTCCAACGCGTTGAGTCCCTAGCTCAAGATTTGGGGACGGAACGTCACTATCATCACGGCTCACTTGGACGGGAAAAGGCTTTACGCGGACAATTCGATGCTTTGTTACATCGATATGAGACAGCTGCGAGCAAAATTGACACCCTCGAGAATTCCATCACATCTTCGGCGGGCGATATGCTCCACACACGAATTCGAATGCAAGATCTCGAACGTGAAGGCCAAGAACAGGCCATTGGGATTGACAGATTAAACGCCGCTCTCGACAAGTACCATGACGAAGTGAAAAACCTCGAAGACCTCATCGACAACCTTGAAAGGGAGAACACGGCTACAAAGGAAAATTACGCGAGACAAATCTTCAAACTCAGGACGCAAGTAGCCCATGAGCGCTCGAAATGCTCTTTGGCTGAGACCTCTGCTTCCGAGAATAACTCTCGTATTCGGGATTTAGAAGAAACAATCGAAACCAATCGAATTCAAGTTCATGATTTAATGGCTCAGGTGGAGGTACTCAAAAAAGAACATCAAAGAGCAATCGAGGCCCTCGAACAAAATCACAGCGAGCTCCAAAGCCACGAAGCAAACAATGGAACTCTCAACGTCCGTATCTCGGCTCTCACCACATCATTGGATAGCGCCGAATCCGAAGTTCAACGCCTTGACCTCCTCAACAAGGGTCTACGAGAGCAGCTCCAAGTCGAAGTCGAAGCTCGGAACGAGCTTCTAGACAAATGGGCCGCAGACCAAGCTCGGTCATTCGCCCACATGAAAGAGACTATAAACTCAGAGCGCCGCAGAGCCAAGGTTCGCGCAGCCAACTGGGAGCTGAAATCGGACGATCTCATGTCCGATGCTACCACCACCATGGGGGGCGGGAGCGAGCCCGAGCCAATTACACCCGTTAGCATGACCCGATTCGTTGACATTGAAGTTGGTCGGGGCAAGAATCGGCGCCGGATGGACAGTGGCATTGGAATTTTGACCGAGGAAGAGCTCATGAGAGATGCTTCTAGCTCGGATCTTCAACATAGTCTCGACTCGGACATTGATCTTCCCACATCGGAGTTTGCTTGATGCTTTGGTTGTCACCTTATACTGTCATTCTATTATTATTTGATTTTTGTCACATTCAGGCGTATAAACGGACTTCATTGTTTTGGTGGAGTTTGGCTTGTGTCCATCTTATACTTCCGCGCCTTCACATGGCTTTCTATATATCTCTAAAAATTAACACACTTTCCTTTCAATGAGCTACATTAAATCAAGAAAATCCTGGCAACACCTGCAAGTATGTCTTCAAGTTTCTCTTACATACACACTGTCTTCTTGATTCATGAAAAATTTTATATTATCAGATGGTATCTTTTTAACCGCAGACGAAAACAACAGATCATCAACTGAAGCCACCCAAGTCAAATCAGGGCCGGTCCGAAACTTCTTCGCCAGACACAGGATTTGGTTGAGGGTCAATGTGTGCTTTGCTCCCCGGCCGAGAAAAGATAGCACCAAAGAGATTGAATACATTGTTGCAGCGAACAAAAATGCAATAGCACAGCGTGATTCCCGTAACCAAAATCTCCTCCTGCGCGGCTCTTTCATTCTTCTTGGGACCGTCGAACTCGATTTTGCCAATGTTCGTAACAGCCCACGGGTTGGCCGAGAACCTAGCCACAGCATTCTGCTGCTCATCTACACAAACGAAGTCCCAGGTCTTGAAGCCAGCATCGCTAGTCCATGTCAATGTGACCGGGGTGTCGGTTTTGGAAAAGTTTAGTGAGCGGTGCGTATACAAGGTTCGCCAGCGTTTCTGGGCCAGAATTTTGGCCTTGTGTCCATACAGCTCGTAACTTGGGTTGATGGAAACAACGTTTAGTTTTCCGCTCCCAATGACTTCCTCACTTGGGACTTTTGTGAAGACCATGGTGGCTGCTGATTTAGATGCGAATTTGAATGGGAAGTGAATTGAGTAAAGGGGATCTGAGTTGGAATTATTTGCGTCGAAAATTTTCCCTTGCCATTCCTTCCATGAGAATTTGATTTTAAAAGTCGGAGTTGTTGTGGTGGGAATTTGAATGTGTTGAGGAGTCCAAAGGGGATATCAGACGAAGCGACGGTGTTCGAGTCTTCCGTGAATGGATGATTCGAAACAATATGAGATTGGGTCTCGGACGAGGCCATTTTGTATAAGTTCAAATTCAACGTGCTTCAAATTCAATCTATAGAGGAAGATCAGTCACCTTATTATATGTTTGTTGATGCTAATCTCACACCTCAGCGTAGGCTTGGCATCTCCAAGAACATCCCGCAACACCAATCACATTGGTGTTCCGAACTCTTTCTGGGGCCATGAGGTCATTCCCAAACGATCAATATTGGGGGCCAGAACAGGGCCGAAGATTGCCGTATACCAGTGTCATTGTAAGGAGATTGATAACTCCATTTGAAGCAATTCTAAATACTCCAGGGCTTCGAGATGCCCAGTCGGATTTAATCAGCCAATTGGACAGACAAATTTTATAGAAGATACCTTACTACATATGTAGACATCTCTTACATATAAATACTTGTTGACTAGCTGTGTACAATCAGAAATAACATTTTTTTTGTACTATTCGGGATAATAAACAACTTAGGGTTGCTCAAGGTAAATCTACGCTTAGTCGATATTAGGAAAATCAGAATAGCTTATCGATAACAGGATCGTCAACGATGACGTTACTGGGCGTCAACATAAACCCAGATTTCTTCTTGCTTGAGCTTTTTGTGACCAGCACTCACACTCCTAGACTAGAATATAGAAGGACCTGAGAGCAACCAGGCAAAAATATTCATTAACATATCCAGCCAATATCGCATAATTGAGCATGGCCGACCATGACACAAATGCCCACAAATACCGCTTGAAAGTGACAGCCGGTCCAGTGTACGACCGCAACACTCATCAAGTGGTACCAGTGAACGGCGAGACAATCCGCATAGAAAATGAGCATGCGATTGTGAGTCTTTGTGTACGAATCCAGGACTATGCAGGTAAGATTCGGGCTCTGCATCCATTCATGCAGTTTTGGAGAGCGAAGCGTTGGCAAAGCTCACCAATAACACAGGGTATCCCGAGAAATCACCTTCAACAAGCCCGTATTTTGAACATGAGCTGCACAAAAAGGATCTATACTCCATATGTTTCTCGATAATCTTCAAAGAACCAGTGAACGGTAACAACCTTTTTTTCGGCAACGACTTTGAGAATCCAATCCGCGACATTCTCCCTCCGGGATTCAATTCCGCACTGAAATTGGTTAAATGGACGCTCGATCCAGGCCTAGACGGCGATGTCTACGCCGATCAACCGTATCTGTACAGCCCGGCACTGGCTACGTGGGATATCTTCCGAATCGGAGATAAGATGAGCAAAGAAGACAAAGTTCCCACCCTTCATGACGAGGTAATTGAAGAAGGCGCTTATAGCGATGAAGCTGCGGAGATTCGTCGGCAACACAATATTCCTGATACGGTTGAGGGGCGTAGGAAACATTTCCAGAATGAAGGGAATAGGAAAGAATTTGAATTTGAGCCGGGCAGGATGTATGTGGCTGATTTTGGAAATCCTTACTTATCTTTCAGTGGTAAGTAGATTACAGCCAGGATGATCGTTTTGTTTGAACTCGCGGGCTGACTTCTAGTAGACTTTTCTATCCGTCTTCCTGGGTTCACTCTGCATGCTATGAAGTATGTGGAAGAGAAGAATCATGAGCTGCGGTATACTCTGAAAGACACGTCTACGGGGCAGGTTTATCTTGCTGTGCTGTTCTCGGTGGTTCTTGAGGAATTAGAGGACAAACGGGATAAGAGTGATGATAGCAAGAGCAGGGAAAGTGAGGGCAGTTTGGGGAAGTTTGAGTGGGAGCCCCAGCCATCGGCTGACGATGTTGAGTGAGGGGCTTCGGTTTTGATAGATGATTGTAGCACGGAGTACAATGGGAAATGGCCAATCTTCAATTTCATTAGAATGAACTCAATTTTAATTTCTGGACAACGAAGAACTACAGCTTCATTCTCTATAAGCATCATCTGCTAACTGTGGTTGATTTACAAGATTTCTTTTACAGTCTCTTCAGGACATCGTCCAAGACTTGCTGAGTAGTGGCCTTACCACCCATGTCAGGAGTAAGGAACTGAGCAGCATCCAAGTTGCCGTCAACGGCAGCGTAGATCTTGGCAGCGGCGTTCTCCTCGCCCAAGAACTCGAGCATGAGAGCAACACTGCGGATAGTAGCGATAGGGTTGGAGATACCCTGGCCCTCAATGTCAGGGGCACTGCCGTGGCAGGGCTCACCAATAGCGAAGTTGTCACCGACGTTGGCGCTGGGGACGAGACCCAAGCTACCAACGAGGGCAGCAGCACCGTCAGAAAGGATGTCACCGTACAGGTTAGGGGCGACAATGACATCGTAGTATTCGGGCTGGCGGAAGAGCTTGTAGACCATGGAGTCAACGATCTGCTCCTCAACATGAATAGAAGAGAACTTCTGGGCGGCAAGAGCCTTGCGAGCAGTCTCGCGGAAGAGACCGTCGGTCTGGGAGAGCACGTTGGACTTGTGGGTGATGGTGACCATGGGCTGGTTGCGGGTGGAAACGCCGGGGGCAGCGGTGCGGATGTTCTGGCGGCGGAGGGCAATCTCACCGGCGATGGTGGAGATGCGGCTGGAGGCGCGCTCGGAAATGCGCTTGATGGCCTCGGCAACTTTGCCGTCGGGGCCCTCAGTGGTGCGCTCCTCCTTCACGTAAAGGTCCTCGGTGTTCTCGCGGACAATAACGAGGTCGATGGGCTTGCCGTTGCTGCTGCCGGCAGTGGTCTTGACGGGGCGGACATTGGCGTAGAGGTCGAGCTTCTTGCGGAGAGCGACAATGGGGGAAGAGTAGCCGGCGACCTTGGTGCTGGGGGAGCTGGAGATTGGCAGCCATTGTCAGCGGAACTGACCAAATAGAGAAGCGAGGGCAAGTTATCTACCTGACGGCACCGAAGAGAGCACCATCACACTCCTTCTTCAGAGTGTCGACGGTCTTGTCGGGCAGAGCAGTTCCGGTCTTCTGGAAAGTGTCGTAGCCGGCCTCGAGGTCAACGAAGTTGAATTTGAGGTTCAGGGAAGAAGGGAGGGACTCAAGAATCCGACGACCGGCCTATATATCAAGAAGCAACTTTCAGTCAGTGAATTGGTTCGTTGTTGGAGTCATGAGAGGGCTACCCACCGGGATGACCTCCCGTCCGATACCGTCTCCGGGGATGAGTCCTATATAATTCCGCCCATTAGTCTATTGACTAGCCACAGAACCACAAGATAAGGGCAATTGTACCAATGCGAAGTGTCCGGGCAGCGGCAGCCATTTTGTTTGACTTGTTGAAGAGTTGCTTTCCTGAAATCGACATTCGCCGTCATCGGAGCTTCTCTTTTTTGTATACGGAACCGGATCATTGCTAATCCGCCTTGACTCCGGGGTCCGGAGGAGCGGAGACTCGAGACGTAGTTTGTACCCTGACTGTATCAAAAGTGGAACAAAGAAGGCTCTGGGCCAAACAAGATGAACAATATATTTCAATGCTACCTCTGAACTTCATCGATGTTCATCACATCCCCGCCCCCGTGCATCTCCCCTAGATGGACGTCGTTGTACCTACGGGGAGAAGACACATTTGCACACATTTGCTTTCATTCGTACCTAATTGAAACTAGAGGAAGAAAAAATCCAATGGCACCATTCTTAAGAGAAGGGTCATTATCTGTGCACAAGCATTCAAGTATCACTTCACACAGTTTGACTTAGAGAAATGATCTTTCCAATCCAAGAGATGTCCTTTCCCCTTCCAATAATCAGGATAATGGCATTTGCCAAGGATAATTGGACTAAACCCATTTGTCCATTGACTTCCATCCATCGCTTATTAACTTCGAGGCTGCGACCAGGGTATCTTCCTTATTATGATCCAACGCGATCACCGCATACTGATCACCACTGAATACATAGAAGTGACCTTCGTGATTCAAACTCGGGACAATTGCATCAACAGTGTCAAATCCAGCCTTTGCAATGCTTGGCCAGCCATCTTTGATTGGTGTAACTGTGCGGGCCATCTTATCGGTAGCATTGTCCACGCGAACATAGTTCAAGCCTCGGAAGAAGTAGATTTCGTTTTTGGTCCCCGGTACCAACACTGCTGCATCGACGGTATCGAAGCCAGCTTGGACGAGAGACTTCCATCCAGATTCAATATGATGGACTCCATCAGTGACGAAGCTGTCATCGTAATTATCGAGCTTTATTTTGATATAGCGGCCCCCGAAGAAAACGTACAGCTGGTTTTCAGTGCCAGGGACAGGGACAACAGTGTCCACTCTGCCAAAGTCGACCTTGCTCATCGTATTCCAGCCCTTGCGAATTAGGGTTGGACCAGCAACAAGAGAATTCTCATGGCTGTTTGAGGTAAATCTGACACGGCCATAATTGCGGCCGGCGAAGATATAGTATTCGTTTTTCCCAGGAATGCGGTAGGCGGCGTCAACCATTTTGAATAAAAGGTCAATGATAAGAAAAAGCCTTGATAATGCTGCTATTGCTTATAAAGAGGAGGGCATGTAGAACATGAAATCAAGATCAGCACGAATGATGATTTACAGTGATTTTTATACTCCAGCTCTTCAGAAACACCTAGTTGTATAGTCAGCGGTGCAGATCTTTAGTTAATATATGCAGTGTTACAGATAAGTGAGTGAGTGCAATGCGTCGGTACAGTAGGAACGAACCTTACGGGTGGATTGATCAGTGTCTGCTTCTTGTTCTTTCTAACATATACTGCATCTATGATGTGCTCTTTTACAGAGACCAGGGGTGCAGATCACTCAATCCAGAGATTCCACTTCCTGATACTGGGTCAATCTGGGGATCTGTAGTACACCCAAAATGTACTACATACATAAGTATGTACTAAGCTACCGGGCACCGTATGAGCTAGACCGACATACTTGGCATCTGACGTGCAACACAAACGGAAACTTCTACCAGAGAGGTAACAATCCGAGAACCACAAATTGGGGATTATTTGGGAACTTTGTGGCCCAAAACACCAAATCGGTAAAGTCTTGATACTGAAACATTGAGTAAGCTAGCGCGTGTGGCGATATTGAACTACATTGTCAAGACGCTGATATCCTATTATTAAATTCATGTCACGTCAAGAATGGGTTGAGCTCATAGAATATGGGCACTATGGAGCTATGGAATGATTGAGGCTATGTTTTTGGACATTGCCCATGTGTTTAGGCACATGTCAGCGGAGGAGCCTGGAATTGTTCTCACGCGCCCATTTCATTCGTAACTCTAGCCGTGCTACGCCAACGGAGACCGAGATCTAAGCCATCGCCGTTAGGATTCAGTTCAGGTGCCACCGGAACAAACTTGGCGCGCCTCCACACATGATATTTTACTAAGTCAGATATATGGCACTGAAATCTACACCTAGTGCAGACTAATATGCATGTTTGAGCTAGTCTAGCCTACCAGGAGGTACATAGCCAAGTTATGTATATATGTTCTCAGCTGAGCAGTACTAAAAGGGTATTGCATGCGGTGGTGAGACTTTGAGATATGCCAGGATCTCGTAAAGTGAGAATTAGGGAGCTCGTCGCCGCAGCCTTGATGTAATCAGACCACTCTCCTCCCCTCACACTGGTTTGAAACCTCCAAGACGCAATATACCTTGAAATGTATTGAATTAAATTGAGACAAGTCAAATTTGAAGCATGATTTGCAATGAATCTCCATGTGTATTCTTTAGAACAACGAATAAAAGGTACCATAAGCAGATATGAGCCTTCTGAACGTTATGGACAATGCATCACGGAACACATCCATGCACCTCCATGGCTGACGGCTACTACTCGATCTGTGCTACTCTGCCAGATCCCAAACCCTAGATGTTCGCCACCAATAGAATGATATGTCCCAACGAGAGGATATCTCTTCTTGGATTCCGAGGCCCGGCGCTTGAAATCGTACGAAATATGATTGATCTTGCGTTGGACCACACACGTGCTACTCCCCGGAAGCAGAGTAGCGTACTTTAGTTCCTCGACACGGGACACCCATTCCGCTGAGGTCAAGGCCCTCCTGAAAAACGATCCCATCTCCCTTGCCACTGCGGATTGGCTCAAGTATGTAATCTGTTTTAGGGGTTGAGAGTCCTTCAAAATCTGCAGAAGGTGCGTGAGACCTGGCGATCCAGGGAGAAGCGTCTCTTGATGCTGAGGTCCAGGGTGATGGTCTGCACTGGGATAATCACGCGTTTTGCTACTAGGGGCTCCAGTTCACCATTAACAATTCCAAACAATCTTTTATCGTGGACGAGAAAGACGGTGCGTAGATCATTGAAACAAAGGAGACTAAGCTGGCGTAGCATTTCAGGTTCAAGGTCGAGTCTGACTTGGTAAATTTCCTCTACAATATCTCCCTCTTTCTCTGTCTGACTGGGGACCAAAAGGCGAACATCTTTATCGATAACACAGCAGAGCTTGAGCTCGCCCCTTGACTTTGGATCCGGAATTAAGCAAGATCTGCAGGCTCAATGAACCGCGGAGTTAATCCTCAAAAGCGTTGAAATAGTTTCACAACCATAGGACTATCCATTCCCGGCTCTTTCCCCTTGAGCAAGTGAAGAAGCTGGCCTGGCTTGAATAGCCTAACAGTTCGCCAACCATCTATAAATTTTGTTTACCAGGGAGCTTTCTTTGGATGATCGTATCTCACGATCGTGCCAAAGAGGCCATTATGTTCACCGTTGACGCCAATATCTCGCATGGCCTGTTGTACATACACATCGTGCATGAGCCCGTTGAAGGAAAACCGGGTGTTAATCTCACTTATGCGAAGCCTCTCGTTTCCAGCTTCATTCTGCTCAATGAGAAAGTCAGGTCGCCACGATCCCAAGCGTCCTCTCTAACGGGATAATATAGGGTCAGGCTGAGAATTTATCCACTTTGAGAATCGATTCAATGTTAATACCTAGTGTGTATGTTTTCTCTCACGGGAAGAAAATTCTCGCAGAAGATCCTCCTTTTTTTTCGGTCAATGGCATGCGCTTCGGAGACTGCGCCACCAAAGCTTCATTTGTGTTTTTCATTAGCTCCTGGTGCTGGACGCTGACGAGGATCGGGCATGGACAGCAGCTAGCATGGGATTGGTTGGGCAAGAGCCCTGCAGGACATAGTTGTTGCAATCTGGTGTGAAGTAATTCATGGTCCTGGAGATCGATAAATATATCCGGACTATACAATGTGACAGATTCAAACTTATCTCCATTTTGAGGGACAGGGATTTGCTGAGAACGAGTGACTGTGGGATGCTCTATTTTGCGATGAACAGTTGTACTCAAGATTTCACGCTCGTGACTAAGTATATATAGTCAAAACTGATTGAATGGTAGATTAATGTCTTTTTTTAAAACGACAAAAAGAAAGAGAGAGAAAAGATAGAGCGCCAGAGAACCTAATTATTTCCCACGGTCAGCTACCAGTCACGGTGTGATGCTTGAGGCACTCTCGGCTCCACACCCACGAACGGATCACCGTTGATATAGTACAAATACTAGATCTCGAAATCGGCTGTTTTAGGCAAATAGTAGAACGAGACTCGGAACGAGAAATACTAAAAATGATTACTTGGAGGACAAGTAGAAGGAAAGCACTGTTCAATTCAAGTGGACGAAACTTAGGGAGAAATACGATAAACTTCCTACATTATTGCTTGAGTGATGGTTGAGAGGCCACTCTTTGTGGACGAAATCGTAAGCATACCATTATAACTTCACCCCATCTTACCAAAAAGGGTCACTTACCGCGAAGGCGAATTTAAATAAAAAAATTTATTCCCATACCCTCTGATTACGGCTTTGTAGCGGGTGTTTATGCCAATCATCGACGCTAAACCTAAATGGGTCATTTACCACGAGGTAGATCCACCGAATATACAAAGTCAAAAATCGCGAGGCCTTTGAAAGAATTTCCAAATTACGATATGGAGATACTTAAAGAGACGGAATCGCCCTCAGTCTTCTCCTGCTACATTCTGCACTCCCTTGATAGCTTATGCTATATTTCAACATTCTGTTCCTAAGATCAAAAAGTCACCATGGTTCTCAACCTTCTATCCCGCTCAGCGGATTCATCGATCTCAGCCGGAAAGCGAAACATTGCCATTGCAGAGATTGTGATATTTTCATTTATTCATATCGTTCAGTTTAGTGCAAGGTTCATGCAAGAACAGCGGTACTGGCACCACAACAAGAATAAAAGTATCGGACGATGCGTTCTCTACTCTTGGTGGAGTATGGTCGGTCTTTTGTCGCAGAGTAAGTGATGGAAACTCTCGAAAACTCATTGTTCTGGGCATAAACTCATGATTTACCACAGTTCGCATCGCTGGCTCAGCCTTGGTGCTCGCCACATCCGCTAACTCGCACCCGGACAAGCCAATGCTGATCGCGGCATCTATTTTGCAAAGCGTAGGCCTTTCGCCCCTTATGTTCGAAGTAAGCCTCGTTATGTTAAGAAGGTATGTCTAAAAACTCTAGCAGAGACATTTTGTGGCTCTGGATGATATTGACAGTGTTTTCAACAGTGGACAATCCGGAGAAACTGGACCCGGAAAATCGAAATGGACCAAGTCGATTCGCTTTGCGCTGCACTTCTTCCGCTTCCCCATTTTCATAGCCATTGTTCTGGCCGTGGTGGGAGGGAGTATCAATATGCACTCGTTGGGCGAGGCTGGATCCATTGTTCTGGTGGTCACTTTCGCCTATGTGTGCGGTCTGGTCGCGTGGCTTGCAGTGAAATCCCGATCAATTCTTCCTAAGTCTGGTCACCACGCGGTGCTGCTGACAGTGTTGACTCTGCCCTTCTTGCTGGTCCGAATTATTTATTTCCTGTTGTTGGAGTATGGCCCCCCTAGGTTCAACCCCGCAAATGGTGACGTTGGAATCTTGATTGGAATGGGCCTTTTGATGGAGATCATCATTGTCGTCCTGCTATTCATAGCTCGGGCAGTTGCGGAGCCTGTTTGGCCATCAATTTTTGCCAAGCGCATCGCGTACGACGACCTAGAATCACCTGTAAATTGAGAAAGGCCATGCTTTCCATCGGCGATTGTCAACATAATGGCCCGGCAGAATGACATAGAGAAGGAATGGAGTTTTGTTGATAGCAGTCTTTATTTCAGTTTTCTCTGAATCACAGAACAGTTTTATAATTCTCCGGTTGGGCGGCTGCGTAGGTCTTGGAAAATTGCTCGAGTCGGTTCAAAATCCACGATCTTGTTACTGTATCCGCGATCTCAAACGCCACACGGAGAGGGAACCCCATTCGATACGGGCCCATTACTCCCACACTGTTGTATTCGACTGACATGCAAATTCGATCTCGGAAATAGGCGACCATCATTTCATGATTGCCTGGATACCCACAGGTCTTGAAAATTTCATGAATGATCACCATGTAGGAGTAGTAGCCGCAGTAGATGGTTGCACAGCTCAAATCCGTGTAATCAAGGACAATTGGGTACAATTCGTCTCCCGTTGAGGAAAGGGTCTCAACAGGTGGTGGTGCAATTTGTGAGTATTGCTCGTACCAAATAGCCAATTTTGTCTGCATCTCGAGGGCTTTAGACAGCACTTCAGATATTGTGCGTAAGGCTTCGGCACTGGTCACATCAACATGTTTTAAGTCATAAAGTTTATGCACAAGACTTGGGGCGTATGTGAAGTACGCAAAGAACAATTCGATACTGTGATGCAATTTGGCTGGCAGGTCGGCTGTGAATTGTTGTCTCATCTTCTCATGCCAGTGGTCGGAAGCTAGAAAGCATTCTTCGCCAGAAAACATGGAGTGCATCACCTGTGCAAATATATTAGCTTGCACTTGATGTGTGGAGTTCTGTCTCCGAGACGAAGTCAGAATAGAAGATTCCAGGCTTACAATTAGACCTCTGGACGCTTTGAGTAGTGTAATATCAAGCTCATTGGTATACCTGTCCGGTCCTCGGATTTTAGCTAATTGACTCAGCCCTTTGGCATGTTTCATCCACGACTCGGGGTTCTCAGTGTCGGTGAAAAGCTGTGTCAGGTCAGAATACTTCCGCCGCTCGTCACGCCATGGGGAAAAACCTTACTTCGTACATACACAGCATTACGACTGCACAAAATACATGAGAAGATAGGCTTTCCGCGGGGGTTTCCAAGGACCTTCGAAGTCCATGTAATGCTTCTCCGTATGCTGATCGAGCATATGACACCATTTGCGTGTTTTGAGCTACGCGCCCAAAATGATGTGCTGTGAAAGACCTGATCGTGGCATCCAGAACTCGATTTTGGCCATAAATGGAGGGAAGGAACCCAAGCCATCGGGTCACGACATGTGTCGGGCTAGGTGTATATGGTTGAGAGAAATCGTCTATGAGCGCACAGAGATATTGCATGACATTCAAATCTGTCGAAATGATAATTCGCAGCCCTTCGTTCCGAGCTCGTGCCTGACTGGCAGGCTCAAGCTCTATTTCTGGGCTGGAGGTTGCACTCTGGGCTGTTCTACCGATTTTTCTACCAAGTGAATTGGGTTGACGTCGATCACGGTATGGCTTTCCGGTGACAAACTTGAAGCCCCGATCATATCCAGGGCAAGTCTGCCCATATTTTTCACATTTGACACAACCAGGAAGTCTTTGATCACACTGTGGCGTTTGTTGGTAACGGCGTTGTGGGCCTGTCTAGATGACTCACCTTGACTCGGCGTTTAACACAAAGTGAGCAGCCATTGCTGCGAGGCACACCGACCATCTTTTATCGTAACATCATAAGCATGCATGTACCTAAGATGAGATAATTAGGGAAGTTGACTCGTATACGATGTGATCCCCTAAGGTTTCCAGGTTCTGCTGTGTCAGCAGAACCTGAGAGCGGAAGTGGGCCTAAGGCATTTTGATGCCTTAGGCACTACTTGCTACATGTAAAACTGGGTTTCTCACTAAGCGATACCTTGGCATTATTATGTAATTTACTATTATATACTCGGTGCCTCGGGCATCCAATGAAAACCATCTGATCCTTAAAGTATCACATCTGGTAGCATGTCGTGCAAAGCCTCACCTCCTATGGTGAGCTCAGAGGGGCAAGTAACATGCTAAAAGGGCCACTTGCGCCCCCTGAGACCTGGAAGAAATCATTTCTCCAGGGGCTGAAGCAGCGAGCGATCAGGATGGCCAGCGACATCGCCATCCTGCCCTCGCCTGCTAGAATCCGATCCGGGACCCAAAGGGTGACCCACTATGTGTGCGGCGAGCAGCCGTGGTACTGACGCTCGCTTGCTAACAAACGAGGGCACACATGAAGGGAATCCCTAGGTACCGAAGGATATCGATCACTAAGGGAAAAGTGGAGACCCTTAGTTAACAAGAAGAGGATAGAAAGCCTACTTGCATTTGCTAAGTAAAGCATACCCTCATCGGAACTCCCAAGGAAAACACCAGAAGACCCCTCGCCAAGATGCAAACCGAAGGCCAAAACCAGCATGCGGTCCCATTCAGGCACTCGCTGAATCAAGTCGAGCAAATGGCTTTTGACAGGTTGCCGGTAGCTATGCAGAACATGCAGCTGTTCGCAATGATACCAACGGACGATATGCACCGGGCAACCCAGCACGAGGCGCTGATGACAATGGCCCTGGGAGCGCCACCACCTAATGGCGCCCAGCGAGTCCACACCGGCGTTGGCAGCAAGCTGAAAGACGTGCCGAAGCCTGAAATGTATCGCGGCTCCCAACAAGGGAATGCAGCCCGTCACTGGCTGCGGGACTGCGAGCGATACTTCGAGACGAGAGCTGAACTTGCTGGCGAGGAGGAGGAAGAAGGATACAAGGTGATCATTGGCCGCACCCACCTAGCGGAGACCGCCCTGATCGCCTGGCGAGGCTTGGAAGTGGCCGTAGAGAGCGGCCACATGCAGCGAATCACTACATGGGATGGTTTCAGAGCCTGGATCCTCGAGAATTTCGAGGCCAAGACGGCGGAAGCAGATCGCTACCGCGCATACATCACCCGCTTGCAGAAGTCCGATAACTTCTCGGAATACTTCCGCAAGCTGCAGGAAGCCTCGCTGAACCTACAGCGACCTGCTGATTCCTACAGCTTTATCCTTCAATTGGTGTCGGGGTTGAACCATGAGCTTAGGGCTGAATGGTATAAACTCCAGGACCCGCCGACAGAGGTTACAGAAGTGCATAACCGTCTGCTCGAGCTGGAAAGAGGCTGCAAGGAAGCAGCCAACACGAGAGGCAACCGTTTCTTTAACCGGGGGCGTGGTCAGCAAGCAAGCCAGCCCCGAAACGACGATGCCATGGACCTATCCGCGATGGATAGTAGCACCCGATCCTTCACATGCTATAATTGTAACAAACCCGGCCACCTGAAGCGTGACTGCCGGTTGTTGAAGAAGGAGGGAAAAGCGGAGGGTCAGTAAGCCCTGGCAAGCTTGCTGACCCATTAGGAAAGCCACGTCGGCCTGACAAAGCCGAACGTGATGAGGAACCTCGATTCGCTGTGGTCGAGGCAGAGATCCAGCCGATGGCTGATGCCTGGCAAGTGGGAAGGCCACTAGAGCCAGATGACGAAACAGAGTTACAGTCCCTAGGGACTGAAGAGCAAGCTTCTATGAGGCTAAATGCCCTTGGGAATGAGTTGAACTTCTACGACGGAAAGGTTCAACGAGCGGCGTCGAAGAGTAGCGCGGCAGTGAGGATGCTCCTGGATTGTGGAGCAAGCCACACCTTTGTATCACTCGCCGTAGCTAAGAGAATCGGTGGCCGATGGGATAGAGATAAATCCCTGCCCGTGGCCCTGCCAAATGGAGAGCGACTGTACACAAACGGGAGCATGTTTGTGGACCTCCATATTGGCAAGTGGAGCGGAGCAAAGAAAGTTTGGGCGATAGATATCGCCGGCTACGATGTGATCCTCGGCGATGACTTCCTAAGGGAGCATAGCCGGTACGTTAGCTTCCCAGAGAGGAAGATGTGGCTCGCCGATGGCCGAGGAGGACAGATAATGGTCGAGGGCGTGAATACCCGCGCTCTCAAACGGGAGCAAGTGGGCAGCCTTAACCTGCTGTCTAAAAAGGATTGCCGCCGCGCTATGCGAAGCGAGCAAACGGAGATGCTCTTATTCATAGTGAAGGCAAACGAGCCTGAGCCCCCTCCCGAAGACCAGCGAATTCAACAACTCCTTAATGAATATAGGGATGTCTTCCCGGACGAGTTGCCACAGGAATTGCCACCGAAGCGGCAATTCGAACATCACATCGATACAAGGGGCGCTGACCCCGTAAACCAGCCTGCTTACCCGCTGCCAGCGGACAAACTGGCAGAGCTGAAGCGGCAGGTAAAGGACTTGCTGGACCGCGGGCTCATCGAGACGTCGTCGAGTCCGTGGGGATTCCCGGTCATCTTTGTGAAGAAGCCGGAGGGCGAGTGGCGCATGTGCATCGACTACCGCGCGCTGAATGAGCTGTCGGCCAAGAATGGGTATCCCATTCCCAGAATTCAGGACCTACTCGACATCGTGGGGCGAGCTAAGTATTTATCGAAGATCGACCTAGCTTCCGGGTATTGGCAAGTGATGATGGCAAGCGGATCAATGGACAAGACCGCTTTCAACACACTATGGGGCAAATACCAATGGCGAGTGATGCCATTTGGCCTTTGCAACGCACCAGCTACATTCCAGACAATGATGAATGAAACATTACGCGAATTCCTCGGAGAATCCGTGGTCGTTTACCTCGACGACATCCTTATATTCTCAGGGACCCTGGAGGATCACTACCGCCACTTGCAGCAAGTGCTCGAATGCCTGCGGAAGCAGAAGCTATATGGCAAGCCGAAGAAGTGCGTTTTCGCTACCAAAGAATTAGAGTTTTGTGGGCACATCATCGGAGATGGGAAACTCCGACCCATCCCCGAGAAAGTGGGGGCTATCACCGAATGGCCCCGGCCACAGAATGCCCACGAAGTAAGGAGCTTCCTAGGGCTTGCCACATATTACCGTAGATATGTAAAGGGCTTCGCCAACATTGCAGCGCCACTGAGCGACTTGCTGAAAGAGGAAGACGCAGAGGTGCGCAAACGCAGGTTCAGGCCGATCCATTGGACTGAACGCTGCGAGATAGCATTCCAGAACCTCAAAACAGCGCTGACGAAGTATCCGGTCCTGATTCAACCCGACGTTACGAAGGCATTTACCATTGAAACGGACGCCAGCGAGTGGGCGATCGGCTATGTGCTGAGCCAGATTGCTGAAGATGGCAAGCTGCACCCCGTCTCCTTCGATGGTCGTAAACTGCAAGGAGCAGAGCTGAACTACCCAGTTCAAGAGAAGGAGCTGCTTGCTGCTAAAGAAGCTCTGCGAGTGTGGAGCCGTTTTGTGGATATTGACAATGGCTTGCCGACAACGGTGATCACGGACCACCAAAGTCTCCAATATCTAGCAACAACAAGGGTGTTTAGCAAACGACTTGCTCGCTGGATTGACGAATTCCAGGATAAGCACATTAAATGGAGATACCGGCCAGGCTCGGAGGCCATCGTCCCTGACGCTATAAGCCGCCGGCCTGACTTTATGCAGGATGTGCCGGCAAATATCGCACAGAATCAACCCCTATGGGGCGCGCTCGCATTGGTGGCGACCGTGGGCGGGTTCGACGAAGCAGCATGGTATGCTGCAACGGTTAGCTACTTGCTAGAAGGCAGCTTGCCGGAAGACCGTAAACTGCTCCGTTGGGTGAAACGTTGGGCCAAACAGTTGGCGACACAAGAGGCGGATTTGCCAATGAACGCAAGCAAGGAAGAGAACACTCGCTTGCTGTTTCGCCACGCGAACGGGGTGACGGCCCCTTATTTAGAGCCGCCATTCCGGGAAGAATTCCTGCGCAGAATGCACGAGGAATACGGCCACCTAGGGCACCCGGGCCTGCAAGGCGTCATTGCCGGCCGGGCATGGTGGCCCTCGATGAGAAAAGACATCGAGGAAGTGGTGCGCACTTGCCCGAATTGCCAAGTATCGCAAAAACGGAACCTCGCATTCGAGCGCGAATCGAGGCACTATTTGGCAAGCACGGGTATCAGGCCATTTGAACGCTGGGGAATCGACCTAATCGGCTTGCTACCGACGACGCCAAACGGCAACCGCTGGATCGTTACAGCAATCGATTACGCAACCGGATGGCCAGTTGCTGAGGCCTTGAAGGATGCCACCCAAGAAGCACTTGGGCAATTCCTTTATGAAAGGATATTTGTGGCATTTGGCGCACCGAAAGAACTGCTATCGGATAATGGGACCAACTTGCTATCCGATGGGGTGAGATACTTTGTCAACTTGCTGAAGGCTCGACACCGATTAACAACACCGTACCACCCCCGGACGAATGGGAAGGTGGAGAACCTGAATGGGTTGTTGGGCAAGATGCTGTCCAAATACCTCATGGGCAAGCCCACTCGGTTGTGGGACGAATACTTGCCACAGGCCCTATTTGCTGCGCGGGTCCGCGAGCACGCCATAACGGGGTCGAGTCCATACTACCTGGTATATGGCCAAGCGCCGTGCTTGCCAGGGGATGACAAAGGGATCCAGAAAGGCGACGATGTCGCCGATATCGACAAACGAATCTTAGCGGTAAATCATGCTCGGTCGAGAGCGAACGAGGACTTGCTGTACAAAGCAATAAGAGCCGCAAAGATACAGGATGAAAATGTGACCCATAAGCATGGATCGCTTGCTGAAGGCACTTGGGTGCTCGTACGGAATGAGGCCAAACAGAAATTCGAGTCTAATTGGTTTGGTCCATACCAAGTGATCAGAGCGAACCCATTGGGCACATATGCACTTGCTGAGCCGGGAGGGCGAGTCCTACGGAACCTGGTGAATGGGAGACGGCTCGTGGAGGCACACGTCACCAAACCAGAGCAGATGTGGACATCCTCGGGCGGCAAGTGGCACCTTCGTCGCCAAGGCGAGAAGGTGACCCACCCGTTTGATGGCCGACTAGCCACCGACAGCGACTCCGAAACACCGCCCAGCTATATCGAGTTGTCGACGATTTCTCGGAAGGAATGGGAGCAAATGATCCGCTCAGGTGTGCGGTCTCGTTTGGTGGGGGAGGAAGAAGCTGTGCGACAGGTCAGAAACAGGGCGATACAGAACGCACGCAAGCAGGGCTCGCTTGCTAGGACTGACCAGATCGTTCGCCAGCAAACGAATACAGGAATCCTCGCCGGGAATCAAGGCGAGACGGAAATCCTTGCCGGAAACCAGGGCAAGAAGGACCCTCAAAAGGGTATGAGAGCAGCTGAAAGCTGCCGGAAGGGGTGGCCAGCGACCACCCAAGAAAGAGTACCTGTTCCACAGAGAGCAGAAGAAGTCAGCAACGACTTGCCAAAGGAGATCCCATCGAGACGATGGAAGGGACCGACGATACCGAGTCCAGGGAACCTGCGCAACAAGCAGATGAGATCCGGAATGTGATCGAGGAAGCCGATAAGGAGGTGATGCCACCGAGTATCGGCCAAGACGGCGATGGCCCGGAAGCTCAGTATAGCTTCAGGCATCGTAAAGGAAATCCCATCGAGATGATGGAAGGGCAAAACGACTTGCCAGAAGAGATCCCCATCGATACAGTGATGGAAGGGACCGAGGATGCCAAACAAGAGTCCAGGAAGCCTGCCCAACAAGCAGATGAGATCCGGGATAGGATCGAGGAAGCCGATGAGGTGATACCACCAGACATCGGCCAGAATGACGATAGCCAGGAAGCTCCGTACAGCTTCAGGCATCGCAGGAGGTGGCCGCCAGGGATGGTGAGAAACTAGCTGGCAAGTACTACGGATACAGGTTCTACTGCTACGAGGAAACGAAGCCGAAGGCAGCAAATAAGAGTATTCAATTTGGAAGAGGACAATAACAAATCACCGATCCCACAAGCGAGCACCAAACACCAGAGTCACCAGAAACAGAAAGCTTAAGCCTCATCAATATCCATTGAATCCTTCTCCTCGCCAATGGCATCCCAGGCAGCAGATCTGCTAGCAGCAACTGCCATGTCGCGACGACGCTGTGACTGGATTTGCCAAAGGAGCAAGTCGTAGTCGCGGTTAGCGGCAGCGAGGTCGATGGCAAGCTGAGCACGGCAACGATCGATCTGCAAGAGAACCTGCTCACGGCCTGCAAGCGGGGCAGCGAGCAAATCATCTGTCAAGAGACTATGATAAGCGGACGCAACGGCCGAAGCCGGGGTAGAAGGTGCCTGAGGAGTTGCTGGAGCAGCAGTAGGAGTGGCTGGAACAGCGGTAGGAGTTGCTGGAGCAGCAGCGGGGTGGATAGGGAGATCAACCTGCTGGCGAGGAGCAACAGGAGTTGCCGGAGCAGAGGCGATGGTGTTGGTCGGCTCCCAGACAAAGGAGGGGACATACTTCTGGAAGTAGGAAAGGGCCCAAACTGGGCAATCATCGCGGAACGAGCAATGCTTCGCACTTCCAGAAAACACACAACACATGCACGCACCCTTGGCAATCACCATCCCAACATCATCACTCACGCGGTAGAAAGCGGCAACGCGGCAGGAAGCAAACGCACAAGCATCAGGATTTCGCAAACAGCGACCACACTTGCTAGCATTAGGGGGCACAACCATACCAAGGCATTGGCCTAAGATGGCACTAAAATAGTTGCGGGCATCCCGAGGGGGAGAGCGAATATTCACCACACCCGAAATGTCCACACGCCAATCCAAGGAGAAGAAAACACCATTTGCCACCCTGACCTCCAAGCGCCTGGCCAAATGACCTGCCACCCCGGAAGAAACATTTGCTAGGATGGGCTGCAGGTAAGGATCCAAGCAGTCAGGCAGAGAGTTGTCACCCGTATCCTTGTTGTAGAAACGGGGCGGGGCGACGATGTCAGTCTCGGTGAGCGAGTCCTGATCATCGGAGGAAGGGTCATTCACCGCAGCAAACGACATGGTCTATCACCCAAGAAGAAGTCAGTAACCAGCAAGTGAGGGGAGCAAAGAGGGGTACCACATACCAAAGATGCGTCAGAACGCGCTGGCTTCACTGTAGGAGGGAGCAGGTTTCACTACAGTGGGAATGAAGCTCACGAATGAGTTGGGAAAGTGGATGGTGGAGAGAGAGAGAGAGAGAGAGGAAAAGAAGAAGTGCGAAGGTGAGGGAGAGGGCTTCTTATATACCCCCAAGACCCCAAGATAGCCAAACACCCAATATGTGCCAACAGAACACACGGTTGCCAGACCTCAGTCAACTCTCACTCTCATTGGCCCAGCCAGAATGCCAAATGGGCAACAACACCACAGAGGGCTGGCAAATTTGCTCAGAAGTGAGCCCTATCACCACCAACAAACACCCCCATTGGCCAGTCAGGCCAGCAAACAGAGACAAAAATAGGCACCAGCGGTGCTCAACAAAGAATGGCAAGTAGCAAACTTGTCGAGAGATACGCTCACGGTCGCGAGCAAACAAGGGCAAACTGATTGCCAGAATCTCACCATCGGGGACCTTGACGATATTTCCTATTCTGGAAATCTGGAGGCTTCAGGGTTGCTCCGAGGGCGGTGAGCAACGGCAGGTGGGGGAGGCTGTGATCCCCTAAGGTTTCCAGGTTCTGCTGTGTCAGCAGAACCTGAGAGCGGAAGTGGGCCTAAGGCATTTTGATGCCTTAGGCACTACTTGCTACATGTAAAACTGGGTTTCTCACTAAGCGATACCTTGGCATTATTATGTAATTTACTATTATATACTCGGTGCCTCGGGCATCCAATGAAAACCATCTGATCCTTAAAGTATCACAACGAAGGGGGGGGGCCTGTCACGTGCTAAGATATTTGAGGTACAGCCTTTCATTGGTTGAACCGTCATATTTCACTGAATTGCTAAATCGGAGTACACTGTACCTAGATATAACAGGTATGAACAAAGATATGGACATAATACCAAATAAAACTAGAAACAAGCAATCGTGGCGGACGACGGTACTCTCTCCCCCAAGCATAATCACGCAAGTAATACCAAGGAATAACCATCACACCATCAAACGGAACATGCATCCATCCTACATCTTCCAAGGTGCACCCCTCGATTGCCTCCTGTTCCTCCTCCAACCTCCCCCCCCCCCCTCGTACGGATCATACTCCTTCCAATACCCCTTAATGAGGCGCACAAACCCTTCCTCATCAGCGAGAACCGAGTCTAACACGTCCTGCGTAACCTGAATACAGTATAAGTATCGTTCCGACATTGCCGGGCCGGTGCCTTGTTCCTGCTGCGCTGCAGTCGCCGCCCACCGCTTGAAATGCTCCCTAACCACCGCCGTAGCGGCCCCGTTAAAACTCGAATCCTCAAACACGGTCACAGCTAGATTATCAAGTAAATCAAGGCCCCCCTCTCCTTCTAGTGTCTTCTTAGTGTTAGCGAGTAGACGACGCATAAATTCCTCCCAGAGTGCGTTGCTTTCGTAAGTACACCGGTAGAGGACGAATCCCCAGGCACGATGGCCGTCTTCGTGGAGATATTGCTCGATTTGGTCAGCAATGTTGAATCGGGCGTTCCTGTTCGGGATGCGTGGAGACAGGTTCTGCACGGGGTGGAATTGAGCAAGACGAGCGTGTTTTTCCAGCTGGATTTGGAGGTTGGGAGTAGTATTTGCTGTGGAACAAGGTTGAGGTTGTAATGTTCCGATACCGGTTTCTTTGCCTAGGGAACGTAGGCGACGCGACAACAGGGGAGATGAAGTTTCGGAATGCCCTAGGTATACTCCTAGCAATACTCATTCCTACATGTGAGAAGGAAAGTCAAGAATACAAAACATGGGTACCTAGCTATGTATAAAAACCTAGTTATACAATGCTATCGGCAAAATGCCCCTCATACTTGTCTTTATTTTTGCATACATTTTATGTAGACAAGATACATCACTTCTAATAGATAATTTATAACTGGTTATTATATACATCCACATACATGTATTTATAGTCGTATGGTTAGATTGACTCGTATAAAAATGCAGTCAAATGGGGTGAACACGAACCATAGAAAGCCGTAGTTTGGATCTATTTGTTTTCGCCTTAGGCATTCTATAAAGAGCTCTATCCACTCATACTCTGCAAAGTGTCCAGTGTTTCAAAGATACATGTATATAGTATACAATATTATGCTAAGAAGTCCGTACTGCGTAAATAGAATAAAAAGGGGGGTTTCAGCCAGGTAAAACACTAAATTAAGAGATTAATATGAAGTCACCTGTTGCAGAAAGATGAAGCCCCTGAAAAAAGTAAGGGCCATTGGCCTAGTGACGCTAACGTATACTAGCGTGATGTATGTAATGGTTTCTGGAATCTCCAGGGCTTTCTCCAATCTGTTGTCCTCTTTAATATTTTCAATTCTTCTCTTTTGACGCGTTTGAACTGGGACATGCAGTGGGATCTGCCGCTATCCGATTAGACTGTGCAGTCCCACCGATTTTATCCCAATCCTGGAACCCCTGTGCTCTACACGCGTTTTCCCCCTCAATTCCCCTTCGACTGACGTACCCTGTATCATGTCCGATAACAACCCTCACCACCCTGGCGTACGCAGCTTGCTAGCCAAATTCGAAGGCCAGAGCCCCATCGCCTCCCCACCATCTCGCGGCCGATCCCCAGCTGCTTCAGATTCCTCCGGAACAGCTCGACAACTATCGAAAGTCCGCGCCAGCTTCGTCACCGTTGATGGTGTTATCCAATCGAATCCTGCTTCGCCTTTGAGGAAAACAAGTGGGCGCAGTGACAGTCCTGGCATATTTGGACCGAAGATCAATTCAGTGGAGGCGGAGGCGGAGTCGGGCCGACAGACTATGGTTTCTCCTACTCCGGCCAGTCCCCTAGAACACACTCAGAATGCGACTCTAGCACAGATAATGGCGGATAGCCGGCCAAAACAAGACACCAAAACAAAGGGCGAATTGGATCAAGCTTCCAAGGGAGAACCTGCGCCACATACTGAAAGAGCACCGAAAACGCGAGACACTCCCCCGAAGAAGGCAGAGGCTGTCTCTGCTGGACCCAAGTCGGCAAACTCAGACAATCTCTCACAGAAATCGGATCCATCTGGAAAGAAGCCTTCTTCGGTTGGCTCTGCCCGTAATGTAGCAAGCAAGCACAGTGCAGCTGCAGCGCCTTCAACTACCAAGTCCATCCCCAGCAACACGAGCGCCAAACCATCGGCTCGTGAAGTGGCCAAAGAGCGCTCCAACTCGTTGGCCCACAAGCCGAGCCGTGTCTCGCTGAACCCCAAGCCAATGGCACGATCAACCCGCGGTTCAACCCCCGCCCAAGAAACCGCAAAGCCACCAGTCGCAAGTGCGTCCACCAAATCAGGAATGAAATCGCCAACCAGGCCTGCTCGTGTATCTAATTCGATGGCTGCACCAACACAACCATCTGCCGGGAAGGCGGGAACTGCAGGTGCTCCAAGCACTCGCACCACCACCACCACTACTTCAACCCTTCACCGAAAACCTTCAACCCTGAAGAGCGCAACTGGAGGTCAGCGTGAACCTACTCCTGCCATGAATATTCGCAGGCAAGCATCACGTCCTTCGCTGCCCGTTCAACCGCCCAATGATACCCAGCCTAAGCAAGTCAACGAGGGGTTTCTCGCAAGAATGATGCGACCTACGGCCAGCTCTGCTAGAAAATCCCAGGCACAGGAGGAGGCCGACATGAAGCCTGCAACAAAGACAGCCGCTGCCACCAAGGCCCCCAGACCCTCGGTTGGAAGAGTCGCAGACCGTAGCGCATCGCAAGTGAAGCCTAAGAGCACCACTTTGCGACCCCACAGTGAGAAATCTCAGGCTTTGAACAAGAATCCCGTGCCACAGAAGGAGGGATCTAAGCCTCCTCAAAAGGAGCAGGAGAACGAGAAGGAGAATATCGCCGAGCCTACGCCAGTCAGTCCAAAGGAAGCCGTCCCAATGAAGCCCGCTCAGGCAGCCGTTGCGAAACCTGTTGAAGCTATTGCAGAGCATGTTGAAGAGCCTGCTGCCTCTACTAATGTGGAAGTGCCTACCGCAGAGGCCGCCGCTGAGTCAAATGAAAAGAGAGTGGAAGTTTCTGAGCCCTTCACCGAGGAGGCACCGGCTAAGGATTCTGCGGACTCCGTCCCATCCGAGGAAACTCCGGAGGTGCTTGCTAAGACAGACTTTCCTGCTGAAGCCCATATCGAGTCCATTCCCGAGGAAGCTGAAGAAGAGAAGGCCGCGAAGACTGCTGCTACAGATGAGCCGGAACACCCCAGCCCAGCCCAGCCTAAAGAAACCGCCGAAGAGCCAGTGATGACTCTGGACTCCGCTTCTGACAATGAAGCCGAAATCTCCGAGAAGCAAGAGATTGTCGTGCCTGAACTCGATGTCGCTCAGACTTTGGAGTCAAAGGATGTCCCGGTCGAGGTCTTTGAGAAGAAGGACGAGACAATCCATGAGCCTTTGGCGGCGCACAATAAGAAGAACACGACAGAGGATGGGATTTTCGAGGAAAAGTCCATTGAGGCCAAGTCCGAGGAGCCTATCCCTGCTGTGCGTCCTGCCACTGAGGCCGAATCCAGCAATGTCGCCCTCGACATTACCAATCTGGCCTTGAACTGAACTGTCTGCATTATCAGGCATGCACCACAATTGTCTAGTATTGAATCACTTGCCGCCTCTTCTGACGGCTTTTGGTCTAACATTTTAATACTCTGATCATACCCTTGTCTACTCTTCTGCCTCGCCAAGTGTGAGTCTTTTTTTCCTAGTTTGAGCTTGTCCTCGAACATTTTAACCATGCATCTCCCAGTTGGTTCCTCTTTTCTATATGCTAGCATCTTCACATTTTCTGTGCTGGATTGTCTGTTTATCATTTTTCCCTTGCATTCTCTGTACCGATTTCGTGAGCATATTTTTCTTGGCGCTTAGGGCATTATCAAATTTAGCATCTTGTTTCCATCAATAAAGCGGGGTGCAAAACTTATATATCATGTTCTTGATTCATCTAGTAGTCGCCTCAATTGCATTATCCAACAGGCTAAACAATATGGACAGGAAGAATTGGGTTGAAAGCCCCAAGATACTCGTATAGGACTGCTCAACAGCCACCTATTAACAGCAAACGCTTCAACATAAAATGATCATGGCCAGCAAAGATCCTCCAAAATCCATGCAAAATGCAAATTTCCATGTACCCATCCCAAGAAACACTCAGAGCTTCCTCTCAAGTTTCTTTAAAAACCTATTCACGCCACCCTCCAGCCGCTCCGCCTTCTCTTCCAATTTATGCGGCCGCTGTCCTGGGTTCTTCATAGCTTTCTTTGCGTATTTCTGATAATGAGATGCAGCCTCGACTTCATTGGGCCGGTAAACCTGACTATGGATATCATATTCTGAGCCCGGACGCTGCGGCTGCTGCGCAGGAGTCTGATCGTACGAGTAGTTCGAGAACCCGCCGATCGGAACGGGAGTCTGATGCTGACGCAGCTGGGTCTGTGAACCACTGTAGACATTGTGGTCGAAGAAATGGGCATTTGGATCCTGCGGCGGAGGTGCGAAAGACATCGAACCCTGTCGGCCGCTCGATTGCTCTCCCTGGCCGCTGTGGGAATACTGATATGATGAAGGTATCCCAGGGCTGTGGATTGACTGTGTAGGGGAGAAAGTGTTGGAGTAATGGATGCCGGCACTGGGCGGGGGAGAGGCGTAGGCCGGCGGTGCTCCGTATTGCAACCCTGGGCCTGGGTTTGAAGGGGGAGGAGAAGCGTATGCGCCCATGCCTACTGCGCCTCCGTTCATCTGCTTGGGATTGGAAGGTGTGTATGGGACGCCATTGTCGGCTGCCACTGCGGCTGCGAGGCCTGTGCCGTCCATGCCGTCTTCTGGTGGTGGGGTTTTCTCGCGATATTGGATTGGCTCTGGAGCTGCTGGGGCGGCCGGGTTGTATGGTAGCGGGGCAAAGCTTGCTGGGTCTTTCTTTCCTTCGGCGGGAGAAGATCCATTGCTGGGCTGTTGCTCGGCTGGGGGGCCGCTTGGAGGTGGCGGCGGGAAGCTGCTGATTTGCGGTGGTCCTTGGGCAGCTGGTACTTGTTTTGCTGGGTCGGTTCTGGAATTACGGGTTTGGCCATTCTGGTAGGCTGGATCGGAGACTGCAATGGTCTCGAGCTGCTGGACTACAGAGCTCATGGGTTGCTCAGCCTGTGGGGCTGGTTCTCGGTCCGTCTCAACCTGGGAGCTCGACAGAATTGGTATAGCTGCATCCAGGAACTGGGTTGCATCTTCCAGGCCCCAGAAGTAGATGTCCAATGTATGCAGACGGGGAAAATCCCGGAAATTATTGGAACCTTCGCGTTTGTCTCCACTAGGCAGACGCCATTCATGTTGGGGTGGATCTTGTTGTATCCGCTGCTGTTGCTGGGGCGAAGCCGTGTGTGCATCAACGGTTAGTGTACAGAGAGTTGGGAACTGAGAGGAATGGCGTATATGGACATTGTTCAAATTTCCGCAAAACGCATCCTGTTCAGGTGATCCAGGATTGTTGGCAATCTCAATTCGGGCCTTATTCTGAGAGGCATCATGGTAAATATAAAGATATGAGCCTTTATCAAAGCGGTGGTGATAGGGTAAAGGTCTTCGGGTTGGCTCTGTGAAGTAGTAATGAATATCGGCGAACCTAGTTCTACTGTTAGACAAGCTTCGAAGACTCAAATACAAGGATGTCAATCTGCGGGGAAATCAGTCTTCACTCACAAAGTGACAAGGCGTTCTTCGCCTTGTAATGGCGGCATGATGTAGAGTAAGAAAGGGAATTTACACGGCAAAAGGCACTGTTTAGAAAGGAAGAAGAAGAGAGGGGACTAACCTCTATATTTATTTATTCTAATTTTGCGCTGAGGGGTTATCCTGTGAGACGCCAACGTTCGCCAATGCAGAGGTGGGCGCTTAAAGCTACATGATGTGATGAGATAAATAGTACTAGTACCCGGGCGTTACACACATCAGCTGTGGGCGGGAAAGTATCGGGTACCTGGCCACGACCAAGACCCCGGAAACATAGTTTCTCCGAAAATTTCCATCCCAAATAATCGCATTGCTAGTGCTGCATGACCTCCTGTTGTTGTCTTTGCTACGCCGGACAATTGCAGTCAAGCATTGTGACAATCAGTTAGTTATCCTATTTTCGTCAGGATAATTCTACCTTTCTCCACCCCCAGTCTACAACCGATCACACCCAACTTTCTTTCTTCCCCGAACGGCCGTCGGTAGGGCCTAATTGCTACCGTCGCAAATTCAACATGTCTCTCGTCAATCTCTCCCACGCTGTGTCCCACCTGAACAATGCCACCGGGGCCCGTCTCGCTCTCACCTCCATCACCAACAGCAATTTGCACCTCAAGCTTTCCCTCGCTCTCCGAAACTCCGGCTACATTTCCTCGGTGGTCCGCGGAGGCCCTACTCCTCCCCCCGCTCATCCCATCCTTGGCTACCCTGCTGCCAATGATGAACTTGAAGGAATTGAACCCATAACCCGTGATAATGTCGCCTCAAGGCGGTTGTGGATCGGTCTGAAGTACTGGCAGAACGAGTCTGTCCTTGGCAAGATCAAGATGGTCAGCAAGCCCACCCGCCGGGTCCACATCGATGTGGAAGGATTGCGCCGAGTTGTGCGTGGTGAAGATTCCGGGGTCGTGGGTGGACTTCGGTCCCCCGGTGAGAGTATCTATCTCTCCACAGACATCGGCATCCTCGAAGCTCGCGAGTGTGTCGAGAAGAAGACTGGTGGGCTAGTCCTGTGTCGCGTGCTCTAGATCTTTGATTTTTCTAGCGGCTTCAGGCACCCTGATTCTGGGGCGTGGATTTGCCCACCGGGGAGTTCTCTTTTCTTTTTTTGCATCTACTTTGGAGTTCGTCGGTTAGTCGCAGCGCTGTCTCTTCTCGAGATTCGTCCTTTTGTGACTGTTGGGATAATACCTAGGTCAAGGATCTGTATATTAGATGTCTGCGTGTATCTCACATTCTGTGTGCTCTGCTGGTAATTTTGCGGCTGCCTTCAATGTGACATAGTGTATAGATTATGACTTGAATTTGCTTATGCTCGTCCTTCATACTGATCTTGGACATATCCTTTGGATAGGTATACCCCAGCATAATATGTAAGCAGGTAGTACTGCGACTGTCGGCTTTAATCTTGGTGGTCATAGAGGAGCTTTCCACCCAGTCATGGAACTTTTAGTAATCTATGCACCAGACAGGTCTCCTCCAGCACTTCCGTTGTTTTGAATTCGAGAAAAATGATAACCGACAGGCCTCGCGGCCATGGACCTAGGTGTGGAAGACGATGGGTATTAGCCTATGGCGATAAATGATGCTGTGGAACGAGAAACTCGGCCAGAATCGACGACCATGCCAATCAACTGGCCAGGACAATAACACCATCAATTGAACCTGAGGTAAGGGGAGGATACAGAGATGAGAAATGGAGAGAGAAAACATAGAGGGTGCACTCCATCACATTCATTATGTATATTTCTTATGTATGGGCATGGGTATGGGTCCGTGGGTTCCGTCCCACTACACCTCGACTAATTTCTTAGTCCAACTCATCAGTCTCTCTACGTGTTGAGCCGGGCATCAAATTGACATTCAACGAAAACATGGCTGAGCCCCAAGGTACCAAGCGCACGCGAAACAACACTATTGGTGAGGCATGTGTCAACCCTAGTGGAAGTGAACCTATGGCGCCCCAAGCAGCAGTAGAAGATGCCTCTGAGTTGGTTTCATAGCTCAGTGCGCAGACCGTTTCGGAAATTCTCACACGAGCAGCGCAAACCCACCCAGACGTTTTTATCCATGATAGAGGACTCAATTTGTAGTGTGCGCGAGCAAGAGCGAGTTCGTGTCATCAACTTCGACCATTATTCGAAGTCGGTGTGGCATTCGATCAACACCAGATACAAATCCATGTGTGGTTCGGCGCAGTACGACATGGCATTCGATGTTGTTAAGGACATCCTTAGTACCATTCGAACCATTGTGGGTTGTTGTAGCCCATATTCATCCATCCCCTCAGACGCGTCTCAACGGCCTTTCCGTGCTACGCAAGGTTGGAGAGACCATTGCACTATCTTCCAACGATTTGATTGGTCACGAGGTGTAAAATCAATTCCAATCAGATAATGCTCTTGTTGATGGAATGCTCTTGTTGATGGAATGCTCTTGTTGATGGAATGCATGAGATTATTGAAATGCCGATCTATCATGGATCAGTCAGACACAGAAGAGCTGTACCCAAAGTTGCAAGAGCTGGAAATGCCAGCAAGGATGTTGCATTTTTGAAGGACTAGACGAGGTCCTAGTTAATTTGAAGTATTACGGTCACCTGGAGGATGACGATGCAGGAGATGATGGAGAGGAATCTAAGGACGAAAACGAAGAAGATGGTGGCGAAAAGAACCTTTGATTACATCTGCCAAAATAAAGTTGGAACTAATATCACTGTCTAGCTAAACTGAATGACAAAGAAGGAAGAACCTGTATGAATTATCAAAAAAAAAACATATCTGGTCATTATGATGTTGTACAACTTTTGCGGTAGACCAATGGGTCGGAGTTCCCCCCATATTGGACCCTTGCTGTTTCTGTTTCTTACCTAGGTACGACCACTTTCCTTCAACAATGACTGAGATATCAAAGAAAATTCTGATCACTGGCGGCACGGGGTTTGTAGGCTCCGCCATAGCGCGAGCTCTTGCAGAAAAACACCCGAGATGTACCATCACCGTCATCGACGCAAGTCCTCCAAGAAGCGAAAATGTGCTCCCAAAAGGGATTTCATGCATGCAAGTGGATATCACTTCAGTTGCGGCATCGAGAAAGGCGTTTGAGACAGTAAGCCCAGATGTTGTTGTCCACACTGCCGGCATCATCCCTGGCGTAGCTGAGCGGTTCCGCCGCAGACTTGAACCCGAGACATGGAAGACCAACGTTGAAGGCACACGCAATATGCTCAACGAAGCTAAGCAGGCTGGTGTTGAAGCCTTTGTTTACACGAGCTCTTGCTGTGTGGTGACTGATTATACGGACAATCCATATCCCAACATTGACGAAAACTGGCCTTCATCACCTAAGTCGACCATTTATGGAGAGTCTAAGGTTGGGATCATACGACACACTATCTTGAAATAAATGTGTATGCTAACACACTCTCATACGATAGGCTGCTGCAGAAGCGCTCGTCCTCGAGGCCTCGAGCAGTAGGATGGCTACATGTGCCCTTCGGCCATCGGTACTTTGCGGACCAGGGGACTACCAGCTGTTGCCATCTATCCATGCATGCATCGCCAAGCACGAAACTCCCTTTCTAATCGGCGATGGTCTCAATTTGTGGGACATCACATATGTTGACAATGTTGCCGACGCGCATGTTCTGGCAATAGAGAATCTGCTCTCATCTCGCACAGCAACTGGTGAAGCCTTCTTCATTCAAAACAACGAGCCTATCACATTTCGAGACTTCTGCCTAGCAATTTGGGCGCATTTTGGGCATGTGCCACTCTTTGAAATGCGTATCCCGGAGAATTTAGCCTATGTCATTGGATTGGCATGTGAGAGTGTCACCTGGGTGATGGGAACTACGACAACTTTGAGCCGTGGAAGTGTCCGAGATGCATGTGCCGTTAGATATGCTAGTGGCAAAAAAGCTCGGGAAATTTTGGGGTACGAGGCCCGCATTGGTATTGAAGAAGCCATCCGTTTAAGTTGCGAGGTAAGCAGACGTCGGTGGATTTCCGTTGCTTTTCATGCTCATCAACCCTTAGGACTATGCTTCTTGTCTCAAGGTCTCAAAATGAATCCAAAAATGTTGAACCGAAAGCATTTGAAATGCAACAAAGTGGCAAAAGTGTCATAGAGATTGAGATAGAGTTTCTATGACAAGTTTTGGCCAGGGATGTTCAACGACCTGAGAAAGAATCCGATCATTATGATTTTCTTGGGGCTTGGGGGGGGCGCTTTCGGTTCAGATGATTTCATCATACTTCCCACAGCCGTCTATGTTATTGATAACATCCCGGTTTCAATGTCATTGGGCTTCCAGTTGGGCTGAAAGGTCAAGGATAAATTACCATTGACTGGAATCTTTCCACAATTAGGAATAATGTTCATTCTGTACAAGATTGGAGTTTCCCCTCTGTGTTTCACCCGGATCTCCAAAACAGAGACATGGTCCATGCGGCTTATTGGTATTGGGCCTGAAAAGCCCGAGTGCCCAACGCACAGCAATCTTCTTCACGGGATTTTCACATCGCCTCAACGCTCAGCTCATATTACGTTTCTTCTAGGACCTTCGAGAGGCGCAGATCATATCCTTCATCTGCACATTTGGGTAGCTATAGGTCAACGATATCCTAAGTCGAACAACCCCAGGCCCTTGCGTTTTCTACCCAACATGCATATTGCTGCCCGAGAGTACCCCCCGATATGACTGTTGAATGGCGAAAGTGGCGCGGCACGCAGAACACTGGGGTTTATCACCCTAAAATCGTGAAGATCGAGACTTTGACTGTGGTTGCCGTCCCACCCAGAATGATGCCGCATGCATCCACAGTGCCTCAGTGCTTCAACTGCCAACGGACTTCGTACACCGGTCCCATTCTTGATCGATCGAGATCTTCCACGTACTCAGCACGGACAGTTCCCGGGTTGGGTAGCTCCATTGGTCTGCACGGAATCGAATTTCCAGGCAACAAAGGCCTCATCTCCATAAGTTACATATCCACTAACGCCACTGGTGTACATCCCTCTAGCGCGGCTCTCAATCCACTTACGTTGCCGTTGCATAAACTCTGTAGGCTCCGATCCTCCCTCCCCCCTTTGTCAGGCATATGCACCAATCTTTTCGGACCAGGTTGAATTGCTTTTCAAAAGAACTATAATACACACTCTTTGCTCATCTGTGGATTGACCCAACGATTCAGATTGATATTTTCTTCTTCCTTCGAATCATATGTTATATTGTTAGGTCAGACTGCAATATAGCCCTGTCATACTTTCTTCATGCTTCCAGTCCTTCCTCACCCCTTCACGGCTGGATCAGCCCATCCATTGTCATTTCCAGCAAGCCTCGGTTCTTGTGCAAGCTCAATCAACGCCAAATTAGATTCTTGGTCTCGCCATAGGTCAGCAACATCAGTCATTGCCACTTCCTTTCCTGGTCCCTTGTCGTGTCTCAACATACCCGAAGTTCCGAAGCTCATTATCCGTAGCAGCACCATGGCCCAGCATCCCATGTACGCAACCCAGGCAGTCCCTCCCGTTGTCTATCACCAAAGGTATTTTTTTGTCGCCATTCCATTCATTACAACTCTTCCTATCTCGTTGATATCGATGGATCTCACACTCATTACGGTTGCTAAGTGGTAAAAGGTCGCCATCTACACCCCATGGATACGGCTATGACGACCGTCAAGTTCCTATAGGATCGATGGAGTTTGACCTCCAGACTCGTTATCATGGAGCTCCACCTCCTATGGATACTCGTAACCACATGATGAGCCCACCAGGGGGACGGCTTTCCTACCCTCCAACTGGACAGCCACTGCAACCACCCAGGACCCATGAGTGGAGCCACCCGGCTCACTTGCCTCAAAATGCCCTGAGGCGAGATCTTGGAACAATGAGCACCCCAGAGAGCCCAGAGTATATCATGGAAAGAAACAGCCGGCGAGCTGCCGAAAAGCCCACGGCAAGCCCACACTACCACTCCCAGAGACGGACCTCCAACCGGGATGAATTTGATGGGCCGCATCAACTCCTGGAACCACCTTCCGCACAGGCCATTGCAGCCCAGGACAAGGAGCTCCCTCAGCTCCCTACTAACCTCGATGCCTCAGAGCAAGACAAGATCTTGCACAAAGTCAATGACCGCCTATCCCAGTGTGCCTATGACTTCGTCGCAAAGTATCAGTTCCGTGTTCCTATCGAGCAGGACAAGAGACCCGTCAAGGTCCCCTCGGACCGCGAGTGGACTGAGTGGGTTCACCTCCTGAAGCGGCTGGCAACTACACGGCGCATCCCCGCCCATCTCCTGTACAATCGCCAAATCAAGCAGCTCATCACCGTCCTGGAAAACTCCCTGGAGATGCGCCATGCTGCCAAGCACCAGTCCAGGCCAGTCAAGGACGACCGCAATGTGCTCCAGCTCATTTCTGCCGGAATCCAGGTTGCGAAGATCCTCAAAGATTCCAGCGCCATGCAGTTCCTCGATTGTCTTTATGTGGACACCGAGAAGCTCATCCTCGAGCGACGCGGCCGTCGTGTGAGATTCGCAAACCCTTGAATCCAACTGAGTGGAAGACAGCCGTCTTTCTAAATTCCTTCTTGGGTCCCATCGTTTGATATTCTTACCGTGGAAGCCCCTTGGCCTTGGATTGCGCTGTCTTTCTTTTGTTGCTTTTTAATATTGCCCTGGATCACCCACTGTCCACTTGAAACCCACCCCCTTGGAGGAAATGTACCCTGGAATCTCTGTAATTCCCAATCAGGAGCCAAAATCCCAGGCAGTTACCCAGCCCAGATGAAAGAAGGATTGAAGCACTACCCACTGGCAGGAAAAGGTTGTGACCTGCAACCTCGACACAAGAGCACATCAGCTCTCGCCGGTCACAGTGATTATATCTACACCCAGATTTATGTGTCACCCAGAGACACGAACGGAATCAGTAATATATCGGAGGTTTTGTTGGTATTCTCCGTTTGAGGTTTTTTTTTTTTCCTTCAGGCGTTCGGGTTGGTTGTCTCGATATATTTTTGTCATGAAACTATATGTCTCCTGCCATGAGAAACGATATAACAAGGGTTTTGTGTTTGGATCATGTCACCTTTTTTGTATTCAGTATGATTATGTTCATGTCTCATGTTATGTCTCTAATTGTACTTTTTTGGGTGGTTCAATTCTCTTCGGTCGTTTGCTTCTGCTAATTTATTCCATTTAGCTCAGCCCAGGAGGTTTAGCGATGTTTATCAACGAGAGTATAGTCCTCCCACAAAAAGTCGAACATTGCAATCCCCCTGAGAAGTAAAAAAACAATTCCGTCGCCCTCGCGTCCACCAATAATGGGTATTCTTTACTCAAGGGAAAAAGAAAAAGGTAGAAGAAAAGGCAAAAAATAGTTTCGCTGGGAATCGAACCCAGAACCTTTCCGGAACACTCGCCTATGAGGCAATTGTTAACGGAAAATCATAACCGCTAGACCACGAAACTGTTTGATGGAAGTTTTGGCGCTAAAAAGAATCACAAGGTTGTACTAGCTCGTAGCAGAAATATGGAAACGCCGAAATTTGGGCAATTGAGAACGACCAATATTCGACCATTGCATATGTTCCAAGGAATATTGCTAAGTTCGGCATTCGGCCAAATTGATATGACTGTATTAAAAAATCCAGATCAACACAGAGGACCGCTAAATTTCAACAAGAATTATTAATGTACAGTGAGGTTAAGCCGGGCAAAATCTTATCAGAAGCTAGCCATCTCAATCCAACTAGCCACAAATGCCAATCGTCTTCCCCGATCCGCAGCCATGCGGCGCGAGAACTCTTCAAAGCCAAGTCTCGCACCGTTACCGCCGCGTTCCTTAGCCTCACGCTCGACCTGGTTCAAGTAGGCCCAGCGGGCCAAGGTCTTTGGTGAAGGCCGGCGTGGCGCGGCAGCTTCATGTGTCTGGTCATTGATTCGGTGAGGGGGCGGAAGTGGTTGCATAGGAGAGGGGGAAGCTTGGGGGCTGTGGCCTCGGCTTCGGGAGAGGAGTGGGGAGAGGGAGGGGCAGGAAGGGAAGTAGTCCCAGGCGAGAGTCGTAGTTGAGCGGGGAGGTTATGAGTTGTGCTCGTGGGTGGGGACGCTTCCAAATCAAAGTCTGAGTCATCGGCTAGTTCTGGGGCCATGACAATTGGCTCTGCGGAGAAAGAAAGACTGGGACGAGGTGTCTCGGAGTCAGGACGATGCTGTGGGAGAGTGGGATCGTAGTAACACGTCTCTTCTTCATCGATATAGATGGATGGCTCTCTATCGGATGCCTGTAGAGGGGCAATGTCACCTTCGAAATCAGATGATGCGGCAGAAACAGAGTCGGATTCTTCGAATGGCCGTGTTTGCCCAATTTCTGCATTAAGATCAGGATGGGTGAGATGTGCTGGTCCCACACTATCGTCGTCGTCATCACCATTACTGTCGCTGCCATCGTCGTCGTGGTCATTGTCTGATGCAGTAGCCTCAAGTGACGGTGGAGCTAGGACTGGCCCCATATTGGCAGATTCAAGGACCGAGCCTTGAACCGAGTAGCCAGAGCGCTGTAGTAGATCATCAAGCGGACTGTCCTTGGTGATTTCTTCAAGTTCCTCCTCACTTGGAGCATTTTCCGGCTTGACGCGTTTTGAGGGGCCTTCTTTTTCGGCGAGTTCTATCTCACGGGCCCAAACTTTACGATCAGCCCGCGTGCGATAGACTTCCATCAGAAGATCTTCTGTTGGCTTGAATAGAATGTCAAGAAGCTCGTTGAACCCTTGCTGCGTGACTTGATACAAAATCTCCTTCCCAACGTCCTTTTCGACTTCTGGGATTTCAAAGCCGCCCCATCGTTCACCAAGAAGAATGCTGCGTGACGAGGTTGATGGGTTGGATCGGGTGTCGTAGTCATCAGTTAGATCATCCTGGAATCGCACCTTGGACGAAGACCGTGAGCGAGGAGAGGGCGGGTGCGATTCCTGTCCATCTAGGTCGTCTTCATCACTGTAGTCATCGATGGCTGGATCCTTTTCATAGCCCTCAGGGGCGGTGGCGCCATCTTCTTCGTCCGTATAGAAAGCCCGACGCCTCCATCGTTCATCGATCCCACGTTGACGAGCGTCAAACACCCGTCTTTGGTCGTCTTCGCGCATTCTGTGATAGACAGCATCTGCGACACGAGCCCTATCAATGGGGTCTGTAATCTCCTGTTGAGGAATATATGATCCAAGGGCCTCGATAATGTCCTCTTCGAGTATATGCTCAGCTGGAGGCCAGGTGCCGCTAGCCACCGACGAGCTAGATTGGTCCGAGCCACTGGTATCGCTACCGTCGTCGTCATCGTCCTCATTTTCACCGCCTTCCTGGGGACCCGACGGGCGAGTATTAGACTCGTTGGGTGGCAGACGAAGCGAGGATGGGAACAATGGCCGCAATCGACCAAACTGTGACCTGACAGCAGCATCGCCTATGACCAAATGACGATCGCCAGTATCGTCCCCATCCTGTCGCAAGATCCCCTCATTGTCGATGATTTCCATATCGCCCTCAGAGTTCAAGCGTTTCCCTTCACCTATGCGCGAGCGTTCGCCCGAAGGGATGCTGCCAGGGAATGCAGAGCTGATGGGCTGACTACCGAGAACGACATCACGGGCTCCGCCCTCCAAGAAGTCATCTTCCATTCCAGCAACCATGTCCCGGGTAAGCTCTCGGCTCAACGCATAATATGCCCTGAAAACACGTAGAAAGTCTTTGCGTTCAACAAAGCCATCTCCGTCAATATCATAACCACGGAATACTCGCCGCAGCCTTTCATCGTTACTCTTGTTGTTGAGACTGGCCAGCCCTTTCAAGAACTCCTCAAATCCAATGAGATTATCACCATTGGTGTCATAGAATGCGAACATTCTGTCGTAAATGAGACTTGGGGGAGGTGGTCGGATGGAGGTGTTAGGTACAAAGCAACGGTCAAAAGTTTTACGGTCGATGGCCATATGCAACTTGTTGGGGTCGTCCGCCCACTCATAATTTGCTAAGCAGCGAAACTGATCCCAAAGGGCATCTAGTTCTGTATTTTCAAAATTGGTCTCTTTCATGAGACGCTTCGCGAGAGCTCGCGAGAGGGTGCGTGGGAGCATTGAAGGCTTCCCGGGATACCACACAGGTTGAGATTGACGTGGGTTTCCTAAGAATGGGGCTGGGATCCGCACTTTGTAGAACAAATGCGTTTTAATGTGCACTTGCATCGCCTCACACGTTTCACAGAGATCGTAATCGATGCAATTCGCACACCGATATCTAATACCCTGGATCGGCATGGCGCCGCAGCTATTGCAAGTAACTCCTCGGTGGATGTAGCCATCTCTCCGTGCCTGATCCTCAGCAATATGGTAGAGCAAGTTGAGTAAATTTTGGCCTTCTCGGTTCGAGGGGTCGTTGTTTCCATCGCGCCACGAGAATACACTCTGATCGTCTACCACCGTTTCTCCACCATCAGGATTTTGTGGCGGCACCGACACGTCTGGGAAGGTTGAAGTTGAGAGTGTGACCCGTTCTCCATTTTGTCGCCGCCGGCGCAGCTCCTCTCCATAGTTTTCGTCTCCGTTGAAGCGAACCAATGCTCTTTCGATACCCGCCCGGGAGATACCGCGGCGTTGAAGTTGTTCGGTCAAGTAGGTTCTTTCTGCGGTCTCTTCAGGAAGGGTATGCGCAGATGGAAAATCAAGCGCAAGGAAAGATTCAAGAAATGTGTCCTCCATCATCTCGCGCATGCGCTCTGCATGAGCTGGTGGCACGCCAACCTCTTCCATCAGCTGGTCGCGTGTTGCAAGTAGTGATGGGAGAAGACCACTTTCCACCCGGCGCCCATCCTCAGTCTCAATGCGAAATGTTCCGTATACTCCATTTTGCCGCTCGAGCTGTTCGAGATGGGTAATCGCTCGATAAGATGGGGTATCCGCGATCCCGAGTTCTTCGGCTTCTGTTCGTCTTGTGCGCCGCACAGCATTTCGACGTCGGAGTGGAGTTGACGATGATTGTGAAAGGACATTGTTGTGAACATAAAGAATCGCATATGCAGCAGCGACACCAGTAAAAAGGTAGAGGATGGGTCGGTACCGTGCTAATGAGACCGGCCCTGAGCGCGAGTCGGACATGGCGGAGGTTTGGGGAAAGTTGAGCTATCGGAAGCTGCAAGGAATGTCGTCAGAAACTCAAGGCGCAGGTCATCCTAATCAGCTCAACAAAAGCAAAACAAAACAAAGCTGCAAAAGACCAAATACGAGAACCAGTGTAATATACTCGTCAACTTGACAATCTCACATTTGAAACGCCCACGGTTGCCGGTCCGAGCTTAGTAAGTATACAGACCCGTCCACGGATATCTACATTGTGCATACATGTATGAAAGTAGGCGGACAACCATGGAGTTGCAATGATACTTGAGAACTTATTTCTTATGTGATTTTGATTTTTACCATGAAGGTGAACTATGCATCCCTTTTTGAGGAAGCAAATTTAGCATATGTACGTATAAAGTAGCTAAATACCTAGCTACTCGTAGAAATGTCTCTGCTTCACATCTAAGATTTTTACAACCCCTGTGACATTTTGCGAAAGTCTGCTGATTTTGAAATAGTTGAAGAAAATATTGGAAAAAAAATAATTCAATATATACTCTAGTAGTATTTACTGAGTGGCTGTTTAATCTATGCATGCGCTGAATATCAACAATCTGAACTGGATATGATGCCTGGCAAAAGACGGAGTCCTACAACTGAAGTAGAGACATCATCAACAGCTTGAAAGTATGAAGCAATGTAGAACCATGCTGCAAGCCAACATCCAAAGCTGAAGAAGTTGCAAGCGTAATAAGCAAATAATATTCGGTTGAACATGATATGGCCCGGCGCAAATGGCTCAGCTGCAAAGTATATCTCAACCACAATGATGACAGCAAACAAGACAACTGAGACCCCTAACGGAGCAGTTGTCAAAGGTGACTTCCATGAAACATTACTTTCACGGTCAAGACCAACCAAGAGGCCGAAGACGGCGCCAACAAGGACCAGAGCGTCACGGAAGTCGATGCGGCGCAGCTTAGTCTTCCAGTTGGTGTTCTCACGAGCGGGGAGCTTGAGCAGAAGCGAGACGACAACGAAGGCAATAACACACAGAGGAACCTGCGCCGAGAAAGCCCTAGATGACAAATTTAGATGGTGTGAGGACATATGTGCCTTGCTACATACTCACCAGCGCCAGCCAATGTAGCTTGAGAGAATTCCACCGAACGACACGCCGGCACTGGAACCTGTCGCGTAGATGATATTGATAATACCCTGCCACATACCTCAATCTTCAAGGGAAACAATATCACTTATCAGAATACTGACAACTATGATCATGCCGCCACCGCCAGTACCATGGAAGGCCTGTTGAAACTAGTTAGCATTATATGATTTAGGATTTGAGACTGCTTTCCTAACAAAAACGAGCAGCAATCAGTTCAATGATGTTTCGGACAAGGCCACCACACAAACATTCAATGCCAAAAACAGCATATACAAGGAGTAGATACGGCTTACGGCCAAAGATGTCACCCAACTTGCCATACAAATGCTGGAAGGCAGATGTAGTCAGGAAGCAAGAATTTGCGAACCAACTGGTCAGAATGAGAGCATTTGAATCGCTATCAAACTTACCATAACAGGCCATGATGATAGTTTGATCAGCTGCTAAACGGAAGGTCTATACGCTCTATTAGTGACAACCTAAAATGGATGGAAATAATGGAAACGGATAGGGTAGTCATACGCCGATTGATATCGCAGGAAAAATGTACTTGAGCTGTTTCCGTGCATCAGAAAACGCGGATTGGCTGTTTTCTTTTGTCTCCTCTGTCTCCTCTGTCTCCTCTAAAATGCTCGATTCCATATGGTTATCCGGAACCGTGCTGTTGGATGGAGTGGCGTTGCTTGGTCTCAGCACCGGGGAATTCTCAGTAGGAGAAGCCACTGGAGCCATTTTTGAGACATTTTTACAATCAACTTGCTTCAAATTCTCCTGAAGATCACATAATGACTTAACTGGATGTCCATAGCGTGGGGTAAGCAGAATCCTTCAAATTACCCCTGCGCTGGCGGCTGCGCTGGCAGATCTGATCTAGCGGGATGCAACAACATGGGCAAGATACATGTATCAACTGCATATGTATGCCTTACATAGAGCTTTACATCTAGGACAGATGTCTAAAGTTGCCCTTGATGTGGAACTATACTTGTAGGCATCGAACGGTCGTAAATTTGGTTGTTAAGCACAATGTGCAGGTATCTGAATGTAGATGCAAGTTTTTGTTTCACTCAACAACTCCCACTACGCTTTTTTATAAGGAGGGCATAGGAACGGCTCCACCAGGCGAGTCTGCCAGGCGGGCAGTCAGTACCTCAACACCGTCTTCAGTTACAAGAAGCGTGTGCTCGAATTGGGCAGACAGAGATCCGTCCTGGGTGGTACTGGTCCAGTCGTCGGGCCAAGTACGGTCACGGTGTGTACCAATGTTGATCATAGGCTCAATAGTGAAGCACATGCCAGGCTTCGCGGTACCAACGGCCTTGTTCTTAGCGTAGTGAGGAATGTTGGGCGCACAGTGGAATAGCTGATTAATGCCGTGACCGCAGTATGACTTCACGACACTGCAATTGCGGGTCTTGGCGTGCTTCTCGATGGTATTTCCAGGGTCACGGAACAGCATACCAGGCTTAACTAGGTCAATTGACTTGTCCAGACATTCGCGCGCAGTTTCCACCACGCGCACTGCGTCGGGGTCAGCGAGCGCCTTGTCTCCGACATAGTATGTCTCGTTAATATCGCCGTGGAATCCCTTGTGATACAAAGTGACATCGATGTTGACGATATCTCCGTCTTTCAAGGGTCGTTGATCAGGGATGCCGTGGCAAATGGTCTCGTTGACGGAGGTGCAGACAGACTTAGGGAAGTTCATGTAGTTCAAGGGTGAGGGGTAAGACTGGAAGCGAAAGTCAGAACAACAATCGTGGAATACAGTGGAAAAATTTCGTACATCACGCTCAATACAAGCCTTGTGAACAACCTCATCAATGTAGTCGGTTGTGACACCAGGCTTCAATTCCCGGGCAGCGGCATCCAAAACTTCACGTGCCAGACGGCAAACCTTGCGCATACCCTCCTGCTCCTCCTTAGTAAGAATAGTAATGTTGTGACGGCCGATAATCTTCTGCTCGGAGCGAGGAATACCATCGCGGGCGTAGTCCGGGTGGGGAATCGACTTCGGGACTGTTCGCTTGGCGGACAGAGGATAGACGGGCCTCAAGGAACCACTGTAAGGGAAAGACGGGTAGGGATTGAAGGTGCCGGTAGCTGGATCTGGTTCAGAAACTACTTTCGGAGGAAAGATATTGGTGAGGAAATTACTCTTCTTGTGAATGGTCTTGTGCTCGTTCTGAGGGATATGGTTAGTCTTCGGTTCCATAGATATAGAGGCGCAACACTCGTGTCAGTTCGAGCGAGTCACATAAGAATGCTTACCCAGCTGCGCTTGAAACAGTCCTGCGAACAGAAAAAGCTGTCCGTACCGCTCTTCAAACATGTCGGACATTGCAAGGTGCCTGCATCGTTAGGGCAGTCCACACCCCGGCATTTGCGATTTCCAGTTTCAGCCATAGTTGAATATGGAATGCGACACAAAAATGGAGTGTTCAAAGGAGAGGCATATGGCAGTGAACTACTATTCAATGGAGGCTAAAATATCGTCTCCCCGGCCGCAGAAGACTAAACCGTATTTGGATTAGTTTCCCTTCGAGCATGGGTCACCATGGCCTAAGACATCAAGGCACCAAGGCAACAAAATAAAATGACTAATGTCTATTGCGTTTTAACAGATTCTCATTTGGGAAGGGGGCCGATTTCGCAGCACGTGATGTGTGAGCCCATTTCTTCTCCTTGACAACGGACCTTCATTTTCGGACATTGACCAGCTGTGTGATGGCTCTTCCGAAGCAGAAAGTGGTTGTTGTGGGTGCTGGCCCGGTGGGGTCTCTAGCAGCGCTATATGCAGCTTCAAGAGGCGATGATGTTGAAGTATATGAACTCCGCGGAGGTATGTTTCAATTTGGTCTCGTGTGACCTTCTTTTTACTTTTTTTGGTCATTGGAAGCAATTGGACATCTAGAAAGGGACACTGTAATTGGTACATGTGTGCTTTTGCCTCGAACTGTCAATGAGTGGTTTTTATAAGGGATCATGTCTCGCAAGGTCCCTGATTGAACCCCTAGGAAGTCCCTTTGTATTCGGAGTCCTATTGCAATCTGCTGCGGTTTCAAATGCCTGCTTGGATATGTTCTGACACACTTGCGATTCATTGCGATTCATTGCGAATTATTCCGAGCTGACTCCAATAATTTCCGCACATCCGTAGATCTCCGGGACCCTACGACTATCCCGTTAAACTTCACGAAGTCTATCAATTTGGCCCTGTCCGAACGTGGAATTACGTCTATGAAGCATGCGGACCGAACTGGATTGATCGACAATGTTCTCAGTGAAGCGATCCCCATGCATGGACGGATGATCCACGGCCGAGACAGCGGGGATCTGTGGGAAGCTGCACAGGCCTATGACGTTCATGGCCGGGTAAGCACAACATCTGCTTGGCACTTATATTGCTTTTTTCCTCCTGCAGGTCCAAGCTAACGGGCTATCACAAGGCCATCAATGCCATCGATCGAGGAACTCTCAACAACGCTCTTCTCGATGAGCTGGAGAAGACACCCAATGTCAAGTTGTTCTTCAACCACAAGCTGACTGGTGCGGATTTTCGCACCAACAAGGCTTGGTTTGAGCGCCGAATTCCCGGCGAAACACCTATGGCAGATGATGCTGGTGTAGCTGGTCGAGTACCAGAGATCGAGGTATCCTTTGACTTCCTCATCGGTGCGGATGGCGCACACTCCGCCTCGCGATTCCACATGATGAAGTTTTCTCGCGTCGATTATCAACAGGAATATATCGACACCTTGTGGTGCGAGTTCCGTATTCCGCCCTCAGAAAACGGCGACTTCCGCATCTCGCCAAATCATCTCCATATTTGGCCAGGGCGCGAATTCATGTTCATTGCACTGCCGTCAGCGGATAAGTCATTTACATGCACCTTATTCGCACCATCCTCACACTACACATATTTGGAGACTTCACCACAGGACTTGCATGAATTTTTCGACTCTCACTTCCCCGGCGTGAGCCCAGAGCTGATCGAGCCCGCGGCGCTGAGCGAGCAGTTTGCTCTCAACCCTCATCTCCCATTGATCAGCATCAAGTGCAAGCCCCACCACTTCAGTGCCAGCACCGTCATCATCGGCGATGCAGCACACGCAGTTCTTCCATTCTACGGACAGGGATTGAACGCAGGTCTCGAGGATGTCCGTGTTCTGTTCGAGGAATTGGACAAACACGGCGTCTACGACCCCAATTCTAGCGTCTATACACGCGGCCTCAAGCGCCAGGCAGCCTTCCAAGCATACACTGACCAGCGCTGTGCCGATACGCACGCTATCAATAATCTGTCGAAAGAGAACTATCTCGAGATGCGTGCGGGCGTTAAGTCGCCGCTCTACAAGCTGCGGAAGTCGATTGAGGAAACCATCGACCGCCATTTCCCGATTTTTGGTTGGAAAACGCAGTATGCTCGCGTTAGCTTCAGCAATCAACGTTACTCAGAGGTTATCGAAGCTGTGCAACATCAGAGTCAGGTTCTTGGCATCGGTCTGAGCGCGGCATTAGTTGCTGGTGTCGGTGCCTTATCTATTTTGATGTGGAAGTTCCCTCGATATTTCTCGCCCATCGGGCTTATTCGGTGCTCGCGACATCTTGCATGTGTGGGACTTAGGAGCATCCGCAAATTCATTCATATGTAATGCCACAGGTTGTATGGAGGGTCATTGGGTGAAATTTGTGACGATATGCATGATTCTTGGTGAACAGTTCAAAAAGGAGCCCTTTTATGCTTGTGTGTATCTCTGCGGACTTGAAATTTAGATTTCCCTACTGCCAATCATTCATTTGTAAATAGACGAATGAGTCAAGTGGGATAAGCGTACATAGGTGATACGACCACAACAAGTACATATGTAGTTAGCGATGAAAATTGATAGCACGAATAAGATACTTTGGTGTGTTTTCAATTTCAAGGAACTCATGGAATCCAAGTTCAAAGCTTTAATTGAAATTGGAATCTAAACGCAAAAGTCCTTTAATCCCAATACCTGATAATGCCATCCAGTCCACCGGTGACCACCTTACTCGTTTCCTGGGGATGCCAGTCGAGACAAGTAACGGCACCACCCTCCTTCCCACCAGCTTGAATTTTATGATACATCTTTCCGGTCTTCCAGTCCCAGAAGCAAACAAAGCCACCACTATCACCAGAAGCCAGGAACTGGCCATCAGGCGAGAGCTTGAGATCAATGGCGTATCCAGAGGTATTGTGACCACGGAAGCTCTTCTTGCGGTTTTGGCGGAACTTGTCGGTAGCGCCGTAAACGACAATCTGGTTGTCGCCTGACTGGAAAGCAACATACTTACCATTAGGATGGGGTGTCGCACGGGTGAGCGCGAACATGTATGGCTCTGCGATGAACTTGATTGGGACGGGAATGCCGTATTCCCAAGCGCGAAGTGACTTGTCGTCTGATGTGGAAATGAAACGTCGGTTGTCGTCAACAAAGGTGAGGGTGTTGACGGCTGCCAAGTGGTGGTCGTATTCTTGGATAAGCTCGCCGGACCGTGTGTCGAATTGAACGATCTTCTTGTCGGACATACCAGCCAAAAATTCATGTGAATGCTCGGCCGAAGGGTTGAAGCGGACGACATGTGGTGTTTTGCCGGTGGAGAACCGGCCAAGACATTTGCCATATTCCGTATCCCAGAGCTTGATCTGTCGATCGTATGAACCGGTAAGGAAAGTCTTCCCTGACGGATGGAAGTCTGTGTCTGAGATTGCCTTGCTGTGACCCGAGAAAGTCCGCAACAGTTCGCGAGAGTGATACACATCCCAGATCTTGGCCTTTCCATCGGCTGCCGACGAAAGCAGCAAGTGGCCGGTGTTCGGTATGAATCGAAGAGAGGTAATTGGCTTTGTGTGTGACTTCCAGGTTTGTACAAGCTTTTTCGGCACGTAATTCTTGACGCTGCCGGGTTCTTTGCGCAAATCGATATCCAGATCTTGTGGCACGTGCATGTACGTCCGGCCCTGGTAGTCGTACTGCTCTGAGCCGTGGAATTCGGTTGTTTCCTGCCTGGAGTAGTCATCCTCGTACTCGGTGGCCGCCTTGCTCATGGCCGGCATGGGCTCTGCAGGGGCCAGGGTCTCATCTTCCTCTTCGACATACTCCTCGTCGCTGGCAAGTTCGCGATCATCTCCTTCTACCTCATATGTATCATATTGCTGGTCGTTGTTGTATTTCGCCCAGGGTCCGAGATAAGCGCCATCGCCTTCTACGATACTGGAGTCGCCCTTCTTTTGCCTCTTTGTTCGCCATTTTGCTGCAGCGCTTTTCGTCGGTTTCATTTGGACGACATCCTTGCCGCCATATTGCGCCACATTGTCAAGGTTTCCGACGAACTGATCCGGCCGTGTTGGATTGCGCGTGTAGCCAAGACTTTGGAAAGTGCGATGTTGCGCAGCGAATGTGGACTCGCTGATGGCCGCTTCTTCGGCAAATCCTGTTGGGACGTTCTTTCTCTTAATTCCATTTCCAGGACCCGATGTTTTAAACGGATTCACAGGCCCCTGCGAGGGGCGCATCAGATCATCGTACGTCGCGTTGTAGGTGAGAGCTTGAGAAGAGGTATTGGCGAGGGTCATCTGCATATGCGCCTGGTCCTGTAGAGTCGTTAGTCTTATCTGTTCGTCACAGCAATGGCACAGATTCCGGTTGATTTCGGAGATAAAAGCGAAGTAGGTATGGGGGACCAAACCTCTGTATTGACTTCTGGTGCAGCGATGACCTGGGTTGCGGTCGTCACGGAGGGCTTGGGCACGGCCGAGGCGTCATCTTCGCTGGAATCATAACCGGCTCCTAGCAAACTCGACATGGCGGAAATGCTAAAGATCGAGAATGCACAATCTTCAATTCACCACTGCGACAAGGCCAGGTTGATACTGGTTGGGCAAGCTGGTAAGTGGTGAAGGATGGGAATTTTACGGCCGTCGGTAGACGCCCAAGACGAAGGCCGCGGAACACTCACCGCAAGCCAAGCTTCTCGAGCCCCGATGCAGCTCCATCCTTATATACAAGACACGAGATTACCGACTCTTTTTTCTGTCAAGCCTTTGAACCGTTGCCTCAAAATACAATAACATGCAGTATCAAGGCTTGCTATAAAAGGCTAACATGAAGCCTATAAAAATACTATCCAAAAGACCTTTCGAAAGACCTACCCAAAATAGGAAGGTCTATTCATACATAAGAGATAAACCTATCGTTAACGGCTTGTATTCACCTGAATGTTTACAGAGAATTAGTCACCACGAGAGGGCACAGTAAAACAACCAGAACCTTCCAAGGTTGGGTATCGTACGCTCTTCATTGTGAACCACTTTGGAGTTATATACAAACCACAGGCCGAAAGACACATCAAGATTAACACAAGAAGGAATAAAAAACAAAACCAAACAATAGCAAAAGAGCATGCATCCCCCGCAGGGGTAAGGAAGAATCTCGAGCCCGGCATTCGCCTTCGACTTGAAATACTCCAAGTAACATATCTCGTACTTCTCGTCACTGCGCCCATACTAGCAAATCTATTTCAATACTGAAAGAATTCGTAGCTCATCCCTAGTCATGATGGCCCAGACAAGGAAAAGGACCACGTTGATATACTGCATTATATGGCATCGCGGCCTGTGTTAGAGCAGTGGTCATATCCAAGGATTGCGGAATAAGCCAAGAATGAAGTTCGCTGAGAACAAAGTTCGAGGAACGCAGGTTCAAGAGCTCATAGCAACAGTCCGTCGAATGACAGCTCCGTGTTCTAACCAGGACGACCATGGCGCATCGCGTATTCGGACTTTTCACGGAGTCAGTGACCCTCGTCGCGGATGAGAGCGACAATCATGCTGTAGAGGTAGAAGAAGAACATCAAGAGGTGGAAGCCAAGCTTGATGAAAGATTCCTAGAAACGTGAAATTGGGTCAGCAAACGCAGTTCGGGCCGCGATAGCGTGGATAAAACCGACCTTCTTATGCACGTTCAACTTGCGGAAAATCTCGGTTGCATCCAAAAGGTGCTGGTTCTCGTAGATCCTATATTTGGAGAGACTTGGTTAGCTTCTTGCTCAAGAGGGTTTGCGACCGGGGGAGCTTCTGCACATACTTCTTGGCGTTGAACAGAACGAGAGGCAGGTTCAGCACGATGGCGAGCCAGTACCCGTTGATTAGGAAGAGGAAAGTCAGGAAGGCGTGGACGGCGGCTTCGGGGATGATGTAGGCGTTGAGACGGTTGCACAGGTCGATGGGGTTGATATAATCACTGCGAAAGGAGAGGTGTCAGATGATATTTAGGCTCTTTCAAGAAACAAGGGAAGCTCCACAAGGCAAAGGAGTAGGAAGACTCACCATTCGAGATCACTGTACATGATCGTGAAGAACACCTGGAGGAAGAGGTTGACGGCATTGATCAATACCGACAGCAGGTATAGCCATGCTTCGCCGGACATCATGGGTGCGACTTTGACTTGCGTCAGGAGAGGGTTTCAATTGCTGTTTGAACAGAAAATATAAGTAAAGTTCGCGACAGGATGATGTTAAGCAATGAAGCCGGAATTGGAGATGTTTGTGGGGGTCTGCGGCCCAAGGAAGGCGGAGGAATCACAGAGTTCTTTTCTCGGGGTCATAGCTCACTCACAAATAAGAAACTTGAGCACTTACGTTAAGTGGGGTAGGAAAATCGAGGACCTGACAATGTAGAAATGAAGAGAAGGTTGACCGAAGCTGTGAGAGAGGGAGTTTCGATTAGCGAACTGCGCCCGAAGCCTGAACGGGCGGTGGGGAGGGTTAGTGCAATCCCGCAAACGGGGGCTGGTAATATACTAAGATAACAGCTTGAAGACTTCTAGGGCTTTGAAATATTGATAAAGTTATTGGTATTACTGGTTAATCATGAGATAAACTACACAGGCAAGGCAACCTTGGCTTTACGAGGAACCTTTTGAAGCTTACAAGAAGGGTGACACGTGCATGTACATATCAGGTCTGGGCCTTAAATACACTAGGTAGGCTTCGATTTTGCTCGTGTAAGCGGGTTTCCAAAAAGGTCCATTGAACATGATCTATATACAAGATAATAAATGTGGACTGCAGCGTGATCTAACTACAAGTGGTTGATCCCCAATGCTCTTAGCAATCAATGCTTTCAGCAACGACCACACCACACCACAATACAACACGACACAGACAAAGATTGATGAGATCAACTCAACACAAGACAGAAACATTGAAACAGACAAATGCTCTCAATGATGTAGTACCGGTATGGAATTAAAACAACACACGAGCTCATCGCTTCTCGACAAGCAAGAAATGCATTGCACTGTACGCAATGATGACAAAGGCCCCGGAGATCACAGCAAGCCCAATGATATCGCTCCAGTAGGCTTGCGTATCAAAGCCGAAGGCGCTCAAGATTGAGGCACCGGGGACTTCAATATCTAAGCCATACTTATGATCGATCAGGGTAAGGAAGGTCACTTCATTGACGATCAAGGCCTCAAAGCCATAGTGGAAGATGGATAGCTATCAGAAATCGTTAGCATAGACAACAGGGTTTGAAGTAGAACAAAACTCACAGTTTGCAACCACAATGCCGATTTGGGAATCGCATCGTGATTCAGCAAAAGACCGGCGAAAAGCAAGCTGAAAAGCATAACTAGACTGCCGATGAGGTTGGCGACTCCACCGTCACGGAATATAATGCCGATGAACAAGCAAATATTGGCTGCCGCGAGATTGAATAGCACTAGAACCAGCAAAAAGCGGAAGAATTCAGGCCATGCCGGAATCAGACCTGTCATGGGGTAAACGATGATACCCATGATGATCGGAGGGATCAGTCTCAGGGGAACGATATCAAACACGACTTTAGAGGCAAAATATGTGACCGGATGGTAGTAACCATTGGCGCGCTCGCGTACGAAAAGTAGTCGTTCCGAGGAGAAGGTGTTGAGACTGGTCAATGTACTGAAACCAAAGAGAGCCAAGATGAAGAAGAAGAGACCAAGACGGTTCTGGAAGCCCTTGATATCGTCAGTGAGGCCATAGAAAAGGTACCCGGATAGCACTGCAAGTAGAATAGCGATGGCATAATGCGTGAGCATAAGCATCGGGTTGCGGTAAAGATTGCGCCATGTTCGCTGAGACAAGATGAGGAACTGTCGGGTCAGGCCTACTCGGGCATAGCCCTTGGACTGCGTTACAGTATCGGACAGGATGGGCGAGTTTGGCGAACCATTCGCGGCCTGAGCACTATGAACAGCAGCCGCGATCTCGTCATGCACAGAATGGCAAACATCAGAATCCGCGTAGCTGGCAATCAGGATATCGAGGTCCCTTGTGCCGGGTGCTGGAGGGGGAAGTTGATCGGGATCATCAAGAATTTGGGGAGGAACATTGCCCCCTTGACGAGAGAGACGGAGCCATTGTTGGTGATTTTCCGCCACATCCAAGGTAGCACTCTCGTCATCTGTCTTTGGTGTGACTGGGCGATCATTGTATTGTTTCCGCGAGTAAAGTTGGCGATCTTGCTGCTGTTTCAGAGAAATACGGCGATTGCTTTTGGGTCGCCGAGTTGCCTCTGCGCCACTTGAGTTATCTTCGATGCTATGGTTTGAAGCACTAGTGACGGACTTGACAGCTCGGAGGCTACTTGATGCAGTCTTGAAGGGACCAGAGCGCCCATCGACAGACGATGCTACATCGTCTGCATAAGAAGAGTGGGCTGCGCCAGCGTGCATAGTAAGGTCGACAAGGTAATCCGCAATGTTGAAACCCGGTGGGCACGAATAACCAATTTGATCGAAATACGATTGGCAGGATGAGAAGGAACCGGAATAGACGGTGCGGCCCTCGGCAAGGAGGATCAGTCGGTCAAAGAGGGCAACAATGTTTGAGCGTGGCTGGTGGATGGTGAAGATGACGGTGCGGTTATACGTTTTGGCCAGCGTAACCAGACATTCGACCACATTGAACGCGTTATAGGCATCCAATCCACTAGTGGGTTCATCCAGGAACAGAATACTGGGACTGGTAACCAGCTCACAGGCAATTCCAACCCGGCGCTTCTCTCCTCCGGAGATGCCACGACCATTGCCTTCCTCCGAGCCAATCAATTGATCCTTGATATGGTAGATGCCCAGTTGCTTCTCGACTTCCAATACCCTTTGCTCTTTAGCTGCCCGGCTCATATCCCGAGGGAGTCTAAGAAGAGCACTTGTCAAGATTGTTTCATGTACCGTCAGGGTAGCAAGCATTGTGTCTTCTTGGTCGACGAAACCGATCATGGTTCTGAAGTCATTGTCGTCAATCTTCTCGCCATTGATATAGAAATCTCCATTCACTGAGCCCCGCTTGTTCTTTCGGGCCAGAATATCCAGGAACGATGTTTTACCGGCTCCAGATGCTCCCATGATGGCTGTAATTTGCCCTGGTGTAGACGCACCGTGGATACCAGAAAGAATTTCTTTTCCATTTAGGGAGTAAGACACATTGTCCCAATACAAAGCCGCCGGGCGATGGTCTGCCAGAAGTTTGGCAGCTTCATCATCTGAATCGTCCGAGAGAGACAAGCGAAGATAGCCTCGGCGTGCAGCACGACGGGACAGATACCAAACGAGTAGAATGACAGCAACCACAAACAACGAGCTCCCCGCAATCACGCTAGCAATCAGTGGGGTGTTGATCTTCTTGATGGGGCGCTCGTATCCAGGCTCATCTGTCTTGTAGACGCACTCTCCAGAATCGCATGACAAGAAAATACTAGGATCTCCGAAGACACCAGCAATCAAACCATTCATTTGGGGTTCAGAGAAAACGCTCTTAGTGCCTTCCAGTGTCGCCTTTGTGTCGAAGGTTGCTGGGCCTTTGATCAACTGATCAAGGAAATCGCTCAGATCGATAGACCCATTCTCGCCACAAAGAAAGCGACCTGGGATACATTTGCACTGTAGGTGTTCACACTTATAGTGAGTCGAGTTGGACTCATAGTCCGTTTCCCAACTTCGTTCGCATGTGTCCAATTCACAGTAGAATGATTCCTTCTGGTCGACCCAAAACTGGAAACTACAAGTATCGTCCTTGGCTTCGCACGAGAATGTCACTTGAGGTTTGCGGCCATCGAGTTGCTTCAAAATGGCACGATTGGTCACATCGCACATTTGGAAGTTCTCTTTGATGGTGACACCTTGCTTGTGACACACACCTCCTTCGCCTTCGGGCATCATGGCATTGCAGGCGTCATTTGTTTCGCACACGTTGCAGTTGATGCCCTTCCAGCCGTCCTTGCATTTACATGTATCGGAATCACGCTGCGGTCGGTTGAGGTCGTCGGCCAGCGAACCGCACAAGGGGACCGAGCAATCATCACCTCCAAATCCGGGAGGACATGAACATTTGCCATTGAAGTTGTTGCATTCCGCGAAATGTGTGCAGTTGTAGTTGTCCAGCTGGCAGTTGAAGCAAGCTGGGCACTCGGGACATCCGGGGGCCGATCATCGAATAAGGAAAACGATTGCGTGGCGAAGTTGGCGTCGGTAAATTCGTTGCTCCATGCTGAAGCAAATCCTATCAGAGGAGCTAATGTGAGAAATGATAAAGGCAAAATATCAGTTAAGCGCATCTTGGGTGAAGGGCGGCGACAGCCTGTCCTGATACACAGTGGTGGTACCAGCAGCCGACGAAGGAATGAGGCGAATCGCCGGATAAATTAGGATCAGGAGTCAGCTTCAAGCATTCGTTGAAATCCAGAAAGAGAGATAAAGAGATGAGTTGGAAGAAGCAGAGACAAGGTGCCCAGGTGTGGAGGTGAGATTGGCCCCCGATGACGCGGGCGGAGAGAGGCTGGGGCTGCATGGGCGTCAGGAACCCGCTGCCAGGTGTCACAATACATTCTAACCTCTATGGCTTCATCGAAACATATAAATTCATAAATCGATTTCCTTTTGTATTTCTACTCTACAAGATATCTAACTATGTTCGTATTCTGCATATTTAGATACTCCCTATGTACATTTCCATTCTACATAGCCTTGATGCGGGGAAACACGTGATGCAAGCAAAAACATGCAGGACAGATTAGTCTCTTACAACGTCCAAGTAAAACACTTGCGATAGACTTCGGCGCAGAATTTTTGGAGAGACTTGAATATACATAACTCCCGCGGTAACACTGATCATCATGGTGAAGATCGAAGCCTTTGCGGTCGAGCAGGTACTTTCCCCGCATTGCTCCATGACTCGGTCTTCCCTGTTCTTTGTTTTGTCGTTAGATTGGACCATTGCTAACGGAAAATCAGTGGATGGACAAGTATGAGACCACTGCAAAGTATAACAATGCCGAGACATGTTGCGCCTCCATCTCTGTCGAGGATCTCTGTGCAATTTCCGACAACAAGGAATCCAATCCTTTGACCCAGCTCCAATCCACCAAACTCACGTATGGAGCAATTCGCGGGTCCGATAAGCTGCGAACTACCCTATCCAATCTATACTCAGCAAGAGCACCGACTGTGTTGCCAAAGGATAATATCTTGATCACTGCCGGTGCAATTCAAGCGAACTTTTTGTTGTTGTATACATTGGTTGGCCCGGGGGATCATGTCATCTGCCATTATCCAACATACCAGCAGCTATACTCTATTCCTAAATCATTAGGGGCGGAGGTCAGCCTGTGGAAGTCGAAGGAGGCCAATGGGTGGCTCTTGGATCTGGAAGAGCTGAAAAGTCTCATCCGTCCCAACACAAAGTTGATTATCATAAAGTATGTCTTGTCCCCAGTAAATCGTCTAGAGGTACAAACTCTGATCACGACTCTCTCTTAGCAATCCCCAAAACCCTACCGGAGCAATAATCCCGCGCGATACTCTCGAAAAACTGGTAGAAATTGCCCGCGAGAAGTCTATCATAATCCACTCCGATGAGGTCTATCGCCCAATATTTCATGGTATTAGCCCCGCAGACCCAAAGTTCCCACCGACTATTCTGTCTCTGGGATATGAACGCACTGTGGCGACAGGATCAGTTTCCAAAGCCTACAGCTTGGCGGGTCTGCGAGTTGGCTGGGTTGCGTCGCGTGACAAGTCCATTGTCGAGTCTATTGCTGATGCGCGCGATTATACCACCATTTCAGTTGGACAGATTGACGATGCAATTGCCAGTTTTGCGTTGGCTCCAGATTGCATCCACAATCTGTTGAAGCGGAATATCGATCTGGCCCGGACTAATCTGGCCATTCTGGAGAAATTCATCGACTCCCACCGATGGGCGTGTGATTGGGTGAAGCCACAAGCTGGCACCACTGCATTCGTTCGGTTCAATAAGATGGGAAAACCGGTGGACGACGTCGCCTTCTGTGAGATGCTCCAGGAACGGACCGGTGTTATGTTTGTGCCGGGAAGCCTTTGCTTCGGTGGCGGAGAAGACTTTAAAGGATATGTTCGCATTGGGTTTGTCAATGAGACGGAGGTTTTGGAGCAAGGGCTGAATGCCCTGCATGGGTTTATGGAAGATGGCTATGAAGATGTGCCATCAGTGAAAAAGCTTGTCAGCAGGTGATATCCTGGCATTGATGAGAGTACGAAATGTTGTACATACTACATAAATTTCTAAAAAGTCCTGGTATCAGCGTGCATTGAACCTTGGAAGGTGTTCCGCCGTATATTAGTAAACATTGAGTCGTTATATATCCACGATTGAAAGGGGATTGGGAAGAGACTGCGAAAAGATTGGGTTCAAAGCGCAAAGACAATAGAGTCGCCAGACTTTTGAGATGGAATGTAGCCATTTATACTCAGAACGGTGGGAGGTGCAGGGGCCCAAATTTAGGCTACCTTAGGTAACATTAGAAGTAAACACTAAGATTCACCATGGGGAAGCAGTACGAGTACGAGAGCTAATAATTCGCCATTCTAAAATTCCTTCGGAAGGTGAACTCGAGATATGCCGAGCTCATGTGAAGATATGCAAAGGCACAGATGCATATAAATTAGCCATAGTATTATCGAAAATGAGGACACTTTAACAAATATTACAATCGGATCTGTTCCTCCAGCTTTGAAGAGCTTTGTTTTTGTGTCAAAGATCCATGAAAGCGTCAATACATTTCAGTGATGTAATTGGGCGTTGGCCCGGGATCGGCGCATCCGTGCCGAGGCATCTCTCACTTCTTTGATTGCCTTGCTGGTTTTCAGTCTCATCTGACATAAAGTCAACGTTTCCCTGTGGAATCCCAGGTTTCTTTTCTATTGAGCTGAACGAAGCCCAACTTTTTTGTCCCCAAAGCTACCAGCGTTGTGGTTTTAGACCGCTCATCTTAAACTACCTTACTTAACTCAATACACAGATTTAATCATTATCTTTTCTCTCTTTCCTCACACAATGCCGTTACCATATTTTCCTGGTAGGTACTAGTATGAAATCCGGCAAGGCCCGGCTAATAAATGATTTTCTTGCGCGCAGATATTCCCCTGAGTCTTGCACTTCCCGCCGCGGCTACCTCTCTCGCATATCTTAACGCGAAATGGTCGCTCTCATACGACTTGGGCCTCATCAAGGGGTTGTTGAAGATGTCCATGAAGTCCCGCGTCGCAGAACGTGGTGATCGCTTGAACCTCTTCTACACCCTGGAAGCCCAAGCACTCAATCCCAAAACTGCCGATAACCCTTTCATTGTATACAATGGCAAAACATCGACGTTCCACGAGACATATATTATAGCGCTCCGCTATGGTGCTTGGTTCAAGAAAGTCCATAGCGTCAAACGCAAGGAGATTGTTGCAATCGACTTCATGAATTCTTCTACCTTCATCTTCATGGTACTTGGACTGTGGAGCATTGGAGCGGTCCCTGCGTTCATCAACTACAACCTGGCTGGAAAGCCGCTTACTCATTCTATCCGGACTTCTACCGCGAGGCTCTTGGTGGTTGACGAAGAGGTCCGCCACTGCTTCCCGGAGGAGCAGGAGAAGATCTTGACATCGTCGGGCTTCCGTGATGGCGAAGGCTCGGTTGAGATCGTGTTCCATACATCGGAGGTTGAAGCACAGGTTTTGGGAATGGAGCCTACGCGTGAGGATGATAAGGTGCGTGGTGGCTTGATTCCTCGCGATATGGCCATCTTGATCTACACCAGTGGTACTACTGGACTTCCTAAGCCTGCCATTGTCAGCTGGAAGAAGTGCTGGTCTGGTAGTCTGTTCTTTGGAGATTGGATGAGTATAACTCCCTCAGACAGATTCTTCACGGTAAGCTCTTATACAATGGCAACTGGCTCCATAAAACTAACTTTTGGCTAGTGCATGCCACTATACCATAGCTCCGCCTCAGTGCTTGGGTTCTTGACATGTTTGGCCAATGGAGCGACCTTGATAATTGGCCGCAGATTCTCTGCGCGCAATTTCATCAAGGAGGCCCGTGAAAACGATGCAACTATCATCCAATATGTCGGCGAAACCCTCCGTTATCTATTGGGTGTGACGCCTGAAGTTGACCCTGTCACCGGTGAGGATCTTGACAAGAAACACAAGATCAGACTGGCGTTTGGAAATGGACTGCGCCCTGACATCTGGAACCGCTTCAAGGAGCGCTTCAACATCCCCACAATCGCGGAGTTCTATGCCGCCACTGAAGCCTCAAGCGGTTCTTGGAACATCTCGTCCAACGATTTCTCCGCAGGTGCTATTGGCCGGAACGGCGCATTAGGGAACATCATCCTCGGTCGAGGCTCTGCCGTTGTCGATGTCGATTTCGAGACCCAAGAGCCATGGCGTGACCCGACGACCGGCCTTTGCAAGAAGGTCCCTCGAGGCGACCCAGGCGAGTTGCTATTTGCCATCGATGCAGCAGACCCTTCGGCCAATTTCCAGGGCTACTACGGAAACAAAAAAGCCACAGAAGGTAAGATCATTCGTGATGTAATTAAGAAAGGCGATGCCTACTTCCGCACCGGTGATATGGTCCGGTGGGACAAGGAAGGCCGCTGGTTCTTCTCGGATCGCCTGGGTGATACCTTCCGCTGGAAGAGTGAGAATGTGTCCACCGCCGAGGTCTCCGAGGTTCTGGGCGCGCACCCTGACGTCCACGAAGCCAACGTCTACGGTGTGGCCCTTCCCAACCACGATGGCCGTGCCGGCTGTGCAGCCATTGTCTTCAACCAGCAGATGGCTAGTGGAAACCTCTCCGATACCGCGCTGGAGCCGTCGCGCGATATCCTCGACGGTCTGGCTGCACACACGCTTAAGAATCTACCCCGGTTTGCGGCTCCTTTGTTCTTGCGTGTTACGCCCGAAATGCAATCGACCGGCAATAACAAGCAACAAAAGCATGTCCTCCGTACTGAGGGCGTGGATCCGGCGCTTGTATCGAAGAAGGATCGCGTGTATTGGCTCCAGGGCAACTCATATGTGCCCTTTGGACAGAGGGATTGGGAGCGGTTGACTGGTGGTCAGGTTCGACTTTGATTTTATTTCCTCTATGCATAAGTGTTGCTTATCCTCATCCCACTTTCCTGCCTTTCAAACCAGATACCCATGGATCCATAGTTCTCAATTAAGCATATTTTTCTAAATTCATGGAGCCACTGGCACTATCTAGCCAACGAGGGGTTTTATGCAGCACAGTGTAGCATGCGCCTAGGAAGTTGATTTAGGAGTCTCGCTGAACGATCTAGACATCCATGGATGATATAAGAACAAAGGCACACGGAAAAGAGCTTGATGCGATAATTCATTCGAAACTTTGCAATACATTTCCACTGAGCAGATTCAGCTAATTTACTCTTGCTCCATTAAGCACCCAAGGGTCCCACGACTATTCTCACATTTCACATTGCCTCGTATGAATAGCAACGATTACCGAGAGCCTAGCTCCTAGTTCTCAGACCGAGGAAAGAACGCGTTGTAGTTATCAAGCGGCGCATCAGGCTCCACAAGCGTCCACACCTTCTCGATTTGCTCTGCAACATCCGCATCCAAAGGACCATTATCAAGAGCCGCAAGAGTCTGATTAAGCTGTTCAACAGTGCGCGAGCCGAAGATCAAGCCATCGCCCAGCTCCCCCTTAAGAACAGAGTTGTGCGCCACCCACCGATACGCCAGTTCAACCTTCGAGATTCCGGTCGTCTTCGCGATATTTCCCCAAAGCTTCAAGCCCTCAAGCATGTGTGGCTTATTGTAAAGCTTGTTATAGAGGCTTCCTAGCGGCGTGCTTGGATCCCATCGACCCTCGCCGCCAGAGACCAACTTCTCCACATCTTTGGTCAGGAAACCTCCACCAATAGGTGAGTAGGCGTAGAAAGAGATGTTGTGCTTGCGTAGTGTGGGGAAGATCTCACTCTCTACCCGGCGTGCAATGGCGGAGTAATTGCCTTGGTACACGGTAGGCAGAACATAGTTCTTCTCGCGACAGATGCGGATGACTTCTTCGATCTCGTCGGCCAGATAGTTGGACAGGCCAAAGCGCTTGAATTTCCCGGCCTGGTGCTGGGCGTTGATAGTAGCCAGTAAATCTTCGAGCGAAGTTGTCCGATCGGGGGCGTGGATATAGTAAATATCAAGCTATGATTTCGGTTTAGAAAAAACTCCTCGCATGTTGCTTAATTAGGAAAGGCTTACTTGGTCGGTTTGAAGAAGGGTCAATGTTTCATTTAGAAACGATACAACAGTGTCCGGGGTGGATGGCTGATCAGGTCGAAATCCGCCGGGAAGTTTTGAATCGATAGCGAAACGGGAGTCAGCGTGGACTTTTCCCAAACGCTCCTCGGAGGTGCCATAAATCCTAGCTGTATCAATACTCTTGATTCCTTTGGCCTTCAAGATATCGAGAACTTCGTTGATGGACTCGAGAGTTGGGTATGCGTCCTCGTCTATGATCGAGCCTCCGCCCCAGATGAGTTTGACATTGGCCATAATGGAAAGGAATTGGTAGTTATAGGCGATAGAATGATGATTGTGATGATTGAAATGGATGATCAAAGGGATGATCGAGGAGGGTATTTATCATAAAATTATCCCGAATCTCTAACAACACCAAAGATAGCATACATATCTACGCTAACTCCGCAAATGCCGATCGATTATGAATCGTGAAACGAACCATGGATTATCAATCAATCAGGAAGCCCGTGGACGCCCCCAACTGCCATCATCCGTCACTTTCCATCAATTACTATCAGCTAATAGTGTATCTATATTGCATGATATGAGCGGGATGTTGACCAACCAACTTAAAGCGGTGCGGGGCGGGGCATCTCAGAGCCCGAGATTAAATGAATTAGCGAGTTCCAAAATAATCTGGAGAAATCGATGAGTTGATCACAAACATAAACATAAACAACCCAATATGTGTTGAATATGATAAGATCAATGCATGCACATGTACTATGTAGATAGACATGCAGTCTGGAGAGTATAAAGCCGACTCGGGTGCCGGCTAGTCGGCTTCCCCGCATGTATAAATTGGAGATCGCCTCGAACTTTTCTCTTCGATGCATTTGTGCTTTTTCTGGGAACATTGGCCTCACATATAAAAAAAAACAATGTCAGTCTTTACAGCGCAACTTCATTCGCGTATGGTAGCGCGAACCCGATCGGGCACAATTCGCAGTTTTGCAACCACACAGTGTCTCCGCACAGATGCTTCTTCAGTAGCTGCGTCATTCTTGTCACGCTTTCAATCTCTAGGGCCTCAGACTCGGACGCAAATAATTGATGCAAATCAACTCCAGCTCCTCACACTCACACTTAATCGCCCGACTCTCTTCCCCGGTGCTCCCCCCGCTGTCCAATGGCGCCCCTCCTCCGCAATCCGCAACACCCGTGCCGCCGGGCTACCACTTAGCGTACTTTACGCCCGCGTTCATGGAAAATGAACTAGGAGCAGATGGAACGGATACATCGTACAACCCAGATGCGCCATTCACGCGACGAATGTGGGCAGGCGGCGAGGTGTTGTGGCCTCGCGGCGCGGATGGAAACCCCAATCTGCTGCGTGTGGGACAACAAGTTCAGGAGACAACGCAGGTACTGAGTGCAGAGTCCAAGATTGTGAAAAAGACGGGCGAAGACATGATCGTTGTTGGAGTAGAGAAGGAGTTTGCCAACGAATCCGGTGTTTCAATCATCGACCGACGGTTCGACTTCCCTAGAAATGTTTGGAGATCCCAGTACTGACAACATGTAGGAATTGGGTGTTTCGCAGAGCCATCCCTGTCCCATCTATATCAGAACCACCTAGCGCCCCTCCATCGCCATCGACATCACACATCGCAACTCCGAACCCTACCTCATCCGTTATCTCCACCGAGGGAAAGACACATACGCGCACTTTAGTGCAGACACCCGTCACACTGTTCCGTTTCTCGGCCCTCACTTTCAATCCCCATAAGATCCACTATTCGCTACCCTGGGCCCGCGATGTAGAAGGACATAAGGATATTGTCGTACATGGCCCGCTGAATTTGATCTCAATTCTAGATCTTTGGCGTGACATTAGGAGTCAGGATGTGACAGACCCTAGCTTGGTCGTTCCCGAGCGCATCTCTTACCGAGCAACGAGTCCTCTATATGCTGGGGACGAGTATCGCGTCGTGCTTGAAGAAGGCGAGGAAACAAAGGTGCAGATTATCGGACCTGGAGGTGTGGTCGCTATGAAGGCCGAGATCCACTAAAAGAAATTCAAGTCAAATAGAAAGGTGTAATATATTCGTGATGTTTCGTATTACAAACAACGTGCAAAAATGTATTCTATAGGACAATAGAATTGTGAGCTCTATAGGTAGGATATGTACGGAATAGGAACTAACCTAAAACACTTTGGTCGAGGCCATTTGTTGGCGGGGGCGTGGATCCACCGGCCGGGCACTTTTCCCTGCGTTCATCCTTGAAGTTTTGTTGCTTGAATCCCGGGGAACGCATACTATCGTTCAACATCCATTGATCAAAATAATCATCAAAATGGATGGGACTTTGGACGCCGCTGCGGAGACGGTACCTAAAAAGCGAACCAGAGTGCAATTTTCATGCACGGCTTGCAGATATCGCAAGTAAGCTTATGAGCCAATATCCCTATATAGTATACCGATCTTGTATTTCTGCAGTGACTGATCCGCACACAGATTAAAATGCTGTCGCAACCACCCCTGCGGCAACTGCAAGAAGCGGGGCGAGGCAGCATCATGCTCGTATGTCGGCCGCGGTCCACGAGGCAAAGCCAAGCATGGTCGCTCAAGTCCGACTCTTGTCCATGATCGCTTGCACCACTTAGAAAATCTGGTAATGTCATTGGCTCAGAACCAACGGCCTGTCCCAAACATCGATTTAAATACACAGCCGGAGAATCGCGCGGCTTATGCGACACCCTCTTCGGGTAGCTGTGAGCCCGAAACTAAGTTGACTCCGGTTGACACGGGTACGCTGGTCGTCAAAAATGAAGGAACCAGTTATATTGACGGCGCCAATTGGCGTGCCATTCTAGAAGAGGTCTGTTGCGCTCTGTATACTTCTGACATCGATGGGCTGACATACTTGACCGGAAGATCAATGGCGTGAAAGAATATCTCGATGAAAGCAGAGATAATTCCGACGAAGAAGATGTTGAAACCGATACGTATGATGACTCGTCGCCAGTCCTGCTTCTTGGCAATGGTAGGCCAGTGAGTAAAGAGGAAGTCCTTGTAGACGTTCCTCCACGGTCAATAGCAGATCGTCTGGTCTCACGCTTCCTTAAGACATCTGAGCCTGCACGCAGTAAGTTTTCTTTCCGAATAACATACTTCTAGTTGGATATTGATTGCCAAAATAGTTGCGATTCATATACCCACGTTTCAGAAAGAGTATGAGGAGTTTTGGCTTAATCCAGCCGATAAGTCATTTACCTGGATCTCCCTCCTATACTCGATTATGGCTTTATCTGTTTCTATGTATCATCGAAGCACAGAACCGTTGCCATCCAGCATGGTAAATCCCATCACCTCATGGGCTATTTTCCGGAAAAGATCCTCACAATGTCTGATCCAAGCGAACTACCTCAACCCAGGGCGATACAAAGGCGAAGCACTATTCCTTTATTCTCTTACCGAGTTCTATCGAAGCCAGGATGCACAGATCGGAGTATCGTACTTGCTTGGAATTGCAATTCGTCTGACTATGCGCATGGGCTACCATCGAGATCCGAGCCATTATCCAATGCTATCGGCCTTTGATGGAGAAATGCGCCGGCGTCTCTGGGCATTGCTAGTTCAACTCGACACCTTAATATCCTTCCAAGTTGGCGTTCCTAGAACAATTCAGCCTTGGCAATATGACACGGAACTGCCGTCAAACTTGTTAGACACCGACTTCGACGCAAGTTACACTCAACTACCACCCGAGAGACCAAAAAACGAGCGAACAGATTGCTCGTATACGAGGGCCAAGGCTCACATCATGAGGGTTTTTGGACAGATAACAGACTTGGCATTCTCCCGAGAATACGCATCTTACGATGATATATTGGAGATCGACCGTCGTTTGGAGATCGCACATGATCTAGTGCCCACATTTTTGCAAATAAAACCAATGACGCAGTGCATTGCGGATCCCGCCGAACTGATCATGCGGCGCTTTACCCTGGAGCTCCTATACCAGAAAGCACGCCTTGTTCTGCATCGCCGGTACATCGGCGAGACAAGCACGAAATTTGCTTACTCGCGATCGGTCTGCCTGACTGCTGCCCGTGACGCTCTTCGATATTATATAGAGCTCTGGAACGAGTCCTTATCGGGCGGCCAGTTGCATGAAGAGCGATATTTCCTCAACTCTCTTCAAAATACAGACTTTTTGCTATCAGCAATGATTCTTTGCCTTGAGCTATCTCGGGAGGAGGAGCGTGGTGATGCTGCACTCCTCGGGCCTCAAGAACGTGCAGACTTCCTACTTCTTTTGGAAGCTACTCATCGCATATTTATGGAGTCTCGGCACCAGTCTGCAGATACACAGCGCGCAGTGTCTGCATTGACTATCATGCTCAAGCGTGTGAAGGATGCTAATTTTCGCGTCTCCAACTCGGGTACTGATCAAACTATGGTGTCAATGAGTGGTATTTTAGTACCTTCCCCAATCCACCAAATAGCGCTGACAAAGTCTTCAGATGACGGCCCACTCCAGTCTACTAGTCAACCCGCATTGAACCAAGAGCAGTTCCCAATGCATTCATTTAAAAACAGTGGATCGCAACCGGCCAATACCAGTGAAACTCCTCTATACAACTCCCTTGGGGTTATTGAAGATATGCTTGATGGACCTGCTCAACTTGACTGGGTGAGGAACTCCGTAATATTTTCTAAAGATGAAGCTAACCCTGGAACTACCTCTAGCGTTTGTATGATAGCAGTATCTCGGGAGTCGAGATGGCTACGAACAACAACGTCTGGTATCCTGATGCTTCTACGACTCCGTACGATTTCGTTGGATATACCTCTGCCGAGTCTCCCATGAACCACCAGAGTGGCCAGCAATGACCTTAGCTAGGTGTATATAGCAAAGCGAAATTAATGGACATATTTCGCTAGGTGATCATTGGTCTATGGATTTGGGGATTATGCCTACCGTGCAGCGTTGAAGACAATATCTAAATTAAAAGTCCAAAAACATGTATCGTTGTGCGATCAATCTTTCACAGGGTATCCCCAAGAGTCCAAAATGCACACAATACATGTTCCTGTTTTATGTTAAATTATCCAGCTGTATAGGTTCATGCCGAGGCGTGGAGTCTCGGATGCATCCCGCTCCGCGGAGCTGGACCTGTTTTTCTTGTTCTGCACCACGAATTACACCTCAAACAGCCTTCCTATAGGTTCCATCCAACACAATTCTCCGCAATGCAGCCATTCCGCACAATGCGCCTACTTAGTCGCCCAATCGCACAGTTCTCTCCGCGCCAAATCGTGTGCTCAGTATCCCTCCAGCCAAAGGCAAGCACCAGGACAATAAACACAACCCAACGACCAAGCCCCCGGCCTCTCCTCTCCAATGGAGTTACATTCAAACCCACCCGGCGAGCCTTCGGTCTCCCCTCTCTATCATCCTTCCTCCCCTCTACCGGCAACAACGGCAACAACTCCCCCCACCGCGTCCTAACAGCAACCCGCAACCTCCCATACAACCCAGCCCTACTCTACAAAGTGATCGCATCCGTCGAATCCTACAGCCAATTCCTCCCATTCCTCACCGCCTCGACCGTGACAGCGCGCGATCCCAAAACAGGCTACCCAACGCAAGCGTTCTTGACAGTCGGCTACGGCCCGCTCAGCGAGACGTTCACATCGCGCGTGGACTGCGACGTTGAGAAACTGACCGTTGAGGCAAAGAGCGGAGATAAATACGGAAAGGAAGGCCAGGATGGCCAGGCTGGAAAGGGCGAGTCTGGGCTTAGTGGGTTCTTTCCTGGCGGCAGTGAGGGCCTTTTCGAGTACCTTTCCACGCGGTGGGAGCTTGTGCCTCTTTCGCCTGCTGAGGCAAAGGGTGGACCTATGACTAGAGTCAACTTGGAGGTGCGGTTTGAGTTCCGTTCGCAAATGCATGCTACTATTATGAGTTCTGTTGAGGGGAAGATGGCTGGGGTTATGATTGAGGCTTTTGAGAAGCGGATACGGGAGGTTGAGGGCAAGGGCTTGTAAGTGATGTTATATTGTAGGTGGATTGTAAATTATAGGAGTTGGGATTTGGGACGCATTTTGCATGTATTGGATTACATATGTACCTTCTTAGACTTGGATATATTCCCAGAGACAATAGAGAGCATCGCCTTTTCGACTCTATAATACGGACGGATCGCTATAAAATCTCCAAGAGTGACATGTGAGAATGATGAAGGTGACCAAAAAAATAACATGGTAGTATATAATACAGATTATCAAGACAAGAAGATGATTTTCGACTTAAAGCATACTCATACTCCGATTCCGGGTAATGGAGCTCCGGGAGCCCTTCTGCGAGCCAACGGCGTTGTAGTTGTCAAAGACCACATCCCAGTTAATCCGATCCCACCAGCGCTCCAGGTACTCGTCCTTGCCGGCAATACCGTAGTCCATCATCCACGCGTGCTCCCAGGTGTTAACGCAAAGGATGGGCTGGATGTCGACGGCGCCGGGTGCAAGACTCTTCTGGTTCTGAGCGTGGGCACCCATGGATCCGGCGAACTGGTTGCCTAGTTGGGTCTCGGGGGTGTGGGTGGACATATCGAGGGGTTGACGACGGGAGTGGGCGGCTGGGTAGGGTGAGCCAGCGCTGTAGGTGCAGAAGATGTGCATCAGGCCTTCGCGCTCGAGGTTCTTGGCGAGCCACACGAAGCCGGGGCCGAACATTGAGCTTGCTGTGGCCAGGAAATCCAACTTCAAGGACTCAACGGAGGAACAGGTGTCGACGATGTCCTTGGCAAATCTGTCGGGAATGGTGGTGGCGGTGGGGGACTAGATTGCGGAAGCTCGTCAGATTTTACTGTTATATATGAGAGTGATTTAGTGTTACTGACCAGGCAGTTGAAGAAGAAGTGGTTGTTGTGGGCCATTGAGGCATAGTTGAAGACCGAGGCCATCTCCGGACGCCGGGAGTACTTGACCAGCAATTCTCCGGGTTTGGCATCGGCATCGACGGTGTCTATGAATACCGCGTATCAGAATTGGCTTCTTCAACATGTCGTATTACTGAATGAAGCGATTGGACCGAGAATGGACCAATAAGTCATTCCGCAGGATCGGAGTGCCGGGGCTCACCTTGTGTCAACAGATTGAGCTTGTCAACGAGCAGAGTCTGGTATTGAGTCCAGGCGAAGTCGAATGCCTCGGGCGAGAGGAACTCTGGGACACCATTCTCCTTATAATGGGCATCGTGCTGCAATTGGGGAACGCGATGAATGGCACGGGTCTGGAAGCGTGAGAGGGCGGAGGTGGGTTTCTAGATAAAACGCGGTCAGTCTGAGCAGGTTGATCCACGAAGAAATTGAAGCTCACAGGGGAGAAAGAGGACGCTACGCGCAAAGCGCTCTGCGGCCGGACAAATCGACTGAACATGACGAGGGTACTGTGAATGAGCGGGTTAATCGTGCAGAGCTTCAACGTCGAAGAATTTCCCTCCCGACGTGTAGCCCGATCGGGACTAGATTGGCTTATATAATGCCCTCGACAACAACCAATCAAATCGTCTCAATCTTTCTATATCAAACATTCACATCTAGTTCTGGATAAAATACTCCGTATGCCCTGAGTATATAGCTGTTGACTGCGTTATCTTCAAATTGAAAATGCTGGCCTTGATCTCCAATGAGAAACATTGTATTGCAAGAAATAAACCAAAAACTCGGTGGATATTGACCCCTTAGGCATCAATATCCATTCACCCCAACCTTTGGAAAGATCATCCCTTCCCGAACTACAAACCGTGTCTCGGTCGCTGTTTCGACAAGAACTATATAAAACTATATCTTTTTATTATATTCCACGACCTGCAGATATCCAGTCGCCATCATTCTGGATAAAGCCTTGCCTCGCTGTGTCCTCGAGGCCAGAACACACAGATTTTGCACAGCGTTTAGATCGTTGATCTCAAACGCTCATATATTGCATCCAAGATCATCTAGAACGCGAGCCGATCTTCCTTTAAGCATCAGAAATCTCTCTCATTCGCGATTTCAAAACATGAAGATTGCGACTCTCCAACTAGCCCCCAAACTGGGTGATGTTGAAGGCAATATTGAGAAGGCAAATGCGTTAATTCAATCCAGCAAGACACTTTCTGTCGAAGAGGGAAAACCTGATATATTGGTACTACCTGAATTGGCATTGACCGGTATGACCGTGCTAAATGAACTGTCCATAGGTGAATAGGGACCATTGCTAACCTCGGCTATTAGGTTACAATTTTTCTTCTTTAGAGGAGATCAAACCATACCTAGAGCCAGCTGGTGATGGGCCCTCTGCCTCTTGGGCGCGTGAAACTGCCAAGCGCTTGCAATGCAAGGTTTGTGTGGGCTATCCAGAGATCGAGAAAGATTCCCAAAATCCCGATCAAGCCACCTGCTATAATTCGCTTCTTATAGTTGACGAGACTGGAGAAGTCATCCACAATTATCGCAAAAGCTTCTTGTATTACACCGATGAAACTTGGGCAGCGGAAGGCCAAGTTGAGCGAGGCTACAAAGAACTCGAAATCCAAGAAAAGCAGGTCGCGACTTCATTTGGTATCTGTATGGATATCAACCCATACAAATTTGAAGCACCGTATACGAAATGGGAATTTGCAACTCGAGTGCTTGACTCGCAGTCTCAGCTTGTCATTTTATCTATGGCTTGGCTAACGTTGTTGGGCCGTGAAGAGCTCGATACCTTAAAACACAAACCTGAGATGGATACGTTCAATTATTGGATTCAACGGTTCTGGCCTCTATTACAAAAGAAGATGAAGCACGAAGTTGACATTGACGGCACAAAGACTACAGTCTCTCCGAAGAAGATCGTCATCGTGTTTGCCAACCGGTCGGGTGAAGAGCCATCGGCCGGGGAGACCAAGCCACCGGCACGATATGCAGGAACAAGCGCTATTATTGCAGTGACACAAAAGCCCACTGCAGATTCTGATCTAGACACAGACTCGAGCAGTGATGCGGAACTTCCATTAGATGTCAAGATTCTTTGTTGGGATTTGATGGGCGCCGGAGAGGAAGGTATTTGCTTCGCAGATACCACCCAAGACCCGAAAATGGTGTTTGCCATGAAAAAATCGGTGTAAAAACATAAAATGTCTCAAATTCAAATTCAAAGTTGAGATATTTGGTTGGGGATCATTTTGTACATACATGTGTGCAGCACCCCTTGAGTTATTTGTGTCCGAGCACCAATCACATCGCTCCAATCTACCCTAAGCGCCTCTCGAGGTCATCTTCCTTCTATCATTGTTCTGTTTATTCTCCGTTGTTACTTTATTTTACAAAGATCTACGCAGTACATTTGTGCTTTGTTTAGCGCCCAGTTATTTTAATCATGTCGACCCTGAAATAGCCCAGTCGCTATTTTAGGACTGCGGCGCGTACTAGTTGGGTAGACTCTTTGTTTAGAAGACATCAAAGAAGATGTTTCCTTGGTCCCAGATACCTGATTCTTTCATCCGTGCAATGAATGCCCTTGTCTGAGGCGTTGATTAGTTTCAATCTATCGTGGAAGTTGTCTTGATCCTTCTGCATACTCCGTGATCTGCATTTCACCTGAAGATATTGAGACGGGTCTTTCCTCTATATCTTCTACCAGCACTCCTAGTCGATCATTGAGAATACTCACTGTCCATTACACCTACACCCATATTATGGTAAGGTCAACACGCCGGAGCTATGGATGGGGGTCCATGCTGCTGCTTTTGAATCTCCTGGCCAGTATCGCTCCAGGACAGGCATTTGGTTCTCTTGATCTGTTCGCAAGAAGCTCGGATTCTTGCCCAACTTCATACGCAACATGCAGCAATACAAATCTCCCAGACGACTTTTGCTGTCCTTCAGACTCAACCTGTATCAGTGTGGACAACGCCAGTTCCGCCATATGCTGTCCCGCCGGGGAAAACTGTGACTACATAGCACCGATTGTATGTGATCTACAGCAGCAGAATGTCACCTCCCACCCAAAGAGTTCCATCAAAACAACTCGGCTCAGTGACAGCCTCGCCAAATGTGGCGATGCATGCTGCCCATTTGGTTATACCTGCTCAAAAGACAACACCTGTGCTCTGGACAAATCGGCCGCTACAACAGCAACAGCCTCTGTATCCAGCTCCTCTACAACTCAGTCGCCCTCAACAACGACAAAGATGGCCACAACGCCAACAAACCCCCAGGCAACAATCACGCCAGTGCTCTCTCCATCATCGGACAATTCCAACCATTCCACAAGCTCAATTCTCTCAACTTCCTGCCCTGCATTCCCAGCAGCAGCCATAGCCACAGGATTCTTCCCAGGCGCCATATTCGGCGCCGTAGCAGCCCTCCTAATATCCCTCTGCGTACGAGGCCGCCGCACCAAAAACGAAACCCAAATCCAAGAACCCAAGCCCAGAACCAACTGGGCCCAACGCTCCTCCTCCGGCGCTCTGACGAGCATCTCCCACCCAATCCCGCAAGACGACACCTCCTACCGCACAGACTTCCTGCGAATCCCACCAGATGCAAAGCGGTCTTCCAGCGGCGGATATCCCGCCCGCTCCGTGATTCACCGTACCAGCAGCAGAGTAAGGAGTCTGTTCTCTGGATACCCGCGGGATGACCCACGACTGAACAGCGATGTCCCACCTGTGCCTATGCCTGCTCCGCTCACGCCGCCCCGTCAGCGCCAGCCGAGCACGGAGAGTATCACGATCTACTCGCCGCATAGTTTTGCGCAGCTTGCTGCTGCGAGACCGAATACTACTTTCTCGGATTTGATGCATGTTGCGCGGGGGCCGAATGAGATGCCGCCTTATCCGATGCATAAGGATTTGAAGCAGGATCCTTTCAGGGATCCTGCTCGTTCATAGACCTTAGCTGTTAGTCTGGGTGAGGGTGGCTGGGCTGCATGTTCGATTGGTTTTGATTTAGAAACGTTGGTTGTACTGGCATATTGATGGCGTACCAAGATATCCCTGCTTTTGTTTCTCGCATTATGATAGTTCGGTTCGTCTGTTTACATACCTGGTTTCTTCGCTACCTACGTAGCTTAATTCAAAAATCACAATGGTCTACCCGAAGGCGAAGCCGCTCAAGGTCCGTAAAAAAGAAACGAAATTTAATAAAAGTTTATTTTCGGCGAAAGTAAAAGAAATGAATTTGACTGGTGTATATGTAAACCCTCGAATACAAAGGCTGTAGGAGATTCCAACTATAACGCTGCTGCTCTTTTTGCCTTGCGCCCAGCTGCAATCCTTTTGAGCTCCTTGAGCAATCCAACCAAGAGAGGGACACCAATGGGACCCAGAAGTGGAAGATAGACTGCAACTTTATGTTCATCAGGGAAGTAGACCTGGCCCACCATACTCTTCTCGAAGAAACTGCGCTCGGCTTCTGTCTCTGCGACTCGAGCGCTGGCAAGGGCAGCTCCAAAGCGGCCCTCTCGTAAGTGGGAGCAGGTAGCACCCAAATGAGAAAGTGTGGTGGATACGGAGGTGGCCACAGTAGCTGGTATAGGAATTGAGGGTAGAGATTCAGTGAGACGAGCAAGCGAACCCATCGTAGATGATGCAGATAGTATGAGAGTAGCCGCGCGAATGCGGATAGATGTCTGGAGACGAAGGGGAAGAGAGGCGGGAGTGCTGGGAGTGCCAAGAAGGGTAAGGAGCTGGTGGGAGAATGTCATGAAGGCAGGGCCCAAAGACTCATGGGAGAGATGGGCAGGGTTAGACTGGCTGCTCTGCTTGTCAGTGCTGGAAAGCGATGGGTTCAGGAGGAACACCCCGCCCCACTGAGGTACTATCCAACTGGAGGCACGATTCTCCTTTACAATGAGTGGAGACTGCGAGGGATCCGGAACATAGAGGATAAAGTTGATTGTAGGGCCATTTCCGATACTTGGATTCAGCGGCCACTCGGCAGCGTTGACGAATGCACTTAGGTCTTCCTTCTTTAATGTCCAAGCTGCCTCGGCTTCATCGAACTCAGGCTTTGGTGCAGTAGGTGCGAAGTTTGCATACAGCTGCACCTGTGTGTCGACGGTGAAGTCGCTGATAGGGGATAATGCTTTCAAAAGTGGAGAAACATATTCATTCACGGCAGCCTCAATATCCCACGAGGAAGGTGTAGATCCTGGAGTAAACAACGAAAATGAAAGATGATATGTTTCAGCATATTTCATCGATCGGCGCAGTCTTCGGCTGATATCTTCGGCTAGTTGTGGGGAGGTTGAGGCTAGCCCAGCAGTATGGCCAGACAAGATATGCGCAATGGTAGCTTTCTCCTCGCCATACAATCGCTGCAGCTCTTCTGCGATGAATGTTGAAAGGGGAGAGTTTGAGGATGAAGGAACCGGGACTTGGTTTGGCGGATAGAAGACGTCAAGCTGCGTCGCCGCAGCGTGGAGCTCTGACCGTGGCCCTGCTAGATTCTCCTGGGGCAGAAGCCGAACAGTCAATGCGATGTCTGCGACCTCTGCTGCGGCGAAATTGGCGCCTTCCAAATCACCTTCGCCATTATGAGATCCCAGGGTGGTATCGTTGGTCAACTTGAGTCGGAGGTGATGGGCTGCAAACTCATTGAGATCATCGAGGGTGTGTTGTGTTGTGCGAAGTAGATGTTGGGCCTCAGAAGATTGCATCGAAGGTGTCGCAAGATGAATTTCCAATGGAAACACTGGCCGACATGCCTGAGAAAGCATATGTTAGCATCTAGAAAGCCCCAATGCCAGCGGCGATTGGCGCGAGTCGTACCTTGCCGTCAGCCCAATCGACCATATCCTCGATAGGGAGAGAAGCCCTGTAAATAGACGTTGTTTTCCACCATATTGGGAAACCCAAAAATATAATCACAGCCCAAAAAGCTGCTATCACGCGGAATCGCGTTTGAATAGCGGCCGGGGTCTCTGAGGGTGGTGCGCTTTTGACGCTGGGTTGGTCGGATTGTGAGGTCGAAGCCCGAGGAGACTCCTGGTCTCCTTTTGAGGTCGTCATGGTCAGGACATGCTTTGTGCTCTAAATTAGAGCAAGGATGAGATTGTTTCGTACAATATCGTAGATTGTTGATTATGGGGAAAGTTGCGGGCGGAGAAAGCTAGGGACAACGTAGGTGGCCGCATTGAGCGACCTCAGTCAATTAAACTATACACTTCACTTGAACTATGAGCCAGCACCTTCAATTGTTCAATTCAAAATCTACTATTTTGAATGAACATTTGCTTACTGAAGCTGCGACGTGTTGTACTTTTAAGTCAACCTACAAGCGTCTAATCTCCAAGGTAAACCGAGCGATGAGCAGTACATAACCTTCAAATGGCATTAACGAGTTATTTTTATGGACAGAAAGTGTTTTAAAATCATAAAAACGAGGGTATATTGACCAAAAACGCCGATCTAATGTAGTAGTCAAAGGCCCGCTGGCCTGTACTTAATGCAATGTCTAGTATTCCTTCTCGAAAATCGCCTGGATCGGTTTGGCAGCCTAGTTTATCATTAGCCAACATGCCACTTTCTGGTTTGAACAATGCAGACACAACACATACATCAATAAACTTTTCAAGATCTTGATCCAGGTTGGCAAGGTTATCCTTTCTCTTCTTGTTCTCGGCGATCAAAGCCTGTTTGCGCTTCAGAAGCTCTTGTCGTGCCTGCTCCAGCTTCTCCCGCTCGGCATGCTCATGGTTGATACGGGCGATCATCAGTTCATGTTCATTGGTTTCGCGATGTTCGGGGTGAAGCTCCAGGAATTCTTCGACGGGGATCAAAGGAAGGGACAGATATTTGTGACTATTTCAAAAGACGTTAGTTCTCACGCAGAAGAAAACCTCCGGAGGATATATCCACATACTCATATGCTTCACAGGCTGCAATCTCACCAGTGAGATGCTTTTGTTCATAGTACAAGTTCTGAAGTTGAAGATGTAGCCGATCGATCTCTTGTCGAGCCTCCGCGGTCGCTTGCTTGGTGTCGCGCACTCGAAAAATGGCATCCCGGTTCTGCCCGCGGAGTTGGGCCAGCAGCGCGAAGAGAAGCTTTTGTTGTTTGGAGGCGGCTAAAGACAATTCCTGTAGCTTATCGGCATCGTTTGGCGAGGCATCGGGGTTTAATATGGCGAGAAGCTGCTGACATTGGACCAGGGTCTCGGCGCTGGTCTGCAGGACTGGTAAAAGCGACTTATCGGCGACGATCTCACTAAGAGCCATGATTGAAATTCGAAAACAAAAAAATTACGATATCGTAAGTATCTGATCGATGTGGCGAGAGATCCCGAGTGCCGAGAAGGAAATAATGTGGAGGTTGAGGGCGGGATCGATCAATCAGGGCGGCGTTAAGTGCATGTGCCTTGGATATGGTTGGGGAAACGTTCTCTAGCCCTTTTTCTCCCTTCGCGCTGCGACATTCCCCTCCTTTTTTTTTCCTCCAATAACTGTTTTTCTTTATGTGCCCCTCGTTTCTCTCGTTTTAAAGGTCTATAAGCCTTAAGAGGCTTGGTCCCGATTTCTCTCTTCGGACTCCGCCTCCCGATTCGCCTCTCAGCGCCTACTACACCCTCGAACGGCAATCGAGTCATACTAAGAGAGGGGAGTGAAATATCAACTACGCCCATGGCTTGTGGCACTTCTTCTATGGCAGTCGAGTCATATCCTGAGGCAGAGGCATTTGCCTCTGCCATCGCGACTCCGGATGAAGATACTGGTCTTCTCCGTGATCGGCGGCGCAGACATTCGTTCCATGCATCTAGAAAACTTTCATGCGACTACCAGGATGCGGACGCAGTCTTCATCAGAGTATGTGCTTGTTTCATTGGCGAATAACTCTCCGAATAACGTTTGATTTGATCTAACCAAATATCAGGTTGAACTCTTTCTAGCCGAACTGGAACGTCGAATGCTGTGGATCGAGCAGTACCGGAAATCCCATATGGAGCAAGTTGATGCCAGTTTAAAACGAGGATATGCCGCTTTGGAGGCCGTGAGAGACCAGTGTTCCGTCACTTCGGGAGAGTTGATGGGCAGTGGCAAGAAGCGAGCTAAAATTTTGGTGGAGACCCTCGAAGATCGATACAATGAGGCTCTAGTGACTAAAGAGACCTTGGAACAGAAGGCGCAAGCTGGAGTGCGGCTAATGGAGTCATTCTTGTCGGAACTCGAGAACAGAGCCCATGCGGTTCGCGATCGAGGCATTTATGGTACCTTGGATGACGGGTGGAAGGCTATGGATTCCGGGTTGGTCCACGCCCGGGAAATCGTCGACGAGGGCATGGAGCGTGCCCGCCGAACTCGCGATACCCTCCGAGAGACCGTCGAAGAAGCTATTCGGCTAGCCCAGGAGAAACGGTTGATCAGCTACAGTGAGCTGCCTGACCCATGGCGGGTCAATCCACACATCCTCAAAGGCTATCGATTCACCACCTCCAAGGTGGAGTGTGTATCGTCGGTCTTCGCTTATTCGAATGAGATGTTCAACATCTGGTCCCATGTGATCGGCCTCGTCGTCGTCCTCGCCATCGCCTTCTACTTTTATCCGCTGCATACCAACTTCCACTTGAGCTCCAAGTCCGATATTGCAATCGCCGCTGTTTTCTTCTTCGCTGCGTGCAAGTGCCTAGTTTGCAGCACTATCTGGCACACCATGAACAGTATCGCTTCTCAGTCATTAATGGAACGATTTGCTTGTGTGGACTACACCGGAATTTCCATGTTGGTTGCTGCCTCTATTGTGACTACCGAATACACCGCTTTCTACTGTGAGCCCTTTTCTCGATGGACATACATTCTGCTCACCATGTCACTTGGCATCGGCGGCATCATTCTACCATGGCACCCGACCTTCAACCGCCACGACATGGCTTGGGCTCGTGTGGGCTTCTTCGTGACACTCGCACTCACCGGTTTCTCGCCCATAGCCCAGCTGTCCTACACCCGTGGTTTCGCGTGGACCATGTATTTCTATGCCCCGGTCGTGAAGAGCATCATGGTCTACTTTGTTGGTGCCTGTATCTATGCCTCCAAGGTCCCCGAGCGGTGGAAGCCTGGCTTCTTCGACTACGTTGGTGGCAGCCACAACATCTGGCACATGGCTGTTTTGGGTGGTATCTTTTTCCACTATCACGCCATGCAAGACTTGTTCGCCGGTGCCTTCCTACGAGCCCAAGGCGAGTGCCCAAATCTGACGTCTTGAACATATTTTCCGACATACCCCTACGAATTCTATCTGCATTGCTCTTCGCTTCTTGCTCGTGCCCATATCTGATGGAGCCCACGGTCTCGATTTTCAACATGCCCTTAGACGTTTACCCTTGCTGCATGCTGCTGGTTATGAATTGCTGTGGTCTTTTTCGGCAAAATCTCATAGATCTCTTTCTACAAGAGTATTGACTCCGTTGATGTCTGTTTTGCCCGCATGGATGGAGTTTGTTTTGTTTGCCTGTCTTTGTTTCTGATTCTTAGAGCATGGCTTGTACAGAAGTCCATTGTCTTTCTGTTATAAAGGGCATCATTAGATCTGCCCAGATACAGGGTGTGCACAGTTGTCTTTCCTGTATGTACTTTTGACGTTTGCTGTATTAACGGGGACTACGATATCTTGTGAATGATGTTTGTTGCTATTACGCTAGAACATAAAGACATATTTTGGTCTTCGTATGAATCCTCAAGCTTAATATATTTATCTATTCTTTAGACTGGCAATGATATGATGCTATCATAGATATCCATCCAATACAATTTAGGCCCTATAACCACGCGATGCAATATGTGACTGAATAACAAATATGCAAATTCCAATGCCAATGCAGTTCCTTCTCATCCTTCAAGAGGATCACAGTGATTTTTGAGCCATGCTTAACCGTGCTACTGTTTTATTGAACAAAACTCCATCAATTATCTTGGCTGTTCTGGCGTTTGTGGGCCTTCTTGCGGTCCGGCAAGTATCTTACTACATACGACAGCGGAGTAGCAAGCAAAGCCAAAAGTATCCAAATGGCATAGCCTCCCGCTAGTTGCGTTCCCGCCCCAATCGCAAAGAGGCTAGTGAAGGAGGCCGGACAGACAGCTCTCAAAAGGCTCATACAAGTCAAGGCTAGAGCATTCAGGGTGCCTAGAACCCTCGGCGACGGTGAAACATCATTGACAAGGAGTTGAATCGCAGTGAAGCTCATGCTGACTCCACAGCCAAGAACCAGCACTGTCGGCATAAAGATCCAGAAAGCATTAACAGAAGCATCGGTGCCCCGCCGCAGGAGGACATTTCCCATGGGCAACAACATGAAGAATGCCGGGTAGGCATAGCCACAGAGGCGTATCACACCCTTTGAACCAATTCTCCGCTCTAATGGAGGGAACACCAGCAGGAGCCATGTAGCTTGAGCGGCACCATTCAAACCCATCATCAGCGATATTTGGAGTGGGGTGAAGCCATATCCACCGAATTTTATGGGAGTAAACCAAAAGACTGGCACAATGGCAGTGAACGCAAAGGCGAGGACCATAAGGTTCCCGTATATATAGAGGGCGGAGCCCACACCTGGTGAGGTCAGAAGGTCCCTTGTCGACATGGTGCTCTGTGACAGAGAATGGGCTCCAGCCTCTTCGCCATTGCTCTCTGGAGTCGGTGTCTTCTCCAGTGTTTCCTCAACAAAAAGGGCACTAGACACCACAGCGGTGGAACCCACAAGCGCCACCACCAGACTCGAGAGAGCGTAAGGATAGTTCTTGAAGAAAGCGATATCACCAAAGATACCGGGGTACTGAGCTGCCGGATTAGCAAGAGCACCGCCCATCAGAGGCCCGAAAAACATGCCCAAGTTCCCACTGAAAGCGAACCAACTGAACGCCCGAGCCTGGGTCTTAGGTGTGCTGTGCTCGGCGATCATAGTGCGAATAGTAACGATTGGCCCAGCGAAGATGCCAGCAAGACATCTGAACATAATCATCTGCTGTATGGACTTTGCCATTCCAAAGAGGCCAGTCGGCACAGTCACGCCGATCATAGACAAGACCAGGACGCGTTTCCGCCCGAACCGATCCGCAGCGCGACCCCATAATACCATCACCATAGCCTGTGTCACGGAGAAAAGCGACTCGATGAGCCCGCTGTAAAAGCCGACATCCGTATCCGCGACGTTTCCGTTCTCCTGCACCATCTGGCTTACGTAGGGGAAAATGGAGAAGAAGGCCAGGGGCTCCATCGCGCGGGCATAGCAAAGCAGCATGATCTGGAACTTGGGCAGAGGCTTTTCATCATCTTTATGGATTTCCTCGGTAGATTGTATAGCTGTGCCGGGTTTCAAGAGAGCTGTAGTCTCATCTACAAGCACATTCTCATCGCCAAGTCCGGGGGCGGATCGTTCCCGGGAAGGTTCTGCGCCCGCTGGGCTGCTTTTCGGCGAAGCGACCATGGCTGTAACAGCGAACCTTGAGACGCTGTTGGCAGCTCAAATGATAGAAGTTGTTCACAAATGGAAAATTTTCATGAAGATATTAGGTGATTGACTCATGTCTTGACGTGACGCTTGGATCCGTCCACTAGGTCCTATTTGGGTGTGAGATAATCGCGGCTATGCAACCCCACTCAATTCTCCTCGCATGCCTATGCCGAAAAATATTCTAGTATTTGGAATACGAGAATGATCATTGATATAACAAAGTGGAAATCTATACTGAACTTGGCGTTATACGAGGGTTGTTACACAACCTTATACGAATCATAGAGTTCGTCAACCCATTAAAGTCTAAAACTTAGGTTGTGTCTTAGCATCAAACAGCCCTGGAGGCACCTGGGCGTTGTTGCATATTGCATACAGATGTATTTATTTTGTTAGGTATTTTGCAAGTTCTATAGCTAAAGTCTAGCGTCATATATTCATAATTCGATTATCAAGATATCGCTTCATCCCGGCGAATTCGGCCATTCACTCATAGCTTGAGAAGTCTTATAGTAACGTTTTTGCCGCCGATGGCTTCAATCTGCACAGCGTCGCACCTCTGCATGATGTATATCCAGAATACATAGCAGCGCGGTATTGAGTTCGCCACAGGCGAACGTAGTAAAACCAAAATTAGACGGTATACAAGTCACAGGCTTGGTCTGTGACCTGAGCGCGTCTGCAAGAAACGTTGGTCATTTGTTGTTGAGGTAATGATGGAATCTTAAAGTCGTCCAAAACGAGCATCACCCGGCTTGGTCATTTTGATATTCATTGTGCGGGCTCGGTGGCAGTCTCAATGGCAGGTCCACCGCGCTTTACGAAGTTTCCCTGCATCCAGCAACGGTACATCTTTTGTTTGGTGCCACGGTTAACAATCAGCCGTCGGTCAACTCCCATGTTGAGCACCTCGAAAGCTCCATTATCGATTGCTGATTGCTTGGCCTCCGCTGATGGCTCCTCGGCAGGCTGGGCCTCCTCAACAGATGCCTCGGCGGAAGCCTCATCGCCAATAGGAATCTGCAAGCCATCTTTGGCAGACCAGGTTCCCCACATATCAACGAGCTGATCCTTCTCGAAGAAATAGACACGGGTGCCGTCGCCTCTAACGTAGAAGTTCTCGGTCATGTAGCGGCCCTTTTTGAAACGCACTTGAGCGAGGTCACCACGGCCATAGTCGCGGAACAGCACACGGCCACCGGGCTTCAAGAGGCGGTAGATGTTGCGGATGGCATGGTCCCATTGGTTAGGGGCCAGAGCAGAGAAGATAAAAATCAAAATCACGACGTCGACCGAGCCTTCTGTTAGGCCAGGCGGGAGAGAATCGGACTCCTCGCTTGGCACGGCGGCGGCGTCCCAGACATCGGCGGACATATACTTCTCGTTGTAGTGCTCGCTTTCGCGCATGACCTTCACTGCGTATTTGGAGAAATCGCAGGCATGGACTTTCAGGTGCTCATTCTCGTTGTTCGCCAATAGGGGGAACGCAGTGTTTCCGGCTCCCGCGCCAATTTCCAGGACAACCTTGGGACCAGCATCCTTCTGGGTCACCTCCGCGAGGATTGGGAACTCTTGGCGCAGCCACTTGCGGTCTTTGAAAAAGTTTGCAGTGTTGTTTTTATAGAACTTATCCCACCACTTGGCTGGTTCCATGTTGAATCGCCTCCGATCAAAGTCCGACACTCGCGTTTCTCGCTGCTTCGCATATTGGGTTTGGGCAAAGGCCTTGAACTCATCATCTGGTTCAACATGATCCCAGGCATTGAACTCGAAGACATCGTCGCCCTTTTCGAGGAATCGCGAGCCGAATTGGAAAGGGTCGGTCCGTTTCATGTTGTTGCTGGGATCATGGGAGCGAGACGCCTCGACATAGTTAGGCTCGACATTTTGAGTCACTTGCTCGAAAGTTGGATCGACAGTCATTATGGCGGGCAACGCAAGATTTTGATTGAAGAAACACTTGAGATGTGTTTTTCGCCAAAGTGATCGTCGAAGAGAAGGCGGGGAGGACAAGAGAAAAATCCAGACGGACTGTCATTGGCGGGGTGCCTGGACTATGATTTCTTTTTGCCCCTCAGCCCAATTTTCTTCTCTCCACCAATCATTGCTTGTTTTCGTTACACCGCCTGACTTATCGCTTTCTATCTTATCATTTATCGTTTATCGCTTATCGGTATCTAACAAACCAGAAATTGGGAAATACCACAGCCCTAAGGGCAATCATATTCAAAAAAAAACCCAAAGAAGACCAATAAAACCTTTAATTATTTATGGGGGTAGTAATATATCAAAAGACATAAGGATATTAGCAAATTTACATCGGAACAGGCGTTCTGAATGCTTAAGGCGGAGTCGCGTATCTTATCCGAATAGAGTTCCCGGAATTTGGATGCCTGCGGGTGCCTCAGTTGTCAGCCAGATCTGGCTTCTCTCATTCTCTTTCATCTTCTTCTTTCTTCATTCATACAAACATGTTATTTTAACCCCAGAATTTATCTCAAAGTTGCCTGTCTGTCAGCTCAGGTTTGGGGCATATCTCAAAGCAAGTGGGGTTCAACCCGCTATCGTCTCTTGAGGCTCAACATCTAAACTGCTACTACTATTGCTCGGAGTATTTTTGTTGGAAGTTCCAGTAACAAGCTTCATATTGCTATGCTAATAGCATAATCTCACTTTCCCTTTGTCAATCATCCCACCATTGCCTCATTGGACCATGTCGTTCCTTTCCGGACTATGTGGGTGCTTTGCCCCAAACGGGCAAGACGAGAAGCACTCGCGCGCCTCCGCACCAGAAATGGCGAACTCAAGGCCAAATCACACCGGCTTGCAAACAGGAAGCTTTACACTCGCCAGCAACGGCCATTTCATTCACACAGCCGGTCCAACGGGCATCAACGGGCACGGACCCCCTCCCGCTGACTCGGAGGATGGGGGCTATTCTAGCGTCGTTCCGCTCCCGCAGTACACAGCCCGACCCATGAGCCTTCACGAAAAGACCCTCGAAGCTCACATGCGTGATCCATCCGTCTCATCCGAGTCCTTTGAGACCTACGCACATGACGAGAAAGACCGCAATATGTACGACGAGGATGTCAGCTCGGATAGTTCCTCGGCTATTTCATTCCCAAGTAGCTACGGCAATACCTCTACCGCAACAAGAGAGACTCCACCGCCCCCCTACTCTCCTCGGCACTCTGTGGTGATGAGCCGTTCTCGGTCAATGTCTATCTCATCTGCTATGGCGGTCATCATCAACCCGCCTCCCTCGGCCCGTGTAAATGGCTCGCGGACTGGACCTACATACTCCGAAGAGGATAACCGGTCCATCCGCCGTCATCGGCGGGTATCCTGGGAAAGCCGGTGAACCAGTATCGTCTAAATATAGTGAGACAAAAATATTCTCGCTGTCCTTTTTTGCTTATCAGCTGCTGCTTTAATATTTCGCATACTGAACTTTTGGCTCGAGCGATCTGGAATCGTTATTGATGGGCATTTTTTTTGTCTTTTGGGGTTTTTTTCGGGACCATCACTGCATGATGGTCATCTATTGTTTTTCTTTTCGTCCCTCGCCGTTCCTCTCACTCTTTTTTGCTATTGCATACGACATGACGATTATCACTTCTGGAAGCTGGTCCAGCATTAATGACATGACTGGGATTTGGTGCGAACATGGTCCATTTTTGGATAGTTTTGGATACTTAATATTGACATGCACATAAACGCTTCCCATGCATAGATGGCAGGGGCATTGTGCAACAGCTGTTATAAATGTGAACACGATTTTATTTAATTTTCCACATAAATCAATGACTGCCAGCGAAGCCAAAATTTAATAAAACCATCGGCTTCAATATAGGAATGCTTTAAGATGATGACCAATAATAGGGTATTAAAAAAAGATGCAAAAATACATGCCTCCTCAGTTCAGCTCCAGAACGCCTGCTCGTTCTTGCTCATGCCCGAGTAAGTACCCACAGCACGACGCCGGGAATTCCAACATCTTCAAGACCAGTGGATCAGAACTATTCTCCAAAAACATACAAATCGCAGTACATTCCGAACGAGCCCTCGTCTCAACCCACCATTCCTCAACATCACACATAAGCCCCAGCCACCAAGCCAACAAAACCAGCGCCGGCGGCTCCTTTCTCCACAAACACTCAAAAAACGGATTCTCAATTCTTCCCATCCAAGTATTATACTTCTGAAAACTAACCGTCCCGCGCTCAAGCGGCAACAGCCCCGTAAGCATACGCAGCGGCCAAAGTAACGGGCTGGACTCAACAGTTGTATCATCCGTAATTCCGCAGAGATCCGCCAGATCCGGATCAAGACCCACACGGCCGGGTCTATTGTCTTCGAAGTCTATGCTTGGATCCCGCGATTCCATGAACACCGTCCACCACATACTCTCTGGGAGCCAGTGGGACGTGCGTTCTAGGAGATAGCGCAGACCGCCTTGGAGGCGGAGCCAGGTTAGGGCTGTTGGGTCTGTGGAGAAGACGAAGGAGCTGCGTGGGTTGAAGGTTTCTTGGAGGAAAGAGTGCATGCTTATCATCATGCAGGCGGAGTAGAGCTTGTCCATGTTCTGGCGGGTTAGAGGTGCTGATACTTCGATTGAGTATTGATTTATTGTTTGTTGCCAGTGGTATGCTTCGGCGATACGGTAGGCTTTGTTATCTGGGAGAAGGGTGCAGAGATGGGTTGTTGCTGCTGCTATTATGGCGTGCATGAGAAACGGTGTCTGTTTGATTATACGTCAGGGGTGGGTTGTGTTATCAGGTTGAGAGTTGGCGTGTAAAGCATGATGCATGATCCGAAGATGGAGATGGAGTCATAGGGCTTACTTCGAAGGCCAGCTCGACCATTTTCCCCATTACAATACGGACTGGGCCAGGACTTTCATTTGAGAAGGCTGGGCCTTGATGGAAATGACGTAGAGCTTGGATAGTACGATCTGCAGCCGAGGAGCCTCTGAGTGTCTTTGGCAGTGACCTGTCAGAAGTGGTTGGACGTAGCAATTCTCTCAGCTTGTCGGAAACCATCATCGAAGAAACAGAAGAAGCCAAGAGGTCGATTGTATTAAGTTCGGGGTTTGTTTTGATGATATTAGAGATAGCTTTATTATTGAGCTTTTGAGGTCGGGGCGGTTTGCCCGAGTAGTCACATTCAACGCCATGTTTTTGGCATCGAATGCAATTTGGTTTTGTTTCATCGCACTTGAGCAAATATTAACAACAAATGCTCAGGTGATTCATAGGTTTCAAGGGGAATTGGAGGTACCTTGACTCTGCGTTGCTTACAATTCACGCATCCGGCACGGGACTTCCGATGGGACTTGCGGGGATGGTACACTCGTGCGGAGGCTTCTCCAGATTCATACGCTAGGGGTGTATTTGATTTGTAGTTCGGAACTCGGAAGACCAACTTCTGTCCCTGCATGGGCCTGTGCGAGGCGGCTGAGATCCCAGTGTGGTTTTGGGACGCCATGTGTTCTCTTTTTCCACAAAGTTATATCAACCCGCGAATAGCTTCGTTGGTATCATAAATGGATGTAAGCTGTGAGATATATCATCACCTTGGGCTCAGAAATCTCCGGAGATTTCAAGACATCAAGATGTTGGGCTGCGATTTGGCTGCGGCTGAGAGAATCCTTAGCTCCCGAGGCAGTGCATGGAGGCTCAAACTTGTGGAACTGCGCCCTATGAGTTCAACCAACCAGAATAGAATGCCCAAGTATAGTAGGAGTAGGGGCAGAAATAAAGTGGCGGAGAAAATGAGAGGAAAGGCGATCGACATCATAGTGTTAGACTGCGCTAGGCCAGATTAAGCAACCCTCGTATTCATCGCTTGGCACGATCAGAGAACCAAAGACCCGTGCAACGTTCTCCGTAGACAGAACGATAAAATCTACGCAGAAAAAAACCAAGCATAGGTTTCACATGGACGGGAGGAAATGGAGTCGAGAAACGCTATGCAATTCATCATTCATTGAAAGTCGCCCATCGACCGATGCGCATCTTCATATATTGATAATCTTTTTTTTTGGTAGAAAACAAATATCAACCGCTGAATGTTGATATTGAAATTTATCCCATCTTCGCATTAGAGAAGTCCATCTCTGTAAGATCGCACATTAGCAACAGACCGATTCGAAAGCATGCAGCACTCGGGGCAGCGGTGAAGAGACACCAATGAACGAAAAACAACGACGATAACAAAGCTAGTCACTTACCGGGATGCTCATCCTGGAACTTCTTGAGCAGCTCCATCTTCTTCTGCTCGTCGCTGCTTGGACCGCCCATCTCCTTCTGTCGCTGGTCATACATCATCTTCTCCACCATGGCGCGAGTCTCGCCATCTAGATCGCCTAGGCTGGAGTTTTCCGGCGTGATCTTGGTGACATCAATCTTGGGAGCAGAGGTCACGACATGAGCCCACCATTCCACCTTATTCACCTTATCGAGGTGGATGTTGATTTCCTTGCCGGGCGGGGCGGGGGTGGTTTCCAACGTCCAGGAGGATTCATCAACGCGGATAGCGTGGGGGAAATCACCCTACGAGCAGAGACAAACCAGTTAGTCTTGATGCGTGCTTGAGATGTTGATGCGGGGTAATAATCGGGTCATCCCCAACGAGTCTAAGCTTACCTCGATGAGGGGCTCCTGTCCCTTGATCGCGACGCGGATTTTGTTCTTGGTCAACACCACGTCCAGGTCACGGCCCTTGAGGTTACCGGGGATTGGTGCTGTTACTTCCACATCACGAATAGTCTGTGTCCACTTGTAGGGGAGTTGAGCCTGCTCCGCATCCTCGCGAATCTTGCGTTCCTTGTCTTCGCGTTCGCGTTCGGCTAAGTCGGCGGGGGAGGGGTTCTGATCGAGATCGGCAGACATGGTGTGCATGCCAGAGGGGTAAGAAAGAATTAAGGGTATCAGTAAGGAGATTTAGGATCACGGTGAAGGTACAGCGTATAGACCGGTAATTGGTGTGAATGGGCCAAGTCAAAAGCTCAGGCAAAATTGTGGAGAACTTGGGCTTTTCTCCGTTGGCGCTTATACCGCCAACCCTACCCCAATAGGTCGCATTGCTTACTCTACACCGCGAGATCTATGACAATGGTCTTGTGTGCATCGTGGAGGCACCTGCATTTCATCTGCATACTTTGAAACAGGTGTATGTGGATATTGGAAATCAGCTGACTGCAGGTGCGCAAGTTCCCGTCGTCTACCGTCTCATTCCAACCGGTATTCGTGGCAGCGATATTAGTGATCGTCTCATGGATGCTGCAATTTGGAACAGGGGACACCCTAATTGCCAAGGATGCAAACATAACGTTTGCTTCTTCTTTCATGCGCATTGGCGCATTGTCCAAACATAGTCACTGCGCTCACCGTTTAATGTCAGGGGTACCTTATACCTAAGAGGGCTAATATATTGCAAGGAAGTAGTCCGCTTTAGGATATAAGATATAATCTCTGTTTAGATCACAAGGGCAGAAACAAACTTCTAGAAGATTAATGGCCGATAAAGATCATGCTGGACAACTAGTTCACCAAGGTGACAAGGTGGCACAGCTTACCAGGCTAGGAAGTGATGGACATAAGCCGTGCCCGAAAAACCACACCGCTTAAAATGACGATAGTGTTGTGAACGACAAGTTCGTGGCGGTGGAAGGGCTGTCGGAAATGGGTGATCCCTTACCATTTCGGGGTAATTGACATGTATGGTTGGCCTGGTCATTGTCTGCAACCATGACATGCATAAGCCCAGACATTCTAAGGAAGAACTATGATTTGAGTACCTTAGTGATGGGCAATGCAAGTCTCTTTGACTTAACTTTTAGTGCATACAGTATAGTGTGATAAGTATATAGTTGTGTAGTAAATAATGAATAACTAAATAGTATGTTAACAGATATGTGCAAATATATCAAAATATGTATTGTGCTTGTCCGTATGTTGGAAACGGAAAAAAGCGAATGGCTAAAGCCTTACTTCAAGGTATAAACAACTCCTGGTAATCCAATCCCAAATCCCCAATGCTCATGCAATAAACGCAATGCAAAAATGCAACAATGCAAATTCCAGATTTCCAGTTCCCGGTTCAATGTAACTCCTTGGCTTGCATAGGCAGTGGTTGGCAAAAGTGGCGTTGATCATCGCTGCGCAGCTTGCGCAGCCTTCCTTGCTTGCTCATTCTCTATGATAGCTGTCAGTTCTGTCTTGCGCATATGTCAAATGGAAAGGACTCACCTCGAATTTTGTCAATTTGTTTGCCGGTGTCCTGAAGCATCTGATCCCATTTCTTTTGGTATTCCTCGACAGTCAAAGGACGACCATCCTTGTTCTCTTGTTCCTTGGGTGCCTTGGGATCCATGACTGAGGTGTTTGGAGAATGGAAGATTTGAGGGCTTGGAGTGTGCAAAGCAGTAAAATGGCAAGTTGATAAAGATGTGATAGAGTGATCTAGTCCTCAAGGCTTTGATCGATTTAAGGATAGGAAGAAAGAACAATGACAGACATCCGTCTTTATATAAGAATCCCGAATAAATATGCGAACTTAAATTAAATATTAAATGTTGGATATTAAATGTTAAATATTAAATAATTAAATAATTAAACAAGTAAGCAAGTAAACAAGTAAATCAAGTTTAGGAAAATCCGATCGAAAAATCCTAATTTAAATCATCCAAAATGTTTGCTCCGAAGAGAAGAGACCGGTCACGCGTCTATAGCGCGTTCACCGACATCTCTTCAAATGTTCCTATTGAGCGTTTAGAGCCTAGACACATTAACACATGAACGGGACCGCGGACCGCTTAGCCCGATGCCAGGGAGGGTAGCAAGTATTCACATCTTCTTAGTAGTGTGTGAACTCTACTCTCGTATAGAATCTCCAAGATTTGATTGTTATTTTTTATTATTCGCGCTACCCCTTGAAAAAGTTTATACAAATGGGATAGGTATGATGTCAAAACAGCGGGACCTAGCGTATGGTACTTGTTAAATTTGTGACCCGATTTCGAAGGACTAACCAGGATGGACTAATAGGATGACTTCCAGCCCCCCATCCGAGGTATTCCCGCACCCAATCGGGGGGGGGAATAAAAGGGCCGCTTCCGCGCCAGCCGATCCGATAACTTGGGTCTGGCATCCCTTAGCAGCTAAGAAAGTGGGAAATAAAGAACAAAAGTGGGAATAGTGGAAAATATTGATATATACATTCGAATACTTGGAGAAAAATGAGAGAAAAAAAAGAAATGGGGCACCGGGGAAGCGGGTAGAGTTCTATTGTTCCTAGTGATCGTCCGATCCATCTGAAATTTGATACTTCCAAACTTCGATCTATAGATGTGTATGATATCCACTATACTAGGAAAGAACTATACTAGGGTATATAATACCCATATAGGTATATGGTAGGAGGCAGTTTCGATATATTTGACCAGTAAACTGTTTAATTGTATATGTGTATAATATTATTTAGAGAACAGGAGATAATAGTTAGTACTCCATCAATGTCCCCTCACTCTCCTCCCTGCCCCTCCACTCCCCTCCTCCCCTCCAAAAATATGAAATACAAAAACACAAAAATACAAAAATTTAAAGATATGACAATATCTTAGGCTACTATAATATGTTTTTACACGGACCGCCTTCGAAGCTCCAAACAAGAGCCCAACGACGCTGTACAAGCTGACACCTATTGGATCCACAGCAGCAACATTCACCGCCGATAAGCATGCACACAAGCCGTAGAGCCGTAGACGTTGCATGTAGCAATCCCACGTGGGATGCATACGGGTACATATCCCACTAGTGGGTGGCTTGTTCTTGACCGCATCCTTTTCATCCATCTATGACCCGACACGTACCTATTTTACCGATGTCGGTAATTTGGGTCTTCAGGGTTCGGTCCCAGTCACGTCAGATGAGAACAACTGACTAGCCTCCGCCAGGGCCTTCTTCACTGCAGTACCCGGGCACTATCTAGGTATATGGTAGGTATTCTTCAGGCACCTGATTCGGTGTCTGATCGCGGGGGCTTCTCAGTTGACTCCAGGGCTAATTCGCTTTCTTTTTTCTCCGTTGCCAGCTGACAGATCCTGATGACTTTTCAATATCTATACCTGGGTGTATGGGCTTGATAGTGGGATCAACTGCTACCTACGTATGTGGTTTGTTATGACTGGTTGTTATAGTTTGTCCGGAGGTCGGTAAGTGTGGCGCCATTGTGTTGGTTTGTTAATAAATTTGATTTTTTTAAACAGTGAACAGGGGTCTAATGATGAACCGGCCCAAGGAACGGATGATCACTGACAGGCATCAAGGATAGGATCCATGGATATAAGAGAGAAAAAAAAAGTAAGAATATTAGCTGATGCCTTAGGACATGACCCTACTTTTAAGTACATCAAAGATGCAGTCCACATGCCCACTATATCATCCACGCCCCACTATGCACCGGGTCATCCTGCCCAGCAAAGAGATTGAAAAAATGAAAAAAATAGAATGAAAAATGGAAAGAAAAAGAACAAATAAGTCGTAAATTCTGGCGTCGGTGCCTGCATCCATTGGCCAGCTATGTCGTCAGTGCGGTAAGAGCTTCCCGAGATACCGCCGGGTAGATGGTGTAACTTCCGTGGCTAAAGTGCAGCCTCAGTCCGGTTGGAAATAGAAGAGGGGTCGAGGGGCAGAAACAAAGAGAAGGTGTAGAAGTGCCGATCCATTACGCTCAGTACAACGCCGATTGGAACATGGTATTGATCCCGCTTGGGTAAATCACTTTGAAAACAGCTCGTAAAAACGAGTAGAAAAATTCCCCCGACGCCATGATATGAGATCGCTGAAGAGCTGAAACAAAAAAAAGACAAAAAAAACAAGTGGACTGGAAAATGAGCTGACAATGAACTGGGGATGCAAGGGTGCACGAATCAGAGGGTGTGAGAGGAAGTCTCGGACTCATGGGAGGTTTGAACGAGCCAGTCATTTTCGTCGGGCTCGAAGTGCGAGGCGGATGTTCCCGCTACAGCGAGTTCTCCCTCAAACAGGTCGGGGATGTCATCAAAGGGGGTCAAGGTCCCCGAAGGTGGATTATCGTAGCGCTCAACGAGGTCAAAGAACTCGCCAGCGAACTCGGCCAGCTCATTAGCCACCTTCAGCTCCAGGATGCCCTCAAGGATCTGCATGTCCTTTTTCCACTTGTGCTCTCGTCGCGCCTTTTCTTCCTGGCGGCGACGGCACTGGTTGTCACGAGGACGGTCCATCATACAATTGGGACACAGGTAGTTCTCTTCACAATACGAGCATTTGCAGGGCGGGTGGGCGTATGTGCAGTCGGCACATACATACACCTTGCAGCCTTTGCATTCACGAAGATAACTAGGGCATCGTGGACGTGGGTCCCGGATACCGCCTCTGACATCCCGGATTCCGGTGATAGGATCACTCGGAGGACAGAAGAAGGATTGGCAACCTTGCCATTTTGGAGGGTCAAATTGCGGTGACTCAAAGTAATCGGAGGATGAGGATGACGGAGGCGAGGATTGATTAGACGTGGGGGCAGAACACGGGCGAGATGGTTGGTTAGAGAAAAAAGAGGAGGCATGACCCGACTGATCGACGACGTGTGCCTCAGAGCTATTTTGTTCCTCCTCCAGGCTATCTTGCCGTGGATCACCAATGAAACTTTTGTTAGCCGAGTCGAGGAGCTGTTGGCTTCTGAGCGGTAAGTCGTATTCAGACCCCTCCCCGGAGTGAGGAGATTGTGAGAGGTGCGCTGCGAATCGATTTTCAATGCTCTGCTTCTCCGTCTCAAGATCACGGTAGCCGCATATTCTTAAGCGAAGTCCACGAAGGTCATGCTCAATACAGAGAGGCTTGGAGCAGCTCTTGCAGTGCACCTTCCATTGTGGAGAATCGTAGCACCCTTGGCACAGGTTGCGCGGACACGGTGAAACTTGACGGTTGGGTGGACCGAGTAGCCATTTCATCATCGCCAGATGACCCGCCTCGAGTGAGTAGTCAGGCTTGCTCGGATCGCCATATGCGTATTTCGGGAATGTCTTGCTCCATTCACTGACCGTGTACTCAAGATCCTCCCAGCCTTGACCACGGGGCAAAGGCACGGCTCTGACTTGGTCCACTTCACGAGTACGAGGACCGATGCTAATTCCACCTCCTCCGGAAAGGTCAGGTTTGGTGCAGCACCAGTGAAAGTTGAGTTCTGGAGGTTCCGGGCTTGGGCCCTGGTGTAGGTTAGGATCTGATAGTGCCAGAGGATCCACTGGATCCTGCATCGAGCCTGGCGAGTGTGTCGCCCCAGGTGCCCACCAGAAGGAATCAGATGTACTTTGGCCGTTTGCGGAGGAAGAGGAAAGAGTGTTTCGGTGAAGATACGGCCTTTCGTGGGCACAGCTTGCACAAAGTGTCTTGCGACATCCTACGCAGTGCATTAAGACACTGCAATGCTCACATCGCTCGGAGATGTCCTCGAGGCAGTTGTCACATCGAATACCTTGCACAAATTGGGTATGACTGCGGCGGAGGTGGGCAGGTGTCATTTTACCTTCCCCCATGTCGATGCCCTCACCCGTTCCCAACGCCTCGCCAAAGCATCCTGTGTCGCAGTTCTCCCACAGCTTGCCGTCGCGGACGCCCGGCTCAGAGGTTTCTCCCTCGACCGGGCCGATCCAGTTTTTAGATCTCCAGAGTCGATCAAACACAACCCAGACTTCTGGGGATCCCGCACCGTGTGGAAACCTTGACTTCACATAGCCGGCTCTACGGGCACATCTACCGGCGGGTGTGGTACACCACGCAGTATCAGTCCAGATCCCGAGCTTGTGGCAGATATTGACGAGTTCATGAGTGGATTCCGCGTCAGCGTCCTTCCGCATCAACGAAGAGGAAAGATATGGCCGTCTACGATGATGCCGGCATCGGTATGCATATAAGCTCTTGAGGGCGAGTCGTTTCATTCCGAGAGAATTCGAGGTGTTCTTCTCCATGTCGATATCACATTGTAGCGCGAACATGGTTAGGAAAGGAACGATATGGTATTTGAGAGAGACATTCTTGCAACCTCGGACAGACAGATGTTCCAGCGTCTCTCGGCGTGTATGTAGCACAGTTGATGTAAGGTTTTCCCCGGAAATGGCCGTGTTATCCAGTTCCAGGCTCTTCAAACACGCACTGAATGGAATCACCACATTCATCAAGAACATATCCAGAGCATAGGGTCGAGATTGGTGTATAAGGGTAGTGTCAGAGGCATTTGGGTCGGTTGTAGGGTTCGGTAGAGTCCCCGAAGGGATTTGTAGACGAAACGAGAGTGACTTCCATGCGGTCGGATATGACCGAAGGAACGTACGGAGGAAGTTTGAAGTGTGATATAGTTTGATGATGGCATCGGTCGGGAGTTGAAGCAACAAGGATTCAAATATGGGCGCATTTGTTGTTATAACTCGCTCGAATGTTGACATGGTACGTTCTGAGCTCGAATGTTGCGAGGCGTCTTCCGGCACCACTGGGTGCCGCGGTGGGGTCTCACCAACAGTTTCTTCCCGGGCCATGGTGTCTGTACTATAATTCATCACAGCGTGATGAACTGTGAGCGGGTTTCAAGTTGAGAATCGAAATGACGCGAGGTCGCGAGCTCGGCGGTTAGAGACGCGGCACATGATAGGACGACTTCGGAGATGTGAACGAGGGGGCAACGACACCCAGATCTAGGCGACCATGCAAGACCATGCAAGGCCATCAAAAGTAAACAGTCGATAATTGATAAGCCGAGAGGGGTCGCAAGGGTAAATTGACGTATCTGGTGTATTTGAAGGGGGAGCGAAGGAGAAGGGGAGGGGTATAAAAAGAGGGGATAAGAGGGATATCCCAAAGAGAAGCAAGACGCAAATTACAATGACCCTGCGACAAGGACAGGTCAAAAGAAAGGTCAAAAACAGAGAGAAGAAAAACGAGACAGGTACAGAGACAAGGTGATATATGCCCGGATGCGCCCGTTAAGTGACCGTCATGTGATGGGCCTTCAAACCCCCGGATTTGACTGATTTACGCAGTGGTTTTCTGTGAGATTTACTTTAGATGGGACTTCACTTCAGTTTTCTCGTAAACCGTATATGCATTGATCGCTGGGCCTATTGACAAATGGTGTGGAGGTAACTAACTAATGCTTTTCCGTCGTTTCTCCTACAGTATATCCCCTAGCAATGCCCTTGCGCCCTTCCTTAACCAATGTACTATCTTCTTCATCTTCCTCATCATATCGAATATCGAAATCACTTCCCAATCCTTTCCATGTCCGTTGCGACCGCAAAAATTCAGCGCCAGGTGAAACGGCGCCGCCGATCATAGCCAAATCCCCCTTAGCTCGGCGAGCCAGGGCCCTAGCAGCGGATGGGCCGGTGGTGGATGATCCATCGATCTGAGAAGCACGGGACGCAGGTTCCCGCATCGGACGGGAATGTGAGACGTATCGACCGGTGCGCAGGTCAAACTCGGGCGGTGCCGATTCGGGTTCTGACATGTCATCTTCATCGGACACGGCTGCATTAGTCCCTTGCTCATCGTTGCCATCTCCACCAGCCTCAGTCGGTTGGTCGAGAACGGCCTGGAAGTCACTCTGCCATGCGCCTGTCCACACCCGAGCTGAATCATCCTTCAAGGCAAGTTCCAATTCAAATGGAGTAATGACTGGCTTCCAAAAATCTGTGCTGTCCACCAAAGAGCTTTCCCAGCAACCAATCACCACCCAGCCACCAATCTCACTGAAATTGGCGACTTTGGCCGCATTTAGTTTGCCAACGACAAACATGTAGCTTTTCTTGCCTGCTTCGGCAATGCGCTCTTTGACATGCTCGACAATGTGCAAGTAATTTTTCACACTGAGCGTGTTGATGAGGATACCCCAAATGGGAACCGTCGTCAGGGAGGCAAGAGTGCCATAACGACGTCGCAAAACGGCAGCAGTAGATGCAGGCAGGGGCTTGACATTCTCGTTGGACAGGTCATTGGTGGGATAGATGTGAATTGCAGCAACGCGAGACGCAAGTGTCATCATGAGAGCCGTTGGAGGATCGGAGATGTGGAATAGCTGCCAATCGGCCAGTGTCTCGGGCGCATCTTGGACCGACTTGGGGACGGTTCGGTTGGGTATAGCGGAGGAAGGCTCATGGACAATTTCTGTTGCGTATAGATTGGTGTATCCCTCTTCCACCAACCGAGTATATACTGTAGGAACGTGGTCCGCGAAGGTTACATCAGCTGCGATGACCACCTTCGTCGTTAGGTCAGGGTATGTTTCCCTGAATGCGCGGACCACAGGCTCTAGAGGTAGGGCCTTGTGAGTGAAAACGTAGATCACGGGCAGCCGTGCTGTTGGCGACAGACATGACCTCCCGTAGTGTACAACCGCATCTGCGTCCACATGTTCTGCGGCAACTTCATCGACACAGCAGGTACCGTAAGATGTATCGGCCAAAATGGTCAATCGAGGCGACCAAGTCCCTGTCTTATCTTCCACTTGAAGCTCGGATACCGAGTGAGCCAGGCCATCGGTATCGCCACCGTTGGTCTGGTTACCATTGGCATTGGCGACTTCATCATGGTCCAGGCCCCGGCTGAGCATTTGAAATACCCGCGGGGCATCCGGAAGCATGTCATCTGGAAACTGCAGAGCAATTCGTTTGTAACGGGCCTGTCGAATCTCCTTCAATGTGCGCTCGATATCGTACGTAATGGAGAGCTCGTCGTCCGACACCGGGGCTGCCGGGTCCCGCGAAGCGACTGGGGCAGTTTCTTCGAGAATTCGTTCATCGGATGTCGACAGTACAGGGGCTGACTTCATTTCAGACCCCATTTTGGAGGGTGATGGTTAGGTGTTTGGTGGTGTTGTGTCGGAAAACCAAAAGAAAATTGGAGAAAAAAAAAGATTTCCCCCACTATACAACCCCGCCATCGATAACACAAATACAAGACAGCCCATTGGACAATCAAAAAACTTATGATCACTTTTAGAGGGTCAAAACATGTATTCTGCTGAGTTTCAGGGTTATTTACGCAATTCATCGTATCGGCATACAAACAACCTTGAAAGTGGACATCTATAGATCCGCCCGCGCCAACTCTCCCGCCCAGACTCTGCGAAGCAATTCGCGAATGGGGGTACGCTCAATCGGACGAGGGTTCCAGTAAGCATTGGAGAGTGCAATGTCAGCCGCCTTATCGATGTCTTCCTCCTTCATTCCAAAGTCCTTAACACCGCGCTTGACCTTAAGCTTAGATAAGAGAACGTTCAGACCTTCGATTGCGTCGCCGTTGCTGTCCGGCAAAGCATCAGCCAACTGCTTCATGGCTTCAGGAATGCTAGGTGCATTGTATGAAATGGCATGCGGTAGGACAGCAGTGTGGGTTTCGGCATGAGGAAGGTTGAAGCTGCCACCAAGGGTGTGGCACAGCTTGTGATGAATAGACATGCCCACGCTACCCAGACATGTTCCGCAAAGCCAGGCGCCGTATAAAGCCTTGGACCGGGCAGATTGAGAAGATGGGTTCTCGACGATCTCGGGAAGGGATGATGCAAGTGCCCGGATACCCTCGAGGGCCATCATGTTAATAATTGGGTTGGTATTGCGAGCGTAGAGGGCCTCGACTAACAAGCAGCGCATTAGATGGGGTTACATGGCATTTTTCATACAAATTAGCAAGGCACACATACCGGCATGTGCAATAGCGTTGACGCCGCTGGTGGCACTCATGGCCGCCGGCAGAGTCATTGTGAGATCAACATCGTAGATGACAGTTCCAGGCAAGATCTTGGGATCGGAGCGAGTCTTCTTCAGACCATCAGCAGTTTCGCCCAGGATTGGGGTCATCTCACTGCCAGCATATGTAGTGGGAATACAGATATGCGGCAGTCCAGTGCGGATACTGATCGCCTTGCCGAGGCCGATGGTGCTTCCGCCTCCAATGGAGATTACTGAATCAGCTCCTTGGGCTTTTGCGTATTCAAGGGCTTTGTCGGTGATATTAGTAGGAGTGTGCATAGTCGCTTCGCTGAAAATACCAGCGATCTGACCCTTGAGCACATTCTTGACGCTCTCCGCCTGGCTCACTTGTTGAGGCGTCGAGAGCACCAATGGGGCCTTTACCTGCAGCCGGGCGATTTCATCGGGGAGTTTCTGCAGTGTACCGCTGCCGAAGACGACACGGCCAGGGTTGGGGTTGTACTCGAATGCATCCATTTTGTTGTTTGGTCTATTCAAAGGGCGAATAGTTGCTATCTTATAGTCCACCACCGGCACCCCACCGCAACCCATGCTCTGCTCTTCCGTGGGGCCGTGGGGTTTTATCGGCAGTTGTACAATTCTTGCTTCCCCGAGCTATTTCTATACAATATTGTACTCATTTTCACGAATGGTGGATAGTCTTGAAAACTTAGTTTATTGTCGCATCTAATTCTAATGGTTTTGTATTCCCAATCTCTTGTCTTGCGTAGTTCTCTCTTTCAAATGACCAACGGATATACCCAAGCCCGCTAACGGATATAGATTTCCCCAAAGGAGCTATGGACCTACATCCGTATACATATATCAATAGTAGTTTATTTCCGTTATTTCCGCGCGATCTTTCAGTAATAATGTCTGAAACAGATCTTCTTCCGATTGCTTAGAGAAACCCTCACACCAATGCTATGTACACTTTTTTTCTTTTTTCAGGAAGAATTGATCTGCAGATGTGGGTATCAGGTGGGTATTGAGACATTAGTCCAAGTCGTGAAAGGCCATAACATGCTGTCCACCACTTTGGTCCTTGCTCTTGCCCTTCTTGCGCTTCTTGCGCTCCCTTGGCTCCTCGCGTTGCTCAGGTTCCGCCTCACTGTCTGAGTCTTTGTCATCATCACTGTCATCCATCATGTCTTCGTCGCCGGATCCGCCATCGCCATCGTTCTCCCCCTCGTGCCAGACCTTGACGGTTTGCCCGCCGCCAGAAATCATGCGGCCCTCGACATCAAAGCCCAAGCCCACAACACCGTCGATTTCATCGTGCACAACCTCAGCAAAAACCTTGTTGGGTCCGATGCGCACAAACTTCACTTTGCCGTTTCCGAGGCCTGCGGCAACCACCTTACCCATGTAGTCAGGCGTAACAGCCATTGCTTCAACAGCATCTCCGCCATCGGCATTGCGGTCGACGTAGATACGGTCTTCTTGGTCGTCCCATTGACCCTTCTCCCAAAGAGTCAGGATGCCGCTGGCTCCACCGACGATCACCTTTTCACCCCGACTGGTTCCACTGGACGGCAAACCACCCATGTAAATTGAGCTGACAAGTTCTTCTTCCTGGTTCTCGCTGCGCACCAGGACACCACGTCGTAGATCCGTCACAGCTAGGGTTGTTCCACCAGTGGTAACCCACTGCTTGCTAAAGCCCGAAGTGCTAGTATCGGAGGCCGGCAGAGGAGTAAGAGAGGAGATATAGTCGTCGTGAGGGTGGTGCGACTGCTCAGGGCGAGCAGAGACCTTTGAGTATGGGATGCGAAGATCGTAGATATGGAGAGCGCTCGAGTCGGTGCCGAGAAGAAGGGATTGAGGAGAAAGCGCATGAATCATGGTCGGGGCATCGATGGAGCTATGCGATTAAAGATGTCAGCCCAAATGAATTACTACAATGCAGCAATTCGTGTTAGAATGGTTTCTTACCCATTCTTCATAGGAGGAATAGCAATTTTGTTTTGAACCTGACCAGTCTCAGAGCTTGCAGCCTTTACTAGACCATCTGTACCAGCTGAGTAGAGCACTTGGCCGTCAGTGCCGAATCCGAGGGTGCGGCAGCTACCCTTGTGCCGCCGCGTTCTCCACATTGTATCGATGTGGCCCTTTCCATTGCGGGCAGATGAGTTAGAGGCAGCATCATCATCTTCTTCGGTTTCCAAAGAAGGCAATCGAAAAGTCTGCACGTGGCCCGAGGCCAGACCAACAGAGACTACCGGCTCCTCAGGGTGGATAGCCTGAGTGAACAGGTCCGAGGAGAGTGGAAGCGTGCAGACCGTGTCGAACATGGTTGCAAATTGGAATAGATATAAACACAGCAAACTATGGCTCTTATGAGCTCAGAAACAATCTGAATGTGACACGAATTCCAAGAAGCAAAAGCAAAAGCAAAAGCAAAAGCTGAAGCTTCGAGCTGGCCGTTTTTTTTTTCTGCCACCGCCATTTTTGCTTCGGCAAATGACATCAATCATTTTCACCATGTGAGAAAAGCGACTTCTAATGGAGACAAACATGGCAACACATCAATCACTGCAGTGTATGACTTGCCAGGGTTCGTCAGAATCAAACACGCAGATCTATTAGTGTGCAGAAATCATGTGTATTGTGAATACTTGGGCCGTTTCTAGTCCATCTAAGACTGCGTTTGATCCTTGTCATGCGTTGGGAGCTCCTGGGAGGAGAATAATCATAAAATAGAGAGATCAAGATTCAATATCACTACAATGTCTCTGATACCACAGATCCTTCAACTATCTAAGGTGAGTTGACTTCATTGGCTTCAGTCATGTACGAAGCATGAACCTCTTCCAAAAAAGCAACAGAGCCTCGGTTATCCGCCTTCTTTTCTCCTTTAAGAAGAGTAAGTGGAACCAATAGGACCGACCTTGATGTTAGAGTAGGTCACTGCGGCGGAGCCCGAGGCGGCCTCGATAGTGTCGGGGTCACCAGAGCTAGTGGCGCAAGTACCGCGAGCAACTCCAGGGCTGCCAGCAGTCGCATCAGTGGGGTAAGTCTCGCCGTCCAACCAGAGCATGTTGGAATAGTGGTCATCCCACAAGCTCATGACCAGAACCATGCCCTGGTCCAAGCCTTCACCCATAGCAGACAGACCACCGTGCTTAGTGAAGATGTCCTCATCGCCAAAGGCAGTCTTCTGGGCCTTGCAGAAGTCCGTGGTGAGCGAGTTTCCGGAGACACCACTGACATCAGAGGCGGAGTTGGCGATGACCTTGCCATTCTGCACGTAGATACGCTTGATCTCGCTGAGGGTGCCGGAGTCGGTGCCATCGCTGGTGATGAACTGGGTGACCACGGTCATCTTGGAGTTGGTGTCGACGGTCTTGCCGGGACCGAAGAAAGTCTCGTTGCCCATGCGGTAGGAGTTGAAGTCGCATCCATCGGGATCGCAGGTGCCTGCGTAGCGGCTGGAGGAGTAAGTTCCACCACAGTTGTCACCCTCGCACATGGTCTGTCCGGCAGTGTCGCAAGGGTGGGGAGTGAAAGCGGTCGAGATGCTATTAGCCTCCCAAACATCCATCTCAGCGCAGCAAGATCCATGGCCGCCAATACCAGCGTTCTTGTCGCTGGCAGAGGGCTCCCAGCCATCGACGTTGGCCTGTCTCGCATTAGTCATTTTGATCGTAGGATTACCCGGGGCTGGCTCTTAGGGAAACTCACCTGGCCGTTGATGAACTTCAAATCACGAGGGCACTGAGAATCACAGTATCCAGTACCGTACTTGGCGCCGGCCTTGTTGCCATCGTACTTGGACATGCCACCGTCGGAGTCCATGGAGACGAAGTACAAAGCTCCGTTGAGACCACAAGGCAGCTTGGAGGTATCCACGTCAAATGTGAACTCTTGGTTGAGCAGCTTGAACATTTGGTAGGTGCTGTCATCCTCCATGAGGAACAAACGAGAGCCAACATTGGCGCCGGTGACAAAGTTCAAAGTCAGAGCGTTGCCATCGGTGGTTGCACCATAGGTGCCTTCATAGTCGGCACCATCCAGGGCACAATTTGTGGCACAGGTCTCGTCGTCGGGGCAAAGGGTTGCATCCCACTGTTTAAACAAAGTCAGTCAGCACGGTTCCATTTCTCTGAGTCGAGATCCCTTACCGTATTTCCAGTGTAGCAGTTTGTGGAGCCATCGACGGAGTGAAGCCAGCGCCAATTGGAATCAATGACAACAGAACCCGTCTGGTCAGTGCAGCTGCCAGCGGCAGTGCACTTCTGCCAGGTCAACGAGGGATGGGTTTCAGCCGTCAATGTGCCAGCCTGCTGGGCACGGGCTGCTGCCGCCAGGGCAGAGAAAAGAAGCACCTTCTGATACATTGCTTGCAAAGCAAAAGGGAATGGATAGCAATGTGTTGTAATGTTCTCTGGCCTGCAGTTGATGAACAAAATGAATGCTGGGGCGGACAAAGATCTTTATATGTCTTCTTCGACCACGAAATTATCTCCCGAGGTCGGTCCTTGCTACACAACGCTTGATTAGGGCATGTTCGGCGCATCCCATCCGGTGTGGCGGACCGTAAGACCGTTACCAAATTGAACAGACAGAAGGACAAGCCCATCAATTCAGTGTTGAATTCCATACTGGGTGACCTCCGATGTAGTACATTGATTGTTTGGGAGTGGACCCGGCGCCTGAATCAGGAAGGGAATGATCTTCGTCAGATGGCTTTCGTAGAATATCCCATCAAAAATCTAACTGATATGGGGTGGATTAAAAGGTCAGCAGGTTTCAACATCCGCTAAAACGGAGGATTCCCCGATCCGGTTCTGACGGTCCTGTTCCTGTATAACTCATTTGATAATTCATTTTGCGACAAATAAAAGCTGCATATAAGCGCTTTGGTGTGCATTGCCTGTCGATCATTTAGTTGGGTGTTAGTACTTGGTGTTACCTGATGCCAGAAATTTGGAAACGAAATTGGATTATGCTCTAAATGAGACACTTCGTGGGGTTTGAAGCTGCCAAGAGCGCCGCTAGATGGAATCGCCGCCACGGCGTGCCTCCACTTAACATTAAACAGCCGAATGGCTTTTTGTGTAAGCCGGATATTGTGCGAGGCGTTAAGCTCGAACTTGGACATTCAGCAGACCCTTCGGGTATAGAGTGTTTCAGCCCGAAACCAAGCCCCTCCCGGAAATATTGGACTCAACAAATAGCGGAAAGACACAAGAGAATATCCTTCAATGGGAGAAATTGTCTGGCTTGCAATAATAAGTTGGGTTGGGTCTGTCGCTCTTACTGTTGTCTCAATCTAACACGAGAAATCGTCAAAAATTGAACGATCATGGCCGATATGAGCAGCTTCCAACGTAGTGAAGTCTCAAATCAAGAGAATACATCGATATACATCGATATACAAAGGATATATTTGCACTAATCGACACCAAAAACTCAAGTTCCTAGACGGAGATCCCGTGGCCCGTCACGCATTCGGGTCCTCATTCCAGAACATTTCCTATTCGGTATAATACAGAGATAAAAGCAAGGAACAGGAAGTTCCACCAGTTGGGCATCTTGAAGTATGCTAGACATCATTGGACTTGATAGCCCAACCTGAAGCGTCGCGGGTCAAAAAAGGTAAAATGAATGACAAATGCTAAGTCTGAGCTAGCACTGTCGATCGTGCTGGGGGTCCACCAGTAGTATCGGGACTGTCCCAAAGAGAGACACTAGACCTGGCAGTTTGGTGAAGTTGTCATATCAATGTACAACGTAGGCTCTCGGATTTTCCACCGCGTATGTTGAATTGGATTCCAGAAAAGCAACATTAATCCACTTTTACTGAAGCGAAAAGTTAGCGAAAGGGACGGGTAATTTCACCAGCCAGTCAGAAAATGGCAGCGCTGATCCCAGCATACTTAAACTGCCCTGCGAAATAATTAGATGGGTCAATGAAACGGCATGAGTATGGACCTGTTGATAATGACTAAATCATGGGTCTTGGATAGACAGAAGACATAAGGTGGTCCCAGAACAGCATGTCTAATTCAACGCACAGTTTATTTGTCGTCACATTGCACAATTGATCGCATATCGTATTCAAGTTATACGGATCAACAACCCGAAGTAATTAATCTTCACATCTGCTGGACTCCACTCTTAACTGTACAAATTTCATCTGGGCATGAAATTCTGATTACCCAATTCGACACGGTATCTTGTAGTAAATGTATTCAAGAATAGGGGTAATCAACTGACATATTTGACGCCGCTTGTTTCCTGTTAATATAAAGTACTTTAAAATTCTGATTATATGTCACTTTGGGGGTGTTTTAGGCTGAATTACTTGCCTTTTCATGCGGGGTAAATGACAGTGATGTCGGTTGGAGATGGTTTACTGTATCAATAACCTTGGAAAGAACCTGCTATCCATGATACTCTGGCTTCCCTCAAAAGCTATTCGCACAAATCTATTAAATAAATAGGTAGTTTCTAACACAACGTATTTACTTTCCGTCTAAAGAGTCTGCACACTTGATTATCACTTCCCAAGGTTGTGGTCTTCATATGTGCTTTCTTTACGCCTTTCTGGCGGATTCCCTTCTGATAATTTCTTGAAACTCTTCAGGGTCTCTTCTGAACTCCTTTGCAGTCGTAAGTATATAGTTAGCGGCGAGCGATCCCTTAACATTGTTGCAGCAGAATGCCTTGAAGATAAGCATTTTTGACGGCATACATGTATCCAAACTAATTTAAATACTAAGACTTTCTGCTGATATCGCCATAAATACCCCAATCAACAGCAATATCCATACAGGTGACGATATAATGCTGAACGAATCTCTTCAAATATTGTCAATGGATCCATATAGATCCCTTATCTTATCTTATCGAGATTGATATCGTTTATCTTATCGTGCACATGGCGTCAGCGCAGGTGCCTCGGTCCCAGCACATCCCAACAGACCAAATCCCTCCCCACTCCTAGTTTCTATACTCTCGCTAGACTTTATCTCCGCTCAGGTACCATCAAATAAAGCCAGCAACCTGAAGTAGTCTAGCGATATATCGCTTTTTGCCACCAATCCAATCGTCCCAGGGGTGAACTTGCGCAGTGCAACCATGGCGCTCTACAACCAAACCGTGGATTTCCTCTCCGAATCATTTTCCAAGCACGAAAGTCAACTTTCTCTACTTGCAGTAGCCGGGGCTTCCTTTACCCTCGGTCTACTCAGTAGATCACTCTTAGCTCGAAATGAAACACTGCAAACTGTTCTAGCGTCCCCGCGATCGACCGTCTTGCCGGGAATATCGGAGTCGGAGAATCGCCAGCTTCCTCTCCCAACTGACGTCCTTCCCGGTGCACGCGATGTCGCCAGTCCGTATGGCTCTATCCGGGTTTATGAATGGGGCCCGGAAGATGGACCAAAGGTCTTGTTAGTGCATGGTATCACCACGCCATGTATTGCGCTTGGCGGGCTAGCCCATGCACTTGTGGACCGTGGCTGCCGGGTGATGCTTTTCGATTTGTATGTATCTCAATATCTCGTGGTCCTTGAACTGTACCTAACCTTGAAAAACAATAGATTTGGAAGAGGATACTCCGACTGCCCTGCTGATCTTCCACAAGACAGCCGACTCTTCTCGACACAGATATTACTCACTCTAGCCTCATCGCCTATCTCCTGGACAGGTGTAGAGTCAGGCAAGTTCTCTCTTGTGGGGTACTCTCTGGGAGGCGGTATTGCTGCCGCGTTCGCATCCTACTTTCCTCAACTTCTGTCATCATTGGTCCTTTTAGCCCCTGCGGGATTGATTCGCGACTCACAAATCAGCTTCCAGAGTCGACTTCTTTACTCAAAGGGCCTCATGCCCGAGAACGTCTTGGGGTACTTGGTTGGTCGCCGGCTGCGAGCGGGTCCTTTAACCACACCCAAGCCCAAGAACCACAAGCTCAATGCCGCAGATGCACTCACTGAGGAGCTTTCTTCCCAGAATGCTGGCCAAACCCAAATTCTGTCTCGAGAATATCCTCACATCAACGTTCCTTCGGCGGTGGCATGGCAGGTGAACGCTCACGCAGGATTCGTCCATGCATTCATGTCAAGCATGCGATATGGACCAATCTTGCAAGAACGTCAATGGAGTACATGGACGCGTCTTGGCGAATATCTTACTGCGCAAAACAGTGTATCTTCTAGCACGGATAAGAGACCGTCGGACCACAAAGTCCATATTTTGTGTGGTAATAATGATGCAATTATTATCAAGAGCGAGCTTGTTCCAGACGCTACAGCCGCGCTCGGAGGAAATGCCGTTTTCAAGTTCTACGAGGCAGGCCATGAATTCCCTAGTACTAAGTATGAGGAGGTGGCATCTTATATCTTCGAGTTGCTTTGAGGGAGGGAGTGCTTCGTTCTGAATCTCTGAGATATATGCATTTTCTATGTTCTTTCTGTTACATCTGATAGATTATACATAGAAGTGAGTGTTGGGTTCACCCTGTTCTTTCTCTTTGCTTTCCCCTCCTCAATTCCCAGACTTTAAGACTGCATCCATTGCGCTGAGTTGGCTTGAAAGCCCCGAGAGGTGTGCTGATCTTTCCGACATCCTCGCGCCCGCGAAGTACGGGCCTTCAGAAGCCGGTGCTCGTGTGAATCGGTCAACACTGCTGCGAGTGCTTCCTGGTACTTGGCTGATGTTGCCTTGACTCATGGGAGTGGTACTGGTGCCATTGGCAGCACTATATGCAAGTTAGTCGGCTGAAATAACAAATATTCACCCAAAGGTAGATGCACTTACGATTTGGTGGTTGGTTCCGGGATAGACATGTTGCGTAATTGTAAGATCAGGTGTCTTGCAGGTGATACAAAGGGTTGTAGGTTGAAGTCCGGCCAGGTGATGTTGCAAGTAGATTTAGGAAGAGTGGTGATGATCGTGAGGTATTCGAGAGAGAAAGCCGTGTCGTTGACTCGGATTGGTATGCGTTGGATTGGCTTGGAGGCTTTTGAATGCTTGATGGACTGGAATGATGAGGCTATCTATGTGCGGATGCTCCTATATATACACTGCAGGTCTGAGGCTAGCATGGAGACGGCATGCCCTTGCACCCAGACACGCGAGCTGGAGCTGGAGCTTGAGCTTTGCAGCATGGCCCACATGGCCAAGTACGAGCTGAACGAAAGAAGGAATGAAGGAAGGATCTTCAGCTCGCATCTTAGTTGAGCTCCACTTGCCATGAACCTGTGACGGCATTTCGATCCTTAGCCCAACGCTACGATTTGGTCCACATGAACCATAGCGGGTCTGGAATTCCTCAAGCGGGCAAACTCGAGCCTCCATAGTAAAACCAGCAAATACCCGTTCGGTTGGGATATGCAAAACAGGCGATAAGCCCGTTGCTATTGGACGAACTGCATGAAGCTGGGGCTAGAAGGCAGGTACCGGGTGCATCAGGATGCGTGGAAATGGGACCCCGCTTTCACGATTGTCCTGAGCGTAAAAGCGTAATAATTCAAAACATTCTTCTACGGCACATGGCCAACCACATGTTTCAGGCTGGAGGTAACCAAATTAGGTATATGTCCCGTGGAATGAAGCGAGGGGGCGATGCAAAAAGCAATTCGAGTTTTGCAAGCGAGCCTCCAACGGGGTTATCAAACAAGGGACACGAACTTGATCTTCACAAAGGGACGAACGTCAGGTAGCCTAGTGGGAAGTCTAGAACTTGTTGAAACAAACTATAATTCAGGGCCGCAAATCATGCTTAGCGGCAAAAGCGCTTCGCAATGCCCGGTATGTTCGCGTGGGGATGACGAGGATTACGCAACGGCGTACAGGGTGAAACGATGTCGGAGCCAACGTGGCCCGTCACATGGAGGCTAATGCATTGAGTGAGGAGATTGAATCTAAGAGGTCGACTCAGAAAAGAAAAGAAACGAAAAATCCGAAAACAACATAGTGCAAAAATTACTATGCAGCATCCATTCCCCCGGGCCACGCGCTCCTGCAGCATGGTTCGTTCATTTCCCTTTCTTGATACTAACCTTGTTGATCTCTAACGGCGAGTCAATCCTGAATGGTACTGATAGCAGGTCTATACTAGCCCGATCTTGCCCTACTGCCCTACCGGTCATTTTTACACAGCCATGATGCCTACTTCAAGAATGCTTGGACCCCGAAGATCTCCGACACGCGAGTGCCTTGTTTCAGAATGCTACAAGCCTCCATAGCTAACTTTGGAAAAGAAATAATAAAAAGAGAAGAACACGTGGATTGCCTTGTTCATGCTGATTATGATGGGTCTGCAAGTTGGATGATCGCACACTAGAATCCGCCATGGCTTTTGTACCAAATTGTAGGGACTCACTAATATCAAGGCTATCAAGATTGGAAGGTCGAAGGCTTTTTTATTTTGTTTTTGTTTACGAGTCTGGATAACGAGCTTGGAACTACTCCGTTTAGGCAAGAGACGAAAAAGTGAACATCGAAAATGGCACAATACGGATTATCTTTAGCCACGGCGGACCGCAAAGGGCAGTGGACCGTGCCGTGTGCACCACCGAAGTATGCAGATATACGCGATCATTGCTGGTATTCAATTTATTCGTCTTAATCACTGGCTAAGCCACAGTCGCCATATGATGACAAGGTTGCTCCTCCAACGCGTGTTCATCCATTCCCAAGCGAGCAATGTTTAACGAGGTCCTTTAGAATAACTGTAGACACATACAACGGACATACGTTCAATGAACTAGATTAGAATATGCAAGGCACTCCTGGTCCGAGCTGTGGAATCCCGACAACCTTATCTACGCTAGCTGCGCTAGCTGCGCCGTCGATCACTAGTCTAGTCCTGTTTCCCCCTAAAACCGAAACGCCTAAAGGCGATCCCCGTTTGTCTCGGGACCTTCAAGGCGTTTTGTACGGAGTGCGGCTTCTTGGATATGCCTCAGCTGCCCTTGGCCCCCCGCAATCAGCTCAGCCTGAGAAATTTGAACATCTGATTCTGTTTGTTTTTTTAGCACGGGCAAGAAGAAACTAAAAAAAGCCTAACCCCTGGAACTTACAGTAAATGGGTCTTTTAATTTCCCCTAACCATACCTATCACAAAAAGGAAAAGAAAAGAATCTTCATTATCAATTTTATCGAATTTACCAAGGGCGTAAATTGAACCAAGGGCGTCAACCGAAATAGAAGGGATCGTCTCTTTTCGCCATCCCTTGAGGCTTTGTGACACACTTCGCCAATCACCACTTAACGCCGCAGTCTGAAACGCAACCCAAGTTGACTTTATCCACCACGGTTGGTATAGATGCCGATAAATGCCCTGCGTTGCCCTCGCAACCCGTTCCCCGGCCATGGCTGGCCAAGAAACAATCTTGAAACACATCCACGCATTGGCTGGAAGATTTAGCCCTCTGCCACGCGCAGATACGATGGCCATGCGGCCTGCTTATTTTCTCAAAAATCGATTTCCCAAATATCAATCATTGCGGAAACAGCCTTATTCAAATGCCGACTCTGATCACCCCCGATGTAGCATGTTCTACGGGCTGCCTTCAATAAAGAGTCTTCATCGTATGGATTTCGGGCTCCAGTCAATACCCGGGACGTTCATCTTAGCTCTGGCTTGCGACTCTGCTCTAGGCCTTGGGCTGACGTCGAAATTTTTAGAAATGAGGATCGCAATATCCTCAGCCTTGGCTAATAGTAGTCTGCTGTGAAGTCAGGGATGCATACACGCTCGCAAACTTGGTCACACGAATCAAGGGGAAATAGTACAGGTGCATCCCTGTGATAATCTGAGATTCCCTGTTCTGTCTGTATTTGTGCTTCCAATCTTTGACATCTCGGCCTATACCTCATTGCCAAGGTCTATTTACTTTTAGCGTCTGTTCCCTGGTTTGTAAGGTAGTGAATTATGCATAATTATTCATAACTCGTCATTATATTCTTCTCCTGATGTCATTTGAGATTTATCGTATCTAGTTATATGCCCGATAACTTGACACATAAATAAAATAACGGCGTCTACGACAACTATCAGCAACCTTGGATGGAAGCAATGAAACTACAGTAGCAGATTCGAGAAGATAAACCGAATTGCCAGGATAAGATCTGATATATTTCGGTTCTCGTGGATATATATACACGTACCCAGGTATCTTGTTGAACATTTATGTTGAATATATATACTCGATCAGCCATCAAGAGTAAGCTGCACCGATATGAACTCTCTATAATATGTGCCAAGGTTCTTTCCCACATACCCCTCTTCTCAAACCTGAGGAATCGACGCCAACCAGTCGACAGAGATACATGAACCAGCAGGCAGCGCCCGGAGCGATATAAGCGGAAGAATGACAGTTCCCCAACGAGCCGTCGAATAACAGCAAAACCACACAAACATGAAGACAATGTCAGGTGTCCTGGACCAGCCAGCACTCAAGACAAGCATATCTTTGTTGCTTAGTGTGCGTTTGAAGCGATCAAAGGACCACAGGGATTTGAAGTACATTGGCAATGTGATTAGGAGTGCGAACAGCGAGAAAACCCGCCAAGCGATTTGCTCTGCTTGTGTGGGGAATACCGAGTTCCATCTATGCATGTAGGGAATCAGCTCAGGACTGGAATGGGGTGTGCTAATATGCAGATAGTACATACGCTGCAACGTGCATACCGCAAAATACCAGCGCGACGAACATGTAAAAATGAGCGATGTTGGTCCATTCCGTGATTGTCAGTTCTTCGTCGTCCTCTACTGTGTTGCTTGGCTTTTGCGACTCAGTGTCTGGCTCGTCTTTCTGGGGTTCGGTATCCGGATGGTGGGTATTGCTGGTATCGGAAAGCGTCGTGGATGGGTTCGTCTCTTGGGGTTCTTCTGAAACGGTCAACGTTTCTTCATCTCTTGGCCCATTGCTTGGTTGCAGGCACCCAGACACTGGCGGGTGGGGGCTATCACGCTGATTGCTATCCTCGTTGTCATCCGGGGTTGGCTTTGGCCCCTGGGAGGCCTCCTCATCCCTATAGCCGCTACTGCCGGTTCCTGTTGGGGTTTCGGGATCTTGGGGGTTTTCCTCATCGCGGTGGGCAGTGGAACGTTCGGTCTGAGCTCTGCCTTCACCTCTGATCTCCTCTACTGTCTCGTCGAGTTCGGCTTTATATTCTTTCCAATGCCTCTTCCAAGTCCAAGGCGCGAGGACAACTTTCAATGCAGCGAGCTCAAGATAGAAAAGTTGGACAATGAGGCTCCATGCCGAAGGTTCTTTCTTTTCGGTGAGGACCTTCAAGTGAATCCAGTTTCCAGCATTTTCGCTGAGGATATCTCTGAGTTGATGCGACATGTCCCCGGAATCTCGATCGTATGGTATGAAAATCGTGATTGGCGTTACCATGTCTTTTGGTTTGTTCCACCAGATTATGTAGGTAGCAGCAGCAGCAGCAGCGACATAGGCCACCGTCGTGATTTCAATGGCTGTAATTGGCAAGTCGTATGCTCTTCTGGCAATGATGTTGACTGTTACCCAGCAACTTTGAAGCAAAGTGAAGCCCTTTGCGAAAGAGTCTGCTTTGGCACGATCTTTGATATCGCCAGCTCTCAAATAAGAAGGCTTAATAACGCCCGCCTCGATTAGAGGAACGACATTGCGGCTGTGAACTGGATATGTCCAGTCATCCTTGGTTTGAAAGAGAACACCATTCATTCCAACGCAGTAACCTTGAATAGTGCCCCAGCGACCGTTGGATTCTACCTTCTCTGGTGTCCGACTCTCGGGCGACGAAGTATGTAAATTGGGTCTGCTATGTGTCGTATGAAAAGCAGCATTGCAGCGCGCCACTGTAGACCTTGCCTGCCATAATTCCTCGGCTGCAATCCCTGCCATGAATTCAGGGGCAAAAATGGTGCCTATCCAAGCTACTATCTTCAAAACATTGGCCAATATCTCCGTTTGGTCCCTTCTTGGGACAGGACCGTGCAGGGCTGTCCATGTGCACGCGAAGATCGTCGAGAGGCATGTCCAGAGAATATCCCAACTCGAGCGGGAACTATCAGCGAACTGCCAGCCTTCCAGGGCTGTTGAATTATTTTGGGCAAGCGACTGTTTGACAAAACTAAGAACCAGGAGAGGTGTGACCATCCTGTGTTCTTATTGCCAGAAAGCCGAAAACCTCAGAAAACCTCGAAGGAGATCTACAAATTGTAGAATAATCGGGGCCACAACATGAGGCTAGTTCAACAACTCAGCCACACGCTGTATAGTGGGGCACACTGTGGTACAAGCTTTGCTTGAAACATCTAACTTCTTCAGGATTTATCTCCTGCTCAGTTCGATCTGCTGTATTCTAGGTCACATTTCTTGCCTAGAATTTAAGAGGAACCAGATGTGCAGAAAGGGCCCTGATTTGTCTATGTTTAATACAGAAACACAAAATATATCGCCTGAGAGATATATCAGCGACCAATATAAGAAAGAAAATTTATGATCAAGTATGAGGTAAATAGGCCCGAGGCCTAGGACAAGAGATAATCCAATATTTGCAATAGCCCATCCGAGCGCCAAAGCACCAAACACCATGAGAGAAACCCGCTCTAAATTCTTTGAAAAAAAATACCATACAAAACAAAACAGCCCTAGATCTCAGGACCTTCGTCGGGAGTGGTCATAACCAGTGGGGAACAGTGGCAGCGAAGGATCGACCACATCATTGTAGGGTCTTCTGGCTGCCATAGAGACATCCTCATCACTGGGCGGGGCAGTAGCGACACGCGCAGGGTGGTGGGGGTGAGCCTCGGTATCTTCTTCACCCCTGGCAATCTTCTCAAGAGATGACAGTTCGGTTGTGGTGCCGTTGCGAGACCAACGGAACGAGTCGCGGTCGTCGGCGAGTGGTCGGTATTTGGTATCTGGTTTCTTGGTGAAGACGGCGTACGCAATGCCAACCAACAGGTAAATCAGGAGAACGAGGGTAAAGAGCGCGTTGAAGATGAAGAAGAGGACACCCAGAATTCCGGTCATGAGGTCGGGTTGATTGAAGACATCGGAAAAGACCAAAAGGAAAATTGTGTTGAGAGAGTTCAGCACTCCTGTAGTGATTGCGACGACGTTGGCGCCCTTGCTCATAAATGGCTTGATGATTGCGACTGCAAGCATCATGGCGAGTTCCAGAATTAAGAGAACAATGGTCTGTGCCACTGGATTTGATTGCGCAAAGGCAATGACCATTCCCTTGACGATGATGTAAACTAGAGATGGAACTAGGAAATAGTACACCGGAGCTCGGTAGTAGATATACAAGAAACCCCATTGGTTCAGGGTCGCAGGATCGGAATAGAGGGTGTATGCGGCGGTGTTGTGCTGCTGCTTAGACCGCAATCCGCGCTGGAAGACCTTAAATGCGGCGAATCCGAGCACTCCCGTCGTCACCAGCCACATGGTAATGGCCAGAACGATTTCGGCAGCCGAATCGCGACGGGTCAGCTCCCAGAGGCACAAGACACACATCTGGGGATATCCAATGCATGCGATGCGGAAGAACGTGCTGCGAAGGACGGTTTTCCAGTCTGCGGACACGCCCATAGCGCGGTCGAGTTTTGGAAGCGCTGTTTGTTTCTTGGCTAGAGCGGCACGAACGAGGAGCATAATACCGACACAGGCGACCACAAGTGCAGTGACGAAATAGTAAAAGAGGTATCCAGTCATGAAGATGTTAGTCAGTTCGATGGAGTCCCGGATTCCAACTCGTTGAATACCGCGGAGAATGATTTGACTTCCTGTCGATGAGGCTCGGCGAGTAATCGATCCACGCTTTTGCAAAACTAGGGAAACCATTTGCGAATCGGTCAATACGGTCGAAGGAGTTCCTCCAGTAGCGCGTTGGAACCAAGTCGCAATTGTTTGAAGAGCGTCCGCCCGGACGATTCCCATACTCCATTGCATGTTTTGAGTCCACGATTGGACAAACGGCGGCATGGCCACCGAAGTCATACCGGCCATTGCCTGTGTCTGGATGAACCCGAGGAAAGCGAGCGATCGGAAAGCAAGGTGGGTCGCCGTGTTGGAGTAGCCGAGAAGAGAGATAACCGTGGCTGCGATAAGGCCCAATCCAGTGACGATGGCGAGTGCCCAACATACACCAGCCTGATAAACAGTAATTCCATTGTGTACTCGGGTTTCCAAACAAGTGATCTGTTTTCCTTGAGATGCTCCATTCTTATATTTGATTTTGATCCGAATCACAGCATCGATATCGGGGACGGTATAAGCGATGCCTATGACGCAACGGGTTAGTGAAAGTCGGGTTTCCAAGGTTTCAATATTGAAAACCATTGAAGGTTGAAGATATAGAAAGGAAGAAGATAATCACTGACTTGGGATTTCTGAGAGGACACTTTTGCCCAGGGTTTGAGTGATTGTTGGTAGTTGTAGTTCAATAGCTTTCATGGGACAAAAGACCGATAAATCAAGATCGCACGGGTCGAGAGTCTTGGTGAGGGCTTTGTAGCCATATACCAATAATTCCGCTTCAATCAGTACATCTCCAGCGACGGTAGAATAACCATCAAAATTCAGACTGATCGATGAATTGCCGGGGGTGAACACAGCATTGAAGTTGTTAATCTGGACTTCGGAACTGTCGGAACATTTTGTCAGCCCCTCCGCTGAAAGAAGTCTCTCTGCTTGTACGAGATGAAGACTCTGGAGGAGGATCAGTATGAAAGCCCCGAAACGGGGGGCATTCAATTGCATGGTTCAAAACGAGTGTGTGTGAAGAGGAAGGTTGTTAGAGAAGAGGTTGTTCTTTTTTTGACGATTTTCCCTGATATCATGCAACTCCACAGTACGACGTAAGCGCCAGGTGGAGCCAAGCGATCTTCGAGGGCCAGCCTCTGAAACAAAAAATTGAAATAAAATAGAACCCGCCTCTCAAGGCAACCGTCATTTAGTAAAATGAAAATTGGATCATGGCTTTGACACTGTTCTATTTGATTCAGATCTTCCGATCAACAAAGACCCCTGTAGCTTACGTGGTATGTTGCACAATTGTACGGAGTACAGTCTACGGGTATCCTATTACCTACGTAGCTACCGTGAGGCTGGTAAAATCCTTGACACTGCTCCAGCCTCTCGGACGATCGCATCGAGATCGAGTCATCATTTATGTCGCCATCGAATATCAACTGCGTTCAGGCACAGGTCTGCGGCTAGTGTAACGTGAAATCTCTTAGGGCGCCACCTGTAAGCCTGTAGCTCGTCGAGTCGAATGACTAGAAACAGCCATTTACAAAAACAGAATGTCTCAGTTATAAGAAAACCCCCTCAGCTTACCATGTGGAGTAATTTGACACATTCCACGGATAGTTAATAATGTGACTTTGGAAAGTTCATTCCGGTGAGCTTCCAAACCCGTGGACAAAGCCCATCACTTCCGTTTTCGGAAGCCCACAAAGGATCTGATTTCCAGTCTAATTTTAGATTCTCGATTGATTTTAAAAAATTCTAGTCTCTTATTGGTTTATCATAGCGGGAGCGACCTAGGGAGAATTGGGGTTGAATTACGATCCAATAGAAATGCTCTTGACCTTAGACCGCTATGATCATGAACTGCTGTACGGAGTGTACACGCACTAGTTAGTCACAGGTGAAAGTAACTGTTTGCTTAATTATTCTTATTGAAAAATTATATATGAGACCCCGGATCGAATGAGATCCGGGGTATTCAGGTCCATAATATCAGCCATGCAATGCGGAGAAATCCATTTACAAAGGAGTAGTTCACGTCTCTGTTGAAGCTGACAGCCAAACAGGAATTTGGTCAAAATTGACGCCACATCCCACATATTGAAATTTGCAATGCATGTCTACAAATATAGTCGGCAATAACTCATCTGCAAAAGTACCTGACCTGCTAGAATATCTACCTAGGTAGATATATATATTCAGTGTTGACTACTCCATATATACCATTGACATACTTACATAGGCCTACCCATATAGACTATCCAGGACACTCTGAATACTATGAATAAAATATCAAGCTGATGTCATCCGATTATATTGTTTATATGATCCTCGTTCAATACCTACGTATCCCCCGCGCTGATCTATACCCTCCCAGGTCATATTGCGGCATGACGTACTTAAGTAGTCTAAAAACTTGGAATCAAGATTGAAGCGGCAGAAGACTTCTAATTGATTCCAGACTTAATGGTCTCACATTTTCAGGGACAAAAACAGAAATCTGACCAACTCAAGTGGATCTTCTCCATCAGATCTGTCAAAGCGATCAAACCTTGAGATCAATCCACCTAATTTTTATACGATTTCGTGGTGATGGGTGCCTCATACGCATACCACAAGTCATTGGCATCATTTCTCCGACTCCTCGTGAAACCAAGACTACACTTGAACCCCAAACCCGACGAGGTAGCATTTGTCCCATCGCGAGACAACGGCCGAAAAATCAAGACCCATATATACAAACCTAGCACGACCGGGCCCAGCCCCGTCGTAATCAACTTCTGCGGCAGCGGCTTCGTCTTGAGCACCTTTGGCAACGACGACGAGTACTGTCGCTACATCGCCGACAAAGCAGCCTACACCGTCATCGACGTGCAGTACCGCCTAGCCCCAGAACACCCTTTCCCGGCAGCCTTCTACGATGCCGAAGACGTAGTAACCTGGGTGCGGTCGCAACCAGAGCGCTTCGACATGTCGCTCGTTTCGCTGTCTGGATTCAGCGCAGGCGCCAACATCGCACTGGGCATATCATCCTCATCAGAGCTCTTCCCCGCGGGAGAGAAGAACGTCTTCGATGCCGTGATCTCCTTCTACGGACCAATGGACATGTCCATCCCAACGCCCGAGAAGCCCCAAGCCGACCGCTCGAACTGGATCATGCGCGACATCTTCCCGGCCTTTTCTCATTTGTGTCACAAGTGTCTCGGTCTGGGAGGAGCCGACCCAAAGGATCCGCGCATGTCGCCTATTCTGGCTGACCCGAAGAACTTCCCGGACAATGTCCTGATCGTGACTGCTGCGCAGGATCCATTTGCGATCGAGGCGGAGAAGTTGTCCGAGACGCTGAATAACACCGAAGGGAAGAGTTCGGTCTGTCATCGGATGGAAAACTGTGCGCATGGATGGGATAAGGAGGCGATTCAGGGGACGTCGCAGTGTGAAGCGAAGATCGAGGCCTATGATCTAGCTGTGGAGATGTTGAAGCGGAGGAGTGCGGTGCAGAACACTGGGATAATTGTTTAGAGTCATCGTTTGATACCCTATTTTGCGCGTTAGAGATTATATTGTTAGTCAAGTCGCCACTTGGCGCTTCCTTCAAAGAGCGATGGGAAATTTATAAGTATGCTTCATGATAGGAATGCCACTGGTTATGGAGTATGGAATTTGAGACGAGATAGTAAGGAGAACGACGGGAGAATGTTATCCCTGCTGCGAATTGTAGCCTGAGGCCAAAACGAAATTTAGAAAGACAAATTCCACCTTGGAATGCTATGCACCGAAAGATTTAAGAGGAGAAAGATGTGGAGAATAAAACATAGAAATGCAAGTCAATTGATGCAAAGTCTATTTGTCATAGTAATTTGTACAAGGTTTATAACCTACTCTATATGTACTCTATATACACCCCAGCCGTCTATAATCATATGCTTATCTCTGCATTTCTTCGTCGTGAGGTGCGTGAACAGGCGCAGGTGCAGCCACAGTAGTGTTCTCCTCGTGGTAAGCATGTTCCTTGACCTCGTAGCGGAACTGCTCATCCTCTTCCTTGAGTTTCTCCTTGAGCATTTTGTTTGCTCTCCAGACGGGCTTGCACTCGAACAGACGATCGACCTTCTCGAGTGGGATACCGCTAGTCTCGGGGATGAGGAAGAAGGCGAAGAAGAAGGCGAGGAAAGAGAGAGAAGCGAAGAACATGTACACTCCGTAGCCCATTGCCTCAAACATCTGCTCGGTGAAGCGAGAGATGAGGAAGTTGAAGAGCCAGTTGCTAGAGGTGGTGGCAGCCTGAGCCAGGGAACGGAAGTTGGGGTCGAAGAACTCGGAGTTAATAACCCAAGGGGTACCGTTCCAGGTGGGGGTATAGACAGCAGTCCACAGGTAGAAGAAGAAGATGGCTGCGATACCTCCACCATTGAGGGAGGTACTGGGGTTGTCCTCGGGCTTGACAACACAGATGTAGGCACCGATGATCCACATGCAAATGGATCCGGTCACGGCACCACCGAGAAGCAGGTTACGTCTTCCGACCTGATCGACAAGGAAGAGGAGCCACACAAAGGTCATAACAGCCTTAACCACACCGAAGATACCGGTCATCAGGTTCACAGTGTCGCTGTCGACACCAATCTATAAGAAAAAATAGTTAGTATCGATGTCATTGCAGCTGCCACGGGAGGAATGCGATCGTACCGATTTGAAAATTGTGGGCGAGTAGTAGTTGATGGCGTTAATGCCGGATCCATTCTGCCAGAAGAAGAGCATGCATCCCAACATCAGACGGTACATAACATTCCTGCGAGTGGCGAGAGCCTGGAAGGGCTTCCAGAAACCAATGCCGATGGAAGACTTCTGGTATTCAAGGGCCTGGTCAATAGCGTTGACTTCCTCGGTGATGTAAATGTCGTCGGCATCCAATTGGCGGATCCAGCAAAGGTTCTCCATCGCCTTGCGGCGACGGTCCTTGAGGAACAACCAACGGGGCGATTCTTTGATCCACAAGGCTCCAATGAAAAGTAGACCAGATGGAATTAGTTGAATCGCGAAGGGAATGATCCACTGTTCGTGGTCTGAAGGTAAGTGTTGTTCAACACCGTACTACCGATTCTAGATTAGCTTATCTGAATAGACGGGACGATCGATGAAATTTTCAAAGATCGGCAAAGGGAGACCCACGTTGATCCAGAAACCAAGCATACCGCCGATTTGCCAGCCCAGCTCATACAGACCGACAAGTCGTCCTCGAATGGCTGGTGGCGCGAGCTCGGATAGATAAATGGGAATGATGTTCGATGCCACACCAGTACCCAAACCAGACAGTACACGACCAGCGTAGAGAATGCCCAGTCCTCGGGCACTATTGGCACCAAGTTGTAATCCAGCTCCGAGAAAGAAGATAGCAGCTGCAACTGCTAAACACATCTTGCGGCCGATGAAGTGACCCATTGCATATGTTCCAAGGGCACCGAAGAAAGCACCGGCAATGAAGAGCGAGACAATGTTTTCGCTAATTAAATCTTGTTGGGATTTAGACATCGTGTCGATACCGAATTCTTTTTGGAAAGATGGTAATGTGATAGTTGTACCGATGAAGGCACTGGTATAACCGATCATGTTGGAGCCGCATGATGCAATAGCGGCGAGTGTATAGACACGCCAATTGTAGACGGATTTGGGCGTTGGCCGATCCTCGGCGAGTGTGAGAATGCCCATGGCTCGTGAAGGGGTGCAGCCAAGGTGTGTGAGGAGGGAAGGATGAGGTGAAGAAGGAGGGAAAAAAATTTCTGATGAAAGGAGAATGGAAGAAAGGAAAATGGGTCGAAAAGGGCTGGGATGGGGCCCTAAGTAATAGCTGCTATCCCAATGGATTGTGGGTGTCGAAATTCCCCAACTGAGTGCTCTCCACAATACACGTCGCCTATAACCCCATACACTGGGGCAATATGGGGTTCGAACTTGAGGCTATGATACAGCAAGGATTACAGATGCACGGAGAATGTGGGAACATGGCCCGGGGTAGCGTTTTCCCCGCGAGAAAACATTAAACATTCAGCCGGCAAATAAGCTTCAGTATATATCCAACACGGGGACCCTACTTCTTCGATGAAATCATCAGGAATATCTTTTCCTAGTCTATTCGGTAGAACATCGGATGCTCATGATTTTTGAAGTTTCCAATTTGAAGTTTCAAAAAGGCAGTGAGTAGTATATAGGCGTTCGTGCCAGGTACTTCTGCACCTGCATACTTCTGGAGACGAGTCTGCGTTTAGCCGTCGAGTATGTATAGGGGCACCGGTGAAGGTTCGCCACAGGTATTCCACCCCGGATCAGGCGGAACTTGCACACAAAATTTTAGCAATGTGGAGAGAGAGAGACTGATACAGCAAAGTCCCGCTTGTTAAGCGAATACCCCGAGATCTAATTTCCCCAGTTGTTCAAGTATCTGCATGTTAAAAGTGAAAAATCCTTCGTGGGGAAGAACCCTTAACCACAACGTGGAGTCGGCATTTTGCCGAGCTCCCACTTGGGAAGGTTTTTAAGGTCGGAGTTCCCACGGGAGAGGGATAAGAGTCTGATTTGCTCGGCCGTGGATGGGGTTCGTACATACACTAAACCCTATTGGGATGGTCACGTGCACAATGCATATCCTTTTTGCCTCAACGTTATCATCAACATCTCTATTGGAGAATATATGCTCATGCATTTGGTTCTTGCATCATATCTCACTCCTCTCCGGAATCCCACACTCCCACAGTATCATCCCCGGAAACGGCGGCACAGGACTCCACTCATCAGTGATAGTCACTTTAACGCATCGCACTAAACGAAATTCCGGGATCTCGGGATTGGGGAGCCGTTTGACTCGAACTACTGACGAAACAGGAGGGAAGGAGAGATTATGCTGCATCACTTACGTTACACTGCATGTCCCCCCCCCCCTAATCCCAAGGGCGTTGTGGGATATCAATGTTGAACAATAGAAGACAATAGAAGACAAGATAATAGAAGACAAGATAAGCTCTTTTCGGCCCGATACCCGTTTGAAGGAAGCGGTGGCGGCTCGGCCTTATACCTGAATTGCATTGACGCCGGAATTAAGAAAGCGACCGGTAACTACAATAATATTGTATACTTGGGAGGAAATCCAGTTCACATTCTTATTGTTGAGACCACTTAAGAAGGTTTGTTGACAATCCTGACCTGCCACGACCCACCCGTCAACCGATGTATGTTTCAGGGGTGACCAAGCTATCATACTTCTAGATCGATACCTAGGTATGACCTGTGGCACTTTTGGCTCTGGCGAAGTTCCAGCTATACCTAGGTATCAACTTGATGTCTGGGATTTGTTCGTATTTGTCGCAATCTTACAACCAGGCTATTATTCCACTCGCAATGCCTCTTAAAACCTACCCGAAACATTCCATTAAAACTTCAGGTTTCAGCAACGCACGTTCCCCATTTGTTGGCATTATTGAACACAAGGCTACATGTTGGTCTGTGCCTTTATGTAGGTCACACGTTGACCACAAACACTTCGGGACAGTGTTTGGCCACACAGCCTCCGTAGCGGCAATTTTCAAAAGACTTTAGTTATGTGGAAGAAAGCTCTGTCAAGGATTCCCTTGGCACCGTCTTGCCGAAAAATGTGGATTGAACCCGGCTGAGTGTGGAAGGGGTGTGAGGAATATGCAATAAATATCCCCTTTTCAGTGATCTCCAGCCACTCTTTCGGCACACTCAGAGTGTTCCGGCCTTCAATAATACGTCCAATGGGCAGTATGGCGGCATCTTGGCTACCTTTGGCCAGGATGCCGACAAAACTTCCCTACTTTGGTAGCGGATTTGACTAAAGTTCTGGGCGAAACTTGGCAGCCGGACAATGTCCGTGTTAACTCTCTTCCATGATTGTTGGGAATCAATGCATTACCCATGCAGTAGCGTTGCAAGAAATATTTGCCAAGAAGCTCTTGATATCAGTTGAGATGAAAAGCACCAACTTCTCAACATGTCCGAAGAGCCTTCCAAGCAGAGTGGATAGAAAACCATACAGTCATCTTGATAAATAGTGGATACTACCATTGCTCATGGAATAGGAAGAAGAATGATGGTTGATAACTAAACTATCTAGTGGTGGCCTGAAAGCTCATTTATATGAGCGTGGCGAGAGGGTAAATATGCTAGCAAACAGGGGTGCATTATGTATCACACTTTCTGCACGACTTGATTTGACTTGAAAATGTTGCTGCTGCTGATTTCGTGGACTTGAAGTGCCATTGCAGTCATGTTGATATGACCCGTTGTACAACTATTTAGCTCGGAGCGTTCTTGATAAAACGGGAATTTTTCATGCACCAAGCAAAGGTGAGGGATTTGAGCGATGACTTACGATCGCATTGAGAACAGAGATGAGATCCTGAAAACTTTTGACACTTCAAAAAAGCATTATGATTGACTTGAAAAATAAAGGATTTGTCAATGGAAGCTTGCGGTTGTCCACAAAGGAAACTGATTGCCAACGAAGCCGATATATCAGCTGTGGTTGAACAATGATTAAAGAATATCTGCGCATGGAAGTAATTTGTTAAATTTATGTCGACATGTGAATTCCTTGTCTCATGCGACTTGGGCAGAGGCGTCAACGTCCGTGGACAAGTTTCACGAGTAAAGGAACGCAAGTTGAGAGCCTGAGGCAAAAACATTCAAATTTGGGCCTGAGGCAGGAACACGTGTTTAGCTTTGGTCGAGCAGATCACAGAGAAATCAACAAACTTGCCATTTTCTCCAAAGCCCAAAAGATTTGATTTGATCAATACTAGACTTCCAAAAAGTGGCAGTTAGGTATTTCTCTGGAAGTCCTCAGAGCACGCAGATACGTAGACTCTACGGTCACGACCAGCTTCAAAGCGGGGGCATTTATCTACGAATCTTATCGCTGCGAACCTCAGCGTCCAATAATTGAAGTAAGGTGGGTTGAAATCAATTCATGCACTTTGTTGTACGCGTTAAAAAAATATTTGTCACAGCACTGAAGGATTACCAGAAAAGCTAACGATACGACTGCCTTCAACTCGAAATGGAGAACCGAATCTCGCTTGGCGCGATTCAAAAAACAATCTGGGACGGACGCATACCTTTAGAAATCATTCTGGACCCATCCGAAAGTCGAACCTTTGACAAAACAGATCCATATCTTGTATGTCTTTGGTTTTCTGAGCCTACCGATGACATGGCACTGATAGTCAATTACTAGATCGCGTGTCCACGCATCTCATATCTCCCCTCGTTGCTCCCAAGGCTTCGAACCTTCTTCTCCAATTCATTAATAGAACCAAACTCTGAGCCTCACGAAGGCTGGTTCGAGTTTGAGGGTGTACCTCTAAAATGGCACTACCCCATTGGTCTCCTGTTCGACCTCTATGCCGGAGCAGCCCCTGCTTCGAAGACAGTTACTAGAGGTGACGAGTCTCCCGAGAGTAGCTCACCGCTGTCATGGCGTTTGGTGCTTCACTTTAGCAACTGGCCTGATGAGAATCTCGTTCGGCTTGATGCCAATGGAATGGTCATGAACGATGCCTTCATCAACAGCGTGAAGGAGGCGGATTTCCTTCGCAATGGTACAGCCAAAGCCATCATGAGTCTCTCGAAAGAAGACTCATCGAATCTTTGGAGAGCTGTCGAAGAAGGTGAGTGGTATCTTGTGTGGATATATATCTACTCAATGTTATTCTTTTGGTATTGCTTTAACACTATAGCACAAGTGGATCTCCCATCATTCCAGCGCATATCAAACATTCTTCTGCCTCAGCATTCACAACCCTTCCGCAACGTCCCGATTCGGATCTTCTTGCCACTTCCACCAGATAACAATTCTCCCTCCCTCAAGGTTGTACAATCACCACTTCCACCTTCAATCCCAGCATCGAGCATGCAGGCAAGCCAAATCCTGAGCTCCCGTACCGGCCCTACCACTCAACCTCAAACGGTCGGCACCATTCTGCACACACTTCTTCCAAACTTATTCCCGAGCAGGAGAACTCCGGTACTTGCAAAGCCTGTGTTACATGGGGCCGTGATACCTATGTCCGCCCCGATTGAAGAAGTTGTGAGAAGCTCTGCGTACGGAGACGGATGGGCTTATCTGGTAGTTCGGATGATGGGTTGAATCAGGATCAATGAAAAAGTATAAAGATAATTTATTTTGCTTTCTGATCTGACTACACCTTCCCCAGAGAATAGAAAAGAACACATCATGGATACAAAGTAAAGATTTGGTCTCGATTTGATCATAATTCTTTTGAAAACAGACAACCAAGCGCAAGGATGCTAGTGGAGCGTCGTTGATTGTAAACGAATGTAGATATTATTGAAGTTCGCCAGAAGACTATGTATGGTACTCTAGAAATTCAAGGTGCGATCTTCCCTATTGACAAACTGTTTAATAGCCCGTAGTAAACGGGCTGTCTTGCGTTTCTTCATATATCGTACTTGCGTGATGTCTGGGACAGAAGGTAGAGACGACTGCGAGTCGCCATGGCTATGTTGATTAATGGGAGGACTTCGAACCAGGTCCGCAGGCCACTCGATTGGAGTCAAGGGCTTGTTCTCGTTCACCGGACGGAGATGCTGGATACTATGGGAGCGGTAGGAGGTGCTCCGAATAAGGGGACTGAGGGTGGTGTCAGGCTGGTAGGGCGGGAACAAGGTACCGGTTTGCGTGTTTGGGGTGGTTGTGGCCCCATGCTGGTATTGCATGCTTGGGGGTACAGACTGAGAGACAAAACGGGGAACGGGGTCCTTAGGAACTCCAGTAATTGGGTCTGCTTTCTCCAAGGATGGTGTGCCTTGGCGGCCAGTCTCAAGTGACTGCGTGTTTTGAGTATGGCTGAACGGACCACGCCCTTGGATAGCAGTGGGAGAACCCTCCTGGGTAAGGGACAAGGGTGACCTAATGGAGGTGACAGCAGTTGTCATTTCTTCCGTGGCTGGGCTTGTCGGAATAGTAATTTTGGGAAGAGTGCGAAGATTGGTAGTCATGTTGTCCACATGCTGATAGTCGAGGAATCTTTGCACGTTGTCGAACTTGGGCAATTTTGGCAACTTTTCCACTTCTGACCTCAAAAGCCCGGATCCTAAACCTAAATGAGGACCAAGAATATCCGAAGAGGCAACCACTGATGGCTCAGGCGCCGCAGAGTTTGGTAGGAGAAGATTTCTTGCGGTATCAGGGTTTCCTGGACTGCCCATAACAATAACCCCGTCACGTTCCTGAAAAACTGCTCCTGGGCTCTCGACAGCCAGCTGTTCCAGGTACTTCTGACGCTTCCTGAATTTGGAACAGTTCTCTCCCTTGGAACATTTATGGGGCTTTGGGATAACCTGCTCAATCCCAACAATTGAGACAGACTCCTCTGGTGTGATCTGATTTCCTTTTAGTCCGTGGACACGGGAAGAGAGAATCTGGCCAGTGGGAGACACGGACATTGCATAATCCCGCCTTTCAGGAGAGGTTCGTCCAGGAATCACTCGTATCTGAGACTGAAGGTAATGCTCAGTAGCGAGCTGCTCGTGAGTTAATTTCTCGGGAGAAGACCGTCCATGAGAAGAACTCGATTCAGAAGAAACTCGAGGCAATGCTTCCAGCGCTGTCTCCGGTTGCGTCTGCATGGTGGCCTTGAGGTGGTCGATTGAACGCATGAGCCGACGACGCATCCCAAAAGAGTGGATGTTGAGTTCTTTGAGATCCTCAAACTTCAAGTCCAGCAAGACTATACCGGTGATATCATTGATGAGGAAATTCTCAATGACAGCTTCGTCGTAAGTAGCATTGCGTAGCCATACAGTAACTTGGGAAGGATCCCAGCTTAGGATCTCTTCTTCGGTTACCCGCGACACATCAGGATGCACCGTCTGAGACCTCGGTGTATTAGGAGATGGATGACGTGCAGGAAACTGATTGGAAATGTTTGGAGAGTATGAGAGCTGATTTGACGTGTTTGGAGAGTATGGGAAGTGATTGAGTGTGTTCGGAGAGAATGAGAACTCATTGAATGTGTTTGGAGAGTATGGAAAGTGATTGAGTGTGTTTGGAGTGTATGAGAACTGATTTGGTGTGTTTGGAGAGTATTGGAACTGCTTTGGTGTGTTTGGAGAGTATGGAAACTGATTGGGAGTATTCAAGGACTTGGCGAATTCAGACTGCAGGGGTGACCGCTGAAAAAGAATATCAATTTCTGCGGTGGATGGCTCGTACAATGAAGAGGCCCTGGAGCCCCCAGAGCTCTGGAACAGATGAGGACCCGAAGGGCCTTCGACCAGGCCGTTTTCAAACTGAATATTGGGCAAGCTCGTTTGGGCGGCCTCTGGGGTTCTTGATTTCGGGCTCGCTATTTCCGGGCTTGAGAGAGTGGTACTGGTGTCATAACCGAGCTAAGTGTTCCATATCATGTTAGAATCTATACATGGTTATGATATAATGTCTGGTTTGCAACACTTACCGATTGCATACTCCGCTCGAGAGATTCATTGTCCGAATCATTTTCCTCAAAATCTGTATCATCAAATCGGGTTGCTTCTGACATAGGACGCCGTTTGGCAATTGTCTTCGAGGGATAGAATCGCCTATGGGTTTCCGTGCGAAGCGAAGTAGGTACTGCCCCCCGCCGAGAGCCTACCGATGAATCCTTTATACAATTAGTAATGACTATTTCAACTTCCGAATTAGAACCTACCATGTCGTATACCGTGATCGATTGGCCTTCAAGGCCATGGATAATTTAATGAACGTGTTGTTAGAGGTTCCCGCACAGCAGTGAACCAACTGCAATACTGAAATAGAATAAGAAAATAGCCTCAATGTGAGTGGAGATCCAGATCACAGTGGAGATCCAGATCACGAGAGAGTAAGGAAAAGGAAGAAATTCAACACAAGTTTGTGATACATGGGCAGTTGGGTTATATGTAACTATTGTTGTGCACCCACACCAAATCTTATTACCGGCTTGAAACACGACAGACAGAACGTTGGAGCGGGCGGCACGAGCGATCTCACCAACCCAACTTACTATTCGATGAAGAAAATAATAAAAAGCCCGTGACATGCAATTTTGGTGAAACTCGGCGGCAGCATATTTTTTGAAAATCGGCAGAGAACCGACAGACGAATGGCTGGGAGCAAGGAACAAGGGCATTTGTGATGTGATGCGGAGTGACCTGCTTGCAGTAGTTCAGGTTGACTGCATGCACTTCGCGTTAGCACCATCCAATTATAACCCATCAACAACGTTTTTGAAAAGTGAGGCACCTTAATTCTGAATTCTAATGGGTTTAATAGGCTCCAGTTTATCTCAACCGTGCGTGTGTTGAAGTTTGTCCGACCGAGAAGCAGAGATGTGACTGGCCTGCATTTAGCGCCCATGCAGCAACCCTCATTCCCCACCTCACCTATAGGAACCTGAAGGAGCGTGGCGACTCGATATCGACTTTTAGCGCCATGCTACTCACGTATGATCCCGTGAATAAGTGCATGTCAAGGTGATATTTAATTGTGATTCCATCCCTCGAATCATGTCCGTTTCTCTTTTCCCTCTACGTTGCCGGGGTAATGCTCACTAACAGCGTCATGTCTCAACACTTGAGAATATGACTAGTCATATTTCTCAATGGTCTTTCGGCTCTTAGTATGCGTTAATGGGGGTAAATATGGGCTAATGGCTTAGTGGCTTGAACAGCTTACCCGTTTCAATTTCAACGCCTATGTTTATTTTTTTAATTATGCATGCATACATATGTATGTACCTACTTAGCTATGTATATCCAACCTAGGCAATGTGATATGAACATTGGGGGCTCCAAGGGTCTGTGCCCAAATGATGTACTAATGCTGGTAAAACCCATGATTTTTTGACTACTTGCTGAAGAACGCAAGGACCAAAGTTGAACCTTTCAATTTTACTACAATAACGGGTACGTACAATATTTGTACATAAGTAGTCAATATACTCTCCGAAAAACCCAGAATCGAGCGACTTAGAGGTCCACCGTGACTATAACGATGGTATTTGATCTGTCAATGTTCTCAGTCTTCGGATTTTCACACCGGTTGGTTATGCTCAAGTAGGTCTGGAGGCTATTCTGTACTACAAGTGGAATGAGAATGTGCCAACTATGTGGTGCTAACTATGTGGTGCATGTCTTTCAGTCCCTTAGAAGAGAACTCAGCCATACTTTTCATATCGACTGTAGATTGACAAGCTCCGTAAATTTATGACAGAGTTTATTTCTGGTATAAGATGTGAATTGACCTGGAAACAGCAGAAAAACATTTTACAATCTTGGTATACTATACGAGCTAAGCTGTGAACAAGGAAAACTGCTCTTTCCCTCCCTGACCCGACAGAAAGAGATATTACTCCGTACAGATTGAAAGTTGTCAAGCCATAATGAGTCTTTGATAGTAGTGACACATGCAAGAACCGCCTGGATTGAAACGTAGTATTTGCCTGATTATAATCTGTCGACTGGATCACTTTCCAGCCCAATGGGCACTAAGTCGTGCAACGAGCTAGATTAAGATTACCGAAACACGAAACAAGTTTAAAAATTGATCGGAACAATGTTCCAAGAACTTTGGAAGTCAATTTCCCTGTCAAAATCAGAGACATCGCGGCGTACACCGACTATAAAAGTTTGCTTCTGCTGCTCGTTGCTCGCTGCTCAATACTAGATAGTCCCCAAAGCCTTGCTTACCTAGAACTGAATGAACGAGATTGTAGAATATGAATATTACAATTACGCCTGGGGCTGGTTAAACAAACTCGATTCAAGTACCACGGGAAGGAAATGTACCTGGTTTTGAGCAACTCGTGCCATGCACCAATTGTTACAGTGCAGAGATTAATAGCAGAGATATAATTTGGATTATGCAGCCGAGCACAATGAGACCGAGACCGAATGCAACACGCAATGCACGATATTAGGGATGGTTCCATAATTTGACAAGGTGCAAAAGATATCATTTGAAGAGGCTGGATGTTGAAAACTCAATATTCGGTAAGAACATTCGTAAGGCAACCAATAACCGAAGGGATCGCAATGTAGACCGAGCGATTGAACTCCGGATGATACAATATTATCAATAGAGTTGTTTCCAGATTAATAACCTGATACAGGAACTAAAATGCAATTCCTACCTAACTAGGTACCGAGTGTGTGGTTTGTCAAGTCAAACTCGATTCATACGTTGTATTCTATAATCGAGCATCTCATTGTGCTTCTAACACACAATTAAGTGGCTGGTAAACCTCAAAAAACCGACCGTCAAGCTTGGTTCTACTCCGTACTTACGTGTTAATGATTGATCACTTAATTTTCTAGCCTGCATATGCGAGAGTCAAGCTGCAAGTGGCCGTTGATCGGAATCCGAAGGAAAGAAATACTTGGCATCCGCATGGTCACGTCGGAAAGCACAAATGAATGGCTTGATTGTGCTAATTTGGAGATGGATAGAACTCCCGAAGCTTTACAAGGGTTTATTAATAGTAAACTGATCCAAAGCAGACAAATGCAGGTTAATTTTGATTCCAAGATAAAAGTCTATTGATAACCAATAGATCTATATGGACAAACTTATTAACACAAATGAAACAAATTAGCTCAATTTTGTGCCAAATGTGGGCGGTTAAATGTTGCTAATTAAGGGAGTATATGTACGCTAAAGGATGGACAGGCTTAGAAAAAAGACGCTAAATCTTCATCACATCACATCCCCCGCTCGAAGCACAGAGCACTTAGTGGGTCTGCAACTTATACTACACAAACACCACTAAGAGCCCTGATCGGTCCAGTCAAGCAGTAAGCAATTTCCTCATTTGGAATATCTTGTCCAATAGTCACCCCAGAACCCCAAAGCTTGGCTTGCTCCACCCATATGTCACACTGCTCATGTGCTTTTCGTTCAGGTGTGATGAACCAACCTCCCAGAGTTGACTGACCTCGGTGATTGGTTACAAGAGCTTTTAGCGGTCAGACTTCTACTAAATTTGTCTGAACCTTTGCGGCATTTTATTCCGAAATTAGCAACTTAGTGAAGATTGTGCTGGCTTGTTCCTCGTCACATCTGACCTAGCCTGCAGTCCGTCCTGGTTCCTTGCAGGCCAAGGGGCGTTGTGCCATTTAGATTTATACTATGCTAAGAAATGAAGCGTAGTAGATCAAGCACCTAGATATTTCCAGGGATTTGCCAACACTCGACTTGTTCTGTTGAATTGCAATCAATCTAAGGCTATCACATAAAGAAGTAACCGTTCAGAAGCCGAAGGCCTTTTAGATCCAATGAGGGAATGGAGGGGCCACAGATGGCTTTCAGCCACCCCTGCTAGTGTAGCCCGACTGGAGAATCTCCATCCAGTCCCTCGAGGAACTTGGACATCAAGGTGCATGACGCTAATGTCGCCATGCGACCTTGCAAGACTAAAAAAAGCTAGCTAATTGTCCCAAATTTAGTCTCAAAAGGCTGGATTGCAACATTTACCATCAGTCCTGCAGCTCTCATTGGTCACTTGCACCTGATGGCTTCCCAGTCTAGCGATATTCGGTGACGATCCAACCCCAACTGATACCCCCAATTATCCCGAAATTGCTGTCAATCTACAGATGTGCAGGTGGGTTCTAAAATAGAAACTCCCTCGAGCTATCCTGCGTTTTAAAGCATCTTGAATCCCACGATCTTAGCTCCTCATCTCGAACAACTTTCCAACAGTTCCTTTTCATTTTATTCCTTTTAGACTGCAAAGCCTGCTGGTCAGCTTTGCTATACATAATTAATATCTTGCAGACACTGAAAAGGTATGGAGGCGCGAAGCTTCTTCAATTATCTGGAGAAAGTGATAAATGATTGGATCTCAATCGAATTGCACATCTCAAACGGGGTCCTTGTTTGGTCTCCTAGCCGAAAATACAATAGGATTGACATCGGCGGATGGGCCGCTGCAGTATACTGCACCCGAATAGGAAATCTTCAGAGTTCAAACCATGATGACCCCTTGAAGCGAGCCGCCAGCAGAGATGCAACCTTCGCGCGTCAAGGACTGGACGAACCAGAGCATGATACAGAATGAACGGTGGCTTGATAGGAGAACGTCGCCTATGACAACAATCGCTTTCTCCAGTGGCACCTGGTACATGTCACCAGGGGGTTTTTTGCTTCACATGGCGCGCGTCAATGTATACATATTGCTCCTGCGTGGCCTCGCAGATATGGGGCGGTTATAAAAAGAGAAAGGCAAGAGAGAAAAGGACAACAACATATAAAAGCAAGACATCATGACCTCGAGACCCTTTGATTCAACCACACTACCATTCCAGGATTCTTGTTTTGTTTCGCTCAAGTTTTGACTTGTTCTCAGACCTTGACGGTCGAGTTCCTTTTTTTTTCTCTTTTTTCTTCCTTTTCCTCTCTGTCTCTTTGCACAAAGGATTTGAGAAAAACTTGAAAGTACAACAATTTTGTAAATTGTCCGCTCTCCTATATTGGAAATCATTGCATAGTAAGTCAGATTATGCTGTCACTGTTTTTGCCGCCGAGTCAAAATGCCCTAATCCCTCTTGGGGTTTTCAGCCCTTTTCATTATTATAATTATTTGGTTACAATTTCTTTTTCATTTCCGTAACTAACGTGAAATATAACTAGTCTCGTATCTTACAGTTCCATACGCGAAATAACGTCGTATTAAGCTGTGCTCTGACTCTACATCTATTCTTCCTTGCTCAGATAGATAAAATAGTCTCTCCGCATCCCTTTTGCTGCTGGTCAGCACTTTGCTTCTTTCTTCTCTTACTCATTTCCCTTTTGATTTCTTCATATTCATCTTGACTTTTCCTCTACTTGTCTTTCATCATCTACTTCCGTGATTCACTTACTCATCTTCGCGAACCTCACGCGTCCGTGAGAAACCTTCGATACTTGGTGCTTTTCTGCCTCAATCAAAATGTCGAACATCAAACCTCTTCTCCACCCTATCAATACAATGGAGAAACTCGACACAATCAATACAATCAACACACCCAAAACACCCTACACAATCAAAATCAAGACAGAAGACAATATCAAATATCCGTCGGAAGTTCACGACTTTAACACCAGTGTTTCCGCAAACAACAGTCCAAAAGAAGGGACTCCAATCATGCCTCCACTATCCTACCAAAAGTTTATTACGAAATATTCTGCAATTTCGCCCACTTCCCAGCCTGCGAGCGCATTCAGTGGAACCTTTTCTTCTAGCGACTCAGTCAATTCCCCGACTGAGTCCACGTCGCCGCGCACACCAGCCTCAGCTGGTCTACCTGGTCAATCCGGGAAGCGTCCGCACCGCCTGTTCATCCCGCACCCATCGAAGTTCACACCTGGTGTGGACTCTCCTCGAAGCTCAACTAGAAGTGCCACAGCAACACCTCGAAGTGCAGTACTTAGGAGTGCATCCACTTGGAGTGCAGCCCCTTGGAGTGCGACGCCTAGAAGTGCAACCGATTGGAGTGCAACGCCTAGAAGCGCAACTGGTCCTCTAAGATCGCCATTCTCGCCATCAGATTGGAGGGTACGCTATTATGAGGAACCTCTCAGCGCGAGGGGTGCAAGTCCCAGGACCATCACCTTCAGGCAAATTGTCACGCGCACAGTGACTTACAACAACAACATCAACTCGTGCACTCAGCTTAGAGAGGCACCAAAAGGGAAACGACGCAAGTGCCAGGAGACCAAGGAGAAGGAAGTCGACCAGAAAGTCGTCGACCCGAAAGTTGAATGATACTGGGATTACCACTGATGCTATTTGTCCCATGCATCTGGTTCGTCGGTAACTTTAGCGTGGGGGCTGGATCTGGCGTTGCTACGGGGCCTTTGTGTTCACAATCATACACTGCAAGTGCTGGCGCTTTACTGTCTTATTGTCTTGTCTGCTTATATCTGCTTGGTGGTGCGTTATCATGTTTTTACGCAGTAATTCAGGAAATACGTTTTGGTGGCGGCTTGGAAACGCGATATCATCTACCATCTAAGGTTGCTTTCGGACATCTATACATTTGGCACTGGGGGCTGGTTGACCGACAGTTACAGCTGACAATGGTCTGCTTTGCACCGAATTAGTGTGTTGATAATCGAGAATTATTTTTTATCTTACATTGTCTACTGTATTCTCCTCTTGATTCTGTATCCGTTTATGGATACTTTTGTCGCCAAAATTCTTTAATTGAAAAGCTTTGTCTTCATCTACCTATATGGTAATGGTTCTACTTGTTTAATTTTCCTATGTATGTATAATATTGATTTGCCATGTTCGATGTATTGTCATGGTCGCCTGGAAGGAATGAACGTGTCACTTGAACACCATCAAATCGAACTGAACTTTTTGATTAATACTGCAGCTCTAGCTAATCAACCAACATTTGATCGTCGATGGGATAGGGCAGAATTGAGTTGGAATTTGCTTTGACCATGCGACGACACGGATCACAAATCATAGGCAATGAAGTCAGAATTGGCCCCCCAAACAAAGTTTAGACTGCAGTCTGGAAAACCAACAAGCACCATCTACCACGTCAAACTGGCGCTATCCATAACCCCGGATACCACTACCGCTATCCCGCGTACTTGACGCCGTGGTGGAGGCTCCTACAAGGCAAGTTATAAGCCTCATATGACTTTTAGAATCACCTTGTACAATCGCAGCTTTTGCATTCGCAAATCACAAGACTCAAATTCTAACTTAACACAGCAAGCATTCATTGCTCCAGGCGTATTTTGACTTAGTAGCTTTATAGATCTCCTTATAAAAAAACACACAATCGGGATCGGACAACTTTCCCGACTTGACAGTTGGGCGCTACACAGTGAGATTCCAATCCACGGTTCACTGGCAGCCAAAATGCCTGTCGGCGTTCTAGGAAGAGTTCTGACTCGCACGGCATCCTACCGGCAAAGAAGTTCGCCAACTCAAATATGATAGGGCAGAGTATCTATCAAAGCAGGTTGTAACTATGCCCTGCGTCTAATCGCATAATGGATCGCAACGTACTCCGTACGGTTGGATGGATCCTGAAAGAGCATATGATTGATTGCATATGTAATCTGTAAGACCTACAATACGTCCAGTCATGTTACGCATCACTCGCGGTAATTTTACCAGGGGGAGCCATTACAGGCTCCATACATACAATATTAGCCAGTTTTCCTGACCGGGTTCCAGCAATATTACACAGCTTCTCACCGCTCTCCATGCAGCCAATTCAACTATTCTACTGTAATTTACGTGCCCAGTAAGCATAGAGAACGTGATCGCATTTCCTTGCCATTAAGTACCCTGATGTAATGAGCACGGTGTGCTGCAGGAGACCGGGGCGCCACAGTGAGATCAAACACGCTGATTAGTCCATATAGCGCCCCCATGTTTCAACCTTTGTGCTGAAGAAGTTTGACCAGGGTTACGATCTTCTGTGATTATCTGAAAATGTTACTGGTGGGTGAAGGTATGGAACGAATTAGAGGCAATTCATCCTTGATACAAAGTGTTCTTAGGTATGTGGTTTTGGTTCAGGGAGGGGCACCATGGAGGAAGCGAACTGTATGTACTCCGTACACAATGACAGTACCGGAGGAGATCAAAATTACAAGGACCACCTAATGTATTCATTGGGAGACAAACCAACAGATTTGAAGACCCATTTCCTGGAGAATAAAGTTTCCCTTGTTCTCTGAGATTATGAACCTTTACCTCTTCTGGCCGTCTTGAGTGTTTATATTGGCTCTTGGTCGAATCGTGATCACAAAGTACCTAGAACAAACATAATGTACCGTTCACATTACTGGGATTTTGACCAATGAGCATCATTGGTGACAAGGCTCCGAGGGTGTGGTAGCTGCGATTAAGCGCTGGCGCTATACCTCTTTAAGACGAACAAACAATGGAACGCCGGGGATAAAGTGATGCCCCACTATACATGGGCACTAGTAACAGTTCCTGGTCTCTGATTGAATACCTTGTCTGTGGATAGCGGTGCAAAGTGTGACGTGGTTAAGGTCAGTGATTTCCACTTTCAATATTCCAAGGCGCCCGGCTTTGACGCTGACTTATTTTTGGCAAACCTAGGCATGTCAGGAATCACATAACTTTTCTTTGTTCAAGTGAAGTCTATTTTCGCACCAATACAAACAAATTAATGTGATCACTTTTCATTACAGAGTACTAAAAGCAATGATAGAGGACTATCACCATACAACCCGCGGTATTGTGAGATTCTAGTTTAACTTGCATAACGAAACTAAATATTCTAAAACTTCGAGTCTGCCTGGGATGATCTGCATATTTAGTATCCTTCCATATCACGCCAATGACTAGTACCTTCTAGTGTCGAAAGGAGGGGGTTTATGGTGTAAAGACTATTTGGTCTGGTCTCAGATATGTGTGTAACCTTGGTGCCAAAGTAAGACCAATCACCTTGAAGAGAGATTATTATTGAGGGGCACGCATATCTCCACGCGGTGTGATTATCCCCTGTCCTATTTCTGGGCTCCTTTTTCTATTCATAGAACTTAGCTTGAGGCCACTGTAGGACCTGCATACTTGGCTTGATCTTAAAAGATGCAGGGCTGTGATATTTTTGGAACTCAACTGCATGCAAGGTATCTTCAGAAATTTAGTATTGGTATATAGAATTCTTGCTAGGTACAATGACAATCAAGAAATAATTATGGAAATCAGAATTGCGTTCCATCAAGCCGCTCAACTCTGTGTATATTTTGAATCGAGCTTTATCGGCAAGCCTTGATCTTTTGATGATTTAAAGCAAGAGAGCACAGTCTCAATTCTCCTCCGTGAATAACTCAAAGCAGAGATCAACGCTAATAAGCACTGATCTGCCAATCTTCAGACTAGATGGTTTCCTAGTAGTATCCCCTGCTCCACTCATCTACGTTCCTGTCCGTGTCTTTTCAGCCTTCAGATAAATATATCTTCCAATGAGAAGCTGCAAGAGCTGTATATCCCACATGTATCCTCCTTACTGATTATTCCCAAGATTACACTCTGCTTCGGAGCTCCAATAATAGCTCATCGTAGCGCTTGTCTTCTATTTTGAACCACATTGGCGCCGCCACTGACACATCTTCCTTGCCCACAAAGCATTTTGATACCGTCAATCCATGCCAATCAACCATGTTTAGCGGTAATCACGAAGATCTTGGGCACCCGTCACACACGAGCATCCCGTCGACGGGCCATGAGTCTAAACCGCCGACCATCTCTTCGAAAAATCTCTCATGTTATACCAATCAGCGTCCACTATCTAAGCTCTCTGCAGACAGCAGCTCGCTATCCCACTGCTTGGGATAAATTTAGAATATGCGTCTTCAATCATTATGCTTCTCCCCGCAGACATTGCCGCCTGGCACAATCTGATCCTGTATGAGCTAGCTTCCTGCAAACTTTGCTGACCCTGACCTTGCATCGGACTTCCACGCCATCTATTCTTGTTTATCATACCCTAATACATCCTCACTTCATCTTTTCGCTGGTATGTATGATACTGTATCATACTTGGGCTCTTTTCAGACCGAATGGAGCTACTGTACGCATCGAGGAACGTGATCACACCCACTGCTAGGTGTCTATCTGGAGGCTTGTGCTACAAGGTCCTTTTTCATTCACGTTTGCCCTTGACACATATATTAGACTTCAGTTTTGTTTCTAAAGATAGAAGTCATCTTTGCATAGCAGTGTTCTGGTAAGAGAGTGTCGGCCAGACATTTTGTCTAAGTCATACTTATACCGCCGCCAGGAATGGGCAAGATTCTGCACCGGTGTTCCCTACGGTTTTGTTTGAACTTGCTTTAGATATAAAAAGACACTCCCTGTCATCCTATGGGAGGTTTGCTCAACTATGACTACGCAGAAGGTGTCTCCTTTCCTCGCCATAGATATGCTGATTGGCACGCACTTGCTAACCTATCTACACTTAGACTTCGACAACTGCTTTAATGATTTCTCTGGAATTCACACAAAAAGCTACCATGCATTCCTTCCAGATATTTACAGAATCTTTCTTTATTTACCAAAACTCTGTTACACCCATCCATGGATGTCAACCATTGGCTGGGCTGCCATCAATACTAGGAGTGAAAGGGTGAACAAGATACGTATCAACCGACACAGAGTATCATGTAATAGGTTAGAGAAATCTTATGAGCACAAGCAACAGCAACTGACTTGATGAACGTAGTTCATGTATATATTCATAGGTGGCAAGTCGGGTCTTTGATGTTGACGACTCATGCATAAAGTGGTATGCCAAGGCTTTCTATAATTAGAGGACCAATGGATTCCCCGCTCCAACTTCGCATCCCAGCAAAAGATGAAACTACACGAGCAACCCCCGACGCGGAAAGGCCTTTGAAGATTAAGATCTTAACGATCCCGTGATCGACTTGATAGTGAACCCCGCCCAGTTCGTGGTGCGAATGCCTAGTCCGCCCAACCGCTATCCTGTCCCTCCCACATTCCCGCCTTGTGCCGCCCGCATTAAGTCCCGATCTCACGCCCCTCGAATACGTGCCCGTTAGTATCTGCAGCCATGGCTCAAGCATCGCCCATCTTTACCCCAGACAGCGAATTCGCTGATCTGGAAACCTCTCGGGACCCCACGAATGGGAGTCTTTCCATAACGGCGCTGGCTCGATTCGAGTTCGAGGCTGGTAGAGGTAATGATGGCACTAAAATTTTGATGGTCGAGTGGGAAGATGACGATCACACCCGGTCCGCGGCGGAGGGGTCGTGGCATGTTTCATGGGCTGGAAAAACAGCTGTGATGCCCGCCGACGATAGACCGAGTGACAGCCTACGTCGTTGCTACTTTTTGCTTCCGCCTAATAGTACCATCCCGCCTGTTGTCACGCTGTCATACGAACCCCTGTCCGCAGGTCCAAAATCGAGTGATGTCACTGCGATTCCCTCAAACAAAACAGCAAAGTCAAAAGACACTTTCCAGCTCAATCCTCTCCCCGCCATATTTCCCCCTGGATTGGGAGCCACAGGTCGCGCAGCCGGCAAGAAGGGTGTGTTGCATAGTATCTGGGCGAAGAAGCGGCTGCGCATTCTTGAAAAGGAGATTGCAGAGGAGTCGCGCAACAATGTGGAAGGAATTGCGCTGTCCATGGCAATCGACGAGAAGGACTGGATTGAGTTGAACTTTGGAGTGACTCTGCGCTCGGCCGATGCATCGAATAGCTACGCCCCCACCTCGTCTTCCATAGATCCAGTCGGGCTAGCCACTCCCGTGTCACCCGTCAGTGGAAGAAAGTTGAGTGACAAGCTCAAGGGACTCAAGCTGCAAACAAGCGAGAAAGATTTGGCGACAAATAATGATGGTGGTATGTGCTCATTGTCATACTTTTATTTCCTGTCGGCAAAGCTAATCAAAACCAGGCTCAGGTCCCAATATCGATGACCTTCTCTCCCCGCAATCTCCTGATGTTGCTGTCTCCTCCTTCAGCTCATTCCATAACGTCGCCCATAAGCATATTCATTCCATGCCCACTCCAGACTCATACACCAAACCCCCCGGCCCGGAATCTCTCAGACCAGTTGCCCTTTTCCCGCCTTCGTCTCTACAGGAAGCCCAGCAGGGAAATGAGCATGAGCCTACCGGGTTTGCAGCAATGGGCTCATTCTCGCGCATCCCGAGCAATGATTCCGGCGATGACTTGTTTGCCAAGGCACTGAGCCCGCGCTCACCAGATCTGCCTCGCAGCCCTTTCTCGTTTGCCTAAACTTTCTATGCATGACCTCATACCATCTTTTACGACTTTGCGCAATGATTCCCCTTATGCAGTGCCATACCCTGCCCACATCGCCTATGATCGCGTGCTCATCTCGCTACTTTTATTCTGTTGATACATCGCGGACGTATATCATGCCCCATTGCCGCATTTTCATCTGATTTTTTGTTGTATGGACATAGCATACATTATCTATGGGCCACATATGTACATAAAATGATAGTCGAAATCCATCACCCCTCATAGAAGAAGAAAAAGCCGATTTTGATGATGTTTCCATTTGCAAGAGCAAGTCCTGGTCTGCATAGGCTAACAACAAAAGCAATAGCGACATATCTTTAAGCAAAGCAGGTAATGTAACTAGGTGCGCACCTCCCGCGCATTATCCAAACAAGGACAAATACGAACGAAAGAAAAGCAATCAACCACTAAATAAATTAATTGCTCTTCTTTCGCTGACTTCCCTGCCGGCCAGGCTTACTAGCAGTAGCGCTCGACGCGCCAGAAGTAGCACCTGACTCGGCAGAGTCCTTTTCACCCTTCTTCCCCTTGGCAAGCGACTCGTACTCCTGCGCATCCTTGCGCTCGGCATACCATTGCCCAGCCTGGAGAACCAGAATGCCAACGAGGACAAGAGCAAGGATGGTGTTGCTGGCAGATAGGACCTTGAGCGAGTCCTCGCGACCAAGAATCTGTTCCTTCTCATCGGGGGTAGTGGCGAGTTCGGCGCCGTATTGGCCGGCGGAGGCCAGACGCAGACCCTTTACGATGTTGGCGATGTAGACGGTTACACCGCACATGTAGAGAACAAGCGAGGCTCCGTCAAAGAGCATGTTTGACTCGGAGGGCTTGTAGAGCTTTGTCAGGAGACCGGCGAGGCCGAGGAAGATTACGATGTGCAGGATGCGTGGGATGAGCGGGGGCGAAGCGTGCAGGAAGCGGAGGTGCGCTTCCAGGTAATCATAGTGGGCGGCGGGCGTTGTCACGGTTGACCAAAGGATTGGGTAGTCATAAGGGAAGAGGGAGAAGATGATTCCCAGGAAGAAACAGGTTGCTGGTTGGAGTTAGTTTGCAGTCGCGTGGCCTCTTCGCCGTTGGAAGTCTGGGGGAGAAGAGTTGGATCTGCGGACTTACGGCAAACAATGAGGAAGGTCGCGAACGACCCGCTTTTGAATGCCATTTTAGAAAAATGGTGACTCAAAGCTCAGAATTGTAATTGAGAGGTTTTACGGGAATGAGGAGGAGTAGGGGGCAAAGCAAAGAGGCCTGTGGTCGCTAAGCGGGTGCCAAGCCCCGAGAGATAAGGCCTATAATCTCCAGATTTCTATAGACAAAATGACTGTCGCGGATTGATAATCACTGATATGAATATATGATACATGATACAGATTTTCAACGCCTTCGTTCATAAATGCGAAAAGTGGTATCTTCCAGAATATCCCATCCCGTAAATGCAAATGTACAAAACAACATCAACGCTGATACCGAGGCAATGACTCGTCCGCATGCGCCGTCCCGCCGACCAACTGGTCGTCTTCATCGAAGACCGGTGCACTAGGCTCAGGCTCCTGGCCATTGAGCTCATCTTGAGGCGCGCTTGCCTGTCCCTGCAGTCGATGACGTTCAAGCTCTTGTTTATCATCTGAGACACGTGGCTCGCTAGGTCCAGCGTTTCCATTTACAACGACAGTCTGCAGGGAATCTGCAGACCGGAGAGCAGGGGGCCGCCCGCTTATATCTGGCGAAGGCAGGTGTTCATAGTCCTGAAGATGGTGATCATCTGGCAAAACTGGCGCGGTCGGGCCATCCATGGGAACCGTCGATGGCCCTGCTTCGTTTTCGTCTGGTGGTTGACTTGGCAAAAGAGCTTCTTCGTGGCGGCGTGCCCGTGTTTTCTCATCTGCGGGCTCATCAACCTCCGGAGGCGCAACCATGGGGTCCATTGGTTGGAAGTGTTCAGGGTATTCTTCAGGATACTCGGCCCAATGTGCCTCCTCCTCGGGAAAGTAATCCTCCTGAGTATCGTATTCAGAATGGGGATCAGGCAATGGACTCGCCTCAGGCCATTCCTCTCCGTCGACAGGATTGACCAACATGGTAGATGCAGGTGGTGCAGCCTGTGACGCCGTGGAGTCGCCAGCTGTAGATGACGAGCGTTTTACTTTTCCTCGTTGCGAGTCGCGAGTCCCCACGACAACTTCAAAGGCCACTGATATTACGCCTTTCTCGCGGCGTATTGAATCCGTGTCCAAGATGTTGCCGGCCCAATTGGCAGTAACGCCGTTTGAATCGGTTGGGTTGAGAATCTGCCCGCTGGGCGAGAAGGTAGTACCGCCTGATACCATGTTGAAACGCGGGATGAAGCGATCAGGCGAAGTAAGCTTCCCTCGTAGATCCGTTACAACCTCCACATAGTAGCGGAAATTTATCATGGCCCCGGGTACACGTGTAATGGTTGGGAACGCGTCTTCGGGGATCCTGATAGAAGTTTTGACAACTGCAGTCATGGTACTCGGGTCCACGATCAAAGGGGCAAACGTTTGCGACAGATCCTTCCGAAATGTGCTGCTCGTTCGACTTGTTCCCAACGTGAGTCCTCCAAGTCCGGTCCGTGAGCGAGGATAACAGTCTTCGTATACGGGCTTTTTGCCAGCTGTCGTGGAGCCGATAGGTATTGCGGGATGTAAATCGATGCGACCTTGTCGATAGAGAGTTACCATGATGCCATGCGCACTGCGCACTTGTTTCCAATGGTTTATCGTGACTGTGATGGGTAATGTGTCGCCGGGGAGTACGCCGGCGCGCAAAAGCTCAGCCTTTGCGGTGATGGTTTTATCTGAGACGGAAGGGGTCGCACTGCGACCCTCGCTATTTCGCCCACCGGTACTTGCGGATGAACTCGGATCACTAGCGATCTGAAAGCTCAAACTGCTTTCGCTCGGTCGGCTGGACGAGCTGACATTGCTCGGCGATGGACTGAGTGGTGGTCTGGTATCTACCGAGGGCGCTGCGCCACTTATTGGGGTATCGATTGAGGATGTGTCTGGTGCTGCGGTTGCGTCTGAACTTGTTGATTTGGCTTTGCCCCTCGTTTTTGAGCGTTTTGAGATCGGTTCCAACGTGACAATTCGAGCTTTGGGTGCGGGGAATGGTGCAATGTCGATGTTTTCTAGAAGGTTGACCCGCCTTCGGCAGGTGAGTGTAGGGTTCATGGTCGTCGGTCGGGTAAGAGTAGAGGTAAGTGAGTAGCCGATGGTTCCGCGTTCGAACTGCAGTTTCCCGCGTTGTTAGCATATTTGGTTCGAATGAAATCGGTTGTACCGGATACGCACGTTAATGCTGCTGGGAAGCGCATAAGGCGGAAGCCCCATTTCAAAGCGAAATTTGTAGATGCCCTCTTTCAGGCGTCCATCGCCACACAGAACAACCTCATCCTCAAACAAGGTTGCTAATCCATTACCCATATATTCTGCGCCACGTCGCCCCCGCCCTGGTCCTAAGAATCCCAGGTCGGGGGTGGCTTCCCCAGCTGGAATCGCGTTTTTGAACACCTTGACATAACCGTGTAGACAGACCACTATATGTGTAATGCGAACAGGCCGTACAACCGTCACAACGACGGTCCCCTTTATGACGTCGCCGGGAAAATATGAGCGCCATGGGTCATCGGGATCGATATAAAAGTCGGTGATGCCTCGATTGCGTTGGCCGAGCGGGGAGCGAAATTTGGAGAAAAGAGAGTTGCGATTCCGACTGAGCGGCAACGTAGGTTGGGTGGGAGGTTTGGCGGACATGACACACAGTCGCTGTTTACTGCATCTATACAAAACAATATGGCAAAGGTGAGAGGGGATAGACTGAAATCAGGTTGATACCGATCCAAGAGGCACAGAGACAACGGAAGTCTTCTAGGCACCACGAAATGGCGGGGAAAGGGTTGGACGGATCAGTAGACAAGTGGTCTACGTCAAGAAATTCGATCGGACGCGATAGGTAGATCGTCTCGTCCGGGGGAGGGGGAGGGGGGATCTGGCGCCCAGAGACAGTGCACTGGACACAATCTGATTCCAAACGTCCACGGAATGTATCTGAATCCACGCGCGAGATATTTCCCCCGGGTCCAGATAAAGGAATGGGGATTATTATGATTGAGAGCCTCTGCACCACATTGTTTCTTGTGGCATCGAAGCGCAAGGCAGACAGTATTCGAGTGTATCCCCGCAAGGAACTCGCACTGTATCGGAGACGCAGGGTTCGTGAGATAAGAGAGTGAATAGTTCGGTTCGAGAGGAATGAAAGGGCAAGGGACCAATGGTCAAAATCGCTGAATGTTGGAGTGGGCTAGAACGAGCTCGAAAGAGGCGCGACTGGAGAAAGCGAAAGGTGGAGGAATGTGGGACTCGGATAGAACGCACGAGCCAGGAAGGGGATTAAATAGAGAAGGGACTAGAGAGTAGAAAGGAAAAGGAGAGAAAAGGTGTGTGTGTACAAGGGTGTACCTCGAAAAAGGCGAGAGAGAAGATGAATCGGAGAAGAGCGGGAGTTTGCGATAAGCCTCTGGGGGGCGGAAAACGAGGAGGAGGACATTCGATTCGCGTGTCGCACGGTCAAGCTTCTCTTGGTGGCTCAACTAGTGACCCCCTTTTCTGGGCAAGTTAGGATTATCATTTGGGCAACTTTTGATTTCTGACTTTCGATTCGACCCTTTTGTTCATGTTTCACAAATTTGATCCATAATTTTTGTCAATTTTGGGACTAAGTAGAAACCTAAGCTTTTTGATCATAACTCAGAAAGTCCTCCGTCCACGTATTCGTCTCCATAACATTCACGCAACACTGAATCCACCATCTCTCGGTCTCCGCCAGCTAATTTGCGCAAGTATTCTTCCAATATGTAAATATTGTCCGTCCATTGCAGTGCTTCCTCTCGAAACCCCGCTATTTCCTCTTGTACCTGGTTTGCACCCTTGTTACTGAGTGGATTCAGCCCGCCGGTGAGTTGGGCCTCTGTACTCCGTACCCGATCCACTGCCGCCTGGAGCTCGGCTTTTCTGGCCATCAGGGATTCTCTCTGCCCCTCATCATCATCGGTCTGTTCTCGGCCTAATCTCTCCGCAGCCAAACCCGCTTCTGCGTCGTCGCAGGACTTCCGAGTCTTCTCCACCTCCGTCATTACCCGGGCCAACTGACGCTCACGTTGATGCTTTTCATCGCTGCTAAAGACCCAGTACCAGTTCCCACTGCCAATCTTTTCGACTCGTAGTTGACCCTCATCGGTCAAGGCTTGGATGTATTCTTTGACTTGCATGCCATTGATTGATGCAATCGAGGGTAGCGTCTTCTCTAGATCCTTGAGCGTGTGACAGGTTCCGGTGGCGCGCAGGTGAGTCAGAATCAGATCCTGCTTAGCGCTTTTGGACAATTTGGGTGGCTTTACTCGACGCGTCAGTGGGAACCTGAGATGCCACCAAAGCCACGTACCATCTTGGAAATCCAGTTCACATAGTACTAGTAAGTGCCTTTTGATCGACGCTTGAGAGGCCTTTCCTCATTGGGTAAATGTGGGACAGCTAAGCATTTTTTGGTGGAGGAGATGTGTAAGTCACAGCTCTTGGAAGTGCCAGGGAGTCTTGTTCACTTGTCACGCAACACAAACTCATCTCACAGAGAGTACAAACTCATATTCCGTGCTTAGGTTTTGTTCCCTGATTATAATTCGGATATTTTCTCAATTAGAGCAGGACTGTTTGACTTTACTTTTAACTTTCAGGGCTTGATTTACCTGTAGTTAGCTAGCTCTATGTGATCAAGATCCTTGTGAGTATTGCATTGTTCAACCGTCGGAAGGGCTTACACCCCACGCACAGTACGAGTCCTACTAGATATAATCAAACAATACAGTTCCACTTCGCAAAACTCCATAGATCTGACCTCATATCCTTTAAGACCGACCTTGGGAGCACATTGATTACTATACCTAACTTGGGCAAGTTGGACGGTCTAGTGAGACAAGATTCTGCTGCAACATGGCTACATATGAGGTCTCACGACAACAAGATATTGCGCCGGTGCTGCCAACAATCCGGCCGAAGCCTGTAGGAAGCGCGGAATATGAATTCTCTGTGGCTGGGCCATGGGAGTCCGGCTGATTCACATATTGACCGAACAGCCTCAATATGCGGAGTAGCCCGTGAGGTCATCACTGGGTATGTATCAATCCGACCTTCGGTGCAATCGGAATATAAAGGGGGCGCAGCAGATTTCTGTCTTACAAATCAAAGGCTGACTGTTTTCATCCCTCTGTACGCCAGGGAAAGTGGTAGACAGCAGATATCTGCCGATCCCATGTGCAGCGTGGCTGTGCCACTGCAGGAGACAATGCGACCCGATTCGCCATTGGTGGCATTAGGTGAGCCGCAGAGCAACCATGCGCAAAGCTTGATCCTAGGTCGAGAACGTGAAAAGCCTCCGAAGATATCGGACGCAGGGATATGAATTCGAAAACGGTTTCTCAACCGAATCTCAAAAATCATTATCTTCGGTACAATTGGTTTCCCACGCCCTTCGGAACGGAGCCCGATCGAGAGGATTTGCGTCGTTTTGACGATTTCAGCACCCTGATAGGTACCGGCTCCTTTCGTGCAGGTGATACCATAAGCTGGTCTTTGATGTTGTTCTTGAGGTCAATGTCTTCCTCATCCTCCGACAGCTCCTCTCCTTCAACGAGGACTAGATCCCCGGTATCACCTAGTGCCTCCTTAGCCAGCTCTTCAATTAGAATTCCCATCGCTAGCAATGCAGTGCCATCCATAGTGCCGCTGTCATCGTTGCCGTTATCAGCTGTAGCAAGTTCAAAGTAATCGGCCGCGTAGACATGTAGCGTTTTGAGAAGTTCGGAGGAGGAGGCAAGGGTTGGTCAGAAGGGAGAGCTTCATGCGCGAAGTATGTTTCATCGATAGGTTGCTTCGCTAACCTTTCCTTGCGAAAAAGAACCTCCTCTGGGCGTAGAGCTCGAGCGCCTGACGAGGCTGTATCGCGATATTTCGAGGCAAATGGCTGGTCAGTTCGAAAACCACGAGCGGTGACGCGGGCTAATTTCGATTAGTTTACTTTTTCCAATGAATGCACCAACATGAACTCATACCAGCTACCGCATCATAGAGATTGGAGAAGCGCCTGTTGGGCATATCGAGATTTTCAATTGCCGAAGGCTGGTCAACCCGCAGGCCATTGTTGTTTCCGACTTCGTTGGGCGATTGGTCAGCCGAAAGAGGCGGCTCGTCAGATGGTATGGTCAATGTACCACGGTGCTTTGAGGGTTTCTTTGACGGTTTCGGGGACTCTAAGGGCATTTTGGGCTGCCCACTAACCCGCAGTCCATTCTTATCTTTGACCGTTTGAACCAAGAGGTTTTCATCAGATTCAAGCTGCCTGTTCGATGGCATGCTCGATTTACAGGTGAAACCAGTGAGAATTTGGCCCGGCGCAGAAGTTTACATGCAAATGTGAGAAACCATCCCCAGAATCAATGCGCCGGCACAACCTTAATCCGGTTAAACACAGCGTCATTGGTTCCGCAGTCTGGACACTCCCATGAAAAGGTATCAGCGCTGATGAATGAATGAATTCCTATCTGCTCAACAGAGCCCTCGGGTCTATAACCCCAGATGACTTTCATGTCGCTCAAACAACCAGACTAGTGCACAGCATCGAGCCGGCTCCCGGTATAAGATTCTCCAGCCGCAAATCATTGACACCAACAGACCGATCCCAGGATGATGTGGCGCCTTTGGATCAAGAGCTCGATGCTTCAGCAGAGGTTTCCGCTCATAAATCTGGCGTTAACTGCCTGGCTGTTGATCAGTTTGATGGTCGATAGTGCGTGTTGAACCGCTCAACATCCCAGCATTGTCACTAACATGAGGATAGTATGATATCGGGCGGTGCCGATCCATCAATCCATCTCTGGGACCTGGAAACAAGAAACTCAGAACTTGAGCATGTCCATCAGTCTTGCGCGTCAGTCAACAAATCATCCCATCCTGATGCGCACACGCATGCGATTACCTCCCTCTCGATATACCCGTTTGATCCGGTCCCTTCGACAATATTCTCGACAGCACACGATGGCACATTGAAATTGTCAGCGCTACAAGCGCCCTCCATCACACCTGTTCATACATTTAATCTGGACTGCACGCCGTTTTCGCACTCGTTCTCTTCACAGCCCGGGTCAACGTTACTTGTCGCAGTCGGCACATCCGAACGATCGGTACGGCTGGTAGACTTGCGGTCTGGACTATCGACGCAAGGATTACCGGGACATAATGGCGCGGTTTTGTCAGTTGCGTGGGCTCCTCACCGACCACACTTGCTGGCTTCTGGCTCGGTTGATAATAAGGTCATCATCTTCGATGTACGTCGCGGGGGACACAATTCTGCTATCGCGACCTTGGACATGGACGATCCGGTGGGACTGGTCGCTCCAGGCACAGGGTCCGCACCTGCATCTTACGAGAGTCGCCTGGCCTTTTCTCGACACGCCCGTGCTCATAATGGCCCTGTGACAGGGGTACGCTGGACGTCTAATGGCAGCCATATCGTTACAACAGGACAAGACTCGCGGATCCGAGTCTGGGACTCTGGGACGGGTGCTAACACACTCGTTCATTTCGGTCCTCGTGTTCGTAATAGCTCTACGTCTCATCTGGCAGAACGGGCGCCATTGGTTGTCCCTAGGGGCTACATGAGCTTGGGTCACGAGACGTTGCTCTGGCCCAACTTCAATGAACAGGATGATCGCGGTGAGATTTTAATGTTCGAATTCCGCGAGGGAACATTCGTTAAGCGTCTCCGGGTGCCTGGAGTTATGGTTGGGTCACAGAACGTCCGCGGGCGCTCGACTGCTCTCAGCGCCGCACGGGTCAACGATCTTGTTTGGCGTGGCAACGGTGGTTCAGGAGAGGGGATAGAACTATTTTCGGCACATGGCGACGGAACCATCCGAACATGGGCATCTCGTGAGCCAGACGGCGAGCCTAATGAGGCTGACACAAAAGCTGTAGCAGATCGCAAAAGGAAGCGAGATGTTCTTGAAGAATTATCCCGAGGATTCCTCGAGCCTGATCAACCCAGTCTACGAATTTGAACTACAATTTATGTTACTGCGCAGCCACTGCTCGAAAGCTTGGTTGAATAATGTTCAATTAATTTATCTGACAAAACGCAATTCATCACATCGTGCACCAGCCTGGCCAAAATTTTCGTATACACAGAAGGTCCAGGTCCAGGTCCAAGTCATTCAAAAAACGACACGCATGAGGCCCTTAGAACTGGTAGGGCTCAAGTTCACTTTAGCCATATTTCGCGTGCTTGAGGTCGCGTGCACCAGCATGACCAGCATGGTGGTTAGCGCCCAGAAACATGCTTGGACTCAACACCAGCCGGCATGGAATTGCCTGTGCCTGTGATGACCTCCCCGGTCTCGCCCATATCTCTGGTCGAACGCGGGAGATCAGTGGCGTTATCGGCTGCCTTGGCTGTGGAAGGCTCGGCGATGCCGGCATTGTCGAAACCAAAGTGCTCGGCCCGTTGATCGGGACGGGCCACTGAGGGGAGGGTGTTCATCTTGCCGGCATCATTTGGAATAGTTGTGCCAGATGCGGCCATTTCGGAGAGGCTGCCACCTTGGTGGGGATCTTGGTGAACCATTGTGGTAATAGGTTTATGGTGCGGTGATCTGGATGTGGTTTGGATGTGAAGATAGTATAGTTTTCTGATGAGATTCGAAGTAAATAGTGTCTAAGGAAACTTCACAGAGGAGCGTTGTATGTGGTCTAAGTCAATTGCAGTGCGTCTCTTTTATATTTGGTTCTGGGGGTTCGAGTCTTGATTTGACGCCTGGAACTGATGTCACAACTTTGGATTTTGTACGGAAATGATGAAGCGATGATATCACCCACGCCATATCTTGATTAACCAAAAAGATATTTGTGGAACTGATTTCTGTTGTGGGTACTGAGTGATTGTATCCTGAATGTGAAATCAGTGACAATCATCAAAGTTGGTAGTGGCAAAGATTGAAAAGGGACTTGACCTTGTTATCAAATCCAATATGACCCACTCGCGCGCATCAGGTCTAGGTGTTCGGGATCTCGGGCCGTTAGTCAGATGGCTGTAGTGGTACTGTAGTGTGACCAATTATGTGGGTCAGGGGCAAATAATTTCAAGATCAATTTACAATAATGCACGTTGGTTTTGATTGAGAGGACCGAGACCTGAAAAAGACAGATTGAGTTGATTGATTGAAAGTCAAGGAACTAATTGCATACGAGAATTCAGGAATCTGGGGAAAACTCAAAAAGTATGAATAATCAGTCGCAAATGTGGACATTATAGAGTGAAGAGCATAAAGTACAAAAAGGGTTACGAAAAGAAATAACGGAAAGAAAGTATAAGGCAGAGCCCAAACGAGTGACAATAGACTGATATTACACCGAACGCCGTTAGTTGGAGAGTCCTGTGACCATCTAGATGATGAAAGCAAGGACACCCATGACAGCGGCAGCGACAGAAACAATGCCGCCAGAGAGACGAGGAGCAGCTCCTTGGAACATGACGCCGTGGGAGGCGGAGGCCCAAGCAGAGGAAGAAGGCGAAGCCTTGTGCTCAGCAGAGACGTCGGTAGGCATGTTGAGACCGTGGGTACCGGAGGGGGTAGCCATGGAGTAGGCACCGGCGGACGAAGGGGTAGCCATGGGAACGTGCACAGGGATCATGGAGAAGGAGGCAGCCTGGCTCAAGGGACGCTGGGAAGCGTAGTTGTAGCCGAAGTTGCCCGCTTCAGGGGAGGCATGGGCAGAAGCAGAAGCAGCGTAAGACTTGATCTTGGGGTCAACCTGGGCGGATTGCGGGGGGTGTAGGCCATGGGGACCGCACTGGTCTCCATAGAAGGAGCAGACATGTACACCAGACGAGTGGCCTCGGCGGTCTTGTACTGAGTCTTGGTCACAGTGCGGACAACTTCGTGGACCTGGGCAGAGCACTTGGAATCTTGCTCGTGGTCCTCGCTGGGAGGGGCGGACTCCTCGCTGGGAGGGGCGGACTCCTCACTGGGAGGGGCGGACTCCTCACTGGGAGAGGCGGACTCCTCACTGGGAGGGGCGGACTCCTCACTAGGCGGCGTGGACTCCTCCTCGGGGGTGAAGCTGGGGGGAGAGGGAGGAGAGGCTTGGCTCTCGGGGACCTCTGCGGAGGGAGGAGCTTCGAAGGAGTGCGCGGGAGGAGCAGGGTAGCTCTCGCTCTCGGGGTACTCGGCGGGAGCGGCAGGGGACTCGTATTGGTAGGGATCAGCGTTGTAAACGGTGTTGGGATGGTGCACGTGTGTAAAGTCGCCCTTGATAGCGTGGTTGTCCTCGTTGTGCTCATTCACGCCAGTGGTAACGTCGATATCAGTGGGGTCGGAGAACCCAGCACCTTCGTCATCTCCGGAAGGACCTCCCATGGCAGTACCGCCGCCACCACCGCCAGCCTCACGGCTAGGGGAGAAGGCACGACGATTGAAGGGACCCACACCTCCAGCTGAGGGGCCATTGTTGATCTGCTGGATCGATTCGAGGTCGAAGTCCTCCTCAGGCGCATAGGTTTCGGGCGCGTAGACAGCGGTGTATGGTGCGTAGACCTGAGGAGGAGGGGGGGGGACCAGGGAAGTGCTCAAAGTGAGAAGGGGGACCAGAAGGCGGGCCAGCAGGCGGGCCAGCAGGGCCGTGCTCAAAGTGCGCAGGGGGAGGTCGGTTGAGCGACGGTTGAACGGACCAACGCCACCAGCTGAAGGGCCGTTGTTAAGCTGCTTGATGGAGGTCAAGTCAATGTCTTCCGATGGAGCATAAGTCTTAGGCGCGTAGATGTCAGTGTGAGGGGCAAAGACATCAGGGTGACCATGGGGGGGACCGCCAAATGGAGGACCGTGAGGGGGACCACTATGGTGGGGAGGTCCATGCTGCGCAGGAATGGGAGGACCGTGGTTGGCCGGAGAATTGAAGATAACAGGACCAGGGCCACCATAATGGGGTCCAGGGACAACGTGAGGTGCAGGATAAACATCTTCATGTGAGGAGTGGATACTGTGGTTGTCCTCGTTGTGCTCATTGACACTGGTGTCGGTCTCAATGGTGGTTGGGAGGCTGAAACTCTCACCACCATCGTCGCCGGAGGGACCACCCATCGCGGTGCCACCCTGCGCAGGCTCCCATCCACGCTTGAAAGGAGCGCCGAAGGGAGAGGAAGGCCGGGGCAACGGGTTCCGGCAAGTACTCATCCTTGTGCTTGAGATCGATGGAGTGGTCATCCTCGTTGAACTCATTCACATTGGTGTGGAAATGACCGGTCACGGGCTTGCTGAATTCAAGGCCGCCATCGTTTCCAGAGGGACCACCCATGGCGACGCCACCGTGGGGACGAGGGAATCCCTCGGGTCCGTGAGAGTAGTGAGAACCGCCGCCAGGGCCACCCATGGCAGTACCACCCTCCTGAGGGTGGAAACGCTTCTCAAATGCCTCAGGGGGCGTGTTGAAAACTGCCGAAGGCGGGCCAGGGGTCCGTGGAATTTTCCACGGGGAGGGCCACCGAAGTGAACAGGGGGTTGGACTGCAGCAACAGGAGGTGGGTGAACGTGGGTGTTCTTGACATCAATAGAGTGGTCATCTTGATTGTAGTCATTGACCTCAGTGTTGAAGATTCCAGTGATTGGCATATCGAAGCTCTGGCCTTCATCGTTGCCAGAGGGCCCTCCCATGGCAGTACCGCCAGGGGTGCTGCGCTTCCCGAATGGACCCATGCCAGGGACTTGAGGTCCCTCGACCACAGGCGGACCGAAGACAGCGGGAGCGTGGTGGGGACGGGGATACACATCCTTGTGCTTCACGTTGATCGAGTGGTCATCTTTGTTCCACTCGTTGACCTGGGTGTTGGTTTTGATGCTGGCGGAATAAGGACTGATAAAGCCGCCGTCACTATCATCTCCGGATGGGCCACCCATGGCGGTGCCACCATTCTGAGTGGGTGGGAAGCCATGTTCCTGACGCAGAATTGATTAGCTGAAGTGTCGATATTACATTATGGATTCCACATACACGCTCAACGAGCTTAGCCTGGGCAGCGACTGCCAGCAGTGCGATGGGGATTCCACCGATGAAGCCCTTCATGATAGTGATAGTTCGGGTTATTACTGTAAAAGGTATGTATGCTCTGGCCCGTAGGAGTTAAAAGAGTGACTGGAAGCGAATGCCACGGGGACAGATCAAAAGAATGGCTCGATAGGTTGAAGAGACTCCCTAAAAGACAACGAGTGACACTCCAGGCTGGAGGAGATCTGAAAGCGCTTTAGTACTTCTGGTCCATTCATCATCACCCGCTCAATTGGTAGAGGGGAATGCCGCTGCATCAACAGACCTTGGGTCTCGACATGAGGCCAAGACATGGAAACCTCCATCAGAATGTCATGGAGAATGAACAACAACATCAACAGCGGAGCAAGGGCTCCTCGATTAAGGTTGGATCGTAAACAAGTGCCGTGTGGTTCACGAAAGGGTGGTGTTACGGCATTCCATAAAAGTTGAGGGAGGGATGGATCATCCGGAGTTGCGGCATTCACGAAACCTGCGAGCCAACCAGGCGCGCCCCTTGGCTCAGCCAGGTGTTTCGCTGAATTAACACGAATGGGTAGTGATGCCAATACTGTTGATTCTTTCCCAAAATTACTGGAATATGGACGATCGGTGTCCCTGATCGTGGAGCATCGACTTTAGAAGCGCGGTCGAGCCATTGTGGAATTCCAAATGATGTCAATGCCAACATGGAATAATTGTGCCCCGGAAGACTGAACGTGACTTGCGGTAAACAAAACAAGCGTCTCATATAACAATCATCGTTTTGTTTCATGATCTACTCAAATCGTACGGCAATGGTGTGAATAGATGATTAAGTGCAAATGCATTTTGATTCATGACTATATACATTTAGCAAACGTAGATGCTTGCTACACTCGCACATCTGCACAGCAAATTTGAGGCGAGTGGATGTATCCCGTCTTCGACATCCAAATCCCATAGCCCTCACTGAAGAGGATCAGGGAAACGAACTTCCTATCGAGGAATTACTCTCCTGAGCCGATCAGTCCTACAAGTAGGACCGAAGGCAACACATCGTCGTGGAAGGCGTCTGGAAGACCGAAATCTTGAAGACAAAACGATGGTCGTGGCAGGCTCAGTTGCTTTTTTTCGATAGAGAAGAAAGAAAAAGAGAGAAACGGCGGAAGATTCTGCGGCTTTTTATAGCAGTGCGGTGGGTCCATTCGGACCTTTGTTATTCCTGCCGAGTCGGTCCGACCCGGTTTCTGTGCTTGCCTTATGTCTAAGGCTTCAACTTCAGGCAGTCTCCCTCTTCGCAGAAATGTTGTCTACTCAAAGCCAAAAACAATAGCCCTTACATGAGAGTTCTGATCAAGCTTCATGTCGGAATTCCCTATCATGAAGTGTGATAGTCTGCATTAAATAATAAATACACTCCAAAAACTCTAAACCACCAATGATGCCTCTCAAACAAAGTCTGAATCGTGTCTAGTTTGAACGAATGGAGAGCTCTTAAATGGATGACCGACTCAGCCGTCTTGCTCAACGGTGCAACGACAGGCACCTAAATAACATATCAGCAACTTGTCTCACTCACTCGTGGGTTCAACTCACCTATACTCCTGTTGCAGTCTTCTCTGTACTAGACCTCCAAGCTGCCCCTCCCACAGCGGCAGTGATTCCCAACGCGATTGCAATCATTGTGCCAACCGTCACCACTGCGATGACTGCTTTGAGGGCCATTTTTTGTCTGCTACTCAATGATTGTAGCCATGTCTGTGGTTTATTCTCCTCCTCCCACAACTTGGACCGTCGGGGACTATCAGTACGACAGGCAGCGTATGGGCCGGCATTTTCGAGATCTCGCAGATGGCTTAGGTTTCGGTTGTGATGCTTGGTTTCATAGGTAAGGTGTTCGTAAGAGATCGTGGGACTTCCGTGGTGGTAAAATGGTGAACATGGTTTGGCACCAATCGATGGATCAAAGTCCTGGCTGTGTGCACCAGGTGAAGAGGTCATAGAACATCGAGGTGATGCCATCGTAGGCGTAGCGGGATTTTTTTGGTCATTGCTTTTGATCGATGCGGCCACCTGGGCCCCAATCACTCCAAGCCCATGCAAACTCATGGCGTCCCCAAATGGCCGAGTAGGAGGAGGGCTGGTCGTTATTGGATCAGAATATCTTGGATAGCGACCTCTTCAAACTTTGTCGCTTGGACTTAGACCGTTGGAGAGGACGTGGTTCTTTGACTTTGGGTGCTGGCGGTGTTGTGATTGCCTCGACGGGAATGGCGACAGTTGAGACACCGCCGTACATAAACAATGCCGTATCAACTTGGAATGCACTCCAAGTCCAGGCTGAACGCGGTAGTCTCATTACTTTGATTAATCACAATAAAGAATATGGTTTTTGGTGGTAGTGCGCTGGCAGAATTCTGCCCGTTGAATATTAGGATATGGAGGGGGTTCTTTCCTGATATTGAAGTGGTTTGTTAAATCTCAAGCAACAGCAGTGTCGTTTTTCTAAAAATCAGAAGGATTCCAGCGCCCTAGATTCGAATAACTCTTGGGGTAGAACCGCCGGTTGCCGGGGATGCAAGGCCTATTCTCCTCAGTGGTGTGTTTCATCCCTAGTTTGCCATCTCGTGCTTCACCCCAGTCAGCATTCCCATTCCGTTGCAAGTGAAGATTACCTTCTCCTTCGGGGGATCAATACTACTATTGGTAGATCATTATTTTGACTGCATTCTTGGTTTACTCAATACACAAGTCATTGCTTCGTATGCTCTCCCATAGGCTAAGCTCATGGCCCTGCCACCCACTTCAATATGCGGGTCCCACCCTAGCATTAGAATTGTACATGATGTTTGTCACCCCTCGGACGGATTGAATGTCGTAAAACATACGTTGTAGGAAACCAAGGGGTGTCTCAGTGAGTTTCAGTGAGTCCATCAACAAATTATGGAGCGCTTTATTTCTTAGAACATGGATTATCACACGCGTTGTAAAAGTAGCACCAGTATATTACAAACAACAAAAGCCATTGCTTTATAATGATGGCCTGACTGCACGAAATATATACAGGAGCCTTGGCCAGCGATCAAAGAAATTTAAGGAGAGATGTCTGACTATTGGAAAGAGACGATTTACCAAGTTCACGTATATTGCTTGAAAGGTAATTTTCGATGGGGTATAGCGCAGATATTATACGCGAGAGTGAGGCCCGGAGAATTCATGTCATTTTCTTTTCCTTCAAGGGGAAGCTCCTCCGACGCGGTGTTGTTCTCGATGGAGATGATGTTGATAAGTCATTTGATTGTTTGGCATGTCCATTTTTAGATAATTCTGATATGAACTTCTTATTTTCTTTTCTCTGTCACTTGGATGGTGGTTATTTGGATAAGCTGCCTGCTGGAGTCTTCGATAATTAGCTGAAAGAGATCTAAAGCGATGAATCCATACATACAGTGATACCTAAGCGCATCTTAAATCACTTCGACGTACACTTAGCTGTTATGTATATATTATCTAATTGATACGATTTTGATCGATGTCTTTGCCTCCAGGGCTATAATCCCGAGGTCTCTCTTGTTGCAAATACGCTTAATATCTACCCCGTATAAAATATAATGTGGCCGGGTTCGATGATATAGGTAATACATCATTAATATACTATCTAATATTCCATGTAAATCTACTTTATTTTTTTCATTTCTATATTTGAGCCGTACATATTTTATGTATATCTTATATAAGTACAAGGCTAGGTTTCAAGGAAATAAATATAAGCGTTGTACCTAGGTAAGTGAAAGTGGGGGATAGCTATACCTGTATGGAGTACTCTCGATATATATCAGCTAGGTGCCTCAACCATAATCAACAATTGATTTTGTTTATTGCTTACACTTTACCTAGGTATTTATATTGTTTGTATCACGCATCGATTTGATCTCCATATATTAAGCATACATTAACGATGCAGATAAGGTAAACTACAACTGTAGGAACTGGTAACCTTGGAATACTAGAGATCTCGGCTCATCAGAATTCGCGACCAGGGTAAATAAAACCAATTTCACTCCAAGAAGGTTTGACGAGATGATATCTTTAAGGGCGTTTAGCTGTGTGCTATACCGTCAACTATTTGATTTCCCACGAGTAGTACCTAGGTATCATGGGTTATGTATTCTCGCGCATGTTCTCGTCCTGGAATTCGCCCATCGCCCTCTCACTTTCAGACATCATGAGCCCAGTGATTCCTTGTTCAATCCGCTCGCTGCCATCGTCTTTGAACTACAGGAGTTACTCTTGTTGAAATAAATCAGTAGTGTAGATCCTGTGAATCGATACATAACGCAGATAAAGCAGCACGATGAACATTTGAGGGCGATGATTTATATCGTTCCCACAGCGATTGACGAGGCTCATCGGCTTGATAAAGAGCGCCTCTATGGCCGCGTTCGTGTTCCCATGCATGGGATACCCATTCTCCTCAAAGTGAGCGGCACCGTTACTCTCACCCCTTGTGTGCCGAAACGCCTGCATCTACTCACGAAGAACAATATCGCCACGCACCCAAACCTTGGCATGTATACATTTGCTGGAAGTTATGCTCTTGTTAGCTCCAGACCTCGTGAGAATGTCGGCATTGCCAAGAGGGTTGGCTTCCTTTTTTCCCGGTCTATCACAACTCGGAAATTCTAACCTGTTTTCATTCAACGCAGCCAGCTTCTTGATGTTAGAAAAATCATTCTGGGAAAAACCAATTTATCAGTATGTATGCTTCTGCAGGATTCATACAACTACGCGGGTTCCAATACCATTCTCTGTGTAGGAAATAAACGGGAATGGGTGCAGACTCCAGCCGAGCCAAAGCAGTAGTTGCGTCTTTGTTTATGGCTAACTCTGCCAAATAGGAGATGAACTCCCCAATGGCTGGTCGGCTTTGGGCGGTCAAACACAATCGGCTTACACAATAGGGGATGTGGATCGAAGCAATCTTTCATTCGATCATAGCGTAAGTCATTTCCCCCCTTCTACTGTGCACAATGATGACAAGGCTCTTTAAAGAGTCCGGGCGGATCTTCAACCGGTTCCGCTAGGGCGGTAAAGCGATGTTAGCTCGTAGTTAGTTGGCTCACAATGGCATGATCACATCTAGCCACGAGCTTGAGTCAATATAAAATGTCTGTCAGGCTCCTTGTTCGGTACATTGATACTTCATCATTATAGTGTAATTTGTTATCAAGTTCGAGAAGCGCATAGAATCGTGAAACGGTAGCCTCAATCCACGTCGACATCACAGTTGTCGTTATCGTATTCGCCCCAAAATTCCTTTAGGTCCTCGACACGCCAAGCAGTAGCCCAGCCAGTCTCGCGTTCAATTCTGACCAAAGTCTCAACAATTGCAGCGTGCTCAGAGTAGTGCGACATGGCCTTGCCAGCTATCCATAGAGGCTGAAGTGCGTTCGTCCAGCAGCCACTAGACAGACATCGTATGATTAGCAATCTGATGCTGTATTCCAGTCTCTGACTATACAGTTCAAAGATATTTGATAACTCACTGATGGGCGTTGGATGCGGATATTGCACATATTTGTCGAGCATGCCAAAGTATCGATCTCTGTTCTTTCATCAGCTTTGGCAGTCAATAAAACGCATAAGCCGGCATACAGGTCTCTTGCTCAAAGTAAGTGTTTTTGGCTTTCGCTGAAGCAGCAATAAAGCTGCTACATGATATAACTGATTTCCGGATACTAAGCAATATGAGTTTCATAGAACCAACGAGTAAGAATGAGCAGACTCACTGGCGGCTCCGTTTCCATATAATGCGATCGGAAATGCCCGATCCAATCCCTCGAGCCCACAAGCAGAGACACTGAATATAGTTTTCATCTGGGCAGGTCGATGCTCGTACCACTCTTCTACACGATCAAATGAATCCGCCCACCGGTGGACATATGAGTCGCCATCATCGTTGGCGACTGATTGGCATGATGTGCAGGGGTGAGACATCTTTGAAGCGCAGCCAAAAAGAACGTTCACCGTTCGTGCAACGAGATACACTGCATAGTTTGCATATGTATCGAGGTTGGTTTTGGCTGATGATATAAACGTTTGTGCAGCTTCAGTGTAGTTCATATGACTTGGCCTCCAATTATTGATAGGAATGATGGTTTCCTCTTCGGATATGAGGCCACCGCAAACGTCTATTTCCAGGTCAGTAAAATGAGCAGAAATATAAGCTGATGTGGGAAAGGATTCGTCATACCCATCCGAGCAAAGCACCAGAAAAGCGCTTGTTCTTCTTTCCCGGAGAAACCGTTGATCCCTGCCGCTTGAATAAGATATGCGCAGCCATCTAGATGACGACGCCATTCTTTGGGGTTACCTGTTGCTTGTGAGACTCCGGGATCATCATGATTATAGATTTAGAAACTCACAGCTTAGCATTTCCAAGACACACAAGATAACACAAGAAGCGATGACAGGAGTGGATTTGCTTCCTAACTCAGGTAGAAGGAGGTGAATAGCTTCTTGATATAGTGACAGGCTCTCTGATTGCGTCTTTCGGGTTTGCTGTCTTTCAAGCTGCCGCGCAGACAGAGCCAATATAGAGTAACGCAAATGAGTCGAAGACTTGGCCATTTGAGGGAAAGTTGAAGCAAAATGGCGATTGTTATCAAACATATCGAGCTTTGCAACATTAGCTGGACCCCTGATATATTAGGCTTTGAGACATTAACTTACCCATGAACAAATCTCGTTGAGATAGTTTTCCCACAAGATATGTTCTCTTTCTGGGGATAGCTCAAAACGCCGAGGCTCTCTTTCAGTTCTTGAAAATGACCCAACATCACTAGCTGTTGTTGGAGTATGCGCCAGGGGAAAAGGGTCTTGTGAGCTGCGGCGATTTGGGATATCCGGGCGGGCAGTCCATAGCTGGCGGTTTCTTAAGGTCGTGTGAAGTGCCTCATAGGCAGAGCCCGGCAGAAAGACATCATTGATGAGGTTGGCCGGATCAGAAAATACATCGTGATCAAAAAATGGTGATGGAACAGTCTGATAAGTGCCATTTATTGATGAGTGGAACTGGGCACTGTGGTCAAAGTCCCTGAGCCCACTCAAATTATCGATAACGTACTCGGGGCTGGAATTATAGGGATGCGACGAGTCATCCCTGGATTGGAGAAGGGTATTGAAGCCACATGGTATAGTCGGTGGATAATGGGATTGGGGAGACGTCGTCTGCAGTCCCAAATCATTCGCGTTGATCTCATCCTCAATATGCTCCGGTGTTTTGCTGTGAATGACCTTTTGAGACAGGCGTGATGATGTATCGCTGGAGTAAGGTGGGGATAGGCCTTGGTTGACAGCGGGACTAGGTCCAGGAATTTCATGGGTAATCAAGGGGGAGATGGGCCCCAAGGGATCCTGCGCATTATCAACATGTAGTGGCGTGGCGCTGGTTTCTGAAACGAGCGGCGCAGTCGACTGATGCGATAGTTCTTGCTCGGAGGCTCCTTGGGCCTGTTGCTTATTTGAACTTGTGGTCCGTGAGGCGTTTGGGGCGGCATTCAAGATTCTGAATCTACTCTGACGTCTGCTTTTGCTCGCTGTCACACCTTGACTCATCGAGGGATGATCTGATTCTAGCACTTTGATATTGGAATCACGAAATGCCCCCAGCATTCGCCATTGGCATTTGTCACCTCGGCGCTTGCAGCCTGTGCAAGTTGGCTTAGCTTCATCGCATTTTCTCCGCCGGCGACTGCAGTTAGCACATCCATTTCGGGTACGTTTCCTGCGCTCTACCCCAGAGTTTGAGGGTTTGGGATCTTGCGATTCTAGAAGAGCGGACGCCTGATTTGTGCTATCGCTGTCCTTGACAGCTTGTAGGCTGTTCACAGTAGTTCTCGGCATTTTTCCGTGAAATGTTCACCATTCTGATAAACTGGGGGTATAGCATTGAATGTTCATTGCGCGGGGAATGGGAGTAGAGGCGTGAAAGATCTTTTACCACATTGGGAAAAGTTAAGCGCCGATATTGAAAAAGGGGGAATCCCGGGTTGCCGTTGGTTGTTGTGGGTTGTGGGGGGTTTTGGTGGGCGCGGGGTTTCCCCCGAGTCCTGGGGTCCTCCGACAACAAGCGAAAAATTTACACTAAGATCATGCACTTTGAGAACATAGCAAAGCAAATTGGGAAAATTTTGGGACAATATTGGCGTGACCGTGCAAGTAAAAATGGCTAGGTTGGAATCATGAAGATTCCCACAATCATAGTAGTAACATAAGTCATCATATGATATATTACAATCCCGAATCAACCGCGCTAATCACTTGAACAGAGCACGCATCTAACAAAATTCACTCAACATGCTGAGCATTTACACTCTCTAGATCTTTGGCGGTGGCATTTCCAACGCGTGTGTCCACATCACCCGCAATTCCCATAGATGAGTCCCAATAGAGCTGAACCTTTTCGTTGGTGAACAAGCGATCGATTTGCTCCAGAGTGAGGTTACGTGTTTCCGGATAAAAGAAGTAGATGAGTGGGAGGAAGCAAAAGTTGAACACTATAAAGTCAGTCAGGACAACTTTGATAACTAAAATAGCAATTTGGGCAGGTGACACATACCGGCAAAGTAGATGTAAGTCCTATATCCAATGTTGGAAATGCTGACCGGTGTGATTTCCACGACGAGGAAAGTGAAAATCCCTGGCAACATCAATTAGCTTTATGTCGCGAGGCAGGATTCTCAAGTACAAACAGTTTGTGGCAGTCGCCATAGCGGCTGATCGGGTTCGAATTGCAAGTGGCGAATATTCAGCCGGCACTGCATCGTGTTGGTGTATGGTTAATGTTGAGTTCATTCAAAACGAAAAGATTAATGCGGGAAAAACTTACAGAGCCAAGGAATAGCAAGAAGGCCTACAGCGAAGAAGAAATTGAACAGGAATAGCATAACTGTCGCAACCAATCCAGCTGCATGTCCACCATCCCAAATAGTCCCTGCTAGAACAGCCATACAGCAACCCTGTCCAAGAACTGCAAACATCATGAGCTTGCGGCGGCCCAGACTGGAATATGTTAGCGTGATGTTAAAATCGCTTTTTTCTCCACATACCGCTCAATTGTCCAGATGGGGACCAATGAAGAAAAGAAGTATGCGATTCCATTGAATCCCGCCAATAGCAGTGCCGTGTGATGTGACATTCCGACTGACTGCTCAAAGATTACGGTAGCATACTATAGCGCATTAATAATGGTATATCGAAACCCGAAGTTGTACATGACTCACGTAGGTAATCAGATTAATTCCAGACAGCTGTTGCATGGCTTGGCCACCCATGCCGAGAAGAGTTCTATATAAGAACCGTTGCTTGTTGTTCTCGAAGAGAAGTCTGAATGATCCACCGGAAGATGCTTCTTGTTCTTCTTCAACTGCACGAGATATTTCTGTGACATCCACGTTGACAACCGGGTCATCTTCGTCAATTTCCCGAGCATTGCGCTGGAGCGACCAAATAATGTGACGAGCTTTATTTTCATGGCCATGTTTAATAAGCTAGCTTGTTAGTTTGCATTTGCAAATGTAAGTTGACAATAACATACCCATCTTGGAGATTCGGGGAGACAAAGTACGCCGAAGAAGGTGACTATGGCGAAAAGGATTTGCAGTGCGATAGGGAAACGGAATTGTGCCTCGTTCTTGACATAACTCATCCCGTAATCTAGGCAACATCCACAAATTTGCATGAAGGCTTGATGATATGGAAAGGAGTGAGGACTTACCAACCCAGTACGAAAGCATAACACCGAAAATATTGATGGCTAGCTCGATGGCCAACTTTTGCAGAGATTAGCTCAGTGTTCATATGAAGGGTTTTTCTTTTGAAATAACTCACTCCTTTCCCTCGGCTTGCTGCCTTACTCAGCTCAGAATGCCAGACCGCTGTGGCAATGTTAGCATAGTAAAAGCAAAAAGGGAGAGGAAAATGAATTCTAAGGAAGGCTCACGAATGGTACTAGTGTTGAGACCATTTCCAATACCTGCAATAATTCGCCCGACGATCAGATGAGGAATACTATAGGCACTGCATTGAAGTGCGGCACCGATGCTCAACACAACACATCCAGCCATGATACACTTTCGTCGACCAAGTCGCTCGCCAACGAGCAAAGATATAATTGCACCCAAGAAACAACCCTATGTATATTAGAAACACTGTGGCATGACAACGTGGAATGAATGGAACGCCTACAATTTCATAAATGGCAACACTGGTATGCAGAGAGTCAAGGTCAGTCCACGTTATGTTTCAAACTATAAGTCAGACCACTCACACTGTGCCTTGCAAAGAAGAACTACCGTGCCCGGTGTTGGTAGTGTCAATTTCAGGAAATGTAGCAACAAAGGCATTTCCAGTCAACAGACTGGACATAACGCCCTGGTCATAACCGAATCTGAAGACCATTGTCAGCTAAAGCACTCACGTATGGATGCGTTGACAGAAGTAGACTCTCGCACTCACAGCAAGAAGCCACTGCCAGCAGTGGCCGTGATGGCATAGCTTAATGACCGGCCCACGAGGAAAGTCATGATTGTGTCAGGTGTCTTAATGACCTGGCCAAATTTTCAGGGATCGTGCAATTACAAGGGACATCGACTGAAGACTACTCAATGCGGTGGGGCTCTGGCAGTCTTTATAAGTCGCTTGAACAACAGCATCATAGTCCATTGCCCAAAGTGGCGCCATTCAAGGTTCCGTAAACCGGTGGCGTAATTTCCCGCATGGCCGATCTGAACTTCCCCGGGGTTGTCATGTTTATGGACCGGGGGAGCTCCGCGATTTGCGGGGTGCCTCGTGCAGGCCACAAGGACTGAAAATACCGCTTTGTTTCGATAATTGATCTACCCAAGTTATGCCCACTGCTGGCCTAATAGCAAACAAACTCATGCATGAGGTATTCTACTGTGGTATCAGGTTATACCACCAACTAAATTCATGAAAGGGACAAAAATTGACGTGTACCGGTAAAATGAAGCATGGGCCGAACCGATTGCCCAAGTTCAAAACTACGGTGTCCCCGGACCGTCTAAGTTTTTAAACGGCACAATGTAAATTTCCTAATTGGGAAGAGTTAAGCGCTGGACTCTGTTTCTACGATACTCTCATTAATATAATATTCTTGTCACGTGTGCTCACCCAAGTTGAATAAAATTGACCCCGATAGTACGATAACCTCATTCCATCGATATCTTTAAACCCCACACAATTACCTGCGTTCAAGTATGTACCTTGCAAGGTCTCCAGCATTCCCCCCCCAACTTGCTGCCCCATTCCCCACCCTTCTGCAGTCCCGACTTTTCCCCAAAGAGTAGCTTTTAGCACTTTTCGGAAAGACATCTGAATCCGTCCGATCGTCATTTGCGCATCTCGGCATGATTTGTCTGAATCGGTAACTGTCGTCAAAAAATTGGACTTTAAACAGATCGCGTTGAATTCAGTCCCACTATGGTTTATCGAGCTGAACAATTCCCTAGTTAGGTTGTATATAGCCGCTTCAAGTGGTTGTCTAGCCGAATATGACGCGCTGTAGAAATGTGCCTTATATGAATCAGCCATGTTCCAATGAATTGTTTGTTTTTCGAAAGCTCATCCGTCCCCATCTGCTCGTTTCATCATAGCTCAAACAACGAGTCACAATGACCCCTTCTATTTCCCTCGACCACACCACGCCGGCAGTCGTGCCAGAGTCTAGCGAGACCCCTGCCGCCTTCACGCCTACCAATGAGCTCTTCTCTCTAGCCGGTCGCACAGTCATGATTACCGGAGGCGGCCGTGGTTTGGGTATGTGCCTGTCCACTGCCGTTCTCGAGGCTGGTGGTGATGTTGCCTGTCTTGACCTACTGCCGGAGCCAAGCGAGGAGGAGTGGACTGCCGTGCAGAAGACAGCTAAGCAGCGCGGTCTTCAGGCAACATACACCCAGTGCGATATCACAAATGAGGAGAACACCAAGAAGGTGCTTGAAGACATTGCGGCAGAGGGTATACGTCGGAACAAGCCTTTGCGCGGTACCATTACTTGTGCCGGCATTCAACAGATGGTTCCTGCCCTTGATTATCCTATTGATGGATACCGGAAGATGTTGGATGTGAAGTGAGTTGGGGAAGAATATTGTCGTGACATAACTGCATCTTTTCTAATACTTTCTTTTTTATCTAGTGTCCTCGGAACATTTATTACTGCTAAGCATTGCGCGCGCATCTTCGTGGAGCAGAAGACCCCCGGCAGCATTGTGATGATTGCATCAATGTCTGGACAGATTGCCAACCGAGTAGGTTTACAATTGTGCATAAAAGCAAGAGAGTCATGTTGACAGATATCTTTCGTAGGGATTAACGTGTACCGCATATAACTCCTCCAAAGCCGCTGTACACCAAATGTGCCGATCGGTCGCTCAAGAATGGGGCCAGCATAACATTCGTGTGAATACACTCTCAGCAGGGGTAAGAATTCCTTTATGGTTTGGTTTGCCCCCAAAATCCAGCTAACCCTCAATCTTCAAGTATATCCGCACTGCCATGACCGATGCCTTGCTTCAAGAGAAGCCCGATTTGGAGGAGACCTGGATGCGCGGTGCCCTTCTTGGCCGCCTTGGTGCCCCCGAGGACTTCAAGGGGCCCACCGTATACATGCTCACTGACGCTAGTGCTTGGATGACTGGTGCCGATCTCCGCGTCGACGGCGGTCACTGTGCGTCAGCATAAGCTGGTGACCCAGTGAGCGGCGAGACCAAATGAGAGATGAAATAGACGTGGCATGTTTTGGGCGTTTTAGAGGTAATTTGAATGGACTATAGAACCTTTTTTAAACTGAAAACAAGATCGAGATAGTAAATACCTGTATTTCTGTTTGGCCCATCTAAAAGAAGTAATGCGAGGTAGAAATAGTAGAAGACCGTCCAAAGAGGATATGCTAAAAAAGAGCCGTTCGATGTGGCTACTAACGTCAAAGCTAACTAGAGATCTCAACTTTGATCACAATTATTCAATTACTACCTTGTTCAATGCTTGTCAACGGCTTTGGGGGCTGAAATTTTGAAAGGAATCATTACGCTGCAATCTTCAAGTGCAGTGAAGCTCTCCTCCTTCATGTGTGTGGCAATTCTATAGAAGTCAATTTACGAACGCAACATTAAAGCCAAGAAGATTACTCACAGCCGGTACATCTGAGGTGGATGAAGGTTCATTGGTAGTTGTTGTAGTGGGAGTTGGTTGAGTAGTTGCAGCCTCGGTGGTTGTCTGATCGTCGTGAATATCTGCGTTTTCGTGTTCGTGTTGAGCACCTGGGCAGCCAATCCCCGGAGCAGCAATGTCGTAGGCAAAGACTTCCAGTGCAAAGTACTGAAGAGTTTCTGAGTCGTGCGTGGAAAGCGTCGCATTCTTCGCCGCTTGGTCAACAACCTCCTCATATCCATCTGCGAAGTGGTCTATCCAGTTCTGTCCAATGGCTGGAACATGGTAGAGGCGGTGCAGGAGATCGGATGCCCAGAAAGTGTTGGTTTCCGATTGCGAAACAGTATAGCCAAAGCCACACATTGTTGAAAGAGAACGACGGGTTTCATAGCTCAAATCACAGATAACGGTCTCATCTGTGGCGTTTTCGCCTCGCCAGTGCCCGGCATACCCTATATTACCGTGTCATTTAGCTTTTGGTGTTTGGGGCATCAAGATAGAAATTACCTTCAAGATCACAGTTTCCGTCCGGGTTGTCACATCGAAACAGGATGTCTTTTTTGTCACCATTGAGCACGACATCGAAGGCCCCGATGGCTTCCATAGAGGGGCTGTCACCAAAGTATTTCTTGTAGATGTCGCTTTCGTTTCTCCATCTCAAGATATGACTTTTGGCATGCTCAGCAAGGATAATTGTCTCATTAAGGCCCAGCTCGATTTGACGACGTTGGGTTGCATTGCAGCTTGAATGGATGGAGAATTGTGTCACCGCTCCAGCGTTCCAAGGTGCAAGTCCGGTCTCAGAGAAAGGCTGATGTTGCTTTCCTCCGGGGCTTTCAGTCAGAGGAAGAGCAACAGCTGCAGCGGCAGAGAGAATAAGATTGAAAAAAAGCATGACGTCCGTTCAAATCAGTACTGTTCTAATGCTTTTGAGGAACACCCCAAGAGCTTCCATGAGTGGAAATCGTGGGCTTTATACCCAATTTTTTCCCCCTCAAGGTTTCCGAGGCCAGCAGGCAGATTGCGCCAGCAGTTTTCATAAACAGAATCTTTGCCAAGTTTGCTTTTTCATTGCACTTTCACTGTGGTCATCACGACCTAGGAACACTGAGTAGAGTTAGAAAGCGGGATTTAGCATGGGTTGCTTGGATACAGAGACAACTTAATTAGCCAAGAAAGGACCTTGAGGGCTTGTTTTCTCGCTTAGAGATCTTTTTCCAGCAATCAGGAAGTAAAGATCTTGATTGATGCCAAGAAAAGGGCTCGGCGGAGGGTCGCCAAGAGGCTTGGGCGGGAGTACCTTGGTGGGACAAAAGTTCTTTGAACGTTTCTTTCCGATTAAAAAAGTCCGGTAAAAATCCTGGGCCGCTCTTGGCAGAAGGATGGAAGGGTCTTTTACTTGGCATTGGGAACCTTGGAGGTGAGACACTGGAGCTATACGTCCTTCCTTCATATCGCGGGCGGCCTTTTAGAGGGCCTTGCTTGCCCAAAATAATGCTCACTACATCTCGAATCATTTATACCATTCTCGAGAGTACATATTTTCATAATGATCATTCTCAGACCCTTCATCCTGGTATACCTGGGTATATCCAGCGCATATGCAGCCACCTCAACCACATCAGCTCATACATCATCCATCACTGGATGTCACAGTCATGGGTCAAGCATTTACTGCATTGATGGAGATGGCCATGAAGTTTTGGTCTCGGCAACATCTACTCCCACAAGTGGGATACCGGCACAATACACCGGGTGCCATTCTCACGGCACCGAGTCGTAAGTGCTCATCCTTGTAGCTGTATAAAACGGAACTGATTAAAATCTCAAAGATACTGCATGGATGCAGATGGAAACGACGTGCTTATTCAAGAAGAAGCCACCGAAGAGAGTGAAGATGAACATAGTGATCACGACCACGACCACGACCACGACCATGAAGAATCCTCAAGCGAGGGTGGACAAAATTGTCATTTCCATGCTGGTGTTGAGTAGGTCTATCCTCAATTTCGCTTTTGTGGCTTTTATTGACTTGATATCTTGAAGACACTGCGTTGGCACAGGCGAATCAGAGAGCAGCCACGCCTCATGTGGTATCCAAACAAGAGACTATGATGTCCCTTTGCGCATCGGGACGTTGTTCGTCGTTCTTGCCACTAGTGCGATCGGTGTCTTTGCACCAATCCTCCTCATGAAACTTCCATTTGCCTCCATTAATGGTGTTGTATCGACTGTCATTAAGCAATTTGGAACAGGTATTATCCTTTCCACAGCCTTCGTGCACGTTAGTGATCCCATATCCAACAAAAATAATCCTTGCTGACAGTATCTCATAGCTTTACACACATGCAAATCTCATGTTCACCAACGAGTGTCTGGGTGAGCTTGAGTACGAAGCGACAACATCTGCTGTTGTGATGGCTGGAATATTTCTTGCATTTTTGCTTGAGTATATCGGCCACAGGGTTATTGTTGCGCGTAATAGCAAGAAGGATGCAGCGGAGGTTACTGAGTCTGAATCTCAACCAACCGCTCAGAAAGGACAGTATGGTAGCACTCATGACCTGCCACAGCAGCCCACGCTGGCTTGCCTCGGACACAGTCACGGCACATTTGATCCCACCCGGCCCACTAGCAAATTTTCAGTGCTTGTCATGGAAGCCGGTGTGCTTTTCCACAGCATCTTGATTGGCCTCACACTTGTTGTTGCTGGGGACTCTTTTTACAAGACGCTTCTGGTGGTCATTGTGTTCCATCAATTCTTCGAGGGACTGGCGCTTGGTGCTCGAATTGCGACCCTTCAAGGGGCAATTTTCCCCTCCAAAGCGATCATGGCAGCGGCATTTGCTTTGATCACACCTATTGGTATGGCGATTGGACTTGGTGTTCTGAAATCTTTCAACGGAAATGAGAGAAGCACTTTGATTGCGCTAGGAACGTTGGACGCGCTTTCTGCTGGTATTCTGGTGTGGGTCGGCGTGGTCGATATGTGGGCGCGTGACTGGGTGATTGAGGGAGGCGAGATGTTGAACGCGAAAATTGGGAAAGTTTTGACAGGTGGTATCTCCTTGGTCACTGGAATGATTTTGATGGGCGTACTGGGAAAATGGGCTTGATTGTAACATGAAATTTTGGCAATCATGTTTGAGTTAATATTCTTTTACCTTGGATATCTAGGGACTTTTTTTGAAAAAAAAGCCTCCACGAGCGCGCTACTATAGAATGATATGGCAAATAAAAGTTCTCGATTCCTTCCTAATGTACATCGAAAAGAATGAAAAACAGAAAGCTACTCAATTGGGTGGATCTTCATTATGGAAAGAAACTCCTTGGATCTAATATTCTCAGTTGCTGAAGTTTCTCTAGCTTCTATCTAGCCCGACTTAGACCTCCATTACTACTCACTGCTCAATCATTAGTGGTTAATGCAATACACGTGTCCGCAACGGAGTAAATGTCACTTACAAGCCCGCAGACTCCACATGCAGACTTTTTGAGTTCGTCCGTCTCAATTATGAAGCGCCATAGCGCGATACAGGATCCACATAGGCCGCAGGTGTCGTGAACCTATGTGCCATGCAACAACTATGCATGCGTTAGCTTAGTGTCCCCTAGTTCAGAAGAAGAATCTGCAGACAATCTATGAAAAAAGATGAAGAGACCGAAAATTTCTCTTGAGCGCTAAACACAATTGTGCTCAAATACAGTTTGGTCTAGACTCGGGGAAGGCCGTCCGGGCAGTGGATACTATTGTTCGCTTCGGGCCACAACCAATTATTGTGGGCTAGGGGCGGGTTAAACCAAATTAATATACAATTATATGACAGCTATACGATTTTATGACAACTCATTAATTACATAGCTCATTATGAGCATTGGCTTAGTATCTCATTATCCCCCTGCATTTGGTCCTGGATTCATACCCCCTTCCTTGTAAATATCCACACCAGGAGTTGTTGCACATGTCAGTACCCCTGCTAAGAATTGAGGACAGCTTGATCCGTCGAGGATGCAGGAACGTGTATCTACGACGAGTTCGAGTTATCCGCGCAGCTGAAAGCGGAGCCTAAAAGAAGAGTCAATTGCAAATCCCACAGCGTTGGGGAATACCAGAACATACCGATTGCTCCCGTAGCGTAGGCGTCGATGATCTGAATGACAACGCCGTACGTCGCACCAACTAGGAAGAAGACTCCCAGCAGCACCATTCCCCAGTGCAGCAGGTAAATAACCTTCTGGACCAGGGTACCTTTGCGGTAGTGACCGTTACTGTGCAGCCATAAAAAGCCAGGAAGACACATGGCAAGAGGAGCAAAGCAGACAGAGCCGACCAAAGCAATCAGGTAGTTGAAAATTGGAATGGCTTCGGCGAGGATGAAAGAAATGGCACCAAGCAAAATCGTGCAGCTCATCCAGGTAGCCCAATGAACAACCGTGTTGGCCTGCAAATGACGGGTGTTACCCAATACACGGACAAAGACGTATTTAGCAGCAATCTCAATGGTAAGTCAGCGTTGCGAAGTCTAGTCCCGTGTGAAATACTAACGTGCAAATAGATTGTGGCGCTCACAACCAATCCCAATAACGCAACGCCGTAAGATACCATCTTTATCGTTTGTCCGGCGCTCTGCTGGTAATTAGCTTATCGAATTGCTTGTGGAGCATGAGCCATGCAAAGAATACGTACACCCAAGGACGGACTAGCTACCCATTGGCCACACCAGCGGTAGACGACCAAACTGAAAGCAAGGTAGGATGCGGTGACCAAGGCCATGCACAAATACAACGATTTCTTGTAATCTTTCGGGTTCCGCATCTCCGACATCACCGGGATGAAGGCGCTGGTACCAGCCGATGAAACAAATATAGTACTAGAAGCAACCATACCAGCCGCGAATCCGGGGTTGTTTATGGCCACAAAGCCAAGGTCATAGGGGCCCTCTTGGGGTGCAGCGGCGGGTCGGTCACGGGTTGTGACTCCGATGACAACGATTAAAACGGCAGCATAGATTGAAATGAAACCCGCATAAGTGAGCCAGCCCACGTGCTGGAGTTTTCGTACCGAAGCCGTTGCGATAATAGCGACAGCTGCGATAAATGACCACCAGACAGTGCAGGCAGCATGGTGCGACAGGGCATTCAGAGCTGTTGAGACTCCAATGATACCACTACCTGTAACGAGGACATAGCCGATGAGAAAAAGTAGACCGGTGAGTTCCTTCGCGAAAAATCCACCGGCGACCTCCGCCATGTCGGCAATGGAGTGGCAGTGAGGATACTTTTTGCGAAAATTTCCGAGAATCACGAAAGAGTAGGTATTGAACGCGCCCCAGGCGACTATACTTAACGAACCGCCTACTGCACCGAGAGAGTATAGCGAAGACGGCAACGACAGCACACCGGTCGCGAAGAGGACCTTCACGAAGATGATGCACGCTTTGAACCAGCCGACATTACGGAAGCTAACGCCATCTTCGGTCTTCTTGAAAACCTCATGTTCCTCGGTTGAGTCTCGAGGGCTCCCTAGCTCCGTATCGCGCACGCTTGCTTTCTCGTCGACGGACATGGCTCAGTTTCGAGAATGGACGAAGGTGAAGAGGTGAGGAATTCGTTGCGGAAAAGAAAAAGTCTACTAGAGGTGACTATAGTTCGCAGGGGCCCTTGGTCGTATTCTACTGTGGATCTGAAGCAAGCGACGGTATACTAGTGCCAAACTAGTGTAGGCTACGCTTATTTGTAGTTTTCTAGTCAATTGGTCAGTATAATCACGCCCCTTTGTGTTATAATCACATCCTGTCTGTAATCAAAATAATTCTCCAATTTGGTGTCAGTACGTGGGACAAATTTTCAAATTTATAATTGTTTCACGTCCTCGAAGCATAGTGACACTGGTAGCTCCTCGCTGATTGGGTATTGCATGCTTAAGCTCCACCCAAATATAGTAGGAGATAAATGGCTTCGGGCTAGTTATGCACAATTCATTCTCCGTGGCCGCCGAGACTCTGGAGAGTCCGACCTATGAGACTAGCGGGTCTGGGGTGTAGAGAAAGCAACTGCCCCACATCTGTACTAGATCAGTTTCCTATCAAAACCTTGGTAGATGCCACTTGTATTACAACTCAGACCTAGCCCGCGTGCAAGATTGACTATACTATACTGCACTGTTAAAATTTCACTTTTCCAAACACACAGGGGAAGCAGCAAAATTCAGCAAATTGACTAGATCCTGGTCCTCAAGTGAGAATCAACTCCGCAATTACTATCCGCATCAAAAGCATCCCAAGTGTATGATCAGGGCTTCACCATGTATCCATAGATATTGTTGGAAGCATTGATGTCTCCAACACCCATTACAGTTCGATATACTTGAGAACACTTCCCCTGTACGTTGAATAGCTGGAGGGTTTCGGCGCCTTTGGATCCAGTCCAGCTGATTGAGGAGCCACGAGGAATATTAATGGACTGGCAACCCTTGGGTGCATTTCCAGTGTATACATGACCATTTGCCTGAAGTTCCCAAGCAGAAGAGGTGGTCAAAAGCAGAGCAATGAACGAAGTCGAGAGCGTGGCAAGTTTCATCGCTGTATCCCTTGGTGAGCCAGACATGTACAGACAATATTCTTACGAAAGGTAAAAGGCGCACGTACTGTTATAATTTAAGGGTTCAACAATATGTACTAGATTGTATATGCGCTTGTGATGAGTTTTGTCGATGGATCATTCAAGTGCTGTTGAATGCTGTTGAAGCTCCGGTTTTCTTTTTCGCTCTTATAGATTTATGATACTGATGATGTCAGTACTTGCTGCAATTAAGGTCACGAGCATGGACATGAGGCAGGTCTAGTATTTATCTCGAAATTCTAGATCTCGATCAAACCATGGTATCGGGTTCGTATCGCATGTTCGGTGGGCCTTGGTTCATGCGTTGAACCAAACTTTCCTAAAACGGAAAATATGCCACCCTACATATGTGGATATTAAATCAAGAATATTCAGAGCTTTGTATATAGTAGACTTTCCTAAGATATCTAGAAACACCATGTAGATGAACTGAACTTCTGCCTAAAACATATAATTATTGAACTCTAGGTACGTTAATGTCGAGCTTGAAACATACAATGTTGCAACCCTATGCCTTGGATCTGGGGCTGCGAATCATGCAATAAAGCTAGAATCACATAAATTAGTCATGACATGCAATTTTGTTGGGTCGCAACCTTTCGCCCAGGAAAACATACCTTGCAAACATCCCCTCCATCAACACACTCAATTTCTCTGACCAACTCAAAGCCCATTCTTTCATATATACCCACATTAGGGTACCCTTTAGAACTCTCGAGATAGCATGGCATATTTTCCCGGTCGGCCTTGTCCATGACATCCGCCATAAGCTTCTTCCCTACACCCATGCCGCGGGCCTGCGAGTTAACACCAACAACATTGCAAAAGTAATAACCACGGGGGTCCTGCCAGATCGTGTCGTGTGCAGTTTGTTGAACCCGCTTCCAAATTCGGTATCGATCAACATTCAATCCGCCACGACCGAGGAAGCGGACATTATTCATCAATTGGCGGAAGGAGAGGATCCAGTCCTGCGCCCAAATATTCCAGCTTTGGGGTGTTGACTGCGCTTGCGGCGAGTACCACCAGGCAACACCGACCACGCTACCAGGTGGCAGGTTTACATGTGCTTCGCTTTTATCGTCGCTAGCAGCACGGGTGATCTTGGCGACAGAGATTGGGCAAGCGCAGCTGATACCATATTGGAAATGAGCGGCGAGAGAGGCTGCATTTCGTTGGACATTGAACTGTTTAGTCCCGTTATTAAGTGGCTCGATACCTTGTCCCTCTTTCCCTCTTCAATCCTTGCTTTGAGATTCCAGAGAAAACAACGCTTCGACTTTGGATAAAGATAATCCTTACCTTAGATGGATCGTCAAAAGCCCATCGAAAATATGGATCGTCGGCAAACGCTTGTTGCACACATTCTACAGCGCCGGGGATATCGGCCTGAGCTAGCGGGGTGATTTCGATTGACATTGTTCTGTCACTACAGTTTCGTGAACGGCAACGAGTTCAACGAACGGGTTTAGAAGACTGGGAACTTTTTCTACTAGCTCTGCGGATGGCTTGGGACAGAGATATAGTATAGGAGTGCCAATGAAGCCGTTGGGGACAGTGAGAAACAACAGCCATCTAAGTATAATTGAAGTGGTAAAGGTCCACGATTTGATGGGGTAGGAGCAGAGTACAGCTGTAGTTGAAGCTATCGTTGAGGTGCCAGTGCAAACCAAAAAATAAGTATAAGTGCGAAGTCACCCTCAGACCCTGGGGGAAATCAATGGGGATCATATAGCTGGGCTCAAAGATGATCCGCTTGAGATTGTGATTAATTTCTCTTATCCAAGTCCCTTTTCCTAGCCTTTCTAGGCAGCTCTAGCCGAACAGATACGCCTGGGCGATTCAGGTCACACCTCTCTCTATTCAAAATCTCTCCCGCAGTAGCCGTAACGAGTCGGTCGCAGCACGAGTTCACATGACTACTTGATTAAAGCGCAGATAGGTCCAAAATGCTCAAATGATTCGACCAAGTTGACGATATCATATGCAATTCAAACGCGGGGGGGGGAGGGATGTGAGGAATTTCGTATTGGTCATGTGGGGAGGCTATTCTTAGTTAGGAAGGTTGTTGCGGTGACCTTTCTCAGGAACGATAAGAGATTCCCGTTGATATCCATACCTTAATACCTAGATATGTTCAACGATAATAATAGAATCAACAGAATAGAATAAATCCGAAGCTTGCTTGTAGCTTATTTCATTTATAGTTCAGAGATCAATCTTGCGGAAAATTATTCCGACATCATCTGTGGGTATTCGGGCATAGTATTCGATGACATGACGGATAACAATCGGGGCAAGACTTACTTCCGACGAGAAGTCTTGAGCATTCTGGGCACCTCTTTATTGTGGGTTTTCTTAAGATGTATTGTTACAGGGAATCGGTACAAAATAAACCACCTCCACCTCTTTGTGAAAATACAGCGGTGTAACAAAAGTATTTGACCTCGAATACTTCGGTATCCACTTTGGCCTGGCCGCGGCCGAAGTATTCGAGGTCAAATACTTTTTTACACCACTGTACTCAGGAAAATGTTACACCACGCTGTGAAACAGAAATCCCATTCTTCGGCAATGAACGGTAATGAATAATTATCAATTATTATCGATCAAGCTGTTGAAGCCACAAATTGATACTCGTTGCCTAGTTTATTGCTCAATCATTTCCCTATACTGATTCAGTGAATGTTCTCTTGAATGGTTGAGCTTGTCCTATCTTTTAAAGAGTAGTGGTGTAAGAGTAGCATATGGGACTCATGGCCTCATGAATTGGGTGCGTCTCCTAAAAGTATATGAAGACTCTAGCTTAATTGCAAGCCTACAGTTGCTTTCTCTGAGATTAGCTCTCCAGGACTTATTCTCTTTCTATATCATTTCTCCCAGCACATTTCCATGTTTGGTTACATATTATTGCGTGTTCTTTTTTCTATCGATTTCATTCATTATTTTTGCAGTACTCAATTTGCGTCATCTTCCACCCTTGCTCTGTCCGTTCTGCTTTTTTCGTCCGAGGCCATGCTTCAAAACAGAAAAATGGTCCAAAATTCGAGAAATTTAGCAGAGGGGGGAGTTTGATCAACGGAGGATTAGACAAATCTCGATAATCCCGTTGAAGTAATAGTTATAAGACTTATTTGTATAATTGAGTTGGTGTGCGTACACTTTTGGCCGTTATGAATCAAAACTTTGCCAAGACGCGCGAATGCGTTTGCTTAACAAAGAATATCCATATGGGCTCTTGTACATTATCCAAGAAACTATATATAGGGAGCCTCTTTGTATCTGATACCTCACGTTGATTTGCTAAAATGTCGTCAGCAACCTTGGGAATCAAAGACCCATCCTCTACCGGCGTAGAAAATATCTTGAGTCTTTGTCAAGGACACAGTTCTTTTTTCTCGTGAGTAGCAGCGATGGCCTTGAGCCAAAGCCCGCTGGAAATACATAAATAAGCTTGACCTCGTCGATTTCTCAAACATTCAATTACGCGAAACCTGCGCAGTCACCTAAGACTTTGATCTCTGCTACCAGTCTCATACTCACCTACGATGCCTCGTCCTCCTCTTAACGAGGATCCTCACAATTTGCGGCGTATCGACATTCTGAAGAGCCTGCACAACGTAATTTATCATCTTCGTCACCTTCCTCATCGACGCAATGAAGTGAGAGCCATGCTCAAAGATATTCTTGCAGAAATGCCCACCGCATTCGCAAGCTCAATGACGGAACGTGATTCTCTTTTTGGGCGGTGTTCTTCAAACCTTTACCTTATGGTGCCTGTTTCCCTCAGACTTCTTTGGAAACATAACGACCGGGACACTGATAGAGATGTAGCCAAGGATCTGATCAAATGCATCCCTGAGGAGTTGCGGCAACCCAAGCTGTTCGACCCTGAAGTCGAGGAGCCATCTAGTGAGGAAGAGTCCGAGCGGAACAATCCCCGAGGTCACCGCGGTCACCACGGTCACCACGGTAGATAGGAAGTAAAAAGACGCGTTGATCGAATATTGATGCAGTGAGAATTGGGCTTTATTTATGCTTTCAAGGTGATTTCGGTCCATTTCTCACAACTTCATGGTTTACTTCCTCTATCTTCAGGCCAATGTATCGTTTCGTTATTAGTCTCTGGCATTGATTGATTAGAAATCTCTCAGGTTAGTTCAAATATAACGTCAGTATTTGTTCGGTGGCCGGGCTCTACCGGACGCCATCAGCCCCACAAATCGTTTACTGAGGACCCTTTCTTATTGAAGTGAATAGACCATTGAATGCGTCGCTCTGGTAGTTCTGGTGTGACGAGGTTTTACAAACAGGCAGCTTTTTACGAGTTGTCATATTCTGTTGGAAACCAAAAAAAAGACAAAACATAGAAGATCAAACATTGTTAGCCTACAAAAGACTGGTCACTACCATGCAAAAGAAGTGGGCCGAATGATCACCTTCAATTCACTATCTTCAAAGCGGTAGGAGACTGTGTTTCACCAGCCACTTTTGTTCCTGGAAACGTATGTGTCTCTTTCCAGACTACGCCAGGTGGCTGAACCAAGAGTAGTGGGGTACAGATCACATGACTATATTGTCTCCATCAAGTTGGCCGCTACTATTGGCCTTAGATAAATCCGGTCTTCCTTGGAAAAAAAGGCCAAATTGGCACCTCCCCCAAGCACTGATCAAAATATTATGAAATCATGCGCAAACCAGATGACGAGCTCGTTATTCAATTCAGGAGGAAATTCGGAGACCTTCTCTTGACCTGCAATGGTGAAAGAGGAGGGGGAGGCGCTTTGGTTGGCCTGGGGGATCCGACGTTACCTATTAGGTATGCCAACGATATTGAGTTCGTGGGTGCTACGCAGGTAGACAACGTAAACTCTGAACAAGCATTGGGGCTAGTGAGCAGTTCCTCAATTTCTCGCAAATCCAATGCCCCCGAGTCGTTGTCTCCAATGGTCATTCCTAAAAAGCTTAAGAAGTCTCACGATCGCAACCTGCCAGGATCGGGCGCGGTCTTCCACAACAGAGCAGGTGACCTCCACTCTCCTATGATAGAGTGGGGCGCAATGACCACGCCTTTGCTTGACGCGTCAAACCAATTTGCCTCGCCTATTTCTTGGGTTGGGCCTGACTGCTTCACTCCGTTGGCTCAGACTCAACACTGGGTTTGTGATAATACACATTATGGACTGCCGGACTACATGCCGGATATCTTCACGCTCCAGGATTCTGCTTACTCCACGGTGGATGGATTCAATCATGGCATCGCGACCGATGATATTTGCGAACAAGCAGAGTCAAAGGCCGCATTCGAGGCTGACATCATTGAAGTTCTGCCACTTGGCAAAGAAGAAACGTACGTCTACAGATCACACATCACACTATTCTGTTTACTGATCTTCATAGATTTCGCTTCAATGTGACCCTGCAAGCCCCAACAGCCATGCTTCGGCATACCAGGGAGCGCCCAATGACATATCTCAACAAGGGTCAAACCTACAGCCTTGAAGTGGTAGACTCTAAACCACCCATAAAAAGTGATAGGCCGCTAAAATATAGAACATTTGTGCGGGTATCTTTCGAAGAACAGGAGCAGAGGTCGAATCCTGTTAGATCATGGGAGCTGTGGAAAGATGGTAGAGGCCTCAATGAAGCTTACAAGCGTCAAAGCGAGCTCTTGGCCGTCGAATTTGTTGAGCCTTTCCAAGATAGTGCTAGTTTTTTGGAGCATCGCCAGATTCGACTTGAAAAAGCCACTGTTGATGGGTTCTGTGTCACCTGGACAGCTGATCCAACTGCGAAAGTCTGCAGATATACCATTCCACTAAGGTTCAATTTCTTATCGACCGATTTCAGCCGCTCGAAAGGCGTGAAAGGGGTACCAGTCAGGCTGTGTGCAAAAACGCAAATCTTACGGTCGGACGGCGAGGAACAGATGATGGGGCGCGACTCAGAAATGTGCTATTGTGTAGTAAAGCTCTTTCGAGACCACGGTGCCGAACGGAAATTATCGAACGATAGGGCACATATCATGAAAAGAATTGAAAAGCTCACGAAAGAGATCACCAACAGAGAGCTGAGCAGGGACTTTGTCCGACCAACTCGCGGAATCGAGCTGTTGAACGACTGTCAACTCGATCATCGGCCTCAGAAACGCAAATGGTCGACGAAATCGCGCAAAGACCACACGACTGATGAGGACCTTCACGCGGAGTTGGCCAAAGCACATGAATTATTGTCATTGGGCCATCAAGTGAGCGTTCTCGGCTTTCGTGGTAATGAGCAAGATGATCCGGATTTGTATCCTGTCATCTTACCACGCGGAACAAATACCGTGATGAAAACCGAATACATGGAGAACAACAAAGCGGAGAGCACATCCACGCCCACAGCCTCGGAAAATGCAGGTCGATCGCCGGAAGAGACCTACGTGCAATCTGATCATCTTCCAAGCCTTGTCAATCCACACCGTTCGCTTGAAATAGCAAAATTTTGTGTTGGAGCCTTGCAAGACTCTCCACTTCCTGCAATGCAGTCACCTAAAGCTGGTTCGTATCACAATGACAAAATATCTTTTGCGTATTATGCTTACCATCGCACAGTTGCATGCTTTTACATACAATTAAAACAAGGTGGAAAGGCACTCTCGAGCCACCATCATGCCATATACTTAGTGAATCGCACCGCTCTCGATCTCAAAGAACAGCTTGCGAGAATGGCGCACGTTGACCTTAGTCTTATCACTCATATCTTCTGGGAAACTAGCAGAAGCTTGAAGGTTGTGGTTGATGACAATTTGGTCCAACATCTTCCCGAGGCGCAAATTATGATTGCGGATATCCGTGTTATCTCGCACAAGGAAGTGACTTCTTCGGGCTGCGGCGGCCCTTGTTCGCTAGAAGTCAAGCTTGTTTTCTAAGTTTTTCATGTTCAGTGCAAAACAGAAACCAGAACATCTGCATAAGAACAACATGCAGTACTAGCCTTGGCTATGGATGCTGGATACAATTATACGACAAATATACGAGGGTCTGTAATTTTTATTGGAAATGTAACTAAAGAATAGTTAATTAAACTAATTAACTTACTTAAAAATTATGATTGACGTATTCGGTAACGAGCGGGCCATGCAAGCGAATGACCACCTAAGTACATAACTTCTTCCGGGGACAATATCTATTTGCTTAACTTAGGTCAACGCTCCGATGATTGGTCTTTACACAGACTCGCTTGTAAAGTCGCAGGTTAACCAAAGAGGATCATAATGACGACCATTGGAACTTTACCACTTCAGTCCGGCGGAACGACTGTTCTCTAACCGAAAGCCCAACCCGCAAAACCCATTGCTCGGCGGACCTAAACTCATAGAACCAGACTTCCTCTGTACTTTGGAGGTGACTTGATAGAACGCACTAATGCACCAAACTTTTTTAAGTAAATCCAGTGTTATTTATTAACTTTGAAGCACATTCCAAACCGAGGCCTAGTCCGAAATGGTTCCTTTTTCGGTCGAATCACACCGAAATTTACAACGACCCAGCTGCAAGCACATACCCTCCATCAACAACAATGGTCTGCCCGTTCAAGTACTGATTGGTAGCTGCAAAAATTACAGCACTAGCCATATCCTCGTCCTTCCCAGGCCTAGACGCAGGGACCTTATCCTCATACTTCTCCTTAGGAATAAAGCTCTTCTGCTTCTCATCACTCTCCTGAGCAGTCATCTCGCTAGGGAAAACACCTGGCGCAATATTGTTGACCCGAACCTTTAAGTTGGACGAGCTAACCTCATGCGCCAGCATCTTAGTCAAATGAATAGCCGCAGCCTTGGAGGCATTGTACGCAAAATGATGCTGTGAGACCTTGATGATTCCCGAGATGGAAGTCGTGTTTATCACAGTACTCGACCAGCCGGGCTCTTTCTCTGAGCCCTTCTGGAGGAGGGGTAGGAATGCAGTTGTCATGAAGAAGATCTGGGAGACATTCGTGCGGAAAACGTTGTCCCATTCTTCAAAATCCGCGGCTTTGTCGTCGAAGAGTGACTCGCGCAGCTTAGATGCGTCTTCGTGTTCAGTCGTTTGAGTATGGCTAGAGATGCCCGCATTGTTCATTAGGATTGAGAGGTACCCTTCGCGCTTCTTGATTTCCTCAGCGAGATTGCGGATGTCCGATTTTTTAGTGAGGTCTGCGGAAAGCGGAATTATTTCTCCGGGGATATCTTTATTGTAAAGCTCTGCTACTCGATCGAGCTTTTCTTCTGTGCGGCCTGTGATGTAGACTTTGGCTCCGTTGACGGCTAGCACTTGTGTTGCCATCAAACCGATGCCTGATCCGCCGCCAGTAATCAGGGCAACTGTTTTTCATTATTAGATGGTTGACTATGGCGGAGTCTGCTGCTTTTCTGTATGACTTGCCTTTTCCCTTCACGTTGAATAGGCTTTCCAGCTTGAAACTTTTGTTGCTCTGAGTAGGGTCCATTTTGATCTTTTCTTAGACGGGAAATGTGAATTGACGAGATAAAGATAGAGGGGACAGTCTGTGTAATTGAATTGGTGGAATTGATTTTGCCAGATCTGGTTGATGCTTGATAACAAAAGTCCGGGTATAGGTCGTGCCGATATCTGCAATGACGAGTCGATTGCTACTAATAATTACAGTAGGTTATATAGGGGCAGTGGTTGCTTATAAATTACCACATTTTGCAAAACAGGGTAGATTTTCAAACCTGTTCTGCGCAAATTTAAGCCTGTTGCGGATGTGTATGCATTCATTTGTACGTCAGAGTTGACGACCGTCCTACTCCAATATACACTTCTTTTTGGGGCTGGCCCTTTATCAGCGGGGACTTGTGTAGTATCAGAAGTTTGATCCTGGGCTGGACGTGAATCCAGAGCTGGCTCTTGTGCTAGAGTATGCTAGAATAACAGGAGTGGATTGTAAATCATATCAGAATGACGTCAACCCCCAGCTATGCCAATGGTCGCAGTAACCTTCAACTCAACTGTACAAGGCAATGCTGGAATAGAGATGCGATTTCTTACTGAATTCATTTAAAAAAGTCCGGAAGATGGAAAGCTTCGTCAAGTCTTCCGATTATGTCGGTCTTTCGGTGATATCCTGATGTTATTCAGCCAATCTTGCTCCACGTATTTTGGCCGAACTCAACATTGAACCTATCAACATTCTTGTATCGAGATTCTGGACAAAGAATTTGACTGCTTGAGACGTGAGTATATTCTAGGGGATACTTAAATTATTCAGGCTGCCAAGACTTTACTCCAATCGCAACTTCTAAAGTTGTTTCGCCAGTGTGGACACCGGCATGGAAATTAATAAAGGCCCAGGGCGCAGCCCTCAATCCACCGGGCACGATATATATGCTTTCTTTGCTTGAGGCTACCCTCAGCCGACCGGGAAGCCGACTCCTTCAGTGCAGCTGGGGATTTATTGGCATAATTAAAGAAATGAAGCCTTTCATCATGACCTGTTTCGACTGTACCTTATTAGCCCCAACATTCTCAGTTCAACTCACAAAAGCGCTCCAACGCTAGTTACTTTGGTAGTCCCCACGCAACGCTGTCTGACTACAGTCCCTTTACCTGTCCCCTCAGTCCTCCCCGCTTAGTCCGGAAGCATATTGAAAGGCTGAAGCAAGGGACCACATCGGATCTCTTGAAAGAAGTCTTCCGCGAAGCGCGGATAATCATGCTCAATCATGCTCAATAAGAGCAGAGACATCGTGAGCCTACTGATTGATATAGTGAAATCAAAGCCCATGGGTCCCTACGATGACATTGTACTCTCTTACTCGCAGTCCTACTCCAGGTAGATGTTCTGGGAATACCACATTTTCAATATAGCGCTACAAGAAATTTGAATAACATCAGAACGTGGCATACGCTCGATACAATGTCAACCCCGTCTTCGTTGAAAATTCCAACTCAGCGTCCTTTGCGGCAAAATAAACACTTCCCTCCCCAATATCATGGACTGTTCCATCGCCCACATTCATCTTTCCAGAACCTTCAGTCACGACTAAGATACTGGGACTTCCAAGTACCCGGTGTTTCTCAGTTTCCGTTGGAGACAAAGTCACACCCAGCACATTGAACTCGCTAAACGGAGGGGCATATTCCTCGGTTCTTCCTTTCAGCCCAATAGAGGTCTTTTTCCGTTGCAGGAGAGACTCTTTTGGACCATGTGGTTTGAATGTAAGAGCCTGTGCAAACAACTGGACATCATCACGGTCGACGCGAGGGCAGAAGCCCGTGTTCAGGACGTTGTCAGAGCGTGCCATGCACTCAATAATGTCGCCCGAAAACCACGCATGGATGCCGTCGGCTGGAACACAGACAGCTTCTCCAGGCTCCAGAACCATGTAGTTCATCAGAAGAGCGGCGACCAAGTTGCCGTTGTCGAATTTTGAATATTGCTTGCTGAGTCGATCGAGGAGCGACGGAACATTCTCACTGTCTCCGAATTCAGACAAAGGAGTATCTTGTAAATTTGTGAGAGTCTCCGACACGGTGTCAGGGGGCAAGGTTAGCAAGGTTTCGCATAGTTGTCGTAAAGTTCCATCATTAAAATCCTTGTGCGCTGGCACGATGTGCTCCAATGGCTTCAATCGCATGAGCTCCGCAATTTCGTTTAGGGGTTTGAACCCAACGAAAAGTTCAAACCGTGACAGAGCGATGGCAATCTCGGGCTTATGATTGGCATCCCCGAATTTTTCAGGATCTTTTGCATGCAAGCGCTCGGCGAGGCTTTTGTCGGGATGTATTTGAAGCGGAAGCGCCTTAGCAAAAGAGAGCACCTGGTCATTGTTAGAGTTACTGTCAAATTGATTACGTCTTCATTTTTATTTCACCTTTGGAAGAAAAGGGATGTCGGGCCCGTATCTATCGCGAACTGAAGTTCCAACAAGATCGGGATTATCCTTGAGGTGCTCAGAGAGGAGCTTCCCAGTAGAATGAATTCGAGATGGCACAGAAGGATATGTACCCATCCACATCTGCGTGGTGTTAGCGTTGTTGCCTCGTTATGTACAGATGTAAGGATAATTACTCACTTCAGAGTATGTTTCTGAGGCATCTAGCTTTCCTGCGTGAGGCATGTGAGACCATAGGCGCCCAGCAAGTGAGCTTTCGCCTTTTTTGCCCCAAGGATCATGCTAGAATGGGATGTTTAGATTTTTCCGGCGTAGTCATATGTCAAAGTGTCTTACCTTGCATTCGCAGACAAGTTGCAATACTCCCTCCGCCATTATAGAAAGTTTATGTATTAGAATTGTTCGGGATACGTGCAAGATGGATGTTGCTTGTCAAATATGCCGTAGCTTTTCAACCTGGTCGCTTAGATTACTAGTAGTAATATGCGAGCCATTACGTTGATCTTCCGTCATCCACATTTTTGCTGTGAATATCCTGATCTCGGATTGTGCCAAGATCTTAAGTTGCATTTATTGTTAAGTAGAACCCCGGAATAGTTGATTGCGCTAATAACGGGTGGGTTACAGGTTTCCCGCCGGATGGGTCGTTATCATTCATGATGATCCGGCCCGTCATCCTGACGCCAGAACTCAGCTTTGCTTTCCACGCTCGTGGAGTCAACAGTATGACAGTAAATATTCACGTGGAAATAAGGGGGAAATTACTCTCACTGTATGATTGTACGACATAAGCGACAGAGATATAAGAAAAGCGTTTGAAAAAGCGACCACGAATTTTGACCTGCAATTCCTAAACTAACTACCGGAAATATGGTGGAAATTGCCACACTCTAATTGTAAGTTTCCTCGATAATTACCGGCACCTTTGCAAATTATTCCTTCGCTGGCTGCCATTCGTAGTGATGGGACCCCTTTCTAACGGGCCCTGGATCCTCTCCAGGAACACCAGGCTTGTTGTATCCGTGTGCACCAAAAAACCCCCTTATTTGCCCTTCTATGAACCTAGTTGGTAATGACATGCCATCTGCATATTTGAAATATTCGAGAGTAGCAGAGATCGCGAGCAGATATTGGTCAGACAAGGTGCCGTGTACCACAATTTCTTTCAGCGAGCTGAAAGTGCGGTGTAGCTTCCGCGCGACTTCATCGGAACGCTTCAGGTTTGTCCAGCGATGATCCGCCAACGAAACAGGCTTTTATAACTCGGCTATACTACCGGCTTGGACAATGCAATCTCCACGCCAAAGTCGAAGGCATTGGCGTAGATCGATGCCCCACTCTTGTCATCGGACGCTCTTGTAATCATGTCTAGGCCCTGGCAGAAGAAGGCTGGAAAACCTAAATAGACGGCGCAGCGCAAGTGCTCGATGACGGTGCTTTCGTCTTTGATCCCCTGGAATGACTTTGTCCCTAGAATTTGAAGTTTCTTGACCGCTAGCAGCCTTTCTACTCGATCTCCGCTCACAGTGCGCTCATAGTGTGCTGTGGCAAGTTTAGGTGTCGATATATACCAAGATGCTGACTCTTTAACGTTCTAGAAACAGAGTACCTTCCGTATCACCGGCGTCCTGGACTACTTAATTAGGTACTTCGTCGAGCATATAATGTTCATTGCTGTCATTCTCCCTGTCTGTACCGCAAGAAGACTTCTTAGCGTGTAGCATGTCGGCCGCTATGTCGAGCATATAGGTACCTTGTAATTCGCCATTATCATTCCACTGGTCGAAGATGGCTGCGATTGTGTCGCAGTCGAGTTCCAAGCCATATTGAAGGAAAGACCACGCCTCGGCCAATGTCGATAACATTCCGCCCTCAATCCCATTGTGAAGTATCTTCACATAATTACCTGAGCCAGATTCGAGCTACGCATGGATTGCCTTTAGGGTCTTTTGCTGCTTATAGGTCAAGTAATGGCATGAAAGTCTTCAAAGCTTTCGAATCGCGGCCTGGAGGCAGACTTGGACCACGACGAGCTGCCTGGTAGCCGCTGGGAACTCCCATACCGATCCAGTGAGCGCCGATTTCTTGCGCGTCCTTCCTTTCTTCTGTGTACGTTGAGAATCTTCATTGCCTCCATCAAGGAAGATATCTCCGTCCATCTTTGAGGTTGCTCTTTATTATACCCAGCACAGAATCTACCGGATTATCGTACGAAATGGAAAAGATCAATAATTTACGTTCCTTCTTCTCCAGCTTATGACATATTATTTTATGTCGTAAAATTCTGTATTCCACCATGGGTCTTATTGTTTCGCGACCAGTCCAATAGCTCGTCGATTTTTGTTCATTGACATCCCAGACAGAAACTCCGAGGCCCACTTCTGAGAATGCGATGGCCATCTGGGTGCCCATATTCCCTGCACCAACTATTCCGGTGCAGTGGAGCTGCTTTAACGCTTTGTCTTGATCGGAGGTTGTCGTCACGGTGAATGCAGTTCGGACGCCGACCAAAACGAGAATAAGAAAAGGAGCGTTGGATGCGATCGTGATCAATGATTAAACCTGTTCTAACAGTGCAGATACCTGGATTTTGGAGGGTTGAACAGTGAAATATCACGTTTGGAATTTCTTACATCATCGAGCCAAGAGAACAAGATACCGGAACAGGATTTTGGCTTGTGGGCGAACTGGACAAAATCTAAATATTTTCCTGATTCCTTGCATTAGTAAACGTCACATTGACGAGATTGAGAGTTTTTATTTATAAGCTCAGCCTACCCATTGATCTATCTTCTCTCTGCCCCTTGTTCACTAGGACATCAATACCACTGCGACTCATCATAGCAACAATTGAAACACGAATTGCCAACATGCAACAGGAAGTGGAAAAGCCCTCTCGGGGCCCTCAATCACAATTCCAACAGGGTAAGCTCATATACAATTCTGTAAAAATGTTTTGGGGCTCATAAGAATTACAGGTCACCAAATCCCTGTTGAGCATCACAAAAAGCCCGGCTTACAGGTTGAGATGGAAGGCCCAAAGCCCACCTCAAGCAAGATCCCAACTGAGGATGGCGGGTATCAAACCTACAAAGCGGCGGGAAAGCTTTCAGGGAAAAAAGCTATCATCACTGGTGGTGATTCCGGAATCGGCCGCGCAGTCGCTATTCTATTTGCTATGGAAGGAGCCTCTAGTTTGATTACGTATCTTCCCGAAGAGGAAAAAGATGCGCAAGAGACTAAAAGACGGGTGGAGGAAATCGGGCAAAGCTGTTATTGCTTCGCTACCGACCTACGCGATAAGAAGAATTGCCAGGCGGTGGTTGACACAGCCCTGAAGAGCTTAGGTGGTATTGACATCCTAGTCAATAATGCTGGAACACAAACGATGATCGAAGACATCAAGGATTTAGAAGAGTACGCATTTGTCTTCTTCTTATGGAGTGTTTCATATTAACATCTTTTCACAGGTCTCAATGGGAGAGCACATTCGACACCAATATCCACTCTATCTTCTACCTCTCGAAATACACGATTCCTCACCTCAAGAGCGGCTCGACCATCATTAACTGTGCATCTGTCAACCATTATATTGGTCGCCCTGATCTGCTCGACTACACGTCAACCAAGGGGGCAATCGTCGCTTTCACTAGAGCGTTATCTAACCAGCAAGTCAAAAATGGCATTCGAGTGAATTGTGTTTGTCCTGGGCCAAGTAAGTTGAATCAACCACAAAATCAATCCTGCAACCGCTAACCCTGGTTTAGTCTGGACCCCTCTTATTCCGGCAACTATGAATACCACCGCCCAAGAGCAGTTCAGCGGCACACCGATGGGTCGTCCAGGACAACCTAGCGAGGTTGCAACATGTTTCGTTTTCCTTGCAAGCCAGGATAGTAGCTTTATCTCTGGGCAAAGTTTGCATCCTAACGGGGGAGTAGTTGTCAACGGATGAGTGGTAGATTCAAAATTGATATAAAATCATATCTGAAATCAAATATAGAGCCTCGAAAGGGCTTGAAATGGTCTCAGTCATTCGTGTTCTTGGCGCGTTACGTCGAGGCAACTGTGCACAAAATTCAATACTGTTTGCATTGTCTAGCTCTTGTAGTGTTTCCAGACCTGTTTCTCCGGTTTAGGGGCCTTCTCACACTGTTCTACCGGCCGAAATTTGCAGGCATTTTTGTAGCTGCGAGATATCGAATTGATACTTCAACCCCCGTATGAATTCATGGATGTACCCTCTGCACCCTATCCAAATCTTGCGATTATGGAACAACACACCTACCATCGCCACGCACACTTTACATCACGAAAAATAATACTCGCTTCCTAGGTAGTAGCCTATTACGGGGATACAACGGCATTTAAATCTGCTAAAGTGCCTACATAGAAGAAATCTTAGCGTCAGCTAATTTAACTAATATGGGGTCTATATTCGTACTAGTAAGAACCTCATTTCACTCGCTAGTTATTTACTACCCGTAATAGTAAGGAGATACGCCGAAGTAAAAATTATGATAATGCTTCCTTCAGCAGCTTAGAGATTATTTAATCCTTAGTTAACGCTACCGAGGCTCCCCGCATTATAGAAGAAAGATATAGGAACGTAGGGTATAATGAGATTAATGAGATTGATTAACGAGATTGATAAGATTAGCGAGACTTATAAGAATGGAGACACGGGCACACACATTCCCAGCGCCGAAGGCTGGCGTTGAGCGCTTAGAGGCCCCAAAATGAACTCATTTGTGATGTTTATGTTGAAAAATCAGCGTCTGTTTCGAAGGATAGGACGGTAATAGGCTTATGAGGGACGTGGAATTATCTTCGCTTGCTGGCTCTAAGGGTCTGTTGTGGTGGCCTCAGACCGCCGCCATCCATATCAGCTTATCAGAGCGCAGCTGCGACAATTAGTCTGAGATAGATTCTTTCCTCTCTTTCTTATGAAGGAATCATTTTATCTGAATATCTACTCCCTAGCTAGTCAACACTATATGCTCGAAATGTGAGACTGTCACGTCACATGACATCTCTCAGCATGATTGTCGGTTTGCTTGATGGAATGACTCGAATGACTATCGCTCAATGCTTCATTAGTGAGATCCGAAGTCTGCTCTCAAAACCACTACATTTGAAGAGTTGACAGTGGAAGTGACCAATCAAAACACACACAAGTTTCAAAGTAGAACCATGGAGCGGAGGGTAAATCCACGCAAGCGTTTCTATTTTTGATTTTGATTCAGAGCTTTGATTGGTTACTATTTGGTGATACAATGTATCGATTCATACATTTGTCCACGGGTACTCCGTACACGTAGTTAATTGTGCAGGCATCAATGTTTACAGTTGTACATAATGTAGTTTCTTCAACCAATGAAATTCCATTCCATGACACAGATCAGATTGTGAGAGTAAGCGCTCTTGGTGCTTTGTGTACCTCTCTTTTTTTCTTCTTTCACATCTGTTTTCTACAATTTTTTCCTCTTACTTTCTCATCTTGACACGAGTGCAGGTTGCAAGCCCGCGCGGAGGCTCTTTCAGTAGTATGCACTGGCGCTAGTTCCTACATCTGGCGCCACCGTCTTCACATCTCCGATTTTCAAGCTGCGACTCCGACCCTTGTCTCCAAACATCTGCATCATGGGTCTCACCAATTCGGCCATCATCGTTATTGTCCTCGTCGCATGTCTCGCAGTCACCGCATTGGGAGCCTCCCTCTTTAAACACTATAAGCCAGCTGATAGAGAAACCCCATTCAGTCCGGGCTATGAGCAAAAGCTCTACATGGCTGAGGTGCGGGCACGAGAATTTGACGCTATGACACAGGAATGCTGGGCCAGAGACCCCGAGTCGCGATGTATGCTGAAGAAAATATCGTTTGTTTCCTGTTAATCTGACGATCGCCTCGCTAATCGCCGATCATTAGATGTTCCACCTCCCACTTACTATCGACCCCACAACCAAATCGAGGACACAAACACGAGAGATACCGGAAGCTATTAACTGCACTCTTCTTCTTTTTTTCTACGAACTTTCATATGAATCACGCGAAAATTTGCTGGCATGACTATGGTTGCGGGGATTACACAGGGCGTAAGGCGTTAGGAGTTTGGGTGACGAGTCCAGACGTGGAAAATGAATGAGGCGCAGTGGGAATTGACGAGTCTCTATAGACAGGTCATTTCCATTGCCAAAGAAGCAATATTACCCGGTCGGCTCACTGGTTTGAACTGTTTTGCTTTCGGAATTTGTAGATTTGTTGAATTTGATGCAAACTCCGAATTTATGTGACCGGACTCGCCCGAGGAATTTCTTGCGGGTTGCTTGCAAACACTTGAAATCAACAGCTGAGCATTTTCAATCGAATTAAATATATTTGCTCCCACACGTTAGAGCAATTCCTGTGTCTTCTGTTTAGAGCAATAAACTATGGATCAGCCGATGGCTATCTACGCACACGCATACTAACCAGTGACTAACAATCACTCCAATCAACTGTGATCAACTTACTGCCAGTCTTCTCTCCATTTTTTTAGCTTGATGATTTCATTCTCGAACATTCGTGTGCTAGAATGGCCGTCGATTGAACGGCGACGGGTGACGTCAAAGTGCATCAAACCTCCCCGAATCTGACTCTCAACAATCCCCGATAAGTTCGGACACAACCTATCTGGCAGTATCTTACGTTTTAAATGGCAGAGCTAGAACGCTCTTTGCGGCCGCCAGCGAGTCCGTTATCCCGCGCCCTGTGGAACTTCTCGTCGCAGCGGTTCCTGATCCCCCAAGGAACGGGTAGAATAGCCATGATCCTGCACCGACTGGACTATCAATTCAAAGGACTTATGCTGATCGCCAAGATTGTCTGGATCTACACAATTTTCCTACTTGGCTCCTGTTGACCTTCTACCTGGTCCGCATCCTGATCTACCGAAGGCATGTCTTGGACCAGCTGGGCAGCAATCTCGTCAAGACATCCTGTCTCTCGTGCATCCCTATCGCGCTCACCTCCATCCTCCAACTGGCAGTCCTGTAGTACGGCGAGAAAGCCGGGCTGGCGATATACATACTATGGTGGGTGAACACAGCCATGGAGGTGGTTGCCTGCGTTGCAATCCCATTCGTCCATATCCAGATGCAGCTATGAGGCGCAAGACACATGCCAGCAGCGGCATTACTGCCATTCTTTGCAGCATAATATCTGCCGCCGGAGACGCGGTGATATGTCGTCTGGCTTAAATAAGCGCCCGTCTCCAAGTGCCCGCGGTCAGCATGGGACTTACACTCGCTGCTGGGGTTTATTCTATCATCCTGTACCAGTTTTTCGACCGCGCGTTTGCCGCCGCGTACACGGTGAACCAGGATATGATTTTGTGCGGACCTTTTGGTCAAGTGTTGTTTGCACTGCAGGTCTTGCGGCAGGCTGTTCAGGCGGATAGCTTTGCCGCATATAATCGTGGCAATATACTCACTGCGCAGGCGGCTGCTCCGATTGGGTTTATTAGCCAGTTCATAGGCCTTCTGGTATAGCGATATGGTGTGTTCTGGTGGTACTTTGCTATCCCTTGCATCTTTCATACTTCGCACACTCAGCCTGGGGGCTGGAAAAAGACACAGTTCAGCCAATCTACTCTTTGATCTTTCCATGGGTTCGTTGGCCATTTTTCTGCGTCGAATATGTTTCTCTAACGGTTTCTTCGCTTTCCAAGGAGTCTTCAGCAACTCAGCTGTGAAGTTTGGAAACATAATAGGTTCCACCGCCTTCACCGTATTTTCAACGGGTCTTTTGATTGTGCTCATTGTCATGTGGGTAGTGCATCAGATTCTCACCTTGAAAGGAATAGTGACGGGGCACCTCCTGAGCCTAGAACATGGTTGGGGGATGAAAGCTAGTGACCGCCAGTCTGCCGAGGTCAAAGAATTGTGAGGCTTGCCGTTCATAATTCGGCTTGGCTTGGCAAGACGCATCAAACTGGTCATACAGCACTGACCCAAGCCAGAAAAGACACTGATCTCCACTCTGAAAATTCCCTAGGGTGGTAAAAAAGGCTTTAGCTCATTCTTTCGGCTTTCGACTGGGATCCGCGGAAGGGCTTGGCATTTACTTAAGAAAAAGAGTGATTCTCCGAAGTTGAAGAATTTCGAGCTTTGGCGCGATCGTCGGCCGCCAACCGTCTGATTAGCGTTAAACGATGGCTTTTTATAGTCTCACTGTCCGACTCGGAGTTTCAAACGCACTTGATCCGCTTCTAAGATGCTTGGCAGGTTATGTCTCATTTCAAAACTTTCAATTTTCAATGCGATGATCAAAGGTTATGTGGGCTTTCATGTGCGCCCGGGACCTTAAGTAGGCAGTGTTCTCTTTGTACACTGCCCGGCCAAAGATACCCGGGCGCAAGGCTGAAAACCCCCCACCTGAATACTGCGAGACAAATAGTCGATCAGGACCCTTTGCCCGCTTGTGCCAACAACGGAGCTTGAAATCGCTGGAAAATGTCTCACGTGGGGCCAGTTTCGGTCCATTCGCAAACTCTGCTTGATGGGGAATTGTAGGAGCCTAAAGTATCCGGAGAGATTGATATCAGGACACGGACACGGCATTGACATATGAATCCGTGTCGAATGCCCTGGATGGAAGAGGCAGCAAAAATATTAAGCAAAGCGTGTCCGTATTCGTGATTTTTTCCAGTTCCTGTCTCTACTAGGCCCTGGTCTCCACATGGTGCGTGCACACGTAGATACGAGTACGGTTGTAGGGCCAAGCGGGCAATTATCATCTTACATATAAGCCTCTGCGTTGACAGGGTTTCGATCTTTCGGAGGATTATCCAGTGCTCAATCTTGATACACTTTTTTCTGTCTTCAAGCTTTCCACAAAATATGATCGCCATGAACTCCTCCGATACTATGACAAACTATGACAGTGACACAGCGAGCGAGGAACGGTATGCACATAAAAACAATGATTCGAAGAAAGCACAATCCACGAATATCTGGCTAATATATTGCTAGAGCACCATCTTCTCAACTAAAGACAAAGATTCAAGCCAAATTTCAGATAGCCCGTCCGCCCCCAAAATCTAGTCAACGACTCCGACTCAGCCCCAAACTACTCCTCCAAATTCAGCAATTACCATCAAATCACAGACCAGTTCCAGTACTAGAAATCTGGCAGCCACCACTTCGGAAATCCAAATTGACAAGAGGCTTTCCACAACGCCCAAAGCTAAGCGCAAAAGATCTCTACGCCACACTCAACGAGCCATATATCACCAAAAATGAGCGCCCAGACCAAGAGCAGTCTCAAATACATAACGAGCCCACAAATCAAGAAAAGGATATCGTAGCTGCAATGTGCTACCCACCAACGGGCGACAATCCATCATCATCGGCCATCCATTTTCGCGACGCGCGCTGTATCTGGCAAGCCGTCTCCAGCCCAGCAGGACCTGGGCAGAGCACATCCTGCTACAGATTCGCCATCAAGAACGAAGTAAATAATACTGGCGTAGACCAGTGCGGGATGTTCATGCAGTGGGAGAAACGGGATCTCCCCAACACAGACGGAACAGCTGGTGCTGAAACCGAGCGGTTTGTGCTTCTGGCGATTGACCGCAAGGCGCGCCGCAAGAGCAGGATTGCGACGATGAATCGTGGTGGATTTGAGATTAATGTGCGGAAGAGTTCGATACTGGAGCATTTAAGGGCTTGTTTGGCGCTGACGGATCCTGTTGATGGTGGTGCGGTTGGGGATTCTTCTGTTGATTTGGAGGTTTGGTTGTATACTCATGTTCTCACACTTGGTGTCTGGGTTGCTTCGCAAGAAGGCTGGTTGAATTAAACTATTTCAATTGAATTATAAGACAAATATTTAACGAGGCTTTGTTCCGATTCTCTTGTTCTCGGTACAAGATCATATTGTAAAGGTCAAACTTAAGGTCCTACTTCGTAAATATTACGATATAAGGCAGCAACAGGAAGGTTATCGACTATCACAAATGTAGCACGGCAGAAGCTTGTTGACGGCTATTCTCCATATCTAAGGTAACACGCCTTTTGCTCCTAATAAGTAGTGAGGCCATCTTCAATAGCCTTGATCTGCAATGCCAACAGACGCGAATAGTACCTGCACAAAGCAAGGTTACCACCCATAAACCAAAATCCAGGGTGACCACTCCGCTGCCACATAGTTCGGAACTCGCCCTCCTCGTTAAATCCCCAAACGTCGCCAACGCGGTCAGCAATCTTGTCACCGAATATAACACGAGCCTGCGTTCTCATGTTCTGATAGCCAGTCGCAAATACAATCTCATCAGCCTCGAGTTCGGAGCCATCCGCGAATCGAAGACCATTGGGGAGAATCTCGCTGATTTCCTGGCCCTGCTTGATCTTGATCTTTCCATCGATAATGAGCTGGCTGGCGCCCACATCAATGTAATATCCACCTCCGCGTTGGAAGTACTTGATCATCAGGCCAGCGTCCATGGGGCCCATGTCGACCTTGAATCCTGCCTTCTTGAGTCCTTCGAGTGCTTTCGCGTCATGTTGGTTCATTACCTTGGTCACTTTGACCTGCTGTGTCTTGAACAGAGGTGGTGGAATGCTCCACAAATACACATCGGCGTCTTCGGTTGGGGGACCAGACTCCTCATATAGGCCCTTCAGACCGATTGACGTTATCGCCTGAGACGATACCACCAAAGTAGAGCTTCGCTGCACCATGGTCACGTCGTAGCCCTTTTCGAAGAAATCCTGAGCAATATCGTGTCCGGAGTTGCATGATCCAACAACGACCGCCTTTTTTCCCTTCAACTTGGGGTTCGCGCCGGCGAATTCCGAGCTGTGACACATGCGACCTCCTTGGAAGTTCTCCATTCCCTTGAAGATAGGCAGCTTCTTCTGGCCAGAGTGGCCTGTGGCCTGGATGACGTGGCGAGGGTGCAAGGTTCGTGTCTCGGTGGTCCCATCTTCCTTTGTGCGCTGAAGAACAACAGTCCATTGCATCTTGTTGTCATCCCAGGAGGTCGATGTGACTTCCGTGCGGGTCCAAACATTCAATTCCAAAAGCTTCACGTAGCTTTCAAAGAAGTCTGCTAGCTTATCCTTGGGTGTGAAGACCGGCCAGCTAGACGGGAAGGGCAGATACGGCATGTGGTCGAACCAAACAGGGTCGTGAAGAACGAGCTGATGGTATCGCTGTCGCCAGTTGTCGCCGATTCTCGATTCGTTATCGATTAGCAGGCTGTCAACGTTGAGCATCTTGAGGCGCGCAGCAACAGTTAGACCGCCCTGGCCAGCACCTGTGATTTGAGTCAGTCTTAATTCTTTTTAGAGGAATCTTCATTCGCACATACCAACGATCAAAACTGCAGGATTCTTGCCCTCGGAGTTGATATCATCAACGCGACGGTCATTCCAATTCTTCCTGTCTTGCTGTTCCCCGTGTTGAACACCAGCAGGTCGGTTGGGGCCAATCGCTTCGTCGACACCAGTCGCTCCGACCAAAGAGGTAAAGACGGTGAAAATCTTCCATTTGTTGGACTCTTCTGCCAATCGTACAACGCCATTTCCGTGCCCGTTCTCGGTAGTAATATTGATGAAGAACTCGATTCCATTCACCTCACCAAAGGCATCGATGGGGCCAACGTGTGGAGCCTTGAAGGCAGAGGACCGATCAATCTCAATCTTGCCGGCGGTCTTTGACTTAGTGACATAGGCAGAGATAGCTTCCGCACTTTTGATGGTGCGGAAGCTCCATGAATAGCATAGGTGGTCGCGCCAATAACTATTTTCAATAAAAAGCGAAGAAGTTCTCGCCTTGTCCTTGGCCGATAGAGTCTCGTTCAATTGGATAATTATCTCTGTGGCAATTGCATCTGGGTCTGCGGGGTTCGTCGAGGTAGCAGGAAATTCCCCGAGCTGGATGTCACACGATCCAGGCTCGACTCGGTCTCTTGATGGTGGGAGGTCAATGATAGCTGTCATGGTGGAATAAATGGGATTGCGCGTAATGAGGTAAACAGGAGGGGGACAAAGCACCAATATTTAAATCCTCGGGGATCGGGACGAGGTCACACCCCCGCACTCTGTGCATGTCAGCACTAGCGCTGTGACCTCAGCCCTGGATACATACACGGTGATGATCCACATACAAATCCACATAACCCCAGGACTCAACAATTAACCTACGGTCAAAGCTTTCTCCCCCACGTCTGCGGCGATCCTGCTCAATTTATTTTTTCAGTAGCATTCTAGCCTTTCACTGGAATTGTGTGTAGTTTGATTATGTTTATGTGGGTCACATTGCATGTTCCTGTATGGTAAAAAATTTGTGAAACTAGTGATGCACCTCGCCTGCCCCAAATCCGAGTTTCTACAATAAAAACACTTATCCGGAATTATATATCCCTTCACGCACGGTAGAATTTTTGACCAAATGCATGGTAGGAATTCCAAGGTAATTTGGTGGCATGTACTCAACTTGTGTTGTAGGTTTCTATCAATTGATTCGTTGCGCATACTTGAAAATATATATCTGTGCTCATCAGGTAGCCCAACAGCATATGTTGAAGCCCAACGCCGTCTTTGCGGGCAAGATGGAATCTAAACTCTACGTATAAGACGCGTAAGCGAGGATTTGAATATACCTTTATATGTACTTCGTATATATTTTGATACCTAATTGTCCAATGAGTTTTCTCAAAAATAGATCAAACCTTATGGACACCTAGGTATCTAACCCTACATAGAAGCCTGAAACTGATATACGAATATAAAGCATTAAAGAGTCCCGCTTTCATCGAACTAGCATCATTGGTCTAGTGGTAGAATTCGTCGTTGCCATCGACGAGGCCCGTGTTCGATTCACGGATGATGCACTCTTCTTTTTTGTCTTTTTGTGTTTTGGCTGTAGAACTCTTGAGAAACAGTTCTTGCATATTTTTGATCACTTATCGAACCGTTCATGGCAACAGATCATCATACTATATATAACTGATCGGATTGTCAACTAGAAACCTTGGAAGAAGTTGAATTTTCAATTTTGTACCACATTTGATTGGCTACAAATTCAAAAGTGGAGTACTAGGGCTTTGTCGCGTCGTACAGTCATAGACCCTTATATATATTTTATTATATGCAGAAAGTACAGTTAATGGGAAGCTCAAATTAGTTGCTTCATCAATCTAAGACTAGGGGAGCTTGACCGATACGAACTAGAAAAAAGACGAAACCCCCCTAAACGTTCTAGACTCGCAATTTATGCAGCTAAACTCCGCAGCGGAAGGAAGCGTCGTAAGCCCGTATACGATATCGGGCCGATGTTTGAAAATAAACTAGAAAAGCATCAAATAGTCGTTTCAATGTTGGAGTCATTGGATAATTTATTCCACTCTTGGCAAAGCTGACGAGGACGATTAGTTCTCAGTTGCCCAGATCTCCGCCTACTATGTGTGTGGGAAACTTTGACCATGCCTGGGTAACCTTTGCTTTTCATAATTCTTCTTCACTAACAGCTTAGTGAACCACGAGATATATCGAAAATGCCAAGTCGAATCCTTATATCGAAATCGTCATGAGTCGGACCAGGCGTCAAATTATAAGCACCGTCCTCGGGGCTTTCCTGCTCTTTCTGCTGTACCATTACTACGCAAACACCAAGAACAATTCCCCGTCCAAAATATCCATATCACCAATATCCTCAGCACAGGATGAATCCACTCAGAATTCAAATGATCAAACCCAACCGCAATTCCTATGGAGAGACCTACCGGCGCGATACCCAGCCGCTGAACTACGGCAAGTGCCTGCCGAACTGCCTCAAGAACTACCGAACCTTCAACCAGCAGGCTCAAAGGCCTCTAAATTGGCACAACTGAAGCAAAGATCCCGACAATTAGCTGTGAAAGAGACATTTGAACGTTGTTGGAGGTCATACCAATCTCTTGCCTGGGCCGCAGACGGGCTTGCACCTCTCAGCGGTCATCCGACAAATGAACAGGGAGGCTGGGGCGCAATGCTGGTGGGAAATCTCGATACACTATGGATCATGGGAATGCATGAGGATTTCGAGAAAACCGTGGCCACGGTCGTACAGATCAATTTTCAAGCCACGGCTTCACCCGAAATCAACACTCATGATGTCAATATACGCCTGCTCGGAGGGTTGCTGTCGGCATATGACCTCAGTGCCGATGTAAGATTGTTGCAAAAGTGCATTGATGTGGGCGATATGCTCTACTCTGCGTTCGATACCCCCAACAGAATGCCCATAATTCACTGGGACCCACACAAGGCTGCTCGACAAGAAGAGCAGCTAGCAGAAGAAAACGTACTCGCTGCGGAAGTGGGCTCTTATGCACTGGAATTTATACGACTGTCGCAAATCACCGGTGATTCAAAATATTTTGACGCCATCCAACGAGTCATGGAACTGTTTGATCGTCAACAAGAATCTACCAAGCTTGCAGGCCTGTGGCCTGTTGTCATAAATGCCAGAGCAGAGCAGTTTGATGGTGACGTATTCACCTTAGGCGCTGAAGCAAACTCCTTATACAAGGTATTGCCACGAGCGTACGTGCTGCTCGGTGGCCAGATTCCAATGTATCGCAGGATTTATGAAAGGTACACCTTTGCTGCGGCCGGACACAATCTGTTTCGACCAATGAATCCCGATGAGAAGGATGTGCTCCTCTCTGGCACTGTTCGTGTTTTCATGACGCAGAATGGAAAGGCCCGGACACATCTAGAGTCGCAAGTACATTACCAATCGTGTTTCGCAGGAGGTATGTTTGCACTGGGAGGAGCGTTGTTTAAGATTCCAGCCCACAAGAAAATTGCAAATAAACTGGTCGATGGCTGTATCTGGGCTCACGAAGCCATGCCCTTGGGGATTATGCCCGAAGCCTTCGATACGGTTCCCTGCGCGTCGCAGACACATTGCCCATGGAATGAGTGGCACTGGAAACAAGAAGCCTGGAAAAAGGCCAATAGCCTGCAGCCTGAACCAATGCCAGATTTGAATATCGATACTTTCTTGAAAGATCACCGATTGCCTAAGGGCTTTATTGGCATACCTGACGCGACTGCTAAATTGCGACCGGATGTTATTGAGAGCATGTTTATTCTCTATCGCACAACTGAACGCGAAGACCTCCTTGACAAAGCGTGGATTATGTTCCAAGCACTGCAAAATGCCTCACGGACCGAGAATGGCAATGCGGCCATTGTTGATGTCACAGTTGAGGGTACACAGCCGATTCTTAGCGATTCGATGCACAACTTCTGGACCTCGGAGACCCTCAAATATTTCTATCTTATGTTTAGCTCCGCTGACATGATTAGTTTGGATGATTATGTGTTTAATGCTGGTGGGCACCCACTCAAACGCCCTCGGGTCTCATGGCAACGTTCATAAGAGGAAACCAAGTCTATATATATGTATTATTCTCAGCTCCGTTTTATCCGATGGACCCTCCAATTCGAGGAAAATGAATCGATTATCCAAAGTATATTGCATAAACCACATCGCAAAGTGATCATAGATGGTTAACCCATCGGATGAGGACCACCCGTGATTGCATATTTGAGATCTTTGACACAGGAAGTTGAGTATCCATAGATATATCGAATGGCATGAATATCACCAGACGAAAGGTTATTGGATCCAACCCGCAAGATGGCGAAGGCTTTATGGGCCTCTGTGAGGTCTTTTGATTGAAAACCACAGGCGCTTAAGTAGCACTGAGGGACATCCGTGATACTAGAAAATATGGAGTAATTTGTAAATTTATGGAGTTGTGGTGGAGCATAAAGAGCAAAAATGCCTTCTAGCACTCAAGTTTCACTCACATCTGTGGCACGCTCGATACTTATTCATATCAGACACCCAGGCTGAGCCGAAAATGCAGGACGACACATGCATATACATCTCATATGTAAGGGTGAGGTGTCGTCAAACCATTTGCTGGCCCTTCCTGCGGATGTGACTTATCTAGACCGCTTGTTTTGCATCAGGATTTCGCTGGTTTGAGTCAAATGATTCGATTATAAATACATTACCACCAGCCTGACAGTTGATATCCTAAAAGAGCGGTTGAAAGACTGGAACTGATCCTTACCCCGGATTTCTTTACCTTTTCCAACATCGCCCACTGACTTGCAGAGATGGCCATTCCCTACCCCCAGGGAGAATGCTTTTTTAAAAGAAGCTCGCTCACATCCGAAAAACCCGACCGCTTCAACGCCGAAAACCCTGCTCATTTCTACAGTACCCTGATTGTCGAAACTATTTGGAACAAAGAGGCCTATCACGGAGAGAAAAATTGCCAAGATCATTCTAATCCCCGGTCTGATCTCAAGGTCGTCTATGGTGGTGGGGGCTGGCAAACGCACTATGGAAATTGGTCCCATATTCCCTTCACGTACGGGAATTATGCGAAGCCCGAGACCGTCAACAGACGAATTCGGCATGAGTTGTGTACCTGGGGTTATCGGTTTAAGAAAAGAGAATGGGGCGATGCTTACGAGGTATACTTCCACATGCCCGAGTATCGTTTTCCAGGTAAAGAGAAGCCGTGCAACTGACTTCGATTCACAACAGGCCTGGTTCATGTTCGTTCCGATGCCTAAAAGGGAAGAGGAATGGATCTATATTGATGTAAGTTCGATTGTTATTTGCAGAAAGGGCAGGATAGCTAACCGCAATAAGCGACTGGCGACCATCCGTGCAATCTACATACCTGTTGCCCATCAATCCAGTGAACAATATCCCGACCTCTGCACCTACGTTCAATGTCGATTCATCTCCATGAAGCAAGTCACAATGGAATACCACAAGTCTACTGGAGAAGGAAAGGATCCATCCAAAGTCCAGACAACCATTGACTGTGACACCACACTCGGCCTCGATGTCCATGACAAGACAGCACTCGCTATCAACCCTGCAAAACTTGTGACCACATTGATCGTTCCGCGAGAGTTCCGAAAGCTTGACGCCTTCACCTCCAAGGCTGTCATATTGGTTGACTCTAGCTTGATCCCCACCGCGCCTCTCCAGCAGACATTGAGCAGTCAATGCATGGCAGACTGGGCTGTAGTCATGGGTGCCAATCAGGGTCTTTCTATAGAATGGAAAAAAGGAGACTACAAAGGGCACTGGTTCGTCAATTACTTCAAGAATGCTATGGCTTTTGCCATCGGGTACCTTCCTATAGCAGGACCATTCTTAGCTATTGGGTGGAGTGTTGCCTACACCGCGATCGCCCAGCCGGATGAGTTTTTAGATGAATTGCGGGAGCAGATTCCTTCGGTAGAACTCATTGAGGGGTTCGTGACCGAAATAAAAAAGATGGCACAAGATAGTGAGGGGGTCCTGAAAGACGGGATCGATGTGAAGAAACTCAGTGGTGTCGAGACGAAGATATCGAACGCCAGTCCCCTGGATGGTAAGAAAGACGAGGTACAGACAAAACCTGCCGCTGTAGTAGAGACGCCGACCGGTGAAGGTGAACAGGCCCCCACGGTTGAGGACGACGAGAAGTATCTCACGAAGGTGGATCGAGTTTCTCGAATGATCGGCAAGATGAAGTCAGGATCTATCTATGATGTTAAAAAGTGGTTCAATATGAGCTGCAAGAAATTGGAAAACTTGGGACTGCTGACGGAAGAGGTTTACAATCAACTTGAGTGCGCAAATGACCCTTTTTATGAACCCCCCGATGACGAGCGATGGGATGAAGAAGGAAACTACATTGAAGATTTACCAAGTGCGGATGAAAGATGGACCAAGATCGCGCGAGGTTTATTGGTTCAGATGCTTGAAAAGAGCCTCGACCAGGCCCTCAAGTTTGAGGTCTGGCCTGATGACAAGTATGGCATCGACAGGAACTTCATGAGACGAACTTCTGATAAATACATGAAGCCAAAAAAAGGCTGACAAGGTTTACGTACCTGTCGTGGGTGGTCACTCTGCATCTTCTAGGGTCCTCGGGTTCTTGGGCTCGAATTCCAATGCCGGCGACTCCAAAACCTACCATCACGTCTCTGTGGAGAGAGATACATCATACTGCGTAATGGAATTACCCCAACGAATTCACAGGTTAAAGTGGAAACAATCACAGGCCTTACCAGGCGAGGCTCAAAATTCACCGTTCAGGACGTTTTGGAACAATCTCAGTGAAGACAATCATGTATTTAACATACTCGTGGTAGCCTGTATCTCGCCAAAAGCGAGAGGTCAGTGTAAATGAATTCTACTACTATCAACAGTCCTACACATTTCCTTTACACGGGGTTTCTACCTTCCTTGTATTCGGGTTCCCTTTTGACAGGTCTTAGCAATGCAACAAGAAAATTGAACTTCTGCATGATTAGCGGGGCAAATACTCAGCCGAATATAGAGAGGTAAAGATCTTCTGTAGAGCTCTCAGACTTCTGTTGCTGGTGTGATATGATGTGATATGATGTTGTGAGGCATCATGTTTATGCCGATATTCGCACATGTAATTAATTCCCTGCCAATGGGCCTGGGTCTAAGCTGGCATGAGAAGCATTTACGTGTGTAAAACAGGTAGAATTCTATGATCTATCAACCCCACCCCGCGTACGTGCTCATACTTTCCATAGAACTCCAGCTTGCATCATGAAATTGTATTGGTTCATGTGGGGCTGCGAAAGAATTGATGTGAAAGTGGTGGTGAAGCCGATTTCGCTAGTGGTTGTAGAGCGACGTACAATAACTTTTTAAAAGACGTCTAGATTCGTTATCTAAGACAAATGTTTTGCCACGCTACCGGTCGGCTTCTTTTTTCGAACTAGCTGGACTTTTAGCGTGGCTTTGACAGGAAATGACACAACTCGACTAACAATTATAAAAGTTGATAAAATGATCAAGCTGGCTGGCTCAGAATATGAAGCAATAGCAGAATGACAACCATTGAGTCCACGAGGCTGTTCCCAGCCCAACAGCCCACACCGTCAACAGCACCTCTTTCCATCCTTGATGCAACCGTTGCGAGATTTGCACCTACAGGAGGCATTTGGATTTTCCAAAACCCGCTCAATTCGGATCAACAGATCTTGATCGACAAGCTCCGCAGTTCTTTCAGAGACACTTTGTCTAAGTTTCCTCAATGGGCCGGCCAACTTCAATGGGCTCCCGTCAACCCTGACGGGAACCACTCTGAGAGGTTCAATCGGCCCTTAGTCAAATACGGCACCGATGCTGACCCCGGTGTGGAATGGACAGTGATTGAACACCCCCTCCGAGCAGATGAGATTACACCCACAGCTGAGGAACGCGCTTCTTTGACCACTGGCTCTCGCCTTGGAGCTTGGAAGGGTGACGACTTCAATCAGAACCTCTTTATCTCCCCCAATCCATTGGCTCTAGCCAATCTGCGCGATTATATCGGTCTCCCTGGGATGCAAGTACAAATCACTTTCCTTGCTTGCGGAGGCTATGCCATTGGAGTGAAGCTAGCGCACTGTCTAGCAGATGCCCAAGCCTTGATGGTCTTCGTACACCTATGGGCAGCGACCAGCCAAAAGGAATTCGGCTCTGAGACCGAACCTCCAATAATGGGCGAACCAATCTTCAATCCAACGCTACTGGATAATTGCGCAGGAGGCGACATTGATAGCCGCGACCGCGACCGAGATCTTACGCAGACGGCGCGCAACTTACCCTTGCATCGCTATAGCTGGTGGGACACCGCCGACGAAGGCTATCCGCAGGTCTGCATCCCAACAACAGAAAACTCAAAGCCACCAGCCGAACACCTGGACCGCATGAAAGTCTCTCCGTCGACGCCAGCACCGTGGCCTTCATGGGACTTCTCCCGCCCAGTCAGTTATACGCTGTTACATTTCCCAGGCCCAGAGCTAGCCCGCTTCCAAGCTCTTGCCCGCGCTGATCCCAGTGGCCGAGCGGATATCTCCCGTCTTGACGCCCTCCTCGCGTATCTGTGGGCGTCAATTGTCCGAGCACGTGGGCAAGCTGATTCCTCGAGACCAGTTTATCTCGACTTGAGCCTCGGCGCTCGGGCTCGCGTATCTCCCGCTCTCCCTGATACGTTTATCGGCTCGCCGCTATTCTTGACGCATATCGGCGGACCCGGGTCCTCGACTTGTAGGGAGACGCTGGGTGAAACAGCTAGTCGAATTCGGGAGACGATGGATGAATTCACGCCGGATGCTATGCAGGCGATGCTTCACGACGCTGCTTTTGAGGTCTCGCCTCAAAGGCTGTGGCAGGGATTTTTGGGGACTCAACATACGCTTGTTACATCGTGGTTGAGACTGCGATTGTACGATGTTGATTTTGTTGGTGGATGTCGACCGCGATATGTGCATGCTGCAATGCCGAAGGTGGATGGGTGTGTTCAGGTCATGGATAGTGAGGTTGGTGATCGAGGCATGGATATCGCAATCTATCTCGATAAAGAGGCCATGGAGACATTGCTTGGAGATGGGTATTGTGAGGGTGAGATGTGAGATCAAAGTATCAAAAAGGGTATCTATTGGATTTATCCATCTTTTATCACAAAATATGATCAAGTCAAGCAGACAAGTAATAAAGTATACAAGAAAATATTATAAAGACGTGTTTAAGCACTCATGGAAAGCGCCCGGTGCCGTGATGTTCGTTTCCGAATATCGGCATCCCGACTTTTGCGTCCCATTCGCCCAAGAGCCATGCTCTCGAGCGTCTCAGGTTTACCGCCCCAAATTTTGCTTCGGCCATTACGCTTTTGTTGAATTGGCGGGATCCAGAAGTGTGTGACTGCTGCACCGAGAACCATGCAGGCACTGAAGACAATGAGTACAATGCCGTGTTTGCGGGTTGATTCGTTGCCCGGCCCAGCACCAAAGTGATAGTATGTTGAGAAGATCTGAACAAGAATAGAGCCCAGTTTACCACAACCAGCGCTGATGCCGTGACAAGTGGCGCGGTAGCGAGTTGGGAATATTTCGGCTGGAATCATGTACGTCGTGGCATTGGGACCTGACGAATATTAGCAACGAGCTTGATAGCAGATTACAGCTATCGAGAAAGACTCACCAAAGTTGAACAGAATTTGGCCAATGATGTATAACGCCACCACGGCCGGAGGGCCAGAATAGAGACAAATGAACATGGTTCCCAAGGCGATGAAGAGAGCGGCAAGTGCCAGGAACATGTATTTCTGAAGTGCCACACGATCCAGTTTATGGGCAAAGATAATGAGCAGAAGTCCGCCAACAAAGCTGCCAATGTTAAGGATAACCAATCCGTGCACAGAAGTATCCATGAACATCTGGAAGATGTTGGCATTTGGGCGATCGTCGGTCATCCAGCTTGGCGCTGCGGAAGATATATGGAGGGAACCCCATGTTTTAGCCAAGAACTGGGGACTCGAAAGGCCAATTCCGTAAAAGCCAAAGTCGAGCAAAAGCCATGCGAGAGAGCAACCCGCCAGACTCCGCCAGTTGCCTTCTGTCCAGAAATATCGAACAATATCGGTGCGCGCCAGGCGCCAGTGCGAGTTCAGTGTCGCTGGTGGCAGACGGGTGAGCTCTTCGTCATCATCGAAAATTGAACTAGTACTCGCAATAGAGGAGATTGGAGGCAACTGGATACCGCTTCCCGCACTGCATATAGTGCTGTTACCCCAACTTGATGAATTCACCATTCCATGGCTCTCGCTGAAGAGCGTGCTTGCATCGAATTCTGCAGTGACAGGGTCGTCCTCAATATCCACTAGATAACGAGGACTTTCTGGGATAGCGAAACGGAAGAGAGTAGCGATTGCGCCGGGGACGACTCCTATGCCAAGAACCCAGCGCCACATGATATCGACGGTTCGAGAAAGGTCTTCGTCGGGGGTACTGTTTCCCCGGGCTATTGCGATTACAACGACTGACACGATGTTACCCGCTATTTGACCGAGTGGTTGCATGAAGAACACACTGGCCATCATGCGGGCGCGGTGTTTGGTGGGGGCAAACCTAGGACTCATTGTCAGCCCCCTTCGCCAATTTACCCCATTTTCCAAAGTTCATAAACTCACTCAGATGTAATCACCGCACTTAATGGATAATCTGCACCAACTCCAATCCCGACACAGATTCTCCACCAGATAAGCCACCCAAAGACATTCATGCTACCATCCACGCCCGTCGAGGACATTACCACACCCAGCGTGGCTGTAATCAAAAGCACCAATTCGACACCATACATCTTCTTTCGTCCGTTTTTGTCCGCTAAGAATCCAAATGCGACTTGGCCCAGCAAGGTTCCTGCAAGTGTTGCGATGTTGATGCAGGTCAGGCGTAATGAAGAAATATCGTTTCTCCAGTAAACGTAAGAGATCATAGGGAGGGCCATATTACTGGCGAAGAGCTTTATAGAGTGTTAGCGGTGGTTTCTTGTCCAATAATTCTTTCCATCGAGGCGCTGGGAAATAGTCAACTCACTGTGTAACCATCGAGGAAGAACCCAAGACCAGCAACAAGAACGACAATCCATTGGAATCCCTGTCGGTCAATAGTTTCGTAAATCTGTCGCATGCGCACATATCGATCCTATCAAGTTATTAGCCTCACATGCCATTCAGTATATTACAAAGTGGACCATACTTGCTCATGATCAAAGTCCCGCGCTCGGTCGGTCTTGTACAACCGGGCGTGAAACTTGCCCATGATGAGTTTGAAGTGAAATATGGAATACAAAATTCAAGATTCAGACCATATTGGAATTTCATGTAGTTAACTAATATCTAATCACAAAGATCAGGAGATTAGAGCCGATGTGAAAAAACGTGACGAGGCAACCAATGGGACCACCACGTTGAGCCCGACGATCCCTGCACACGCTAACGCACTTAGCGGGCGGGAACGAGCCAAAGCTTGGGGTTGTACGCTCCACGTGCCGCCTTTGTGGTGCTTGGTTTGTCGACACCATTTTGTTAGGCTCATTTCCCGACAAAAGTTTATTAGAAACACTTTTTCTATCATCTATCCAATGGTTACAATTTACTTAGGTACGTCTAACAATACAACATAAAACCAATATATATTATGTATGGTGTGAAGCCATGTAATTTCCCAGTACCAGCCTCTCTCAGTTCAAATTGGGTTTGATCTATCCATTCCGTGCTCCTGTGGTATCATATTATGTACATATTATATGGCCCCCCGGGGCCGGGGCCCCATTGCCCCTCATGCAAGATTCATTATCGTAAAAAAGAGGGGTTTACTTGAATATTAAACCCAAGAGCCCCCAAAGACTAAAACACTCTAGTATTATCCAATTGTCAGATCGTATGACAACATCCGACAGAATTCTTTGCAGTCTAGAAGTGACAATAATAAGCGAAAGCTCCATATGACAGAAACTCGAATATGCACTGACCATCATCGTCAAGAAACTGAATCGTAAAATTCCTCATCTGAGACAGGATTTCGAAGTTCGGATTTAGATCCAGTGTGGCTGGCCGCCCAGGCTTCTTTGGCGGTTTGATACCCCCGATGCAGTTAACTGACCGAAACATTAGCAAATGTACTGGCGAAAACGGCCGAGCCCATGTGGAAAAGTGACACCCACGTGGGATGGAAACATATCGTTTGAGTTCCCTCCGCTGCGAATTAGCAAAGTAAAGAATCACCCGTTTGCCGTTATGGCCGCGCAAGATCCGGAGGTTTTGGCTAATGCACTCTTCTCCCCGACCTTTTGATTTGGCCTCGGCCATACCACCGATAAAGACCAATTTCGAGCAAAGTAATAATTCTTGAAATCGGACACAATCTGCGAGTGTAAGCAGTTGATAAATCTCCAGTCTTTTCTTGGTCACATACCATCCCAGTTCTCAAATTTATATGATAATTGCGTCATAAACACTGTGTGTGCGGTTTGGACGGTTTGTTGGTCCATGAAAGATACCCTTAGAGGGTAATCGTCGCCTGATTTGGGATGCTCCAGATGCGGCACTGGGAGCTTTGTATTTGAGACTATATATCATTCCAGAATCAGTATGTACCTTTAAATGAGTATATATCAAGATAGTACTCACACGCGTGAACAAAAGGTGTTTGCTGGCCAAGTCCGCCTCCAAGCTCCAAGCATTTTAACGCGCCCGTTGAGTCTTTACAAACATCGATGAAGGTGTATTTCAACTTGAACAATTGCCCATTTTTCACAAACGAACTAAAAGTAGGTCAGCACATTAGCCCCTAAGCAAGCTATCTAACACATACATTTGCACAGAAGGAGTCAGTACGAGCCGGACGACATCATCGTAAAATTGCCAGGATTGCTTCCTCGAGCTGGACCCCGGAGAGGTCGCAGGACTCGGGAACAGAATGCTGGTGGACGCAGACGACACCGTGGAGGTAGATACACTGCTTTGGCGCCTGTCTACCCATTCCTGGAAATCTTGAGGGGTGAATGAGTCCATCCCGACTCTTTAAGAGAAGTTTCAAGGTGGGACAGTGGCATGCGAAGAATGCGATCCAGGAAAAGATCGGCCAGGAACGAAGGTGGCATGTTCAACCATGGAATTATATCATAGAAAATAAAAACATTAAATAAATAATTACTCCGTTTCTATAACTGCATCCATGTCCCTGTGATAAGCGCAATAAAATAATGTGGAGAGTTGAGAGGGTGGAACGTGCTAAAATGGCTGGCTATCAGATCATCTCCGGGGGGTCCACTCTATCCATCGTTCTCTCCCATGTGGCTTTGTTAAATTCAATCTTTGGACTCAACTTTCTTTGTTGAGAATAATTGTGTTGCTTTTTCTTTGGAAATGATCATGACGTTCTCTACTCTGCAGTTTACCCGCATACAAGTGCTTTGACCCCAAAGAAGGCTACAGTTCTTTGTTGCTAAACATGGTAGGACCCTACAACCACCTGAATTCCTAGGTCTATACATGATCAACCCTCCTATAGTTTCTTAGAATTCATGGATGCTTCTCCCATGGTTTCTCGAATTTGAAATTAACCGGAAAATTCCCGAAGGTTCAAATAATGTTTCTGGAACTTGTTTGGAAATTCATGCCGATCAGCATCTCATGGTCATAGCTCCGATGCCTGCAGATGTCTGACGCGGGTCACATAACTCAGCCCTTAGTCAATTGATCAGATGTTAGCTCTGGGATTGCTGCTCCTAGCAGCAACAATGCCGAGGCCTTAATATAATGAGACTTTACAATAGTAAAGTCCGAATCCGCGGTAACCGTATTCCATCTAGCTCCATAAATCTCAAATCTAGACTTACACATTGTAGAAACTGTCTCTTCCAGCCCTCGACCGGCCAGCCCCATATCAGTGAGCACGGACATTTTCCTACTTGGTTGAACGGCATTTGGGGTCAATCACCGAACCACCATTGCGAAAGGGATCCTCCCAAGTGTACCGTATAGATGGAAATCTTTCTCGCGGACCCACTGCCCACATGGGTTACCTGTCGGGCTTCTACGGATCCATACGCTCTATAAAATTGACTAATTGGTAAAACGCGTGTCTGGATCAAATATATTTGAGCGCCACATGGAACAAGACCAAATACGGCTTGATTAAACATCACTTGACTCTTTGGTCGGAACTTCATGGTGGTGGTTCTGATGGATATAGCAGCGCTTGCTTGTTTGCGCATTCGCATGTTTGCTTATCCATTGTTGTCACACCTACCTAGCTATAGAAAGCAAGCTTTTTTCCTCAGAGATCTCAGAATACCATACCATCCTGCATCACTATCTCATATCACTATTCCACTCACATAGTAAGTTCACATCAGGTTCCGTCAACACAGTGGTGGTGCCTGAGGGATTTGCTCTTGTAGCATGCCAACGCCCACCACTTCTAAGGGCTGAACTTTTCAGAGAAAAACTTAAGTCGTCCTCTTTTCCGTTGAATCTCGAAGGTTCAACCAGTGGAGATATGAGCCAGTAGGGAGTAAGTGAAGTTTGAAAAGAAGAAATCAAATTGGCAGACGATGTCCATAGAGCATAGTGACAGAAGGGATGAGTTTAAAGCTCGGAGGTGGACGGCTGAAATCTTTCGAACTTGATGGAGTGATAGGAGAGCATTTACTTATTGATTGTTAAAGTATTGATAACTACAGTACGTCCAGAAACTGGTGCCACCATCTACACTCTTTGATTGGTTCTCAACCCCTAATGCAAAGGCTCATTACTTAATCTACATCAGGATAATTTCAGGGTGTTGATCCGTACCAGTATCAATGCATGGCGTCTCTCATTATGTGATTCTGTCTTGTAACCGGACTGAGGCTCTAAGGAGATCCCCATAGTAATGGTAATAGCCTTGGTTCTATCTTTTGGTCTGAGTCTTCTCCTGGAACTTCGACAGACCTAGGCGGAGAAGCAATAAGTTCCTCCCTAATCCATCCCCTCTCAGAATATTCAAAGGGCGGTTTGATGAAGTAGATCCCATAGCCTCTTAGTCCATGGATGAAAGAACATCTCAAAGTCTATCCCAAGATAAGCAGATTTTCCAGAGCAAGTTTAGATATTCTAAGGGATCAGACCAACATGCCAAAGACACGAAGGCTATTTCACGGCTTTCGTGACAATTATTGTATAAAGTGGGAGTACTGTATCCGGGGCCACATAATATAGATGTCTACTACTTGGAATGAATAACTTCAATCGCATAGCAAAAGTCTTCTAGGACTGTAGCAGTCTATTTTCCTGCCTACGTACTACATTGGTCCACAAAGACGAAACATGGCTCCTTAATTTGATTTCTATCAATGAGCCAGGCTCTCTAAGTCTTGCGTCAGTTTGAATGCTCCCAACGCTGGCATCGCTAGGACTGGGGAATATATGTAAAGTGCAGCTCCTTGTACTTGACTTTGACAGTCTGATGTTAGGAATCGCCAGACCACAAAATCTCGGAAATGTGATAAGACTGCAAAAACAGAGGAAGCCTGAGATATAACTATGTGCGATTATGAGAATCAGGCGATGTGATCATGAAGACTGGCTCCTAAGAACGGTTCCTCGGGTAAAAGAAACAGGCTATGATTCTTTAATGGGATTGAGAGACCTCATTCTTGTCTTCTTCTTTTTCTCTCGTTCTCTTTGTTCTTTCTGCTCTCACTTCATTTTCTCTTCATATCTTCATCCTCTTCACAGATAGGGCCATATTTTCTCGACCCTGTTGCGGCTCATCATCTACAATTTGGCTCTCAATCTGACATAATGGACAATAAATATACTTCCAACAATGATCTGGGCAAACCGGGACCATCCGTTTATCTAGACACAGGGCCGGGATCTCCTAATCCTGTTCGGGCTCGATGTCTGTTGCCCTCAACACAGGTTGCTCATTTCCAGCCTGGCCCTCCGTCGGATGATCAAATTCACTTTGGCCATCGTCACTATCAACATTCGCACGATGGGTTCACTCCATTTGGCGCGCCTCTGCCATATGTTCAACAACCATTTGGGCCTGGCTACTTTGCTTTTCGTCCACTTGATTCCGTTTTTTCTCCTGGTTATCAAACTCCTTCTCCTCCTTCATTCACATATCCGCAGCCACAGCTCAGCCCACCTCAGTTTGGCCAGATGTTCCCGTGTTTGGATCAAAAATTTTGGCGTCAATCGTTTGAGCCTCAGTATCAGCCTCAGTACCAGCCCACTGGCAACCGCTGGTTTAACCGGACTCTGCAAACGAACGACCTACAATTCCCCACGAACTCATATCTAGGTGATCCCGATGATCTCTACCAGACCTCGATGCGCGCTTGCCACATTGCTCACAGAAGATATATCAAATGGATTAACATAGCATATCACCCCGCAATATCACCCCGAGACTTCGTTCAAGAATGGATTTATGCGTTGAGGGAATTGCGAAGATTGTTCGGGCATTTCCACCTTCCGGATATATTCGCGTTCAATCAATTTCTCGCCGCAGTCTCTGCCAATCCAGGAACTCGCTCATGGGTGGACTCGCTACATACCCATGGACAACATTTTGCCTCAGTCAATCATGGAGCAAGTCTACTGCAATTTCTTGGAGTCAGAGGCCCGTCGTCTTAATTTTCCAAGGTCAACATGGGACATTGAGCAGTTTGACGCCCGCATCCCTCCTTTTGAAAGACTGCTTACCCATTATTGCCCATATCACCGCGTTCTCGTGACTCATTCTTTAGATGATTGCTCCCTGCACCCGAGTCGGAAGAAGTTCCCAAGGAATTCTTCGAATGAGAAAGGTAAAAAGAAGGGGAAATAGGGGATTTCCACAGGATACTGTCTCTTGTCTTCACTCGCACACTTGAATGCCTGAAAATGTCCGGTAAAGCCATGTTCCAAATTTGGTTGCACCGTTCTATTCAACGATGTGCATACCAACTACCGCCGAGGTTTTATTCCAACGCCACCGAGAGCAGACAACAAGCAGATGCCACAACGTTGGAACTAAAATCGGAGAATTTCGCAGCAGTTCCATGGTGGCGTCAAACAGCAGCCAGATCGGGGGACAAAAAAAAAAGCAAGGGGGAACCAAACGTGTTATTTTGAGTTGAAGATGATTTCCTTGTGTTTGCGACACTATCTTTGCCAGAACATCCGACTTCCTCGGGTTGTTTACGCCAAGCGGGGACTAGGAACGTAACTGCTAGTCTTTCAAAATGGGAAGCAAATAAATTTTAACATAAGATTCAAGATTACATCACCCTTGGGCACAAAGTGCCTCCAATAACTGTAAACGGTAGTATATCCTTTTGCTCTCCTCTCTGTCTGGAAGTTTGATTCTTCGACGAATTGGAGGACATCGCATAAATTATATACGGTACATATGCGAAACATATGCTAGCAATGAACAGTTCCGTACCCTTCCCTACACCCGCTGCCGATTATCATCGAAATACTCAGCTTGTAATATGGGAAGGAATCGTGATGATAATTGGCCGGCATATCATCTACACTATGAATTTGGTCCGTCAGCAGCTCTTTTTATATGACAATATGGATGCTGGACTCGAAGATACAATTACATTGGCGACGTAGATGCAATTTCAGAAACTTAATTACTATCGTAGATGCAGCCTCCAAATTCTTCCCAACAATACCAATTTAATCACATTGACATTTCCCAAATCAAAAATTCACAGACAAAAGGCCATTTACAGATAGAATAAAAAAACAATTTACGAACCTGGCGAAGTCCAGGTACCAGTTCTCATACCAGAAGCTGCATTTATACAACGACCACAGTCTGGTTGAGAGACTCCAAGAAGGCCTGAGGACCGGCCTGCAGTTGCACAATCAGTATCCTCTGGGTTTAGCAAAAGCGACAGAGACGGATAACTTACTCCAATCAAAGCGGCGTGAGCGACATTAATTTGGCCATTGCCCTTGGCAGCCGAAGCAGGAACAGTGACAGTGAAGTTCTCGTATGGGGGAAGGCTCGTCTCATGGTACACGGGCTTGAAAGGTCCATTATACAGGATAGTTCCCAGAATGTCCTCCGCGCTGCGGCAAGGTGTGGATGCACAGGAAGTGAAACCGATTACGACGCCGACTTCAACAGATGGGCTCAGAGAGTTCTGCACTAATTAGTCTAATGAATTCGGTTGTTATGCAGCCGGGATCAAAACTTACGGGACGCTGCACTTGCACGATAAGCTCTTCCCCAGCGGTGACCGTTTGGCCCTCAACGGGGACTCCGATATGGGCGTTCTGGGCGAGGGCCGACAGGGCGAAGAGGGCGAGTGAGAAGAAAGACTTCATTTTGAAAGAGGATTGGCAGATTAATAGAAGAGTGGTTGATAGTGAAGGAACAATTGAATTATGAGTTGAATCGTATAGTTATTGTATGAGAAAGTCATTGAGTCGGATGAGCTCGTGGTCTTTATATTAAAAATTAGCAGTACAGTTAGTTTTTCAGCCCCTAGAATTCTAAGAGGAGCGGACAAAGTTGATTCGCTGTGTCTCTGCAAGTCTCAGTAAATTGTAAAGCTAAGCCATGGATAGGCCTCCAACACTAAGGAGTATCGGGCAACCGAAGTGAAGATCCTGAAGATCCCTAAATTATTGTCGATTTACCTTGCATATTCTTGCATCTAGACATAAGCAAGCTGACTGAGTGTCACTTTAAACGGTTTCAGTCGGTAGTCATGAATTTCAATTTTGTCTAAATACCAGGGATGCTACAAGGGTTGCCGTTGAAAATCTGCTTGAATCTATATCGGTAAAATGCATCGTTCGAGTCATCTTGAAAAATGGGAGGCGTTTTTGAACAAAGTCCAACTACCACGATGGCTATGAATGACTACAGAATTGTTGGACAATAATTCATTGACTTAGTTCTCTTTTTAGAAGTTCTCTTTTTAGAATCAAAATGAAACTTACGTCAGTACCCCCAGGCGTCCAACCTTCGACCAATTACTGATTTTGGTAATTGTTTCGACAAAAGACAGGATGACAGGGCCCGTTATGGCGGGAAGTCCGAATGAGTAAGAATCAGAGCTAATTTTAGAATGTCTGGACTATCACTGAGAACTGCAACGTCATTTCAGGAATAACATGGAATTGATACAAAACGGATATTCCAGGTCATAGTTGACAGAGTGCAGGAGCTTTTCAACTCACCGACTCTTATGCCTGCAGCTGTACGTATCTAATAATAAATGCCTGCATAATCCCGTAGAAATATTTATATTCTAATCGTAAATTATGACCCGATGGTATATACCATACAAAAATCCTCTGGGTGCACAAAATGTTAGGATCAGCAATATACGCATGCCAAGTAGACTAAGATCGGGGATTAAGCCGTTTCCAGGGTTCGGCTGTGCCGAGGCCCCACCAATCGAGATCCAATCTTAACAATGCCCGCGACCTTAATTTGTCAGGTGATTTGCTTTCTGCCCTGCAACCTGTTCATCCTGCTCAATTTGGATGCCCGATAGATAATCGCCAAATACAAACGAGAGAGGCAAAAACAAGACCGAAATTCTATTGTATTTGCCACGACCCATGGGCGAATTGCCCCCGAACACCGCGAACATCCTTAAACCCTCTCTGGAATGAGGACAGAGAAGTCATCAAAGTGAGCCTTCAGGCCACGAAGCTCGTCCGACTCACGGTCAAAAATCAACGAACAAAGTTCGTAACGCTTTCATAGAAGTTTGCCAGAGAAGCAACTCAAAGCTGACGTTACCCTCTGCGTGAAGCAACTTGGCACACGCGCGGGAATGTTTGTAGAGATCTTGCCACTTGTCAGGGTGATGATTCATATGCCCCACCTCCAGATTATGATCTGAAAGATAGGCCGCATACGAAGCGACCTCTCCAGGCTGGGAAAAGAATCATCAGCGAAAAGTCCCAGAACCATAGGCGAACCCCTGACGACATACCTGAGGCTTGTTCGTCTCCAAAATGGTGTGATTTGCTGAGTGCTGCTCTTGGAACTTGCCGAATGCTCCAATTATGTTGCGTGCCTTCATGGTAAGGGCAGCCATACCGCACGGAAACAAATTTGGAACTTTCCAGTATTCCGCGAGCCAGGCGTTCCTTGCTGAGTACTGCTTTGATGTTACCCTCGGGAACCGAAACGCTTACTGAGTACTTCAGGTTGGGACAGGGAAAGGGGTTGAATGTGTGGCCAACAGAGCGTAGTTTCAGTTGTGTCTGCATATTGTCCGAGTGGCTGGTTCGGCTCTTGCCTCTAGCCATTCGGTGAGGTTGATGTCTCATTCTGGGATTTCGTCGTCATAATCGTCACCTCGGTGGGCTTCTGATTGTTCAAATGCCTTTCGATTTCAGGCGTTGTCTTTCCCGATTCCTTCGTTCGTCTGGTATTGCCTGATGAACTCTTCATATACATGGGCTTGTTTGCTCCAGAGCATGAAGGCTACTGGGGACGAAATAGATGCCTGATATAAACAACAAATTAAGAGCAGAAATTGTCGTGGTGGGTTTGCTAACACAAGACGGTGGTCGTTGTAGTTAATATACATATATAGGTCATGACCGAAGGGCAGTACCTAGGTAGGCGGCGAGGCCAAAGATCTGCTGCCCTCAGATGCAGGGTCATAATCTAGTAGGGGAAATTCTGTGATGTCTGAGGAACAAGCTCTCTACCTATAGCTAGATTGGCATGACAAACATAGACAGCAAGTAAATGCAAATACAAGTAAAATCTGCTTTCCATCAATATTGTATAAAGCAGATTATTTCTGCGTTTCATGTTCCTTATACAGTGATAGAAGATGACCCGGAAACAGTGAATTTGTGGGTGGTGGGGGTGAAGGTTTCTTTGTTTTGTGCCAATCGCTCTATGCCAAATGCCACAACTCTTATTCACCTCTTCATTTGAACAAGTTCTCTATAAAATCCTAGCAATCTAATTGTGGATTTGAACCCAATCTTCTATTGATACCTTGATCTAGTCTCTACAGGGTACTTCCGTTCATCCACTCTTTGTCCCAATCCTCATGTAAATAAGACAAATCCTCGAAACCCCATCATGTGCAGCCCGGAGCTTTACTTACTCTTACAAGAGGTAGATATTCCTCTTCTCCTCCCCTTCATAAGAAATCCATATATCATCACTCGTTAATTCTGCTATAATGGACAAAATCTTCTCCTGCGACTACCAGCCGGTCTCAGAAGTGGACGCTGATAGAGACAGTGATGCCACCATCACCAACCGACCAACCCGTCGGGCTCAAGAATTTCTGGAAAAAAATCTGGCCACAATCACAATCACAGGACTTCTCATTGTCCTAATACTTCTAGTAACTGCTGTGATCATAGCAATCACCGTCGAACCCTTCCGCCGAGTTCTGATCATGAAAGCGACCCCCACTTCCACTGGACACACCGGAACCTCCGTCTACCCCGTGGAGCTCAACAGCCAGCGACAATGTCTACCAACAACACCACGCATAACCTATTCATGCGGGAACTCGACGACCGAAGCCGAGGCCCGCGGTTGCGCGTATGACCCTCTTGCCGGCTGCTGGCTTCACAAGGAATGCCCGCGAGACTTCACGCACGAGTTCGCAACTTTCAACCACGGCAAACCATTTGTCTACTACTACGACGAAGGAATGACGCGGCAAATGAAGGACTATGATGAGGTCGGCCGCAACCCGGATCGCTATTGGACGTCTATCCGCGAGCATCTGGTTCATTGCTTGTATCTCCTGCGAAGGGGCCATGAGGTCCATATGCGTGGTGATCGGCTCGATACCATGCTTGGAGATCTTGAGCATGTTGATCATTGCACTAACATGTTGGCTGATTGGCTACGGAGAGATGATCCTGTGTTGGATCATGTGGGCACTTCAGGGCAAACCCATTGCTTTATGTCTTGCACTTGATATTCTTTGCTTTCCAAATTGAGTTGGGACAGGAATATCAGAATCAGTTCAACGAAAAAATGCAGTGGATGAAGGGTATCAAATCGTGTGTTTCCTCTGAGCTTCTCATTGTTGTATCAGTTTACAGAATGGCCAACTTCGGTTCTTTTTGGAGTTATCTGGATGTCAGTCACTTGTAACTTGGTTTCACCCTTTGCTCTTAATATTTCTCTCCTCTCTATTTTCAAGAGCTTTCCTTCATGACCGTCAACTGAAATTGGATCGCCCCGTCTCTCGTCCATTTCCAGGTGGGTGTGTATGTGTGTGTGTGGGTGTGTGAACTGGTACGTACTACACCAACGACTAAACGGACAACATGCTAGGACGTAGTAGGAAAAGCAAGTTCGTCCAGCCAGCTCTCTTAACTCATTTGAATGACCATTAGGCTGTAAAGCTACGAATGTAGGACTAGCGTACGAAGAAGATTGCTCGGCGATTGCGATCTGCAAACGAGTCCGAGGCGTTATCTCCGAGATTATATCCGACAACCGTGAACAACCCAAGAGCAAAAATTCCACTCTTGAGAGGCAATTCACTTTAAACAACACTACACCTCTATCATTCCACAAATTACTCACCATGCCCCCCAAACGCGTGGCAATCGTAACCAGCAGCACCCGCCGCCCGCGCCTCAACCCTACAGTCACGCAGTACGTCTATGACGTCCTAACCAACGACCCGACAATCCCAACAAACCACAGCACAACAGAGACAGACACAGACCCGCGACACATCACCTTCGAAATCCTCGACCTAGCAAAACAATCCCTTCCGCTCTACGACGAATCCGTGATTCCCGCCAGCCTCCCAGCAAGCGACCCGACTCCGCACTACAGCAAAGCGCACACGCGGGCCTGGTCAGCGGTCGTGCGGCAATACGACGCATTCATCTTCGTCACGCCGCAGTATAACTGGAGTATACCGGCAAGTCTGAAGAATGCGCTTGATTACCTCTTCTTTGAGTGGAAGGGGAAGCCTGCGGGTATTGTTTCATATGGGTCGCGGGGTGGCGGGAAGGCGGCGGATCATTTGCGGGGTGTTTTGACGGGGTTGAGGATGAGGGTTGTTGGGACGGCGCCGGGGTTGGCGGTTAAGTTTACGGGATTGCCGGTTGGGAGTTTGTCGGAGGAGGAGGAGAAGGTTGAGTTGGATCAGAGGGATGTTGATGGGTGGACAGAGGCTGGGGTGGAAGGGATGATGCGGAATTTGGGGATGGAGTTGGTTTGTGAGTTGGATAAAGAGTGAGTGGAAATGTGTACTTTTTCGGTTCTATAATGGTTTGTTCGTTTTGAACTGGGAGTTTTCAATAGATCGGGAAAGGGGAAAAACAAAGCCGTGGAATCATGAAATTGTTGTATGTATTATCAATTACTTTTATTATATATGCAGTGAGGAAATTAAATACTTGAGACGAAAGCCGATCAAGTCCTCAATCCGAACCGAGAATGTCCTCGCGCGTTATTCCACTGCGATCGCACATCGCACGAAAGATGCCGTCCGGCTTATCCCACAGCGCGACAGGCGTATCCATCTCAGCGATCTGACCCTGATCCATGACGCAGATGCGATCGTAGCCAATAATCGTACGCAAGCGATGCGCGATACACAACAAAGTCTTTCCCTCAAAGCCCTGGGCCATGGTGCGCTGGATCTTCTGGTCCGTCTCGAAGTCAACAGAAGAGGTTGCTTCGTCACAGACGATGATGCGTGCCTTGCGAACCAGCGCGCGCGCAAGCGCCATCAGTTGCCGTTGGCCGAGGGAGAAATTAAGTCCCTCTTCGTCAACAGGCGACTCGAGGGTAAGCTTGGTTGCCGTGCGTGATTTGCCATCACCTATCGCTGGGGTGGTGGTTCCGCTGGGAGGCTCGCTAGAAGGGTCCTCGTCTTCGACCTCTGTCTCTTGGCCTATTAGGTATGCGCTGCGGAGTGCAGACCATAGTTCCAAGTCGTTATGTTCGTTGAATGGGTCCAGGTTTGATCGGATGGTGCCCTTGAATAGGGCTGGGTCTTGGGGAATGATGGCAAGGCGGGATCGAAGGTCGTGGAGACCGACGGTAGAAATGTCGATGCCATCGATTTTGATGCTACCTCCCGATAGCTCCGTGAGGCGGAAAAGTGCAGACATGATACTAGACTTTCCAGCACCCGTGCGACCAACAATACCGATCCGCTCCCCTCCTTGGACGTCCATGGAGAGGCCCTTCAGGACCAGCGGCAAGCCGGCACGATACCGCATCTCCGTATCTTTGAATTCGATGCAACCCTTCTCGGGCCAGCTTGCTGCGACCTCTGTTTGGTGCAAAGGCGCCTCTTCCTCTAGCTCGGTGCCATAGTAATGAACTCGTTCAGTGGCGTTCATGTTGTTCTCAACCTCGGCCAGCTGACGGACTGTGAACTGCAACATCTGTGCGATAGCCAGGATGTAAGACAAGACCAGCCCAGAGATACTGGGGGAGACATTGAAGCGAGATGTGACCACCAAAACACCAGTCACGAAAACCAATGCAACAGCCACACCGTCGAGGCGAACGCTGAGCCAACGTTGGTTGGAGAAAGTCAGAAAATATGCCCCGTTCATCACATCAATGGAGTCGCGAATGCTGCGTCGGAATTCACTTTCCACGCCATATGCTCGAATGCATGCAACACCGGTAATGGCTTCGCCGAACTTGGCATAAACCGTTGATCGCAGTAGGGCCTCGTGGCGCTTCATCTCACGGGCGGATGCTCTGTAGTAGTTTGAAGCTAGCAGGAACAGAATAAACAGGGGGACAAGCGCGATGACAAACTAGACAGGTTAGCACGACGCCCTTTACATACAGTCACGATTTAACGGACGAGTGACTCACATAGTAGAAGAACACGATAATTAAGATCATGATGGAAATAATCATAGTCATCGTTAGAGCGTAAATTCGCATGGCGTCCGAAAGCTCATTATCCATGACCTGGATATCCCTCGAGAAGCGATTGGTGATTCGTCCGAGTGGGGTTGTATCAAAGAAGCTCATGGGTGCACGAAGCACACGAGTCATGGCGCGTTGAAGCATAGTCTTGCTGGCGTTCGTACCACAAGTCGTCATGTAGGTTGAGAAGAGGAACATCAGGAGAACGAATGACGCACCCAGTCCTGCATAGATTCCAATGTACTGGCCCATTGAAAGCGCCGGGTACTTGTTAGAAGTCCAGTAGGAAAGCCACAGACTGGTCCAAATGTTGGCAACATTTGCAAGACCGAGTAAGATGAACACCGAAAGGGCGTTGAAATAGCTCCCGGATGCTCGGATATAGGCCTTCCATACACTCCACCCGACAGAGGAGGTGGCCTTTTCTTCTTGCTGCATCAACGCAGTGACTGGTTTTGCGGCAACGGCCTTCTTGGGGCTTGCAATCTCATCCGCCTTTTCTTCGGCCACTTCGTCGACAGCCTCGGTCTCTTCCTCTTGCATATCGTCCTGTCGAGAAGTGGACATCAATCTCTTGAAGACCTCATTGTCACGCATGAGATTATCAAACGTGTCAACAGCATTGATCCGCCCTTCGTCCATGACAATGATCCGGTCGCATCGACTGAGCACGTGTAGCTGATGTGTGGCCAAAATTCGGCAGCGGTCCTTGAGTAGGCCACAGATAGCCTTATCCATGATGTGGCGGCCGACGTGTGCATCGACGGCTGACAGCGGATCATCCATTAGAACAAGTTCTGCATTGAAGTAGATTGCGCGGGCAATGTTCAGGCGTTGCTTCTGTCCGCCAGAGACGGTAATACCTCGCTCTCCGATTTCAGTTTGGTCGCCATTCGGGAGGATTTCAAGATCCGGCTTCAGGGCGCATGCATCAATCACTTTTTCATACCATGACTCGTTATATTCTTTTCCAAATAGAATGTTGTTTTTCACAGATGTGTTCTGGATCCAGGCATATTGCGGGCAGAATGCACGTGTGGTGCTCAGTCGGACAGTTCCACCAGTCACACGCATGTCACCTGCCAAGGCTGAAAGCAAGGAGCTCTTGCCACAGCCTACTGTTCCGATCACGGCGAGAAGCTCATTTCGACCAACTTCGAATGTCATATTGTTGAGTTTGAATGGCTCAATGGCAGTTTCTTTAGCTGTGTCGCCCTGTCCGGAGGCTGACTTTTCTTTTTGCTCGCGTGCGGCTGCCTTCTTCTCGGCCTTGGTTGCATCTTTCTCGTCTGTCGGAAGACGCTCCCAAATGAAGGAGGCGTTTTCCATCTCAATAGCATTTTTCATGCCCTCGTCTCGCTCAATATCTTCCTTTTGTTCTTCTGCAAGAAGGAAATCCTGGATCCGATTGAAAGCCGTCCAAGCATCGGTGACTTGGCCGATAACTAGGGGAAGGAGATTCAACGGCATGCGCAGAGAGTTGAAGAGAGCCAGTGACGAGAAGATTGGTGCGGGATCCAAGTTGTGGTTTGTGAGCGAGTAGGTAATGAAAGCGAGCATCGAAGCAAACGTCGGGATAGACATTGAAATGCACAGAATGGCATTTCGAATTGCCAGCAAAGTCTGAATGGAACGAATTTCCCGGCCGCGAATTTCTTTCAGGCGGCCCAAAAAACTGCTCTCCCAGCCGAAGAACTTGACAAATCGTACAGCTTGCAGAATTTCTTGGGTTAAGGAAACCCGTTGGTCGGTGATCTTGTTGATGTTGCGTCGTCTCACAATCAGAGATCTCACGGCGAAAGTCAAGAATGGAACGCCGAATACAAGCAGCGCGTAACCAGATAAGCAACTGTAGCCAAGGTTGACTAAGAGAAGAACTAATGTCACAATGATAGAAATAGGTGCTGTCCAGATCATATGGAACATTCCCATGGCCAGGTTGACTCGATCCACGTCAATGCTCATGAGAGCGGTAATGCGGCCATTGTTCCATCCCCGACCATCACCAGCAACTCCATCCGGTGCAGTAAGCCCGGCACCAGGCTTTGCCTTCTTCTTGTCCTTCTCTTGAGATTTCTTCTTATTTTTCTCCTCGGGGTTGAGAAGAGCATCTTTGGTGGCTTCTAGCGCCTTGACTTCTTCGGATGTCGCTTGACCGCCGGCCTTCGCACGGCCAGACAGCTTCATAGCCTTATTAAAAATGTGAGAAATGAGAACCGCGCGAATCTGACCACCGACCATCTGGCCCCGAAACAAGAACTGATTCGTGCACAAGCTCTGCAGCGCCTGCATACAGGTAATTCCAACGACAAACCCCATACCACGGCCGATATGAGGAGCCGCATGGCCAGCATGTTGCGCGGCATAAGCCTCCGTCGCAAAAGCGATCAAATACCTCGTCAAATATGGCGCAAAGACCATCAAAAGCGAACTGAACAGCTGGCAAATACCGCCGAGCAGAAATTCAAATCGGAATGTGTCGTACAAGGCCCAGACCAGCGGACGATTGGCCCCACTCTGGTTGCGCTTTTCCAACGCAGCGTCTAGTCGGCCAGACAATACCTCAACGGTTCGGTCCGGATTCACAGTCCAGATATCTTGCAGCTCGAGTGGTCGCAGATACCCAACCTTCATCAATGGCGACATCCATTGGAACGTGATGATGCTGAAGAATGAAGCACCGTATTCATGTGACACAGATCGCTCCGTCGGGACTGGTGGTGTCTTCTGCAATCGCAAAGGATTGAGTCTTCGATACCATTTTTTCTTTTTCACGTCCACTTTGGGGGCCTTGGCTTCGTCGTTGGATGTTGATCTCGAGCTTGAGGCGTGCGCCTGGAGCTTCTCATTATCCGCTACCACTACTTGTTGTAGTGGCTCGGGGGCGGACATTATGAGGCTCTGGCACTCGGAGAATGGCCGTCAAGATACAAATATACAAGAAGGGAGAGAAAGAGAAGGGAAAAGCGGGTATGGATTTGATGTAAATGTGGGGCCGATAAAGAGGTATGTGGAATGCTGCACGCGGACAGGCGTTTTCGCAGAGTGATGAGTTACGAATTAACACATATAAAGAGATCTGCAAATATGCAAATATGCAGATATGCAGATAATGTGCGGGTATAGAAGGACAAATTTTAGAGAAATGTAACCCAAATCTGATGCGGAGGAGCCTTATAAAAGGGACTAGTTAGTACCGGGTAATATCCGAGGCTAAGCTTCAAACATCTAAGAAAATTAACGAAGCAATCAGAATCGGAGATAATGGCGGTCGAGCCATAGAAGCAAGCCTCGCATTCGTTTAGCATACGATGTTGGACCTGGAACATGTCTGTATATAGCTTAGCATCGGGGAACGGAGTCCCGGCTTTCCTGATGCCGTTGGCCGAAGTAAAAAATTCACTGGATTAATAATCCATTTCGGTTTCAGGGCTCTATATGAGTTGGGGAGGATAATTCCGTTGGAAATAGATACGGGGGTAGCCGAGGACTACTGCAGGGCCAAATCACAATTTGTATAATCTATTCTTTGCTATGGCATACATTTTGAGCCGAAAAAAAAAGCATACAATCGTAAGTCGTGGGGAAACAAGCCGATTCAGAACAGGTTTTTTTTTTTAAAAAAAAACCCCCCTTCCTGTGTAGGGCTGTCCGGTCATCTCTGCTTGCATCCAATAGGAATATGAAGGTGCCAGCTCTACAGCAGCAGATGCATGGCCTACGGCAGATCGTGGATCCGCCATGCGGCTTTGGGGGTTGCGGTCGCGGTTGCGGTTGCGATTTACCTCTGTGTGAAGCTTGCTCTTCCGCCTGAACGTATCTAATTCTCAAGACCGATCTTGGCCTTCTTCTCCGGGGGAGGAATGACGTGGTCCTCGTCTGAGCCATTGAGTTTGGGAAGCTCGTTCACAGCCGACTTGATAATGTCGAGAGCCTTCTGGATTTCCTCCTCGGTGATCACCAGAGGGGGAGCAAGGCGGATGATGTTCTGGTGGGTGGGCTTGGCCTGAGATATGAAGTCAGTCGACTGCAAAGCAAACTCAGTAAGATCAAATACGTACCAGCAAACCCTTCTCCTTCATCAACATGCACAGATCCCAAGCAGAGTGACCATTTGCCTGGGACTCATCGATGACAATAGCATTGAGCAGACCCTTGCCGCGCACTGACTGAATGAGCGGGCTCTGAATAGCTGCAAGGCCATCCCGGAACAAGTGACCGAGCGTCTCTGCGCGCTCAACCATATTCTCCTCGCGCACAACCTCAAGGGCGCGAATAGCAACTGCACACCCGAGAGGGTTACCACCGTAGGTCGAACCGTGGGTACCAGCCTCGACAGTGAGCATGACGTCTCTGCTGCCCAGCACACACGAAACCGGGTACATACCGCCCGAGATAGCCTTGCCGAGCAAGACAAGGTCGGGCTTGATTCCGCTCCACTCGTGGCACAGCAGCTTACCCGTGCGGGCAATGCCGGTTTGGATCTCATCGCAGATTAGAAGCACGTTGTGCTTATCGCAAAGGGCGCGAGCCTCCAGCAGGTAATCCGGGTCTGGTACAACAATACCTGCCTCACCCTGGATGGGCTCGACGAGGAAAGCGGCCAGGTTGGGGCCGGCAGCCTCGAATGCCTCGCGCAGAGCAGCCTTATCATTGTAGGCAATGGGCTTTGTGGTTCCTGGAATTGTGCATCCGATACCGGGCAGATAAGGACCGTAGTGTTCGCGAGACTCGGGGTCGGAAGATAAGGAAATAGCGGCGAACTAATGCAAGGGGGCTAGAGTCAGCCACCAACGTACATCTCACATGTGTTACCCATCACAGGCACTCACCGTACGACCGTGGAAGTTGTTCTCAGCACTCAACACAAGGGCCTGGTTTTCCGGAATGCCCTTGACCTTGTATCCCCATTTACGGGCAATTTTGATACCGGTCTCGACGGCCTCGGCACCGGTGTTCATGGGCAAGACCATGTCAAATCCAAAGTATTCCGTGACAAACTTAGCAAAGCGGGGGAATACATCATTGTAGAATGCGCGGGAGCTCAGAGTGACGCGAGAAGCTTGATCCACGAGGGCAGCGACCAATTTGGGGTGGCAGTGACCTTGGTTTACAGCGGAGTAGGCAGAGAGGAAGTCGAGGTATTCACGACCTTCGGGGTCCCAAACTGTGGTACCTTGAGCCCGGGCAAAGACAATGGGAAGGGGGTGGTAATTGTGAGCAGCATATTGCTTCTCAGACTCAATAGCCTCAGCAGAAGTGGCCGCATGGTAGTGGGAGAAAGAGCCGTTGGTTGCCATGATTGCGCTAATATGGGAGAAGCGGATCGTACAAAGGAGAAATTGATTAAAGGAAAAAGAACAAGAACACAAAGAAAAGAGAAATTGAATGACTATAAGTAAGGAGAGGATCGGAATTCCATTGTGGCGTATATACAGCCGCTATGCCGTTAAGTGTTAGACCCAGTTACCTCTTGACCGTTAAGTACAGGTCGTGCCGACTCTGTTCCCTATGCGCAGGATTACCCTAAAAGCCCCATTTCCTTTGTTTTTCCTTCTTTCTGATTCGTTTTCTACTTTTTTTCTTTGTATTTATGGTCCGGGATTATGCCGGTCCGGTTGATATTAACTATTAGTCTAGTTTCAATCAGGTAAGTCGAAGAGAGAATTAAGGCCGGGGTAGACCTGCGCGTCATAGTTCGGTTACCAAAGGAGTATATTAGCCAGTTGATGGGAAAGAGGTGTGCTACATACAGTAAGGCAATTATAATCTATTATCTATATCCTCATTGATAAAAGAGAATTGAAATTTAAATCTCACTACGACGGAGTATACAGAAAACAAAGAAGTGTATGAATTAAAAAAAGGAATGATATTGATGTAATTACTACCTAGAACGTACAAGTAGTTCGGCGGAGTTCGTTCAACCTCCGCAATCACCAAAATCTCCCTCACACGCGCATGCCCACGTTCACAGACTTTGTGCGCAATGCACGATTGAATGAGTACTCAACCTCTTTTCCGTCTTGATCATGTCTATACCATATTCGCCGCGTCGGCCTATGCATCAACCCCCTCGCGCACCCACCCAAAACATCCTCCTCCTACTCATCGCCTACCGTCTCGTCAATGCTTTTGCCGTCCGGACCTTTTTCCAGCCAGACGAATACTTTCAGTCATTAGAACCCGCTTGGAAAATTGCATTCGGCGAGGACCAAGGGGCCTGGATAACCTGGGTGAGTGAATGCGATCGCATCCAAAATGTGTGGGAGCCTAACCTTTCATCCGCTTCTAGGAATGGCGAAACCAACTACGATCTTCACTACACCCTCTACTCTTTGCTGCCCTTTACAAAGCTTCGCACTACCTCGCAGCGTTTCTTCACGTTTCTCCTGCAACGCGTGCGGAGCTCCTGATTGCCGCCCCGAAGACAGCGCAGGCCGTTATCTCGGCTATCGGTGATTTCTACACTTGGAGGTTTGCGGTTCGCGTCTATGGAGATGATTCTCGTGGAGCTTGGGCAACGGTATGTGGTTATGGGTCGCGTGTCTGAGGGTTCTTTTACGAACCCCCCAACCGAACATATGTTGATTGTTTAATAGCTGGCTGCCACAGTCCTCAATCCCTGGCAATGGTTTTGCTCAACCAGGACACTGTCAAATTGCCTCGAAACTACACTCACCATCGTCGCATTGGATCTTTGGCCATGGCAATGGTCGGCGAGCTCTACGGTCGGCAATGGCCGCGATAAAATCACCGGCCAAAAGAAGGGCACAGACCGAAGTCGAAGTCTGATCCATCGGTACGACTGGTTATCCAGCATGATGATCGCAGCCGCTGACGCGCCTTGCAGCCTCCACAAATGCTTACCGCTAGCGGCGCTCGCATGTATCCTGCGACCAACCAACATTCTGATTTGGGCAACTCTGGCCAGCATCGCTTGGCTGCGGACCTCTTGGGCCCAACGCAGAGTTCTTATTGCTGAAGTTATAATTTGCGGGTATGTCTTTTGAGCAACTTGAACAAGGACCAGCTGACCTTTTCATTTGGCAGATCGGCGATCCTAGCAGTATCCTCCATTGCGGATCGTCTCTTCTATGGATTTTGGACCTTTCCCCCGCTCAGGTTCCTATACTTCAACATCGCACAGTCACTGGCTGTCTTCTATGGAAGCAATAATTGGCACTACTATGCCACTGAGGGATATCCACTTCTACTCACCACGCTGTTGCCTTTTGCCGTTATTGGTCTGTATCAAACGTTGAAAACTCGCAATTCCTCCGTGGGAGACCACGTGCAGTCGGCGATCCGAGTCCAATTGGCGACTGTCTGTGTTGTGATGCCGCTTGCTCTCTCCTTGATCTCACACAAGGAGGTACGCTTTATATACCCATTGCTGCCCTTGCTGCACATCCTGGCCGCCCCGCCTTTGGTACAATTTTTCTACCCAGCTATCTCCTCCCCGACTTACCCACGCCATCAACCCCGACGGCTGATTTTAATCTTTCTGGTGCTTGCCAATGTGGTTGTTGCTTTATACACTACGCTCTACCATGCAAGAGGTCCATTAAGCGTACTCTCCTATCTCCGCCAACAACATGAGCTCCATGGCGTGCAATCAACAAAGGAAATCCCAGAATCAGTTACACAAGTGGGGATCTCCGCTGGCTTTTTAATGCCATGCCACAGCACCCCCTGGCGCTCACATCTAGTATATCCAACAATAAACGCATGGGCCCTTTCCTGCGAACCACCAATCAATATGAAAGCAACCCAAAAGGCCGAATACCGAGACGAAGCAGATCAATTTTATGACGATCCAGCCAAGTTCCTACGCGAGAACATGGCCGGCGGCCTCCGATATACCCCCCGAAAACCCAGCTACACCTTGAAAGAAGAGAACCCCGACCCAGAGCTACACGAATGGCCCGACTACCTCATCTTCTTCGCACAGCTTGAGCCAACTCTCCGAACCCTACTGCGCGCCTCCTCATACGACGAATGCTGGCGCACGCACAACACCGACTGGCATGATGACTGGCGGCGACGCGGCGACATCGTCGTCTGGTGTCTCGACACGCAAGAGCAAGACGACTGGCGCGAGGAGCACCACCGCCGCATCCAGCAAAGTCGAGACATGCAATTCGACCGCATTGTAGCATCGTTCGCGAAGCAAGCGAGCAACCAGCAAAAGCGCGGCTGGAAGGCTCTTCTTCCGTCGACTGCTTCGTCCCCGTCGACTTCGACCTTCGATTCGTGGCGCCGTGCGATACAGGCGCGCTTTTCGCCAAAGCCGGCGAGATTCTCGTTTGCTTGGCCTTGGAGGCAAAAGTCGCGCTGGGAAACCTTTTTGGCTAGAATTGGACTCGCGCAGCAGTCTTCCTGGTGGACGCGCTGGGTTCCGGATTGGTTGACGCCTAAGAAGAGGAGACCGACCGAGCGGGAACTTTTCTCTTAAAATCACCGCTCTTGCTTGGCTTTTGATGGATGGCCTTTGGGATGTCTAGTAATACCGTGTAATATCTGATTGTGCTGCGAAGATTACGCTTCTCCATTATGCTTGGATACCTTCTGCTTCCCTTGGCTTTTCTTTTTTTTTTCTTCTCTCTGGATATATAGATCTATATACTTCTCTTACTATCCCACTATAATCCGTGCTAATCAATAGGTAATTCATTAAATTTGAGGTCGGAGTGACCAGAACCAAGACATGTAACCTATGTACCCTTCTGACTCGCTAACCCGGAACCAAAGAAATCTTTTTGTGTACAGAGTAGACACCAAAACAGACAGTAAAATAAAATGAAACAGAATAAAAAAACTAATCAAGTGAGAGGCAGGCAGACAATGGGAATCAGATGCGCCGGACATGCACGCGCGTAACACGTCTTCGTCAATCTTCTATATCCAAGTTCATTATCAGTATCAGTATCGGTATAAAAAAAAAATTAAAAAGAATGTCAATGTGCACATTTTTCGACCCTGATTATGACTCTAGGCCGAATTCCAAAAGAGGAATACGAGACGATGCAAAATTTCGTTCAAGCTTAACCATACCGAGCACTCAGACTGGCGAAAGCATCAGGGCTGTGTCGACCGTTCTGCAGCCCACTCACGTCCACACTCGGCTGGCTCATGTGTGTTCCTCTAAAGGCCGAGGTTGCAGGAGGCGGGCCGGAGAAGGGAGACTTGTTTGTGCTTGCGAATGGAGGAGCCATGCCCGGGAAGGGGGATGCATTTTGTCCCGCGAATGGGGAGGTGTTCGCTCCCGGGCCAACGCTGGCTGTTCCGTTTTGGCCATTGATGCCGCCAATTCCTAGCCCTGGAGATTGCTGTTGCTGCTGGTATGGGTTGATGCCGGCTTGGGCGGCAAGTCCGGAGCCAGCCCCTGTCGAAGGGGCGGCGGGTGCTCCTGCGGAGGCGGTACCAAAGAATGGATTGTTGGTTGTGGCGGGCTGGGCATTAGCAGCCGGGTTTGGGGGCTGAAAGTATTGATGAGTTTGGTTTTGTTGCTGGGTATTTGTGCCCTGCTGGTTTTGAGTCATGGAGGCGTATGGGTTTGTTGGTTGGGGGAATGAATTCATCCCCGTGGTAGGTTGTACTTGGGATTGCTGGTATTGCTGATGTTGCTGATGTTGCTGGGTCTGCTGAGGGACAGGTGGGATATTAGACTGTGCGGGGCCCATATTGTACAATGAAAGAATGCTGTTTTTGTCCATTTGCCCTGTGGGTTGGGGCATGAGATGTTGCGGTTGCTGGGGTTGCAAGTTCGACTGCAATTGACCAGGGAAGCCACTAGTGCTTTGTGGGATGTTTACCGTCGGCCCCTGCTGGAAGGGGTTGTAAGACCCGAGAGCAGAATTCGGCGCCTGCTGTTGCGTCTGTTGTTGCTGCTGCTGCTGTCCTTGGAAAGGAGCAGATCCAAATGGCGAGGCACCAAACGGTGAGGTAGAAGGCATTGGCATGGTATTCGCATGTTGAGGGGTGTTTGCTGCACCAAGTGTCGGCGCCGAGGGACCCATTTGCTGTGCGTGCGGCTGCATGGTTTGGCTCTGCGATGCAGCGTTGAAGAAAGGGTTCGTCTGCGGCGCACTGGGATTGGGGTAAGACTGACTGGCCAAGCCGCCCTGCGGCTGTGGCTGCTGCTGCTGCTGCTGCTGCGGTACTGGCTGGTCGAATGGATTATAGCTGTTGTCCATTGGCTGGGGAGATGCAACATAGAGCGACTGAGAGAAGGTTGATGCCATTTGGGGCGTAAGAGGCTGCTGGTATGCATACTGCTGCACAGAACTTGCCTGGTTCGGATATCCACCAGTAGAGTGCGGGAATAACGGCTGGGAAACCTGCAGGTTTTGGAAAGAGGATTCTAATGGTTGCGCAGATGCTTGCATCTGGTTTGGACGATCGAATGGGTTGTATGAAGCGGTCTGGGTTTGCTGGGGTACGGGGTTTGAGACTGCCCGGTCAAATGGATTGTTCGAAGGCATATCAGGGAATGAGCTGTCAGATGTCTTCGGGAGTTGTTTGGAGGTCTCGGGTTTCGGCGTCACCGCGCGTGCGGATGCACCAGCTGGAGTCCTCGACCTCGAAACGGGGGTGCTCCCTTCACCCAATCGGATTAGGGTTTCAACAGCTCGGTCCAAGTCTTCATGCAGTCCCTTGAGTACCATTTCGTTCCGTCGGTCATTTGTGAATCCCATCTCCTGCAATGCCGCCATTTTAGCTTCAAAAGATGCCGTTGTCACATCGGCAACAGGTGCGCCGAGACCCGTAGTCTTCCTCGTTGGCAGTGGTGGTGACCAAGCTCCATTGTCCGAAGTAGGCGACGTAACCTTTGGCTTGCTACTGCCGAATCGGCGAAGGTTCGAAGTGGAGGATGACGACCGAAGACCGAACTTAAAGAATTTGCCAGTCTTGGGCGGAAGTGGAGGAGGGGATCCCTCTGGGGATATGTTGTAGTCCTTTGGTATCCTTGACTCCACGGGCGACATGGCTCTGAGGTTGGAGTAACTCGAATCCTCTCGGCTGGGGGGCTTAGGTTTCCCGTTTTCCAATGAACGGTGTTGATACTTCTGTCTGATAAATCTCTCCATGCACGCATCGGCCTCGTCGACGTCGGTAGGGATGGCCGGCTTGGTGCCTTTCGGGTTATAGATCTTGTTCATGAGGAGGTTGCCATGCGATTTCATGTTCTAGTAAACCCATGTGTCAGCTCGCGTGCCATGTTGAATTGAGTTGTCGCACTCACATCAACCTGCTCTGAGGTCCAGGTGTCCATACTCAATGACTTGACCTTGGAAATATGTGTGCCCAACTTTCGGTGCAAAGCGGCGCAACGCATGCAAAGGAAGATACCCATCTGTAGAAGACGGTGTCAGTTTTTTTGTTATTTCGAGAAGTACATTGAGCAGCGTCATACGTTCCAGCTTGCCCATCCTATCAAACCATTATTAGTCTGTGATCTTTCATGCAGAGATACTGGGGAACGAACCTGGGGTCAAGGCATCGCAATCGGCACATCGGTCATTGCCAGGAACGGTCCGGATCAGTTCCGCAAGGGTCTTTTCATTCCGCGCCTGCTGGCGCTTGCTGATACCTGACGGCATAATGCAAATATAAAATATACAATTACAAGAACAAGAACAAAAAAAAAAAAGGAGTGGCAGCAAAACAAACCAAAAATGAGAGAATAGGGGAAGAAATCAGGTTCCGGGCGGAGAAATTCAGTTGTCTCTGATGTTCATTCCGCGAGGGGCAACAGATGGACACAATGTGGACTTTTCAGGTTCCTGAGCTTACATCCATACATATACATATATAGCTTCATTGGAATTGCAGATTGGTGTACGGAATAATGATTAAGGATTCAAGTGAATATTCCAGACTGAGGAATTGGCAATATCATTGTGCTCTCGTGGTTCTCGATATAACTTCAAAATGTCCTAGAGTTCGGCAGTGGGGTCGTCTAAACCATTTATAAGACCGAGACACGAATGGGCTCTTCTGGCTATTCCGCTCAGTGCATGTACAATATAATAAACACTACTTGGGTTGGAGATGTCTCCGAACAGCAAGTGACTCGCATCTACCACTGCGCCTCCAAGCCGAAGCCCATTGGAACCGTTGAGGAGCAATTACACTGTTCAGGAATTTCTTCTAGTACGCCAATATGACCAACCATCCTATGATAATGAGGAATTGGCGGTTGATTATGCGTTCGAGGTATTAAGTGTAAAGAAAAAAAGGAAATAAAATTGCGCAAAAAAATTCGACACATAAAGGGATCCATGTGGTCATGTGACTGCGCTAGCTGCTCACGTGCCATTCGGATTCACATAAAATCTTTTCTTTTCACTTTGCAAATCTTTTCTCCTTCAATCATATCAAGAGTATGAAAAGAGTTCTGAACTCAAGTCTTGATCTCAAATCATTTAATGTTGATGATTGTTCCAGTACTTGAATTAATTACTCTTACACTCAAAACCACATAACCCGCGTGGTGCCTGATTATTGGCACTGGACGTCTCATGGGTGTTTTTATAACGTTCGTTCGTGGAATATCAAAACCAAACAGTTTTTAGCAGAGCTGCGTCTACTCCACCCTGGTGTTCACATCTATTGAACTGCAGGACTTTTTTACGACGGACATCCCAAATAATATACTTCATACATTGTTTCTCTTGAAATTTATCTTTAGTAATAGCATCATAAGTTGTTCTTTATCCACATGTGATTGGCCTTACTGTAGTATTTCATCTCCTGAGCAATACCTAATGAGTGATTGATATTTTCGGTCCACATCCCGAATAATCATTATAGAATAGCGAGGGCGTTTTGCTATCAGATAATTGATGTCCTCATGCCGAAAAACTTACAACCTGTTGATGCTGTCCATATCTGACTGCCACTACACAAATCGATTTCAATTGATTGGTTATAAATGTACGATGTACTCTGCGGTTATACTAGCGACAGCTGTATACATGTAGGTTCTGTAGCGATGTTATAGTACCACAGTTGAAGGGAACCAAATGTATTCTGTAAACCCATGGTTAGATCCTATCTTGTTCGATCATATACATCTAGCCTTGGAGCTCTATCTACATACAAGGTACGTACATATCTAGATTCCTATTGCTTATCAAGACCTTGACTCGAGACCTCGGGAGCCAGACTGTTCGGAGAAGTAAGCAGGTCGGAGGGATCCGTAGTGGGTCTTCAGCGGCCAAACAGCGTTTTGCTGTTAATAATGCCATAGGGGTTATGATTCGAATATGTTCCAAATCGTCCAAAATTTAAGAAACAATTGCCAATGGGGTATGTAGATATCGTCAATTTGATCAGGAATATCGAGAAATCCAGAAAAAACCCGGAAAAAACCAAAGATAAACAGTAGGAAGAAGAAACCTGGGGATGCAGTAGAATGCGGAGATGTGTCGAAGCGCCGAGGCAAATGGTATATGTGGCCCCCTTGATTGGCTGTGATTCCATCAGCTTCTGTAATAGTACCGAAGTATTAGACCTGATAGCCCTGAAGCATGCGTTGTGTGGTACAAATGCCTCCCGACTTCTTCCCTTCTCCTCTTCTGTGCTTGTACTCACCTTGACCATCCTTTCTTTCTTTTGTGAAACCCCAGTAGACTTATTAGACTTTCTCTTCCATACCTCTTGTCTCACAATGGCTTCCGCTGCCAGAACTGCTTCCCGGGCCTTCTTGCGCTCAACCCCGGCCACCTCCTCCTTCCGTCCTGCCGTGCGCAGCACCCGATTTGCCATCCCTCAGCACATCCGCGCCTCTGCTCGCCGTGGATATTCCTCTGAGGCTGGCTCTGAGAAACCTAGCTCGTCCTCCTTCAGTATCTGGGCTTTCGGTCTCGGTGCCCTCGGTGCTGGTGGTGTGTACTACTACCTGAACGGTGCCTCCCCCAAGGGCCCCTTCGTTCCCACCCAGGCCGATTACCAGAAGGTGTACGACGCTATCGCCAAGCGTCTGGCCGACGAGACCGATTATGATGACGGCAGCTATGGCCCCGTAAGTTTGCAACTCCTGTTTGTGGGGTTCCACGGTTCAAATCGCTAATACACGCTGTGTTCAATAGGTCCTCGTTCGTCTCGCATGGCACGCCAGCGGTACCTACGACAAGGAAACCAACACCGGAGGCAGCAACGGTGCTACTATGAGATTCGCCCCTGAGTCGGACCACGGCGCCAACGCCGGCCTCAAGATTGCCCGTGACTTCCTCGAGCCCATCAAGGCCCAGTTCCCCTGGATCTCGCACTCCGATTTGTGGACTCTGGGTGGTGCTTGTGCCATTCAAGAACTTGGTGGCCCCACCATTCCCTGGAGACCCGGCCGTCAGGATAAGGAGGTTGCTGCATGCACTCCCGACGGCCGTCTGCCCGACGCCGCCCAGGGCCACCGTCACATCCGCGACATCTTCGGCCGCATGGGCTTCGATGACCGCGAGATGGTTGCACTGATTGGCGCTCACGCGCTGGGCCGCTGCCACACCGACCGCTCCGGTTTCGACGGCCCCTGGAACTTCAGCCCAACTGTGTTCAGCAACGAGTTCTTCCGTCTCCTGATTGAGGAGAAGTGGACCCAGAAGAAGTGGAACGGCCCTGTTCAGTTCACTGACAAGAGTACCTCCACTCTGATGATGTTGCCCACTGATATGGCTCTCATCAAGGATAAGGGCTTCAAGCAGCACGTCGAGCGCTATGGAAAGGACAGCGAAGTCTTCTTCAAGGAGTTCTCTGATGTCTTTGTTAAGCTCCTTGAGCTCGGTGTGCCTTTCCAGGTCAAGCCCGAGGACCGATTTGTCTTCAAGACCTCCGAGTAAAAACAACTCGCTCTAGAGTCGCTTCCGATTTCTGTCCCAGCTTTTCTTTCCCTGTCTTGATATCCGAGTCATCACTCACTGAGATTTTATATATATTTCGATAAAATGTTAGAATTCCTTTCACTCTGTGCATTGTTGTGTCTGTGGCATACAGTTTTCCACCGGATGCTAGTCTTATTCACCTCCCTATGTTAGTGAGGGATGGCAGAGCTACCCGCGGGTTGTTTGTAGAGCAGGTAATGTCTCGTAAATCACATCTTGTTTGAAATTACATTCTTCAACATAGAGAGGCATATAATTGAACAAAGAAGGAATCTCCAAATATTGGAGTTGAGAAGTATGGGATCCGGGACTCCCTGACCCAAAGTGGCGTGCCAGGGCAGACCCGCCATTTTTGAACGTCAAAAAACTCGCACCAAGACAACAAAGCTCACCAACCCCGCTTTCCAACGCTACTACCCCAGATTCTCAATATCCTTGTAAACCAAGCGGTTGGACCTCCCCGCTAGAGCCTGGGGCGTCATTGAAACCTGGTGCGCGCACCTCCGACTGGCCACAGGACTCGAGGAACGGGAGCGCAAGCAAGATACGTCCACACGCAAAGAGCAGGAACATCCGTCGCCAGCATGACAAGGACAACTGCAACGATGGACTTTTATGAAATTCTTGCGCTGCCTTTCACGGGGTCTTCATCTACGGCACCCTCGAAACAGCAGATCAAGCTTGCATACCACAAGGCATTGCTGAGACACCACCCTGATAAAGCCGCTACTGTTGCAACGGAGACGGAAAACGGATCGGCTTCTTCGTCCAAAACCCCAGCCAGTACCGATCCGCGCGTTCCTTATACCATCGACCAAATCACTACCGCCTACAAGACCATCGCAGACCCCGTCCTCCGCGCCGAATATGATCGCGCTCTCCGGTTGGATAGGCTTAAGGTTGCAGAGCGGGAGAAGACCGGGGACGTTTTTCATACTGGGCTGGAGATTGTGGATTTAGAGGATCTTGCGTGTGACGAGGGCGACGACGGCGACCTCTGGTACCGTGGTTGCCGGTGTGGTGATGAGCGCGGGTTTTCGGTTACCGAGGAGGATCTGGAGAGAGAGGCAGAACATGGCGAAATTGTTATTGGGTGCCGCGGGTGCAGTCTCTGGCTGAAGATTCTGTTCGCTGTTGAAGGGGACGAGGGGTGAAAAGATATTGTATCAATCCCGGTACTCGATTTTTCGCTCTTCCCTGCAGAGCTTCGGGCAGTGGTAGTGCCTGTGCCTTGTCGTTATACGATATCGACCATGCCATGCTAAAGTTGGTACATATCTCGTCGAGATATTGAGTCGGCTGGATTTCAGTGAAGACAATAGATTGCAATCTTGGACGGTCGCGCTTCTCGTGGCATTCTGAATTGATAATCGGTCTCGCATCCCGACTTGTTTGCCGCTGTCGGATTCTTCTGGCTCACACATGTCAAATACATTGAGCCCTGGGCACCACCGCGCCAGGGCTGGTGCCATGGATACATGAAGCCATCGGCCATGTTTCTCTCGCTCTCTTCTGCGATCAAAATAACTATGCTCGCCTCGTGGATTTTGATTTGGAGATCCTGCGGCTTCCACCACGTGCTGGCTTGGGCCACGTCCAATAACAGAGCAACTGCTATACCATGTTTGTAATTGTCAATAGTTAGTTCTAGACTATATAGATAAAGGTCCTTGTGTCAATATCTTGATTTCTCTAGGTAAAATGTGATCAAGAAAAGTGACAATCTATGAATTGGTGTCCGCATAGCTATGCACTAGGGACAATATATATCGAAGCATACATCCAAAAAAACAACCAACGTGATCCTTTCCAAAAAAAAGGCACAAATTCAATTACATTTTAATTTCCACGGAAAAAAGTAAAAATTTTAAACCTCATTCCAACACGCCTATCACAGAACATGTCATGGTTGATGCGCTGTTGAATACGCCCAGGAGCCCGCGGCAGAGGGGCTGATGACATACTCGGAGAGCAGCAAAACACAACACGACCTTTTCATCCTCTTCCAACCCCGCCCTTCACATTTATCTCCCAACCTCAACATGTCAGTCGTTGAGATTTCCTCAAAGGAGCAATTCTCCTCACTCCTCAGCTCCTCTCGCCTTGTTGTCGCAGATTGTAAGTCTTCTCGCCGGCGCGCGCTACCCCGCCGACCCTGTCTTCAATCCCAAACAAAGCAGCAGAGCTATCGCTGACATGCATATGATAATTGATTAGTCTACGCCGACTGGTGCGGACCATGCAAAGCTATTGCACCTGCTTATGACTCGCTGGCGACTCAACTCTCTCGCCCCAATGCCATTACATTCACCAAGATCAATGTCGATCACCAACAAGAGCTTGCCAAAGCCTACGGCGTCACAGCGTACGTGCAACGTCTCCCAGAGCGGTCCAATACCGCATCCAAATCTACACTCACTTTAAGGGTTTCCCAGCCACTGACAAATTTACAACCTATAGAATGCCGACTTTCATCGTCTTCAAGAATGGCCGCGTGAACCAAACCGTCAAGGGTGCCAACCCCGCACAGCTGAACCAGATCGTCCAAAAGCTTGCCTCAGAGGCAAGCCAGTCCGACGATGCGGCCGGAGCTGTCGAAGGAAGCTCTGGCGGTCTTTGGATCGGCGGCTCGGTGGCCAAGGGCTACAGCGACATCACAGACCAGGTCGACGGGAAGGGAATTGAACTGCTGAACCGGGACACCGAGCGCGCAGAGCCGCGCACTCTATTCGACACCTCAAAGCCGTCCGGCCTAGCGACAAAGGGCAAGGAAAAGGCCAAAGGAAAGGCAGATTGGGTCGAGAGTGATACCGACGAGCAGCTGATGCTGTACATCCCATTCCAAGCGACACTGAAGGTCCACTCCATCCAAATTACCTCTATCCCACCTACCGATGCCGATGCCGACGACGACGAGGCTCCCATGCGACCCAAGAGCTTGCACATCTACAAGAACACATCGCATGTTCTTGGGTTCGACGAGGCGGACGGAATCCCTCCTGTGCAGAAGGTGGAGATCCAGCCCGGGGATTGGGACGCGAAATCCGCAACTGCGACGGTTGGTTTGCGGTTTGTCAACTTCCAGAATGTGACATCGCTGGTTCTGTTCTTCGTGGATGGTGATGGAGACAGTGAGAAGCTGCGTGTGGATCGAATTCGCATCATTGGCGAGGCTGGCGCGAATAGATCCATGGGCAAGCTTGAGAAGATTGGCGACGAGCCTGGCGAGTAAACATAGATCCTGGAAAATAACTCTACAATGGACAGTAGAATAACCATCTTGAACTAAGCAAGGTTGGACGTCTTGGTATCGAGCATTTTTTTATGTTACGCTTGGGCCAATTTTAAAGCACAACCCAAGGTTTTAACGAGAATGAATGACAAGACTAGTAATGAAAATTCTGGTAATTGACATTTTGATTTCTTTGTTTGTACGCTATCAAAATAAGATTTTTAAATTAAAGATGTTTGATCCCAAACCAAAAGGTCTCATCCTTGAAGATCAGAAAGACCTATAAAGTAGAATCAATGTGCAATTCCCTTCGTCTGTGGCGCAACTGACACCTGGTTTACATCACTGAAGGTCAGACAATGACCGTAGATGTCCAGGCAACACGGGTATCGAAGTCGCGCCGCCGCACGAAGAAGAAAAGAAAAAAGACGAAAGGAGCCGGTCGAGATTTCTCTTTTATGATGAGTTCCGGAGCCTTGGTTCTTCCGCTCCGCTCAACAGAATGGATTGGGCGCGTGCAGAAACTTTCACCGCCAAGAATATTACGTAATCATTGAAGAGGGATCTTTTTTCTTTTTTCACCTGCCTTCCTCTTTCTTTTTTTCTTCCATATAACAATTATATGGTCAATGACGAGAATAATGGAACATGATAGGAAGAGACTGACTCCCTATGGGAGCGTGATCTCACTTTAACCATCCCTGAGACCATCTTTGCTATCTGTTTCGAGGGATTCGGTTTTCAGCTTGGCCTGCAACCAGGGCGAGCTTGAATATCAAATTGCTGTGAGCTTGCCACTTCGGGGTTAGCCAGGCCTTGAAGAGATAGATGCGTTGCAGACTCTGCAATGGCTCCTTGTTGGCCGGCTCAAACAGCCGATAGAATATAAAAAAATCCAAGCCCTTCGGAGCCAAATCGCCGGCCGAGCTGCGCCATTAATATAAATTCACATCCACCCACATGAATGCCAGACAATGTGACGCAATCGTATCAAAGCAATTAGGGCTGAATGCCATTCCGATGCCGTGGTGCCGTGGCATGAATATGTATATCCATATCGGCTCGGCATTGCATCCACACCGGCCATCGGCCACCGGATGCACCCGGCCTTTTCTCGCGGATTTGCAAGGTCCTCAACGGTATAGCTTGCAGCTAGCTGTGTGAGCTCCATCCGCAAACCGCGAATGGAGATGCCTTGGCGCTCTGTTCATCCCGGCCGTCTCATACCGTTAGTCAATAGGAGAAGGAGCTTTACTTAGCCGAGCTTGTAGTTGGTTCTTTTCTGTCCATCTCCACTGCAGGTTCGGTGTCTGCAGTTGACGGTGGGATGATCGTGGACGACTGCGTGGATGACTGCGTGGGAGGCTTGTTTCTGTGGACACCCAACGTGGGCATTGAATGAAGAAGGGAAACGCTGTTTGTCCGGACTCCACGATGATACCTCCCGACCCCCCAACCCAAGGCTTGGATCCATGAAGATTCGTTATTTTCATGACATGGTGGAGAATATATCCATTTGGGAAAGGAGTCGTAAGGTTTGTATTAGCTGTACCTAAAAGGGACTTCAATCAGTCTTTACTCGTGCAAGTAGTAGTACCACTCTGAGATCAGTGTTCCGTTGAAGGATAACTAGACCCGCTTTAACCCGTCTCGAGACCAGCATCCAGTCCTCTGCTACCAACAGTGCACGTTGTACCGATTGGTGTAAATATGTTGTATCCACTGTTGACGGCGTGTTTTTATGAGTGGCTTAGAGTCACCGGACTAGGCACGGCGGCAAAAGACAGCACACAAGACAACACACGAGACAAATTACTACATTATTGTAGATTTCCACAGGTGCAAATTTATCCAACGTAGCTTCTCGGCCCATTGTTAAACATAATCGCCACGACAGGAGATTTGCGCCAAGTCTCATCTCAGCTCAGGCTGAGGTTTCAGTCCATGGGACTATCACACGAGTATTAACCATTGAGAGAATTTCAGTGTGCATGATGATTGACACTGACCCATAAGCGAAAGTCAGCTTATGCGGAGAATTGTGGACTTGTCTCTGATCTCAAAATCATGCCATTGATGCCACAGAGATCGCAAGTCAAATCCGTTACGTACCAAATACCGCACGGGTCGATCTGCTCGTGTTGAAGCGGCATGAAGGCTAAATGAACCGCTTCCTAGGTTGTGAGCTGGGCTTAACACTTGCACTATCTGATGGGAAATGGAGCCGGACGTCGATCTTGATAGTCCAGCGAAAATACAGTCAGCGGCGCGACGGTACCTGCCCGAGACTGAATAGTGCTTGCGCCACCGGATAGGTTGCATAAATCTACATGCGCTATGGGTAGAATATAGTTATGGCTAATGGCGTTGGTCTGTTATTCAGGGTTTTCTGGTGCTTTCGGTGGGTACAAACGTAAAAGATATTCATGAACTACGGGATATAGTGTCTTTTGGTTTAATGGAGAAGGTTTGCACATCATACAACAACACAATGTGAACACCAATCATGTCGCCTAGGAACAATAAGATTGCTTTTTCCCACTACAGTATGTCAAAAGTGAAATGAGTCTCCGCCACACCGAACAAAAATGTCTGCGTACAATATTTCATGGCGTAGACACGCCGTGGCTCCAGATATGGTGGACGCCCAGTGAACCAGAAGAAGTCCCCAAGATCAGATCAGATAGCCGGTAATCACATCATCTGAAGAGCAGAGAGGCTCCGTTCGTACCAAAGATCCAGGTCCGAGAAGATACGACGGTCTACAGATTTGGTCCACCGGGTCCCATCTCAGGAACAGCCCGATAATTGGGTAGAGCTCGCTTGTCGGAGGTAAGGTACCTTGGCCAAGGGATCGGTATGTTCCCATTATGACTATCGTGGCGTCAATTTTCATTTACACAATATAGTACTATACTAAACAATATTATAGATATCCACATGAGAGCTCCAAAATCCAGTGATAAACCTTCTTGGCCTAGTATCTTCTTGGAGGGAACAGCATCCGGGTCCCTAACGCGTTCCACCCCAATCCCACCACGGGCTGGGTAGCTCATCTCCGCATCCATAATTTTCCCACGATCGTTGACTACAAAATTCGTTCGATCGAACCTAGTTTCTCTATTTTTTTCTAATTTGTCTAAGTCGTATAATTTGTGGACTCACCGAAAGTAGATCCATACCGACAGTGGAAACAAGTGGGGATAGTGTTCACGCACCATTAGAACATAAACATCTCAAGCTTCATGATAAAAATTGTAATATATTGGGAAAAAAAACAAGAAAAACATTCTTTTAGGCTGAAGATCGATAGATAACCGGGGAGAACGTCGAGAATCTTCCATTGGTTATATTAATTTTATCACTTTACCTTTTATAGTGCTAGTGTTTTCTTCTTTCTGGTTTTCCCTGCCGAGGGATCCAAGAACCCGGAGACCTGATAACCCCCATGTGGATTGGAGATGCGCAGCAGATCTTACCTGAAGCGAAATCATGCCTCCCACGTTCTGTCCCGTTGGCACTTGTGTAAATCGTATCTACGACAGGACCCAATACTACCTGCCATGTTAATCTAAGAACTAGTTCCAAGGTTGAAGAATCACAGGAACGATAGCGCCGGTTTCTAATTCTAAATACTTTGCATAATAATAATACTTATATTAACAATTTACTGATTCACTTCGGATCTGAGACTAAATACCATACTAGGTCTAGCGGGTTGACAAGGTCCTTCAAGTTCTGAGATCGAGATGGAGTTCGGAGTATTTGTGCGGATACCGAGGAACTACATCTGAAACACGTGCCTAGCCCACTACTTTAGGAGACTAATGCTGGGTTTTTTTTTTCAGCCAAAGTTACTTTTATCAGTTATTTTATAGTGCATTTGATACCATTGGTTTCTAGTCTTCTCTTCTATATTACTGTTTCTGGTAGAACGGGATCGGCCGTTGCCACTCTCTTTTCATTTTTATACCAGGTCACAATTGTACAATGGTATATTCGTAGTTTCACATAGGCTACCCATCAGCCACATTCGTTGCATAGTGGACCTTGAAAATCCCAAATCAGGCAAATGATGATTTACCCGCGAACAAGGACGGTGCGCACCCTCATCCATGGATGCGAAGGGTGTAAAACCGGGTTAGCCGAGTATTCCCCCCGCATTTTCTCTCGCTTCGGTCAGTTAGTACGGAAATTTCAGAATTGCAGAATTGCAGATGTAACATGGCAGGTTTTGGTACTCTGAGACACGTGCGCCGAGGACCTTGGGCTCTTTCGGACTTGGAGGCTGTTTGGGAACGGTGGCGCACCGAGCGTATATGCGATAATTGTAATATCGGCAGTGGCTGTAACTGCATAACACACTCGGTACAGACTATAATTAGTTGGCTATAACTATGTAACTAGCTGGTGCACATAGATTGCTGTGTGGCAAGGCCATTTAACATTAGATGGAATAGATTAAAATCGGGCACAACGGTCGCATGAGATAGCCGTACCGAGACTATATCTGAGACCAGACAGGCTTGATGTCCGATGAGTGGTTTGATTTGAGGTTGATTATGCGAGATCATGTACGGAGTACCTACAGCGTATGGTGTACGGAGTCCAATGGTGTATATACCACCACACTGTGAGGCATATACGGAGTAAGTACAATATATTTCCCCATTGGGAACATATTTGCCTACCACTGCCCACCTCCGATATTACCATTCAATTTGTCAACGATTCATTTGCAATCATTTGCAATCATTAGTAACTTTATTTCTCCGACGCACGTTCTCTGTTATCTCTTACTCATTCCAGCAAAGTCCCGTCAACGGACCATATTGAGGCCAGTGCAAAACGGAGTGCAAAACGGAGCAAGTCCACGGCGAAGGGTACACCGCAAAGTATAGGCTCCGCAAAAAGTGCGACCATAGACAATAATCCAGCGCCTCCAATAACCCGCGCCTCCAAAAATCCGCGCCCATCTCGAGATTCGAAACTCAGAAAGA